GGTGCTACAGCGATACGAGAAGAAGGCAAAACAAAGGCATAGGAAGTGGAACGACTAAAATGATCGACGGGGACGTCAATCTACCGGGGGGGGGGGGGGGGGGGGGGGGGGATAGTTGTAAGGAAAGAGCACCCCAAACGCCCGGTCCGGCCCAGGCGCCACCAGCTGGCCCCAAACAGCTGGCCCCAAACACCCGGCCCAGGCACCCGCCAGATTGAGCCACCCAACTATGTATATAAATAGTGACCCTCGCCCACCTTCCTTTGCGAGGGCCAGGTTGAAGTCTTTTACCAATGCCATTCATTGCTCGCCCTCTTGTTGTAAGAGAAGGTAGGTACGCCTGATCAAGGTGGTCACAATGCAGGCAAGAAGGTAGGGGAGCAATGACTTGTATTGGTGTAAGACTTCAACCTGGCCCTCGCAAAGGAAGATGGGCGAGGGCCATTGTTTATATACCTGCTCAGGGGTTCGGCCCGGGCATCAGTCTGCGGTCGTGGCGCCACGGCGTAGCGTATGCCAGCTGGCAGTGTTCTAGCCAGTTGGTGACAAGTGGTGGGCGCGCACCCTGTGCGCGCAGTTGGTGTTTGGGGTGTCCTTTTCCTTACACTTGTTCCCTCCATCGTGACCACCTTGATCAGGCGTACCTGCCTTCTCTTACACATTGCTCGCCCTGCTTGTTGCTCCTATTGTGACCACCTTGATCAGCCGTACCTGCCTTCTCTTACAAAGGAGGTGGCAACCGACCAAGTGTTCAACATACTACATCTTCTGAAAACTATGTGATTGTAGAAGGTGGTAGTACAGGCTCTGGCCCTGGGGGGCTAACAAGCGTTAGAAACAGCCCCAGGGAGGTAACCCCTTACCACACGCCTTGCCTCCCTTGCCCTAGCACAATATCACAAAAACAACTACTGTAACTAGCAGGGTGCCCTTGAAGCCAGAGGGCCAACCAGCCAAGTCTATTCAATCTGTACAACTAGGTACAGCCAGAGACCCAGGGAGCAGTAGTAAGCCTCCTACAAGCTGCACTATCCTTGGTAGAACAGGCCAACACACTGCAGAACAGCTTTGATAGAGAAGTACAGAACCTCCAAAACGCCGTGAATAACTATAACCAAGGCCAAGGCCAAAACCAGGGCCAGAAACCTACCTATGCACAAGCATTGGCAGCTGTGTTACGATCCCGGTTCAGGCGCGCAGGAGGCTGCAGGGAGCCTCCTGCTATTGGCTGACGCAAGGAAGTGAAGTAGTTCCCCGCTTCGCTCAAGTGCAGCCAATAACGGGGCGGTCAGTACGATCAGCATGGTCAAGGCGATCAGTGAGGGAACTGATCGCACTGAGCACGCTGACCGCACTGATCACCTAGGACCAACGCTCTGATTGGTCCGCCTTAGATAGATATATACGACGACCGTAGCCACGGTCCTAGATAGTTCTTGCTTGGTTCTTCAAGCAAGCAATACACATTCACTGCACTCATACACTTTGAGTGGCATTCCGATTTGACTGTATTACCCGTGCGATAGGAGCTTGCCCTTTGTTCTATCTTCATAATTACCAACCCCAGCATCCTGTGGAGCCCGTGCTCCCTTACAGACAGACGACCCTAACAGTCGAGTGGTTTGTAATATATACCTTTGTACGCCTGTTGTAACAGCTCGAAGTTCAACCTATCTGGGCCCGGTGCTTTAGTAGGGTTTGAGCTGAATATTGCTCTTTCCACCTCTATAGCCTCTAGTTCTGGCCATTCCCATTTTGGGTTTTGCTTAGGCTGGGTAATAGGCTGGGCGGTAGGCTAGGTAACGGGCTCTGGGAATAAGGTGGTTGTGAAGGCCATGCATTGTTCTTCAAAGGTGTTAGCTTATTTCTTCACGCCATTTTCTACGTAGTTGATAGTGGGTATTTTGGTATTATTCGTAGCCTTTGTCACGGCACGGCGGTAGGCGCTGAGGCCCTACGGGTGCGTGACCATACTATAACCCACTATAGAATTGCAGCCTGACGGCTTGTAATTCTGGCATCCTTTTGGAAGGTGTGGTGCAGCGGTAGTGGGTGTTGCTAAACGCCGTCACAGCCTTCGTATAACTTGAAGCCTTGAACGAGCCTTAGGGCCTACAATAGTGGAATGGGTACTACAGCACTACGAGCTAAGGAAACCCTGCCTAATAGTAGGAGACTTCTGGCCGGAAACAAAGGTCTGCAATAGACACGGTCTTACTACTACTACATCACATACATCAACAGAAACAAAGGAAAAAAACGACTATAACCACTACAATTTTCCTGGATGTGAAGGGAGCGTTTGACCACGTATCTAAACCACAGCTGATAACTGTACTTCAGAACCGTGGCCTACCAGAAAGCTTGGTCAGCTGGGTAGACTCGTTTTGCAGTGGCTGGAAAATCCAACTTGTCTTTGAAGGCCATGTACAACCAAGCACGGCAGCTAATACTGGAATCCCACAAGACTCACCAATATCACCAATACTATTCCTGCTATAAGTCGAGGCCATCGTGGCTCAACAGGGCCTACAACTATCATATATCCATGACTTCAGTATATCGGTATCGTCAACGTCAGCAGCCAAGAACTGTAGACAACTAGAAGGGATCGTACAACAACTATTCCAACTAGCTAAAGAAAAGGCCATCGTATTTGACGAAGCCAAAACAGAGCTTATACACTTCCACAACAAGAGAAAGCCCATAACAGACTCAATAATTATTGGCTCTATAGTGGTTAAACCAGTAGAAGTAGTCCGCTAGCTAGGAGTATTTCTGGACAGAGAACTAGACTTCCAAACCCACGTAGAAAAGAAGATAGAGGCGGCTACGGCCGTCTACTATGGCCTATACGTAGCCTGTATTACGTCAGTGGCCGACTACGGAGTCCAACTATGGTGGAAAGGCTATAAAACAGCCAAGGCCACTACCACCAACAGCAGCTAGTCCAAAAATACCAACGGTGTCACCGCACAGTCAACTGTAGAGAGGCAGGGCTGCAATGTGGTTGCTGTATTCGTAGAATCTAAAGCTAAAGAAGGAAAAAGGAAAGAAAGTAAAACAGATGCTGGGGGGGTTCAAAAACTCTCCCTACAAGGCCTTAGAAGTGGAAGCAGCTATCTTTTTTTCCTTTTTTCTTCATTACACGCATGCAGCCTCTAGGGCTATGGCGTGGCCAGTCAAAGACTGGCAGTCTATCTACCTAGTGTACTAGTGGAATAGAAAAAGCAAGAGCTAAGTACATAGTTAGGCGCGAAGCCTTGTTATCGTAATAGTTTCATAGTAATGGGGTTCCTTTGGCCAGACTTATACTGTGCCACTCTCAGGCCTGGATGTTACGATCCTGGTTCAGGGTGCATGAGGCGCCCTGCTTCCGCCCCTGCGATTGGGTGACGTGGTGGAGACGGACAGACCCCACCCCGTGTGGGTGCGGCCAACCGGGAAGCGCTCTGCCTGATTAGCTGCCAAGACCAGCAGAGCGGACGGAGCGCAGACACCAAGGACTCTGATTGGTCCGCCTTAGATAGATATATACGACGACCGTAGCCACGGTCTTAGATAGTTCTTGCTTGGTTCTTCAAGCAAGCAATACACATTCACTGCACTCATACACTTTGAGTGGCATTCCGATTTGACTGTATTACCCGTGCGATAGGAGCTTGCCCTTTGTTCTATCTTCATAATTACCAACCCAGCATTCTGTGGAGCCCGTGCTCCCTTACAGACAGACGACCCTGACAGTCGAGTGGTTTGTAATACTGGATAATAAGGAGAGTATAGTGATATCCCAATAGGACCAACCGACTGAGTAAGAAAATATATGGATAAGAATAAAGGATAAAGGAAATAGGGAAGCAGCTATCCTACCGCAACAAATTCGATTCGAAAAGGCTTGTAACAACTATAGCCTAAGAATACTACTATTTCAAGAAGGTCACCCCATAAAACAAGCTCTCTACAAACAATTGTGTAAGGGATGAGCTACAAGAAGGGGATGACTATGACCTACTCCCAAGCATACAACCCACCACACAGCTATTCAGACTCGTCACAAGGCTGAGTAAACTAGTCACAATTGTCACGAATCCCTGTGGATTCCCTGTAGTTATGCACAAAGGTGGGGCATGCACTTTTGGCGCGAGCCAATCAGGAGCGTTCCAGGATTCCGAGCTCTGGAGCTCGGGGGCGCGGGACAGGTCCGGCCGGGCAGTGACCCGGACGCGGGACCACGGGACAACGGAACCACTGTTATTGGTTACGTAGATAGATATATACGACGATCGTGTCCACGGTCTTAGATAGTTCTTGCTTGGTTCTTCTTGCAAGCAATACACATTTGTTACGATCCTGGTTCAGGCTCGCAGGAGGCTGCACGGAGCCTCCTGCTATTGGCTGGCGCAAGGAAGCGGGGTAGTTCCCCGCTCCACGGGAGTGCAGCCAATAGCGAGGCGGTCAGCGCGATCAGTATGATCAGGGCGATCAGTGGGAACTGATCGCACTGAGCACACTGACCGCACTGATCACCTAGGACCAACGCTCTGATTGGTCCGCCTTAGATAGATATATACGACGACCGTAGCCACGGTCTTAGATAGTTCTTGCTTGGTTCTCCAAGCAAGCAATACACATTCACTGCACTCATACATTTTGAGTGGCATTCCGATTTGACTGTATTACCCGTGCGATAGGAGCTTGCCCTTTGTTCTATCTTCATAATTACCAACCCCAGCATCCTGTGGAGCCCGTGCTCCCTTACAGACAGACGACCCTAACAGTCGAGTGGTTTGTAATAACATTCACTGCACTCATATACTTTGAGTGGCATTCCGATTTGACTGTATTACCCGTGCGATAGGAGCTTGCCCTTTGTTCTATCTTCATAATTACCAACCCCAGCATTCTGTGGAGCCCGTGCTCCCTTACAGACAGACGACCCTAACAGTCGAGTGGTTTGTAATACAAAGGGACCCCATTACTATGAAACTATTACGTCAATAAGGCCACGCGCCTAACGATGTACTTAGCTCTCTTGCTTTCTCTATTTCCTACTAGTATACCAGGTAGATAGACTGCCGGCCTTTGACTGGCCACGCCATAGCCTTAGAGGCTGCATGCGTGTAATGAAGAAAAAAAACAGTTTGAACCAGTTTTCCTTTTTCCTAATTGCTAATTATAGCCCATGTACCCATGTGTCCGTTTTATCTGTCTAGAGCTAATTACATGAGCATCGGATCTATCGTCTCATCCACCATCGAGACGGAAAACAACCTCTTTACGTCCTCGGCCTTCTTCTCTAGCCACAGGCGTGTGTAATCGCAGGCCATGACGAAAGCCATGTGCCGCGACGGGTCGGGAAGGCTGGCGCGTGCGTCGTGCAGATTCCGCAGATATATGGTCAACTGCAAGAGCAGCCTCTCGAGCTTGCGGAACGACAGAAGGTACAACCTCTGCCGTAGGTCTACCTCGTCGTCATCCTCCAGCTCGAGCACACCCCACGATAGCCGTGGCTGTAGCCGTAGCCCGAGCGCTAGCGCTTTGTTGGGCTTATTGTTGACGGTGCCGCCCGAGGTGGTGCCGCTGACTGATTTGTGGGGTGACAGCATCGAGTCGTCAGAGCCTGAAGAGTGACTACTGCCGGCGCCGCCCATATCCGCGCCACCCAGAGCTGCCATGTCGCCGGCCGACGAAGACCTGCCGAGGGGTGGCGGGGACTCGGTGGCGAGCATCTCAAACTCGTCAATGACGTAGCCAATGAGGGTGGCGACCGCCATAATGTGGATGGGCTCGGCGTCGTCGCGCGAGCTGTGGGCATGGGCACAGCCCATGGACGTCTCGGACGACACGATGCAGCGCTTCAGCTTGGCGAGCTGCGCATCGAGCGACAGGCGCCGGTCGTCGCCGCCGCCTCGCATCGAGGCCAGCAGCTCCGTCACACCCGCGTGGCAGGTGCACTGATCGCACTCTGGCGACGGAGGCGTTGCCGAACACGACGACGACGACGACTGGCCTGCAGTTGCCATCTGTCGCGCCCAGAAAGTCGCCATGTCTGGAGCGGACCCGCTGTCGCTGCCGTCATTACCGCCGCCGCCGCCGCCGCCAAAGAGGGACGATAGTTCCCAGGGCTTGGAGGCGTACTCGGCGGCGCTCAAGCCTGGCGTTGAGAAGCGGGTCACGGCGGCGCTGAGTGGGTCGGTGAGCGGCCCGCCGCTGTTACCGGTGACGAGACTGTTAAAGTCCAGCAGCAAGCCAGGGCGGTGGACTGGGTCGGTCGGCGCTGGTGGACCTTGGGTGGTGGCGGTGGTGGTGGTGGTGGTGGCGTAAAGGTGGAACTGTGGGGTTGCTGCAACGCCGTTTTGCTGGTGGTGGTGGAGTGGTTGGTGTTGTTGCTGCGAGTGCGGCGTTGACATGAAATGCAGTGGCCCGGTGGTGGGCGACATGCTGTAGTCCATGTCACCCATGTCCCCAAGATCCCCAAGGCCCCCGAGATCTCCAAAGAGGGTTGCATCCTGGGTCCTCCTCCTTGTCGATCGGTCAGGCGACGTGCTACTGTGGGATGGGGTTGCAGTGCCGCTTTTGGGGAACGACAGCCCCCGACGGCGCCAGTTGCTGGTGTTGGGATTGTTGCTGCTGTTGCAGCTATTGTTGTTGTTGTTGCTGCTGCTGTTGCTGCTGTTGCTGCTGTTGCTGCTGTTGCTGCTGTTGCTGCTGTTGCTGCTGTTGCTGCTGTTGCTGCTGTTGCTGCTGCTGCTGTTGTTGTTACTGCTGCTGCTGTTGTTGATGTTGTTGTTGTTGTTTGCGGCGGCCGCATTGGCAGAGGCAGCGGCGGTATCATCAGCGGAAGACGTCGACGGCGAGGCCCTCCGCGGCCGCGACGGCGGTACGGCGATGGGTGGTGCGTCCTTGTGTGTGCGACGGGACAGGCCGTAGACGCTACAGGAGGGAGGTTTGTTTTAGTAGGTACGTACAGTACTCTACCAGCAGGTAGGTGCGTGCTAATTACAACAAAAGTTAATTGAGTTTTGACACCACTCACCAGTCAGCGCCGTTTCTCTCGCATCGTGCACACGTTGGCTTGTGCTGGCTGCAGCGCACTTTGGACTCGTTGCAGGCATTACACGAGGCCCGCAGCCGGATTGTCTTTCCATCCATTGTGTTCGGATTCGGGGTGGATCGGCGGTGATGTCGTCGTGCCTGTACCTGTAAGCACCTGCACTCTAAAGACCATGGCGAGCCCGTGACCCTGGACTGGACTAGGCTGGACTGAAACTGGGACTGACTGGTCGAGTCGTCGTCCGAACTCCGTGGGTTCCGTCGCGTGGCATCGTGACGGTCTTGTACTAAATTAGTCTGAATCGGCCCTGTCCCGCCCGCGCTTACCTTCCACGCCTCTCTAGCTGCGTGGTGGGCTCCGGCGCGCCATGGCATGTCGGTCCGCTAAGCTGCAGGAGGGCAGAGACTCGCTCAGTGAGTGGCTCAAGTTGACATCCATTAGGCTAAGGTTGCCACGTACATATCTTAGGTAATCCGTACATACCGTACCGAGGTGGGCTGTATCGTGCCCAGCCGCCACTAAGCTGCAGCTCAACGTATAAGGTTCGTATGTGCAGGGACACTGACACTGGCTAAGTAACGATCCAGCCCCGCACTCCCGTCATTTGTTGGTTGCGCTCGAAAGCGCGTATCACCGTGCTAATCAGGACTTGCCCGGTTTGCACGGCTTCCATTACCCCGTTCTCGTCCTCCGTCGTGGGTGATTACCCCATCCGACTGCGATTCCGCCCCCCCCCAACCGTGTGCACTCCAGACACTCTCAAGCGCCATGTAATTTCTTACTGCGAGTTAGCAAGGGACTTACCTTACCTACCGTGTACACGTATCTCGAACGGCATAGATGGGATGGGCTTGTCAGTCAGCCCGGACCACTTCACTAGCAGTAAAAGTCCGAGTGGCATCTTCGGCCCTATCCGATCCTCGAGGAAGCTCACCATTGCCGCTAGTGACATACAGCGCCACGTCTAGAACTAGTCACTTCTTTCCTGCCTTTTATAGAAAGGATTATAGGCCCACAGGCGACAGCTGTCGGTTGTCTTCTCTAGGGTATGCTTGTCCCGATAAGCTGACGCCGGGTTGCCAAGTCGGCGTTGTTGCGCCCTGTCTGTGGTTATCTGTGGTATCTTGTGCGGGTCCGACTGTCCTGGTATGTGCAGTGCTCCTGCCTGTGCCTGCATGTCCAAATGTGACGCCAGCGCTTCGCTAGTTGGCGGTGTAAGTACAGGCAAGATGTGGTGGTCAAGGGTTGATTGGATTTGTCGTATCAACTTTCCGCGCCGAGGGGGCGCACTCGGCCCGCTCGTTACGGGGCCCGTCCCGATGCACTGGCCATGCTTTCCTTCCACTTGAGGCTTAGGTTTAGGAATCTTCTAGACCCCCGCCGTTCGTTGCCGGTGCGACTTTGATCCTGGCTGGCAATTGAGTTCGATTTGGAGACAGTGAGATGTTGATGATCCCCGACATGGTCGCAAGAGAGCAAGCTGTTTTAATTAATTAGGTAACGTTCTTCCTGGTCGCTGTTGGCCGTTGTTGGCTAATTAAGGTCCATACCCCTAGTACAGATCTGTTGGCTGCAATTAATTGGAACTATGTGGTATGGACACACACACACCTAATTAGGTAATTAATCATTAGCGGAAGCTGGTGGTTGGAATCGATAACAGTCGTCGGCTCCCGAAAAATGGAGGATAATGACCAACATTTGGGCCCTGATCTTCTCGCGAAAAATGGCCATTTTTCATGGCTTTTCGCCAAAAGCGAGCACCCCAGCCATGCCAAGACAGTGTTTTCCGGGACGCTTTCCCGTTTTTGGCAGCACTTTTCGACTGAAAAATGAGAAGCCGCCCGCCACCCCTGAACCCCCCATGAAGCCAATGTACCGAGCTAATGCAAGCCGTGGTTAACTGCAATAAGCCAGAAAACTGGGCCGTGATGACCGAATACTGCCGTTTTTTTGAGTTTTGGCGAATACTCAAATCCCGCTTTTCGGGGGCCTCTTTTCGCGAAAAATGGCCAAAATTGGCGACAGGGCCCTGTTCCACGCCTGTAAAAAGTAACAAGAATGCGGGTGAGCGCGCGAGGACGTCGTGAAGCTGGCTGGTGATCTGTTTTGTGTAGAGATTTGCTCCCAAATAGAATGACCTTCTAACCGACAAGCCTCCCATGGCGACTTTATTCATTCTGGCAGCTGGACTGGCCAGACTGGAGAGAATGGCCACGACAACGAACACACCATCCAGCGTTGAACAACGAAGGCGGTGAGTCTCCTTGGGCTTGGCAATCTACTCTATTTGCGGCTAGTTGGACTAACCAGGGCCCCATGCAGTACATCTTGGCGTAAACGCTTGCAACAGGGGTTGCAAAGTCACCCCTTTTCGCGAAAAACGGCGAAAACTGGTTCATTTTTCGCGAGAAGATCAGGCCCTTGATGGGTGGGAAAGCGAAAGTGGGGTCCAGTACCAAGACTTCCTTCCCGAAGCACAGCTTACAGGGTGCATATCATTCTCGTAATAATTGTTATATTAGACTACACATGCTGCAAAAGCAGGCGTGCCCATGCTAGATACTTGCATTTCCCGACATGCTCCGGTGCATTGCATGCGTGCATGCATCGCAAGCGATGTCGCCGTGATGGTGATGGATGGCCCCCCACGCACAGGCCAGCGGCTCCCACTTCCGTTCATGATTCAACAGGGGCTCAGTCCTAATTCCATCTCCCGTCTGTCAGACAAGCCTACGCGACGTATGCTACTAATTAGGTAGGTAGGTAGACAGATAGACCTAGGTAAGTAATTACGTAGATCACGGTCACTTGGTCGATCGACCCCAGACTGATTAGATCCCCAAGCTAATTAGACCCCCAAGCTGATTTGATACCCAGACTGCCCTGATTAGTTCCAGGTAGGAGATTGGCGGCAGGTGAGCGCTGACATGCATCGACATCGGACTCTGGAAACGCCGACGGCCAGGGTAAATTATCGAAGAGCACCGCATGTGATTAATGCCTGGTGCCCAGTTGGCGCAGGATTGGCGACCTGTGCAGTTCGGGAAGCTTAACCTTGGCCTGGTTCTGTCTGGGCGATTCTCAATGGAAAGACACGTGCAATAATGGCCCTCCATAAGCAGTAAGCACATCGGACTTCGGCGCGCCTGGGTCCGCGCCTGGCTTACCCATTGATCCGTCCGAGATCCACCGGTGAGTTCTGGGGTTCGATTTCCGTCTTTGGATTCGAACTCCTCTCTCTATGAAGGAATGTATAATAAAAGACAACTGCCCAAGAAGTAATTATCAGGAAATACATGGTGGAAAGGGGGTGGCCCAGTGAGGTGGGAGTGTGATATAATTACATGAAACATCTTCACTCTTTTCCGTCTGCTCTTGAAACCGTCACAAAATAACCAGATCCCAAAATCTCGTCTGTTCGGCCAGGGACCGGGTCCCAGAGCCCTTGTTGCAAGTCCCACCCAGAAGAAGACGCAAGATCCAGGCGGGAGATGGACTGCCGACTATTGGTTTGCCTGTGCCTGTCATACAAAAACTGCCGTCCCAGGTAACTTCTTTACATATTACATAAGTAGTAATACGCGTGCAGTGGCAAGGTACAGAATTCTTGTGCATGAGGTAGGTGGTATTGCGCCACGTACCTGGTTGATGATCATATCCATTTTGACTCTCGCAAAATTGGCATGGCGGCGTCAATGTGAAGGTGAAGGTCGCACGGCATAATATGTGGGGGGGCAAACTCATCACTAGCCTAGTTAGGAAAGGTAGCGGATGACCCCGCGTTCTGAACGGGGTTACATCGCTGTCCTGGAACGGAACAAATACGTTTACCTACTACAGACCGGGCTGCCACAAACATTCGCATCAGTCTAAAGGTTAACGGCAGAATCGATCACTTGACCGGAAAAGTCTAGCAGGCGGGTTCCACGACAGTCGGTCGGTAAAAACCAGTGGTGACTAATATCGCAAATCAAGACTCCGAATAGCTTGCGTGGTATCTAATCAGAAGGGAAGAACAAGAGGCAATAACGAAGTGCAGAGGCACACAAAAACAGACGCAATGACGTGGCGTGGCGAGACTCCCCCTCTGCGCCAACACGGCCCAACTGATCTACGGAACAAGACCCGGAGGACTGCTGGGTCCAACGGTAATCCAAGTATGTGTGGTGGGGGCGAGGATCTCAGCTCAGAATGATGGGATCCTTCCCATCCCACTCGCTTCCTTCGGCAGCATCCAGAGCAAACTTGGCCACAGCTCCTCTGGAGCACTTGCCAAGCATGCCAATCGAACCTTTTTCGGCAGACCACACCCTAGGCGAAGAGCCGACATCATCGGTAAGACGCGCAGGTCGTAGCACGACCCAGCCGACGCCCTCGCCGGCGGCTTTGAGCTCGTCCTCGACGGCGGCGTGGTCATCGTACGTGAGCTTGACGTTTGTGCGCGAGATCAAGGTGCGCAGCAGCCACGGCGCATTGGCCGTCGACACGCCGACACCAATGGCCGAGACATGGATCACCTTGGGCTTGGGGAAGGCGCCCGCACTCTCAGCCTGCGACTTGAGCGCAGACAGCACATTGGCGACGCTGTCGGCCATCATGCGCGGCGGCGAGTCGGTAGGGTGCGGCGGCGCCCAGGGGCTCTCCGATGTGCGGCGCGAGTTGAGTGCCGATATTACCACGAGCTGCGTGTTTGCTTTGGATGCCGTGTTGACGGCGTTGGACACGTCCGAGGTGTCGAGGGGCGACCCACGGACGACAGTCAGATTGGCCTTCTGCGCGTCAGGCAGTGCCGAAGTGACAGTGTCGAGGGCAGGGGGTGTGCGAACGAGCGCCGTGACGCTGTGGCCACGCCTCAGCGCCTCGAGTAGCACCAGGCTGCCGGTGCGGCCGGTTGCGCCAAGGATGAGGATTTGCATTTCCGAAAGGTGGAAGGAAAAAAGTAAGAGAATGTGGTATGTGGCGTGTGGTGTGTTCGAAAGAGAAAGCAAGTGTGGTCACCGTGGTGTGGTTTGAGGCTTGGGATCACCAATGGTTGTGCGAGATTCCTCTTTCTGGGCGAGGCGGACCAGTTGATGAGTCCAGTCTTATCTTGAGGGATGGGTGAGTACCAGCGCGAGTGAGTGGAGTAAAAGAGGCTGCATCTGTCCCTATTTTTCTAGGTAGGGGATATATACCTACATTGGCGAGTTGCGGGTCAGACGCGCGCTTTCCCGGCCTTTTACTCATGCACGGCTGCACGTAATCGCCTTGGTTGGGCTGGTGCTTAGAAATACCCTTATTCTCGGAGACTTTCAAAAATCTCCGGGAAGCTTACCTCATTCCAGTGAGCGAATCGGGGATCGGTCGGCCGAATCTGGCTTAGCAGTGCCACCACGGGCCAGCCCGTGCCTTGTGGCGCATTGTGGGTGAGCCAAGCCCTTTCTCCGATTAGGTTGGGCCTTCCCCAGCAAATCAGACCAGTCGTTCCCAATGTGGCGTCGTGTTGGCTGCTTATGAATTTTTGCTCGGAGACATTTGAGCCAATGTCAGTGCAGGGCTCCGAAGTCGGAAACACTGCTGCAAGGCCGAATCAGGCAAAACAGAAAATTACTTACGGACCGGAGTTTGTCCAGCTCTGGGAATTAGAGTCCTCGGATGTGTTTTAACTCGTACGACGGGCTGCGTGACGCGTTGCTGACGGATGACATACCATGACCAATTTAACCAAACCAAGAGCGGGAAACAGTTGGAGCGAGAAAAAAAACCCCCCCTCCAAAGAGGAAGAAGAGGTGGGTGCCGTAATATTCCATTCCGGTATTCATTTTGGTATCCGTTTTGGATAAGCGGATTCCTGGCGGCCGCTGTGGTTACCTCATGTGTTGATTGAGGCGTTGTGAGACGGGCTGGACGCTAATCGTGTCACCGGTAGCTTGGGACGGCTGCCATGCAGCCCAGTTTGTTTGTTACCGGCCCGCTGGATGAAACTTTATTTCTCACGCATGATTAAGACTGGGGGCTGGCTGGTTCCCTCCATTTGGTAGTCTCGCCGGCGAGCATACCTTAGGTAGGTTGGTTGACAGACATGGTTAAGGTTGTATGGCGTGCATGGCAGTGGGTACGGCCATGTTGGGGGAAGAAAAAGAGAACACCTGGGCCGTGATATCACATCGATTGCTAGGGAAAAGGGGGAGAAAGATTCATAGCCTGTTGTGGTGCTGGGGGTAATTGACCCGCACCTGCAGTTTCCAAGCCATGTAAGTTTGCCCTTCAAGAGAGAGAGAGTGTAATAGAGAGCAAAGCTGGGAGGACTCCGTGAACATATGATCTTGGGAACTTGGTTGTTGATCACGAACAACGGTCACCGAGCTACCCAATATCTAAACTGGGTACCTACAAAAAGAATTCAATGATGCCTGCGTACCTTATCTAATTACTACATCTTCTTGGTCCTCTAGAGTTCGAGCGGGGTGGGCCTAATTCGCACCACTTGCGGGTTAGGATCATGGGGACGGGAAGGAAATGCGGGCAAGTGTCGGAACACCAGAATTAAAGCCAAGCTTGGCTTCTTTTCACAACAAACCAACTCGGGAACGACCGAGAGTGAGTGCGTCACAACAAAATGCAGCCTGTCGAAAGTGGGTCAATTACGGCTTCCGACAGCGCCTTTGTGGTAATTAGTGGTAATTATTGCTGTTACAGCCCGGATTCTAAACGAATCCGTGCCGTTGGGTCAGGGTTTCACTCTGTTGAGTTGTAGTGGGCTCAAAGACCCCACTGCTCCCGGGTACCAACAACACGGAATAGTTGAAGGAAGGAGTGGCCTTGGATTAATTAGCTCGGTTGGTCATGTGGCCACTACTAATCGAGACACGCATATGGACAATAAAGGGTGTACGCGAGCCCTTTGACATATTTACACAAGGTGCCTATGTAGTAGGTTCAATTACCAAGTACTGCCCTAGCTTACAAACTGAATCAACCGTGCACCGTCATGGAATGTATGACCGCTGCCCTGGGCCTTGATGCAAGCCCAGTTTTACTTGGTTGCCTTTCCTATGGCAGTTACAACAGATACACGAATGAGGTATGAACTGTTTCACTCTCACCACCTGCGCACTACCTGCTCACCACCTGAGACCGGCTACTAATAGGGCCAATTGGGCTACACTGAAGCTCAAGCAATGCTTCTCTTATTTACAGTTTCTATAGATCTGGGGTCTAAAAGAGATGCAATAATTGATCACAGGCCGTTCTCTAATCAGCCATGTCTAACCGGGAAATAAAAGGAAATAGCAAATAGCAAATAGCAAATAGCATATAGGAAAAATGACACCACCAACGAATAAATCCCGCTCATAACTTATTTCGCGTATTCTCGTGGCTAATCTCACTCGGATCCGGCCACCAGCTTGCTCTTCTCGGCAATCTTGACGGCAAACGCAGCCATGGGCACGGCGGCTAGGATCTCCAGTAGGGCCATGTTGGCCTTCAGCTCCTTGGTGATCCAGTTCCTGACCTCGAGGGCGACGAGCGAGTCGACGCCGTAGCGGTACATGGGCCGGCCCGGGTCGACCTCGGACGCGGGGATCTGCAACATGTCGGCGATCTTGCGCACCAGCGCGTCGAGGATGACCTCGCCGGCCTTGTCGATGCCGCCTGCCTCGGCGAGCCGCGACGCCAGCGACGCGCCCCCTGCTCCCGCCGCCCCGTCGCCGCCCGCCGCCTGCTTCGCGGCTACGCTCGTCACGGCCAGCGGGCCCAGCCGCGGGTCGGTAAAGTAGTAGGGCAGCGGCAGGCCGTGGGCAGCAATGGCATCGGCCGACCCCAGACCTGTGCACACCTGGGCGGGGCACGAGCCGGCGGCCTGGCGCAGGATCAGGCTCTTGACGAGGGCGTGGAAGGCGGGCTCGCGAATACCGATAACGTGCTCCCACTGCGACAGGTTGTTGCCGACGACACCAGTCGACTCGGCAATGGCACCGACGTCGCGCATGATACCCAGGTTGACGGCGACGGCCCTCAGCCCGCGCGCCCGCCGGTGCTGCGCCAGCGCGTCCTGGAACGTGTTGCCCGCCGCGTACTGCGCCTGCCCGGCGTTGCCGCACACGCCCGACACGGACGAGCACGCGATGAAGAAGTCGACCGGCCTGTCCTCGCCAAAGTACTGGTCTAGGTTGCGCGTGCCCTGCACCTTGGGCCGCATCCCCGCCGCCCAGTCGCCGTGCCCCATCTTCTCGAGCACGCCGTCGCGCAGCACCATGGCCATCTGCACCACGCCGCGCACCGGCGGCAGCTCACGCTCGCACTGCGCCATGGCGGCCCGGAACGACGCCTCGTCGGCGACATCCCCGCGGAGCGCCCGCACCGTGACCGCCCCGCCCGCCGCCGCCGACAGCTCGTCGACCGTCTGGCGGGCCTCGGGGCTGCCGTCGGCGCCAGACCGCGACAGGAAGGCGACGTGGCGGGCGCCGCAGGCCACAAACTCGCGCGCCAGGCTGCGGCCCAGCCCGCCCAGCCCGCCGACGATCAGGTACGTGGCGGCCGGGTCGAGGGCCAGGGCGTCGCGCGCCCGCCGGTGCACCTTGGCCTCGGCGCCGTCGCCGTACGACAGCGCTAGCTTGCCGCGGTGCTTGCCGCGCTGCATGGTGCGGAACGCCGCCTCGAGCTCGCCGACGGGGTACGCCGTCAGCGGGCTCGGCGCGTACAGCACGCCGCGGTGCACCAGGTCGAACGTGTCCTGCAGGATGCGGCTGGCAACGTCCTTGTGGTCGTCGAAGAAGTTGGTTAGGTTGATAAAGGCAAACGTGGTGCACTTGATGAAGGGCCGCATGTCGAGGCGCATGTTGTCGGTGATGTCACGCAGGCCGATCTCGACAAAGGTGCCGAACATGGCCACGCACTCCCAGCTGGCGCGCAGCAGCTCGCCCGACAGCGAGTTGAGCACGCAGTCGACGCCGCGGCCAGCCGTGACGCGCTTGACGGCCTTGGCGAAGCTGGCGTCGCGCGAGTTGAAGATGTGGCCGGCCGGCACGCCGTACTTGTCCATGACCAGGGCGCGCTTGTCGTCGCTGCCCACCGTGACGTAGGTGACGAGGCCGAGGTGGCGGGCCAGCTGCAGCGCCGCCTGGCCGACGCCGCCGGCCGCCGCGTGGATCAGCACCGACTGGCCCGGCTGCAGCTTGGCCACGTTGACGAGCGCGTGGTACGCCGTCGCGTGCACCGTCGGCAGCACGGCCGCCTCCTCGAACGACATGGCGTCGGGGATCTTGACCGCCAGCCGGTGGTCGCTGCGCAGTCGCGTCGCGTGCATGCCCTCGCCCGACACGACGACGCGGTCGCCGACCTGGAACCGGCCCGACGCCTCGGCGCCCGTGGCCACGACGGTGCCGCTCGCTTCGTGGCCGATGAGCGACACCTCGACCAGGCCCATGGACGCCATGACGTCCTTGAAGCTGTGGTTGCAGCGTATTAGCATTTGACCCTTGCTGCAATTAGGGACTTGTGGAAAATCATCAGGGACTTACTTGACACCCGTCGCCCTTACGTCGACCTCGATCTCCATGTCCCCGAGCGGCACATCAAAGCGCTCGTCGTGGATAAAGGCCAGCGAATCCAGCAGGCCGGGCTTGCCAATGGTGAGGCGGAGGGCCTCGGCGGGCGCGTCCTCGCTCTTGAGGGGCTGGACGCGGACCGAGTCCTCGAGGCAGTAGCGCACCGCCTCGTCGCCCGCAGCGCTGCTGTAGAAGCGGCTAACCTTAGGCAGGCCGTCGTGCTCGCGGAACTCGTCGTCCTTGGTGTCAGCCGTGGCGAGGCGGGCGGCGAGCGACGGCCCGCGCTGCTGCGACGCATCGGGTGGGCTGAGCAGGTGCAGGACCTGGAACTTGAGGCTCGCATTCTCGTTTCTGGCCGTGCGCGAGAGGCCGTCGACTACGGCCATGGACGGGTTGTGGGTGCCCGTGATCCAGAGCAGGCGCTCGCTGTTGGAGATGAGCTGCTTGACCTTGTCAAAGTCGGGTTCCGAGAGGTCGTCTAGCAGCGGCGTCTCGAGCTCGACGAGCGAGATGAACGTCTTGCCCTCGGCCTCGTCGGCGCTCTGGATGCCGAGGTCGGGCCACGCTGCGGACACGACTGACTTGGGGGACTTTTCTTTCTCGAGGGCGTTTTGCAGGGCGCCAGAGAAGGATGCGACGGCGTTGGAGGGGGCCGACGGCTCGATGATGACAAACTCGCGCTTGCTTGGGGCGGCGCCATTGACACCGTTGGCATGCTGTTGCGGCTGCTGCTTGTACAACGCAGCGCCCTCGACGGCAAACACAGCGTAGAATCCCTTGGCTTCTAGAACAGCTGCGGCGGCTACGCTGTCGGCGGCGAGGATGACAGCGGCATCTGGCTTGCCGAGACCAACCAGGCTCGTCAAGACCGTGCCCAAGCCGTCGGCAGCGCCGACAGACTGGGGAATGACGAGCACGTCGGCAGCGGTGATTTCGGCGGGCAGCGGCTCGTCAGCGGCGCCCAGCGAGAAGACGTCCCCAAACAGGGACGACTTGTCCTGGTCCGCGCCGACGGCTGCGGCCACGGCATACTTGACCCGGCTGGGCAGAATGGTGCCCTTGGGCAGCCGCGGCACCGTGGCCTGCGAAAGCGCCCCGCTGTCCGAGGCGAGCTCGATGACGGTGGCGGCGGGGTTGTCGTGAATGAGCATGTGGAGGAGCTGGGCACGTGTTACTTGTCGTTGTTTGTTTCCATGGGGAAAGGGGGAGAGAAATAGTGGGGAAAGAGGGAAGGGGAAAGAGGGAAGGGGAAAGAGGGAAGGGGAAAGAGAGAAGGGGAAAGAGGGGAAGACAAATGAAAAGGAGCACAAATAAACACGAAACAAACGCACCTCGACAGCCCTGTCGCCCTGGGCAAGCTTGGCCACGACGGCGGCAATCTCGGCCGGCTCCATGACGCCGAGCGCGTAGTTCCAGCGCACCTCGGAGGTGATCTCTGCCGGGTCGACCTCGAGGCGGTCGTCGTCCTGCTTGTCGTCGTTGCCGAGCTCGGTGAGGCGGAAGTCGGTCATGGACAGAAAGGTGCGCGACACGGCGCCGTCGAACGACACAATGTCGGACGACAAAGCGTTGAAGCCGAGCTTGCGCGACACGCACGACGTCGGCAGCACGTAGCCGACCGTGTCGGGCATGTCGAGCGAGATATCGAGCTCGCCGATGTAGGTCGGCAGCAGCGGCTTGTCCTGGCAGAAGGCGCCGTTGCGGTAGGTGCCGCCGAGAGCGCCGTGGATGATGGCGTCGAGGGCGGCGCCGTGGACCAGGAACGGCCGCTCGAGCCCGCGGCTGTACGTCTCGCCAATGTCGGCGAGCTTGACGTCGTAGGCCGTCTGGCCGTCGCCGAGGTGGACCTTCTCGACGCCCTGGAACAACTCGCCGTAGTTCCATGAGATGCGGGCGCACTGGGCGTAGAAGTCGGCCTTGGCCAGCACGTCGGGGCACTCGGCGACGATGCGGCGGTAGTCGGCGACGCGGGCAGCCTCGAGCAGCGCATTCTCGCGGGCCATCTGCGGGCTCGTCGACTCCTTGTACTCGAGCGCCACTAGGCCGCGGCAGTTGTCGCGCAGCTGGTCGACGCCGACGCACGAAGAGATGGTAAACTCCCACCAGGCGGCCGACGAAGAGCCCGAGGTGGCGACGAGGTGGGGCCGCAGCGTGGTGATGACCTCGGTGGCGGCGTCCTCGGGCAGGGCCATGGCGGCGAAGAAGGACACCTCGCGCAGGCGCAGGGCACGCAGCGTCTTCTCGGGCTCGGCCAGCTGCTGCGCGGCGGCGAGGGCCATGCTGACCATGCCGGCGGCGGGGAGCAGCACGGTGGAGCCGATGGTATGACCGCGAATCCACGGCTCGTCGGCCAGTCGGATGAAGCCGCGCCACACGTGCTGGGTCTCGTCCATCATGGCGCTCTTGGCACCGAGCAGGCTGCGGCTGGGGAAGCGCCGCGTCATGAGCTCGCGCTGGATGCGTGTCTCGTGCTTGAACGCCTTGGCGTGGTTCCACTGGTACGGCGGCAGGTCCGTCAGCACCTGCGTGCGCACCTCGCCGTCGCCGTTGACCTGCGCCACGTCGACCGGCACGCCCGCCAGCACCAGCTTGGCCGCCAGCTGCAGGCTCGTCTGGCGCGCGTCCTTGCCGCGGGTCAGCATCGACTCGTAGCCCACCCCCTGGATGCCGTGGTGGCTGAGGATCTGCTCGACAGGCCCGCCGAGGGCGCCGTGCGGGCCCACCTCGATCAGGAGGTCGACCGTGGTCCCCTCTTCCTGGTCCTCGCCGTCGTCGTCAGGGGCAACCAGCTCCTTGACCGCGTCGGAGAACAGCACGGGCGACACCAGGTTGCGCACCCAGTAGTAGGGCCCCAGCGCCTCGGGGCTGATCTCGAAGCCCGTCACGCTCGACACCATGGTTCCCTGGCTGCTGTGGCCCGACTCGGAGTCGCTGTCGTCGTCGTCGTCGTCGTCGCCGTCGTCGTCGCCGTCGTCGGGCGAGGGCAGGGGCTCGATGTCGGCGATGGTGGAGAGGTAGTAGTCCATGACGCGGTTCATGTGGGTGCTGTGGTAGGCCATCTCGACCTTGAGGCGGCGCGCAAACACCTTGCGCTCGTCGAGCACGGCGCGCAGCTGCTCGAGCGAGTCGACGTCGCCCGACAGCGTCACACTCGACGGCGAGTTGACGCAGGCCACCGTGGCCCGGCCGCTGCTGCCGCTGCCGCCTTCAAACCGCTGCGCGATCAGTGCGTCGGCGTCCTCGCGCGAGCAGCCCACGGCCATCATGCCGAGCCGCAGGTCCGGCGACTCGGCGCGCAGCTTGGTGGCGGCCTGGCCGCGGAAGTAGGCGGCGGCGATGGCGTCGCGGTGGCTTAGGGCGCCGATGCTGTAGGCGGCGGCGATCTCGCCGCTCGAGTGGCCGACGACGCGCGACGGCGTCACGCCCCAGGCGCGCAGCTCGTCGACCAGCGCGATCTGCAGCACCGAGCAGATGGGCTGGCTGATCTCGGGCTGGCTGAGCCGCGACCCGTCCTGCTGGCTCTTCAGCAGCTCGGCCACGGGGTCCCACGTGCACCCCATGTCGCCGAGGAACCGCGCCGACTTGGCCACCGACGCCCCGAACACGGGCCGGTCCAGCATCTCAATGCCCATGCGCGCCCACTGCGCGCCCTGGCCCGTGAACACGAAGCCGAGCCGCTTCTTGCCCTCGCCCGAGCTGGCGTCGCGCGACGCTCCCTCGCCGGCGCGCGTTGTCAGGTAGTCGCGCAGCTCCGTCGTGCTGTCGGCGACGCAGGTGGCCTTCCACGAGAGGCGGGACCGCCCCCCCGAGAGGGTGCGGGCCAGGTTGGCCAGGTATTCGGGGCTCGACGTGGCCGGTCCGAGGCGGTCCAGGTGCTCGACCAGCGCCGCAGCGTTGCGCTTGAAGCCGGCCTGGTCGTGGCTGCTGAAGGTGAAGAGACGAGTCTTGCTGTGCGGCTTGGCTAGGGCATGGCTGGCTCTGTTGAGCAGCTTCAGGTTGGCGGTGCTGTTGGCGGTGCTGTTGGCGGTGCTGTTGGCGTTGGCGGTGGCGTTGGCGTTGGCGTTGACCGTAGGAGATGGGTTAAAGGCTTCGAGCACCACGTGCCCGTTTGTGCCGCCCATGCCGAAGCCGTTGATGCTGGCGCGCTTGACATGTGCCACGGGCCATGGGGTCAACTCGGTGGGCACGGCCATGTTCCACTGGTCAAAGGGAATGGCCGGGTTGGGCTTGTTGAAGCGGATGTTGGGCGGGATCAGGCCGTGCTCCAGCGCCAGCACGCTCTTGATTATGGATGCCACGCCGGCTGCGGGCTCGAGATGGCCAATCTGGTCATTCTTGTTAACGGAAAGAAGAAAAAAAGGAAAGGAAAAGGAAAAAAAAAAAAAAGAAAAGGAAAATAGAAAAGGAAAAAGAGAAAAAGGAAACAAGCTTACATTGGGCTTGAGGCTGCCCATCCACAGCTTCCCCTTTCTCGACCCGCCCTTGCCAATGGTCGAGTAAATGGCCTCGGCCTCGATTGGATCGCCGGCCTTGGTGCCGGTGCCGTGCGCCTCAACGTATTGGGTCGAGCTAAAGTCGAGCCCGTGCGACTCGTAGACGTGCCTGATCAGGGCGGCCTGCGCCTCGAGAGACGGCATTGTCACTGCAGACTGGTCAGTGGACCTCTTCTCCCTCTTTGTGTCATGGTGAATGGATAAAGAGGAGAGCTTCTTACCGCCCTGCGTGTAGCCGTCCGAGTTGGCGCCCGTGGCTCGTATCACGGCGCGGATGTTGTCGCCGTCCGCGAGGGCCTTGTCGAGCCGCTTCAGCACGATGATGCCGCAGCCCTCGCCGCGGCCGTAGCCGCCCGCGCTCTCGTCAAAGGCCCTCGACTGTCCGGCGGGGTTGAGGAAGGACAGGTTTGCGAGGTGCTGGTCAATCAGTCAGTCAGACGTGTTTTAAATAGCTAGACTAGACACTGGTCCAATTCACCGTGGTAAAGTCGGGCGTCAGCATAAGGCCGACGCCGCCCGTGATGGCCATGTCGGCCTCGCCCGACTTGATGCTTTGGACGGCCAGGTGGGTGGCCATGAGGCTCGACGAGCAGGCCGTCGCCACGGTTGCGCTGGGGCCGTGGATGTTGAGAAAGTGCGAGATGCGGTTCGAGATCATCTCCTCGCCCGTGCCGAGTAGGTGGTACTTTGGGTTCTGCATAAAGTCGCGGATGACAGAGTCGCGGTAGTCGCTGACGGCGGATCCGATGTAGCACGTCGTCTGCGTGCCCCAGACGTCCTGCAGGCCGAGGTTGGCGTTCTCGAGCGCCTCGTACGTCACCTCCATGGCGATGCGCTGCTTGGGGTCCAGCGCCATGGCCTCGGCCGCTGTTATGTTGAAGAAGGCCGCATCGTAGACGTAGGGGTCCTCCTTGAGGAAGTGCCCGCCCTTGGTGGGGATGACGTTGGTGCGCGTCTTGTCTGGGTGGTAGAAGGCGTCCGAGTTCCACCTGCTCGACGTGGGGGAGTATGCGTCTGGTGGGTCGGTGTCAGCGGCCAGACCTAGGCCAGGAGTCCTCAACGATTTCAATTAGGGGTACTTACCTCTGCCCTCCTTGAGCATGTCCCAGAACTTGGACGGGGTGCTGGCGTCGCCGGGGAACCGGCAGGCCAGACCTACGACGGCGATGGGGGTGTCGTTGGCCATGGTTGCGGACGGCATTGTGATGGCAGGTATGTGGCAGTCTCTCTCTCTCTCTCTCTCACTCGCTCAATCATTCGTCCACTCGCTTAGTCACTCCTTGGACTGTAAGCAATGAATGGCGTGTTTGACGAGACAAGATAGGACAGGACTGGGCTGCACGATAGATGGGTCAAGCAAGGTCAAAGGGGGGGAAGGGTTGGGGAGGTAATTATTTGTCAAAGAAGGGCCGGCTGCTGGGTTCTGTCTCTGTCCACAGGTCCGTCTTGAGCGGGCATCTGGCCTTTGATCTAGTTTCAGTCACGACAAGCAACATGTGGCTGACTCTGACTCCGAGTCTGCTACCTGGTGCTATGGGGCTCTGTGAAGGCCGAGATATAGGCAGGCCTGCACTGTCCTTCAGCGGTGTTGTGCCCGTGGCGAGCACGACATGGTCCTCCTTCCGGGATGGGACACGGCATGCCCCTTCCGGGCTGTGCCGGCGGGCGGGGGGATCGTATCAGCCATCCCGTCAGCATCCCCGACGAGCGGAGAAGGGTTCGGGCACGCCCCTGTTGTGGGTTGTTTGGTTTGTTGTTGTTGTCTATGGCACGGCCCAACCGAGAGCCGAGAGCCGACAGCCTACAGCCTCCCCTCCCCTCCCTCAAGCATCGACAACTCCGGGTGGGCCCCCTGGTAACAGGTGCTTAGCAGCAGGATTCGTCGGTGCGACTGGCTAGGTAGATTACCGGCTGCAGTTGTGCTACCAGGTCAAAGGCAGGGTGCTTATCTCGCCAATTTTTTTTTTCCTCTGGCGCTGACTGCAAGGCGCTCACATGCATGATGCATTCTCGCCTAATTCATTAACCTATCACTCTTATCACTCTTTAAAGGAGACCCCGAGACCAGTCAGTCAGTGACTGACTGTGCAGTATGCAGTATGCAGTGTGCAGTGTGCAGTGTGCAGTGTGCAGTGTGCAGTGTTGCACTTGCAGGTCCCGGTGTTTTTGCGGCGGTATATTTAATATGGATAAGGTAGAAAACGTGGTCGCGAATTATCCGTGGCCTGCACAGTGCACGGTACTGCACTGCAGGGTAGGTTTGCAGGCGACTGCATTTAGAATGAATGGATGCACTGTGGGTGGTGCATGATCCCAAATAAGCTTATGTCTGTTCGCTGCGGCCCTTCGCCCCTGTGCCCCAGCCGCGCTTCGAGACATTCCCGTCGGGGATCCTATGCGGGCAGCACACATCGGCAAACTCCAAAAGGCATCGGCCTATCGGGAAACGGCGGCGGAGATAGGCGACGTTTTGGGTAGCCACAACACACCAATCAGGAAGCTAGACCCGAATACCCGGTATCGTCCCTTGCTCACTCACGAGTCGAATCCAGCTACACGTTACCCGGGAGCCTGGAGATAAGAGTTGGGGGCCATATTGAGGAACTTACCCAAATAATCAAGACAGGCGTCCAATGAGACGAATCTGGAGAGAAGAGACGAGAAAAACGGGTTGCACGTGTGCGTCGACGATGGCTGGCACGGGCTGGACAGAAGGCGGGCCCGAGTCGAACATTGTCCCTACACCAGTGCACATGGACATAATAACCGCAAAGGGCGCGCCCAAACACTATTTCGAGCTCATATCTCCCCGTCCCTCCGTAATTCCCATACCTACTTGACTATCTACCTAGACCGGTAGACCAGACCTGGCCTGTTCTTATCCCTCCCTATTCAACTGTCCCAGGTTCTTTCTTTCTTCCACCGCCCTCCTATTCCTAGTTAGAGTCTATAACTTGGGTCCGGAGTCAGGTCAAGAGCTAGAGACAGAGACAAGAACTAGAGCCTAGACATAGACTAGAGGCTGTTGCTGAAGAGCCATGCATCGCACTCTTCCCTCCTCCCTTTCATCCTCCACACCCGCAGCAACATCAACACCATCACCAGCACCAACACCAACTCCAACACCAGCAATGGGTCCAACACATCCCACCGTCCTCCTCTTTGGGGATGTCACAGACGGCTGGGTTAGTGGCATGGACTATGTCTCTGACAAGGCCGTCACAACGCCATGGCTGCGGTTCTTCCTGGCGGACCTCTTCTCCGCCTTCAGGACCGAGGTGAAAGCCATGGACCGCTTCTTGCGTGACAGCTTCGGCGCTTGCTCTAACTTCCAGGAGCTGGCGCAGAAATACCGCCACTCGGGCGACGAGGTCGGCATGGTGCACGCCATGCTCCTCTACGCCGTGAGGGCCTCCATGTTGTTAGAGTGCGTTTTGTTCCTGGCTCTTATTCGCAATTTTACAGTTACCTTGCTGACAGCTGACCGGTCCAGGACGGCCAACCGCGAACCGCTGCTGCTCAACCCGGGCGAGGGCAGGCCCGAGACGCACCTCATGGGTATCTCTGGCGGTTTATGGAATGCCGTTGCCGTGCCGACGGCTGCCAACTTTGCCAGCCTGTACGAGTCGTGCCTCGAGACGGCCCGTGTCTACGCCCGGCTCTGCAACCTCACCCTGGTCCGGTCGAGGGCCATGGAGGACCGCCCTGGCGTGTGGGGCTGGGCCGTCGTGACCGTCGACATGACGACGGCCGAGCTCGACAAGACGCTGGAACGCTTTCAGACCGCCATAGTGAGTGATTAATCTTCCTCGCTCGATTAGGGGTCATGATGACCATGACTAGATTATACTGACAGAAAACAACAGGGCGTCCCCTCGTCCAAGAGAGTCAAGATTGCCATCTCGGGAGACCGGTGGAGCACCATCATCGGGCCGCCGTCGGTCCTGGAGCTTGTCTTCAGCCAGTGCTCGGAGCTGAAGCGGCTCCCGCGCAACGAGCTGACGGGCATCCGCGCCATGCAGCACACGCTCGACGTGGCCGAGGCCGACATCGACTACGTCGTCGGCAGCTCGCCGCTGCTGGCCACGCCCCTCCGCCCGGGCTACAAGGTCTGGGGCATGGCCGGCGACGACGCCAACGCCGTCTACTCGAGCTGGGGTCACCTGCTGCGCGTGGCTGCCGTGCAGACGCTGTCGCAGCGGCTGGACGTGGTGCAGACGGCGGGCAAGCTGAGCGCCCACCTCGGCACGGCACGCCACATGGACGTCCACATCATGGGACCCAGCGGCCACGTGGCCTACCTTGTCAACGTGCTCAAGGCGGGCCCTAGCGGTGCCCTGACGAGGAATGTGTCGGTCTACGACGACCTGGTGGCTGCCCAGTCTCAGTCACCGAGTGAGGGCTCGGGCTCGGGCTCGGGCTCGGGCAGCGGTGGCATCCGAGAGGGTGCCATCGCCGTCGTGGGCATGTCGGGCAAGGGCCCCGGCAGCGAGAACCTAGAGGAATTTTGGAACGTCATCGCCACGGGCCAGGACTGCCACGAGGAGATCCCGGCCGACCGCTTCGACCTGGGCGAGTACTTCTGCGCCAAGCACGGGCCGGGCGGCCCCGGCAAGTGCACCATGACGTGCCGGCACGGGTGCTTCATCAAGAAGCCGGGCCACTTCGACGCGCGCTTCTTCCATATCTCGCCGCGCGAGGCGCTGCTGATGGACCCGGGCCACCGGCTGTTCCTGATGAACGCGTACGAGGCGCTCGAGACGGCCGGGTACTCGGCCGGGCAGACGCGGTCGACGGACCCCAACAAGATGGCCGTCTTTTTCGGGCAGAGCGCCGACGACTGGCACAAGGTCAGCCACGCGGCGCTGGGCTGCGACGCCTACACCATGCAGAGCATCCAGCGCGCCTTTGGCCCGGGCCGCCTGGCCTTCGCCATGAAGTGGGAAGGCCCGACGTACGCCCTCGACTCGGCCTGCGCTGGCGCCACGTCGTGCATCCATCTGGCCTGCATGAGCCTGCTCTCGCGCGACGTCGACATGGCCGTCGCCGGCGCCACCAACGTGCTGTCGGACCCCCACTCCTTCACCATCCTCAGCAAGGCCGGCGTGCTGTCCGAGACGGGCAACTGCAAGACGTACCGCGACGATGCCGACGGCTACTGCCGCGCCGACTTTAGCGGCGCCGTCGTGCTGAAGCGGCTCGAGGACGCCGTGGCCCACAACGACAAGGTCCTGGCCGTCATCGCCGCCTCGGCCCGGAACCACTCGGGCAACTCGACGTCCATCACCACGTCCGACGCCAACGCGCAGGAGCGCCTGTTCAACAAGGTGCTGCGCAACGCCCGGCTGGGCCCCGACGACGTGTCGTATGTCGAGATGCACGGCACGGGCACCCAGGTCGGCGACAAGGCCGAGATGGGGGCTGTCTCCAAGGTCTTTTCGCCACGGCCCGCCGGGCAGCCGCTGCTGGTGGGCGCCATCAAGGGGAACATCGGGCACAGTGAATCTGTGAGTACAAGTCTGCAGCTGCAAAATTGACGAGCTATTGCTGACCACCACAGGCTGCCGGAATGTCGTCGGTGCTCAAGAGCATCCTCATGCTCCAGAAGGGCGTCCTCCCTCCGCAGGCGGGCATGCCGCACAGCATGAACCCCAACGTGCTCAAGTTCCTGCAGGACGGCAGCAGCATCGTCATTCCCACCGAGGCAGCCGAGTTCAAGGGCGTTGCTGGCAAGCTGAAGCGCATCCTCGTCAACAATTTCGATGCGGCGGCACGTTGTTTACTTACCCCCATTTCCCCTTTCCCCTTTCCCCTTTCCCCTTTCCCCTTTGCCCTTTGCCCTTTGCCCTTTCCCCTTTCCCCTTTCCCCCCATTCCACTTTCCCCCCCATTCCACTTTCCACCCATTTCACCTTCCCCCCCATTCTACTTTCTACCCATTTCACTTTCCCCCCAATATTAGGGCCACAAGCTAACTTAAATAATCAATCCAGGGCGGCAACGCATGCGTCATCCTCGAAGAATACAAGCAAGACCCAACCAAACCGCCAAAGGGAGCCGACCCCCGGTCCAGCCACGTCATTGCAACGTCGGCCAGGACGCCAGCCTCGCACCTCGCCAACATGCGCCGACTCGCCGCGTGGCTCCGCGCAAACCCCAGTGCGCGGATCCAAGACATGGCCTACTCGACCACGGCGCGCAGGATGCACCACCCCATCCGGTTCGCGCTGGCCGCGTCGACGCCGCAAGAGGCCGCGTCCAAGCTCGAGGCCGAGATGGAGCGCGCCGGGTCCGCCACCAAGACAACGCCCGCCGACGTCGTCTTTGTCTTTACCGGCCAGGGCTCGCACTACGCGGGCATGGGCGCCGAGCTGTACCGCACGAGCGCCGTGTTCCGCAAGACGGCCGACCTGTGCGCGGCCCTCTGCGTCTCCAACGGCTTCCCCCCCTTTCTGGACATCATCGCCGACAGCGCCGTCGACGTGTCGGCCAAGGACGCAGCGCAGATCCAACTCGCCGTGGTCACGCTCGAGATCGCCCTCACGGCTTTCTGGAAGGCGGCCGGCATAGCCCCGGCCATGGTCATGGGCCACAGCCTGGGCGAGTACGCGGCCCTGCACGCGGCGGGCGTGCTTTCGCTGACCGACACGCTGTACCTGGTCGGGCAGCGCGCGCGGCTGTTGCTGGAGCGGTGCGAGGCCGACTCGTGCGCCATGCTCGCCGTGTCGGCCCCTGTGGCCGCCGTGCGCGGGCAGCTCGGGCAGCTCGGTCGCGACTCGTCGTGCGGCGTCGCGTGCGTCAATAGCCCCAGGGCTACCGTGGTCAGCGGCACGACCGAGGACCTGGCGCGGCTGCAGGCCGACATGGCGGCGCTCGACGCCAAGACGCGCACCAAGATGCTGCCGGTGCCCTTCGCCTTCCACTCGTTCCAGATGGACGCCATCCTCGCCGACTACAAGGCCGTAGCCAGCGGCGTCACATACCTGCCGCCCAAGGTCCCCGTGGCGTCGACGCTGCTGGCCTCGGTGGTCGACGGGCCGGGCGTCTTCAGCGAGGACTACCTGGTGCTGCAGACGCGCCAGGCCGTCGACTTCGGCGGGGCGCTCGGCGCGGCCAAGGCGGTGCTCAAGGACCCCGTGTGGCTCGAGATGGGCCCCGGGCCCGTGTGCGCGGCGTTTGTGCGCGCCACGCTCTCGCCGGCGCCGGCCAAGATCAACCACAGCATCGATGCCAACACCGGCAACTGGGCGTCCATCTCCAAGAGCCTCGCGGCCGTCTACTCGTGCGGCGCCGACGTCGACTGGCTCGCCCTGCACGCGCCCTACGAGGCCAACCTCGAGCTGCTCACCCTGCCGACGTACGCATGGGACGTCAAGGACTACTGGATCACGCACACGGACAGGAAGGGCTCGGCGGCAGCGGCAGACGCCTCCAAGGCTTTGGTCGTCGCGCCGGCCGAGCCTTTCCTGGGCACGGCGGCGCAGTACCTCGTCGACAAGTCGCTGGCGCCCAAGGTGCGGGTGACGTTCCGCGCGGGGCTCTCGGACCACGGCTTCATGGGGCTCATCGACGGGCACAAGATGCAGCACGTCGGGCTCGCGTCGGGCAGCGTCTTCAGCGACGCTGCCGCCACCGTGGCCAAGTACGCCCTCGAGTACAGCGGCCGCAAGGGCGTCACGGCCGCCCACCTGACCTTCCACGACCCGGAGCTGCTGGCGCCGCTGACACGCGATCTCGTCGGCGTCGACGGCGAGCTGCTGACCACGGCCACCATGGACAGCGCGGCAGCCGACACGGTGTTGGTCACGTTCCGGGCTAGGACCAAGGACAGCAGCGACAGCCACGACCTCGGGTCCATCCGCGTCGGGGTGCGCAGCGACGCGGCCAGGGCGCAGGCGCAGGCCGACGTCGACCGCATGGCCTTCTTCATCCGGGCCAAGCTGGACGAGCGCGTGCGGCTGTCCAAGCAGGGGGCGGGCCACCGGATCCAGCCCGACGTCTTCTTCGCGCTGTTCGCCAATGCCGTCGAGTTCTCGGCCGACTTCCGCGGCGTGCAGGAGGCGTACGTGGCCGGCGACTTCTCCGAGGCGGCCGCCACCATCTCCCTCAAGCCCGACCCGGCCGGCACGCGCTTCACGTCGTCGCCTTACTGGGGCGAGGCGCTGCTGCACCTGGCCGGCTTCATGGTCAACGGCAACCCGGCCAAGCCGGCCTCGTCGACCTTTGTCGTCATGGGCTACGACACCGTCGAGCAGCTGGCCCCTGTCGAGCCCGGCCGCGAGTACCTGACGTACACGCGCATCGCCCGCTGGGAGAAGGACACGGCCTTTTGCGCCGGCTACGTGTTCGACGCCGAGACGGGCCGCATCGTCATGCAGGCTGTTGACTTGCGCTACCAGGAGTTCAAGACGGCCACTTGGCGCCACATCCTCGGCGGGCCCGCCGCCGGCCCAGCACACCACCATGCCGTCTCCAAGCCTGCTGTCGCTGCTGTCGAGGAGACAAAGGTGCACGGCAAAGACCTGTCTGCCGCCTTGGCCGCCGCACCCGGACAACAGCAGACACGGAAACAGCAGACACCGCAGGCCGTCGGGGAGACTGCCTCGGCCGGCGCAGGCTACTTCAAGATCATCGTCGACAGCCTCGCGGCGGCGACGGGCAGCGACGCGAGCGAGTTTGCCGACGACACGGCCATTGCCGACATTGGCGTCGACTCCATCATGGCCATCGAGGTCGTGGCGGCCGTCAAGGAGCTGGGCGTCGACCTGCCGGCCGCCTTTGTGTTCGAGTATCCCACCATTGGCGACCTACGCCGCGAGTTTGGTGGTGCTGGCAGTGCTGCTGGTGGGCACACCCAAGAAGAGGACTACAACAACACCGCCAACAACAACGGCATTGCGACGCCGGTCAGCGACGACGACGACGACGACTACGACGACGCGGCCCTGTCACTGTCGCCCACGCCCGGCGAAGAGGCCGACCTCGACTTGGGCGTGGCACCCTTTTCGGTGCCCGAGTCTGTGTCGTCGTCTCTGGCGTCGAGCGTGGTCGAGGTCGAGGTCGGCAAAGACGACGTTGACGACGACCAGCCACAAATCGATCCGTCGACGCCGCTGCCCAGCGTGCGGATCACGCTGCTCCAAGGACGGCCCAGCACGGCGGCCAAGACCACGCCACTCTACCTCATGGCCGACGGCACCGGGTCGGTCGCGTCGTACCTGCACCTGCGCCCCTTCAGGGGCAAGCGCGCCGTCTACGGCATCGACTCGCCCTTCCTGCGCTGCCCGTCGCGACTCCTGGCCGCCAAGGGCAGCACCGGCGGCATCGAGGGCGTGGCCAGCCTTATCGTCGACGCCCTCGTCAAGGCGCAGGCCACGGGCCCCTTCCTCATCGGCGGCTACTCGGCCGGCTGCCTCGTGGCCTTTGAGGTATCGCGGCAGCTGGCAGCGCGCGGCCGCGCCGTCGACGGGCTGCTACTGCTCGACATGTGCTGCCCGCGCACGCGCCGCGCCGACCAGGGCACGCTGCTGGCAGAGGACGAGTTCAGCTACGCCGTGTTCGAAGCCGCCGTGGCGCGCGACGGCCTGTGGAGCGCGCTGGGGTCGAGCCGCGACCACTTCCGCGCCTTCTTCGTCGCCATGAACGAGTACACGCCGCCGCCCATGACGGCCGGCGAGCGGCCGGCGCGCGCCGCCGTGGTGTGGGCCGAGCGCGGGCTCGTCAACCGCGTGTCCGACGACGCCGCGCTGATGCAGAAGCTGGCCGCCCAGGGCGTGCCGACCGCCCCCTACCCGGGCTTCATGCAGGACCCCAAGCTCGGCACCTTTGCCTGTCTTGTCCCCGACAAGGGCGCCGCCGAAAACCTCGGCCCCAACGGCTGGGACCGCTACACGGCCGGCGACGTCCTGGCCCTGTCCGTGCCCGCCGACCACTTTGCCCTGCCCATGCCCGGGCACGTCCACCTGCTGCAGGCCCAGATGGAAAAGGCTCTCACCTACTTTGCTTCCGACTAGTTTTGTTTCCTCTGTTTTAATTTTAGACTGCACGTTCGTGACAGCGAGCTGGCGTTTCTTGTTTTGGTTACATGGGGCGGTTGTCATTTGTTTACTTGTTTACAGCCGTGAGTTACGTTTTAGATACAAGATGGAGGAGGATTTATCCATGAGATATTTAAAGTAGGTAAAGATGCAATTTACTACCGATTCGACATTTCAAGACGGGACCTGCGTTTGTGAATAGGAGAAGTGAAGCAAACCCGTGAATCTGCTCGCCCGGGGCTGGGGAGTAGCGGTGGTAAGTTGTGACACGAAGGAGAAACTGGATTCCGCCTGGATTCCGCCCTGAAATTTTGCAGTTGGCGCATCTAGACTTCTGCCGCCAGCAGATGCATCGTCACACATGGCTACGTGGCTGCGGGTCATCGGTTTCGAATAGTTTTACTCGGGGCCAGGTCAAGTTACTCAAAACCCTGAACCTGACCGCATGTGTTTCTGATCCGGTACAACCCTCATGTCCCAAAACGCGTACATGAACCTACAGTAAGCAATCAACCACAGGCCCCGCCCATAGTCAGTGGCTGAGTGAGCATGGCCTCGGAGCTAGCCGCCCGACAGCCCACCACCACCTCCACCACCACTCCCCTATTCAGCCGCCAAACATCGACTAATTATTCCGAGTCAAAAGATTAGATGCTGACAGGCGCGGGCCGATGGGAAAGCTGAACCGGGCCAGCGCCACACCACACCACACCACACCACGCCACACCACGCCACACCACACCCATCCCCGACCCGTCGTGCAGGGGTCGCGTGGCTTCCCCGAAGTTCGGGAATTGACTCGGCCGCAGGCTATTAGCCACTTTCCCTTCCGTCTCGGAGACATATAAGCTAGGTCTGCGCCTCGCGTCGGCGCCGGCATTACCCCAAGGGGCAGAGAGCCCAAGCGGGAAGTCCGGGCCGGGGAGCACCACCAAGCAGCCACGCCGTGTGACAAGGGGATCTGATTGTAGGGCAGGATGGCCTGGAGCGAGGTCCTAGTACGCAATGATCTTCTTTGGCCTCAAGGTCCTTACTTCCTTGCAATCCTGTTGCGCCGAGTAAGGCCTATTGATGCCCAGTGCAAGACTGGCCTCGGTACTTGAAGGCCTGCTCTGTTGGCCTGGTAGGGACGGCTACCTGCATTCTAATTGGATACATTCTTACACTGTGTCGTATGCCAATGCCCTGCTCTCGGCTGAGTGATTCACATACTCGAGTAGACCTCGCAAAGGCCCCACGGCCACTCATTCTGTTGCCGCCCTACTTCTGGGGTTACACAGTCTTCCGGTAGGTTGACTGCCCTGGAGAGGGTGGCCCGTTTAACACGCCGGCAGCCACGGCGGCGGCTGCGAGGCAATGGCAGGCTCCACGTGTCCGTGCCTTGGCTCCTCCACCAAGTCGACGTTCCCGAGCGTGGGGGGTATTTGAATCGCTCATCACGGGTACTGGGTCGCAGCACTTGGCCGCGGCGTCTCCAAGCGCCGACACACCAGCTACGTCCCCGAGTCCAGATTCTGCACCAGGTGCAGCCCAAGAGCCGCCGCCTGCACCGTCGCCGGGAAGCCGTTGCGAGGCTGGGAACCTACTACCCTGCCGCGTATTCGGAATCTGAAGCCCAGTCGGGAATAACACCGTGTGGCCGGGCTCTTCACAGAAACACCCCGCTGCCACGCCCAAGTTAGAAAAGTTGCATCACAGCAGCCGTAAAGAGCTGGCAGTGGAACCTGGTTTAGATATTCGTCGCTGACTCTTGGCGTTTGTTGTGTGGAATTACAATCAGAAGTGGAGTGAGTGCTTGATTGCCTGTTCAACAAACGACAGTCAGTATCAGCGTGCACCAACACACAGACCATGGACATCATCATCGTGGGCGCCGGGATTGCCGGCCTCGGCGCCGGAGTCGGTCTGCGCCGGGCAGGCCACCGAGTGACGGTGGGCTCCCATCCCCATCCCCATACCCAGACAGCAACACCAACCCTAACGCCTGGCAGATCCTCGAGCAGTCGTCGCTGCTGCACGAAGTGGGAGCGGCCATCACCATCAAGCCCAACGCGTCGCGGGTGCTGCAGTCGTGGGACTTTGTGCCGGAGCAGTCGGGCATGGTGGCCATCCGCAATGGCAGCCTCATCGATGGCACCAACATGGACGTGCTCGTGCCCAACTACTACAAGGACTGCGAGTCGACCTGGGGCCTGCCCATGTACGCCGTCCACCGCGAGGACCTGCACACGCAGCTGCGCCGCCTCGCCACCCAGCAGGAGGGCCCCGGCTGCCCCTGCGACGTGCGCGTGCGGTCCAAGGTCGTCAGCTATGTGAGAGAGCAGACGCAAATAAGCCCACACTAATTAACTAGAGCTAACATGACATGCACCAGGACGCCAAGCACGCCCGGGTCACGACCGAAGGCGGCGACGTGCTGCAGGCGGACCTCGTGATTGCCGCCGACGGCGTGCACTCGACGGCGGTGCAGCACGTGCTGGGCGACGACGTGGTGTCGGCCGGCGACACGGGCTGGGCGTGCATGCGGTGGCTGGTGCCGCGCGACGACTTCCTCGCCGACCCCGAGACGGCCGCCATGGTCCAGGACTCGGCCACGCGCTACTACACGGCCGCCGGGGGCGTCGCCGGCCTGGTGTGGTATCCCTGCCGCAAGTGCGTTCTCTCCCCCCTTTCTAAGTCTGGAGAATCTGCTGACCGCCCTGAACATGCAGCAACGAGGTGCAAAATTTTCTCTACCTCTCGCGCGAGTTCGACACGTCCCACGTTGGAGAAGGTAACCCGAAAATATCCTGCCCATCTCACGGGACGTCGCTGACGCCGAGTGCAGATTTCAGAGCCATGGTCGATCCAAGCATGCCGCTGGAGTATGCTAAGAAGCACTTTTGCCCGGCTCTGCAGACCGCCGTCAAGTGAGTCTGGCTGATGGCATGCACTACAGTCACACACACACACACACACACACACACATATATATATATATATATATACTTACGCAGAGCGCAGAAAAGCGAGAGACGTAAAGTTCTGGAAACTGGTGGCAAGAGGGCCGATCTCGAGGTGGCACAAAGACCGACTTCTCCTGATCGGCGACGCGGCCCATCCCATGCTCACCTGTAAGCACATTTCCGTGCTGTTTAACATCTGAAAGAACTCGCTAACTCTGGGACAGTCCAGGGACAGGGCGGCGGGCAAGCCATCGAGGACGGGGCCGCGCTGGGGATCCTGTTCGACCAGGTGCGCGACCCGGCGGCCATCGAGGACCGGCTACAGCGGTTCGAGCAGGTGCGGCGCAACCGCGGCTCGGCGCTGCAGGTGCTGTCCAATACCAACCCGCCCGTGCCCCAGAGCGTGCGCGACGCCGCCGCTAAGTACCTCCCCGCCGGCAGCAGGCTCGACTCGACCGACGACGTCAACGAGTACGTCTTTTCGTTCGACGTCTTGGCCGAGTCCAAGGCCGCGCTGGCCACTGCCTAAGGGGCCGGTATGGGGACTGTGAAATAGCACCAGTATTTTGGCTATATGGAACGGAAGAGTGATGTAAAAGTTGTTATGAAATGACCGTTGATTTCAAGTCTAAAGCTCTTGCAAGCCTGCTTTCATAGTACGGTCGTGATAATTCTATGGTTGTTGCCAATGGAATACCGACTTTTGGCAATTACCCAAAGCGTTAGCGAATCTTGAGTTCAGAATACAGAGAACGAGAAACAATCGTATATTGGGGCATCCGGCAGAACAACTTTTCGGTACGTCATGCTGACTATAAGGAAGTTACTAAGACTGGTTGGTTGTTGTATGTTGATTGTACAGAATAATTAAATTAGTAAAGGTAACCTTCCAATCTTAAAAATGCTCTACCTAGCAAGTAGAGAAAGGGATCTAAACGGCCTTTTTCTTTCTTTCTTCTTTTCTGCCTCCGGCGGCCCTCCGGCGGCGCCTGCGGCGAGCTACTCGCTACGCTCGAAGGCTTTCTTTCCTGAACCCTTAAAGCGGCATTCTACGGCTTAAGATACGTATATTCTTTCCAGGAGAAGAAGAGACCAATATTCATCCGGTCAACCAGCCCCTGTCCCATATTTTGATAGGGGAACCGGCTGGCCAATCCCCGTTCAAGAAACATTCGGTACCTGAGTGTAACAAAGAGAAAACAGCCTCTCTCCGCCACTTATACTACTGTTGGAACAACGCGCATTCTAGCCATATAAGCGGCGGTGGAGGCCTAGGGGTCCTAGATTCCATATAATTATAGACAACAATGACCATCACTTGAACCACTAGCTTTCGGCGTGCAGCACGCCCTGTTGTTTCCAGTACCGTACCTGGTGATTCCAACAACTACCTTACGGCTCGTAAGCTCGCCGACGGTGGCCTTTTTCTAGCCGAATAAGACTTCTTACAAAGTGCAAGAGGTATAATTTGAGGGCAGTACGCTTGGAACTCCACAAAGACTGAGAATGATTTTGCGTGAATAGAAATGTATGTATATACATCGTGCTCTTATTCTTCATCCCAGTGCCTAATTAGTGCCCATTCCCAAATATTCCTGCCAATGCCTCCAACCTCTCCCAGACGAGCTAATACGACGCCGGTACGACGCCCAGCTTGCCGCCGTCGGTCACGAGAACGAGCCCCGACAGCCAGGCGCCGGCGCGGGACGCGAGCCACAGGATGCAGCCGGCCATGTCCTCGGTGTTGCCGGGCCTCCCCAGCGGCGACACCTTTGTGGCGTAGTCGGGCGAGTCGGGCGCCAGCTGCTCCGTGGCCGCGACCACGCCGGCCGTCATCTCGGAGGGGTACACTGCGTCTTGTCAGCAACCGTTTCTGTTCTCTCCCCAAGCCAAAATCATCCAGAGAGACAGACAAAATAGAGACGGAAGAAAAGAAGAAGACGTACAGCCCGGGGCAATCACGTTGAACCGGATCTTGTAGCCGGTCAGGGCCGTGGCCAGCTGCTTGGCCATGTGCAGCACGGCGGCCTTGCTGGCCGAGTAGGCATAGTGCGCCAAGGGCACGCGGCCAAAGGCGCCGATGGAGCTGAGCACGACCATCTGGCTGGACTGGGCGAGGTTGCCGCGCTCGTTGCCGGCGTTGAGCAGAGGCAAAAAGGCGGCCATGCCAAAGTAGACGGCGCCGACGTTGTTGCTGAAGGTCTGGTTGAAGGCGGCCTGGTCGACGTTCCACAGGTCCGCCTGCAGCTCGGCCAGCGGCCGCGGCGGCGACAGCCGGATGGGCGTCGGCCCCGGGATGCCTGCGTTGGCCACAAACAGGTTGACGTAGCCCGTCTCCCGAGCAATGTGCGCGGCGATGCGCTCGAGGTCGGCCTTGGAGCTGGCGTCGCCCTGCAGCGGGATGATGTTGCCGTGTTTCTTGCCCAAATTAGCACTTCTTACCTGTTAGTTAGTTAGCCGCCGTAGAGTGGGGGGGCAGTTACTGCTTCCTCCTTGGCCACCCTCTCGATCACTTCCTTGCGGCGCCCGATGATGTAGACCTTGGCGCCATTCTCCTCGAGGGCCTTGACCATCATCAGTCCGATGCCTGTGTCCGAGTCAGCTCAGCGTGCTGGCCCTGGCCGTGGCTTGTTTTGGTGAGGGTCAATACCGGTTGCACCGCCCGTCACGACGGCAACGAGGCCGTCAACGGCAAACAGGTCGGCCACGGCGAGGGATGGCGCAATTGACGACGACATGGTTTCGGGTAGTCCTCTGCAAGGGCTCTGTTATGTCCCAATCGCTTCATTTCGAATACGCACATGCTGCTATGCTGTGTTATATTATGTTACAATCAACATGGGCTGAGACGGTCCACCGAATAATCCCCATTGGGCTGCCCGAGTCGCACCACTCATCCCCGAACGCGGATCGGTGATGGCCTTCCCCGACTGCCGGGCATCCTGCTGCTCCGCCCCCGTCCTCGGGAAAGCTTAGCCGCAAGTACTCGAAAAGTCTCGGACCACTGCGGATTGTTGCACTGTCGTCCGGAGTTTGACGTTGGTTCCGACTTCGGTTGGCGCGAAGACGCGAGTGCCGTGTTGCACCGGCTTTTCCTTAACACTGACATTACTTTGATCTGAACCCAATTACGTCCATCATCACTACTCTGTCAACTGCCCGCTCACTAATTAGGCGTTACATCCTACGTGGCATCGGGTCCTACAGAGTCGATTTGTCAGCTCCGGGCGACCTGAATAATACGCGTGTTAATAACGGACATCTCGGAGAACATTGAGGGGTGGCTCAAAACGCTTGACTTGTCGCCATCGCCATCGCCATCGCCAAAACAACAAACTGCCGCGGCCAGATTCCATCAATTACTCCTCACCACCACACACCGAAGAAATCACAAAATTGGCAATGGCCACGCCCCAGAACCAAGACACCTCCGCACCCCGGGCCCCCAACCGCTTCATCACAGACCACAACGCGGCCGGGCTCTCCGTGTTCGACGCCAGCATCCCCGAGGCGGTCCCGACGCAGGCCATGGGCAGGATGTCGTTCCAGCTCGGGTACGCGACGACGAGCCTGCCGGCCGACTTTTCCTCGGGGGCCGACGTGGCGCAGTACTCGTCGTTCCTGACGGGGCCGCCGCCGGGCATCTACATCCCCGGCGGCAGCGTGCTGCGCATCGTCGAGATGCAGCCCGGCGGCGCGAGCCCCATGCACCGCACCGTCAGTCTTGATTATGGGGTTGTGCTTGATGGTGCTGCCGAGCTGGTCCTCGATTCGGGCGAGAGCCGCGTCTTGGAGAGGGGCGACATGGTCGTCCAGCGCGGCACCAACCACCTGTGGCGGAACAAGAGCGCCACCGAGACTAGCCGCATGCTGTTTGTCACGCTCGAGTCCAAGCCCGTTGAGGTCGGCGGCAAGCTGCTGTCTGAGGATCTGGCTGGCCTGTAACTACCACGCTACCTACTTCTAAAAGTCAAAGGTGGAGAGGGAAGAAGGGATTTTGTTTTTGGAAGTTTCAATTCCAGAGCATGACATCAATTAATAATGCAAACATCTTTTGTCTCTGTCAGATCTTGCGCAAAATGCCACCGTACCACACGCGCACGCCCACCCACTTCTTGGCCCGCAGCCCAAACAGGCGGTAATTGTCCTCGGTGACGCAGCGCTCCTCGAACGCCGACGCAACAGCCAGGCCGTGGCGGGCGGCCTCAGCCACGACGTCGGCGACCGAGTGGGCGTAGCTCTGCGGGCGGATCTTGTCGCCGGTCGCGGGGTCGACGAAGCCGGCCTGGCTGATGCGGCCCATGTCCGAGTGCATGTTTGTGAGCAGCAACAACCCGCCCGGCTTCAGCATGCCCGCCGCCGCCGCGAAGTACGCCGCCAGCGGCACGTGCTCCACCACCAGCGTCGACACGACCGCGTCGGCATTGCGCGGGGGAGACGATGCGCCTGCCGCTGCGTTCAGGACGTCGAACACCTGCAGCGTGACGCGGCTGGTCTCGTGCGTGGCGGTGTCTGCGCCGTCGAGCCGCTTGCGAGCGACGTCGAGCATCTTGGGGCTGAGGTCGAGGGCGATGACGTGGGAGTCAGGGATCTGCACGAGGCGCACCGTGTTGCGTCCCGTGCCGCAGCCGAGGTCGACCAGCGTCCACGGCTTGGGCGAGTCGATGGCGGCGACCAGCTTGGGCAGCAGAGCCTCAATCTCGGCCGAGTCGAGCGCCTGCAGGAAGTTGCCGTCCGTGTCGTACACCTTTGACCTGTTGACGGTTAATCATGAGAGACATAAAAGCTGGAAGGTGCAGGCATACCACATGTCGTAGGCTATTGTCGTGTCGAGGTATCTCACCCGGCTGTTTCCTTCTTCGCGTCGTGGAGAGGCCATCGTTTCTGTTTCGTATCGCAGAGATTCTTTGAATCGTTGCTGTCTGGGACGTGGGTGGGTGTGATCTGATCCGAGATCACAAACGTCGCAGACTAAGGAGGAGGAAGTTGAGTGGTCTTTTGTAAAGCGCGCCAAGGATGAGTCATTCTGATTCCCGATATAATAGTAGTTGATGTCGCAGCGCTTCACGGTCAAGTGGGCCAACAAAGTGGGCTAACATCAACAGCATCTCACCCAATTGCAAAATAAGTACAGAACTTGCTGTTGTGACCGCCGAATTTGGCAGGGCAGTGCCGCCATTTTTGGGGGCCTCGACAGTGCGGGACGCTGGGTCACAGCCAGGTACTTGGTACCTCACCGCGGGCTAACTTGTTGGAATGACGCGCTAATCAGCCACGGAGGGTCATCCACGAAGGTGGCTGTGGTGGCACAGGGCCACAGATTCTATATAAGTGGCCGTCGGCCACCTCCACCCTCTGTCTTCTAGATACACAGACGTCAACGAATCCATCACTTGAACCACCAGTTTTCGGCGTGCAGTTACGCCCTGTTGCTTCCAGTACCGGTACCTGGTGATTCCAACATAACTATTTCCACTTACTCAACTTACTCCACGTGGACCAAGCGGCCTATTATACACGCTTGACGTCATAATAACTTCGGTCGGACCTCGGTTAGTGTTGAAGGTAATTCCTTCCCGACAAAAAGGATGCTCTTGCCCCCCACCTCGAGCAGCATCCTTCGCGCTAAATCGCTAATAAAAAGGTCGGGCCCCGCCAGTTTTTCACCTAACAACATACTCTTCAGTAGACTGGCTGCCGCAATTACGACCGCACAACCCATCCCAATCGACTTAAAACCACGCCGGCATATCAACCACAGTGCCGAAGTAAGGGTCGAGATTGGCTGCGGTCGGTTGGCAGAAAGATCCGCTCCTTCTCCCCTATCAAAGGCTCTCGGTCATCAGCTAGATATAGAGAGATGCAGAACCAACCGCTTAGGACTACGCAGGGTCCCTCTCTACTAACTACTAGTTAGCCAGGACCGGGAGATAACGAGTTATGAGTTAGGTCGAGGGAAGAGGGCTTAGTTGCTTTGACTGGTCAGTCTACTACGTGTAGCCGCGCTAAGGAAGGAGACCCCTGAGACTCTCGATGCTCCTTAGCCACCCTAACTGCAGGCCTTAGCCAAAAGCCTGCACCGCACGCACCTTTGTAATTATTCTTTCCTCTCTTCTTTAATAGGGCAAGGTGGCGACGTATAGGGCGTAGTCGGTTGTGTGTGTACGCTGCGTTTCTTATTCGCCGAAGCAAGACTTAGAACAGGGATGCGGAAGGAAAAGGGGAGAAGTTGAAAATGAGCGAGCAGGTGAGGGTGCGGTGTATCTATGAAGATCTGGCGACTTGATCAATGAAGGGGCCGGTACCTACGCTCGCCGGTTGAGGTACAAGATAGTGGTCCGAGCGTGAGATCTGATTGGCTAACCTCGGTGAGTGTCGCGCAGGCAAAACAGAGCAATCAGAAAACGGCAGTCTCGACCACGGTATATATATTCTAATAGTGCTATTACGGCCGTGAAGATCTCGTCCGATAAGCTGGGCTGCGCCTCTAAGATACCGAAGGCCGCCCGTCTGATTTCTATGTCCTGGCCTTCTAGACGGGCTACTATAGCTATGAGGATCTTGTTAGATAAGTTTGTACGAGAGTGTAAGGAAAGAGCACCAACTAGCCAGGCCACTGCCCGTTGGCACAAGCCACTAAGCCACACTACGGCGCCACAACCCCACAAGCTTTCACAAGTATACGCAGGACTGAGCCTCTGAGCATGTATATAAATAATGGCCCTCGCCCCCTTCCTTTGCGAGGGCCAGGTTAAAATCTTGGCCTAATACCAGTCATTGCTCGCACTTCTTGTCACATTCATTGTGACCACCTTGATCGCTCAGTATCGGCGAAGCGTAAATTCGCGCTGGAGTTGCGGTATGAGCTGAGTGAAAGTCATAGTCGGAATGAACCGGAAGGCGAGACGGCCTCAATCGGCAAGTAGTAAGGAGTAGGGCTCGGAGAGAGATGCGCGGGTTTTGTCGGGGCACTGGAAAGAGGGGATAATAAGGGGTAGGTAGGACACGTCTAGCTTACGATATGAGGATGAGAGAGGCGTGGGCGATGAATTCAATGGGGGGGAGGAGAAGAGGCAGGGGCCAGAGTGAAGCAAAGAGGGAGGTAAGAAGTCGAGAGTATAAGAAAGGGGACGTCGGGGAGGGGGGCTCTATCGGCAAATCACAACCACTCACATGCCAAAAGGCACCCTGTCTTGTATAATATCATCCCGATGCCGTAATTATGACTCTCCATGGAAGAGACAACCATAAAGTCAGAAATGGCTAAGCATTCGCCAGTCTCGACGCTTCCTCACGACCAAGAGCATCAATACCAAGTGAACTCACGGCTAGGTTCCATATCCACAATCACAAGCAGTTTGAAACCTGAGCACAGAGTCAACTTTACGCTTACTACAACTCCCAAGTCCTAGCCCGGAAGGTTGCCCGCACGCCCTTGCTGTCTAGATCGGCAACAGCGACGAAGAAATCTTGCTTGCGGACCACGCCGTCGAGCCCCGTCTCGTACATGCTCTAGTCGAATCTGCGCACGACGGTCGAGAGCGCAAGGTAAAGTTCAGCCTGCGCCAAGCTGCAACAACCCGTTGGTTAGCTAGCTGCTGCAACGCCAGCGAACGACGGCAGAGACAGAGATGGGTGCCATACTTGGTTCGCGGGGCGGCGGCGGCGGCGGCGGCGGCGGCGGCGGCGGCGCACTCTTTCAGCGACAGCTCCTCGTTGCCGTCGAGGATGGGCTTGACCTAGGTCCTGACGCGCGACTGCCACTGGAGCAGGTGGCCGACGGACGGGTTGATGGCGAAGACGGCTGAGACGGGCAGTCTCTTCATCAGCGGCAGCGCCCAGGGGAATTGACGGCCCAGGGCGCCGCTCTCAAAGGCGCCGATGATGGTCTGCTTCTACAAGAGCTTGAAGTCGGGCTCGTCGAGGAACTTTAGGTCTCTGGCAAAGGCGTAGTCTCAGATGATGTACAACGTCAGGGCTATGAAAGCGGCGTTGATGCGCACGACCTCGGCGGTGCTAGCGAGAGCATGGAAGCGGGCGCAGAGCTTGTCAGCCTTGGCCAGGATCAGGGGCTCGAGTTGGGTGACGGACTGCACGGAGAAGAAGGGGTTGATAGCGCCACGGCGCAGGCGGTGCAGCTCGTGAGGCACTGTCGAGAACCCGCTCCCGTCTGCGCCGGCTAGGTTGGTCTACTAGCGGTACTTGTCAAGTCTCTGGTTGGAGGCGTACAGCTCGTCGTAAAAGTCGGGGTCTCGGATGTGCAGCTCGTACGGGTTGGTCCTGACAATGGGCCCTGCATGTATAGTTAAAAATAGGTTACCTGACTAGTCAGGAAGGGGTCAGCTGAACGGATGCCTCCGGCGGCGCCTGCCGCGGGCTGTCCTCGCTTCGCTCGAGGAATAGGTGGCTGGGCCATTTTACTCAGAAATTAGTAAGGACAACCTCGCTTTATGCCATGACCCGTAGCCGAAGGTTGACTGGCTCAAGGGTAACTATATAACTATATCAAAAGTAAATAACACGGCGTGATTATTACAGGATAAATAGTATAGTATTGAGGCTGTCGTCTGAACCCGTAAAAAGAGTGGGGCGGGGCACGGGTAATCGCGCGGCGATGCCGCGGGCGCCTCTTTAGGACTCGGCTGGGCGCAGCGCCCGGCGCAGTTGAAGCTGCATTGTACCGACCATCTGAAGATGCAAAGAGACATGCTCAAATTTATCAATTTGTGACCTCGGCCAGAGAATGCCTCCAGTCAGAGCAGAACCAAGCAGACCCAAGCAGTCCAGACAGTCCAGACGCACCAGACGCACCAAAATGCAAAGGTAGGTTGTGAGCACGATTAAGATGAGGGCTCAATTGTGTAGCGTTTCCGACAAAAGCAAGTCCTCACAGAAGCACAGACGGGTATTACAGTGGCACTGCAGGTTGCTGCTACTATAATCCACAGAGCCGAGTCTGAACAGTAGGGCTGTATTACTTGCGTGAGGAATCCCGGATCCCTCACCCCATCGCGAACACGATGATTCTACCTAGAAATACTACCTACGGCCTTGTATGCTGGCGTCTTATATGTCTATAAAAGCTGCCGGGGTAAGCCTAAGTTGCGGAAATCACAAGACATTAGGCAGAACGGATAGCGACAAAATCACGAGAATTAATGGATTTCCCCTATTACTTTAAACCATACTCCCTAGATAAAGACGGTTATTATTACTTTTTTCTTTTCATGCTGTAATATTCTAATGATCAAGAGGCCGGAAAGACAGCGTTGGTAGTGGTGGGGTTGACTAACGTTGATTCGGGCTTCTCTACATAGCCTCCACCGCCGGTTGACTCCTCGCATTGGCCCCCCGTAGGTGAATCCATCGGCCAAAACCACCATGAACCGTCTAGGGGATGTAGGTCGTCCTGCTAATAGTTGACGTTGGCCAGGCTGGGCGATGGCGAGTAGTTGAATACGTGAAGCCTATCTTTCCCCTCTACGAAATAACGGAAGACGTTTCCTCGACTTAATATATCTAGCCGGATAGTCCGTAGCTGCTCGCTTTTTGAAGGGTGATCGTCACCTAGATCACGGAATGCGGTAGGCTATTCGTGAAAAGGTAGGTAAATTGATGATCGAGGGAGGAAGCTCGGGAGCACTGCCCTGCTGAGGACCTTAATGTGGTCCTTTGGTGGGGCAGACGCGGTCTAACCGCGTCAGGGTAAGCCCCGCTTCCCTATGTACCTATGTACTTAAATTACACGTGCCGGTCATATGACCTTGTCTTGGCGCTCCCTCACTCAATCAGGCATCACTTTTGGTGATGTATAGGTTGAAGGTTCCCACCTAGCGGGACTGGTATTTGGGCTTGTCTGGTAGCTCACGGAGCTCCCATATACGTTTCATAGTGTAAGGCTTGCGGATTTTATCCCCCGTCGTAGTATAGAAATAGCCTTCAGGCACGATATTAGATATCGTCCAAAATAGCCCTTAACGTATTACCCGCAATAGGTCGTGGTATCAGCAAGCAGGTAGTTCTTCCCCTAACTTTAGAGCTTGAGCTTGAAAAACTACGGGAAGGAAACCAGTTACCAAATAGTCACTGCCCCCATCAGGATTGGGATTGGATTGGAAAGAACGGATGGACGAACAGATTCTCGTTAAATCGGCCTTCTACTGCCTTCTCAACCTTCTTTTCATTTTCTCTTTTTCTTCCTCATGCCAATGACATCATAATAAAATCGTACAAATCCATCTCCTCATCCCAGCCCGCTACTTTCCTTATCCTAGCCCGTCTGCTCTCCTCATCCCAGCCCGTCTGCTCTCCTTATCCCAGCCCGCTGCTCTCCTTATCCTAGCCCGCTGTACTTTTATCTGGATTGACTGACTCGTTGAATAGACTATGATGCACAAAATTTTCGGCATTCGTTGGCGCTGGGCCGCCCCCCGCCAGCCTCTCCTCCCCATCACAAAACCCCCAGGCAGTAAACCCACGCCCACCACCATCGACACCAGCACCAGGGGCCCGCCAACCACGACTGGCACCTCGCAGAACCCCAGCCCGTCCGCCACCCCACCAGACCCGGCGACAAATACCACACCATCTTCCCTCAATGACAACTCCGACGACCATGACTCCGAAGGGGGGATGGGTCTGTGGGCTGCGAGGTCTATGCCAGTGGTTGGGGAACCTTCCTGCTGGTCTTACTATAAGCTTGGTGCATCTCCTCAATCTTCTACATAAAGGCCCCCCTCTTGACCACGTCCTAGTAAAACTCGTTCTAGAGCGTCAGGGCGGCGAACTTGGGGCCGCGGGTGGTCGACGCTGGCCCTTGGGGGCCATTTTGCTTCCCTTTGCTTAACCGAGGTTTCCGACGCTTTTTCTCATCGATCTACCCTGAATGGCGTGCGAGCTGGTGTAACGAGCAGTGCAGAGCAGCTAGTGTGAATACGCAAAGAAAGACGCAGGGCGGGGGCCGGGCCGCCATGGTGTGGCCCCGCTCGTCTTGATTTGCCAATTAATTCCTGATATTCCCGTCCCGGTCTGCGGGCTGTTACCGTGGGGTATGTCGGCGGCAGCAAAAGCGGGCAGCTGCTACACCGAGGCTTGCTAGCTAGGTAGGCATCCGCATTAAAGAAGACTTCCCAGCGGCGCACCCGCCCCTGGCTGGCTGATGTTCTAGACCTCGACATCTTTGTCCCCTTGCTGTCTTTGTTTCAACAACCTGGTCTGCTGACGAAGGTAGGGTACCAGGGTGCCTAGGCAGGCAATTAATAATTGTTAGTTGCTACCATCTTTTACTTTGACTGTCTCGGGCAGCACTCGACGTGCCATGGCCAAATCGCCCAAAGCACCCTCACCACCCGCGGGCGGGGCGAGCACACACGTCTCGCCCGGGTCCGCTCCCGCCGATGAGGCGAACGTGCTCGTGGAAGCAGAGGTGAGCTCGGATGGGCCCAGCTACCATTTTTGGTTGCGTAAAAGGGGGGGGGGGGGGGGGGGGGAATAGAAAGAAAATAATTACCCAATAATTGTTAGGTATTGACCATTGATTGCTATGAATTTAGGACGCAGCCCCTGACGATGACGATTCCGGGTCCGACTACTCGAGCATTGGCGGCTCCTCGGCGACAACCAGTGTCGCGTCGTCCGTATTCAACTACTAGTACGACAACGGTCGTCGCTACCACGCGTACCGCGCGGGCCAGTACCTCCTGCCCAACGACGAAACCGAGCAGGAGCGCCTCGACCTCACCCACCACGTCTTCTGTCTGCTGCTGAACGGCGCCCTATGCGTCACCCAGCTCGAGAAGCCGCAGAACATTCTCGACATTGGCACTGGCACGGGCATCTGGGTGCGTGATGCATTCCCGCCCCTTGAAGCCAGTGAACTGATCCAATGTTGCAGGCCATCGACATCAGCGACTTGCACCCCTCAGCGACTTGCACCCCTCAGCGACTTGCACCCCTCAGCGACCGTGATAAGCACCAACCTGAGCCCGATCCAGACGCCATGGTGAGCCAGACCACCGCAGCGCCGAGGCTTGATAATTAGTTGATTCTCATCCCTGTCTTCTGCTAGGGTGCCGCCCAACGTGCAGTTCCAGGTCGACGACGCGACGCCAGAGTGGATGTTTCCCCCGGACCACTTCGATTTTATTCACGCGCGCACGCTCGGCGGGGCCATTCGGGACTGGCCGGCGCTGCTCAGCTCGTGCTTCGAGCACTGCCGGCCGGGCGGGCACGTCGAGCTGGTCGAGGGGCGGCCTGACTTTTGGTGCGACGACGGGTCGCTGACCGACATGGCCACGGCTAAGTGGCTAGCCGAGTTCCGGCGGCTGGCGGCGTCGCTCGACTTTGACATTGCGCCCAAGCTGCCCGCGCTGCTGGCCGGCGCCGGCTTTGTCGACGTAACCACCACCCAGCGCGTCGTGCCCCTCGGCACGTCCCCCAAGGACGCCCATCTCAAAGAGGTCGGCCGGTGGTTCCGGACGCAGTTCATCGACATGGCGCTCGAGGCCTACTCGCTCGCCCTCTTCACGCGCGCCGGCGGCTGGGCCAACATCGAGTTCCAAGTCCTTCTGGCCAAGGTGCGCGAGGAGCTCAAGACCAACAAGATCCACCTGTACACGTACACGTAAGTCTCTCCTGGACGTTGGCTACCGTAACAGCAATTTCTGATGTGACGCCATGTGCCACAGCGCGTTTGTGACGGGGAGAAAGCCAGAGGCGTCGAGTTAGATGTCAGCAGAGCACATCATGTGTTTGTTGCCAGATATTTGTTGCTAGATTCTCATTCACTACCTTAGCCTAGTCTAGTTAGTGGACGTGTCCATAATTTCATGATTAATGATGAACAGTTGCCAGTCTCATCCAGACCCCCTTGACAGCTCACCCTTAGTTGTTATTGAACCAAGTATACTCAGTAGTAAACCTTCCAAGCCAGTGCAAACGTCTGCCCGTCTAAGCCGACATTGTGGGCGCGCACGATGACGGCCACATCACCGGCGCCGACAGCCTCCCAGACGGCCTGCTCGACATTGTTGACGCGGTCGAACGGCTCATCGCCGTGCGACAGCGCCGGGGTGGCGGCCTCGTCGGCGTCGCGCTGCGCCGTCGTCTTGGCCGGGAAGCTCTGCGCGCCCTTATTGCCGTGCCGCTCCGTCGCTCCGTCGGCCGCCACCACGATCAGGTCGAGGTCGTTCTGCAGCGACGCCCCCGCCGGGTCCGTCCACACGAGCGTCACCTTGAGCGTCGCCGGGCCCGGCCCCTTGACTGGAATCGCGAACTGGAACTCGTCAAACGTGTCGAGGGCCTCGCCGGCCACTTCGTCCCGGAACCCCGCGGTGCCGTCGGCCGTGACCTTGGTCCCGTCGGCGGCGGCAGCAGCGGCGGCGGCGGCAGCATCAGGGATGACGACGCTGTTGGCCACGTCGATGCGCCCCCAGCCGCTCGAGTCGTTGGGGCTCTTGCCAGCCTCGGACGGGTTGTACTGGCCGGGGAGCTCGACGGCGCCGTTGATGAGCAGGGCCTTGATCAGCGCAGCACTCGGGCTGGGCGTGCCGTTCTTGACCAGCGTCTCGCGCAGCACGGCCACGCAGCCGGCGGCCAGCGGCGTGGCCATGGACGTGCCGCCCTCGAACATGAACTTGGCGTCCTTGCTGACGCCCCAGTCCTGCGTGTCGACCACGCCCGGCATCGAGCTGCGCGTGGATAGAATGCACGTGCCCGGCGCCACCACGTCGGGCTTGACGCGGCCCTCGACCGTCGGGCCGCGCGACGAAAAGGCCGCCATGCCCTCGGCGCGGTTCGCCACGTTGTCCGTCGACAGCGGCTTGCTGCCGAACCCCCACATGGAGTAGATGCGCTTCTGCTCGGGCCGCAGCGACTCGGACGCGCCCACCGAGATGCAGTTCTTGGCCGCCGCCTCCGACATGACCTGCTTCGCGTCGACCCGGCCGTCGCGGTCGCCGTCCTGCCCGTCGTTGCCAGCGGCGAAGAGGATCACCATGTCGCGGTGCGTGGCCACGAACTCGTCAATCTCGGTCGAGCTGTCGTCGTACGGGATCTGCTCCCACGGGTCGGGCGCCGCGCCCCAGCTGCTGGTGTGGATGCGGGCGCCGTGGTCGACGTACGGTTGCGCAAACAGCTTCTTGAGGTCGGGCGGGATGCCGCCCAGGGCGCCGCGCGCGTCGAGCAGCGACTGCATGACCAGGGTCGCCTTGGGCGCCGTGCCCTGGATGCGCCCGCCCATGGCCGCCGACGTGCTGTCGCCGAGCACCGACCCGCACACGTGCGTGCCGTGCCCGTCGGGGTCCGACGACGTGGCCGGCACCATGGTGCCGTTGCGCTTGCGCGTCTCCTTGCGCCCTAGCGCGTACAGCGCCTTGACGCGCACGCGTGACCCGTCTTTGAAGGAGTCGGGCACCTTGGCCGCGTCGAGCGAGCCCTTGTCGAAGCCCGTGTCGGACACGCACACGATTTGGCCCTCGCCCTCGTACTGCGTGCCGTTGGCGGGGTGCACCGCGCGGTGCGCGTTGAGAATGCCGCGCGCCACGTTGTTGTGCAGCTTGACGGGGTGAACTTCGCGGATGCTCTTGACCGCGTCCAGGGCGGCCACGTCGGCCAGGTACCGGCGCTGCACGGCAATGCGCGCCTTGTGGTCCTCGGCGGCGAGGAACTCCTCGTCGAGGCGTGCCGCCGCCGCAAGGGCGCTGGTCAGCTCGGCAGTCACGGTGACGCCGGCGTGGAACTGGACGTCGACCGTCACCAGGCGCGAGGTGGGAGCCGGGGTCGGCAAGAGGGCCTGTGGCGGCGAGGCCGGGTTTGCCGTCTCCTTGAGGCGCGCGTCAATGACAAAGTGCGGTTGGTAGACGTTGGCATACGTGATGAAGGGTAATGCACGGATATCGGAGAGGCTCTGCCGGTGTTTCACATTGATTAGTTCTGCAAACGAAAACATTCAGGGGCAACACACCTCGGGCGTGTATTTGCAGAGATACGTGTCGTCCGACACCTTCTCCTGGATGACGGCCTGCTTCTCGACAAGAACCCGCTTTACATCCTTGGTTAGGGGACCATTGGTCTGGATCAGAATGTAGTCCGAGTCCTGTGCAGTCTCCTGGACAAGACCGAAGGCTTGGAGAGCTGGCGCCTCGGGGTCGAGGGAGTTGCCGTTGATGGTGATGATGGCCATGGCGGCGAGGTTTCAGGGGGACTATGGCCGCTGGTAAATCCGTTGCAGTGCGGTTTCGAGATAGAAGGAGTTGAAGTAAAGGCTCGGCTGGTTTAAATGGGCCGAACGCTGTGGGAACGTAATTAGTAGGGGCTGACTGAGAGCATCCTGGGTCACGTTTATACACCTGTGGTTTAGGTTAATCAAGTACCAACACAAAGCCAAGAGACCTCGAATAGGTCAGCTAGCTTGCGGCAAAGCACATAGTCCTGGTGCCACTTTTCAGCCCTCTCTGAATGTTGGTGGGATGCCAATAAATGCGGCGTCTAATATGTACCGGGATGGGTCGAGATCCCCTCACCTTCCAACACCTTTCCCTTGGCGTATCCCTCTTTGCCCATTGATGGGGGTGTGAATCGCTTGGCTCGCTCAGCCCTATGGGCCGAACGGCTGCCTGAACGCCAATCGCCAAGTATATTGCCAAGCTAACCAGAGCCTGGCGGATTCGTCGCTCCTCAGATTGGCCAGTTTGCAGTGCCTGGATTTCTGGTTGTGCCCATGCAACACATGACGATGTGTGATTCGAAGTGTAATCCGATCGCTCACGTCTGCCGTGCCTTGGCCTAGCTCAGATGCGAGCGCCACATGGCGAAAAGGGCATCTAGCGCGAGGGATTTGCTCCAGTGACCGAGACAAGGCTCCTGTGCAGCTGAACGTCCAGTCAATCATGAACGCCCTTGTTATCTTGGCGGCGAGGTCTAGACCAGAGGGGCCGACGACCAACTCTTGGCAAAGAGGGGTGGTGGTGTGAAGGGCAACCTCTGCTTCTCTAAATGGGTAAGGAATGTCTAGTTTAGGTTGTTTGTTGGTCATCAATGCGTAGGCGGGTATTCGGATTTGCTGGGCGGCAGGAGGGGAATGTTTGAATTGACCGCCAGATCGCGATGACTGTGTCACTCGGGGAGGGCGGTGACCATCTGTCGGATATCCGAGTGCGATTTTGGCCGAGGTGGGGGAGGGGGATGGCATGAAAGCCTGCGACAATATTGACAAGTGAATATGAGGTCAGGGCGTCAGGTTTGTCTCGTTCAGTTTGGGTGAAAGCGGGTGGCGTGTTTCGGCTGTCTGAATACCTATCATTGCATGTACTTTCTTTCTTAGCTTTTTCTCATCATGTCCTTTCTTTCTTAGCTTTTTCTCATCATGATGTCCTTATTAATGGTTTCATTCCCCCCATTGATAATGAACGGAGCTGAGTGCACACGCAAATGACGGGTGGAATAAAAGGACTTGAAAAGGCCTCCAGTCACCAAGGGGAACTGTTTGTGACCATAAATGAATTTAGGCGCCATTCAGGGGACTTCATGGAAGAGGGAAGTTACGTCTTGATATTTCCACGTGTGTCTAGTCCTTCCTCGTTCACATAGTAGTCAGAAGATACTTCATGCCCTCCCACTGCTCAATGGCCGACGGCAGGATCTGTGAGGCCGCCAGCACAAAGCCGCCGCTACCCGACCCCGTCGGCCTCAGCTCGATCGTCCACGCCAGCTCGGCCAGGCCGACGTCGGTCACATAGTCCACACTGGCCCCTGTTGTAGCATACAGGGTCGAGCACGACGGGCCATAAGTGAAGCGCGTGCCGTACGACAGGGCGATGCGCGCAGCCAGGCCCGAGGCCAGGGTCGTCTGGCGGGCGTGGTTGGACGCCCTCAGCGCGCAGTTGTAGCCATAGGGCAGCAGGATGTACTGCCCGTAGCTGTGCCAGTCGATAAACAGCTTGATGCCCTTGCTGGCCTTGAGCTGGGACGTCAGTGCCACGAGGCCCTTGTTCTCGGGCGTGTCGCCCGCCGCCAGCCCCTTGTACGTCTCGTCGCACGGGTTAGTTGAGGCACCATTGGTCAGCTCCCACTTCCACGGCCAGTTGCGGTTGACGTCGGTGCCCACGCACGACGACGTTGACCTTGTCTGCCGGTTCTTGCGCCACAGCCGGTCGTTAGTCTGCGTGTACACGAAGCCTGGGCAAGTAAAGATGAATGTCAGCCAACATTATTCATGAACTCCGCAAGTCTAGCTGAAACGCAGAGAACTGGGAACATACCGTCCGGGTTGACAAACGGCAGAATGTAGAAGTCGTATTTGTCCAAGATGGTCTTGGCAGTCGTGTCGGTGGTGTTGCCGTACTGCGTGAGCAGGCTGTACGTAATGTACTCGACCACCTTGGCCGAGATCCATTCACGAGCATGGACGGTGCCGTGGAAGTAGACGGCGGGCTTGGAACCCTTGCCGCCGCTGCCCCAGAGGTGGATACCGAAGAGGGAGCGGCCCTGGAACGACGTACCGGCCGTGATGAGCTCCGAGTTGGCCGGGAACGCCGCCTCCAGGTCGCTGAAGAACTTGACGTGGTCCGCGTACGCGTGGTACGCGTTGAACCACGTCAGGCTGGGGATGGCCTGGGCCGTGACTGTGTGTGTATTTGTGAGCTGGGTTGTTAGAGTGCGAAGGGAGGCCAATAACTAAGCTGGGCAAGTGCATACCGTCGTACGTGCCAAACTTGCCCTCAGCGGCAATATCTGCTCCCAGATCCTTGTGCAGCACCTCAGTCTCGAGCCCGAGGGCCTCAAAGGCGGCAATCTCCTCGGGTGGGATGGCCACGTCGAGGTGCACGCTTGTGTCGAGGTTGAAGGGCACGGCGGCGAGGGGCGCCAGCTTGGCCTTGATCAGAGCGGCATCGTGATGCGTCGCGATGCGGAAGGCCCGGTACCCGCTGTACGTGATCTTCTTCTCAAGCTTTGGCACCGAGACACCCAAGGCGAGGGTAGCCAAGAGCCCGATGACGGCTGACGAGAGCTTCATGTCTCGGTGAGTTTCCTGTTGGGCTGTGGCGAGGGCAGTGTCGACATGCTCAGAGTCATGTCCAGCATGGCGGGCAAGACTCTTATATATTTGAGGTGGTCCGTCTTCAGTGATACTACGTTCTGATGGTCTCACTCGTCTCACTCGGGGGATTGTATTGGTAGTTGGTTTGCCGACATGCAGCCAACCATGCCAGCTCTGCCTCTTTCCATTTACGCAGACGTATCTGGTCATGATGCAGTCGCAGCCTGAGATTCACTCGTCTGGTGTCATGCTAATTAGTACCTTGGGCTGAACGGATGCGGGAGGTGGCATTGGCGTTGGCCGATGCCATCACGACATGGCGCGCGATGAGACCGCAGGTGAGCAGCAAGATGGACGCCAAGGCGCGCAGCCACCCCCAGGCTGTGTCCAACTGCCGCACCGGGGGCTTGGCCCTAGGCCCATCCCGCTACGCAGGGCTGGGCGTGGGATGGCGACCCTCTCGCCCTCGTTTCACCTTCCCGAAGCAGGCACTGGCCGACGCGCCCAGACCTCGTCTATACTCGCACGCCATCGAGTCCCCAAAGCCCCTCAGACTTCTAAAACACCTCAAGCGTTCGTCGACGCTGCCCCTGGATATTTTCTAGTGCAAGGTCCAAACCTGTATCTGTTCGCCCTGTTGTTCCTGCGTCATATATATCATGCCAAGGTCTGCCGCTATCCCGCGTCAGGAACTCGGGGGGCGCTTTGATCACGGTTCAGACAGGTAGGGAGCTAAACAGGTATGCGCATTCTGGTAAGCTTGGCACTCGCTTTGTCCCCAATCTCGATGTCTTATCTTGAAGCTAGTACCTTTCAGTGCTCATGTCATATTGATTAGTGTTGGTTTTGCTCTTATTGCGTCAGACTTGGCCGGCGTGAGGTAGAAAGAGCAAGCTCGGTCGAATGCGGTCGCTCTTTTCTGTTTTTTTCTTTTTTTTGAGGGTAATGTGAGATGTCTTTATCGGACATTGGCGAGCAGCTGGACGGCGGAGCGGGAGAAATCACAACAAAATGTTCACTCACGTTGCTCGGTGCTGGCCGGGTTCCGTGGAGGTGGAGAGCAGACCGAGGAACGTCTTCGGCAAACGAGAAGAGAAACCCTTAATTAAAGTGTGGCTTTCGCCAAGTAAACTTTCTGCTCACCTCGGCTGCGGCGTGAGAATTTAAGCTCTCTTGGGTTCGGATTGAATTTAATTTTGAGCCCTAACGTGTCACAAGGCAGGAAGGAGCAAACGGCCAACGGCAAGTAGCGCCTTCCGCCAGAACTCTTCCTTGCTCTGAAGTCATGATCTGAAACCTGAGGCCAGACGTTCAACAAACCGAATCCCATATAGTGTAGTGGTTTAGCATTCCAGATTTTCACTTCTGTGCACAGTGATGAACATCTTTCTGGGGACCCGGGTTCGAATCCCGGTGTGGGAAAGCACATTCTTTTCTTTTTTTTTCATCCTTGCAGAAGATGATCCGTGTGACCAAATACCTGTTTAATTGCGGTATCTAGGCACGTCCTTTCTCTCCTTCTTTCTCTTTTGCTCTTCTTTATCCTCATCCTATTTATGTACATTTACTCGCCAATTGGGGCTGTCACAGCGATGCTCCATGGATACCGTACGGCGCGCATCGGGGTGACGTATCACAGGTGGCACCTTGCACACTGGCACGGTGCAGTCCGAGTGAGGGGTGCCAGTCGTTAACGTAGTGCATCACATGCCCGAATCGGACATTGTGTTTGCCTGGCGACGGACCGCCGACTGGCTCCTAGAACCATCACCCTGGACGGCCACCTGATAAAAAGAGGCCTTGGGTTGGGCATCGGGCGTCGAGGCCGGGTGTGCATGCATGCCACATGGCCACCCCGCCTGCAACGAGCAAACACTCGCCAGTGGTCTCGCATCCTTCTGGCGGCTTGCCTCGGCCTCTGCTGTCTTTTACTCAATGCCCCGCGGGCCCGCCTCGAAACCGCCTACAGTGTTGCTTGCTGTCGACACTGAGGGCAGCAAGAGGAGGTTGGAAATGGGGACACTCGTCACTGTCAGTCCCGGTTCGGTACTACGAGAGACCCTTGGAAGAGACGGGGGAGCGTCTTCGTCGACAAGGCCTTGCTTGCGCTTGCAGGGAAGCCCGTCTTCTGCTGAAGAGACTTATAAGAGGACACGCGGGTGCTATTTAAATCGCCTTCCTCTCGTTCCGTCTGCGACAGATTATTCTGAGCACTTCTTCTTTTCACCTTGCTTCTCCATTCAATGGCCTTCGTGTTGCACAAGGAAAAAGAAAGCCGAAGGCGCGAGGAGCGCGCGTTCAGAGCCAGATGGCCCAGCCTTGGCACCTCTGCGATTCGACTGACGGGCCTCCTTTACCACTCGGCCGACCTAAAAGTACCGCAAGCTCTCATCCGCTCTTCGTCCATCACTCCTATGGGCCCCGTCGCATGCCCCTCCGTCCGCCCGACCGGCACCCAGTGCCGAGCCAAGCCGTTGCAATCCAGACCATGTTCCCAATGGTTGCTTACTCCAGTCTCTTGACGACCCTTGACCGCCATTCTACTTGATCGCGTTTGGCTTTGGCTCGAGTTTTCGCGAGATAATAAAATGGCGTTTCCCGCTCCCACGAATCATGAATGCGTGTTATTTCTGGCTTCCTTGCTTCAGTTCAGCTAACAGACAGAGAGGAGAAGAGAGAAAAAAAAGATCGACTCTCAAGCCAAGGTATGCCTGTCTTGTGTTGAAGTGTCCTGCACCTTCACCTTCTTCGTGCTAAACAAAGCAAAGACTCCCGACGCTAGGTCCCGCGTCTCTCGGCTCCTCGCGACCACTAGCATCACATCGAAGTTCCGTTCCAGTTGCCTCAACGAGACAGGCCTTGGCTAGTCTGCTGAGACTGAGAGTAAAATCGAATGCAAACGATCCGAGAACTAGCTGCACGGCGCTTGTTTGGTGCAGATTTACCGGTGGCTTTGCAGGTTTTCTCTCATATCCATGCCGCTTCCCGATTTTGGGCTACCAGCCTACATCCTACGTACCAAGGTCATCGGTAACAGGTCGCGTCGGGCTTCCCGTAGCCTTGTTTCACGACATGTCGCGCTCCCCTCGCAACAGCTGCCATTGACTGGGGCTGGCTTTGGTCTTCCGAGCACTTTCTCCCACACCAAGTCACGCTAAGTCACAGCAAAGTGAACAATTCTAGTTGGTCGGCATCTCGAACCGCCCATTCGTTCCGCTGGCAGTGGGCTTCAGATTGGGGTGCAGCGCTCTAGATCATTCGACAAAAATAATAACCTGAAAACTGACAGTGGTACAACACCCAGGGCAGAGCCAGGTCTGATTGGGGGCCATAACTAGCACCCGAGTCTTGGTTGTGACTCGCTCGTGCCGGCGACATATCCCAGCTCTGGATCAGCAACTTCTTGGGCGATCGAGCTTAACGAAGCTCGCAACGGGCCTTCCACTACCCTTTGTGGCCTCGGTCAGCCAGAATCCCAATCATGGGCTTGCCGACTGCGCTCATCCCTCCCCCCTCCCCCATCTTTATTCTACCAGTCCGATTCGGGTAGCTTGGCTGCGATCCGTCCAACCATCGTTAAACACATTTGATATCCCGGGATCTTGTCACTTGGGAAACAGAGACCACAAGACCTACCACTCCAGGTTTCCCAGGCCAGTCCGGAAAAAGATGCCAAGATTCCTGAAACTCCCGAGGTCGGAATCCCGTCACATGAATCCCGTCTCTAATTTGCTCACTTCGGCATTATTCTTCAAGAGTATCGGGATGACGCCGATCTGGGGTATGGCGCATTTGCGTTAAAGAGGGGGGGTCTGGGGGATGGGGGAAGAGTAGAGCCACATGGCTAAAATACAGCTCTATCATTGCTCAAGGAACTTCCTCCGCGGGTCTAACCTCCCGGGGGACCTCAGAGCAAAGTGGCGGTTGGGCATCGCCGAAAGGTGCCATTCCCTCGGGTCCTCAGGCTCGACGGTCAACGAGTTATAATGGCCGGGCTCATCTCTGCCATCTCTGTCATTTCTGACAGATCTGAGCACCATAGCCCCAACAGTAAAGCCAACTCTTCCACACCGAGCTAAAGTCTCCCTACTTCTACTCGATACAACCCGAGCCCGCAGGGTCCCCTCACGCGTGAGTTTCAGACTCACACCCATCTCAACTCTGATTGCACACACAACATGTTTACTTCGTAATTATACTTGGCACAAGCTGCTAACAGTGAGACAGGTGTCTTGAATCATGTTCCATGTGAGCGCCCAAGTCGGCAGCGGACGGGCCCGTGGGCACGGGACCCCCAGCAAAACCTCCAAGGGTAGTAACAGCAAGGACTCGAGAGTCTCTAGCAGCTCCAAGCCCGGTTCCTCGACAAAACACGGCCCGGCTGTAGCTCACGTCCCGGCGGCCTCTGCGGCAGGAGAGGAGCCGCTGAGCTTCCTGTTCGTAGTGAACGAGTTCGTCGCCAACTTTGAGCCGCTCCCGGGCCAGGTCGCCCCGGCCACGGATCAGTGGGGCAACATGGTGCCGCCCGTGAACGCGGCGTCGTACGAGAGCGAGGAAGTCGGAATCGTGTTCCGCTACTGCCAGGGCCTCGTGACCCCCGCGGCCGGCTACCGCTGGTACCGGCCGCGCATGGGCGAGCCCGGCAGCATTGCGCGCTACGACGCCGCTAACAACTTCGAGGGCTACCTGGTGGCGTACAAGACGCAGAGCGTGTTCGCGTGCTCGGCGCACCTGCCCATCGTGGTGTCGAACGGCGACTCGTCGCTGGGCGCGTCGTTCATCCGCCGCGGGTGCGCCTGCGACCACGCCTACGATGTTGAGAGCAGCACCAACACGTCCTACACGGCGTGGAACCTGCTGCACTTCAGCAGCAGCCCCGACATGGCCGGCGTGTCGCTGGCCATGACGGACGGCACGGGCGCGCCCTTTGTCCCCGCCAGGGACCCCAGCTGGATCCCCACGCTCGTCCCGCGCGTCTTCGAGAACACACGCGACGACCAGGGCATCCCCCGCTCCCGCGGCCTCGCCGGTGAGATGCCCCTCGTCATCGCCCTGATGGCCTTTCACGGCAGACGCAACCACGCCAGCGACGTCTTTAGCAACCAGTTCTGGCACTACAACCAGTGGCGCGGACCCAACAGCACACCCAGATGTAGGTACACCCGTTTCAGTATTTCTGAAGAGCAAAATCAAACCTCCCTTCTTTCTCCTTGAGTATAATTAATCAGGTGTAACACTAAAGCTACTTGCCTACCACAGACCCCCTTTCCGAGAACAACCCGCGGGGCTTCGTCGTCAGCGTCTGCCTGGATATCACCATCCCTCCCAACTACACTACTGACACGCTCATGGCCGACCCCGGTGCGCAGATGATTGATGCGCTGGAGTGGAGCAGCATCCTCGTCAGGGGTTGACTAGCCAAACCAACAACTTGGAGCGGTTTCCCTCATGAGAGACAAGATTCTCTTTGTCTTATCTTCACGTTTCTTGTCCCGTCTTCTCTTCTCTTCTCCGCCCCGTCTTCGGTTACTGCTATTTCCAGTTATGATACGTTCTCCTTTGTCTATTTAGTCGTGCTGTCTTTTGATTTTTGAAACTACCCCCGTGAGTTGCGTTTCATCTTTGCTTTCCGTCTTCTTTTTCTCTTTCTATGCGGCCTACCACTCTCCAGCCTTGGTTCTCTAGCCTTTTATAGCTTCTGAGTGTCCATCCTATCCGTTGGGTAGTCTCATGTGGTTGGGAACAAGGGTTGTGAAGACCATTTCACATTGCTGTGGCCTCGGTTTCTCCCTTGTTTAAGTGTCCGGGTTGTTTACTTCCCAACCTTATCTCTGGGCAAGGCATGACACTGCCACATGTGCTTAGAAACAGCCCAGGATTGATCATTTGTGTCTTTTTCTTCTATCACCTTCAGTTCTACTATGTTCCTCGCCTTTGATAGCCTCGATTCTGGGCCATCTCGTCCCAAGTGTCCGATCCTATTGACGCGGGAAGAGCTTTTGCCTGACCCGAGCTAAAGCCCACTTTTAACACATTATCTTATATTTTCCTTTGCATCAGCTTAAAGGCTCGCCCTAGCGGCATAGCAGCGTACAACCAATCTAGATGAATTTGGGCTTGCCTAGAGGGAGAGGGGGTGCTATCACGGCACCCCCTTGTCTGCCAATCTCCCTAGTCTTTCTGGTCTAACAAAGTCAGATCGCATCTAGCCGCATCATGCACCTTACGCCATGTGAGACCTTTTTGCCCAAAACCTTCAATCACCGCTTGACAGTCATCCTTCGTTCAACATATTGGGGCTTGCGAGTTCTCGTATTTTCACGAATACACCACGAGCTCCCTTCGCTTGGAAACATCCTGTCCTGCAGGCTATACTGCATCCGGTAATCTAACAGCGATATCACCAGATTGTGTAATGTACCTCACCCAAGGTAGAGAAGGGTATTGTAGCTGTGATACAGGTCAGTAAATTTGTCACGGCGAGTCAGTGTAGATAGCAAACGACAAACCTTTGGCTCTGTAATCTTCAGATACCGCACCTGAATTCCGCTCGTTGTGAAATAAGGTATCTCAAACTTGACCTGGATTGGCCGCTTCGCCCCCTTGCCTGGGGTACCAACACCACCCATGCTGCCACCAAAGCCGCCCGTCATGCCGCCGCCGTGCTCGTCATCGCCCCGGACACTCGGCAGGCCCAGTTCAGCACGCATGAGGAACTCCTTGCTTCCTCCAAACTGCTTGATCTTCCAAACGATGGCGCTCTGCTCTGGGGCGTAGTGCACAGAGCCAACATTGGTGCGGAAACGCGGAGTGTCGGCATCATCGGGGACGGGAACAATAATCTCGACATTGTTGGCCGTGCTGCGACGCTTGAACTGGGCCCTGGCCTTGAGCATGTATTCGATGCGGGAACCGCTGTGCGACTCGACGACACACTCGACCCAGATGAGCGGCTTGACCTGTGTATTGAGACGGTACGACATGAGCTCGAACTCGCCGTCTGGTGGAATAAAACTGATGGTCCGGTCGTTTTCGAAGCGCGACAGGCGCACGCACTGGTGAAACTTGACGTCCTCCATCTCGATCGCCTTGCCGCGCGTTGTCCGCCCCGTTGTCTCGAACATGACTTTGTCGTTTAGACCCAGGCGTAGTTCGGGCATGCCGGAGAGGTAGCACTTCATTTTTATGGCACCCAGAATCTCGGACCGTAGCACGTTGCCATTGGCTGACACGAGGAGATTGAGCGACTCGACCACGTCGAGAAAAACTTCGTTCTTGCGGTAGCGGATGCCCTCGGAACGCCAAGACACGGCATTCGTAACAGCAATGGGTGGCCGCGCCTGGATCTCGAGCTTGTGGGACTCCTGCGTGATGTACTCTTGCAAGATCTTGGATTCCGTCGTCTGGGGATAGCCAAAGTCCATCATCTCGTCAAGAAGTTCGTAAATGACAACGAAGTTGTCGCGGATCGATTCCTCCTCGAGCGCTTTGAAGTACTCAGTGAACACCTCGACAACCTTGTGCAGAAAGAGGAGAATCTCGGCGGCATTTGTGTTTCGTTTCGTGAGGGCGAGAAGGTAGAGATTGTTGTGTCTAATGTAGAGATACTGCGGAAACATAGTCAGCAAACAATGCTTATCACGTCGAGTGGGTGGTTGTGCGCTCGTACATTGATGCCCTCGTGGGAGAAGCATGGGGGAACGGCCGAGGACTCCTCTTCGGCTTCGCTCAAGAGGACAGGAAACTTCTCGACGGCCGACATGGGGATGTCTCCGCGATAGTTTCGGGCAAGGAGGGTCTTGCCCTTGAGGTCGAGGAAGAAGACGGCGGATGCCATGGCGAGCGATGGATGCTGAGCTAGCGACGGATCCGAGGTGATCGGGGGAGGTCAAATGCCGCCGGGCTTTGGATGCGGGAGAGCGAAGAGTCGACAAGCGAGATTCGGGAAGCTACTGGTTGGATCGAAGGTCAAGGATCAAGGATCGGAAAGTTAAGGCCGACGTGTCGAGGGTCGTCGTGGAGAGGGCGCGGCGCAAACGCCAGAAGCGAAATACTCTGAGGAGCTATGTCATGCCTTTAGGAATCTCGATCTATCAGTAGGCGCGGGTCAATTGCGCCGCAGAAGTTGTGACTTCCAAATTCGAGGAATGCCCCCTAAAACGCGGTGCACATTAACCTCACCGCACTGATGATGGCGATGTGGTTACAAAAGCACGGACCGCATTCTCGCGGGGGACCTGCCGCCTTGCAGCGCGCTCGCATCTCCTTAATTATGGGGCCCGATTGTCCATTTTCAGGCTCGGCCACCTGGCAAGGCCACCGTTGATGCCGGACAATGGCCAAACGTCTCTCCGAGTTCTGATGGGTTACCCAGGCGCTAGCTGTGGGGCACAAAAAAAATCCATTTTTGTATTTGTAGGCAATAAATTTTGGCGCTCTCTGCCTCTTTTCTTTTCTCTCCAACGCGCCCATTAGACAGTGCAGTACATCATACACACAACAGGGGCCGGCTTTCTGTCGGTATCCGATCCGTGTTCGGTTGATGATTCTAGCGATTTCGTGGCGCGGAGAGAAAGGGATTTTTTCCTACGACACCATAAGAGCTGGCCAAAGTATTGTCAATATGACAACTAAATTACTTGGGCGGCGTCAGAGGAGTCGGACATTCTGCCACATTTGAACAGGCCTGCTGCTGCCCATGCCTTGTCCTGTTTCTTGCTTGCAATTTTTGAAGTCATTTTTGGAGTTTCATCTATTCACTCCTTGCAGCCCGTGTTTTTACAGCTCCTCTCTTGAAAACAGCCTGTCTTGAAAACAGGAACGACAGTCAGTCTGCTATGTAATGAACTTTCGTGGAAAACACCTTGGGAGTCCGTTGAGATCAGTTAAACCGAAGCTGCAAAGAGTCAATGCCGTGCATGTCGCAACATCGTCGAAAGGCCACGGGACCAATTATGGAATCCTGTGCCAAACGCGCGCATCGCCACCAAGTTGGGATTATTTCAACCAAACTTTGCTCAACCGCCCGCGACGACTGCTGCGGAGAGGCATTTTGTACTCCGTTATGAACCTTGACCGACGCAGAAACGTTGATCCGCAATCTACCGAGGATAAAACTCGTCTCCCGTCAATCGTGGGGTGTGTAGGCGTGCCTGGGTAGACCTCATGGTCCCCCCCAAGTCTTGGCGCAGCCTCACTGATCGTGAATGGGTGTGAAACTGAACTGGTTCGAGTGGCCAGCCGGCTCCTGAGCTTCGACCGGTCCCAGGACAAAGGAAAACCAGACACTCCTATCAGATGCTTCGGCTGCATTTGTCCTCACAACAAAGCGCGAACAAATCAGCATCTGTTGTCAGGTGGAAACGGGCACAGATGCGATCCACCCGTCTTCTTTTTTTAACATGTGAAGGTGGGTCGAGGGACGACGATAGCCATTGAAGTGTTAGCATAAGCCGAGAGCGGGCGGATAAGCCCCAACAGCTCATCACGCACTGACATGTGCTGGAGGCTGGCGCTGTCCTCCCGTCTGGCACACTCCCACGCTCCGGGACCTTTCTCGATTCGTACATGCGGCAAAAGAAGATGTTTAAATTGATACCATACGCTGCCGCATATGAGCAGCTGATACTCATGCAGGTTTTGGCGTGATGATAATGATGTTAACCGTGTTTGGCAAGCCGTCATGATTGTGGCATATCGGCCAAGCGTGCAGATGGGGGCCCCGCATTGAAGAAATCGGTGGGTTGCTCGTGCCGGGGGCTCCCAGTTGATCTCACCTGCAACGTTCAAATCCAAACCTTCAGTCTTCACAAGCACAGATGAACCCGGCCAAGGAGAAGCACGGGCGCCTTCTTCTATGGGTTATGCTTTATTTCACACGATAGGCATTACTGGAAATGGATTTCTAAATACTCAAGGTTATCTTGCCGGGCTCCGTACGTACTTAAGGTTGTTTGACCACTTGTCGAATTTCATCGTCCACTTCTGAGGCGATCCTGCCTCCCCACGCTGATTAAGCTACGTGATGAATCTACCTTACCTTACTGGGGATTCCATATCTGGCATGTTGTCTGCACGTAGTTGCGGATCTATTACCAAGTATAGGGTGCTCAATCAGTGACTTGGCGAGGACCCCACGCTGTATTCGTAGCTAAATCTGTAGGCTAGCATTTAACGACGGAGCCATAGAAGGAGGGCACAGAAGCCGGGAGCCTGTGAAGCCTCGGACCCTGCGCGGTTGGGAGAGCGCCTGACCTCAATGTGACATCCCGAAGCAGCGGTTAGGCGGGGCGTCCGCCATGCCATCCATCCACCTGTCCCTCCATGGCTGGGAGCCTGGGACGGACTTCACAAGATTTTTGGGTGACCCCAAATGCCCTGCCGCTGATGCTGATGCTGCTGGCGCGGCCAGGCCCCCCTCTTTGCTCCCACTCTTGCCACTCACAGGGCAGGCCTTTCCTAACTGAGTCTTCCTTCTGACGGGAGGTGCGTCGCTTCCAGCCCTGGGTGTCTCGGGGGCCAAACTGGTCAAGGCTCCGGCATCCCGTCACCCCCGTCAAGCCCTGCATCGCTAGGTTCTGTGTCGCCCCCCCTCCCCAAAAGGAAGACAGCGTCCTCGCAACGCGCCCGCTTCCTCCAACCCGCCAACCACACAATACCTTACGGAGCGCCGTTGACGGATATCCTGTTGCAACGATCGAATGCAAACGATCCGACATCCGATTGAACGATCAAGCAGCTGATTCACACCAAGACCCAAGGCGGCCTTAGCCTATATACGTTTCGTGCTAGACGTGCTGTCGGGCCCGCGCGAGCGCTAGATGACGGAGACGCGGCTCGAAAGGTAGCGCCCAGCCAGCAAGACTACCGGTAATGAAGGCGTCCGCCTCGCAAGCCGCTCCGCTGGTTTTTGGCCTCACCCGGCATTAACACGGCGACGGATAACTTGGAGAGTAGAGCCAAGCGGGAAGCCGTGGAGATGGAGCAACAGAGTCAGACTCACATGCTGGCCCACCCGCGAACGCCGCAAGAACAAGCACACCCCCAGGAACTCCAGACACGGGCAAGGGCACAGGCACAGGCACAGGCACAGGCACAGGCACAGGCACAGGCACAGGCGCAGGCACAGGCAGAGGCAGAGGCACGGGCACAGCAGCAGGATGGGAAGAGTCTGGGATTGCACATGGTCGGCGTCGCTTCGCCTTCGGATTCGTCAGGCGATGATGCATCCGAACATGCAGCCGGCTCTATAGCGTCTGTCACTACGAACCGAAGCTCGATCCAGACCCAGCTGAGGCCCTCGGTTCTCGACAGCCCCGCAAACCTCCAGCTCAGAGCCTCGCCGCTCCCAGTCACACTACACCACTCGTCGTCGCTCTCGCCGCCGCCCCGTTCTGTCTCCCACGACTCCGTCTCGCTCGTATTTCCCGACGCACCCGCCGCCGAGCTCCCCCCGATCCAACTTCAGCACGACAAGACGGCGCTGGGCTCGCACCAGACCACCCTGCCGTCACTCTCGTCCGTCACCGGCGGCCAGTCCCAGCGCTTCCCGCCCTTGCAACCGTCGCCGGAGCCATTGCACGCCGCTCCCGCCGCTCCCCTTCAACCCGTCCGGCACTGGCCAAGTTTGAATCCCTTCACCGCCTATTACTCGCCGAGCTATGCTCAGCCCGCCGAAACTCCCCAACGCATGGACCCCGAACACTATGCGACGCCGCCCGGCCGAAACTATGATCGGCGAGCGGGCAGCGTGAGTCTGGATGACCCCGACGTCCGCCTAGCCGCCGAGGCGCTTGGTGAACTGAGAGCAGGTAAGCTGCATTGTGTCCATTTGCAAGACGTCAACCGCCTCAGGCAGGCGCTGACTAGTCTCCAGACTTTACCTCGACGACGCCCAACCGCAACAACTCTCAGGCCCCAACTCCCACCCCTTCCATGTTCAATGTGGCCTCTCCGCCGCCTCAAGACATGGCCCACGAACAAGCTCCCCCGGAGCCTCTCTTGTATCTGATCACTACTTCCCAGAACATCCTGACGAGCGCCACCACTGCATACAACCGCGGCAAGAACATTGACCCGAGAGTCAAGTTGGGAGCCGAGACTTTGGAGGGTTATCTTGGACCTGTCGCCAAGGCAGTAAGCACCGTCGGGCGGAAGACAGGTGTCGACAGCAGTGTCAGGTGGATCCTCGGTGGCGGGAGGAGACGCCCCAGGAGGCCGTGCCCGTCAGATACGGAATCCGGCGATGTTGGAAAGAAAAAGCGCCGCAAGGCCGAGTTGGGCGAGAAGGAAATTGAGGATCTCAATAGACTCTCGGTTTCGGATCTCTCGTACTCTCCGTACAGCAAGGAGCGACGGCTGTCGGAAAGCACCATTGATACTCTTCCTGCATACGATGACTACCGATCCCCGGCTTACACCGAGATGGCTGAGCGAGACGGCCAGGGTGGCAACGACTCGCCATGGCCCCGAAAGATAATGATATCTGCTTCAGGTCTTGGAGTTGCCATGAAGACGGAGAGCTTGCGCAGCTTGAAATTCTGTCTCGATAGGTTACGCAACGCCAATAGATACGTTGCAATTTCTCTGGCCGAGCTTCAGAAAACAATGGATCAGTACGACGCAGCGGCTAGAGGCACAGAGCATGGCCAGAACGCGGGGGCGGGTGCCTCGCAGCCGATACAAGGTGGGAATCGCCACGAGCTGGTGGAGCGCATGGACGCCCTGAGGATCACAATCTCGCAGGCGATCCATCAAATTGTGAACCTGATTTCAAACTACACCAGCGACTCTCTGCCGGCCAACGCAAGGGACCTTGTCCGCGAGCATCTTGTGACGCTCCCTGCCCGCTTCGCCGTTGCCATGGGCCAGACTCCCAGCAGGCAGGTCCAGAGTGACAACGACCCCGCATCACTATCGCGAGAAGCTGCCAACAAAGCGCTGGTTCTTGCGAGGGAGGGACTCGGCATGATGACCCAGATCAGCGACATCCTCAACCGGACGATTGACAGCGCCGAGTCGTGGTGCAATACGCTGTACAAGCAAAACAATAGCCCGGTGGACTCGTCAATGAGCGACGCCAACCGACAGATGCCCTTGCCGCACACCCTAGCAGCCGCTGCCGCCGCCGAAGATGTCCATATGGTGGGCTAGAGGTACAGAAATAGTAAGGTTGAAGCGAGATGAAAGAAAGTCGAATTGCGGGCGGCAAAAAATAGACATGGGGTTGCGCGCGGACGGAAGCCTCGGACGGAAGCCTCGGACGAAAGAAAAGTAAAAAAAAAATAAAAAATTGAAACGACATGAGCTTGGCATTAGAGATCAGAGTTACGCCGCTCCAACTCCGCTACACCGACATCAAGTCACTTTCCTTGTATCCAGATGGCGGGCAATATGTTCGGCTTTTTTCTTTTTTCCTTTGTGGTTTTCCTTTTTCCTTTTATTCAGAAACTCACGTCCCCCCTTGATTCTATTTCTTTGAACAATTTTGGCGTATATACACGTTTACAGTGCGAGGTTGCGGGTTTACCATCTAGCGTGGGCTGGGAGTAGGAGATTGGATTACCCAGGGTAGGACCGAGCTGGCGGATATTCTCGAACTTGTTTCTTCATATTGGAGCAGCCTGTGGTTATTTACTTTCTTGTGGGAATGGGCCCCCTACCCAGAGTGGCGCGCGTGGCTTCGGCTCATGTATTTGTACGGGAATTGGTTGCATTGTATACAATCCAATGTACATAGCCCGTGCTGGGTTTGCTGTCGTCGTACCTGGGTTAGGATTTGCATGGGGTTTGATGGTGGTTGTTTTTATTCCCTTGTTGTGCTGGTGTTTGTTGTTGAGCTGCGAGATAAACAAAATGAGATTTTCAAGACCACGAAGACTTGTGCAATTGCCATAGAGTTGGCCGAATCTGGTCGCTCGTGACTGGCTTTCACCTTTGCAAGCTTGAAGCAAAGTTCAGGTAGAGCTGAGCTCCTTTTCCAGGCAGTAAATTATGCCCTAGTTTTACGGAAGCTGCAAACCTGCGTCTTCACATCAACACATCCCCCCTGTTCCGCCAACCAGCAAAGCACCCCACGGGGTACAGACTACGCACAAAGTGAGTACTGTACATACCTCTAGTTCCCGTTTTGGCTACTTTAACGGATGTAGTAATGGTAATAAAAATAAAATAGAAAAATAACGCTCAAAAACAAGACATAACGGCGCTAGCTCGTCTATTCGCAAAGTACAGAGTCATTTTGAACCTTTATGGGATATTATTCTGGCAGTCAACTTCGTCCCATATCCTCGCCGGCCCCACGAGCCATGCAAGCAGCGTGTCGACATCGGGCACGCGGACGCTGACGGGCGGCGCGGTGCCGTGGGGGGAGAAGACTTGGCGGTCGGGAAATTCGCCCAGCGTCCTCACGTCCTCGGAACACTGGCACTCTTGGTCGGCAACCAGCACCGAGTTCCACCCGGCGCCGAGCGCGCCCACCACATCCCGCTTGTACTCGTCGCCCACGTAAACCTTGATCCAGTCGCCGGGGATGTGCTGCTGCGTGGCCAGAACGTGCGCGGCAGCAGCCTCGGCAGCCTCGAAGATGCGCCGGTCGGGCTTCTCAAAGCCCACATCGTACGACATGCAGTGGAAGTCGATGTCGTAGGGCCGCCCAGGGACGGCGGCAGCCGGGTACGCAGCCGACGCAGCGCCGGCGCGCAGCGGGCTCACGGCCAGGCCCAGCGACGACAGGATGCCGGGGACTCTGTCGTCCGAGTTGGTGATGACGCCGACGACCACGTCGTCCACGACAGAGCCGTCCAGGGGAAGCCTCAGGGCGGCGCGTTTCAGCAGCCTGAACAGGCGCGGGTCTAGCGCAAAGTCGTAGGCCTCGGCGGTGGCGAAGCGGCGCAGGAGCCGCGGCGCGAGATCTGCCGGCAGCGGTCTCGCCTCGTCGACCACGGGCTGGAATGCGCCGTGGATGACCTGCTGGTGAGGACCGAGGGGGACATGTGTGCATCAGCAACCGGGTTCAGGGGTCTGGGAATGTTGTGGTATTTCTTGATGGATCATGTCATCGCGCATGAGAGAGAGGAGAGGGACGCACGTCGGTCCACCACTTGTGCGCACCCATGCCCGTGGCCTTGCCATAGTTTGGGTAGGTGCGCGCTTGGTGCAGAAAGGCGGCCTTGAAGGCGGCGTGCAGCTCGCCGTCGTCGACGCCGGCGAGCCCGCACTGTCTCGCTACGGCATTGTACTGCGCCGCGATGGGCTGCTTGGGTCTGAAGATTGTCCCGAAGGCGTCGAAACACAGGAGCAGGGTTCGCGGCGGCATTTCTGCCCCTTTCGCCAACGGGGTTCAATTTGCACTGTACTTGTACTTTGTTCAGTGAGTGCTACCGCTATCGCTGCAGAGCCAGGACAAGGTTTCGTGTTCCGTTCTGGTGCGGCATGTCCTAGGTAAGGTGAGGCAAGGTAAGTTAAATGAAAGGCACGGCCTGGGCTGCACAATGAAGCTAAATAGGCCGGCAAGGTTTTGTGTTGAACTTGTCACCGTTTTGCTGTGATGACTGTCGTGTACTGGTGTCAGCCCGGTCAAGACTCCGTGGTAAGAAACAAGCCATTGCCCCGCCAGAGCAAACGCGGGGGATCCCACGTGGCTAGCAACTAACCGGATCTAAGTACAAGAAACAACCGTTTTGCACTCCACAACTTTACAGTGAGAATCCGTCCAACTCTTGAACCACTCGACGGTTGAACCATTCCCGCGCAAACAGCAGCCCCCTTCCCGCTCAGGGATCGAACGACCCAGATGCGACGGCGCAACAAGACGAGGAACCACCATGGATTGCAAGTACAGATGCAGACTAATTAATTATTATCCAACAAATGCTCGATTCTAGACTCAACTCAAAAAGGTATCCGCGTGTAATTGATACCCGCATTTCGATCGACAGCGTGATGACGCGGAGGAAAACGCCCAGATATTAGCTTCTCGGTACTCAGATGTTGGCAGCGTCCTGCATGGCAAACATGTCGTCCATGAGCTGCGCGTTGGCCTGGGCGCTGGCCAGCTCCATCTCGGCGAGGTTCTGTGCGGCGTCGCTGTTGATCTGCTCGACGTCTGCGGCCGCGTCTCCTAGTCCGCCGTCGCCGTAGCCCGGGTCGCCGCCATAACCCGGGTCGCCGCCATAACCCGTCTCGCCGCCGTAGCCCGTCTCGCCGCCGTAGCCCGTCTCGCCGCCATAGTCGGTGGTGGTGGTGTTGTTGTTGCCGTAGTCCTCCCCGCCCGCGCCACTGTCCCCGGTCTGCTGCCACGTCTCGCCGCTGTTCTGCACGTCGCCGTCGTAGCCAAACCCAGCGTCGCCGCCAGCGTCGCCGCCAGTATCGCCGCCGGCATCCTCCTCTTCTTCGCATGCCTCCCAGCCACCGCCTTCCTCGTCCCCTGCACCACCCTCGTCACCACCCTCGTCATCACCACCATCATCGTCACCGCCATCATCACCATCGTCATCCCCCACCGCCGAAGCAAGGAACCTCCCAAACTTGACCATGCCGCTCCGCTGTGGCTTCTTGATCCCCGCGCCGCCGGCGACGAGCTTGGAAGCATGTGACGCCCCCAGCGCGCCGAGCCCGACAGCCGCGAGCCCGCCCGCCACGGCGAACATGCTCGACATGCCTGATGATGTTGTTGCTACTGGTGCTGGTGCTTGTGCTGGTGCTGCTGGCTGTGATCCAGATGTACGCGCGTTTGCGCCGCTGGCTGCCCCGCCTCTGCCTCTGCCTCGTGCTGGCCCCCCGCGACCACGGCCCCGTGCTGCCCCGCCGCGCACTGCTCCGGCTGGCGCCTGCGCTTGGTTGGTGGTTGAGGCTGGGGCTGGGCCGGCTGGAGGCACGCCGCCCAGCACAGGCTGTGACTGTCCCGGTGCGAGGGGGTACGTGGCCTTCTGCTGCTGCTGCGGGTATGGCTGGGGAGGTGGCTGCTGCGAGAAATATGACTGGACAGGTTGCTGCTGCTGCTGCTGCGGCGGCGGCGGCGGGTATGCATATTGCTGAGGCTGCGGCGGTGTCTGGCCTGGCGGGTACTGCGGCGTGAATCCTGGGGTGAAGGCTTGCTGGGCCATGTTCCACGCCCCCTGCAGCTGCGGTTGTGTCTGCTGCTGGACAGGCAGAGGAACCGCGCCGGGGCCCTGCTGCATTTGCGCCGGCTGGGGCTGCCCGCTGTTGTCACGCGCGGCGACTAGCTGCTGTTGCGGTATCCACTGCGGCGCCCACTGCGGCTGAGCGGGCGGCATGGCTCCGGCCGGAGCGACAGTTTGTCCTGGACCGACTTGTTGGGCTGGCCACGCCGGAGGTTGTTGCGGGTTGAACTGGGGAGGGTAGGGCCCTGCTGGTCCCGGAGCATTACCCGCCGGGTTCCACGGCTGTGGTTGCAATTGTTGTTGCAGCTGTTGTGGCGGTTGCAGTTGTTGTTGGGGCTGTTGTTGCTGTTGGGGCTGTTGTTGCTGTTGAGATTGAAATTGCTGCTGTGGCTGTTGCTGTGGTTGCAACTGTTGCTGAAGCTGTTGGTGCGGTTGTAGTTGGTGTTGCTGCTGTTGCTGTTGCGGCTGAAATTGTTGCTGTTGCGGTTGTTGTTGCTGCTGCTGCTGCGGCTGTTGTTGCTGCTGCTGCACAACACCGCTTTCTGGACCTGCGCCTGGTTGCGGAGGAGGGCTAGCGGCGGCGGGCGGCGACATCTGCGCCGCTTGACCTCCATTCCACTGCGCAGGGGATGGTCCCGTCGACCACTGGTTCGCAGCAGCAGGTCCGTCGGGAGGTCCGGATGCGCCCGTCGGGACTGGGGATTGCTGGCCAGGGGCATTCGCCTGGGGAGCAAACTGTTGCACGCCTCCCTGAGGTTGAGGCTGCGGCTGAGCAGGCTGCTGCCCGCCCATTTCTCGGTTCGCGCCATTTGCCGTGGGCGGAGACGCAGCCCCAGGAACCGGAGGAGACTGGGCCTGGGGCTGGGGACCGGCTGGAGGTGTTTGGGCAGGAGGTTGAGCCACAGCGGCGGGCCACGTCTGTGCTTGCTGGACGCCGGGTCCTGGAGTCTGAGCAGCCTGTCTAGGTGGAGGAGTTGCCGTGGACTGTGGATTCCAGTTCTGCGGGGCCTGTCCGGAAACACTAGGCCCGGCAGCTTGGGCGGCGGGTCCAGGGGGAGCTCCCGCAGGCTGAGAACCCCAGCTCCGGCCGGCTTGGGCCCCGTACAAGACTGGACTCGCTTGCTGTTGAGGGGGCTGTCCGCCAACTCTGGGCCCTACCGCTTGAGCAGCGGGCCCGGAAGGAGTGCTAACAGGCTGGGTATTCCAGTTTTGAGGAGTTTGTCCGCCAACCCCAAGCGTCGGAGTCTGTGCAGCAGGCCCAGGAGTACCAGAAAACTGCGGGTTCCAGGCCTGAGGAGGCCGTCCGCCGGTAACCGGTCCCATAGCCTGAGCGGTGAGCACAGAAGGAGTGCCAACAGCCTGGGGATTCCAAGTCTGAGGAGGCTGTCCTCCATACCCGGGTGCGGTACCTTGAGCAGCCGGCCCCGCAGGCTGGGGCCCGGCAAGTTGGGGGTTCAAGTTTTGGGGAGGCTGGCTGCCGTACACGCCTGGCCCCGCTTGCGGCTGGGGAGGCTGCCCACCCGGCGGACCTTGAGCCTGGGCGGGAAACCCAGCAGGCGGAGTGCCCGCGAGCTGGGGATTCCAGTTTTGCGGCGGCTGTCCCATATATGCTGCTGGGTTTCCCTGCTGCTGGGGCGATTGTGCACCGGTAGGCAGAGGGGCGGCGGCTTGGGGATTCCAGTTCTGGGGAGGCTGTCCCTGTCCCTGCGCCTGTCCCTGGAAAGCAGCAGGAGCAGTGCCAACGGCCTGGGGGTTCCAGTTCTGAGGCGGCTGTCCCTGTCCCTGCCCTGGAGCCTGAGGAGCGAACCCAGGAGGACCGGCAGGCTGTTGCTGTGCATTCCAGCTCGGAGGCGGTTGACCCTGCCCTTGCCCTTGCCCCTGAGCCTGGGGATTCGCGTTTTGAACTGCGCCCCAGTGCGGGTTGGACGGTTTGGGCGGCTTCGCAGCGGTGGCCGCCGCCAAGGCCGCCTTCTGCTTCTGCTGGGCGGCGAGCTGCGCGTTGTAGGCGGCCTGGTGTGCCGACGAGGCGGCGCTCTTGATGGCGCCGCCCATTCGGCTCGCCGTCCTCTTGGTCCAGCTCCCGACCGAGTCACGCTTCTCCTTGCCAAAAACAGAAGTAGCATAGCCGCCAATCTTCTGGCCGGCGTTCCCCACAGTCCCCGCGATGGGACCGGGGTTTGACTGGTTGGGCGGCATGGGAATGTTGTAGGGGCTGGCAGCAGCCGCCGCGGCAGCTGGCGGAGTCATGGAAGGTGTGGAAGGGATGGCCGAAGGGGCAGGCGTCGTGCCATCGCCCGGAGGGTTGGCGCCAACCGAGGGCTGGGTCGACGCCCTGTGTGGGTTGGCTGGGAAAGCAGCTGGCGAGTACGAGACTGCCGCCGACGGCTGAGGCGGGGAGGGCGAGATGGAAGCCTGCTGGAGATAGGGCGAGGTAGGCGGTCCTTGGGCGCCTTGGGGACCCGGTGGCGCCCCGGGATACGCACCCGGGAATGTCACCGAGTGGTGTGGGTGGGCGCTGGGAGAGGCATATTGTGCCGGGGGGTAGTAGTGACCTGCCGTGGGCTGCGGAGTGGCTGGGTGCTGGTACGGAGACGACCCTGCCGGGCTGCTGGAATTCGACGGGGGATGTGGAGATGAACTGCTGGACGGCGGGTATGGGTTGCCATACTGCGAGTTGCGGTTTGTCTGCGGCTGCGGGGCGCCCGATGAGGAATACCCAGAGGCCGCTGGCGGGTAGTAACCAGTCGGTTGGCTGTTGTAGGGATTGTACGCTTGCCACTGCTGGGCTGGCGGACCCTGCGAGCTTGGAGGTGCCTGTTGGTGATATGGGGCATATGGGTCCGCATAAGAGTACCGCTGGGGGATGGCCTGGAGCCCTTCGTGGTCAGGGGGGGGAGGCTTCTCAACCACGATCAGACCCTCGCTGTCCGGAGTAGCGGTAGTATTTGAAGACGGCCCGGGCCCGGTGCTGTTGGCAGAAGCAGCCGGCGTCGGCGTTGCGTTGGCCGTCTGGCCGGAACCGTGCTCGGGGGCTACCGAGTTGCCAGGCTCCGCAACAAAGGGCTGCGCCGACGGGACCGGTCCTAGAACTTCATAGGGGTGCCCGGCCGGCCATTGTTGAGAGGCCGGCCGTGACTGTTCCTGCGGTGGTGCTCTCTGAGATGGGGCGCGGCCTGGCATGCCAATGGCCTTTCGCTGGAATTTTGGAGAAGCCGCCGCGTTTTCCAAGCTCATAGCGGCCATGGTGGGTGACAAGTTTCTAGCCTGCTGGGGATTCTGCTGGGCGGGCTGTTCCTGCTGCTGGTTTGGTGCATCTTGTCCTCCCGGCGTTGGGCCGTAATATCCATCGCCCGAAGCAGGCCCGCCGTAAAAAGACATGACGACAGCTTGACGGATCTAGTCGCATCAGACGGTGCCCTCGAGCTCTTTCAGACACGGGCCAAGGGGAGGGCAGACGCAGATGCGGCTCCGGCCTTGCCTAGATTTTCGGTCTCTGGGCGAGCGTCTTTTGAGGGGAAAGCCAAGAAACGAGGGGACGTCCGAGGCCAAGAAAAAGCCAAGCACCAGAAGAGGGTGCGGCTGAGAGGTGCCAATTTATCGTGGCGCGCACTAGGCCCAGTCCAGCTGGGCGACCTTGCCAAGTTGAAACATCCCGGTTGGCCGCCGCATTTTCTGGCAAATCCCACGCCTCCGCGCTGCACGCCTCAAGAAATTCTAGCCCGCCCGTCTGAAAGCGGGCTAGCTTCCGGCCCGCTGCTGTGCAGCGAGCGTCGCACCTCGCACCAGGCGGCTCCTCCGGGGCCAGGGGGTTACCGAGGCCCGCCCGGCGCTGATGCGGATATCGTGTTGGCTTTTTCAGTAAAAAGGTCATACGTACCGTTGAATGGGCTTGATAGAGGGCCGAGTGGGTTTTCTTTTTGCCAGCAACATGAAATGGAATTCCAAGCCAACCGCTCCGTGGCGCATAATTAAGAGGGAAATGTACAAGATAAGTAAGTACACTATTAATCAATTCCGGAGGAACTCTGTTGGATCCCAATCGGTCTCTTGCGCGAGGATTGTCAACGTTTTCCACGGGACCCAATATCCAACTTCGTCAATGACTTCTTCCCCGGCTGTGTCCAGCCTCTCCCGGTCGTTTTCGTCCAAGGCATTAATATCTGGACCGAACCTATTGGATATGTCGACAAGGCAGGCGACATAGCCTCTGAACGCCGCGTCCGCATCTTTGATCTGCTCGAACGCCGCACGTTTGTCCTCAATTGGGCGATTCGACAGCCAGCCGTTCCTCCAGGATTCCACCTCATCATCCCTAGCAGTGATGAACTTGTTGATAAAGTCGAGGTGGTGTTTATACACGTCCGCATTCTCGACTGTAATTAATCATTCATTAGTATTATTCAAGGAAGTTACAGATATTAATCAGTTGCAGCCATTGTCGCCAAGGAGAAAAGGTCGTTTTGCGACTTACCAATCGCAGCTGCCTCCTCAGGCCTCATTCCGCCATAAACGTCCTCGAAAGCGGCCCTGAAGTAGTCCATGATGACAGGGCCGTGGCGCGCCTCGAGCATATTGTCGGCCGTGGCGATTGTGTAGTCAGTGACCAGGTCGCCAGCGCTGTACACGACATTGGCGGCCTTGATGCGCCAATCGAACTTGTTTTCGCCCATTCTTGGTGTTATTTCATTAAGCACTGGGTTTGCGTCGACGCCGGCCTTCTGGTTGATCGCGTACAGCCGGACGTCTAGGAACTTCTGAGCGAAGCCCTTGATGGCGGCGTGGTAGCGTTTCGGGAAGGCCTCGAGCCACGTCTTGTCGACCGAGGAGCGCCTGGAGGAGCGCCTGGAGCGTGTTATAGGCGAATCGAGGTCCATCAAGTCGGAATCCCGGTCTCTGCCCTGGTTGGGCGCCCGGAGACTCTGCTCGGCGCGGGCTTTCATCTCGTCGATGACTTGCTTCTGAGTTCCAATTATTCCGCTGAAATGGCCTACAAGGTCGTGGCCGAGCTGGTGGGTGAAGAGGCGACCTTCATTGGACAGAGGCCAGTCGGTGAAGATCTTGGGATTGTCGCCGAGGGCTTGTTGGAGCGCCGACCAAACGGCGGTGACCGTGTCCTGGGCCCCACATTTCCGCCCATCGTCGGTGAGGTTGTTCTGGAAAATCAGTATCGACTCGCGATTTCCGAAGCTGCTTGCGGCCGTTTGGGGTGGAAGAACAGGTGCGGGCTGGGGTTGCTGTGGGTCTATGAACGGGTTCTGGTCGTCGAAGGATATCGAGGCTCGGCCGCCCATGCCCATGCGCATGGCAATGCGCCTGGCCACGTCTGGGTTCCACGTCCTCCGAGTTCCGCTAGTTCTCGAGGCTGGTCTAATCGGCCGACCATAAGGGTTGTACCTCCTGTGCCAGGCAGAATCCATGACGGCGCAGACGGCGATGGTCTCGTTTCAACTTTCTGGGCTTTGGGTTAGAGTTTGGCCTCGCCTCGAAATCAATCGAATTGACACTTTGACAGTGAGTGAATTGCGCATGCGCCGAGCAATTAATTGGCTTTCCGGTAATTATGCATCTTGCACATCCCGGCCTCTCTTAAGAAGAGCTCGCCGAGGATAAAGAAAGCCATCACTATGGTCTTTGTGCTTCCGGTTGCGGCAGGACGTCCGCCTTTCTTGTCACGTCTGTTGTCGACGGCTGTTGTTGTCGCCTGATGTCTGTGTTGGGTTAGGGTTGGCCAATGATTGCCAAATCCATCAGAACTCACTGCCGCTGCGCTACCCACTACCCCGCACTCCTGGGAGGTTCAACCTTCTGGAAGGCAGCGAGAGAACGTTCTGTTTAACAGCCGAAACAGCCCCCTCCAGTGGAGCTGAGCTCTAGGTCTGCAATCCGATCGCTCCCATGGCAGTCGCTATGCGCAACACCGCCCTTACATCTCGGACTGGCGTGTGAACCCAATCCCCAGGCCCTTTGGGTGACCGGATCACGGACCATAGTGTAAAGGTCAGCCAGAACCATGGCCGCAGCCTCGGCGTCCTCCACTGGCGCCGCGCCCTTCGAGATCCTCATCTTCAGCCGGACGGCCGCCTACCGCCACGCGTCCATCCCCGCAGGGATCCGCGCCCTGCAGCAGCTGGCCGCACGCTCCGGCTCGTTCGCGGCTGTCGCTGGCGAAGACGCGTCCGTGTTCACGCGCGCGGGGGGCCTCGCGGCGTACCGCGTCATCGTGCTGCTGCAGTGCTCGGGCGCGTTCCTGGACGGCGCGGCGCTGGGCGCGCTAAAGGCGTTCGTGCGGTCCGGGCGCGGCGTCGTCGGCATCCACAGCGCCAGCTTCGCCTTCACGCTGCCGTCCGACGACCCGTGGTACGGTCGGCTCGTCGGCGGCGTGTTCGCCAACCACCCCGCGCCGCAGCTCGCGCGCCTGACGGTCCCTGACCCGGCGCACCCCATTATCGCGGTGTCGCTGGGAAAGGGCGGCGGCATGCGGCGACGGCGGCGGCGGCGGCGGCAGCAGCAGCAGCAGCAGTCGGTGGTGTCAGGTGGTGATGCGGGTAAAGGTACGGACGCGGCAACTAATGTGGATGCTAATGCGCGAGTGGAGCTGTCGTCCGAGTCGGTGCCGGAGTGGGAATGGGAGTGGCTGGACGAGTGGTACAACTTCAAGACGCACCCACGCCTCGCTGCGGGCGGTGGCCTGCACGTGCTGCTTGCCGTGGACGAGCAGTCGTATTCTGGCGGAACGCACGGCCAAGACCACCCTGTTGCGTGGTGTCAGGAATTCGATGGTGGTCGCTCGTTCTACACGTCGCTCGGTCACTTTGACGAAGCCTACGAGGACGAAGCATTCATGAGCCAGCTGCTAGGCGGGATCCTGTGGACTGCCAGGGTCAGCTGAATGGGGAAAACATGTTAACCTACCAAAGTCTCGGTCTTGGTGGAGCAGGTATTCTCGATTATCATGGGTCGACATTTGTGCCAAGGAGGTAAAGTGTGTATACACATTGGTGGAATCTGACTCGGATCTTCCCGAGTATATAAAGCTATGTGCAAGAAGAGTAGACAAAGGGAAACACTCCAGATCATGCCATTTTCCTCAACTCTTTCTCAACATGAGCACACTGTCGAGAGACTTTTCGTTGCGGCCTAGGAGAGACTGCGGCCTCGGAGAGTCTCTTAAAAGGCCGGGTTGGCGTTCGTGAGCAGCTGCACAAAGTAGGCCTGGAACCACTGTCCAGCCTCAGGGGCGGGCTGGAGAGCATCGGCCAAGCCGCAGTGATAGTCGTAGCGAGTGGCCGACGTGTTGCTCGTGCCGTCGCACTCGCCGCCGGGCTTTACCCAGACAAAAGCATCCTCAATCTCGAGGCCAGTGTTGGCCGACGGCCGGGCTCCAAAGCCGGTTCCAATGGCATTGCACCAGTGGCCCCACTCGGTCTGCCCAGTGGGCTGCTTGCCCGAGCGGCCAGTGTCGGTGATGAAGTGCGCCGGGAAGCCAGCTGCGTTGAGGAGCGGGCTGAAGGACTGCACAAAGTGGAGCTCGTCATAGACAGGATTGGGAGTGGTGTACGCAGGCGGGGAGCTCGCGTTCCACGCGTTGTAGTTGGCAACATTGGTGGCGAGGCCGCGGACTGCCGCAGGGCTGCCAGCTGCCTTGTAAACACTGGAGAAGAGATCGGCAGCCGGCTGGATGTTCGCGGGCCAGCCGAGCCAGCCAGCATGTCCAGCATCGAGATACATGGCCACGTTGGGGAGGTTCAGCTTGGTGAGTGCGTAATTGGTGCACTCCTTGTAGGCAGCCGCGGCACCCGAGCACTTGGCCACGTTCATGTTGGTGACAAGGTTGGCAAGCGAGTCGGGCTCGACGACGAGGATGATGCGGATGTCCGAGTAGGCAATGATCTTGGCCCGGATGGCATCGATGTAGGCCTTGTAGTTGGCAACGCCACCGTTGGCGATGGAGTACTCGCCGTTGGATGCGGCGGCGGCGCAATCACGGTCAGGAAGGTCGTACACGACAAAGAGACCGGCGTTCGGCGGGTTGGCGCCAGCCTTGTTCGCTTTCCGGATATCAGCCAGAGTGTTGGCCATCAAGGTGTCCACCGTCTCAGCCTTATCCAGCCACTGGAAGCTGGGGACCTTGGCCACTGCGGCAGCCTTGGTAGCCATGGCGCCCGTGAGACTAGGAATGGCCAGAGACGAGACCTCGGATGCGTAGTAGCTGTTTGCCCACAAGTTTACGCCGAGGAAGGGGTTCCCCGAGTAGGTGGCCGTGGCCGTGGCCGAACCGACGGGCGTGCTAGTCGTGGACACGCCTCCTGGTGACGAGGTTGTCTTCACGCTGCTAGTTGTAGAAGATGATGAGACAGGCTTAGTGCTGCTGGTCGAGGACGAAGTTGAGACGGGCTTAGTGCTGCTGGTGCTGCTAGTAGTGACAGCCGGTGTAGTTACCTGACTGTTCGGGAGACACTGCGAGTACCTATATCAAGATGTAAGTTTCTTGTTTCCCTTCGCCAGCCCTCTGAGAAGTCATTGGATCTGCGAGATGACTGCAGGGATAACACACCACTGATTTTGGGCAACGCAGGTGCTTCCTGAGGCACAGCAAGTGGCTCCGTTAAAGCCATTACCGCCGCATTGGGTCCTGATAGGCTTGTGTCAGTTATCCATGGATGTATAAGCACGCGTGAAGGCCGTCATATCCATACCAGACACCTCCACAGCTCTGGCGTTCTTCAACGGCAGGAGCAGCGAGCGAAGTAGCTGCCAGGGCAACTACGAGGAGGATTCTTTTAGCAGCCATTGTGAGTATCAGGCAAGATTCAAAGGCTTGCATGTGCTTGATGGATGGCAGAGGACTGAGCTGGAGAATGTCTGGAAACAAGAGGGAGATGATCGTCTTTATTTATCTAAAAACACTAGGAGAGACTGTCGGATCAACGGGAACGCGGCCCTGGATGATCCAAGGCTGGTAGATGACGCCACTTGCAGGACAATGCGCTCCGGCCTTGCCTGAACGACATATCCGGTTCGTAGGCCGAACGGTCGCTACGGCCAGCGCTGCCAGGGATGGGTGGAGGCGAGTTGCCGAGCGTCCTTCTAACCGCCCCCAGGAAGATCGTCCCGAGAAGGCAAGGGGGCAGCGACCAAGAAGACGCCGGCACGGGCCCAAATGGAGCCGAAGCGCTGGATGGAGTCTACGGAACACAAGAAGACGGGAAGCCCTTCCGCACACAGCCCGCATGTGCTTGCGTTCAGAGTGGAATTCCACTGCTAGCAACGAACCAGTGGAACGTTGATGAGGCCAAGGCGAGGCGCCGAGGAAAGGGCAGAGCCGCCCCCAGCAGAGCTGTTTATGGGAAACATGGCGACTCTCCGCCAACCAGGTCGGCCAGAAGCACGGGTTGAGTGGAACCAGGTTCTGGCAGACATCCTTCATTGACCTTGCATCAGGCTCAATCTCGGAGCCCACGTTCCTTGACACCCCTGAATGGGAAGAGCTCGGTTGTTACTGCGGGGCAAACGGCCGGGACAGGGGGCATGTTTGGTGCGGGGCGCCGAGACTTGGGCGGAAGAGATGGGCGACGATTCCGGCATCGTTGCATTGCGGACTCTCACTGCAACCCCGTGACAAACACTGGCTTGGGAACGTCGAAAACGCGTCGGGATACTTGTTTCTTCCAACAGTTCCTCCCAAAGATGCAGTGTGCCGGTGCTGTCAGAGAGAATGGCGAGGACTAGCAAGTTGCCCTCAACCTCGGTCTCGAGTCGAGTCAATGACCGACTTCAGCCGACCGTCGAGGACCGTGTCGACTCCTGCCTTCACAGCCGCTGCAAACCCGCCATCATGGAACAAGACGCCCAACTCTTGGCTCGTGTACCAGCTTGCACGATCCATGTTGCCCGACCCTAGAACAGTGTATTCGTCGTCGACGATTGTCAGCTTCAAATGGGTATGCACCGGCTCCTCCTCTTCGGACTGAGACGCCATCAAAGGCCGCCCCTCATGGCCGGTTGATTTCGAGGTCGGCCGCGCCTGGAAGTATGAGATTCGCAGGCGCCCGATGCGAGGCCGACCGGCTTCAAGATCTTGCAGTGAGCTTGCACTAGCGTCCCTGAGGTGTCCCCTGCGGGCACTACGCCCCAGTTGATGGCCGCCAGACTCCCCCTTGAGCTGCCGAAATCGGCTGATAAACAGACGAATACAGCGTGATGTAGTGGTGCCTGCGGTGAGAAGCTGTTCGAGAAGCATCATGTTGCAGCTTGTAACAATGGCCACATCGACGCCCCTCTTCAGCGCCTCCAGCAGAGCGGCAACGACAGGTTCACATGTCAGATTGGGAGTCTGAACATAAATTGACCGCTCTGCACGGTCAAAGAGCTCCAGAATTGCAACGTTGAGCGGGGTGGCGGGCACTTCAGGAGATGCCTGCCAAGGCAGAGGGCGGAAGCGCGGGTTTCTGTGATGTGTCGAGGGTAGAACAAGCGTGGGAAGAGCCGCTGCCTTGGGCGGAATGGTAACGCGATAATGGGCAGCGCTGGATATAGCAAGAAGACCTGTCTCCCGGGCGTCGAGCCGTTGGGAGCTCGACGGCTGGCCCTCTAGAGGTGTCCGGAAGTCAAGATCTTTCTCCCAGGTGCGCGCGTAGAAAGATAGCAGACCGAGCACGGCGCCCCCAGTGACCTGGACGCAGCCTTCGAGCCACGACTCCCAGCTGACATTGCAGCTCGGGATGAAAGCGCGCTCCCTGTCGATAATGACAAACTTGGGATGCATGACGCTGAAAGGGAGGAAAAAGATACTCTTCACGCTTAGCACGATGCCGGCGGCGCTGAGAAGAGCAGGGCCTGGGAGGCCGAGCTGCTTCTGCCACGCCGAGGGCGGATAGATGTAACCATTGCGGGACTGGGGATGCAGAAGTTTCTGCAGGACAGATCGCGACGACAAGCAGATGCGGACTCTCAGGGGTGCAATTGGCGGTGCGCCTCTGGCGGCGGCGTCGCGGATGAGGGCGGACCGGTGGGCGGCGAGCTTGGCCAGGGCATCGTGGAAGGCGGAGAGGGTTTTGGACGGCGCCCAGAAGCAGGTCACAAAGATGACCTCGGACGCTGCCGACGCAATGGCGGGAAGTATTGCGTCTGTGAAGATTGAGGCGCCAGTGCCGAGGACAAAGCTCTCGGGGGTGCTGGCTGACACGAGCAGGTCTCGGTCTGCCGTGTCGCGCACGTCGTAGCACGGAATCTCGCCGCTGTGCAACCGACTGCCCGCGTACGACGCTTGTTCTAATCGCCTGACATAATCGTGGACAAAGCTGGAAGAATAGCTCATGACGCGGGAGAGAAGAAGAAAGAGACCGAGCGAGTGTCGTCGAGTTGGAGGCAATGAAAACTGATGTCCAACAGTTGTTGGGGCTTTTCTGACATACGCAGCTAGTAGGTTCCCGAGCTGCAGAGTCCAGATGCGGCCTGTCAGCCACCAACCAGTGCCTTTTCAGCAGGGGCGTTGTGCACAGCACATAACCCTAACCCTCCCGTCCAACCCCAAATGTCCAAGCATCGAAACAACAACAGCGATTCCACAGGTTAAGAAAAGATGGAGAAAAAGCTGTAAATTTTTATCATTAACCTTGACAAAATGTACATGTCTTGAACGTTTCTGATAAGGGAACTCACAGACGTGCAACCAGGCGGGGACCTGTCTCATGTCGCAACCTAAATAAACTACTCCTTTCCAGGTGCAGATACCGGTAAAATAAACTGCTCCTTTCCGATAGGTGCAGATACCAGTAGACCCTGGCTCACCATAGACCTCCCAAAGTTCCAAAGTTCCCTCCCCCCGCAGAAAAATCAGGTCAAAGAGCCTTTGATACGATCTATCTCGGGGACGCTGAAAATCCCAGCCAAGACGCGACATTCTTGGCGGGCGGTTTTGGCAACCAAGGCCGGGGCTTGATGCCGTGCGCGGGACCAGCGCGTGGCGCGTGGGGGAGCGGCCCAATTACAGCAGGCGAAGCTCATGTCGTCATTCTAGTGGGAATTCGGCCATGCTGTGATAGCTGAACGCTTGGACGCATCTGGCCAAACTTGTTGATTATTTGGCATGCTGTAAGAAAAACGGTCAGCCAGGGCGGGGAAGATGGTGATGGGGCATGTATGCCGCTGCCATCGAGGCACCGACTGCCGGGTTGTGGATGTCCTGTACCGGGCGGTAGGTATTAAAGACTTGGTCAAGTCCCTCGGCGTCTTCCCCTCCAAGCTTCCAACACCAAAGTCTGTCTCTGTATGACTTCCGTGCTCAGTCTCGTACACCTGTCACGAGTCCCGGCTTCTTGACATGCATACGTGCGTGTATGACGCTGCAGTGACAATTTGAAATTCCTCGATTCTCAAATCCAAAGCTTCACAGGCTGTTCCTGATCCGAACCCCCCCGACCCCCCCCCCCCTGCTCCGGCCGGTATCAATAAACACCCTAAAAAGCCGTTGAACTTGGCGAGATCTCTTGGCCCAACATGGCTGCCGCTGCTAAGCCCCCGGCTAAGCCGCTAGCTGGCGCCGCCGACAGCACGCCACCGGGCGGGAAGGATGGCTCGAGCCTCGGCGCGGATGTGGTCGAGAAACAGGACGAGCCCGATCCAGCGTCGGCCTCGGAGCTCGAGGACACGGTCCCCGGCGCCATCAACGAGGGGTCGCTGCTGCGCAAGCTGGACCGGAGACTGCTGCCGGCCGTCGGCATTCTGTATCTGCTGTCCTTCCTCGACCGCAGCAATGTCGGCAACGCCAAGCTCGAGAACCTGACCGTCGACCTGAAGATGACGGGCAACGAGTACCTGACCGGCCTGACGCTGTACTTTATCGGCTACGTCATCTTCGAGGTGCCCTGCAACATCATTCTTAAGCGGACGACGCCCAGGTTCTGGCTCCCGACCCTGACCATCCTCTGGGGCGTTGTGGCCACCCTGCTGGGCGTTGTCGAGAACAAAGCGGGCTTCTTCGCCGCCCGCTTTTTTCTAGGTGTCACCGAGTCTGGCCTTTTCCCCGGTGTCGTGTACTATTTCTCCATGTGGTACAAGCGCCGGGAGAGGCAGTTCCGCGTCTCGCTGTTCTTCAGCGCTGCGGCACTCGCCGGCTCTTTTGGTGGCATTCTAGCTTTTGTGAGTTCTTCGGAACCTCCAGGCATTTCAAGCTGATTTCAGACTAAATTCGCTTACTATAGTTGATGTGTAGGGAATCGGTCACATGAGACACGTTCCCGAATCGTGGGCTAACGGATGGCATTGGATTTTCATCCTTGTAAGTCTTTGAACCCAGAGAGCCTCCGAGCCTTTACTGATACGCTCCCACGTAAACAGGAGGGACTTGCCACCATCTTGGTCGCCATCGCGGCGTACTGGTTTGTTTACAACTATCCAGACACGGCAGAGTTTCTCTCGGAAAAGGAGCGCAGCTACATCCGTGACCGGCTTGCCGCGGACAGCGATGCCACCCACGACGAAAGCTTCACCTGGGACAATGTTCTCGGAGCCTTGAAAGATCCAAAGTGCTGGCTCTACGGGTTGAGCTTCCATACCATGAGCCTGCCGCTGTATACTTACTCGCTGTTCCTGGTATGCATCACCCCGTTGCCGGCGCTGAAGCGAGGAGCAAGAGGCAATGCTAATCAAACACGCACGTCCAAAGCCGACAATCATCGCGGCTCTCGGGTACACGGCCGCGAATGCCCAGCTCCTGACCATTCCGCCCTATGCATTTGCCTTCGTCACGACAATCACGGTGGCGACAGTCTCGGAGCGTCTCCACCAGCGGGCCATCTTCATCATCGGCTCGGCGCTGTTTGCCGCGATCGGGTACATCATCCTGCTCAGCAACACGGATCCGACCCACCGCCCGGGTGTCTCTTACCTCGGCACCTTCTTCGCCGCCGGTGGAATCTACCCGGCGACGGCGCTGTCGTTGTCGTGGCCAGCCATCAACGTCTCGGGCCAGACCAAGCGGGCCGTTGCCAACGCCATGCAGATTAGCATTGGAAATCTCGGCGCCGTGCTCGGCACACAGCTGTACCGCGCGTTCGACGGGCCCCGCTATATTGTTGGCCACAGTTTTGCTTTGGGCTATCTTCTCGGCAATGTGGCAGTCTCGACGCTGCTCTACTTCCTGTTGAAGCGGGAGAACAAGCGGCGGGACACCATCACACCCGAGGTCCAGGAGGTCGGGGACTTGGTTGACTGGGATGGCGACGACGACCCAAGGTGGAGATTCCAATATTGATTGATCAGGGCAGATGAGTTGGAAAGGGGGGCGGGGTCTGACTGTTTTTTTCTTGTTGATAATGTTGCCTATCTTGGCATGGCATTGGCATCATCTTTGTGAAGACCTGAGTGAGACTGAGATGGCTCCCTCTGCCGTTGGTGACGCAGCGCCTCTCCTTCAATTGTCCGCAGACTGCGGCGGGGTGTATAAAAATGAATCGAAACAACTCCGATCTAATGCTACCACGACTGGATTTGAGCTCGCTCTTATGCCGATCCTATCGTCCTTTGTGTGATTGCCGTGTTTGCCGTGTTTGGTGGGCTCAACGGCCCGCTTCCAGGTTGCCCAGCTCCCCCGCGCCGCCCAACCAGGGCTGCAAACAACAGGCTTTTTCCATCTTACGCCGCCTGGCGCAGCGATTGCGCTGCCTGCGGAAGGTAATGAAGCCTCACGTGAGCACAGGCCGGCGACAAGCTCCAGTCGAGGTGCAAGATGAAACCGGCCGCGGAGGAATGGCCTCGGGGCGCAAGGGGCGGGAGGCGTGCAGTGCCGCGATCGCGGGCACGGCCGCTGACCGACGGCGATAGCCAAGCCTGGGGTGGCCAGGGCTCAGCAATGCCTGGCCCGCTGACAGTTGCCCCCGAAGGTATTCTCCGGCCCACGCATAACAATGGAAGCTATTGAACTTCAGTTTGGCATCCCGGTTCGCTAGAGGTAGAAGTTTGTATGACCCACATCTATGGGTTCTTGATTTAGAAGACACCGTCCCAATTCTCGGCAGGAAAGATCGTCAGATAAACTGGGCCTTGGGCCACGTTGGTATTTGAGAAATTGAGGGTAAGGGGAGTGGAGTGGGTTCTTGAAGCTTCCATCCAGCCTGTCAACTTAGAGTAGAACTTTAGAACTCGCAACGAAGCTTGGAGCCGTTCCAAGGGGCGCACCTGCACTTGAAAGGGCCTGGATGCTCGCAGATAGTTGTTCACGCACGCCAATCTTGCTTGCATGGACTGTGACCGAAGATTAATAGCCCGGGTTCGGCAAGTCGTATTCAGTATCGACTTGAATTGCGCTATCTTACGTAATTGAACAGAGCAGAGCGCATTTTGTGCTGCTCGCCCTGAACTTGGAAGGCACAACCGTCGCTGGTCGACACAACGGTAGTCAACGGCCAACGGCTGACCCTCTGCCACCTGTGCCGTCGCCCGCCTTACCACAAGGTCAAACCGGGACTCACCCAACGAGCTCGGTTGGCAGGCTCATTCGTAAAGACTACTCGCTTCGTGGCGAGTGGAGTTTACGGCGTCTCTTCCGTCGGGGTGCAAAATTGACAGAACTTCCACCCAGACCCAAAGTCCGCCCCAACGATCGCAACCGCCACAGAGCAATGCTACTCTCGCCACATCAACAAACGAACGGAAAGTGACAATCCATAATCCCTAGAGGTCGACCCCGAGTCGAGGGATACCTAGGTAACTACAAACTGCATGCGCGCGCGTTATCATGCCAATGTTCTGGCCTGAATGTGAACGTCTTTGTGGAATGAACGTCAACTTGACTTCGCAGGATGAACCCGTTGCACTGGAAGCTGCCCGGATTGAAGCCCGCAGCGCCACAGGTGCGCTGGAGCCGAAACACTGGTGCCAAGACGCCGCACTTCCATCTTCACACAGGGGAGCTCCACTATGGTGACTGTGCAGATGGAAATACAGTAGTGGCCGCCGGGCCTGGGGAACCAACACAACTGCCCGCGCTGACGGCCCCACCGGGATCGTTTCAGCGCGGCCTAACACTCCGGCCTCACAGCAACCGCGCCCCCTGGCACCTCGTTCCCGATGTTTTCTCCGCGACGAACGGGCAAGGGCGGCCCAAGGGGTCAGTCACAAGGGGCCTGCCTTTAACGGGCGTGCTTGATCTTTTTCTCTCCGTCATTTCTTTGCATTCTTCCGTTCCTTTGTTGGAATCGGCTGCTTCGTTGTCTCTTCTTTTCTTCCCATTTTCCTCTTTTCGCGACTCCTTCAGTGTTGCTCTGCGCGGCTGCTCCTTTTCCTATTTTCTCCTTAAGTCTTCAGCTGTTCCGGGTTGCACATTGTCGACCGCTCCCTCCCTAAGTATTTATTGGATGCGCTCAAGTAGGAATTGGCCATCTTGTTCTCTCCTTGATCATCGGCGCGGCACTGGGAAAAGCCTTTCCCTGTTTGCCAAATTCGATATTCTCTTTTTAGGTTGTCTTGGACGTACGCGTCCGAACTCTTAAGTTCGAACTCCTTCCTACCTTCTTAGTTGTGATCTCGAAGCAGGGACCATGGCTGCACCTCCACCCACTCCCACCGTCAGGGAGCCGGTCTCGGCCACTCCCCCAAGCGACCCTTCACAAGCCGGCGGCCCTTCCAATGTCGGCGGCCTGGCACCAGGCGGTCGGTCCCCAGCACCGGGTGGCCTTTCCCCGGGCGCCCGATCCCCAGGCGGCCTGTTCCCGCCCAGCCCTCGGTCACCTGGCGGCCCTCGGTCGCCCACCGCCAGTCAGCACAACGACCACGAAAACAACCTCAAACGTACAGAAAGCGAAGCCTTGAAGGACAGATTAAAGGAACTGGCTGCGGCGGCGTCGCCTCGTCCCCCTGCACCGAATCCTTTTACGAGAAAGAACTCTATATCGGGATTTGACGCCTACTTTGTATGTCGCCTTGCCGGGTGACCCTTTGCTCTGTGTTACTTCCGGCCACGAGTCAAACGACAAGGCATCTGTTCTGCAGTGGGCTAACTTAGTGCGTGACTAGGCTGGCCCTCGAGATATCCAAAAGCACTCGAAATGGCCCCTCGTTTTGCAGATGCACGGCAGCATTCTGCCAAAGCTGATCCTGCCTCTCATTGGCATTGCTGGCTGGTCGACGTTGTTCACAGCGATCCACATGAAAGTAACTCCAAGTAAGTCGCAATGCCCCATCAACCCAACCTGACTGCCCGGTGGCATTTTGCTGACACTGGCCCGGGAAATAGTCGGCATCAGCAGTCTCTTACTCACTGTCCTCGGTTTCGTGGTCGGTTTAAGCTTGTCATTCCGCAGTTCCACAGCGTACGAACGTTACGCCGAAGGTCGCCGGTACTGGGCGCAGCTAATCCTCACAACGCAAAACTTGGGCCGCATATACTGGGTTCACGCTAAGGAGCGTGAAGGTGAGCTTGGGAAGAAGGACGTCATGGCCAAACTGTAAGTCAACCTCGTCCCATCCATACCCAGCTCCAGCTCCTTTCGCCTTAACATCCATATCCAAATAACATCCATATCCAAACCCATTTCGATGCCCATATCTACTTCGGCATCTACTTCCACATATGTCCACGCTCATTCCCGCCCCCACCCTGTTACATCTCCTTGGCCGTTTCATGTGTCCCCATTGCTGGAGCGAGGCTGACCTCTCAATAGCACCGCACTCAACCTCCTTGTTGCCTTCTCGGTTGCTCTCAAGCACAGGCTTCGCTTTGAACCGTACACGTGCTATGATGATATAAAGAATCTCGTCGGCCATCTGGACACGTTCGCCCAGTCTGCGACGGCGGCTGAGCCTGACCAGGTCCATCATGCAACTGAGCCAGTTGGATTGCTGCATAGTTTGGGCGAGTATCTCGGCGTCTCATTCTTGAACAGCAACCCTCGCAAGGCCATGAAGCGGGCGAAGAGCCCGATTGGCAACCTGCCCCTTGAGATTCTGTCGTACCTGGGAAGTTTCACGGATGAGCTCGTGCTGAACGGCCAGATGACAGTGGTGATGCACCAGACTTTATCCTACAACAACATTGTCGCCCTGAACGATGTGCTGACTGGAACGGACCGGGTGCTCAACACACCACTCCCCATCGCCTACGCCATCGCGATTGCGCAGATTACATGGGTGTATATTCTCCTCTTGCCCTTCCAGCTGCTGCCTCAGCTCGGCTGGATTACTATTCCGGGCACTGTTGCAGCGGCCTACGTTATCCTGGGCATCTTGTTCATTGGGCGCGAAATTGAGAATCCGTTTGGCCACGACGTAAACGACTTGCCGCTCGAGATCTACTGTGCCCAGATTGCTCAGGAGCTGGACATTATTGCAAGCCGGCCCAAGCGACAGAACTCGGCTTGGATCGAATCAATCGACAACCGCCTCTTGTGGCCCTTGTCCAACTCGGGCTACAAGGTCTGGGCGCTCCGCGAAGAGGAAAAGATCCGCGAAGCGGTCGTCCACAAGGTGGAGCAAACCTTTGTCTCGTATAAGAAGGGAGAGGAAGAAGTGGCGAGCAAGCATCGTAGGAGGAAGAACGCCAAGTTCGAAAAAAGACACCCAAACGACGTCATCTCAAAGGTATAACATTTGCGCCTCTCAGGTCGGCAAAGGGAAAAGACATTTGTATCACGCATTCCAGGGCAGAGGGGGTCATCCCCACGTGAGCCAGTGGGTGTAAACTAAGGAGGAACCCGGATTTCAAAAGGATCATTGGCAAAAATACACGGAACCGGCGCGGAAATATCAAAATGGTGGACATTCTTTTTTTATTCTCCTTTGCTTCTTGTCATGTCATGTTCTTTGCATTATCTGCGTGGACGGTATGCAGGAGCATGGGGGAGCCTATCTTGTTTCAATTTGTACTTCTATGAGAATATGTATACCTATGTTGGTCTTTATTTGTGTTTGATTCTTGTTGAGAATTGTTTAATTGGGTTGGAAGTTGCAAGTTGTGGTTGTCAGACTTGAGCTGGTGTTGGAACAAAGTGGATGGATGTGTATGTCTAGTTAACCACTGGTATCTAGTTAGGGACCGCTCCTCCATAGTCTTTCAGGCAGCTAAAGAATGGAATTTTAAATCCTTGATTCCTCTTTGAGTCGGAACAAACGTGGAGCCTCACCTAGTTCTTGGATTATTTATCAACAAATCTTGGGCAACAGGGGTGACTGTACTTTGGAGAAAAGTATTTTGTTATTCAACTTTTCAAGGGTATCTAATCATTAAGTATCTAACCGCCCCTATCTAATACGTCAAAGCCCTCGGTGCTTCCCTAATGTCCGGATCGCCCTCGTACTCGCTGATGCTGTGCTGGTTCGACACATGGCTGACCAGCCCCTCGTCGCTCTTGCACAGCGTGTCGCGCTCGCGGTGCCGGAAACACAGATAGCACGCGTATCCCGCGCCCGCCCGGTGGCACTTGGCCAGGAAGCGGTCTGTCAGCACAAACGTCCGCGTCACCACCACGTCCTCGATCGTTTCTGTCCCTACCCCACTGCCGTGTCCGTGGCTGTGTCCGTGGCTGTATTCTGCAGACCGGTGCGGACTCCCCCGCGCCGTTCGCCGCTCCCGCTCGACGACCACCTCCTTCTCGATCCGCCACGCCTGGCTCCCCGTCCCCGGACTGCCATCCAGCACCCCCAGCTCCGCGCCGCACACCGGACACCCGCCAACACCGCCCCCGCCGTACAGCGAGTCCATGTCGGCGTGGCTCCGGCTGCGGTGCTGCAGGTGCTCGGCGAAGCGGCAAAATAGCGGGGCGTTCTGGTCGAACCGCGTTAGCGCTCGCGCCGGCGGGCCGCGTGTTGTCGTCGTTGACGACTGGTGGCTCGAGACAGACAGGGCTGCGGGATACGGATAAGGTGCATTGTTGTCGCGCAGCGTCGGCGTCGATGAGGTCCTTCGAACAAGCCCGATCGGCCGCCGGAGAGCCAGTGCTGCGGCCGGCTGCAGCATGCGGCGGTACTGGTCGCGCAGGGCGCGGACGCTGCCCTCGCGCGCGAACTCGCTCGCGTTGCACAGCCGGCCGATGTCGGGCGGCTGCCCCGTCGCGAGCGCCTCCTGCAGCATCTTGATCACGGTGCTCTGCAGCACGATGATCTGGCCCTGGATCTGCGTCTGCGCCACCACTGTAGTTGGGGGGTTAGCGGCCGTTCTTGCGTGTCATGGTGGCAGTGGAGGCAGTAGAAGGAAGTACTCACAGTCGCCCTGCGCAAACCGCGGCCCGAGCTGGGCGTAGTGCTGGTCGAACTCGCGCTGCACCGAGGCGCCGCCGTGCTGGAGCGAGTTTCGCAGCTGTTCGTTACTGGCGTCCGAGTCACTGTCGGAGCCGCGGTTGCCTGGTCGTGGGCGGCCATTCCCCGACTCGGCGCTGGCTATGCGCTGCTCGAGCTCCTTGATCTTCTGGTCCTGGCCGTGGTCGAGTTTCCCCTGCTTGCGCTTGTCGGCGATGCGGTCAAACAGGTTGATTCCCGTCGTGAACGTGCCGGCGATGGTCGAGATGAGTGTTGCGATGATGAAACCGTTCTAGTTCTTGTTAATTAGTGTCTGGCATTTCATAGCAACGAATTTAGGCTGCTAAGGCGGTGCTCACGTACCTTAAGTCTCTTCTCATCAATCATGTTGGCGTAGTTCATCTTGGCGGCTCCCCTCTTTCGGGTCCTCTGACAGCTTTTGGGGTTCAATCTCGTGTTTTTTAGCCGCGTAGTCAAAAAGGTACTTCGACGGCAGTGCCAATGTGCTGGACTGCTGAAAGACTCAAACTGACAAGCTTTGGTCTGGGTCTAGACCGTCGATCTTCCTAGGCAGGCAGTGCCGAGGTTAAATGGAAATTCCAACGTGCCAATTTCAATCTTCCCAGTTACGAGTAAAGTGCGCAGAGAGAGGCCCCGAACTCCCGGGCCATGACATCATAAGCGGTGGCCTTCGGGCTGTCCCGCGCTCGGTTGCCATGTTTCTACTGGCAGTGGAGTGCATGAGCGCGCTACTGAGCGGCACTTTTCATTCGTCGGTTCTGACACTTTGCTTGAAACATAAAATTGCTTTTAGTTGAGGACAGTGCTGGATTATTGATCCGGGGTGTATTGTCGGCTGCTCATATATTTGCTGTGGATTGCTGGCTCGGATTCATTAATCATATGAGGAACGACTGGCGAGTTTGAGACTATTTGTCCCTTCACAATTGAAATCAGTTCCTGAGGTAATGTGGCTCAAAGAGTCATAGTTTCACATCATGTTTTCTCTTTGAGTATTTAAAATGTCGAAAGTGCTCATTGAAGCGCCTATCTACTAGAATTGATGGTTGGTGAACGAACTTGCTGGTTAATTAACTGTTGAGCCTTTTGATGTTTTGAATGAAGCTGCTTAGAACAAATGTAGGTAATTAGATAATAATAAACTACATGCAGCACGGTAGCTCACTAATTCGTCAAGTTGTTAGAGCTCAGGTTTAATTACATCATAATAGACTTGATCTTGGATTTGAGTTAATTTTGACCCTTCACTCTGATGCCCTTATCTCGGCTAGATAGATATCTCGTCGAGAGACGGATGATTGCGTAATTCTTGCATCATTGCTCATACTGCTGATAACGGAACCGTTCCTTCTTCGTTTGGAGATAAATGACCAAAGTATCGCAATGACGAGCTGCTGCTGGGGGCTGACACGATAGGTAGACCACAGTTGAATTAGGACACATGTGGCGTTGGCACGTGCCGGTGTGCCTCGCGGTCCTCGAAGAAGCCTCGCGGTCCTCGAAGAACCACTACAATGCAATGATCTCGGCGAGAGACTGCCCGAGTACGATGAAACAGTGATAAAAGAGGCATACGAAACGACAAAGAACACCGCAGTGCCTGGCAGACTGCGAAGTAAGAAGTAACGAGACCGAGACAAAGCAAAAGAAAGAGTGGGTTAAAGTCGCCACCCAAACCTCATTGTCCCGGGCTCGACCCATCCGATGGGGCAGACCTCGATTGCGTCTAGAACTGTAAAATCATGTGGGCTTAAGCAAGGTCATCCTCCTCCAGAAAGCCGCACGAGGGCACCTCGTCGTTGACGCGTTGGTGGCGGGGCAGGCGCGGTCAGGGAATAATCCTCACCCTAAATTTCGCCCTCTCCTAGCAACCAACAACGCAACGCGTCCTGAACTTACTTCTTTTCCGAGTCCGCCACGCAACTCTCTGCTGCACTCACACTCACAGACACACTTCGATACCTCCAGTCGCTTTTGAGCCGTCGTCAAGTCTACGCACGCTTCCCGCGCGACATTTCCACAAGAGACCCGTAAACTCCCCGAGTCCGCCAGAATCGCTCATCGTTCCCCGGCGCATCAGATTTGACGCTCATTGCCGCGTCGGTTACGCGATCCGTCGCCATCATGAATCTGGCCAACGGATTCACGCCTTACCCCGTCAGCACCATCGGGTATGACACCAAGAACCCGCGCTGGGAGGTCGTCGACAACTATACCATGAGCCATTCCCACCCGGCCTCGCGCCCCAACGCGAGCACCCTGCAGGACACGCTCGCCGCGTCGGAGACCGCCAAGCTGCCCGAAATCTCCGTGTCTCCCGCCCAGGCCAAGTTCATGGCCCTGATGCTGCGAATGCTCAACGTGACGCACGCGCTCGAGGTGGGAACCCTGGGCGGCTACAGCGCCATCTGGCTGGCAAGCGAGAACCCGCAGCTCCACGTCACGACGGTCGAGTGCGACGCGCGCTTCGTCGAGGTTGCGCGCAAGAACATTGAGCACGCCGGCCTCTCGGAGCGGATCGAGGTGATCAATGCCACTGGCCTTGACGCCCTGGCTCTGCTGAAGGAGGAGGTGCTCCGCGGCGACCGGCCGCGCTTCGGGTTCGTCTTCATCGACGCCGACAAGCCCAACAGCTGGAACTACTTCAACATGGCCGCCGACATGTGCCAGTCCAAGGCCGCCATCTGCGTCGACAACGTCGTGCGCGACGGCCGCGTGGCCGATGCCGACGACCAGCACCCCCACATCCTGGGCGGCCGCCTGGTGATTGAGAACGCGGGCAAGGACCCGAGAGTCGACACAGCTGTGGTGCAGACGGTGGGATGCAAGGGCTACGATGGCTTCCTGTGGGCTGTCGTGAACTAAGAAGCAAGGACGGAGGGTGAGAAGGTTATGGGCGACTCCCTGGCATGACACAGGCAAAATATCGAGGGCAAGGGTTAACGGGATGGAAGCCTTGTAACTACCTCGGTATAGTGTATACTAAATGCTCTGTAGTGGCAAAGCCAGTGGAAATAGGCCACAAAGGACAACGGGCTTCTTGGGAGCCTTCAGCCGGTGTTTGATGACCTCCTGAGTGTTGAAGTCAGTGAAGTTGCAGTTGCATTCCATGTTGCACAATGCAGTGAACAAAGCCCGCTAACGTTACCTTGACAGCAGCTTCCATGTCCTCCTTTATCCCCCTTGCATCTTGACGTTTCACTGGCCACTAATTTGATGTCGTCAATAGCGTTTATGTAGCGGAATTTGGGAATTTCTGTGAATAATGAGAGATATTGGTGGTTTTTCTCGAATTGGGCTGCTTCCCGCGGAACAGAAATGTTGCATCCGCGCCTGGGATTTGGGAAAACCGTCCGAAGTGGAACCGCGCCTGAGGGGGCACTTGTGGGGTACTACTGTGGTATGATGGGTAATAAAAAGCCCCATGCCGAGTCAAAAACACGCAAAGTGTTTGCCTCACAAGTACCTGACAAGGGGGTTTTATTTTTGCACGCGACCACAGTATGTGCAGCTTGGTGGGGTCTGGGCAGCTGGCGTAGACCGTGCCCCGGTCGGCGCTCCAGGAACCGGGCAGTTGTCACTGGGCTGTCAAATTGCTGCTTCGACAGGGGACGTCAAGGGCATCCACAATGCAGCTCACCGCCTTCCCTGGCCGACCCCCTAATCTCGCGACTTTGGAATTCTGCCAATGCGTGCCTCTCGCCAGCGACCCCCTGTGGCATTTGGCCTCTGGCGGAGGCATCGGCGGTGTTCTCCAAGTCAAGCTCGACGACCACGTCCACGCCCACGGCCAACCGACTCGCATTTCACAAGCTGCGCGCGCGCACCCCAGTGTCAAGATGCTGTCGGGGATTCTGATCTTTAACCAAAAGGGCGAAAACCTGATTTTCCGGGCGTTCCGCAACGACTGCCGACCTCGCCTGGCCGACGTGTTCCGCATCCAGGTCATCAGCAACGCCCAGGTGCGCTCCCCCATCCTCACGCTCGGCAGCACCACCTTCAGCCATGTCAAGCACGAAAACATCTACCTCGTCGCCATTACCAAGAGCAACGCCAATGCCGCCCTAGTCTTCGAGTTCCTTTACCGCCTCATCCAGCTTGGCCGCGGCTACTTTGGCAAGTTCGACGAGGAGGCCGTCAAGAACAACTTCGTGCTAGTCTACGAGCTTCTCGATGGTGTGTGACCCTGTCCTTTGCTGTCACTCTCCACGTCCTTCCCTCCGTCTTGTCTCCAGCACCTCCCATCAATTGTGTCTTGATCACTGACCAGCGCCCCCTGGCCTCAGAGATCATCGACTTTGGCTACCCCCAGAACACCGAGACCGACACGCTCAAGATGTACATCACGACCGAGGGCGTCAAGTCGGAGCGCGCCGCCGAGGAGTCGGCCAAGATCACCATGCAGGCTACGGGGGCGCTCTCGTGGCGCAAGGCCGACGTCAAGTACCGCAAGAACGAAGCCTTTGTCGACGTGATCGAGGATGTCAACTTGCTGATGAGCGCGACCGGCTCCGTCCTGCGCGCCGACGTCACGGGCCAAATCATCATGCGCGCGTACCTCAGCGGGACGCCAGAGTGCAAGTTTGGCCTCAACGACCGCCTGCTGCTCGACAACGACGGCCTACTGAGCCTGCCGAGCGGCAACCGCATGGGGAGCAAGGCAACTAAGGCGGCCGCCGGGAGCGTCACGCTCGAGGACTGCCAGTTTCACCAGTGTGTCAAGTTGGGCAAGTTCGACAGCGACCGCATCATCAGCTTCGTGCCGCCCGACGGCGAGTTCGAGCTCATGCGCTACCGCGCCACGGAAAACGTCAACCTGCCCTTCAAGGTGCACGCCATTGTCAACGAGGTGGGCAAGACAAAGGTCGAGTACAGCATCGGCGTGCGCGCAAACTTTGGCTCCAAGCTCTTCGCCACAAACGTCATTGTCCGCATCCCCACACCGCTCAACACTGCTAGGATCACGGAGCGCTGTACCCAGGGCAAGGCCAAGTACGAGCCGGCTGAGAACAACATTGTGTGGAAGATTGGCCGGTTCACGGGCCAGAGCGAGTTCGTGCTGAGTGCCGAGGCCGAGCTGACGAGCATGACTAACCAAAAGGCCTGGAGCCGGCCGCCCCTGAGCATGAACTTTAGTCTCTTGATGTTCACGAGCTCTGGCCTGCTGGTACGGTACCTCAAGGTGTTTGAGAAGAGCAACTATTCGAGCGTGAAATGGGTGAGGTATATGACCAAGGCTGGAAGCTATGAAATTAGGTGAGCTCCCATCCTCTCGTGCCACCCTCACCTAACCTCCAGATGGTTTGTTAACATGCATGGCCCTGCGTAAGATTTTGAATGGAAATGTTGGTGTATTTCTGTGATGGTGGTGTGGTCTTTATGCATTCAAAAGCATAGCAGTAGTGTCAGGGCGCGTTTACTTGCCAGGGAGCATGTCTACCCGCACCCAGGGAAACCGGGCTCCTTCGGGAGTCGAGTCCAGGTAATGTTTGGCCAGACGCTAGATGCTGGAAAGGGCAGGCCGCGACGCGGGCTGCTGGGGTAAAAGTACTCCACGAAAGTGAGGAGGGGGTAATGCGGAAACTCGAGAGTCGAACCGTCAGAAATGAACTCAAAGTTCGAGGCTAAGCCGCGGCACGCTCGAGCAACCCAGCCACGCAGGATTAAAAGCCATTGGCGTATGTAGCACCTGGCTTGGTTCCAGAAAGAAACGTGTTGGTCTCCCCCCCGTGCGTTGGATTGCCGGAATGATGGTCTACAATGGAGGCAGAACTTGAGGAAACAATGACATGGTAGCGTTTCCCGCTTCCACAACCCCCCGGAACAAACACCCGTGGTTATCTCTAGACTGAGCTGTGCCGTACCGCCAGCTTCCTCGCCACCTTTTCACGGCCGCACCCGCTCCGCGCAAGGTTGCGCTTGCTGTCTGGCGTGAACTTTGGATGGGGTGCACTCACTCCAGCTGGCAGGCCCAACTCAAACATTCCGACGCTTCCTGTCTCCCGAATGGGATACCCGCGGGTTGTGGCTAGTTTCCTGAGGCCCTACCGGTGGACGACTGACGGATACTTTGTTTGCTAGGTATGCCATTCGGGAAGGCAATCGGTGACACGGTGATGGCTCTGTCTATCCCCAAGCAAGCAGTGACCACCACATCACCCGGCACGGAGAAGGCACCCGTGGGCGGTGCAAGTCAACAGAGCACCAGATGAAAGCCACTGTGGAACCTTGGTCTTGGAGTTGCGGGACGAGGACTTTCAGCTGCCCCTGCTTTCTCTGCTTGCTTGCTCCCTTTCTCCCTTTCTCCGCTCCATTGGCTTGCCTATTTTTATTCAGATCGTGTCTTTTGTCATTCGTTATCCTCATTTACTCCTTAATTAGGACTTGTCTACTTCCTCCTCTCCTTTCCTAGAAGCGCATCATCACTCGCCACGTTTCCGCCTGCTTTGCAATAATTACCTACCTATTAAGCCACAAAGTGTCCAACACCCTTGCCTCTTATCGCCCTCAACCATATTCCGGGGCTGCCATCCTCGATCATCGGTAGCCAAATGGGCCGTCCGCTCTGGGCATTTTCGTCTCTTCTGGCGCTCGCTGCGTCGGCTGCGTCGCAGACGTTCACAAGCTGCAACCCGACTCTCGGTCAGTAGTAGCAGCCGTGTCCCTGCCACAGGCCACGCAATGCCCGCTTAGAACTGACACGTGCCGCCTCCCGCCGCCCCACACACAGTGACCTGTCCGTCGGACCCGGGGCTAGCGGCGCCCGTGTACGATGTCGACTTCCGGCAGGGCGGCGACGCGGCGCACTGGTCGTCGGTGGGCACGGGGGCCGTGACGTACACGCCGCTGGGCGCGGCGTTCACCATCGCCGAGCAGGGCAACTCTCCGACGATGGAGACGACGTGGTACTTCTTCTTCGGGCGCGCCGAGGTGCACATGCGCGCGGCGCTGGGCACGGGCATCGTCAGCTGCGTGGTGCTCGAGTCGGACGACCTCGACGAGGTGGACTGGGAGTGGCTGGGCGGCGACGCGGGCGAGGTGCAGACCAACTACTTTGGCAAGGGCAACACGACGACGTACGACCGCGGCGGCACGGCGGGCGTCGCCGACGCGCAGGGCGCGCTGCATAACTACACGATCGACTGGACGCCGGCGGCCATCACGTGGTACGTCGACGGCGGCGCGGTGCGGACGCTGGCGTACGACGACGCGGTCGGCGGCCGCAACTTCCCGCAGACGCCCATGCGGCTCAAGCTGGGCGTCTGGGCCGGCGGTGATGCGCGAAACCCCAACGGCACCATCGCCTGGGCCGGCGGCCTGACCAACTACTCGGCCGGGCCGTTTACCATGTACGTCGAGCGCGTGACGGTGGCCAACGCGAACCCGGCCGCCAGTTACGCGTACGGCGACCGCTCGGGCGACTGGACCAGCATCGTCGCCATGCAGGAGGACGACGGGGACAGGCTGTTCTCGGCTGATTACGACGAAGATGATGACGACGACGAGGGTGTCAACAGAAGTATTCCTGCTGCCGCTGATAGGAAACTGTTTGACGTGTCCATGAACACGTCGTCGTCGTCAGATGTTGAGGGTGGGGCGTTCAAGGTTGACACGCCCGCGGGCAGCAGGAGCACGGCGCCGCCCAACCTGTCGTCGGCGGCCGCCCGCGTCGGATATGCTGCGGCGCGGCGCGTCTGGGGCTTGCGCGTCGCTGATTTGGCCGTGGTTGGTGTGGTTTTTTATGCTGTGTTGTGCTGAGCTGTGATGTCACGTCAACCGTAATTTGTGAACTGTACCAAGTAGAGTTCTCACGCATATCCTCGAGAGTGAGAAGCACGGTGAGGTCGTGGTCCTCTCGCTTCGGAAGAGTAGTTGATTAATTAGGTAGTTTTATTCAGTATATGCAGAAGAATACAAGTATCTCGTTCAACTTGGTGCGCGGTCTAGCCAAGTTGGTGTCTGTCCGTATTTAAACATGACCCCTAAGACATATCCTGATCTTCAATCTTGACTGTGCATCAGAACTATTCTAGTCAAAGTCGAGCACGAACTTGAGGTTCTGCTGCCATGTCAGTTTTGTCTTGCCTCACGGAGAATGATGGAAAGGGATGAGAGGACTGACATCAAGGCTGTCGGGAGACCCGTCGGCTGTGCCGTCTAGCGTGAACCGCGCCAGGTTTCGCTTCTTCCTTTGTAGGTTAACAATGTTCTGTTGTGAAATGTCAGTAGGTTTTTCTTTGGTGTACGAGGTTTGCCGTGTGTGTGTGTGTGTTGGTTTGTTTGAAGGGGTGTTTGTTGCCCGTGTGTCTAAAAGTTGGCATGGGGATGGAGTGTCTGGGCACCAACCTCTTTAACCGAGCCCTTCACCGTGTACCTGACAATGGTGACGCTGCGCGTCTGTCCCATGCGCACGGCGCGGGCGATGGCCTACTCTTCGACAGACGGATTCCACTGCGGCTCCACTATGTGCACGTAGTCGGCCGCTATCAGGGTGAGGCTTTACGAGTCAAAAAAGCATCAGGTGATTTGGTCTTCTCTGTAGTTTTGTGAAGAATGGGTTGCTCACCCGACAGCGCCCGTTTGGATGGACATGAGCAGCACCGGTACGTCGGAGCTCGTGAACTGTTCGAGAACCCGGAGTCTGTCGCTGTATGCGACTTTGCCGTCGATTCTCAGGTACTGGGTCTGCTTTTCTCGGAGGTGCTCGTCGATCATGTCCAGCGTTGCCGTCCAGTACGAGAAGACGAGGCTGCAACGAATCGTCTTAGTCCCGAAGTGCATTGCTGGTGTCTTGGGCCATCACTTACCTCTTTGACCCGTACTCGGCCCTTTCGACCCTGTCCACGACGGCCTGTAGTTTTGACGAGAGGGAATATCGGAGACCCTCGGACTGTGATGTCGAGGAAAGCTGAACCATCGGACTTGCGGAACGGGGTGTGGTCTCAGATAGGCTTCCGTTGCTTCGGTGGCTTATGGTTGCTTTCACACTGCGCCGCACAGGAGAGAGGTCTTTGCCACATTGTGGACATAACCCTGCCGTTATGGCAAGTTCCAAGCTGTCCTCGTCAGCCCCGCTGTAAAAATCACAGTCCTGTTCGTCATCTGCATTCGGTGCTGCGGGGAAAACCGATGCAAGGCCGCGGCGACTAACGGGGAAGGTCCCGTGGTTGCAGAGTCTTCGAAGCTTCATTATGGCGGTAAATAAGATGCTGTATTTTTTGATCTTGACCCGGCTGCTGGCCACGTTGTCCAGGCCGCTTGCGCACTTGTCAAGAATACCGTCGTACACCAGTCTCTCTTCCGGACGCAGCATCACGGTGACGTGCTCCACTCGCGAGTCTGGAAGCTGGAGCAACTTCTCGCTCCGGCGCAGGCAGACAGAACTAAGCAGGGCCTTGAGTCGAAAGGCTCTGTCCGGTGTGTCTCTGCTTAGTGGCTCGAGAATATGTTGCCGGAAGACACTGCTTTGAGAAAAGGGCTCAAGGTGCAGGAATCTGAGCAGCGAAACGAGATCACCGATGTGGTTTTGGATCGGAGTTCCCGTGAGGCACCATCTGTGGACGGAGCTAAGGCTTGCGGCAGCTTTGAACTGGTCCGAGGTTTGGTTCCTGATCCAGTGCGCTGCAGTTGCTATGTTAGTCACGGTCTGGTGGTCAAGGGGCCCTGAGCTCGTAACGCGACAACGACTTTCCTTCATCGAGGATAACTCGGAACCAGTGTACCTGCTGCAAGATTCACAGTTTCTTACAGTCCATGGCCAATGTGACGTATGTGGTGAGGACAATGTCGCAGTCAATGGTGTCTTGGGGCTTTTTCGGTCGACTCTTGCCGTGGAATACGCCAACCTCCACAGCCCCGGGATTGGCATATCTGGGAAACTGTCAACACAACTGCATCTGTCAACTCGACCAGGACAAACTTGCTTGCGTATTTCCGACTCCCATACATTCAGGACCTCTGCTTTTGTCAGTGGTTATCGACATGGGTTCATATGCAAAGCACGTACGCATGGGTGTCACAACGACAAGAGTTGCCCCTGCTTGGCCATGTCGACACGTCAGATGTGCCCTCATAACCACTTCTGGCAAAATTTCGCTTTGCTTGGTCAGATGACGAGACAATAGCCGATATCATGGTCAGTGTCTTTCCCAGGCCCATGGCGTCGGCCAGTATGCCTCCGGTGGAGTACGAGGGAATGTCGTCTTTGGGCCTGGACCAATTTTAGCTGTCTGATGAAGCCAAATTCTGAGAAACGTGCCGACTTACCGGATTCTGGTGACATGCCGCAGATATCTCTGTGATTACTGACAGTAGTCACGGTTTTCCCTGTTCCGGATGAACCTCAGTGCGTCGACTTGGTGGCTTCTACGGAGTTAGACGGTCTCGGTGCCGTTGCACACAATCGAATCGGACTCTTTGACATACATTTGTAGTTGTATGGCAATAGCTTCTGGTTGAACAATGGCAACTGGGTCGTGTCCGTCGTAGCCCAGATCGGCAAAGTAATCGAGCGATTCCAAGACACGCTCCACCTCGTCCGAGAGGGCCTTTGCCTTGAAGTCGTCTTCGGTGAGGCCGACAAGGTGTGTCAGGTCATCCATTCCGCCTCCTGACGGAACCATTTGGGGGTTGAAGTACTTGAGCCCGTTGTCGAGAAAGAGTGGGTGCTGGAGAAAGGCAGACTCGGCTGAGAGGGAGTGTCCCACTTGGGGTGCAGTTTCGAGCGGTCCGTAAATATTGACCGAGAGCGAGAATATCCCCCCCGACTTAGACCTAAGCCCCTGCTGCTTTAACGCAGGTGATTCGACGACTGCTTTAAAGCTGATGCCTGGCATTTGGCCAGGTCTTTGGAGAGTCCGACAAGTGGTGCGGCCGAGGTAAGCAAAAGACTCGGAGAGCGCGGCTGATACTGACAGCATGTAGTTATTCCTAGATGAGACGACGTGGAATTGTGAAAACTTTCTAGTGCTAGGGGCAAGCACGTTGGGTAGTTTGAGAAGCTTTGGGGGAAACAACTTTGCGCTAGACTCTATCTAGACCAGTGTCAGTCTTCATGTACCGACTCGTTCCTAGAAAGTGATGATATCTCTCACTGTGCCATAGCAAATGTCTAGTTGGCCATGTTTGTTGCTAGTCTTGTCGAGTGCATTTGTTGGGCCCAGTCCATGACGAGTGCATCTGTTGGGGCCCAGTCCATGACGAGTGGTCGATGAGGGTGAGCCCCCCCACGAGAGAGTCTGATTCAAAACCCGACAGGCTCTCGACGGCCGCACCGTTGTTGTCGTCGACATGGTGAAAGCATGCATCAGAATCGGAAGCTAAGGGCGAAGCTTGTCCAACACGCGGCTGCTGGCTGATGGTGAAGCTCGGGGTCAGAGGCTCGGAACTAGAACCGTCCGGCGAGGCACGTATGCGCTTGGGCGAGTATCCATGGGGGAGACCATGGTCGTGGTCGTGATCGTGGTTGTGGTTGTGAGGCCGCTTCGATGGCCAGGGGCCGGGAGGGCGAGGTTCCTCGCATTCGCCATTGCGTCCGAGCTACCTAGGGTAGGGCAGAGCCTGATCGACTGGTGTCGTTGCCAGCGTGACTCTGACTTTCCAGCTCAGCGCTGCATCTCATGCTTGACTTCTCGTCGAATAAATTGAACGATTAGTTACATCCCAAAGCTGTTATGCATCCCAGATGGTCTTTTTAGGTGAAAGACGTCGAAGGACAGAGGCGTCGCAGAGGTTGGTTGAGGCTCAGCTGGCTAAGGTACCTGCCATAGGTAGGTACTGCACAGTACAGTTGAATGGGGAGGAGGGGAGGGGGAACTTGGGAGCGAGGACGTGGACGGCTAGATACCTACCACACCACACCACACCCACCCATTAGTTTAGGTAGCCGGGCATACAGGATGCCGCGTGCAAGGAAAGGGAAAAGGCTGTGACGCTAGCAGTGCATTGGAGCCTGGTCGCCCCGTGTGCTGACAAGATACCCGATCGTTTCCCTCGTCGCCTCGAAACCCCCTCGCTTTCCAAATCTCTATCCTGACTGCCTATTACCTCTATTTAGTTGAGGTCGATGTTTTGACTCTAAGACTTGCTTTCCAACGTTTTTTTCGTTGCTGGTTTTGCGATGGAGGAGCCTGACGAGAGCTTTCGCAGCGCCGTGGCTAGGTTCAGGGCTAGCCTGACCGACAAGCAGCGCGCCGAGTTCCAGACCTGCAGCCTGCGCCACGTCCAGGATACCATCCAGCAGCTGCAGAACACCCTAGCCGCCCAGAGACGCCAGCGAAACCTGCAGAGAATGTCAAAGTTTGTCGAGGGGATGAAGCAGCTGAGACAGGTCGTCGAAGTTTTTCTCAATGTCGACAGCACTGTCGCTTTTATCTGGGCGCCTATCAAATTTCTATTGCTAGTCTGTGTGCTTGCTCTTATTTCTCGAGCGTAGGTAGTTTATCGCTTTATCTGACAACTAAAGGCTGCTGGCACCTGAGTCGAGACGTTGAATTGTCTCTTGGACACGTACAGCGAGATTGGCGACGTCCTTCCTGGACTAACCCAGTATCGCAGTCTGCTCGACAAGCATCCTCAGATCAAGGTACATCTCGAAAGCTACTACTGTGCTGTTTTGGAATTCCACCGGAAGTCGCTCGACGTATTTTCAAGGCCGGGATGGAAGACAGCCTTTCACTCGTCGTGGAAGACATTCAAAAGCCGGTTCGGGGGAACCTTGACAGACCTCAAGAGGTATCGGGACCTCTTGTCCGACGAGAAAATCACGGCTACAATCATCGAGGTTCGAGAATCCCGTCAGTCCATGGAGGAATTCCACCAGTCCATGAAAGGTAAACTCGACGAACCATCTCGAAATCTGCAAGAGCTTCACATTGGAGATCGCGAGAGTGAGGAACTGCGGTGCAGAGAGCAGCTGGACAAGAAGCGCCAGTTCGTTCTGTCGAAATTGGACGCGCCCGACTACTATTCGGACCTCGAGCGAGCATCCAACGAGCAGCGGGGCACGACTTCTGGTGAACGGATATTTAGCCATCCCACTTTCCAACAATGGATGGACATGTCGACGGTTGAGCACAGGTCACTCTATCTACACGGGATTCCTGGGACTGGAAAGACCATTCTCGTGTCGCGGGTAGTGGAAAAGCTCAAGCAACTTCAGGCTACAAGTCAAGAGTCTGGCTGCAGCACGACACTTGTCTATTTCTTCTTTAAACACTCGCAATCGGACAAGAGGACCCTGCCGGCACTCCTCCTCTCAATACTCTGTCAGCTGGTATTTCAGGACGATGTTCTGCTAGACCATGTCTACCGGAAATGTCTCTCACTCGACCAGCACAAGGTCCGCTCAAATGCTTTCTTGGAGGATCTCGCAGCTGAGGCTCTGAAATTTCAGCGATTCTGTTTCGTTGTCGTCGATGGTCTGGACGAATGCGTTGGGGAATCGCAAGTGAGCCGTGAGCAGAGCCAGAGAGATGCGGTTGACTGGCTTGAGTCGGTCTTGGGGCAAAGGGACTCGCAAGGGACCGATTCGGATGACCGAAACATCCGCTTGCTTGTATCTGGTCAGCGTAATGGCATCCTGGAGGAGCGGCTTTCCTCAAGTCCAAACATCCAGGTCGAGCTTGCCGGCGCCCATATCAGAGACATTGAAGTCTACGCAGAGGCCAAAAGCCTGATGATACAGAAGAAGTTCTCCATTGGCGACGAAATACGCAATGATATCATCAAGAGAGTTTGCTCTGCGGCTCAAGGTAAGATAACACAAACTTGATGACTAACTGCCTACCTAGGTTAAGTGTGCGACAAGACTAACTTTTGATGCAGGAATGTTTCTCTACGCAAAGGTTGTTCTTGGAAATCTCCTCGGTCAGCTTACGCGCGGTCACTTCAAGCGCGAGTTGAAAGCCGAGAACTTCCAAAAGGGACTGGACGAGGCGTAAGTTTTGTTCCCACTTTCCACTTCCCATTCCCCAGTTCCTGAGCCAACGTAGCAAAGTTACGAACGTGTTGTTATTCACGTCCTGGAAAACCCCGACCAAGGCGAGCGAGATGCCGCCAAGAATATCCTGGGACTGGTCATTTGCGCCGAGCGACCTCTAATGTGGAAGGAGATCTAAAGCTACTTCTGTATCGACATTGAAGCCGGAACAGCTGACTTCGGCTTTCGGCTGCCGATGCCATGCAAGCATCTCTGCGGGTCCCTGGTTGACGTCGAGCAAACCACGTCTGCACCCGACCAAGTCGTGAACCTTGTCCACGAAAGTGCACGACTGTAAGATTTACGATGCAGAATCATAATAACCCCTTTGCCTTATATCATCTGACTATTGCTTTGTCTAGATATCTCCTACAAACACAGAGATTCGTGGAGGTTGAGAACACCAAACTCGCTCTGTTCTGTGCACGATACCTGGTTTCCGGCCTATTCAATGCTGGGGCCACCGGGCCTGCCATCAAAGAACACTTTCTGACTGGCTACTACGGTTTCCTGGATTACGCTGCAGCCAACTGGTGTAAACATGTCAAGCGGCTAGTTGGAGCAAGTTCATTTGAGATGCCGGACAAGGCCAATCTACCAGCTATACTAGTATAGGCCATCTCAAAGCTCTCAGAATCCCAGAACAGCAACGGCGAGGCAACTGAGAAACTTCGACGGCAAATCTATGGCCTACCACATGACGGTCGCGAGTGGGAAATTTCCTTCCCAGTCGGGAGACGAATTCATCCCGTCAGGGACATCGTCGAACAGATTCTCAGTGACGAGACCGTCTCACACCTTGAAGGCATCGATGAGCTGTATGGCCGCTTGAGTTTCAAATGGACCAAGCCTTGGTGCCATCTCTTCACCAGGGGCCTAGAAATATCTCAGAAGCGAGATCTTCATCTCCAGGAACACGGCCAGCCTTTCAATGCCCAGTCGACGAGTGCTACGGACGGAAAATTGGGTTCCCAACTAAATCTGAGCTTGCCAGATACAACAAGCGCTTGCACAGCCAAGAGCCCAGTGGAGATTTCTACTTCCCGTTTCGATACTCTCATTCAGAGATGGACATACTCTAGGCCACTTCCAAGGGCAACCTACCCAGGGTCCGGGAACTGGTTGAGACCGGCGTCGAATTTAATGCTATTTCTACAGAGGGCGTCACTCCCTCGCTATTCTTAGTAGCCCAAGAGGGTCACTTTGAAGTCTGTCGATATCTTCTGGACCACGGAGCCAACGTGAATGCGCAGAATACCCGCGACGGAAAGACGGCACTGCACGCCGCAGTTTTCAACAATGATGCCGAGCTTGCCTACCTACTAACTACAAAGTATGGGGCATCGACAAGCATCCGAGATGGCCTGGGAAATACGCCGATTTATCTCGCGTCAAAGAAGACATCTACAAGAATTATTTCTGCCTTTTCTCCCGAAGATGTTGCGCACAAAGCCTGCCGGGAGGATTGCTGCCCTGCCGCTTTCCAAAGACTAACAGCCTCACCTCTTTTGGGGTATCACGACCCCTGGTACTACTTGGACCTTCTCCGAAGCGCTTTTGGACTACAGTACAGATTGCGCTCTATTTTATTTCCGCAACAGCTGCCTCGACCCGAATTTTGGAGGGTAAGCCTCATATGGGGGGACTATGCTTTACCTAGCCCTTAGACACCGTAGAGAGGAAATTGTTGAGGAACTGCTACGGGATGGTCGAGTTGATATGCATAGAAGAGACGAGGCCGATAGGATTCCTCTTCACTACGCATGCGACATGCTTGACCACGAATCGACGGTCGGGCAGCTTTTCTCAAAGACCGAGAGAGTCAACGCCAGGGACAGGCGTGGCCATACCCCGCTTCATCTTCTGTCACAGAAAAAAGGTTCATCGCAACGACAAAAAGGTTGTCGAGCTTATTTAATTGAATTGTTTTTGCAGTCTGGCCGGATCGACACTAATGGATTTGACCAAGATGGCTGGACGCCCCTCCATCACGCGTGTACCATCTCCGACAACCCCGCCACCGTCAAATTGCTTCTGAACTCGACCGCCTCAACCGATGCAAGAGACATGAAAGGCTTCACTCCATTGCATTACGCTGTTAGGGCGGGTTGTCTAGATACTGTCAAGGTTTTACTTGATTACGGCTCGGTAGATATTTTCAACAACTCAGTAGATGGTGGAACGGTCGCCCAGTCCGCCTCCCATTTGGGAGATGGGACATACTGGCACTGCTTTTTTGGAACAAGCCAACAATCGATCCAGCATCTGGACACGGCCTCACTGAACTCCATTTTGCGGCATGGGGATTGAACGCGCAAAAGGTCAAGTCCATAGTTGCAATACATGACGAGAATACCAACACCAGTGCCACGGAGATCCTGGATTGTTGGAACGAATATCTAGAGTACGACATCATGGCTACGAGCCGACCAGGATTAAAGAATCCCCTTACGACACCCTTGTTTCTCGCCATGAACACCACACTAGAAAGGGGCGGTTACACAAACCGAAAATCGGAGATTCTCTCAGCCATCCTCGCAACAGGGGACGTTGATCTCTCAAAAGACTTTGAGACTATGTCCGAAGATCAGAAAATCATTCAGACTCGCCTAGTCATGGACTTGAAACCACCAGTACTCCATAGCAGCTTGCTCGATCCAGGGTATTCATACAAGGAGGATGTGTGGTCAAAGCTGGCGCAAGCGGGTCTGAGCTTGCCGTGGGACCTCCTTACACTGCACGACTAGGACAAATTCCACTTGAAATTGCCATACCCCGTCGGAAAAAGTATCCTACAAGACCATGCCCGATTCGACATAACGGAACCACCACCTGAGCTGGCACGAGTGCTTCAAATAGACAGAAGAATGGTGCTTTTTGTCCTCGATTACGGCTACTGCAGGTTTGCCGACATAATGAGGGCCAACCCGGCCTTGGCCAAACGGATCTTGATATGTGGGAAGTTGACCCAAGGATCACTAAGGCTTGATGACGAAGATGCGCTGTGGATTGCTACGGAGGCTCATAACTGGGGAGACTCCCTAATTCTCAAGAAGCTGATCGGGTTGGGCCTAAACGGCAATAAAACGATTCAGAGCGCGGCGGAAAATGGCAATCTGGGGCTGGTGACTATGCTGCTGGAAATAACCTCGGATTCTCTGGTCAGAGACGTAACGGTCTACGAAGCTGCCCTGCGCGAGGGGCATACTGAAGTGGCTGAGAAACTTAAAGAGCACGGCTATTCTCCTCAAGGGTTTGCGAGAAGGGTTAGGTAGGACCTCTAGACTGCGGGCATACTGGACTTTGTCCCTTAAAGCCTCCTTTACAGCCTGGAGGAAACACATCTTCATGCCCAGACACGCGCGGCTACCGCGACCAAACGGCAGGTAATGCTTGCTGGCGAGGGCAAGGCCCGGGGCACCGGCCAGCTAGCGCTCGGGGTGGAAGACGTGCGGGTCGGGGAAGGGTGTGGCGTCGAGCAGGATGTCGCTCAGCGTCATGCTGACGGGGGTCTGTGTTTGTTTAGAGCTGGATTCAAAGTCTGGTGACGGACGGACGGGCAGGAAAGCGACTTAACGCCTGCCGGGATCATCCACTCCTTGGACTGCAGCGCCTCGTGCGGCGCGACTATAGGCAGCCGCGACGTCAGCAGCGTCGAGATGCGCAGCGAGTCCTTGACAATGACCGTCTGGGTGCGAAACATGGAAGTCAACAAACAAATACAGGAGTCAAAACACAAGAAAAAAGACAGGGCAGACACACTAGCCAAGGTAACTTCTCCAGATCCTTAAGACTAGGGCGCGAGTGCGTGTTAGGCATGGCGGCGAGCAGCCCATCACGTAAGTGGGGGAGGACGCGATCGCGATTGTCGAGGATGTGAAAAGTACCGTTGAGGAGCACGCGGGCGAGGGCCTTGCCGCCGGCAGCGATCGCAACAAAACCTTCCTGGGCAATGCGCGCGGGCCGTTTCTCGGCCGTGCTGAGCCCCGGCGCCGCGAGGATCGTCCCGAAGATGTTGTGCTTCCTTAGCGTCCGCTTCTCGCCCTTTTCGCCGTCGGGGAGCTGCCTGCTGTAGATCGCGATCGCTTCGAGCGCCTGCCGGTCCATTTCCTGTGTGGCAGTCATTGTTAGTTTGTGGATATCAGGGTGGCAGAATTTGATGTGGACGTACGCGCCGCATCAGCAGCTCCGTGTCGTCGTACAGCAGGCCCTCGATGCTCGACACGGACGCGCGTGAGAAGACCGGGCTGACAGCTGCCTGCCGCTTGCGGTGGATGTCGTGCCCGACCGTGCTAAAGACTACAGGGGTAGTTAGTGCCCTGTATTAATCCAGTTCGAACTGTGAGAGCTGGGCTACTCAACTCCTTTGGGAGTCCCCGTCATGTGGCCGCCGGGACATGCTTGTCACGCGCTCCCTAGTATCCGATATCAGCACCCGACCGACCTCGACAGAGAAAGCTACTCACATGTGCCGCGTTGGTGTACAGCGTATTCACCCACGACGGGTCGTTAATGTGGATTTCGTCCGGGTTGACACGCACAATGGGGCCTGATTACCATGCCAAGTTAATTTCAGGCCCAGACAGGAGTTCATACCCAACATACCGTAACCCTCGTGCATGCACTTCAGCTCGTACATGAAGCGCCCGCGCGGGACGGTGAGGATGTCAAAGTAGGCCTCGTACCACTTGGTCAGCGCCGCTAGCTTGGGCCCGGGAAAGCGCGCGAGGGGGTGGAAGTAGAGCCGGTACCTAGACCCCAAGCCCGACCAGGTACGCGACGAATGCCGCCGGGAGGAGCGGCATCCACAGGGCAGCGAGGGCCATGGTTGATTGATTCTCTGAAATTTAACTCGGCGTTTATTTAGTAGACGACGGTATGAGATTATCTTCTTGGAACTAGACAATAAGGTATGACTGTCTCTCGGTAAAGATGGTCGATGGGAGTCTGTGACCATCCATAACCACCAACGGGAGCCACATGATACTTATCGGCCTGCTCGGACGCTTTGTCATGAGGTGCCAATGTGGAGGGTGCCGCAATGGCCAGCACACTGATGTGATGATAATTGCCTTTGGCAGGAGCGCGGTAGCCATGAAACGCGCTGCACAAGCCGCGTGCCCAAAGGAAGGGGCTGATACCTCTGCGGCGCGACCAGGCACTGGCACGGCGCAAGTCCCCCAACCATGCAAGGTATTTGTTTCGTTGTCCAGCTCTGAATTGGTGAAGCCCTGCGCTTCGAGGGCGGCTGTGAATCTGTAGTACACGTCGGGCAGCTGGAACGAGTCCTAGGCCAGCGATGGCGGGTTTGGCAAGTATGCGAGGCAGAGACGTTGGAGGCGGTGGCGAGTGGATTGTCTGAATCTGAAGAAGGGATGTGGATTGAGAAACTCGAGTAAATAATGGTTGCCGGAACTGGCGGATACCTGGACGATCTTGTAGCAACACCAACGAGTCCGGGATCTGGGAGGATAGGATAGCAGGGGTTCATTGGCCATCGGCGGTCTGTTCGTTAATGCATCCCCTGGCTGTGCCCTATCCCCTTAGTTGCCAATTCTGCACCGCCCAGAATAGGGGAGACCTATAATGAGTTTGGACCAATGGGCATTTGGAAGAAAATTCAAAAGCCAATATGATTGGTATTTCTTGAAAATTATCTCCTTTCCTCAAGGAGGTTTATGGTTCCGAGCCAGTAGCCGAGTGTTGCTGCCACTACCGTAGCATCGATCCGTCCGGAACCTAATTAGTCGGTTTTGGTATTCTCTCCGCGGAGTTTGACATAATCAGAGGCCGACAAGAAGAGAGGCAAAGCCAAGCAAGCACAAGGTTGCCATCATATTCACAGGTTAAGTCAGGTGGGGGACTTTTGGAACACCCCTGCCTATGGAACAGCCCCTGAATCGGACCCCGCACAACACCACAAACTTCAATTGCCAACAACTTTGTCAATTAATTAGCTACAATGATGAAGTCTTTAGTATCGGATTCTCCTGATTCTTCTCTTTCAGAATAACTAAGGTCATCTCTGCCAGCCTCTCTCTGTGAGGCACGAACCTCCTCAATTCCAGCGAACTGCGTATTAGGGTCGACTTGGACCTTCCTTCTCTTTCGGCCTCTTGTGCGTTCTAGGCTTTTTTCTGCAGCCTCCAATTGATGCGCCGTATTGGCTAGTTGGAAAACCACGTAATCGAAGGCTTTTGCGGCCTTGCGTATGAAAAGTCGGTCGTTGGCAGTCCGTTTCTGGCCGGCTAGAAAAACCTGCCCCTGAATACGGAAATCCTTCGGCTTTTTAGGGGTAAACCATATAGGCCGGCCCTCCGAATTCTTATTTAGAATGGGGTTATGGACCTCTTGAAGGTCTATAGAAACCGTAGAGGTCAGTTGACCAACGTCGCCGTTAGAATTCTTAATAACAAGGCCGTTGCTTAGGGGCTTCCTGAGGCTGACCGGCCAGAGGCCTGTAGCTTTCCAGCCGGCTTTGATATTAGATTCAGTCATTCCATAGACCCTGGCTTGCCGGTAGCATTCTAGGAAGGCCCTCTTTTCAGCAACAGTGCCTTCGTCGAAGCCGGAAACAACCTCGTTATGCTTGGCTCTGTACCGGGCTTTTAGAGGGCCGAAAACCGATAAATCCAGGGGCTGGAGAAAGTGGGAGGTGTGGGCTGGTAGAAATAACAATTGTACGTTATTAGAAAAGGCTAGCCACATGAATTCTTCGGTGGTATGACTACCGTGGCCATCTAAAATAAGGAGGCGCTTCTCCGAGGGGGTAGCTGGCCGAGTCTCTGGAAGAAAGATATTGCGGAGCCATGCGACGGCAGTATCATCGTCAGACCAGCCGTTTTCAGTGGGTTTCCACTTCCAGCCCTTAAATGGCTGTAAATCGCGTGGATACCATTGTTGTTGAAGGCTTCCACCTTTGAAAATGACGACTGGGTTCAAATACCGGCCGTCAGCGGAAATACATTCGATAATCGAGGTCCAAATTCGGTCTCCTTTCTTCTTTTTCTGGAATTTCTTTCTTTCCTTAGATCCAACAACCAGGCCGTTATCTCCAATGCCAGAAGCAATGCCAGTTTCATCCATATTATACCTATGCTTGGCTGGAATAGCCTCCACGCCTTGAGGCTTCAAATAGTCAAACCAAGGCCGGATAACGGCCTCACAGGCTCAATCAGCACGGTTTGCATGGCTTCTCCGAGGCCTAATTGTAGAAATAGATGGATTTCTAGCCAAAAACCGGCTAGTCCAGCGTTTTCCGAGGGTCTCGTTATCTTCGAGCATTCTTCTAGCTAGTTTCCGAATTTGGGCGTGGGTTGGAGGGTGACCGAGCGACCCTTGGAATAGAATCCATTCGGTTAAGCGTTCTTCCATAGCCGGAGAAAGCTTTTGATTAAGAATTTGGGCCTTGGAGGCTGGCTCGGAACCACGAACCCGATTAAAGAGAGTAGTAGGGGGGATGCCGTGATTTTCAGCAGAGCTACGGAGTAAGCCGGTTTCTGCATACTCTGCCAGCGCATTCTGCAAATCCAACTGAGTATATCGCTTCATCTTTCATTTCTCAATTGAATGGAGAAAAGAAGATAAGTATTGAAGCAGAATTGGTCGAGTTGCAAGCGATTGAAATAGGTGAGTTGGGTGGCGAGCGGCAAGTCCTTGATGACAAACCTTGTTCCAAATCCAGGGGTGTTCCATAAGCAGACCACCTGACTTATTGTAAAACAGGGGTAATCAATATAGTAGTCTGAACTTTCTTTGTGATCTGTTGGCTCAAAACAAAGAAGGGGCATATTGAGCTAGGGCAACACCAGCAAGAAAGTCACAGGAATATTATCATCAAATATCAATGGAAAAACTGTGTTATAATTACCTAGTTTATTACAACTGGAATACCATCTTCTATAACGCTGATTCTTTCCTAGAGATAAGATCTACGCGTTACTGGGTATCCTCGGTCATCTAAGTCCAAGCGCCTAGAACCCCGGGGTTTCCGGGGGAGTCGGGGACGGCGCGATTCTCGACGACCTCATCCTCGACTACAAAGCTCTAGTCTAAGATGTATACGCAAGCCTCGTGAAGTCTGTTGTGCTGCACACGGGCTGCCTGAACATTATCCGCGTAAGCCAACCGCGCCACCTGTTCGCAAGGCCTTGGGAAGCGTGTATATCATGCATCTGCATCCCAGACTGCGTCAGTTTCCTTTTTCTAGGATCTGGGGAGTTTGACTGCTGCTGGCATACGCTGTGGTCAACTCGTACACATCATTGAACCGCCACCCCGCGAGAACCTACGTGATCAAAACTCACTCGGATGGCTTCTCCGCAGGCTGGCGGATTTGCCAAGGCCAATGCAGGAACCCATATTGAGAAGATTCGGCATCGAACCGCTCCCTCAAGACGTTCTGCGGTCGGAGCACTGCGAGTAGGCGAACGGCATGAACGGAAAGTATTCAAATGAAGAAGAAAGCCGCGGCGCAGACTACTTGTACTTCTGCCCCAATCTGAGTCCGGAATGGCACGAGATGGCCCTGACACTGGGCACTGGCGAGGACGGGCGTGACTACCGTAGCCTAAGGTTCTACCAGTTCGCCCACCATCGCAAGATTTTCGTCGACGACAGTGGATCGTTTGGCCGGGTCCCGGATTCCGCCGAGATTGGAGACCATCTGTGTGTTCTGCTAGGTTGTGACGTTCCTGTGGCTGTGACGCTCCTGTGGCTGTGAGGCAAGTCGGAAATGGTGATTACAACCTCCTGGGGGAGGCTTACGTTCACCATCTGAGGAGGGAAAGGCTATAGCTGCCTTGGAAAGAGGAGAGGCAGAGCTGGAACAATTCCGATTGATATGACTGCCGATGTCACGACCTTATAGTTTAGTTTAGTCAAGGTCACCCCTCAGCCCCTTCCCGTTTTCACGGGGCAAACCATGATTATTAGTATTGCCAATTGGGCTCTAGCTACGACTACTTCCCAGTCACGATCAACTGGAACCGGCACCCAAAACATGCCGCTCAAGAAACTCAATGGCATCGTCAATGCCCTGAGGACTCTGAAACCAATGCCCTCCCTCGGCATACTCCTTCCACTCGACTCGCGCGCCAAAGCTTGCCATAGCATCTCTCAGCAGCCTCCCGTTTTCAACCGCCACAAGCGGATCATCAACGCAATGCTCTAGAAACACCGGCGTGCCGCGCAAGACTGCCGACTCGTCTCCCTCTGCCCGCGCCACCCATGATCCTCCTTCGGCTTCTCCTTCCAGCGGCGCCATCACCTCACGCATCTCACGCAACGTCCTCCCCACAAACGGACACCGCCCACTGAACCCCATCATGGCCGCCAGCCCGCCGGTGCTGCTCGCCTCGGGAGGCAAGTCGGGCATGTTGAAAAGCACGTGAGCGCTCGTGGCCGCGCCCATGCTGATCCCCGCCAAGACGATCCGGTCATAGCGTCCGCTGAGCAATGCGGCCTCGCGTGCCAGGAGACGCTGGATGGCGGGTGTGGCTTCGCGCAGGCCGGGAGCCTGGACCTCTTCACGGCGAGCGAGGTCGCGCACGTTGAAGGTGTCGAACCATTGGCGGAACGGGAGGCGGCGCGGGTCGCTAGCGGTGGGGCGCAGAGGCGCTTGAGGGAATACCCAGCGGAAGGAGGGGAAGGCGGCAACTAGGCTTCGCCCGCGCGAGTCGGTGGACCATTTTAGCGAGGTTGAGAAGTTGGGTGCCGAGTCGCCGCGGCCGTGGAGGAAGATGACTGTGTGCGTGTGTGCAACTGTAGCTGCCGGGTTGATTGTGAAGAGCGTGGTTTCGTCCATGTCTGCTTAATTGTTCTACTCCGAAGCAGAAGGCGGCAAGTAGGTAGGTTGGTGATTGCCATAAGTCCCAACGAAGGAATTACAGATACAGGATAGGTACACATATCAGTGGTTTAGTCTACATGCTGACTAAACAACCCGAAAGTTCAATTCAACCCCACTTCAAAGGCCAAAATAACAGTGCCTATTAGGTAGGTACACGGTGATTGGTTCGGCGTGCCACCCATAGTCTACCCAGGGGAGATGGGAATCTAATATGCTGGCCCCTAAGTTACGAGCGCGTCCCGTTATTCGTAGCCTCGTGTCTTTTCTTCAGAAATATCATCAGTAATTAATTCTCTTGGCATTCAACTAGCAGAGTAAGTACATCAAAATGCCATAATTAGCACGTCGCCGCGCCGCTACACGACGTTATGCCCGGTGTGCTTGTCTACAAACTCGAGAATGGGCTGGATAGTCGTGTCCCATCCTGGAACTTCGGGACTCTAAACAACAATTCTTGTTAGAAAAGTTCGGATTAATGGGAGTCTAGGAGCCCAGCCCAAAAGCTGCCGCAGCCTGCATTGTACTTACCGTGTACTTCTGGTCAAAGACGTGGGGCTCGCCGTCCTCGTAGCGCTCAATGACGGGCACGCCCATCTCCTTGAGTTTCGCGGCCAGGGCGTAGCTCTGCTCGATGGGCACGTCCGTATCGCCGCTGCCGTGTAGAAACGCCGTGGGAGGGTAGGTCTTGCGGCCCTTGGCCGCTTCGTCTTGCAACACCCGGAACGGCGACATGGAGTGGACAAAGGCGGTGAGCTCCTCCTCCGTGGCGAACTTCTCGGGGTGCATGACCGCTTTAAGCAAGCCAGTCCCCTTGCGGCGGAGGGAGCGGTACATGTGCGCCTCGGTCTGCAGGCGGATGCGCCGCGAGAAGCGGAAGTCGGTGCCCCAGCGCCTGCTCAACTCGTCCTCGGACACGTCCGTCACGGCCCAGGGGAGGGCGTCGGTTAGGATCTTGGCAGGGTCGCGGTCGCCGAGGAAGACTTCGAGCTCTTCCTCGGAGAACTCGCCGTCCCAGGGCGCTAGACCCGTTGCTGCGTCATCCTGAGGCGGCGCGCCGAGGACTTGGAAGGCAAGGAAATCGACGAGACCGTAGACGTCAACCACGGCCCTCGGCTGGGGGTCGGGCAGGTGCAGGGCCATCAGGGTGACGAGGTGGCCGCCGGCAGACTCGCCGCACAGGACATAGCGGTTGACGTCGACAGCGGATGGGCCGAGGATGGACTGCAGGTTGGCCCGGCACCAGGCGACGGCCTCAAGGGAGTCGGCGAGCTGGTCGTCGAGGCGGGTCTGGGGTCCGAGGCGGTAGTTGTGCGAGACCAGGTGGTAGCCGCGCTGGCGCCAGCCCGGCACCATCCATGGGAGGGGCACAAAATGATATCCCCCTAACCAGCCACCGCCGTGCGTCCATACGACGAATGGGGCGGGGCCTGAGACGGGGGGGTCGGCAGGCCAGACTCGGACGCCGAGGTCGGTGCCACTGCTTGACCTGAAGTCGTGGTCGCTGAAGCCGGGCGGCACTTCCATTGCAACTAATCCGTAGCAGTCTTGTAATTTGTCGGCGTCGGTTTCTTTTTCCTGCGAGTGGCGTCTTCCCGTGTGTTTGTCAGCTCCAATTGGGAAGGGAAGGGCCGAGGATCAGCTCGGGATCTGCTGCGGGGTCGAGATTACTGTTGTGCTATAGCCGGCATCGTGGACCGGGATCCGCAGCTCCTCTGTCAGACCTTTCGCCTGACTGCCATTTGGCGATCGCCAGTTTCACGGCTGACTGCAGGCATCTGCAAGGTTTGGCAACCCAATAATTGCACGAAGCCGCTATGGCTATTGCCAAATTAGTCGTTTTTGCTTCTTTGCCCGGCTCCGAGAATGTCGTCCGAACGTCCCCTGGGCTTGATCTTTTGGTGCCACTTGATGCCATGCCAATATGCCATTGCCACTGCCCAAGACAATACCAAGCCCGATGATTATCTTGGTCCGAGACCACAACCAATGCCTGCACGCCTTGTCAGGAAGGGGCCGTCGTTGCGGGCCCAGGGTCTGCGGATCTTCCCTCACTCCCGTTCTTATCGCGAGGAAAGAAACTTGGCGACAGGGGCTGATGTAGAAAGGTGTGCACACCAAAAGCTTAAATCCATCGTCATCGAGATACCCGACGGGTTGCAGCCCTCCCTGGGCGGGTACGGGCAAGGGCGGTGGACTTCGGTTGGCTAGCCGCCGATCAGATGCCGACCCCCAGCAGACTCTCTGGTCGTGCGTGGCTGGTGGGTGGCCGCAAGTGCGGTCGGAATTGAGTTCAACACTAAGGCTCGTTCGGGGAGAAGCGTGGGATGGGAAACGTCTAGTTTGGAACCATGGTTCGCTTCAAGCTCCCCCACCCATTGAATGGGTAAGACAAACTCGCTCAGATCAAGTTCGACGACCGGAGGAGCAGTTCGACGGATACGGATCGCGGGGTACGTATGTTGTGTTTGGACTTTTGTGCAACTCACGACAAGCCCCGAGAATGTTGTGGTCTGTGGGCGACGGCGACACGCGGCCCTGAGGACGACGCCCGCGACGGACGAAAAGCACAGTGGGGGTTCAATGAGTTCAGCTGGTTGGGCCACTGAGTATCTCTCTTTCAGCCTCATGTTGCTGAATTCGGCCACTGTACCGACAAATTTATCGGCAACGTGCATGCCACATGCATGTCCGCACAGAAATCGGGTTCTTCTGCCAGTGCCAACTCCTTTAAGTTTGCTTTGGAAATTGAAGTCCATTCGCGCCACGACTGCCGCCCGTGCTTGCTTATCTCTCCATGCGAGAGTGATGATCCGCGCCTGCCCTCGTGGACCAAGGCACCCCTTTTCTAGGGAAGGAACGGCCAAGAAATCACGCTGCGACTTCCGTCAGACTGACTTCAAGTGCGCCCACACCTGCGTGCTGCAGCTACCCTACCTTATGTTCTACTTGACTTGACCTTAAGGGTCTCTCTCTGTCATTGCGAACTAAACTGAAAGAAAAACTAACATCCAATCCCCGCCATCTCGATCCATACATTCTATATCCATGATTCCGCAATAGGGATTAACCCATTTCGCCATCTACAATGAGATGGCAACTGCCTCGGAAGTTTCCCCTTTCCCCTTTCTGTCTGCGTATTTTTTTTCTCTGACGCGCAACGCCACGCACCCCCCACTGGAACATTGGCAGTTCTCGTAACGCCACGTTCATTTCGACCTGCAAGAGGCGTCCACTTCAACCACTCACCACAGTCTTCGCGCCTCAGCCTATCTAGCGGCGTCTGCAGGTGCCATCATCGACTGTTCAATAATAGCGCCCTAGCATGCGGCCGCCGCATTCCTCTGCCCATGCCCCTTCCGCTACCAGGTCTCTCCCATCGAGGCCTGTCAGGCTGGCCGAGTCGCAATCACAACATCTTGGCTGCGCGGCAATCCGAATAAGCATAGAACTCGACATTTCCCACATCCGCAGTCGACCGCAGTCTTCGCGCCGTCCGATGTCGTACTAGGCGGCCCTCACCGTCTGCATGTTCCTGACACCATGCATGCTATGCATGGGGACTTCATGGAGGCGGGGGGTATTGGTCAATGGTCGGGCACAGGCAAGGGGACGGCGTCCTTCTAGGTCGGGCTCCCGGGACAGGTCTCGCCAATCGCGACGTGGACTGCATTGCATACGCAGGTCCCATCTCGCCGCTATTCAACATTGTAAAAGGCGCTGATCAGGGATAAAAATGCATTCCATCTTGGCGACCTAGCATGGCTAGCCTGGGAGTACCTTGCAGAGGCTACACAATATCGGCCGCCTCGCCATGACCGTGGCTTGCCGGCCCTTCTCGACGAAATGGCCGAACCCTGACGCCTTCGGGGCCATATTGTCCGACGATCCCACGCCTGTCTAAGCCATCGCCGCCCTCAAAACCCGCCGCCACCCCCCGCCGGAATTCTGGCTGTCGGTCTTGGCATCGTCATTCTTTTGCTCTGGGCCTCACTCCTTAGTCTCGTTTTTTTCTTCACTGTTCTGTTCATAGTCGTTCACTATCGTTCGTTCGTTAATCGTCTCGGCGGAGATCATCTCACATTCCCCACATTCGTTTCGGCCATGAGGCACTGGTGTGTGACAGCGCTCGCCGCGCTGCTCCCGGCGCTGGTCAGCTCCGTTCAGATCACGGACTCGCTGCGAGATGCCGTATGCCATGCCTCCCCGTGCTCAAGGCCACAATGTTATCTAAAACTCGAGCAGGCATAGCTAACTCACAGCAGGATACTGCTCAGTCTGGCTACCTGCCATGCCATAACGTGGACCCCGCCAGGGTCAGCAGCTACACGCGAATCTGGCAGACGGTGTTTCAGACAAACGAGTATTTCTTGGCCAAGCCTCTGACCTGGACACCACCTGGCTCCTCAGATGAGGTCGTCATCGTCGTGTCCAACTTCAATACCGTGCGCGTGCTCAATAGCGCTACCGGAGTCGTCCAAGCGCAACGCACAGTCATGGCCCCGTTCATGGCCTACGACTCCAACTGTGGAGACATACTATACTCGATCGGTATCACGGGAACCCCTTATATTGATCCTGTCACGGACATCATGTACTTCTTTGCTAAAGGTTACAAGGACGGAACGGGTCCCGGCGATCCCAACAATCCCGGGTCTGGCGCCATCAACGGTCTGTGACAACCCCTTTCTTCCCAATTCCCTGGAGACGGTGTGTACTGAAACTAGGCTCAATCTAGGCATCTATAAAATGTACGCCGTTCGGTTGCCTAGCCTGGCCGACGTGCAAGCCTTCCCCGTTGTCATCGACGGCAAGTATGCCGACAACGATCACGCTCGCTACTTTGTTGGGGGCACTGTGCTGCAGCGGCCCTCGCTTTTGTCTGTTGGCAACAACATCGTCGCCGGTTTCGGCGGCCATTGGTGTGTTGCAACGGTTCCCAATCCTATACCCCTCTCCTTGGGCTCCTTCGACTAACGGCGTCACAGTGACAATTTCAACTACACTGGAATGCTTGTGACCGTTTCCAAAACGTCGGGCGTCGGTGTTACGGCCGTGCAGGCCATGGTCGCCGCTCCTGGAGCGCCAAGCCCACAGCCACTCGATATTCAGGTACAACAAGGCGGCAAGGCTGGTATCTGGATGTCAGGATCGGGTATAGCCTCCGATGGCGGCAACCGTATCTTTTTCTCAACTGGGTAAGTTGAAAGTAGGATACCTCCGCTCGGAGCAGGAGGCAAGACGGCTGACACGAGCATACAGAAACGGCCGCGGTTCCGGAGAGAACAGCGGGACGACTCCAAAGAGCGGCAAGACCTACCTGAGCACGCTGGAGCAAGCTGCGGTTGCCTTCAATGTCGATCCCGCCTCGGGTGGCTTGGTGCAATCGGATTGGTTCGAGACTGCTACCTTTGATACCTACAACGGAGGTGATCGTGATATTGGCTCGTCGGCTATAGCCCTTCTGGATCCTACTACCTTCAACGGGGCAGGCGTGGCACGCATAGCCGTAATGGGCAGCAAGGCAGGTATTGTTTACATAATGAACGCAGACAATCTCGGCGGGTTCCGAATGGGTGAGTCAAGTGTCGATGTTAGGTAATTATTGAAGGCTACATATGACTGACCTCGTGCAGGAGCCGGAGGTTCCGACGCAATCCTACAGACTTTCACTCTGTCGGGCTCATTTTTTGGCGGTATAGCTAGTTACCCCTTGGAGGGAGGCTACCTATAGTATGTTGAGGGTATGAATCCAGCCTGCGTCCAGTCTTACGGGCTAACACGCTTGCCTAGTCTTGTGGCAACGGGCGGACCCATTTACGCCTACTCATTCAGCAGAGATGGGAGCGGGAAGCCAGTCTTCACCCTCGCCGGCCAGACTGCCCAGACATTTGCCGGTCAGGCGAGCCCGGTTGTCACCACCTTGCATGGCAGGCCTGGGACAGGAACTGTGAGTTGTGCTGGAGCAATGATAGACACCGTTGCAGACCCTGACATGATATCATAGCTCTGGATATCCGACATCAATACCGGTGTAATGGCCTTTCAAGCTGTACCCGTCGGTGGCGTTCTGCAACCCATACCGTTTTTCGCGACCGGTCGACTCTCCAAGTTCCAACGCCCGACCTTTGGCAACCAGCGGCTCATCACGTCACGGCAGCAGACTGTCGTTGCATTGGCGCCTCCTGGTACCATTGCACCACAACCGCCGGCAACTTGCTCCCTGGTTGGATCTTCCCAGCCATCATCCAGCTCAACGTCGACGAGCTCTTCCAGATCATCATCAACCACATTGTCGTCGACGGCCTCGTCTTCGACATCTTCGTCATCTTCATCTAGGTCCTCGTCGTCGTCCACGTCGTCTTCCTCGTCAACATCTCGGTCGTCAAGCTCCAGCACGACTGTTGTGACGACATCTAGTTCTTCAAGTAGTACCAGCTCTAGCAGATCAACGTCGTCCTCGTCCACCAGCTCTGCGCCTTACCCAAGCTACACAAACACGCCCATTCCAAAAGGCAAGATCGTCACTTACAACTGGAACATAACCTGGGTTTCGGCTTCTCCAGATGGGTTCAGGCGGCCGTTTGTCGGAATCAACGGGCAGTGGCCGTGCCCACCCATCAAAGGCAACGTTGGCGATATCATCAAGATCAATCTAGTAAACATGCTTGGCAATCAAACAACCACACTTCATTTCCACGGCCTCTTCCAGCAGAACACGACCTATGAGGATGGACCTGCCATGGTCAATCAATGCCCTATCCCCCCAGGTTCTTGTAAGTACTACGACGACCCGAGCATAGGAAACATAGGGCTAACATAGATGCAGCGTTTGTTTACCAGTTCAATGTAAGTGATCTTAATTCGCAACGCATGGAACACGTCTAACTCGAAACAGCTCTGGCAAGCCGGAACTTACTGGTACCATGCCCATGTCGGTGGCCAGTACATCGGTGAGTTACTTTGTGCAATGTGAAGGGCGAGTATTGGTTCCTAACCGCCGGTGTAGATGGCCTACGAGGTCCCCTAATCATCAACGACCCGAAGGCGCCATGGACCATCCCGAATACGCCATACAAGGTCGACCAGGAATACACATTGACACTCAGCGACCTGTATCACAAGCAGGCGCCGTATCTCATTCATTATTACCTATCGGCGAACAATACTGACACGACAGGCGGCGCTGAGCCTGTCCCAAACTCCAACTTGATCAATGAGGCACAGAATGTCCAGTTTGCCATGACGCCTGGCAAGACGTACTTGTTCCGCATCATCAACATGGGCGCCCTTGCTGGGCAGTATCTCCAGTTTGATCAGCATGATATGCAGATTGTCGAGGTCGATGGAGTGTACACGTTGCCGCAGACGGTTAGCCAGCTGTTCGTTGCAGTCGCGCAGCGATATGCGGTAATTGTCAAGGCCAGACCGGCGGCTACCCAGAACTTTGCAATCGTCTCCCAGTTCAACGTGGACATGTTCGGCTCGTCGGTTACGCCGCCCAACATGAACCCGACATGCACCGCATATCTCGTATACGATGGCAGCAAACCGCTCCCGGCTCCTTTCACACTGACACCGCAAGTGTGGGACGACTCGCGCTTGGTTCCCTGGGACAAGCATACTTTGATTGATGGCCCAAATGTCCGAACGATTGCGTTTACGGCAGACTTTGGCGTAGACAATGCTGGGTCGACTCGCGGGTTCCTGAGTAGTTTTACCTACGTGTCGCAAAAGGTTTATTGCCTCCCACCTCCATACTGTGCCCATATCTAACGATGTGTACGTCTAGGTCCCAACCATGTTCACGGCACTGACAGCTCCGCCCGACTATGTAATGAACCCTGCTATTTACGGCCACGTCAACCCGCGCGTATTGACGTTCAACTCGATTGTCGAAATCGATCTCAACAATCACGATACGCGCGCACACCCCTTCCACTTGCACGGACACAACTTCCAGGTCATTAACCGCGGCGAGGGCGGGACTCTGTGGCCGGGTCTTGACACGACGCCGCAGTACCCGATGCGACGAGACACTGTTGTTGTCTATGGCGGCTCTTCGGTGACGATCCGATTCGTCGCCGACAACCCGGGCATTAACCTGTTCCACTGCCACACGGAATGGCACGTCGAGAGCGGGCTGACGGCGACGTTTATCGAGGCGCCCGACGTCCTCCAGGCCTACAAGCCGTACATTCCTAACAGCCATAAGAATGTATGCGACGCTCTGGGGATATCGCGCAAGGGCAATGCCGGCGGCAACTCGAAGAACTGGCTCGACCTCAGCAATGCCAACACGGAGCCCGAGGATCCGAACCTATACTACGGCGCCATGACTGCGCCACCGCCTCCGGACAACTAATGTGTCGGCTGGTGATGTGTTTCATCAGCTATTCTTCTTGGCAGCGGCACTACTCATTGGGCTGAGCGTGCTGGCTTCTGATTCTTATTTGAATTCTATCGATTAGTAGTGCAGAAGGAAGCAGATAGAGCACCTTGTACACAATACTTTTGCCTCTAGGGTTATAGCCTTATTGTGAGTTACTTATATATGCGAGGGAATAGATGGGAAGGTGTGTCAGTATTTATTTTTCTCCTCTCCTTCTATTTAGTAACCGAGCATGAGGATGCCAACTGAGAGTGACGAGTACACTAGAGCAGGGTATTTGCTGGTAATCAATGCAGAATTTATATAATTTGGTGGCAGAGGCTCAGCGTCACTTCGCGGGTGGGAATGGCAGGCTTGAGGTGGTCCCGTAATGGAAGCGAGGCGTGAGTGAAGGAGAGGGCCAGGCAGCTTCAGGGCATGGAAACTGGCCACAAAGCGGCGTAGCCATTTGGTCGCCAGACGCCCGTGTGCCGCTATGCCGCATGCAACCTCGCTAAGCGCCGCCCAAGGAATCAATTTAGTTGGCCGCTGTTGGCGGCTTGCCGATGGGGCACAGTCAGCCTCACAGCCTTCCACCTAGACACGGTGCCTGGGTGGATGTCGGCCACCGATTGTGGGGTGTGCCATTTAGGGTCCCTATGGTCGATGGCGGCGAGCTAGACTCGGCTGCGGATGGCTGGCCGCGCTAGCCGGCAGCACACAGCCCGATGCGGCAGGCCGTGAAACACGACGAGACCTGCTCAACAGACGCGCCATTGGCACTCGGGAGAGGCTAGCAGCGGGCCAAGAAACATTTCAGCACTTGCTTGCCGTGGTGTTTGTTGGCAAATTAATTAATTATCACAGCACACAAAAGGGATCTGGGCGTGCCCTGCACATATCACATCAAGCGGGGACCCTCTCTGCCCGCAACGGCAAGCAGCCGGCAGGCAATATGGTTATGCGCTGTTAGCTGGTCGATTGAGCTCGGATCTTTGGAGTCGCACGCACGCACGCAGTGTCACCAACAGCTGCGAAAAGCATTTTCGTGGTCCATGCTTACACCCCCTGCGACGTGTGAAACACCGCCCCCAGGGCCCAGATTGGCAAATAGTCTTGGCTGGTTAGTTCTAGTGGTGGTCGTCAGGTCCGTAAACATATCGGTGTCTCTACGTTATTCAAATTGCTAGGGTGCAATGGGGCCTGCAAACATGCACCATACAGGGCGAGCCAGATCCCTCTGGGTTACTAGGACTAGACCAGAATAGAGTGTGGAGTCAGCCAGAGTTTGAGAGAAAGAGCTGGGCCGCCTGACTACCAGTATGCGCCATTGGTATACATGGAAGGATTTTGTTCGGCTCCCGCCAAGCCCGACAGCTCGCGGCGTAGCCCACGCCCCCACCCAGGCTGGCCGTGTTAACTAAATGAGCCACGACAGGCGTGGTGGATTGGGGACCTTTGGGTCGGGCGCCTGCTCGCCTTCTTATACACTCCCTTGGAACGCGGCGGCCTTGCCACTGGCAGACTGAAATTCTCGCCTGGTTCCTCTTGCCATCTCGCCTCCGAGTCTGTTGTCTCGCCTCTCGAGTTAAGATAGCTGGTTCCGGCTATAGGCGCTCACCCGGGGACATGTCCGGGATGCGAGACTACGAGGGCCTCCAGGCTACCAACCTGTCGTCGGCCGGCAGCGGGCTGCATCTCGCCGACCCGGCGCGCCCGTCCCCGACCGCCTACCCAACGGCCTACCCGCCCACCTACCCGGCTAACTACCCGCCCAACTACGAGACATATCACGCCGCCCAGTTCAAGCACGAGCTGATGAGCCATCAGCTGCCGCCGCTGCCGCCGCGGACGCCGAAGATTTTAGGGCTGCGGAGGACGACCTTCTTTCTGTCGCTCAGCAACATCCTGCTGGCCATTGCCCTGGTCGTAGTGGCCGTCGTGCAGAGCCAGACGCTAGTGCCCAAGCACAGCCAGGAGGCCCTAGCGCTGGGGAACAACGCGACTACCGATAATGGGGGATCCCAAAACACAGGGTCCCAGGGAGGCGGATCTCAGGGCGGAACATCTCAGGGCGGAACATCTCCAAACGGAGGAGCGCAGAACGGAGCAGGACTAACGGGTTCGTCGTCATCAGTATCGGTTTCGGTGTCGTCGTCGTCGTCATCATCCCCACCTGTAGCCGGCCAAACGAGCCCTCCCGCGGGAGCAGCAGCCACCACACCGGCCAAAACAGACGTAAACTCGCCAGCCAAATCGGACACGCCAGCCAAATCAGGCACGGACACAGACACAACAGTTAAGCCGGACACAGACCCGTCAGCCAAGTCAGCAGGCACACCCTCGCCATCAGTTAAAACAGACTCGCCATCGCCGCCGTCGCCGTCATCCTCGTCCGCCGCCGCGATCAAGCGCTCCTCGTCGACACCCGCGCCAGTGGCCACGCCCGGCAACTACCTCGGCTTCGAGCCGAGCCAGGCGGGGCCGCCGGCGGGCTCGCTGCCGGGGGCCACGACGCCCGAGTGCCCGGCCGTCAGCCTCAGCAACTACTCGCCGCCGGGCAGCAACCTGGTGTTCAAGCGCAGCTGCGAGACGGACACGGTCGGCGAGACCATGGGCTACTTCCCCATCCGCTCCATGGTCGACTGCATCACGCTGTGCGCCTACCTCAACACGTTCCCCAGTTCTGTTATGGGCAAATGTGTTGGTGTGGTCTGGGTGTATTCCGGCCTCCAGGGCGCGGCGAACAACTACTGCTACCCCAAGAACACGACCGGCGCGAACAGGGCTGCGGCCGGGATCGAGACCGCGTTTTTGCTGGATTGATTGATTAGTTTTCTCGGGTGTCTCGGGTGTTGGGGTGAGACGAGATGATACGAGATGACTGACTGATATAATGTGGTGACGGGTGAAAAAATCCTTGAACCCTTTCGACAAGTTGCTTTCTATTTCACACTCACGTGTGGAACTTGTGTGATTTACACTTTCAATTCGGCATTGTTTTGACGCAGCGCAGAGCTGGAGGTTGGTCAGTGAACTGCATGCTCCAGCCGTTTCCTTTCTCTGCTTTCATTCACATCCCAGGTCTTTTTTCTCTCGGGCTTCCAATTCCAAAACAGACTCCATGTTTTCTTTTGGTTCTGTTGGAATGTTTCAAGCAGAAGGGCCTCGAAGGTTCTAGATAGAGACTTCGCCACCCACTTCGCCACCACAATAGTTATAAGAAGGGGCTTTCTGGCACTGCTAGAAAGCTAGAGAGAAGAACACACATCTACAATCCATCACTTGAACCACCAGCTTTCGGCGTACAGTTACGCCCTGTTGATTCAAGTACCGGTACCCTGGTGAATCCAATAGGTTCTTCGTTCATGGCTCGCAGCTCTCCCTCTTGTCAAATTGTATAATCACCTACCTATGTATATTGCCCCAGTCCCTAGCCGGCGAGACGGCGTGTACGAATTCACCAGGGTGTCCATGACCCGCTTCCTCGTTGATTTTAGTTATTTTGTGTAATTACCTATTTTCAGTGCCCCTCAATCAGCCACCCTTAGCCCTCACACCTTGCTCTTGCCCGACCGCGCCGTCATCACAGTCAAGGTATGCACGAACCGCAGCTTCCCTCCCTCAACGCGGAACTCGTGGCTGTCGGGGATGCCCGAGAAGCTCAGGAATACGTCGACCGCGCCGACCGTCTCGTCAATGACATAGCGCCGGTCGACCAGCGCCACGCCGCTCGGGATCCCAACATTACAACTATCGTTGGGCCCGCCGTTGCCCGTGTACGACCCACCCTCGAGCCGCGCGCACGGCTTGCCCCACGGCACCACCACGCTCTTGTTGGCGAAGATGTCGCAGTAGGCGTCCGCGGCTGCCTGGATCACGGCGCGCGAGTCGCGCTTGCCCGCCGCAATCTCCCCCCAGTCCTCCTTCTTCGCCCAATTCAGCGTGCCTGTCGCGTTGAACAGCCAGTCGCCCTTGGCCGTCGTCAGCGCGTCCACCTTGGCGATGCCGCCAGACGCAGAAAAATGCATCTGGAACCCCAGCACGTACGGCTTCGTGCCGGATGCCGAGATGAGCTCCGTGTACGTCGCGCACTGCGTCGTGTCGAGGCTGCTGCGGCTGTGGTCGATCTTGAGCGCTGTCGCGAGGATCCCTGTTTTGAGCGTCCCCGCCTTGAAGTTCTCCGTGTAGGTGAGCCCGTCGGCTGCTTTTAGCAGCGATGGGTTGCCTACTACTTGGGCGGCGACTAGGCTGTCGGCGCCCGCTTGCAGCGTCTCGCGCGTGCAGTCGGCTGCGAGCGCGCTGCTGCTGCCGCATAGGGCGGCGAGGGCGAGTGTGAGCAGCATCTTGGTTTTGTCTGGCTGGCTGGCTGGCTGCTTGTCATGGGGTTTTTTGCGGGTGTTGGGCAGGTACCGGCGAGCGGTGGCGTGGCATGGACCGGGTGGTATATATACCGGCTTCTATTTTGAGGGTCGGCACTGGATAATGTCTGTCTGTCTGTCTGGCTTGTCTGTCCTGTCTGTCCTGTCTGTCGTGGCGGACGGATAATTGGGGCGGCTGTCATGACATATGAGGCTTGGCAGTGGTTTCTGACGGGAGATGAGGCCCGCCTCGGCAGTTTGTGAGGCTGGTGATTGGTAGGTTCAGTGGTAGCCCATCTATATATATACAATAACGCGCGCGCCTGGACGAGCTCGGGTGATTGCCGTGGCGATGCGATGCGTTGACAATTATGAGCTTTCATCTGGGTACCCCCATCTAAAAATCGGCGTACCCCCTGGGGGTCATTGACAGCTGCCAAAGTAGGGACCGCTTTTTATATGGTAAAATGCCGTATTTCCTAGCAGCCACGCAACTGGCGGTAAAATGGTATTTCACGATTTTACCGGCCTAAAATAGGCCCCGAGTATCTCAACTGCCAGCAGCTGGCAAGGAACCCCGAGGGGGTACGCCGAATTTCGGATCAAAGCTCATAATTATCTAGTTTGAGGGCTTGTGGTCTTGCGGTCTTGGTTTGGGATGAGGCCTAAAATTTGCTACACGACGGTTGCAGAACAAATATGTTCGATGAGGCCGTTTCCGCCCCCATTTCTGTGCATCTTGCGGGTTCTGGTCTGGTTGTTGCGTTGGAACTGGGTATCTGAGATGGGCGGTAACCAAAGTAACAACGAACAGCATGTGTGAGTAGAGGAGAACTGCATGGTTGGCGCTGGTCTTTTATCCATGTTGTTGTCTGCATTGCCTCGAGGGGAAGGAATTAGCTCTGCGAACGTTGACTTTGGATGTTGCGCTTGAAATTAGGAACGACGAATGTGCATTATCTTAGTATCATCAGACGAAACTCAAGCGACTTTTTGGTTAGCGCATATGGCCACTTTTGGGGGAACCTTCTCTCCCGGCTCAACCTCGGCTCAGCCTAGCATCAGCCCTCATCAGCCTGGATCAGCTTTCTGCTCACCCTTTGGCTGAGCAGCCCTCTAAGTCTCCTCCTGGTCCTATTTCTAGGGCACTTTACACTTTGATTACTCCTTGACGGCTTCTCTCTGTACAGTACCTTATAAGTCATGTAAACTTTAACCGAGAGGCCTCCTTCTCGGACAGAGTCACATATCCTGTCCCCTTAGACACAGACCCTTGGTTTGGTCTCTAGGATACGGGCTCTAGACCCGAGCCCTGCTACATACAGTAGGAGTCATACTTGAAGCAATGTGCCTTGCCCTAGGTTCCAATGGTCCTCAACTCTCCCGCAAAGAGCGCCAAAATGCTGAACGACCTTCGTTAAGGCATGTCTCGCGAGAGCCTGGCCACCAAAGCTTCAGGGAGGCACTGAAGAAGTGTCTATAACTATTCGGGCGGACAACATATACCGCCAGTGCCTAGAGGTATCCTCATGCTCTATCGCCCGTATTGACAAGGGTAAACCCTCGGGTAATGAGCTCACCAGCAGCAATTCCGGCGCACCAGTCCATCATGAACCCTTCTTTTGGAGCGTATCTGAAAAATCCCAAGACATCCCCGTCCTTTTTCCAGATGGCACTGCCACATATTTCTTCAGGAAGGTTGATTGCTGAGTCTTGGCCTAGGTAGTACCAGGCTGTGAAGACCCACTGCTGTTCTGGTGAGCCGTCGTCACTGGGGACTGCTTGGAATGACGACTTCATTAACATCCCTTCGATGCAGCCGGTGTCGGGCGAATCCAAGTAAACCATATCGCCGGTTTGACATTCCTTGGTCAGGGTGAGTTTTTTGAGCCAAACAGGCTGCGGAGTATCGTCGTTCTAGAATGTAACGTTGGAGAACGATTCCGTGTCCCGCAGCTTGACGAGCGCGACGTCTGTGTGTGAAACTTCCATGATAAGCTCGCCAATCTAGCGGCCATTGCCAGGTAGTCCATGGAAGACTTGCGTGCCATATTCGCCAGAGAATCCATGCGAGGCCACAGTCATGAATTCGTTACCAACTCTATCCTTCAACAGAACGCCAGTCGTTGTCGAGATAAACATGCCGGAGCCGCCTGGCAGGTAGGAAGATGTTACTCTCAGCCTGGGCTGTAGGGTGTCGTACTGGCTGTCGTCCGGATTCCCTGGAGTTGGATCGAGAAGACGGCGAGCTTGCGGTGCGGGCGGTCTTCCCATCTCATCATCGAACAAGTAGACACAGCTGATGTTTGCTGCTTGGCACGGCAGTTTGCTGAAATCAGTATCACGGTGCTTCAAGACGATGTATACAAAGTCGCCCCAGTATATGACTTCGGTAATCGAGACTCCTAGGCCTTCGAAGTGGTCCTTGATGATGTGGAACAGCGGCTTCCAATCCTCCATATCTCGGCCGTTTCGGTCTTCAGCGATGGAACCATTCCTGACGAACAATCCTTATCAGTGGTATAGGACCCCGGCCCATCTCCAGAGAGAGGTAAAGAGGAAGTCCGGCCATGGTAAGCGGCCAAGGCTTCGGCGGCAGCGTACGTAGCTGGAGGTAAATAAACGTACGGTCGCTTGAAATACCTGTCGTTCCTGGAAAGATGCTTGACATCATATCTCGCTTTTTGGAGTCCCACATGGCGCTAGGGTCGTCTCGGAGGTCGAACGGCAAGATAAGGTGCCGCACCGGAGGTGGCATTTGGAGATCCTGTGCTGGCGTGCCTTCCGTGCCTTGGAAGAGTGGCTTTTGTTCGGTACGTCCTTACAAAGGCGACCTGTGGTCTAGAGAATCAGGGTAGCATTATCACTCTGTAGGAGGGGATGCGAAGTGCTTACCGATAAGTTAGGTGGGGGGGTAGGCGAACACTACTGATTTAGAACATTCTGTATAAGCAGGAGTCCCAACTAACCCTCCAACAAAAGAAAGGGTGATCTTTTTATTTACAAAACTTCAATACAATCTTTGATATCCTCTGAATCATCCGCTTCTTCCGCATCTTCTAAAACCTCTGCTGCACGCCCTACAGCTCTCTGGGCCTCACGAATAGTCTGAATATTCGCAAAGGTGGTATTTGGATCTTCTTCAACCTTCTTCTTCTTTCTGGCTCTTATTGATTCGAGAGTGTGTTCTAGACCTTCAATCTTTCGCTTCCTAATAGCCAGTTCAAAGGCCTGTTCATCCAAAGCCTTACCAATCTTTCTGAGGAAGAGCTTATCCGCTGGCATTGCTTTGATGATGCGTGCGAACTTCTTTGCCTGCTCAACGTAATCACGTGCCTTTCTAGGAGTCCTCCACTGCACCCAATCGTCTCCATAATCCTCCAGGATTGGCATACGGAGTGTGCGAACCTCTAGGGTAACTATAGTAGTTCTTAAGGGGCGTGAAGTATTAGAATTCTTGAGGAGGAGTGGGCTTCTTAGCGGTTTGTTGACATTCAAGGGCCAAAGGCCTGATGCCTTCCATCCTGACTTAGCATTACTCTTAGTAATTGCCTCTGTGCGTGAAATCTGGTAGCATTCCAGAAACGCACGTTTTCCGGCTACAGAAGAGTCGTCAAAGGCGTTAGCAAGAAGGTCCTCAAGCCGTCTGCGATAAAGTCGTTTTAGGGGGCCAAATATGGCCAAATCTAGGGGTTGGAGGACATGGGAAGTATGGGGAGGCAGATAAATAATGTGAATATTGTTTGTGAATGCCTCCCACATATAATCGGCAGTTGTGTGGCTGCCATGGTCATCAATAATAAGGAGTCGTTTCTCAGAGGAGTTTGCTGGCTTGGTGAGAGGAATGAACACATTTTTTAACCATTTGAGGCTTGTCTCATCGGCAGTCCATCCTTTCTCAGTTGCTGTAAAGAACTAATCCTGAAATGGCTTCATATCCAAAGGAAACCATTGTTGTTGAACGCTTTTCCCCTTAAAAATGACCAAAGGAGGAAGGCAACGGCCAGCTGCTGAGATGCATTCGACAAAAGTGGCCCAAGTGCGGGTTCCAGGCTGTTTTTTTTGAAGCGCCTTAAAGGCACGGCTTCCAATGACAAGGCCGTTGGTTCCTCTGCCTTCCATAATACCAGATTCGTCCTTGTTCCAGCGATTCTCTGGCTTAATCGCCTTGATAGCTGGTGTTTGGAAATGGTTGAACCAAGGTCGAATTGTTGACTCTGTAGCGCAGTTGACGCGGACCGAATCGACTCTCTTGGCCCTCTGAGTCTTCAAAATTCGATTGCGGTTAAGAAAGGCACGGCACCACCCCTTTCCAAGTGGTAAGGAGTCCCCCCTTTCAGCTAGAATACGGCGTGCAAGCTCCCTGATCTGTGCATGTGTAGGGGGCAATCCTAAATCTTGTTGAAGAAGAATCCATTCGACTAAACGATCCTCTTGGGTCTGTGTAAGCCTTTGCTCATCTTGATGAGCAACATTTCGAGGTAGGAAGCCATGTAGACGGCCATAAAGGGTGGAGGGTGGAACGTTCCATTTTCGCGCGACTTTGCGTAATCGATGTGTTCTGACGGCTTCCTCGCAAGCCTTGCGGAGGTCTTCTTCTGTATATGAAACCATTGTCAAGAGAAGAATAAAACGAATTGAAGATGAAGAGAATTGGAAAAGAATTGGTTGAGTTATGGGCTTTTTATATAAGAGGGTTGGTTGTGTTCCTCGCTTATCTAGAATGTTCTGGATCAGTGGCGTTCGCTTACTCCCCCACCTAACTTATGAGCCAGCTCGACCAGATGAAGGAATCCGGGTGAATTCGGAAAGTTTGACGGGTCGATACTGTTGATCAGAGGGCTTACGACGCCAGGACTGGTGATGACTGCGATTTTCTTCGGGGATATTGTTTCGGCTGTCGGCGTGATTCGGCGCTTTCTCGAAGAGGAGACGGCTGGGCCGCTGACGGTCATGGGCGATACGAGCAGCAACTCGGCAGTAGCCTTGCGCTGCGGCGTAGACGGGAATGACGTGGTGTGGAAGATCCGTCTCTTTTGATAGTGGTGACTAGCCAGGTCAATCGAATCTAGGCGCGATTGAAAAGGGCGAGGTCCAGATGGCAAAGAGAGAGCTTGATGATGTACGGTGCAGCGAATCTCTGACTGGTGATGTAGAAAGAGAGTTGTGGCAGGCAGGGTAATGCCGGTAGAGTGGTCTTAAGCCCCGCTTTCCCTCGGCCCATAGATAGCTCCGTCCACTGGAATTTTTTTCAACCGTCGCAGCGCAACGCTGCAGCGCATACAATGACGTTATAGCGCTCAATAGCTGCTGCAACGCCGCTGTAGCGGCACTGTAGTAGAAATTTTATTGCCAATAGATATAGATTAAGAATTACAGTATAGCATTGTATGATAATCCCAACTTTGAGCTCATTGTTTTGAGAACACTTTTGCCATGATGCCACAAACCCGGCTCGGCAGAGCTCAGGCTGGCTCAGGCCTAGCTCAGGCCAGCTCAGGAGAGCTAGAGCAGGCAGCTGCGAATCCAATATCAGCTCCCTGACGCTCTTCCGTAGTGGGAACGCCGAGTCATAGGCACTGAGGTCGTAGATGGACCTTGCTTCATGAGAGTGTTCTGCAAGAGTAGGGCAGTTTTGTAGCAAGTTGTATCTACCTAGGAAGAGCTGGCTAATTGACTACAAGTATATGAATTGGGTTGCAACAATTGTCGACTGGCAACTATGAAGGAGGCTCTGAGAGGTGGAAGTATCGCTTGCTACAGATACCGGAGACTAGCACCAACTATCTTCCGGCCGGAAGAGACTTCATTCACATGAACGAGACGGAAGAGCTGGGCCCTTTGGATGTCCCCGGGTCTCAAATTGGGATCTGGGTGTGGGAGAAAGTCTAACCGAGGGACGGAAACAGCTCAGTCCTAGCTCAGCGCTGCTTAGTCACCACTCAGCGCTCGCTCAGCTCTCGCTCAGCCATAAAGCGGCGAGAGCTCAGCTCTGCGTCCCAAAACGGATTTTGGTGTGCTCGAGTTTCGTCTGTGGATCTAATGGTATCATTACACGAAACTCAAGCGACTTTTTGGTTAGCGCGTGTGGCCACTTTTTGGGACCCTTCCCTCCTGGCTCAACCTCCACTCAGCCTAGCATCACCCCCCATCAGGCTGCTCAGCTTTCTGCTCGCCCTTTGGCTGAGCAGTGTAACGAGGCACGATATGCCCGTCACAAGGACTCGACTCGAGCCTTGCGATGGCTCTGTCAGGGCCCGCTGCCGTTGCAGCCGGGCAGAAGGTTTCTGACCTGTTTCAAACAGACAGTTGTCGATGGCAGCGTGGCCCTGTCAGCGCAGCTACAGGGCCCAGGTCATTCCGAACCTGAGCTTGTTGAAAAGCTTCGCTCAGGTAGACCGGTCGTCATGATGCTTTGACTTGCTACCCGAATGTCAACCCTGTAAGTGGATGGAAGTGACACTGAGTGCTAGTAGATAGATCGTAAGCTGCGGTAGCTCTTGGTACTCGATCAAGACTTGGGTTGAATTTCTGGAAACCCATTTAGAGGTAACTACTTGAGCGCCAGAGGCCTGGGTCTATATAGTTCTTCTACACAGTATGTGGCAGGGACGAGGCGACGCGAGGCTCGTCCCTGCTCGCTCCTTGTTGGATTGGCTCGCTTCCTTGCCCAATAGTCGTCCGTCGTGTCTCGTAGATTTGCCGAGTACTACCCCTGCCCGAGGCGACCCTCCTGGTTCTACCCACCTCAAAATCCGGATTTCTGCTAGCATGATTGGGTCGTTGGTCCCGTCACGTTGCCCTTGCGGCAAGGTCGTAACAAGCTAAATTCCGCGCATGGATCCGCCTATTCATTTTCAGCCCAAAGTCAACCTAGGGCTGCTGCTGCCTTGCCACCAGCGATTAGCACTCTAATCCGTTCAACCTGATTGATATCTTCGCATCACAATACGGCCCAAAATGTCCTTCGCGTACCGGAAATTGAGCGGCAACTCCACGACATCTCCATCGAAGAGCATCATATCCTCTCCACACCGCTTTTTGAGGCTCTTTCCTACAGCTGGGATGGAAAAAGGAAGGACCAGACTATCAGTTGTGACGGATAAAACCTTCTTGTTACAGTAAACTGCAAACTTGCCCTCCATGAGCTTCGCGCCCGTTCGAGAATGGTCACCTACGACTTCATATGGATTGACGCTATATGCATCAACCAAAACGACATCGGTGAAGTCAACGACCAAGTTTCTCGTATGGGCGAGATCTATTTACGTGCCGGTCGAACAGTGGTTTGGCTGCCTAGCAATGCTCTCCAGGATCCCATGTTCCGGTTCGACCTGGAATTCGGTGTGAAAAGCAAGGCATTTGAGATCAACAATATCGGCATCGCTCTGAGGGAAACCCCAGAAAATAACTTCCGGCCGGAGTCCGACTTTCGCAAGGTAATATCTACCTACCTGCGTTGCGTGTCGCGATACGCAGTTCAACCCCAACGCTAATATGATTCATGCTAAATAGCAATTAGAAGAATACGAGCACAAGGTGTTAGGTTCTAGAGATTATCGACACTCGATCCGAGTTCCAGGAGAAGGGAACTGTTGACTTGTTGGAAGCTTTCCGGCTAGCTCACTACTACGACAGCTCCAACGGCCAAGACAAGATATGTGGATTGTTAGGTATCTGCAGTCAACTGAGGGAACATGTCATTATCGACTACGCAAAGTCCCCAGCAACAGTTTGGACCGAAGCTGGGACAGTGTTGCTTTCGCTCTATGGCTTAACAGGGCTTGCGCAAGTCACTCTTGGAAGTGGACTGGGTGGGTGGAAATCTGCTACCCTTGCCTAGCTGCGTTCCTAATTTTCAAAAACTACCTCCGAAACTTTGGGAGAGAGCGAAAGAGCCGGAACCTGAAAGTGGTACGAGCTCCTTAAGAGTGATCGGTTCAGGACTCCAAGTTTCCGGCGTTATAGTGGACAAGATTCGATACGTCTACGACGAGAATACTAACGAAAACACCAGAATGGCTAGCAAGACGTGGTACAACTGGCTCTAGTTTGCCGGAGGTAGCAGTTCTCTGGATACTTATCAGTCAGACGAGGGCCATCGATGGATGTTGTACGAAGACACCTCTGAACCGATGCAGCTCGTATTTTGGAGCACTCTTCGTCAGGATTCGGAACAAAGCATTCGGCAGTGCGACGATTTAACCAAGTGGCACGAGTCCTTCTGTCGCGAGGCAGGGACGAATATCTTCTCATTTGACAGCCTTCTTCTCAGCAGTCGTGACGCGGATACTCATGTGATATCACAGACCCAATCAGGAACCGACGTTGCTGTCAGCCTTACGAAGCCCAGGGCTCTCACGGCGAACAAAAGGCTCTGCTGGACTGAGCTGAGCAGGCTCGGTTTATTGCCTAGGGAGGCAGAGGAAGGAGACTTGGTGGCAATATTTGCAGGTTGCGCCACTCCGTCTGTCGTTAAGCGCCAAAACGACGAAAAGCTAGCATATTCCATGTTTAGCCCGGCCTACATCCACGGAGTTATAGATGAAGAGGCGCATCCGATAAGCTAGTGCGATTACCGATGTCTAGACATGGTATGATGGAATATACTATACCAGAGGAGAACTACGAGAAATTGTAAGCATTGGTAAACGGCAAATGCTACTGTAAGCCCTTTGGACGTGTCTGGGCCTCAATCCGGGGTCAGAGGACGTCGCATGTGAGGAAACTCTAGACGAGGACCGAAAAAACGACGGAAAACAAGACCAAGGCCCAAGATAGGGGCCCCTTGTAAGGATGTGTGATCTCGAAAGTAGAGTTTCTAAGTAGCTCAGCCCTCGCTCAGTGCTGCTTAGGTCTAGTCATAGCTCAGCTCGCGCTCAGCCCCAAAGCGGCAAGAGCTCAGCCCTACGTCCGAAACGGATTTTGGTGAGCTTGAGTTTCGTCTGTGGATTATCTGGTATCGGTATCTTGACCAAAGTAAATGAAAAATACAGTCTTGGAAACCACACGCAACGAGCATGAATCTGATTAAATATGTGCTGAATATTTTGCCTTGACTGGAAAGGAACTAAAAGGAGAAAACCCGTTTGTCCGTTGAAACCGCAGGCATTGTCCAAGTATTTAGCTGTCAATCATCAACTGTCAAGTATGTAGGCTTATGATCAACTGAAGCTGCAAAGATGCATGGGTAGGTTGGTATTGTGCTTGCTTGCTGGCCGACGTTGTGAGCCTACCGAGTCAATGCTAATGTTGATGTTCATAACGCGACTAAGAGATGTAGCCTATATCACACGACCTCTTGTCTCTGAACGCTATTCTACTAGAGAGGTGGGTCTTGAATAAGGCTTGCTCTATTAATTATACGTTGCTTGCCCCTAGATAAATTGACTAACACGAGTGACTAACACGAGACAGGACAACTGCGCCATCCATCATCCTCCGTTCCCATGCCTGAAATAACAAAGACACCCATACTTCATCTGTCAATGGTCAGATTCGCCAATGGCTGCATGGCCGAAGCAAGTGTGAGTCGACCAGAACAATTTGCACCTAGTTAGGGTGTCTTGGAAGCAGCAGTTTGCGTGTCTTAATTCTCACAATAATTAAATGGCTTGGCAACTCAATCCGGCGCACGAATCCCACCAACCATGCACGCCCAACCCGGCCACCTAGAGCGCCGTGTCGGATCGCATTTCCCGGCTCCGTCGGAAGCGTTGATATGCAATATTCGCCACTTCTTGGACCTCTCGGAGCGCCATGAGTCTTGGTCTTGGTCTTGGTCTTGGTCTTGGTGCAATCGTGCTGGGAATGGGTATATTCATTGACAACCTCTTCTCACTCTGGTTGTGCATATTGTGCAGCGGATTGTTTTGATAAGGCATCATTGCGTGAGTAATTGGGTATCTCTTTCTAGTCTGTCTGTTATTCCTCTCCCCTCCCCAGCACATTTAATTGGATGTCCATGTTTGAACTCGCAGCACCGGCATCCTTCGCGAACAACCGAGGCTGTCCATCGTCTCCATGTATTGTACAGTACGTGAGGCGTACATGTTGGCGAGGGCGTGGAGGGTTGCAACCGCCAGGGCCCGGTGCGGCGTTAGGCGAATCGGAGGCGGGAGCTCCGCAGTGGACAATTTCCGGGGTAAATTGGGCGCCAGTGGTGGTCGGCTGCCGGCGAACAGAGAGCAGACGCTGGGAGCATGGCATCGCGCCAATCACAACGGCAACAGACACACCACTTTGGAGGCGTGCGGTGGGAGCAACTGCCGGGCCCTTCTGCCCCCCTCTCCCCCCCTGGCCTCGGCTGGCCTCCTCGGTTGGGCAAGGGCAGCGTGTCGACCTCGCCAGCTTCGGCAAAAAGGGGTCGAAGGAATCAGGGAGGGGCCGATAAATTGCCCCACTGAAGGCTGTGTGACCGTGATGCACGCCGCCGGGGGACCATGGGGGGGCCTGGGGACGTCGTTGGAAATGCGGGGACAGGTCTCCGCACTGCAATCAGCCCCGTGCCGGGAAAATATGGGGACTGGCCCCGTGAAGCCATCGCGGACGCGGTACTGTACTCGCTCCTGCCCTGGGTGAACACGCCTCCCTGCCTATCAAAACAGACCAGGCACTGCCTCCAACAACCGCACACGTTGGCCCCCCGTTGGAAAGGGGTCACGCTGTCGACGCAGCCAACCGCAGGGCCCGAGATAATGGCAAGGTGTGATTAATGGCACGTCGGCGGCGCAACCCATAATAGCCTGCCCAGTCGCCGATCTGCACCGCTGAATAGTGAATATAATTACAGACCAAGACAGGGAGCTCACAATGTACTGGTACAGACTGGCAGAGACCCCAACGTCGTGTCACCACTACATGCTCATGCCACACGGCTCTGTGATATACCTCTCCCAGACCCGGTACCCTCCCGCGAGGTAGCCTCTCTCTTGGCAGCCGGCGTGAGAGTACTGCTCCGGGCAGTCCCCCAGGCCTGCTCCGCGAGCCCTTGGTTCCCCAGATTCCAGATTGCGTCCCCACGATCGTCTGCCGATTCCCCCGCCGGGCCAAGACGGTTTTGAGTGCTCGCCGCCATGCAGCTGGATTAAACTCGTGTTTGGCCATGGCGTGGCCGGTTCCGTTTTCTTCAGTAGATTGTAGATTGCAGAGGCAAGCGAACACGGCGGGCCTGCGTCTGGGACTGGCCAGCTGCCAAGACCCTGGCCGGGCTTATAAGAGCGAGGGACGGTCGGCACAAAGTCGCCGATCGAGATACCTGTGGTCTACCTGCGCTCGGCTGTAGCGGAACTTCCTGTCCCCCCCCTTCAGATTCACAACTATGAAGCAATATCTGCAGTACCTGGCGGCGGCGCTGCCCCTGATGGGCCAGGCGGCGGGCCAGCAGGTGGGCAAGGAGCAGAGCGAGACGCACCCCAAGATGTCGTGGAAGAAGTGCACGGGGTCGGCGTCGTGCTCGACGGTCAGCGCCGAGGTGGTCATCGACGCCAACTGGCGGTGGCTGCACACGTCGGGCACGACCAAGAACTGCTACGACGGCAACAAGTGGACCAGCGCGTGCACGTCGAGCACCGACTGCGCCGATAAGTGCGCCCTCGAGGGCGCCACGTACCAGAAGACGTACGGCGCCTCTACCAGCGGCGACGCCCTCACACTCAAGTTCCTGACTAAGGGCGACTACGGCACCAACATCGGCTCGCGCTTCTACCTGATGAACGGCGCCTCCAAGTACCAGATGTTCACCCTCATGAACAACGAGTTCACCTTTGACGTCGACCTGTCCAAGGTCGACTGCGGCCTCAATGCGGCTCTGTACTTTGTCGCCATGGAAGAGGACGGCGGCATGGCCAAGTACTCGACCAACAAGGCCGGCGCCAAGTACGGCACAGGCGTGCGTATTTGCACCTCCCCCGACCTACCCCCGACCTGGTTTACTATCTAACACCCCCTGGCAGTACTGCGACGGCCAGTGCGCGCGCGACCTCAAGTTTGTCGGCGGCAAGGCCAACTTTGACGGCTGGAAGGCGTCGTCCAACGACCCCAATGCCGGCGTGGGGCCGTACGGAGCGTGCTGTGCCGAGATTGACGTCTGGTGCGTTTTAGGCCTAACCCCCTTTTCAATTACGCGTTCCTAACAAGTACGCAGGGAGTCCAACGCGTACTCGTTCGCCTTCACGCCGCACGCGTGCGTCGACAACAAGTACCACGTGTGCGAGACGACGGGCTGCGGCGGCACGTACTCGGACGACCGCTTCTCGGGCGACTGCGACGCCAACGGCTGCGACTACAACCCGTACCGCATGGGCAACACCGACTTTTACGGGAAAGGAAAGACGGTCGACACGACTAAGAAGTTTACGTGCGTTTTCCGCCCGTCTGCCACTTACCCGGTTGATCACCGAGTACTGACTGACTGGAATTCACAGCGTCGTGTCGCGCTTCGAAAAGAACAAGCTCACGCAGTTCATGGTGCAGGGGGGCAAGAAGATTGAGATCCCGGCCCCCAAGATCGACGGGGTGCCGTCGGGCAGCAGCGCCATCACGCCCGAGTTCTGCGAGGCGCAGCCCAAGGCGTTTGGTGACCGTAACCGCTTCGCCGAGGTCGGCGGCTTCGACCAGCTCAACCAGGCCCTGTCCGTGCCCATGGTGCTCGTCATGTCGCTGTGGGACGACCACTACGCCAACATGCTGTGGCTCGACTCCACCTACCCCCCCGACAAGGCCGGCCAGCCCGGCGCCGCCCGCGGCGAGTGCGCCCAGGACTCGGGCGTGCCCGCCGACGTCGAGTCAAAGTCGGCCAACGCGTATGTGCTCTACCTATCCTTTCTCATCGTTGCATGGTACCATGCTGACATCTTTCGCACAAACACAGCCAGGTCATCTACTCCAACATCCGCTTCGGCCCCGTCGGCTCGACCGTCGCCGTCTAATAAGGTGGCCGTCTATCCAGGCACCCGTCTTCTCTCTGTGTCGGCATGTACCGTGCTAGCCTGTGGACGCTGCCATCCACTAACGAAGCAGCACGGTACAAGTAAAGATACACAGGGCGACTAGGCGGTGTGTGGCGTGTGGTGTTGTCGTCATGTTCGATTCAGTAGTAAATATGCAGTGTCTACCTTAGTCAGTGTGTCAGAAAATAGTAGTAGCAGCAGTAGTAGTTGTTGTTGTATATACGCTATACAGTCCACTCATTGCCATTTCGTGTCATTCGCTTTTGTACTCATTCGCTTTTGTACCCATTCGCTTTTGTACCCATTCGCTTTTGTACTCATTCGCTTTTGTACACCTGTGATTTTTGTGCAGCACTGGAGCGTTAGGTAGGGTATCGCAAATGCGGTGGAGTGTGGGTGTGTCCGGATTTGCTTGCCTGTGGGACCGTGGGGGAAGCAGCATGCATATCAAAACCACGAACCACGTCTGCGAAGCTGCGAGACGGGGGGGGGGGGGGTATATCTGACTGGTCGAATCAGGGGCTGACATGGTGTTTGCATTGGTCAACGAATCTTTTCGTGAATGAGGTAGGGCTGCGATGTACAGATACGCCGCGTCATAAAGTCCTCTTTGTACTGCCCAGGTTCCCACGGGGGCCGTCTGGGGAGGCAGGCCGTCGAGATCAGGGTCTGCCAGCTGGCAACGTTGACGGATTCGTGGCAGAGCTAATAACGTGCGTCGTAATCACAACTCTTCCGTAACGGAGAAGGAACAGTCAGGAACGGAATGTCGAGACCTGACTAGGCTAGTATCAAAATCTGGTTTTCGTCATGCCAGGCAAGATATGGGTTGCGCGCTCCCGTGCCGACAGCCGAGCAGCAAATGGCCAAACCCAGCACCACGCCGCGGCGACCTGGTTCCGGGCAGCCGCCAAGGGCTCGCTAACGCCCGGAGGCGGTGTGGGGGTGCTTGTTTCTGGACATTACCGCGAAGTTCTATATTGTCGCCTCATGTTCGAGGGCAGTTTGGCGAGGTGCCTTTGCTGGACACCGGGATGGGTGTATGCAAGTCGGTCTTGAGCCAGACAGTTCCGTCGTCTTGAAATGGTGCATTGCGTCTTGCAACTGACCGAACAGATCGGCTTTGGACCCTGTAACGGTATGATATGCCGCTGTTAACGGTGGCCGAAAAAGCTACTTCAAACTCTCAAGCTGCACTCAAACCCAGCGAGGTCGAGCCCGAGGAACCGGCTACCTGGAAAGGTCATGATTTCTCCAAGGTCTCGCCAAATTATTGGGCTCCTGCGAAAGATGAGTTAATTGACGTCACATATGGCCTCAACCAAGCGAGAACAAAGTCTTGAAATTCATCTCCCCTTTTACAATCCACGTGCACCCCAACTCCTTTCCATCGACCGCTTTCTCTCCGCAACAGGAAAAGTTTGTGGGATATAGAGACAAGCCAAAAAGACACTAGCACCCCGTTCGGGGCGGAAGCCCGCACGAGCTCGTTACGCGGTCCTTGTACGTCTTCTCGGCAAAACCAAGGAACCTGTCGACATCGGCAGCCGTTGAGGCGAGGCCAAACGACACGCGCACGGCGCCGACGGACGGGACGCCGAGGCCGCGGTGGCTGTCTAGGGCCACCTCGTCAATGACGGCAGCGCCGGCGCGGGTGCGGAACAGATTGCGCAGGTCGGTGGCGCGCAGGCTGAAGGCGGCCTCGCCGGCGCCGGGGTTGCAGAAGCAACCGGTGCGCAGCGAGATGCGGGCGGCCGACGACTCGAGGGCCACGAGCCGCTCGTCGACGACTGCGCCGGTGGCGTCAATAAAGTTGAAGGCTACGGTGGCGCCGCGCATGCGCGTGTCGGCGGGCCCGTAGACGCGCGCCATGGCCGAGCCGTCGCTGTGCCGGAGCCGGTGCAGGCGCTCGAGGAACCAGGCCGTCAGGCAGCGCACGCGCTTCCCAACCAGCGACGGCCCGCCCAGGCCCGCCAGCCAGTCGAGGCCAAAGTGCACGTCGGGTATGGCGAGGAAGTTGAGCGTGCCGTCCTCGAACGCCTCGCTACCGTCGGCCATGCGGTGCAGCGGTAGTCCGACGGCCACGGCCGTGATGGAGCCGCCTGAGAACCACGGGCGGCGCAGGCGGGCTAGCGCCGGCCGCCGCGCCACGAGGCAGCCCACCCCCGTCGGGTAGCCAAACACCTTGTACCAGCTGGCGAGCACGAAATCGGGTTGGACAGCTGACAGGTCGAGCGACGCCGTCGGCAGGTACGCCGCCGCGTCGAGCAACACGTCGTAGCCGCGCTGCTGCGCCAGCGACACCCAATCGAGCGGGTGTCGCACGCCTGAAAAGTTGCTCTGCGCCGGGTAGGCAAAGAGTCCGTTGCGGCCGGCGTGTTTGGGCCGCTGGGGCTCGTGGGGCTGCCCCTTTGCTTCCGGATGGGGGGTGTGATTCTGGGTCTCGTCCGGCCTCGAGCACGGGAGGCACATTCCGGCCGCGGCCTTGGAGAGCTGGTGCAGAAGCCCCTTTTTCTGTGGGAGAGCGGCCACAACATTGGCAACGTCGGCACGCAGGTCGGCTGGGCGTGAGGGAATGTAGACGGTCTTGGCGCCGGCAGCGCGGGCAAACTCGCGCAGGCCGTTGAGCGAGTTGTGGTTGTCTGCCGTCAAGACGAGCCTAGAATTCCGGCCAAAGGGGTAGGCCTCGCCAACGATGCGTGCGGCGCCAGTGGCGTTGGCCGTGAATATCACGGCATACTCGTCGGGCGAGGCGTTGAGGTGGGCTAGGATTCGCGCACGCGCCTGCTCGACTGCCTGAGTAGCCGCCGCGCTGGTAGGGTTGACCGAGTGGGGGTTGCCGAATACGGACGACGCGAGCCGGGCGTCGTGTGCCCGGTGCTGCGCCCTGGCGGCGAGGCCTGCGCCGGTGTAGTCCAGATACACATGGTCCTGTGCGTCGAGGTAGCCGTATTCGCTCTCCCGCAGTTCATCTAAGAGGGCCGTGTCCCGGTACTCGGGGTGAGCGTCCAGAATCCCCGCCATTTGTGCCCCTTGATCGATGACAGGATGCAGGGAAGAAGGTGGAGACAACAGAAAGGGAAGTGCCGAGACGGCGCGAAGTGGCCAAGGCACCCACTCTACACCCGTTAAGGTGCGTGAGATGCAAGTGAGATGATGAATGACGTTCGATATTGGCTTAGAAGATTAACAGGATGGCTGAGTATGACTGTAACAGTGGTAGGGGATACCACCAAGCATCAAGACATGCCTCTCAAGGGTGGATCTCGGGGAGGACGGTGGTCAGAGGGGAACCCGAGAAGAATTCACAACATCGGCCTCCAACCTTCCTACTTGTACTGCTCCTACATTCTCGTTGCCTCATTTCTGTAATGGTGTGCCGTTGTGCCGTTACGCTAGCAGACAAATCAGATACGTGTTGCCTGGTACTCTGGGCAACATCAGCTATGTGGTCGCAGCCCCCACCATAGGTTCCGGGTGAGTCTTTCCGCCTAGGTCGAAAATTTTCTGCCTCAAAGTCTTGATTGGTTTTCCATCTTGGGATAGAGAAGTCGACGATACGCACCCGAGGTTGACAAGAACTAACATCTGTCGGTACGCAACTAGCTTCCGTATCAGTATGCTTATAGTGGTCGGGAGCGAGGTTGGCGATCTCTTGATTGGTGCATACATCCGATCCGCACCAGCCATGGTGGTTGGAAATGCTGGTCTAGTGCCAATCGGGCCCCGGCACTGGTCTTATTTGGGGGTTTCCTTTCCATTTGGGGTCACGTCCAACGTCTTCAATGATCTACACGCCACGACACGTCAGCAAGGCCACAGGAGACTAGCCCAGGATGACAGGAGACTAGCCCAGGATGGACTGGGCGCACCCGCTCTAGCTTCTGGGACTACTAGCCCTATTCAGAGTAGAGTCGGCATTGTCAGACCCTTTTCCAGACCCCCATCAGTACCATTTGCGCCAGGGCAGCCTCTTGCGTCGGGATTTCGACCGAATATGTCCCAGGAGATCCGGAAAATGAGAAGGCAACTACGATAGATGTGGGCTATTGTAGTAATGCCTAGGCCTCTCAAGACATCCCACTCTCTCGCATATTCGAGTGATATATGCTCCATCCAGCAAGCATGACGACGGTCGGCGGGCGATCGCTGGTGCGCGTTCTAGTCCGAGTCGCGTAGATGAGTGCGCTTACTCAAAACGCGTTGCAGATCATCTGTGTGGCCTGGCGCTTCTAGTCATGAAGTTTTCAAAGTATGTGGCCGTCTAGGCACCAATGTTCCGGGTTTGCGAGATGCACAAGTGGGTGTGTGGCTGTAACCATCGAAAATTTGGCAGCAAGCCCAGAGCGAGTGGTGGGATTAATTTGAGTGACAAATAATTAGACCCAAGAGAAGAGCGGTGTCGCCGACAGCCTACAAGCAGAATAGACGTTACGGAGAGCCAGTGAAAAACTTGCGGCGGCGATTGCAACGCTGACCTGTCAGCCCGCAGCGCAGAATCTGAAGAGCTGTTTTTCGGACGCGTTTACGGCTTTCTGGTTGCAGCTTGTGCAACTTTGTCGAGGGGACTGGCTTCTGGATTGGGTGCTTGGGGAACTGGCAGGCAACTGGTCCGGAAGCTGCCATTTCCTGCACAGCGTCGCGGCTTTGGCTCGGCTATGCTAGCTTTAGTTAAATTGATTTTGGTGCCTCTATAAATGTCAGGTACGGGCTGGACATGGATACGCCGTTCGCAACAAAGTATGAGGGATGTACACTATTACATCTTTGAGCGCCGGTGCATTAGTCTGAAGAGGCGTGTCAGAGCTGCTAAAGATGCGTCTTTGGCGCCTCTATAAAGGGTTAGATCGAACCTTTGGTAGAGAGGCCGATTGGGCCCTCTCGACCCAACAGTTGGCAGGAGTCAATAGAGGTGAGAGTTGTCGAGTTCTAGTTCTGACAAAGCCCCGGCTTTGGTTGGACCTGGGTCCATTCACCGAAGAGCTCTAGAAGGCTGTCGGGACCTCGGTCGGCAAACGTGCCGGCTGTCTCGTGACGAAGCAGACCAAGCACAGCGAGTTGGCGAGTTCGATGGTTAGCTGCATTGGTTTTCGAGTCCCGCTTCGTTCCGGTGTTTTCGGACCTTCTCAGGGACCAGTGGGGCAGCCCTTGCATCCTGCAAAAATATTGATCATCAAGTCTGCTAGACTAGACGTATAGCAACGAATGGGGCAGCTAATTAGTGTGGTCTGTTGGTGGGAGTCGGGACTTGAACTTCGCGTCAGCAATTCCTCCCTTACGCGGTGTGTCCAATAGGAGTTGAGCTATTGCTGATTCAGACGTCGAACCCTTTGTTGGAGTGAGAAAGAGCTGCACGAGCAAGGGATGTTTTGTGTGGACACCATCGTCGCCGTTGTCTGACTGGAGGTCGGAGCAGTCGGGGCAAGGGACCTCAATATGGGTGTGCAGCCCGAGAAGAGCAAAAGGACTCCGGCATGGCGAGCCGAGATCACCAGCAGCTAGGAAGGATATATCATAATCAGTTCCGCGCTCGATATTCACAGCGTCTTTGGATCGAGTTGGGGACGGAGAAGGAACTTGAAGCGGCAGGTACATTTTGAACATTTTCTGTTTTCGCCGTCGCGAAAAATTCTGTAACCCTAGTTCAATTGACTTTCGGTGCCAGTAAGAAGGGGCGATGAGAAGTGGGTGAAGAGAAGTTCTCGATATTAGGGTTGTTGCGTTGGTTGAAGGATGTTGTGAGGAAGAAACAAGTGAACACGACGAAGCCGGAACCCTAACCCTTCCTCTGCTGCAACAGACTGGGAAACAAGCCTTACAGTATTGTTGTTCCCGAGACCTGCGGTGCAGCAGCAGAAATAGGGGTGAAAATAAAGAGAAAAATCTGAAAAATCATCACGTAGTGGATAATGGAGATTGAGTGCGAGACGTGAGACATGGAGGACGAAACGTGACATCTTGCTCTCGTCCTTCGCCAGATGGATCATCTGGATTTTAGATGGAGAGCTTGGGGGCCCACGTGACGCTCTGAACCCAGTCCAGCCCATCTCTGTCCCGCGCCTGCCCTTGGCGGCGGAACCAGTGGCACGCGCCCCACCCGAGCGCACCTCGGAAATCACAGTGTGGGGAGACAATGTTGTTCAGCTGGTGGCGTGGCGTGAGAACCGAAGCAAACAAAACGAAGGGGCAAAACCTCAAAATCTCAAAAAAGCACAAACCACTAGACATGGCCCAACCTAGAAGGTAGACGGACCTCAACGGCATCATCGGTACATCTGGCCAATCTAGCCGCATCGGCAAACTCTCATCACCAACCATTATTGCTAGGCAGACAACCAAAAAAAAAAAAAACCAAACAGGGACCGCGCAAACAAGAACAGCCACCAACAAAAAAAATGGATGGCCCTCCACGGCGCCCGCGCCAGGCCGTTCACCGCTTCTCACTCGGGCAGCTCGTCGCAGTCCCCATCCTGCTCGCCATCCTCACCGCTGCGACCATGTTCCTCTACAGCGACACGAACATGTACATGCTGCTCAGCCAATGCCACGCGCGATCGCGCATACGCTGGCTGTCACGCGTCCCGGTAATCGGGGTCCCACTATGCTTTCTCACGAGCTTCTTCGTGGAGGCGTTGGGGGCGCCGGCGCGATCACCGGGCGCGCTGGGCGCGGTGCTGAGCTTTGTCGGCGCGCTGCTGACGGCAGCCACCGTCGAGGCCGCGCGCATCTGCAACGCGCCCAGCGTGCTGATTGCGAACCCGACAGGGCCGTGGCTCGTGTTTAATCTTGTCGGCGGGGCCGTCGTGTGGCAGCTGGTCATCCTGCCGGCGTTCTTGCACCGCAGCAGAGAGATTATCGAGGCGCGCGGCCGACAGGGGTACAGGCCCGCGGCGGCGGAGCCGGCCGGGCCGGAGGATCCAACGCTTGGCGAGGCGCATCGGCATCTGGCGAGGGTGGCCGAGGTGGTTGCGATTCCCGTGGCAGTGACCGTGGGGTACGTGGTGCCGTCGGTGGTGATGGTGGTGCTGGACGAGCCCGTGTCGGCGTTTGTGTGGCTGTTTTTCCCTGTTTATGTGTCGCTGGTGCGGCAGGCGGTGCGCAAGGCCGTGGTGGTGCTGCTGCGCGACGAGTGGTGGCGCGCTAGCTTCCACCTCGAGTCTAGCAGGCTGGCGCTGGCGGGCGTGTATGCGGTTCCGATCGTGTGCTCGGTGCTGTCGCAGGGGCTGCTGGTATGGAGCCTGCTGCAGCCCGACGACCGCAAGGAGATGACGCGCTCGACGATCCGCTTCATCGTCATCGACGCCTTCTTCATCGGGCTGACAGTGCTATATTGGGTCTTGGTTGAGGCCGGGTGGCGGGTGGCGCTGGTCATGGCTGGCACTTCGGTCGTGCTGGGGCCCGGCGCCGGGGTCTGCATCGGGTGGATCTACCGGGAGCGCGCCGTCGATCTGGACCGGACCGTGACGGTTGTAGCCGTAGGTGCGCAGAGTAGCAGGAGGTTCGGCAGTCCCTCGGAAGAGACGCCGCTCCTGCGGTGAAAACGCTGATTATTGTCTTGTCTTGTACATATACATCTATCTTGTTGACCCTAGCGAACAGACGAGCATCACCACTAGGCACAATTAATTGTAATTATCGTCATTGCACTGGTTATCTGCTTCTGTTCCGCTTTTGGGGAGTTGCATCCAGTTGTCATCCCTTGTTGCCCGAACCAGTGCACACAGCACATACGATGCTCCGCGGCCGCTAATGCAGTGTAGCGATGGCGACATTCCAGGCTAAAATGCCGTCAGCGCCTTTGGCTCCCCATATAAGCACTCAACCGCCATCCAAGAAAAAAACACTTCAAGCCTCAAACTCCACAAACACACGACATGCGAACTCTCAACCAACGAGAAAAACAAAGGACATGACATTCCGTCGCTCATGCACGTGTACGATGGTCCCACAACCACTGGGCGGTCCCACAACCACTGGGCAGTCACTCAAACGTCAATAACCGCCTGCCGGCGGCGGAAAGTATCCCGCGTTCAGCCAGTCACTCGGAAATGCGGGCCACGACTCTGAGCCAAACAGATCCGAGCCGAAGTTGAGCCCGTCGAGAACCTCCTCAAAGGCGTTGGTCCCGCTCGTGCCCCCGCTGGCGCTGGAAGGCGCAACAACCGTTGCAGCGTCCACCGGCATGGCCTGGAATGAGGAGAGAGCCGGGACGGGCGCGGGTGCTGACATCGAGCTCTGGCCCGCGGCTTGGTTCGTGCTACGTGGAAAAGCCAGAGGCTGAGCCCCTATCTGTGCTTCGACTTCGCCAGAAGTCGACGGTGCAAAACGGGGTGCGGCCAACTCGCCGCTGACCCCGCGAGTGCGGGCAACCGAGACAGGCTGGCCTGGTGCTAATTGCAGTCCGTGGGCAATGAGCTCCTCGATATCCGCTTGCTGTTCGTGGGTGTCAATACCGACAAGGTACGGTGTGGTGCTTTTCTGGCGGGGACTCGACTTACAATGCCGGCACATGCCGGCCCTGGCGTTGAGTTTTGAGCAGCCCGCAGACAGACTGTGGCGAGCTCTTGCACTCCTTCAGCAGAAAACCCCTGTTCGTCGCCTGCCGTCTGCAGGCCATGATAGAGCACTCTCGCGCACTGGAAAGCACACCCGGGCAGGTCAATGTCAGTGACTGGCGCACCGTTGCTGAGCGTCAGCACCTGTGCAAACATGTCAGCCATGGCTCTCGCGTGCTCATAACACTGTCTTCGGCCGCGGGCGACGGATTCGGGATTCAGATGGGCGAGAAAAGCCGGCGGGAGCGCTTCTTTCAGGCCGGTAAGAAAGAGCCGGTAGAGGTCAAGGTAGCACTGCCTCCACCAGACGTGCGTCATGATGAAGATGCCGAGCCGGGGCGAGTACGTGCGCAGGCGCAAGTTGGCCTCGGACCAGCGGAACGAGAGCGGCAGTCTCGCCTCAAAGGCCTCGAGCTCCCCGGCCAGCCGTGCGCAGTCGGTCGGCAGGGCGGCGAGATCCCCAGGTTCCAGCACGGCCACAGCCTTCATTGTGCGCTGCAGAGTCCTCGTGCGCATCCAGTGGATGCGCACCTGGAGCGCCATGAAGCCCAGCACATCGGGCAGCGGCGGCACGACGCCGTCGAGACCTGGGAGCGGCGGCTGCAGTGTCTCGGTGGGCTCGGGTAGGTCAAACTCGAAATTGCGTTCGTTGCACGGAAGCTGGACGTGGATCTGCCTCTCGGCGTCCGGCCAGAGAGCGACGTCGGGCTGGCCGCTCGAGATGGCAGAGTCGATCATGTAGAGTGACCACATCAGCCGCCGGCGGGACTCGCGCGCCAGGAAACACAGGTTGGCGTTCTCGTGGTTGAGACGCAGCGCCGTGGCAAAGCGACTCGCAACCGCGTGGACCATGAAGGCGGACGAGAGCCGCTTCGAGAGGATGCGGTGCTTCACGGCAATGACGAGCGCCTGGAGACGGAGGATGGACGGCTTCTCCAGCTCGGCAAGACAGATAGCCACCGCCTCTTCAATGCACCGATCGCCGTAATCCACCATGCCCGGACCGAGGTCTGTCAGCAGGGCTGTGATGCCCACCAGCGCGAGGAGCAGGGAGCGGTCGAGCGAGCCGGTATGGTACCGTTCCATGAGGGAGGCCCGATGCAGGAAGGAGAACATGGGCATGTGGTGGACGTGGCGGAAGAAGTTGTCGAAGGCCCGCAGCGCCAGGGGCTCGTCGGGGTCGAGGCCGAGCTCGGAGGCGGCAGGAGCCGGGCTTGTAGTGCCGCTCCCGAAGGTGGCCTGGTCGTAGGCGACGGCTCCGCGGTCCGTCGACTCATCGTCGTGCATCACCACGTCTTGGGAGGCAGAGCCGGCGAGGGCGCTAGACAGGGGCAGGGCGCGCTTGCCCGGGCGGTAGACGCATTCGAGGGCCTGGAGGCGGCAGCGGTCGCATCGCGGCATGGACCCACTGCAGCGGGCCTTCTTTGCATGGCAGTTCTGGCAGGCCTGGCGGGCCCGGCGGCGCGGTACGGCGATGGCGGTGAGGCTGTTGTCGGGCTGGACGATCTCGATGGCGACGTTTTCGTCGTAGGAGCAGGCAAAGCCCAGGCGCTCGCAGTTGGTGCAGATGCCCCGACGGCCATCACATCGAACCTTGCGCGCACGGCACGTGATGCACGTGCTGGCCGTCCGCTTTTGAGCCCGGGGGGAGGCACTCATCGGCGCGGGCGACGGTGCGGGTGCGGGTGCGGGCGCGGGCGCGGGCGCAGAGGGAGAGAAGGGCGCACTCGGGCGTGTGATGTCGAGGGGTCCCGAGTCCGGATCGGCACCGTCATCGGATCTCGTCAACCACCATTGGAACTTGGAAAGCCAGGCCGCGGCGGTTCGCAGCGGCAAATAAACTGCAGAATTTTTGCTTTAGGCTCGGCCCTAAGAGTGTTGGCCTTACCTCGTTAGGTAGCGTTGCCGTCGTGCGTATCGGTGCTCTATGTGCAGAGATTAAGAACAGGCAATCGGGTTTCCTCCCAGGTTCTTGCCTCGACCTGTCCCGAGCGGCGGATTCCAAATGGCATTAGATGCATTTACAGACATGCGCTATCTGCTGTTCTACACCACCCAGGCTGCTGCCAGAATTGACCTACTGAGGGTGGGTAGTGGAGCAGCTCAGAGTCGAATGGGTGGGGAAGGAGGAGTTGAGATGCTGGAGACTCCAGTCTAGGCCGCCTTTAGCCCAGGCATTTGGGGAAGGACTGATGGAGTCGCCAACCTGCGAATCCGATAAATAAACCTTTGGCTCCTCCCGCTGTGCCCCACCTCCCAAAACCACTGCGTTGTGCTGAGCGGTTGATAGGCCGCTCTTGCGTCTGCATTGCATTAACACATGAACCTAGGCTTGGCTTGGTTTATCTTCATTAAAAACACTCTTTGTATCCGTAGTGTGATATCCGTACCCGCGTTACGGACTGCAACACTGTTCGGGCCACTCTAGGAACTGGCTAAACCCTAACCCTGCAATAAACAATTTACGAACTCGAAAACTCAACCAAGGAATCAACGTGCCCCGAAGACTCAGAGGTCCATCACATCCAGTCATCACTATCACCAACTATCTAGGAAGAGCTACAATCATGAGCCATTGACTCCAGTTGAGCTTCCATACCTTAACTCACTCACGCCAGAGTATGATGAGAATCACACAGCCATAGAGGCAACTTCACATGATTCTCACATGCTCCAATAGATGTAGAACTAGTCGTTAAAATAGATTTGGATTTGGAAAAATCGGTCATTAGCTAGGTGCCACGTTCAAATTTGTCCACAAATTTGAAATCACACCCGGTCGGCCGGGGTAGATCTAGGCGACAGACGAGAGAAAAACGCCTTAGGCTCAAATAGCAGAAATCAACCCATTTCGAAGTTGCGCGGCAAGGAGTCCGTCTCTTGTTTCATGGGCCGCCGAGAACTAAACTCACGTATAGCTATGTTCCATTTTCACGCGGAAGAGATAGCGGAGCCGGACCTGGGCGACATCGTAGCAAATGTACTCGTTGTAGTACAAAGAGGCGCCGGGCACATCTGTCCGTCCTGGCGCGACGGAGACATCGGGCTACAACCGGTTAGAATCATCATCAGGTGAGGAATCTGCAAAAGAGGCTTACCATCTTGACCCCGGCTAGCGAGGGATGGACGCAAGCGGCATCCTTCCAATTTAGAGGACCGCGCGAGCCTTTGCCCCAGGTTGACACCATGCCTTTCGCCTTCGCATCTTCTCCTGCGTTATACGAGGCTTTGATAAGCTCCTGCATAGGATCTCCCAATTCAGCCTCGCACAGCAACAGCAATGCGGTGTTGTTAGACATGCCCGCACAGCAGTAGTTGGCTGACTTGGACGACATGTCGGCGAGATAAATGCCTTTGCCAAACATATACCCGGACACCGGTGCCTCTGGGGGAGCGATTCGGAGGCCTTGGCTGAGGATCCCGCCAAAGTTGGTCGAACGAGAGCCGTGCCATAGCAGACGGCGGTTCTTGGCAATCGCAGGCTCAGCGAAGGGGCTCTTGTCAAAGCGATCCCTCTCTCCCTGGCGCTCAATGCGGAAGATGCTCTCAACGTTGTACTTGATATTGTGCGTCTCTCCACGCGTGTTGACCAAGTAATCCTGCAATTGCAAGTACTCGGCCGTCTGGGCATCCAGAGGCGTCATCTCCTCCATGTTGAGCCCTTGGTACTGCCTGTCCAGCGGATTGACATCCGCGTCTCCAACTTTCTCCATCTTCATGATGAGGGCAGCATCCTTCATGTCGCTCAGGCTTTCCAGAAGCTCTATTTCCTTCTTGACCATTTGCTGATTTGCGATGACTGGGGGCCGGCTGCGACCAAAGTTGTGGGGGATGAGGGAGTAGAACGAATTGGACACTTGCTCGACAGCCGGAGAATAGGGCACCCCATAGCCGCCAGCAGGAGTTGCGGCATCGATGCGAGCAGACAAGTCTTTGAGCAACTGGAAGCCACGTGTGATTGTGGCCTTGCTCAGCTTTCCCAGGGGAAGCTTGCTGGCGTCGTAATTCATTGCCAGCATGGTGTTGTTGAAGATTTGCTGGTTGAAGATGAGCTTTAGGAGGTCCTGTACCGCAGCCTGAAGCGTGCACTTGGGCGGTTGCCAACCGGGCGCCTTCTTCTTGGCGCCGAGTACCTTCTCTTCAACATCCTCCTCGTCGTCGGATTCAGGTTCGTAATTCCGCTCGACGAAGGCGTACTTGGCCGGCTTTGGATCATCGCCACGCTGATTCCAGGGAAGACCTGACTTGTCTCTAAACTTTTTCTCGAATTGGCCTATCGCATCTACAAGGGTGCCCTCAGATGCAACGGCCGTCTGGCCACGTTCACCAACGCGACCCCATCGCGTCCAGGTACGGCAAGTTCCTTTGGGGTCCACCAGAACCTGCATTCTCGGTCAGCAGAGGTGAACAGAATGCAGATGGCAGACGTGTCGACGAGGTCCTTCTTACCTGGATGCGGTAGAACTTATTGTTGTTGTTCCCGGCATTTGTCTGGTTCAAGGAGGCGTCGTAGATGACTCCATCAGGCGCGATGTAGACAACGGACGTGGCGAAGGGGCATCCTTCATCAAGCGGAATCTGGAGATCCTTCTGTTTGGCAACCTGGTCTTTGCCAATAGCTGGTGGGGGCTTCGACTTGTCGGGGTCTGAACTGGAGGCCCCGGTGGTGCCGTCAATGTCACCTGCGTCTTTCGTGCCATTGTGGGCATCGACAGCCTCGGTAGCTGCCTTGCGACCCCTAGCTTTCTTGGTCTTGGGCTGGTCGTCAACAACATTTGCAGGAGGGTCAGCTCTTTTTCGAGAGTTATTAGCGGTAGCTTTTGTGCTGTTGGGCTGGGAGGATGTCGACTTGGCATCGTCGGGTTGATCAGCGCCGCTCTTAGCTGATGCTCCCAGAACAAAGTTGTTTTCGGGCTGCCGGGCATTGTTCTGGTCGGAAAGAGAAAGCCATTCCAAGCCGACAATTGGAATACCAAGGGTCTGAGCTTTTGCGACCTTGACGGAGGGCTTGTTGAAGTCACCCTCGGTAGCAATCAGATGCGTCGTGTCGTCGGTGACGGTATTGGTAACCGTCGCACCGACGGCTTCGGCCTTGAGCCTGAGAGCGGCCTGTGGTGTGCCTGGGAAATTACCGCTCAGAGCAATCTTGCACCCGTCAAGGGCAGGTTTTGCTGGAGCAGCAACCTTTTTGGCTCTCTTCGGTGGCATTTTCACGGTGAATAGTAAGAAACAGAATAATAAAAAAGTGCAAGCTTCCCGAAATCAGCCGTCCCGGGTTAGAGAGAAAGGTTCAATGTCAGGATGTCGCTGCTGTCCAGCATCGACAAATTGACGTCGCAAAATGGGGGGGGGAGGGGGAAATGAGGGGACTGTGCCCTTTCCGTCTGAAGATGGGAGGCAGGTCGTCATGGACTTTTTCACTTGAAATATTTTCTCGCGCGTTGGGGGCGCTTTGCTTGGATTAGAACTAGGCAAGCGCGTTCGGGTCAGAGCAGGCACCAACGTCCCCAATCCGTGCGCTGGCGCGAAATCACGGGACGGACATCTAGGCTCCCAGCACCCCTGCGAAGCCAGTTCCACAAAAAGTTAGGCACCAGCCAGCCCTTAAACTCTGACCAGTTCTGATCTATCTCTAGAAGCACCTTTACTGAGGGTTAGGGTTAGCACATCTGCACAGACAGGATAAGGTAGCCCGAACCACCAACGTCACACAAAAATGGCCACGGCACCGGCCTGTGATAGAAAGACGTGGAACAGAGCAAGCACTAGCCTCTACATTTTGGCAGCCAGTGCCTAGATATATGTATATATAGTGCTACGGGTTTTCCCTCCCTCCGCCATGTTTCCTCCCGCTCTAATTAGTAGCATCTCCTGCCAAGGCAGGGCAGTCACCTATAGCCAGCCAGGTCCGCTCAAAGCCCATGGGATGATTACCTACTTAGCGATATCATGAAGGCCGCCGAGTACTGCCTGGCTCCTTTCCCCCAGCAACGTGCCCTGGCCCGAAAGAACCTTCAATGCTTGCTTGTATGCGTTCATGATATCCTTGACGTAGTCCGGCGCGTTATGGTGAATCCAGTCGACGGCAGCCTCATTCTTCAGACCGGCCTCCGCCTTAGGCGGTGTTTTGGTCTTCATCAGATCTGCAGTCTTGGCTACAAGATCCTCTGAATAGCTACTACCCAACATATTGAATTCTGCGGTAAGGATGGCGACGACCACGGCCTTGGTGCCCGTGAAGTGCTTCGTGCGGTAATCGGCTTTGAAGCCCTCCAAGTCACTGCTGACGGATGCTGTAGAAGCCTCGCTGTTGACCGAACTCGGCTGGCTGCTGCCTATTTTGCCCGCCATGATAGAGAGTGCAGCATTCCAGCCGTTCGCGGAGGGATCCAAATCCAACTTTCTAGACAATTCCTGGGCGATTTTCAGAACAGGAATAGAAGTGGGAAGTTGATCTTTTCCCGATCGATCATTGATAAGATGCTTCATTTCACTATTGACTTCGTATGTGTAAGGTTTTTTAATGTTGTGTTCGGCCAGAATTTTGTCCCTGGCAAGCTTTTCAAGAGCTACCACCGCCGTACGAAGTGCATTGTCGCGCGCCTGTTGTTCACGAAGCTGTTGTTCGCGGACGGGCGAATAGCTTCGCGAGTCGGCTGCCGCTGCTTTGCTAGTACTCATATTGGATAAGATAGGACAAAGAAGAGTCCAGGGGAAAACTGTGAAAGGGCGACTTTGGGGATGAGATTCGTGTTGTTAAAGTTGATGATGAGAGGATGATCATTGTTGTCCAGATGAGTCTAGATAAATATATACTTACTTTTCTTTCTCTGGGACACTCCTATGGAGCCATGGCCGCGACAAGAAGCGCCTTTCCTATTTCGGGCCATCTCAAGCACGGCAGACCAACTCTCAACCGCACCCCTTGCTGGCGGGACGGTGTTGGGCCGAGGGTAAAACACGCCATGCCGCACGGAGCCAAGACTGGAAGCTGTTCAAATCTCACAGTCATCATGGGAGTCCGACCAACAATGAAAGGGACGAGGGCGAAACACGCGTATCGCACGACGCCAAAACTGGAAGCCGTTCATCTCTGACAGCCATCGTGGGAGTCCGACCAACAATGAATGAGGCCGAAGGTAAAACACACCATGCCGCGCGGCGCGAAGACTGGAAGCTGTTTATATCTCACCGCAATCAAGGAAGTCCGAGCAACTGGGAGTCTGAGCAACAATGAGCCGAGGCTGATGCTAGTAGAGAAGCTTGAAGCTCTAGCTTGTCTGGTTGTGAGCTATTATTAGTTGGCTAGGCAGTAGAAAGAGAACAGACCCGAAACACCACCGACCCTTGTAGAAACCTGAGGCAAATGAGGCACATGTCGAAAGTACCCACAAGACACCATCAATTTACCTATCAGGAGCATGAGACGAGGCAGGCACAATTGCGAGGGGGGAAGCGAGGCTCATGACCAACTTGCAGTGGCGTCGTTGCGGCGCAAAGGAGCTTCCTGCAGCTTCTTCCCCTGTCGGCATCGGGCTCATAGGCTAACGGCAGATGGCAAAAAGTAGCACAGTCTCGGGGAGGATGGGTGGCTTAAAAGGATCAGGCCGCCACTCCCCTCAACCTATTCACAATCCACAGGAAGTTAAAAACCCCTTCAAGTGGACCGGTGACGCCACCAAGTTGTCGAGTAATCCGGCTTGTGTTTGAAATTCACACCACGGCCGCTTCATCTCCCAGACCACTCGGAGGCTTGAGGAACATAATTGTCGGTGAAGCCCTGAGCGCTGCTGCGAGCCGAGACCTAGGAGCTCGAGCTGCGCGGCACTATTTTCTAAAGTAAAATGGCCTTTGGCTCTGGACAATAGAACCCCCGCAAGCGGTTGACAAAAAAGACGAACTCATTACTTTAAGGTACATCCCTAGGGGCCAGATTTACATATAAATCTAGGTATCTCTATGTAGTGGCTGTTATCACCCTGTCATACGACCATCGCCCTCTAACACATCTTGCATCCGCCTTACCATGGAATCTACGTACTCATTGATTTTCGCTCGACTCAGTCGCCTCCATCCTTCAACTACTAGGTCTATAATATTCGTATCAATTCGAAGATTGGCACGGATATACTACTTTACAGCCCTCCAGCAATTCTCAATTGGCGATAAATCTGGAGAGCCAGGGGTATTGAAGTAATGCTTCAATCCGTTGTCTTGCTTCCACTGCTTTACGATATTCCCACGCTTCGAATTTCCACCTCCATGCCCTGAATCTCCGTCTTCTTCCAGCACGAAAGTATCGCCACGGAGAAGCCAAGGACCAACAACCTTCTCCAGAATCTCGTCGCGATAGGTCTGCAAGCTCATCTTTCCATTGGTATTTGTTGGGACTTCGTAAAAATACATCTCGGACTTGAAATTCCATCCGACGGCCGCCCAGACGTGATATCTTCGGATTTCGGTTCCCGCCGCTGGTTCAGGCTCATGGTGGTGAATACAATCTGGACAATAACGCTCCCCTGGCTTCCTAATAATCCGAATCTTTCCTTCGGAAAAGAGACCAAAATGGCATTCATCCGACCACCGGATATCGTGCCAGTCCTCTGGACGAGGGCGATATTAAAGCGCGAGCTTGGCGGCTTGGATACGGCGGTTGGCACTTAATGGAGAAACAAATCCTTTTTCGCAAGTGATGCATTTTCGGTATTTCAAGGTCCCCATCGCTCGCTCCATCGTCCTTGCGGATGCGTGAATACCGGTCATTAGGCCTAGACCTTGCCAAGTCAACATGCGCGCCTGGAAGCCATACTGCCAGATGACTTCCTCCATTCGATGTAGGTCCTCGGCCGAGATGATATGCTTCCGGCCTCGTGTTTCGTGATCTGGATGCCTCCGGTCCTTGGCATTGCGCAGGATCTCCCAGCCCTGGGTTTTACTGCGGATGCCGAACTCTTTGAAAAGATCAGTGTGGAAGTACTGAGCGTGTTGGTGGTCGAGGAATGCAGCTGTTCCAATGAGGTGCGCCTTCACTGGCGTTGGGTAATGCGGTGCCATGATGGCAGTGATGGTGGTGATGGACTGGCGGTGTGGTGCCAGCAGTGGTGGTGTGAGTCGAATGCCATCGAATGTTGTAAAATTGGTAGTGTCTGCTAGTGTAAAGCCGCCCGCACAGACCAATCCATCTTTGCAGTTCGTGTTATTTTGCCAACCGCTTGCCCCGGTTCTTTCCAAGGCGGGAACGGGCCGTTTTTCCGACAGGGATCTGATGTAGTAATTTGCAGGGGTTAGTCAGTTAATCGGGCGCCCACCATAATCGTGCGCCCCCTACCTAACCCTGAGAAATCCCTGCTGGCAGTTGGTATCAACGTAGGGTTTTTTTAGCGGTAAAATCAGTACTTTTTGATACAGCCCCCCCCATTTGTAGGTGTAAGGAAAAAGCACCCCAAGCACCTGTCAACGCGCGCACCCTTGCGCGCGCCCACCACCTGGCACCAACGGGCCAGGCTGCTGCCGGCTGGCATGAGCCACTAAGCCAACGCAGGGTGCCCTGCCTTCACAAGCATGCCCGGGACCGAGCCCCTGAGCATGTATATAAACAATGGCCCTCGCCCCCTTCCTCTGCGAAGGCCAGGTTGAAGTCTTACACCAATACCAGTCATTGCTCGCCCTCTCTGTTGTCTCCATTGTGACCACCTTGATCCGGCGTACCTGCCTTCTCTCACAGTAGGTTTTCGGCCTTCAACCTCCGAAGCCACAATTACGTCAACCTGCAGGCATTTTTTCCTTGCAGGGCACAATTGAACTATTCCACCACAACACAACAAAAAAAGCAACACCACAAATAACATCACCACTCTGTTCAATCGGCCTCACATACATGCATGTACTTGACTGTATGTAATTAGGTCATTTTAACGTATTGGCCAGCAGCCATCTCAATACTTTGATTTGCACCAAATTTATCGACTTTTCTTGGCTGGTCGCAATGCGCACAAATTGACAAGTCAACAACGTTGCTGACAAAGACCCGAAAATTGAACACAATTGACATTTCCAGGCCTCATTCGCATTCGGTAGATTTCTAACGGCTTGTTGTGGCTGAAAATCTACATATGGGAGGCTGGATACGAAAGTACCGCTAAAAAGCCAGCTCCACTATCCCAGCTGCCAAAGTGGATAGGTAGGTGGGCGCACGATTATGGTGGGTCCCCGATTAATTCTCAAACATAAATTCCGTACCCCATAAAAGAGACTGATTGTAGAGATAATTAATTAAATTATACACGTAGAAATCTAACAACATCTTAAAGTCTGTAAATCGCTAATTATTATATATGCGGCCTTGTCTTTGTTTTTAAGGTCTTCCTTGTAAGGCAGCAGTTCCGAGAAAGAAGAGATGAAAAATGATGAATTGAAGCTAATTAGAGCTGTCTGCGGTTGAACTCTTCCTTCTAGCGTGTCCCATGTTGCTGAGCTATACTAGCGTAACATTCCTCTCCTTTCCCTGCGATGGTGATTTTAGGCTCTGCGTGTTCTGGGAACAGCCCGACGAATTGGATTTGAAAGAAAACCCACCTGTCAGTGGAACGCAGGCAAACGCAGGCAAGCGGTTGACAAAAAAAGCGAAGACTTAAAATCAATGGTCCGTGCGAGTGGCGCTACACTACCATACACTACCAATTTTGCAACGGTTCCATGGCATTCAGTGGAGGCAAGCCCATGGACTTAAGCACTATTTCAATACGCCCGGCTCCCCGGATTTATCGCCAATTGAGAATTGCTGGAGGGCTGTAAAGCGGTTGAAGGATGGAGCCGACTGAGCCAAGCGAAAATTAATGGGTACGTGGGGCGGATGCAAGATCTGTTAGATGGCGAGGGTCTTTTGACTGGGTGGTAAGATTCCAGTACATAACGGTATCTACATTTGTATATATACTTGGCCTGGAGAGAAGTACTGCCAAGTAATGTGTTCGCTTTTTTTTGTCAACCGCTTGCCAGGGCAGGTCGCTCACTCCGTGGCGCGTAGGTACCTGAGCCCCTGGAGCTAAGCTAAGGACCCTAACCCCTTTCCCTACCCGCTTCTGCCTAGACTCGTTCTCGTCTTGACCTCTGACAGCTTCTAGCATCCTATCTGCTTTACGTTTTCTGCTTGCAGTCTGGCAAATCATGCCATCTCGTCGTTGGCCGACGGTGGCTCTTCCGCACCAATTGGGGAGGACATTTGTGCACCAATTTGATGGAAGGAAGGACCTTTGTCTGCCTCGAACAACCCCCCGCGACGTGCTTGTTCCATGCCACTACAATGTCCCAGGCACTTCAACATCCTTTGTTGTTGCCCGATCCACTGCCCGGTCCACAAGGAGACAATGCAGCAAAGGGCTGTCGCAGGTTGTTCGCCAGCGTTCCAGTTCTCATTTTCGCAAATGTGCATTTAAAAAACAGCACGGCTTGGTTCGGTAGGAAGCTCGTCACTCTCGACGTGCACATCAGTTTGAAGTTGATTCAAGAATTGTCAGCTCCTACGACTTCGTTATTAAAAAGAAAATCAACAAGCAACACCTACGCCGTAAGCCCCATCATTCGAGATGGGTGCCAACGGCATTAAGATCGCCAGCGTCACTCCTTGGGAGTGGTGTGCGTGTCGCCAGACGACCTGGAAAAACTACACAGAGGAACCAGTTACTCTCTGGGACATGAACTTCCATGGAAAGAGGGCCCTATCATTTATCTCTAAGCCAGACGGTGCCTTTCCAGAGTCGTACGCCGCTCTTCATCTAGTAAGTGGCACTTACCGTGACTTCGATGCCGGGTTGGATGTAAGCCTGGAGGCTCTGGCCTTTGTCGGAGTACATCAATGCCTGGGCGTCATCTTTTCGAACCGATACTCGGGCGCTTTCTACTGCTGCGCGGTGATATTTGACATGGCCGACAAGCCAACGAAACACCACCTTCATCGGTTGAGCGAATATCTTGTCTTCGAGGAGATTGTCCACCAGCTCGAGCCCCTCGTCGTAGCTAAGAAGACCAAGCAAGTCTACATCTCCATAGCCCGCATGAAAGGGTTTGGTCTCCCCTGGTGGTATGGGCAAAACAGGATGTCACTGGCCCGTAGTGCGGAAATTCTCGACTCCAAGGAGGCTGTGTTTTACATAGAGTCCGATGAATATTCAGATGAAGATTCAAGGCCAAGCAGCCCGGATTCATTTCCAGGCGTAAAACCACTGCCATCTCTGTACATCAGCAGCGCTGCCAACAGTCTACCAGACGTCGGAACTTCTTCTTCGACACCAGCGGCGCGCGGCAGGTCCAGATACTACGACGACGTCGATATCACGGACGCGTTCACGCACCAGCTTGCAGGGATTGAGAAAGCCACGGGTATTAATCTTTTCTTGTAGCTGCAGCCTGTCACCAGTACCTCTAGGATACAAGTCTCGAAGCGCAAGGTTGAGACAGAGCTCAGCTCGACAGGTAGCAGGCGGCTGGACAAGATTATCGCCAAGTCTGGGGCGGGAGAAAAGCTAACCAGCAAGGATTCCACGTGGATATATGACAGGATCAAGCGATTTGGGGGTTTCGAAGAAACGGTATTGAATGGAAGATTCTGCGATTAATAAGATCCGGCAGGTGTCTCGTGAGTCACGGCTGGACACTGATGGAGATTTCTAGATCAAGACTTGGTAGTTATAGACTCTTTTTCAACTCGAAATATATTAGCCGATAATAAAATATATTATTTATAGCAACCAATTTTGTATTACGGCATAATTTCCGTGATTAATACTCGATCATGTTTCCGCATTTCAACTTTCAAGTGATTTCGTCATCCTGTATCAAGAAGCAATAATTGCACAAAGTATTTGTGGATCTGTCTCAAAAACGCGTTTACTTGAGTTCCTCTATTAATACGCTACTCCTTATTTATCATTTATCACCGGCACATGCCGCCATTGAACATCGAAGGCAAGCAACAAGACCCAGAATGGAATAAACAATACTAGTACATGTACACTGCCGAATTGACACACAGACGACGCCGCCCTTGCAACCAGCCAACTCTCCCAGCGGGGTGTAGCCCCTGAGTATGTTCCAGCCCCTAAGTCTTGAATCCAAGTCCGTCCAGCGAGATCTCTAGAAATAGAAAATATACAACAAGAAAGGAAAAAGATCAAGTCCCCGCGGGGATTTCTGACCGAGCCAGGGCGCGCCAATTTCATGTCATCAACTCATTTCTCGGTTGACCACAGAGAACCCAGCTCCAGTCTGACAGCAAAACCCGCCCAGCAGCGTGTGTGTGGGGGGGAGGGGCACGATGTGTGGGTGCAAGCAGGTAGGCAAGCGGGCCGGGACTCGCCGCGGTCCTAGCGGCTATGCCATGGCGACCTCGCCTCGCAGCTCCCTGCAGCGAGGGTGGCTGCAGGTCCCGCAGTAGAGGGTGCTCTTGCCGCAGGCCACCACCCTATCGCAGCCGCACGTGGTGGACTGCGACATGAGGGTGGTCGAGCAGGCGTAGCTGATCTTGGTGCCGCACATGGTTGCGTGGTCTCGTGATTCTTCTGCTCTTCACCTAGGGGGGTTGCTAAGAGCCGTGTCAGCAATGGGTCATCTGATGAGATGGATGGGATCGCAGGTATGCTTAGATATACACGCAGTGGACCAGGTGGACGTACAATACAGTAGCGGAGACTGTCGACACGGTGTCGCCAAGGAGTCTGGGACAAGGGAGATAGTCGTGCCGTTCCGCTGTTGCGGGGAGTGGTGTCTGGGGGAGGCTCGGATGGGTGGCGAAGGTGATCTGGGGTTGATGATCAACTGGGGTCTTTGCTGTCACCCCCTGCTCGTGACGGGGTTGCCGCCGGTGGCTGATATAACTGTCCGTCGAAGCGGGTTCTTGGCATGGAGCGGAAGTTGCCGAGCTGTTTCTATATATGTCCTGGGTGTGCCGTGGCGGCGTGTTTGTCTTGTATTGTCTTGTCTTGTAGCCAAGTGGCAGCGGTGTGAGTGCGTATGAGTGATGGTATCTCAGGCGCGGATTCTGCCGGATGCTGCATGCATGTGTTGTTGGGGGTTTGTGGTAGATTTTTTTCCTTTTTTAATTCTCCAAATTTCAGCCCAACGTAAAAATGAGTCGTCGAGCTGTCGGTTCGGCAGGAGAGATGGGTGCTTGTCTCGGCGCGTTCCTGCCTTTTTCCCGCCTGTTCCCCTCAGCACCTGCAACCTAGGAATGGAAGTCGCGCTGATGAAATCGCGCTGATGAAATCGCGGCCTTGCACTCCTCCGGGCAAATGATTGGCGGAGAGCTGCAGCAAGGTCGGGCAATGGGCTACGTCATCGAGCAGCAAGGTCGGGGGCCGTGACTTTGAGGATTGAGGACCGCCCACCCACTTTTGTCGGCCAGTTGAAGCTGCAGATCTGATTTATGCAGATCTCGACTTGCGTTTTGGCTGTCACACATTCGTGGCGGAGCACCTGTGTGTTGGCAGAAGCTTGAGGCCAGCCTCTTAACTGCGACGGCACCAGTGGACATGCAAGCGCAGTTAGTGCAACAACCCCGCTCCGTGGACCGCCTGAGGCAGTCAGCATTACCCACCCGCAGCGTTCCTTCCACTGTCAATTAGTTCCATCACAGCTACGATGACGGGGCCTGCCTAGTTTAGCTGCCGTATCATTGGAAACCCGCGCAAGTTAAATCACTGCAGAAGCTGAAGCAGCTGAAGGCCTGGAAACAGGATTTGTCTTCCATTCTCACAGCTCCGCCATGTGCGGTCTCCTCTACAGTCTCGCTCGACTTTAGAACAGCGGCTTACCGCGGCAGAGATGGCAGAGAAATGCTACCTAGCTACGTACGTATTACAGCCAAAACTCATGCTGTCAGGAGATCAGATGCACTCTCTGCGCGCCCGCTAGTCTTGCGCTTGCAGGCCCTTGAGCTGCCGAATCGCGGCGGAAGGTCGTCATCCCCCACACACTCGAGGGACGGCCCAGGCCAATGTCCGCCGGCTCGATGCACGTCGGCACCCAACAAGAAGCTGGCAGCACCCGGGCTGCGCCCCAGGGGGACCGGCCTTTCCAACTTTCCCATCAGCTGAACATCGTATTTTCTCCCAAACCAAGCCCAAAAAGGAGGCGTGTCTCTTGGCCGCCTTGTTTCAGGCTTCGTCCTGCAGGGTCGCCCGCCGAGAGCAGCGCACGTGCAAGCTGCGTTTCTTTTTATGGGAGCTTTTTCTGCAGGGAGCATGTAGTCAGGGCTCCCGGGCGGAGAGAAGGGTGTCGAGAGCCATATTTAGCACAAGGGTACTTACCGACCTAACAGGTCTCGCCCCTATCCAATTAGCGTGCGCTTGTGTCTATTAGTCGGCGGATACTCGGAATCGCGCCAGGTGGAGGCTGGAGCAGTCACAGAGAAGGGCGTGAAGGCCGCGGTCTGCCTCTCCTGGACTTCCGTCTCCTGTCATCCGAGCTGGATGTGGCTCGGGTGCAGACAGACAGTGTCGCAGATACTGCAGACAAGACAGTTTCTCGATAAGCTTTGCATTCAGCTGTTCAAGGGACGGCATATGCAGGTGGATTCGGGAGATGTCTCGGAAGAGTGTGTGTTGTGCGGACTTGACTTTAGGTGATGATGCTGGAGAGGCGGGCTTCAAGAGGTTGCTCTGTGACAGTTAAAATTAGACGTCGAGTTTCACTTGTCCATCAGCGTCAGTCACGGTAGGAGCAGGGGAAGTCTCAGCAGCTCGTGACAGGTCTAAGCAATTTCGTCTCATGCGAATGATAGTTCTACGAAATGCTGACTCGGAAGCATGCTCAGTCCTTCCATGCAATTTCCGGGTTAATTCCTGGTTGGTCTTTTGTTCTTTCCTTGAAGCGCAAAGTAAATCTCACGCGCTTCGAATGACAGGATGGAACTTGAAACCTGTTCTTGAAGCGGTGGAAGTTCAGCCTTCTACAAAGCTACCAAAACAAGCACAGGGCGGGCCATATGCGAGCTTCAACGACAGAAAATAGCCATGTCGTATAGTCAGTAACGGCACAAAGCCGTTCCTCGGAAGTCTTTTATTGTTGTGAATGAGTGGAGTTTCTTCCACAAGAAAGGAAGAAGAGAAAACGAACGCCCACCTCCTCCAACTAGATTAAAGACGTGTGAAATGGCTAGTACAGCGGGTTGGGGCCGTATTTCTCCTATGCTTCTGTGAAACAACACCCTCCTCCCTGAACTACTTATCACCTCGTTAGTATGGCTTTATCTATTAATTAACTCTTCAATCGACGGGATTTTTAAAACATCTATCGCAATAATATACATGTTTAAAACTAGATATCCTGAAAATGAAAGTGATAAAACAGTTCCACCCTTCAGTCATGGCTACAGAAGAAGACTCCCCGTTCTCGACGAGGCGTATCCATGATTCAACAGCTCGGCGTAAAAAACAGTAAGTACCTCAAAAGCTCGTTGGATTAAAACGTGGAACTAAAATATCATGCTTCTGATTGAGTCGACTGATAATAGAGCCAGTAGACATTAGAGCAGGTTAAATCTCGAGCTATTCCGGATCCAATCAATAACTGCAGCCATTCCATATCTGAACCACCTTTCTTAACGAATCGAAATATCCAACACGTCTCACATTCTTATGGTACTAATGAAATGGCGACGCGTGTAAGCCTTTCATGTCACTATTGTGGGCTTTTCCTGTGATGTTTCTCAAAATGGTTGAAATATGACTTGACCACACCTCTGCTTGTACACGCAAAATGCCACGCCACACATTACATTCCAATCCCACCGGAGAAGCAACTAATCGATGTACTCCAAAAACCCCAGCCATGATTTATCGTTGCGCAAAAGTCAGAGTGGTTCACTGATTGGCAACGACACACACTGCTACCCAAAAGCTCAACCCTTCCCTGTGACCTTGAGCCAGGCTAAAATTCCTCATCATCGTCCTCGTTCATGACGCCCTTCTTGACCTCCCTCTTCTTCGGTTTCAGCCATTCCTCTTTCCCAAGGGGCCAATACACTCTGTTCTCGGGCCCGCCCATGGCGAAATCCTCATCCGAGACCTCCTTCCCCTGGGGCGGCGGGACATCATGCTCTTCCCCGCCGTTTTCCTGGTCTCCTGTATCCCGGTGAGCCGCGCCTCGCTTCCGCTTTGGGGGGTTCTTCTTCTTCTTGGGCGGCGGCGGGGCGGGCTTGCTCTCGTCGTCGCGCTCGTGGGGGATGACGTCGTTGATCCGCTCGAAGCCGGGCAGCCTGAAGGTACGCATCAGCTCGAACACGGCCTGCTCCTTGTCCTTGGCCTCGATCATGAGGTCCATGTCGGGCGGGCACGGCGGCAGCGTCATGACGCGCGGGCTGTGCTTGCGCCTGTCCTTGGGGGTCACGGCGCCGAAGCACGGCTCGCTGTAGTGCATCTTCTGCGTGATGGCCTTGCGCTTCCACGTGGCGGCGATGCGCGCCAGCATGGCGGGCTGGCTGATGTCGTGGGTGCCCTCGCGGCACTGGCTGCTGTCGAAGATGATGTTGTGGTGGTGGAAGTCGAGCACCAGCGGGATGTCGAGCTCCTCGCAGATGGGCAGCAGGTCGTGCACACTCCAGCTCACGTCATCATTCTCGAGCACGAGGCGGCGCTTCACTTCGGGAGAGAGGGTCGCGTAGTTTTGGCGAAACCGGTCGAGCGTCGCCGCCTTGTCCCCGAAAGTGCCTCCCATGTGCAGAATCATAACGGCGTCCCGGTCTTGTTGTTCTGGGAGACACAGCAGAGACAGCAGTTCGTTGTGGTATTCCAGGTCCCGAATGGCTGCCTTGACGACTTCTTTTCGCGGCGAGCCAAGTTGGGTAAACTACGGACGCAGATGGTTAGGAACAGCCTGACCTGCAACGAATACAGAGGTGAAGGGGGGTGGATTGGTTTGCTCACTTGGCCGGGATGGGTGGTCAGCCGGTGCCCTAGCTCGGCCGCTACCTTCCCTGCCTCGGCGAGGACTTCGGACGCAAACAGGGCCAGTTTGTAACCATGCAGGTTATGGCTAGCAAAAGGAAACATCTCGGAGCTAAGACGCATGAACTTGATTCCGTACTTGTCGTTCCATCGCAGCATTTTGACAATGTCGCGGGCGTTTGCCAGGCCGAGGGCCTGCACAAACTTGTCACCGAGCTCTTTTCTCGGCTCGCCCGTCTTGTCCGGGCGGTTCTTCAGCGCGTGCTCGGGCTGGGTCTGATCTTGCAGCGGGTAGCGGTGGTCGATGATAGAGGACATGCGGCAGGTCCGAGAGCTGAAGACGGGTGGTTTTGCGGTTCGCAAATACGTGTTGAGACAGGCCTATCTGCTGTTAGTATTGGGTTCTCGCATCGACGGCTACCGATCGGCAGCGTCATCACTTGGGGAGTAGCTGACATAACCGAGACGGCCCTTCCAAGGGAGCGGCAGGTAGTTGCTGTTGACAGGGGGTGTCCGTGCGGCGCCGCGTTCGGCAGGTTCTTCGTCGACGTCGTTCGCATATCCGACTTCGGTATAGGGCCCGTCCTGTTCGACACCAGCGGTCACGTCGTTGACGTCTTTGTCTTGGGCGGGCACGGAGCGGCCGTCCTGTTGCGTTCTCTTCAGGACGGTATCCTTGAAGGATTCCGGGTGTATGGGCTCGTTGGGGGCGGGGCCGATGGTGGCGCCGTCGACGTTGGACTCTTCGATCTTGATCTTCTGGCGTTTTGTCGCTTTTCTCAGGCGGCGCTCCATTCTCGCGAGGCCCTCAATGGCCATCTGCAGGCCTTCCTTCATATTCTCTTTACGGTCGGCCATATTGTGTGGGTCGCCGTCGTGGTCGGGGAGGCCCAGAACCTTGCCCTGTATCTCGCGCGTTCGGTCTTCTTCCCGGATCGATCGCTGGTTTTGGGGGAGGTTGCGGCCGGAGCGGCGGAGCTCGACCTTGGGGCGGACAGGGGCGTCGATCTTTACGTCGCTCAGCGACCCATCGTCGGCCGGCGAGGGCAGCGCACGCTTGCGGGGCATTGAGGTTGAGGGTGGTGGTGGGAGCGACGGTGGCGCGATCGAGATCGAGATCAGCGGGGAGCCGAGGATTCGTCGTCGTGAGGGATTTGGGGCTCGTCTCCAGCACAAGACCTGAGAGCGTGCGACGGGGAGGGCGGTGCGGGTAGACAGGGAATTGACGGCGATAATCATGCAGAAAGCGCAGGACGGGGTGGTGTGTGACAAAATGGCGAGCCCGGGTTAAGGTCGAGTTTGAAATCATTTTGTCGCACCCAGGGAGTCGGGCGCAAACGTGGTTGGACGGAGCGAGTGGCAGTGGCGGGAGAGGGCGTCATTATCCCCGTCGATCCAAATTTGTCGTGCACGGCAGCAGCGTCGTTTGTTGCGCATTTGGCACCAACTCGATCGTTTGCGCGCTAGAAACGCGCTGGGCGGGATGGCGGGAGACGATAGAGCTCTCATGAATCGGTCGTCGGAATCGGAATCGGCGCCAGAATCGATGAAGTCATCGATGGAGGTGGACCGTGGGTAGACGCGCCCGGCGCCTTTTCTCCGCGTCATCTGATTGGTCCACTGCTCCTGTAAGGACTTTTCACCCCTAACCCGGAAACAAAGTTATTTGCCAAACGAAATCTCGGACAGATCTTGGACGAGTGAAAATAAGTAGCATCGAGACAACCGTTTGTACGGAATACCGCCTTATTATTTTTATTCGACTGATGCAGGCATCACCACCGAATGCTCGATGTGGCCTGGATTTGAGCCACCCTGAGCCACCTTTCAAGCCACAGTCGGCATGTTCCGTCATTTAATGCATATCCCTTCAAACAATGCATATCCCTTCATTCCTTACTTTCAGCCCTTTTTCGGGCTCCCGGACTTCCAAATGCCCTCTCTTCTCCTTTGCTTCGTGCGGCTGAGTCCCTTACTTAGTACGGCTGATCAGCCTGCTGAACGGTGTTGCTTTTGTCCTTTTTCCTGAAGTATAAGAAGACCTTCATTCGTGTATTACTTACTAGGACAATTCAATGCGGATGCGCTGTCAACGTCGATCACGTACAACACTCGACGTTCTGGTAAAGTAGTACACCCCAATTTACTCACTTTGCTTCACGTAGAAACACTCCAGCAAGGCTTTCTAATAAAACCGATTGTGTGTTTTAATTGGTATCATTCAAAGTCCATGGACTGAATTACTGGAGGTGCCTAGGCATATACAATAAACACAGTCCGCAATATAGTTCCCAGCAGTTGTTATTAGACGCTAATTGCAGCATCAAAGTCGGGTGCAGAGTCAATGGCGAATAACCGCGACGTCTCTAAATCGTTGGAGCCCAAGACTTGAAACCAGCACATCAACCTGCGGTTGTTTATTTGTTTATTCTTTGTTGGCATCTTGACAGCGGACTACCATTCATGCTATGTGCCTACTTAGCACGACAAAACGAGACCCATAACCCCCTAATTAGACAAGACTCGGCACCGTCCACGGGCTCCACGTGTCGATATTAAAGTTGAGACTCTGATCCGTCCGGAAGACGCTCGTCAAGCCGGCGCCCGCGTTGCCGAGCAGGAACTTGCCGATAAACGCATTGAGCTCGGCGGCCTGTCCAGAGGGAAAACTGCAGTGGTTGTGGCCACCAACCTGCGAATACCCAAAACTGTTCAAGGCCCCCAGCGCCTGGTACTGCTTGCGCGCGGCGCCCATGCAGCCATACGTCGACACCTTGCCGAGCCACTCAAAGTCGGGGTTCTCCATAACATACAGCGGGCGCGGCGCCACGAGCCCAGCCAACATGTGATGATCAAACGGCAACCTATCCACGCTCCCCACATACCCGTTGAACGCCGGCGAGAACCACACGTTCTCGCCGACAATCTCCTTGGCGTCCTGCACGTTGTACCCATTGGCGTTCTGCCAGGCCTCGAGCCGCCAGCAGCCGGCGCCGCCAGCGCCGGACTCTTGGGGGAGCGTCAGCGCGACGCGCCGCTCCAGCGCGCCCGCCACCAGCGCGCCCTTGCCGTTGCGCGAGCACCCCGTGACGCCGACGCGCGCCGCGTCGATGCCCGTCTGCGCGGCCGTCAGCTCCAGCGCGTCGATGATGCGCGCGACCCCCCACGCCCACGCCGCCAGCGCCCCGGCCGAATGCCCGCTGCCGTACAGATCGTAGAACTTGCCCTTGCCGCGCGACGAGCCGTCGGCCTGCGCGGCGATGTCGTCGTTGTTGAACGCGATGGTGGCCACGCCCGCGGGCACCGGAATGCTGGCGCCGTACGCGCCGAAGCTGATGATGGCGGGGTGCGGGCCGGGCGTCGCGGGCTTGCCGGAGATGCTGACCGAGAACGAGACGGTCTTGCCGCCGTGCGATGCTACGATGCTTAGCGTGCTGCCTGAGAAGCTGGCGGACACGGATGACGGCTTGGGTGGGAGCGTGCCGACCTCGTATTTTTGGAAGAGTTGGCTGATTTCGTCCTGCCGGCACGTCCACTGTGCGCGTGTCGTTACTTTGCCGCCGCTGGCGAACGTGAAGGGGTCGGGCAGTGTTGATACGGCTGCGCCGAGGCTGTCGGGGATGGCGGGACACGTGGTGCTGCCTGGGGCAGGGGGCGTTGTGGTGGATGTGGCTGGTGTGATGATAGATGTTGAGAGGGTTGTGGCCGTGGGAGGCGTGGTAACTGGGACTGCCGGCGTTGTCGGTGTTGTGCCGCCGGCGAGGCACTGAAAATACCACGGGTTGAGTTGGCTGCAGTATGCCCCCGACACGCAGGCCGTCGGGCCGGTCCAGTTGACGCCGCCGCACTGGCCCCAGAGGCTTTGCAGAGCCTGAGCCCGGACGCCGGCGGCACCAAGGGCCACGAGGAGACAAGACACTATGGCTGGATACATCGTGGGCTATCGTTCAAGTTGGTGCCTATGATGCCGGTCTGTAGATTGGATTGTCCGCAACCCGGTGTGCAAGGCTCATTTATAGATGCATTTTGATTATAGACAAGCCCGGGACGCCGAGGATAGCAGACGGCAGGATACCACCAGATTCGGAGTCTAACATGCCACTCCGGCGGCCTAGCCCATGACTTGAGCAAGAACTGTCTTGTCGTTTTCCACTGAACTTGCCACTGAACATCCACTTCCATGACTGAACCAACGCTCAGAGGCTGTGGTAGTCAGATGGCCATGCACGCACTCACGCACATGTCCATTGTCCCAACAGACCCCGGCTCGGATGCAACCCGAGCGGTAGTGGTTCCTGGGGAAATTTAGCCTGATTTCCGAACCGGTGGGCCTGGCTCTGGTTTCCGGGGAGAAGCAGACGCCAAGCTTAATCGTTGTCAGCTTGGTTGCAGACTGCAAGTGCGAGCGAGATGATAGAACGCGGAGTCGGAACTGGGGCTGGAAGCGCAACCATGGAACGCCAAAAGGCAGGGCTCGGCCAAGACCACTCGGCATTTAGCCAGACCGGTTCAATGTTTTCACTGCGACGACAGAAAGAAAAAAGTCGAGTCGGGTTGCACTGCCAGCAACGCCAAGCCACGTCTTTGGCACCCGATTTCTCTTTTTGGTGCGGAGCTTTTGACGCGTTCTCCGACCATTCGGAGAACAGGGTGCAGAGAGACCTTGTCTAGGTATAAGCCCCCTATCTTATTTTTGACTGTATCCGTGTTCTAGGTATCTCTTTGTGTTCAAGGCCAATCTCAAATCAAGGCCGCCACGCGATGCTCTAGCTTCCTTACGAACCATTCTCCCTCGTTCATCAGCTGGAGGTCGTCAATGCTCTCAAGCACCTTGCCGACCATCTTCACCGGGAGCAAGACAACGTTGGGCGTCGCCACAGCCAAGGGAGTAAACAGAACGGCTTGCCCAGTCTCTCCATCTCCTCTCGCTTGCTTAGCCGGAAGGTGGGATGCTGGGAGATGGTGAGACTGACAGTAAATGTGGCAAAAACAAGGACGTAGCCTAGCAGAGCATACATTAGAGTTATCGAGGTTCTGAGCTCGACTGTGTTGGTACGCTTCCATGCCGGGCGTTTAGACCAGGCCACCCTTATAAACGAAGGAGAGGCGATGGGGGAACCTATATTATCCAGAACCCGGGTAGGGCGAATCAGCTGCCCCGCCCCGTGCGGCGTCAGGTATTCGAACCGGCCGCCGTCGTCATGGTGCGAGGCAAAGTCCTAGCTAGCCCACGACTAGCTCGGGAACGACGGCCTTCGCCTGAACGGCCCGTGGTAAGACCAGCACATGCCATGCAGAGAGAAATTCCTTGGAATGCCGCACCGGAAGCTGCCCAGAATAGGGGTCAAGGCTCCAATGACGCCGCCAAAGGCGTTGATGATGTCGTCGGGGAATGTTGTAGTGCGCGGCGCGTAGGACACCACCAGGGGAATGAAAACATGATGCATGATCTCAAATACTAGCCGGTTGCTGATCAGGAACGGACGCAGCACCGGGAGGTCGGCCTGGTGCTTGCGGGACACGTTGTCGACTATATAGCCATGCACATCCTCCTGGCAGATCCCCTCTCCGCAGCAGAAGAAGACGTGGCGCGTCCAAGTAGCCCGTCTCCTTCTGCGCGCGCGCGGCGAACTTGTCCTTGTTGCTCGTGGCCTTGTAGGCGAGCCGCTTGACCAGCGAGTCGCGGTACTTGGCGTGCTCCTTGAACTCCTTGCGCCGGCTGTCGACGGCCTTGACGCGCGCAATGACGACAGAGAGGTGGGCCATACTGGCGGCTGCGTCCAGGTTGTAACTCTCGCTAAGGCTAGGCTGCTCCTTTATTTGCAAGGAATCAATATGAAACCGCTCCTTAAAGGCGACCCGCGAGTGGCTGTGTGGTCATGACTGCCGGCATGTCAGTTTTAGCTCAGCTTTGATGGGCTGGGAAGATCAAAAACCTACAGTCTAGGTCTTGTCTAATTCAACAGCTCGGACTCCAAAGTAGCATCTCTTCACTGGGTCTGGGTCTGGGTCTCAGTCTCTGGGCAGGCAGCGAGTACATGCATGTCTAGGTCTATAGATAGATAAACAACAACAACTTGGCGTTTCAGCGTCAATACCCATGCCAATGCTCATGCTAATTCTAAATCTAGCTCAATCCAGAGCAGCCCAATCTCTGCTGGCAGAACCACACAGTTGCCTCTCAGTCCCCGAATACTCCAGCGGCCCAGCCCTTGATCCGTCCGCTACTTTTATGCGCCAAGCTAGACAACCACCCTCAAAACTTCAGTCTACCACTTGATGACCTGCTGCGGGAAGAACTCGTCAATGAGCTCCAGGTAATACGGCTACGGTTGTCGAGGGAGCAGTCAGCACAAAGGGAACCCCTTTCTGATTTACTGAAAAGGGGTTACGAGAGAGAGAGAGATCGACACACCTTGAGCTCCTCGACGCTCGGTATCCCGTCGCTCTTGCTGTACAGGTCGTAGGGGTTGAAAGCGCGCACGGCCTGCAGCAGGTCCTCGTCGCCGTCGGCCATGAACTCGCGGTAGGCGCCCTCGCGGTGCCACGGGTAGAAAGAGTGGTAGCGGATCATGGCGAGGGCCTCGCGGGGCAGGCGGGCTTGGTCGCGCACCACCAGGTACAGGTACTCGTCGTGGCCCCAGCTCATGACGAGGTTGGCGATGCCGCAGCCAGGACTGTAGATGCCGTGGGCGGAGCCGTAGACGGGGTGGCTGGCGTCGGGGTTGGCGGCGAAGGTGTCCGGGTAGATGATGGCGCGGCCGGCGAAGGCGCAGCCGACGGGGAAGGTGTCGCCAACAACGTCCCACTGGCCGTCGGCGCCGCCGAGGAACAGCATCAGCTTGCCGAGGTCGTGGATGAGGCCGACGAGCTGCATCCAGCGCGGCTTGCCGTCGCGGCGGATGGCCTCGGCGCTCTGCAGCAGGTGCTGCATCTGGCTGAGCTGCGTGTCGGGGTCGCTGTCGTCGACGAGCGCGTCCAGCTTCTCAATGGCCTGCCACACCGTCATCTCGGCCCGCGCCCGCCCGGCCGAGTGAAACCGCTGCCGCGCCGCCACGTTGTACGCCACCGTCTGCCGCGCGTGCTGCTCCACGTAGAAGGCCCTGACCCGGTCGCACGCCGCCTCGTACTGCCGGAACGCTGTCTTGTTCTTGCCGCTGTCAAACTGCGGCTGCTGCGCGAAAGCAGTCTGCGCCTTCAGCATGTTGACCTCGTCGACCGCGTCCGAGATGGCCTCGAGCACCACCCCGTCCTCGTTGACAGGGCCGTTGTAGATGGCAGAAGGTGCCATTGTGGGCAAGGGAGAACGAGGATAACGCTGCCGCCGGCCTCGACGCAGTTCTGGTTGGACAGAATCCGGGATAATCACCACGCGAGGGCAAAGCTAGGGAGGACTGCAGCCGGACACGGCGCGACGGCGGTCTATACGCCGCCGCACGTGGTATTTATACCCGAGACGAGAAGCTAGTGTCGAGACCATGGCTGCCACGGCGCTAGCATGAACTAGGTATGCCGTACAGTATGGGTAGCTGCATAGGCCGCGGTTGCGAGATCCTCACCCAGCGACGTATCGCGCATCCCAGGCCGGCTAGCCTACCTAGTCGTGGTGATAGAACTGGGGAAAGGGACTTTGTTACTTGTGTCCGCCACTGCACATTCAAAGTACAGGTACACACACACACACACACACAATGACAAACCTACGCACTATTACTATTCCAAGCCCAAACTCCGGCAGACACCCGACCAGGGATAAGCAAGGCCATATGTATGTCTTGGACTAGAAGGGGTGACATCCGATAGCGGGCGAATCACGGCTCAGAGCTCGGCTCGCGAATCTAAGGCACTAGAAGAGAAAGAAACCCGGGGAGAACGGGCCGGGCCCTCCTCGCAGGAAGGAGCTGCTGCTTCGTTCGTTCGTGTGATTGCTTTGCGTTTGCCTCCTCCTCCAGCAACCAAAAAAATCATGTCCCAACCCGCAACGGCGCATCTCCCCCGTCCGTGATGTGATTCGAGTGGCCTGTCTTGGGACCGAGTTCTCCTCTCTTGCTCAGCCTATCACATCATAGTCACTCGCACCACACACACACATAATAACTCCCCAGGCGGATGCCCCACGGCTATGTCCGTGAAAATCCTTCCCGATCTGTTGCTGTACGGTGCAAAACGCGCATCTCCCCGAAACGAAAACCGGCCAGAATTGCCCCCTTGAGCCTGACCCGAGACAGAAACCAAGGGCAATTTCTCCCGAGAGGTTGCAACAGCAAGCGCCCTTAGTGCTCTGCTAGTTGCTACATTAGCCTCCTCCTTCCCCCTCCCCCCCCCACAAACCCCCCACATATGGAAGCTAGTGTGGTAATAGTGTGCAGTGGCTTGTGTAGCCAAGACCAAGACATCTGGGACAGCCAGCACATATTAGTAGTATACGCAGTGTAGTAGCACAGCGGGCAGTTACACGTCGTGTAGCCCCGATCACTGATCACTGATCAGCCTAGCAGTTCTCGCCGTTCCCCCGCAAACAAAGTTCCACTGTCCTGTTCGCCCCCCTCTCGTGCAATGTTCATGGAAAAGCCGTGAACCCGCGTACATACGTCCACGAGACCTCCTCACGTGCTCTCCACATCGCCGCCCTAGTTCGAGAGTCCAGGGCAGCCAAGTGACCACATGACAATCCAGTTTGCCGTCCAGACCGCCTTTTCTCACCTAACCCGTCCCAACCCTGTAGCACTGGGCGTTCCTGTCACGGTCTGGCCCGGCCAAGAGACGCACTTGTCAAACTTTGGTCACATCGCCTAGCTCATCTCGCGAATGAGGGGGGTCCAGATCTGCCGAGCAACCAATCACCGGCCTCACTCAGGGGAAGCAATCCACCAAGAAAATTCGCGACGAATCGTGACGGAACAGTGAGTATCCCCCAATAATCAAGGGACCAACGCCAGTTCCCTGGCAGGCGTCTTTTTGCTGTCCTATCCAGCAGAACATTCTCTCCCCTCAACTCTTGGCGGCTGGTCGACAAAAAATCAGGGGCTAGAATTCCGGCCGAGCCAGCCTGTCGTGTAACCCAGATGTGTCGCAAACCCGATCCTCTGGGCCCACAGTGCCTTGGCCGAGATGCGGCTAATGCGCTCCTCGGCCTTGAAAATGACGTCCTTGGCACCGTTATGTGACTGACCGATAGCTGCCAATATTCCCCCAGGAACCGAGACATCTTATCGCATTTGAGACCGCATGACAGAGCTGAGTGAAACGATTGCTCGAGCAAGAGCTGAAGTAGCGGTGTGTCTGACAGATGGCAAATGACGGAACAACTTTATCCTCCTCGCGCACACTTATTTGCTCACTAGATATGAAATTGAAGATAAGATGGTCTGCAGTGGCAATCGTCCTATGCTGCCATCGTGAATTCTCCCAGAGCCCGAGAGTGTGTTGACGCAATAGCAGAGAAAATCAATATGACCACCCGCCTCCTGAAACAATGCCGAGTCGCGTCGTTGCCTAGAGTGAGTTCGTCGCATTCGCCAATGACGTGAAATAGAAATGAAGTCTAATTAGTAACAAAGCCCGGCCGCCGATGAAGTCGCGCGAAGACCGGGCTGAAAGCCGTACGAGTCTAGTTGAATCACCGATTGTGCTGAGGCCAGCCCCAAGTAACCCTCATCTTCTTCTGTACCTCCTCGGTCGGCCGCAGGTGGTCTTTCTCCGTCTTCTTGAGAATCTCAATCATCGCTTCCTGGTCCTGCCGATCGTGGAAAAGGTCGCCAACTAAGCCCACCAGTTAGCAAAGCACCAAGCGCGAGAAAGCGTCGAGGTGCAGGGACACTCACAAGCTGCGATGACCATGCAGGCTGTAAACATGCTCGGCGGGGTCCACTCGTTGCTCAGGCCGATGCCACATACTCGCCGTACCAGCTCTTGTATGTGGTTCTGCAATTGCCCTGTCAGCCATTCTGCTCGTCGCCGGCTTCCATGAGTGAGTTCTTGACCTACTGCCAGCTGTCTGTCTGGTTCATTCACCAAGGGCCTGGGATCGTAATGCACGAGGAAGAGCTCGGCAAGGAGGTGATGCTGCATGCCAATAACTAATTTGGACACATTGTTAGCACCTGGAAGCCCCAGAAGAACAGGATTGGCGCACCGTGACAGCTTCGCCAGTAGCAGATATGTGGAAATGCGCCATTGCCTTTACCATCGAAGATGGGCCTGAAGGAAGGCGGGAGGCCATCAATCCATTGTTTGCTCCGTCTGTTGAGCTCTACCCATTCCTCGGTCCGTCGCTTTGCGCCGACCTCTGACTTTTCTCCGAAACAAAAGTTGAGCACGTCAGCACAGTGGACCACGGCTCGGTTAGCCCAGGTGTAGTCGTCCGCCTGCTTCAGCGACCGGTCGACCAGCGAATGCAAGAGACTGATGTGTACTGCCTGCGAGGTCATGACGGCGCTGTAAATCTCCTGACGGAGGCCTACCCAGAAGGATGCAGCACTTAGACTTCCCGGGACGAAGCCAGGGACAAGGGATTCGACCCTAGCCTCGACAAACCTTTTGATGCCTATCAGATGAGTGCGCAGATCCCTTCCCGTGTCCTTGACTGGCCGCGAAGATCAGCGATATGGGCGCGCAAGGAGACGTCAAGATATGACCAACCATCCATTTCCTCCAATACCCGCAGGATAATGGCTGCGGCGAACAAGTTCTCATCTAATATAGCCCCAGGCTGGTCGAGGATATGGTTGAGGTCATCGAAGCACTTTTGTGAGTACTGCAATGCTAGAGATTGCGGGTAGTCACAGTTACTGATGTGGCTCATGTGGCGTGCCGAAAGAGCAAGAATGGCGTTAAGAAGAATAGGGCAGTTCCCTGACTGTGCTCGTGCCGGGACAATCCTCTCAAACGATTGGGCCGGGTCACACAGATCAAGCTGATGCATCCATATCAGATATCCAGATATAATACCTCTGTTGTGAGAGTCGGAGCTACTTACCCAGGTGGCCAGCTTCTGCACAAAGTGCATGAAAAGCCTAGCTTCCAGCTCATCGGAAAAGGGTAGCACTGAGTTGTCTACGGTTTGCTGGTTTTCGTCGTCGGGGGTTGCAGCTGCATTGTCTTGCACAGGTTCAACAGGTGGGACCTCATCTTCGTCCGAGTCTGATTTCGGCACGCGTCGAAAGAACCTGTCAGTCGGACTTGCAGGAGATACTATTGATGACGAGGGCGAGATGACATGGTCAATCTGCATGACTATATCAGGCTTCCAGGGAACGCCCTGCGGACCGCTGTCGATCTCGAGTTCTTCTCCGCTCTCTTCGCTTGAGCCGTCATGGCGAACTTTCTTGTTCTCGTTGATGAAAACCACTAAGGCCAGTGTAAGGAGCAAGGACCACGCCGAGTTCAGAAAGGGGGAGCATACAGCGATCCAAGTTTTCTATCCTGACCCACTTCTGTTCTTCTCCAAACGTGTCTATATGGTCAAGGCCGACCAGTCAACGCAAGCAAAGAGCAGACGGCAGAGGTGGAGGGGCGGAAGTAGCCAGGAAGAAGAATTGAAGCAATGTGAGGGCAGGGGTGTTGAACGGACACTTATCAGTACGCATCACAATGCCAATCCAACAGCATTCGCGATTTTTGAGCTTGCACCTGCCGCAGACAGGCGCTACTCGATCGCCTGCAAAGCCGACAAAGTCAGCAAAACCTCCAAGTATCGCCCCCGCACTGGATGCGACCAGGGGAGGGGAGGGGAGGATAGGATGGCGGTGGTTCAGTTCAGTGGGCTCCCCTTGGGCCGTCAGGGCCCTGGGGGGGGGGGGGGGGTCCTTTTAGGGGATTGGGGGTGGAACTAACATTTCAGGTGCTGATCTCGACAATTTATGCTGCGACTGGCCGTCAGCAAATGGTCTCGGGCCAAGTCCAAGGCATCTCACAGGGGGCTGGCTCGGCGGGAATGGATACTCACCAACCTAGTTTTCGCGGGCTCGAAGCGGTCATGTCTGAATCTGGTGACGGCATCTATGGCCCGCTCTGTGGAATCCCGCGAGCCCTCAGCCGATGGGACTCAGCATGCTTGGCGGCACCACGGCAGTGGAGTCGGAGGGTGCGCGCAAAGCAACCTAGATAGCTAGCAGCCTCGGTAGGTTCAACCAGATTGCTGGACGCGGTGAACCACTTGCGCGATGGTGTGCAACAGGAGGAAGACGGCGGGAAGTCCACGGTTGTACGGCAAGGAACTGTGCCCAAGGTGGAAAATAAACCCGAAGCGGGCCAAATGCGACGGCTGCTTTCGGGATATTTGCACGCGAAAAGGTGCAGGGTCGGGTGCGCTCGTGCCAGAACGACCGGGGAGGATTCAGGCGATGGATGGGACTGCCCCGAGGTCTGCCGCCGACAGGCTAGCGGAAGCTTTGCTGTCTTCGGGACGCAACGCAGCAATGGATGATGACCAAGAAGATGACGCCCGACGCTGATTTGCTTCCGACGTCTGTTCTCTGGCGATGTCCCAGGTCAATACTTCCTGGTAGGATGGAGCCCGGTCCGTCTGCACCCCGCAACCTAAGCTCTAGGTGTAGGGGAAAAGAGGGGAAGACTTTGGGACGGACAGCGAGAGGCTGGGAGAGGGCAGGAGGGCAGGGAAGGAGGGCAGGGAAGGAGGGCAGGGCAGGAGGACAAGAGGCAAGCTCGCCATCAACAGCAGCAGCTGCTGCGACCCGTTTCTGGCCGTGGTCTGGATCGAGGAAGGCGCACTGCACGGGACGGGGGATAAGGATCTGCTATGGAGGAGAGGCCGCGCTAGGCGTTGATGGGCTGGCCAATGTGGGGAAGGCGCTCCTGCGCGTGCTCGTGTGTGCTCCTGCGCGTGCGGCATTGAGTCGCCAGTGAGAGGCGTCCGTGCTTCTCACCTGCTGCAGGTCGACAGATCGGAGCGGAGTGAAAATATTTGATACGACTTGGGTGCGAGCGAGCTCGAGCTTGATCTAGTTGCAGCTGCCAGCAGCCTGGGCTGCATCCCACTCCCGCACCACAATCCGACATACGCAGTTGCCGGAACCTTTGCCCATGGTTGCTAACTGCCATTGACATGGGTTGGGAGAGATCTCGGGACGTGTGCCAGAGACACCACCCCGACGCGAATTCCTAGATCCACGGATGGAGGTCCAGCGACACACCTTTCACCATGTTACACAGACCCAGCGGCAGAAGGTGCAACGTGCAACGCCGGAATGGCGATGGACACAAACCAACCTACCCCAGCTATCATCCCAGCTTTCGCGCAAGAAAGACATGTGCGGCCCCACAACCACTCCACACTCCACACGGCCCTGGCTGCGGGACAGTCGAGGACGGCTGCAATTGGAGTCCACCGTGAATTTCGGGAGCAAGCCTCGGGTTCTTAAATAGAATAATAATATGGAGCCCGGGTGGAAACATCTAATGTCCCGTTTTTCCCCAACTGCCGCCGCCGGCCACCTACCACGCCCAGTCTGGTCAATGAGCCCGCAACCGTTGACACCCCCAGACTTTCCCGATTCCACCGGTAGTCTGAGTTTTTCCAGACAGAGTCGGGGGCTGGAAGCGTGCCGTGAGACCACTCGAACCAGGGAAACGAGACCATGGCTTCCAGCGAGGCTCCCGCTGATGCCGTGCCCGTGGACTACCCGGCGGACATGGTCGAGAAGAATGACGGCGGTCACGATGACCATGAGCAGGCTGCCCGCCTCGAGGCTATGAGCCTCGTTGTCGGCGGTGCCAAGAATGCGACGCAGAGGGAGCAGAGTATGACCCTGATGCAGGGCGTGCGCCTGTACCCCAAGGCCATTGCCTGGAGCGTGCTCATCTCAACCTGCATTGTCATGGAAGGCTACGACGTCTGCTTGATCAATAATTTTTGTGAGTTATATATAGCCTTGGTCTCACCTTGGACTACGCTCCCTCCCCTCAAAGACTGCCAGCCTCTACCTTTTTTGCCAAATAAGTTCTGACAAGTTACACAACGGACGACGAGAAAAGACGCCTTCCCGCAGTTTAAGAAGAAGTACGGCGAGCAACTTCCGAACGGAGACTGGGAGGTGTCTGCCCCGTGGCAGGCCGGCCTTTCTAATGTAAGTGCAACGTCAACCGCTTGTTGTCCGGTGTGGGTGTGGTGCCCCGCTCCCGTCGACTCCGTGGCGTCAGTGACCGGGGAGAAACAAGCCGAAACGAAGCAGCCTGAAACGAAACATATTGTTTGCTCGACGGCTAACACGCGACGGTTAGGGCGCCAACGTCGGGGAGCTCATCGGCCTGCTCATCAACGGCTGGGTGTCGGAGCGCTTTGGGTACCGGTACACTCTCATGGTCTCGCTGACGCTCATCATCGCATGGACGGCTCTGTTTTTCACGGCGCAGAATGTCCAGACGCTCTTGGCGGCTGAAATTCTGTGCGGAATTGTAAGGACCTGCCTCGCTGGCAGTAAGCTCGACAGCTACTCGTGCTAACATCGTGGACAGCCGTGGGGAATCTTCCAGACCCTCACCATCACGTATGCCTCTGAAGTCTGCCCCGTCGCCATGCGCGGCTACCTGACCACCTATGTCAACTTTTGCTGGGGGGTGGGGCAGGAAATCGGTATCGGCGTCATCATGTCCATGCTGAAGCGGGACGACGAGTGGTCTTACAGGATTCCCTATGCCCTACAGTGGATGTGGCCGGTTCCGCTCATGATCGGCATCTACTTGGCTCCAGAGTCCCCATGGTGGCTTGTCCGCAACGGGAAACTCGACGAGGCCAAGAGGTCTCTGCTGCGGCTGACAAGCACGGAACGCGAGACGGGCTTCGACGCCGACGAGACCGTGGCCATGATGGTGCACACTACGGCGCTGGAAGCAAAGACCACAAGCGGCGCCACGTACTGGGACTGCTTCAAGGGGCCTGACCTGAGGCGGACCGAGATCGTCTGCATGATCTGGGCCATCCAGAATCTCAGCGGCAACTCATTCTCCAACTACTCGACCTATTTTCTCACACAGGCCGGACTGGACTCGACCAGCGCATACGGCTTCGCACTCGGCCAGTACGGAATTAACATGGTCGGCGTGTTTGGTGCCTGGTTTTTGATGAGCCGAGGCATCGGCCGACGCTCGCTCTACCTCTACGGGCTTTGCGGGCTTTGCTGCATGCTCTTCGTGCTCGGCTTCCTCGGCCTCATACCCGAGGAACACAGGCGGGAGGGGTCTATCGCTACGGGCAGCATCATGTTGGGCTGGGCCCTGACGTACCAGCTGACGGTTGGAACGGTCTGCTACTCGTTGGTCAGCGAGATCTCGACACGGAGACTGCAGATAAAGACTGTCGCTCTCGGTCGTGTCCTCTAGTAAGACAGCAACCCGGGCCGAGCGCGCGCGATTGAACCATGCTAACTGGCGCAGTATTATCGTGGGCATTGTATGCAGCGTCCTGACTCCCTATATGCTCAACCCCGGAGCGTGGGACTGGGCCAACTTCGCAGGGTTTTTCTGGGTAAGTCGCGTCTTTTTTGCATTGCCCTGTGGCGACGAATTGCCCAAGAAACTAATATATATCATCATCTCAGGGCGGCATCTGCTTTCTGTGTATAATCTACACGTACTTCCGGGTGCCGGAGCCGTCCGGGCGTTCATTCGCCGAGATGGACCTCCTTTTTGAGCGCGGGGTTAGCGCCCGCAAATTTGCCGAGACCGAAGTCGACGTCTTCAGCGAAACGGTCGACAGCGACATTGTGGACAACTACCACATGGGCAGGAGTTCCTCACGCGCCGAGAAGGTAAAGGCTCCATAGCCGTGCCAGTTGTTCAGGTGGCAGGTTACATGACTGTATCAGGCCGCAGAACACCATCCGACCATGTGTTTTGTGTGACTACGACGGTACCACACAGCTGCCACGCTAGCCCGTGTCTCCCTCTGCGTGTCTCTGTGTCCTGGTCTGTGTCCTGTGACAGGAGTGGAGTGCGCTGATGAGTCTCGCATGCTGGGGTTGTGTCTCGTGTTTTCGCGGGAAGAGGCAGGCGGGCCCGTGGTCAACGGAGGTGGTTGGGGCAGCTTCCTGTTGATACAACAATTACAAGACACAGGCTACAGTCTTGGTATCGGGTGGAAAGAACGGGAAACCCGAGATCCCCATATGCCGCTGCGAACCTGCAATAAAGGTTTCATCCAGACCGCAGACGGGTAAAGGGCCTTGCGTTTGCACTTGATGCGCATTGCGGGCAGCGGATAGGATAGCATACTGATAGTCCGTTTGGTGGTGTCGCCTGGTGAAGATGACGTCAATAGAAGGGAAGGAAACGGACCCATGATGTAATTTAATGTTTGGGTTGCACCCGACCGTCGGCGGGTCTAGGCGCAATTGGGTTACCCGACAGGCCTGCGGCAGAGTCTCTCTAACAGTGTAATTGCCGAGATACTTCTATTGGTGCGAAATCCTCCGCTTTTGGGTAAATTATATGTACTAATAATTACGTTCTGTTAGAATCTCCCGGTCTTGATCTTGTGCTCACGTTGCGGATTTGCAGCCATCATCAAGTTCACGAGCGCACCGGGCGGAAGGAAAGGTTGGCCGTCGAAGGTACCTAAAGTAGACACCTCAAGAAGCAAGTCGACTAGAAAGCGCTGCGTTATCTGCCAATTCAACGTTAACCAACCGACGGAGATTCGGCGGCGAATAGTGTGAAGTGCGCAAGGCAGTGCTCGTGTTGCATCCTGCCGCTAGCCGTTGTTGAAAAGGCCTCTACCCAAGGCGGCCGGTTTGGGGCCGTGAAAGTGGCATGCCTTGTCCAGGTTGATCGGAGGGGACCTCTGGCAATCAGACGCGAAAGAAAAGGCGCCTGTCCGCACCGTCGGCGAGATCAACAGTCAGTTGACTTCGTGGGATTTCTTTTCTTCGCATCGAAGATTCGCGAGGCTTCATCGTCCCAGTGCGCATGCATGTATGTACATGTACAAGCGAGCTTACAAGGCGCCCATGAGACGTCGACAGGTCCCCAGACCCAGATTGACGGTGCTGTCGATCTAGATCAGGCTCGCGACGGCCCTTTTTTCTTCGCTCATCAGTCCCTATTGTTCCTTAGTCGATTGAAGAATATCGTCGCGCGATATGCGCCGCATCTGAATGCCCCACAGTTGCCTACCAGGTGGTGCTAGAAGGTCGGGTCTCGCAAAACAAAGGCGCTCAGGCGCAGAGGCAGAACAGTTATCAACCCCACCTACTCTTTTCAAACCTCTGAAGCCGGCTCGAGGAAGTCACTCCACCCCGCTGACACCACATCCAACCACCCGACCTCTGTCACTTTGTATGCTCTGCCAGCCTGCACTTAATCCATCACCCTACCGTATCGCAAACGTCGAAAACAGCGAACAGCATCGGTATACTTCACAGCTCGTTCGTGCGAATCGAGTCTAGAAAATGGCAACCGTCATGGAATCGAGCCCGACGCATGCGCCGCCGGGCCCAAATGTGCCCCGACCAAAGGGTAAGTCGAGAGTACCTGGCTAGCTTTGCTGACCGCAACACCGGGAGGCGTCGCTGGCCACTTGTGGCTATCGACGCCTGGCTTCCAGAAGGCGAGCTTTTGCGTTCGTATTTGCTGACTGGCGGTTTTCGTTGCGAAAACAACAGGCATCCTCAAGAACTCATACCAGGGCTCTCCCCCGCCCGCCTCGCCCATCGACACGCACGATGCTTCGCACCCGCCTCTACACCACACCAACTCGTCGGACCCGTCGCTGACGTCCAAGGATGCCAAGGAAATCACGATCGCCAACACACAGTACAACGCTGGCCATCGGCGGTCCTCGTCCGCTGCCGGGTCGCGGCCTAGCGGATCCCGCCGCCGCAGCTCGCGCACGCCGAGCCACCAGGGCGACGACGACGTCGAGGAGCAGAACCAGCGACTGAAATGGGACGAGGCGAACCTGTACCTCACGGAGCAGGAGCGGTCGAGCACGATGAAGATCAACGAGCCCAAGACGCCGTACGCGAAGCACTACGACCCGGCCGAGGACCCGTCGGACGACGAGGACATGGCCGAGCCCATCGACCCCAACGAGGTCGACATGGACCGCGTGGACGGCGTGCCGCGGCGGCGCCACGGCACCGAGGACGAGATCCCGGGCCTGTCGCTTGGCGAGCCCGAGGAGGCCGTGCCCGAGCACGAGATGTTTGGCACAGGCGAGACGTCGTCGGCCAAGCGGCCCCGCGCTGTGCACGTCGATAGCAATGGGAGCGGTCACGACACGGACGCTGAAGACCTGGTCGGCCTCAGCGCCGAGGAGCTTGAGAAGCACCGCCGCTTTGAGGAGCTGCGCAAGAAGCACTACGAGATGAGAAACGTGGCTGCGCTTCTGGGTCACCCCGAGAACTTCGAGGTCGACGACGAAGATGACGACGCCGTGCCACCTATCCCCGGACGAGTTAATGGCTCGTCATAGCCAGACTGGTTCTCGCAGCTGTCAGGTCTCGGCGACGGCATGCAGCCGAACAGAAATTTTTTTATGATATGACGAGAACTTGAGACTGGACTGGGCGGAAGGACTGCATGGGAAGTGGAGCAATCTGGTGGATAAAGCAGAACTTGAAGACCAGTAGTTTTACTTCGAGGAAGGTATAAACGAGATCATGTCAAGATACGAGACGCACCAGCCTGACCAGATGCGAGCAAATGTACCTTTGGGGGGGGTAGGCTGGGGCGAGAGCACGACGAGTCAGACTTAACGGGGGATTAGGAGGGTATCTGCGAGCCTTGTTTGGTTTTCTTTATTCTTTCAACCCGTTGTCATTCATGGGTCTGGAGTTCATTTCCGCGACGCACCTGGCTTGGAGTGGACGGGGGGAGGCTGCATTTTCTTTACGCCCCGGGCACTCGGCAGGCCATCACGCCTACCTATGTCTGTGCGGCTCATCCTCAGAGACACCCAGTGGTCTGATAGCGCTGCATTTAGGATATGAATTTTCTCCGAGCTTTCACAGCGCGCCTCCCATCTAGCTAATGTATTCGTATGCGCACCAGTCTCGTGACTAGAAAATACAATGCCGTTTTTAGCATTGCTTCTTTCGAGCCACGGTAGACCGTCTTTCTATGGGTTTAATATTTTGGGCATTCTACGCAACAGCGAACATGAGAGACGAGAGAATGCGCAAGTAGTCGGGCTGTTGTTTTGGCCGCACATAGCCCCTCAACACTTGAAGATGTACCACGTAATGCCATGACTTAGCCTACCGTCAGGATACATCCATGAGTTTCTTTAATACGATCTGGCCATGTTTCATCCTTGGAGTGTTTTCGGATGGCCAGTTGCCATTTACGAACGCCCTCGAAGAGTCAAGACGAACCAAAACCCACCAAGCGTCAATACCAGGTAGATAGGTAGTAGTCGGTCCGTGTATGTATTTCTATGACTTCCCAAGACAAAAAGCAAGTTCCCGGCCCTAAAAAGAAATATTTGTTACGACAAAAACCCGCTAAACATGAACGCACGTCAAACCAATATAGACAACTTGCCGGTTTTCCTGGGAACCATTCCGTGGCCTCCCAGGACCCGCCCATCGCCCTGCTTTGCAAATATCCCGCTTCTCTACCCCATGTATGCCAATTGATCTTGGAACAGTCGAGTGCCTTTTGGACACATATCAGAGCAACCCCTTGCGGGCCAGCTCGACCTTCCTCGCCGCCTCGCCGGCCTTGAACCCGCCCTTGGACACGCAGATGCGCTGGCCCTCGGCGAGCTCGAACTTGTCCTCGTGCGACGGCCACGCACACGGGCAGTGGTGGGGGAAGTGTACGCAAGCTGTGTGCAGCCAGGTCAGGTTAGCAACGAGTCCAACCGTTGTGCACCTCGCAGGCTGGGAGCAGGGAGCAGGAGTGTGTGTATGTACCAAGAGTGTCTGGGCAGAGGTAGTTCTCGCAGTGCGTGCGCTCGTAGTTGGCGCGGTACAGGCCCGAGTCGCTCGGCGCGTTCTGCGGCTGCTGCTGGTGCTGCTGCTGGTGCCCGCCACCGCCGCCGCCGCCGAACATTTGATCGAAGAAGCCAAATTGCGCCGACACGGCGCCCGCCAGGGTAAACAAGACGAGAGCTATGGAGCGCATTGTTGAGAGCCTATGCAGTTACGTTGTGTTCGGTTGGTCAGTCAGTCAGTCGACATGCAATTCAGCTGTCTGGGGAGCGGGTGCGGTACCTGGAGGGTTGTTCGTGACACCCTGGCGCTGGAACTGGCTTGCTGGCCAAATCACAGCTCCCTGTCGCGTCAGTCCCGGCAATTGGGGCCAGCGACCAAATCCTTATCTTATCGCTTAAAGTGGGCTGGGCCTAGCCGGCTAGTGCTAGGCGGACGAATTGGGGGACTTAGGTAAGCAGAAAACTTGACGCCTGCTTCGATCCGGGCCCGGGCCAGCTCTGGTGGTGGAAATGCCTTCTGGATGAGCTGCTTCGTTTGATCAATTGCCGCGACAGACGCTCGCGAGCCGCCCGAAATGCATATCGTACAGCTGCAGCGGCCTTTGCAGAGGGCTGCTGCGAGCAGCTGCCTGCAATTACTGCGGCCGACGACGACGAGGACGGCGACGGCGGCCCGTCTCAGCGACGGACTCGCCCGCCTCCAGATCAACGACAGCGCCGCCGCCCAGGGCCGCCGCTATGCCAGTGTCAAGGCCCAGGGCGCATACAAGATACCCAACAAGAAGACGCTGCCAAAGAAGATGGGCGCCAAGCGGACCGGCGGTTTGTCTTCCCTACCCATACCGCTCTCGTAGCAGCGACGTCGCCAACCAAGGGGCAACCCGCTGACCCGTGCCTGTGCTCCTAGATCAATATGTAATCACCGGTAACATCATCTACAAGCAGCGCGGCACGATATGGCACCCGGGCGAGAACACCATCATGGGCCGCGACCACACCATCCACTCGGCCATCGCCGGCTACGTCAAATACTACCGCGACCCCCAACGCCACCCCAAGCGTCAGTACATCGGTGTCGTGTACGACCGCAACGACAAGCTCCCCTACCCGGTGGGCGCCCCTCGTAAACGCAAGCTCGGCTTTGTCGCCGTGCCGCGGAAGATAATAGAGCACACCGAGGGCGGCATCGGGCCGAGCGGCATCCCCTACACGGTGACGCGGCACGAGGTGACCGAGGACACGCCCGCGACCGAGACCGTAATAGTCTCCGCAACAGCCACAGAGACGGCCGAGCCAGCCACAGCAGAGGCCGAGCAGCCGGAAGAGCCGGCGGGGCCCCTCGACGGCAACGCGATCCTGTCGGCGCTGATCAAGGAGAAGCTGCAGCGGCGGGCCGAGTACAAGGCCAAGACGAAGCTTGCGCAAGAGAAGTTGGAGAAGGAGATGGCGGCGCGGCGCGGCACGCGCATATTCCGGCTGCAAGACGACTACAGCTACCGCGAGAGCAACTGGGAGATTGGCCGGCTGGTCGGCGACACGGGCGGCAGCATCCCCGGCACGGAGAAGACGGCGTCGCGCAAGGCGCTGCTGCGCTCCAAGCGCGTCGCCCGCACCGTCCACAAGATGGCCATCAAGCAGCGCATGCTCGAAAAGGCCGGCCGTCGCGAGGTCTACCGCGGCCTCGTCCGCGCCAAGCGCGCCCGCATGGCCGAGGAGAACAAGGCCAACCGCGCCGCCGTCAAGGCTGCCGCCGCCGCCGAGAAGCTGGCCCAGCAGGCCAAGAAGGCTGCGACCAAGGGCGGGAAGGGCGGCGAGGGCGGCGGCGAGGGCGGCGGCGAGGGCGAGGTCAAGGTGTAGGTTTAGAGCCGTGTTTGAAGGGGGGCGTTCTCGGCTTGTCGAGATTCTGCGGTGCGGTGCGGATCTGATGTGTCTAACGACGCGCCGCTGTAGTATATACTGTCACGAATAAATTACCTGTTCATCTTGGTGTGTGTGATGCGCTGAGAATCTGTCTTTGTCCGGTAGGACAGAGGTTGACCTTGGAGCAGAGTGTGTAGAAAGAAGATACCTTGTCATTTTATGTACTAGCCTGCCACCTGGGCTTTTTTCGTTGCTTTCTCAAGTTCCTCGACATGCAGATGATACGTACAAACGCGACTGATATTGGACTTGAACAAGATCTGAGGCTTCAGGTCAACAATTTGGTAACTAGGCGAGATGCAAAAATTAACCCAGGGTGGATGTGGTTTTTCCCTAGCTGAGGGGAATATGAGAATAATCTGAAAATTGATGTTAAATATTACCAAGCTACGCTAGAACTTAATCGTTTGCAACTCACTTTTAGGGAAGTCCATGTAGAGCTGAACTTGTTGTTACCTAATTATGATAAAGCTCTAATTCCCGAAAGGCAACTTGCTGGTGTTGCTGTGCACCGAAAAGAATAAAAATCAAAAAACTTGAAGAAAACAGAGAGAAGAAAAAGAAAAGGGATACTATAGCCCTGCCTTAAGCACGAACCCGTAGCTTCTCCTACTTTTACTTCCGAATGAGTGTCGGCAAGGTAGCTAAGCTATTAGTGGCTATCATTACCAGCACGTTCGCCGTACATGCTTTGCCTGGTCTGCACTTGAGTGGGAATGCTCGCCGCTCGCATGGCCTTCTCGGCCAAATCGACAAGGACCAGATCGGTTCCTGCCATGGCCGTGGTTAGACTACCTTGAGGGGCTAAATATATTAATGGGTATAATCATCGAAGAACACATAACGTAATTGCATAGCGAGTGGCCATGTATAGCGAGTGGCCACTCTCCCCACCCTAATTGAACTTTCGCCCGACACACCAACACTACCAAAAAAACTAAAAATGGCACCCAAACGAAATGAAGCACAAATACAGCTTGCCCTCCAAGCTATGGAACGCAATAAATCACTAAAGCCCTTTGCAGCTGCAAAACTGTATTCGGTACCCCGAAAAACACTTGAGCGGCGATTAAAGGGAATCCTCCCTCGAGCAAACACTATCGCTAACTCTCGGAATCTCGATCCCCTTGAAGAGTAGGTTATTTTACAAAAGGTTCTTGACCTATATGAGCAAGGATTTTGGCTAGGATACGATGTGGTTGAAGATATGGCCAATTTGCTACGCGTTACTCGTCGGACCACGCTGAGCTTCAAACTTCGTATGACGACAACCAGAGCTCCAGATGCGTTGGACGCGTTCGTACGACTACCAGAGAGCCAAATGCGAAGATTCAGAGATAATTGGCGCGTGGTTTGACCTTGTTCGTAATACAATCGCGAAGCATGGGATTGTTGAGTCGGATATCTGGAACTTTGACGAGACTGGGTTTATGATGGGCCAAATTTCGCCGATGCTTGTTGTTACTTCGTCTGAAGGCCGTAGGAGGGTTAAGAAGATCCAGCCTGGTAATCGGGAATGGGCTACAGTGATCCAGGCTGTACAGTCGGGTGGTAATAGCATCCCTCCGTACGTGGTGGTTGCAGGCAAAATCCACCTCGAAAGTTGGTATCGCGACAGCCCTTTCCCCCCCGATTAGACCGTTAATCTCTCGGAAACTGGTTGGACGAATAACCAGATTGGTCTTGATTGGATTAAGCACTTCGACCAACACTCTCGCCGTTATACAATAGGTGGAAAACGTCTCCTAATCCTTGATGGGCATGAGAGCCACCACTCGGCCAAATTCGAAAAATACTGCAAAGAAAACAACATTATTACACTTTGTATGCCTCCGCACTCATCTCATCTACTTTAGCCACTTGATATCTGGTGTTTTAGTGTGTTGAAGCGGTTTTATAGCAAGGAAATCGAGAAGCTAATGCGCAACCATATTCACCACATCACCAAGCCCGACTTCTTTCTCGCCTTCTACAACGCATTTCAAGCAACATTCAAACCTGAAAACGTACAAGGAGGTTTCTGAGGGGCAGGCCTTGTCCCATTTGACCCAGAAAGGTGATATCCCAGCTAGATATCAAGCTTCGTACACCAACACCTACTTGCCCCCCCCCCGAGGACTCGTACGACAATTGGGTCTCTAAGACACTACAGAATGCTACTGAGGCCTCTCTACAATCAACACACATCAAGGATCGCATTATCAGGCATCAGAGCAGCTCACCAACCCCAATTCTTGAGGCCCTTGACCAAATTGTAAAGGGTACAACGAAGGTTATGCACGAGGTAGTATTGATGAAGGCCCGTATAAGAGAGCTTGAGGAGGCAAATACAGCCCTAAGTAAACGCCGGAGGGCTAAAAAAAGTCGTATCCAAGCAGGAGGACCATTGACTGTACAGGATGCAAGCGATATTCCGGCTGAAAGGGATGCATACGCCCTACTAGAGGAGGAAAAGCGGTCGGGAGGTGGCAGTACGAGGAGCAATATAGCAGGTTCACGGCACTGTAGCAATTGCGGCAAAACAGGACACAACTCTCGTACGTGCCAGGAGGATGCGAAAATGGATAAGGGATTGGATTCTAAGTAGTTTTAATTGATCATTTTTTTGTGGTATTAGTGTGTCGTGCGAAAGCTCAATTGGGGTGGGGAGAGTGCCCACTCGCTATACATGGCCACTCGCTATGCAATTACGTTACCTGGCGGCCCGATGAGCGAGACCGCGATCGGCCGCGGCTCCTCTCTGTGCGTGACGGTCGAGAAGTACGATATCTCGCCGACCAACAAAGTATGCCACGTGCAGCTTGGTGGCTAGAGTAGGGTAGGCAACTGGGTATGTGCGTGACCAGTTCGGCCTTGTCTAGCGTAAGTTTTGTTTTTGTTCTCCAACCAGTCTCTCAGGCGGAATATAATTAGGCGCTCTTCCGTGCGTGTATTTTTTAGCGTCAATTGTGGTTAGAACCGTGTGCCGCAGAGATTCGGTCTTAATTAGCATAGTCAGCGCTCGAATAAAACGAACGTAGGAGCTCGCTGTTGAGCCCTTCCCACGTATATAACTTGCTCCTGTTGACATGCTAATTACTTTCTATTCTTTACTTATTCGGTTCATCGTGAGGAAGCGGTCAAGTACTAATTAATTACAGCGCGTCAATTGTCCGATGTACTCTGTAGCTGGCGCAATGAAACGACCAGTTGCGCCATGGACAGGGCGCAATGGACAAGTGAGAGCAGAATTGACATAAGTCCAAAGACGAGGACGGCCCAGGACGTGTAAAAATTGAAGGGGTTCCGCTGGTCCGCCCAGAATTCCCTCAGTGTGCTGGAATCCTTCTGCATGTTGAAGTCCTGCAGCCGGAGCAGTTTCTCGCCCAACAAGGGAAAGTCATCGGGCCCATAGAAGCCTCTCGTCGGCATCGTCCATGGCACGCCCGCAGACCCCAGACGACGTACCTTCTTTGGGGATAGATGGGTCAGCAAGGGGTCGGCCTGCCCGCCGACCTGGGCCTTGGCAAGCTCTTGGGACCGGAAGAGGTCTCTAGACCTTTTGTCCGGACCAAACAAGATTATGTACGACCGCAGGATCTCGTTTAGGTACTGCTGTGTATATTTTGTGCTTGAGGGCGAGTTTGCCAGCGTGGGGGATCGGCTCTACTCGTCAAGGATGCTAGAGATGGGGAATTAAAAGTGAGCCCCACGAGGGGGCTGTTTGGGGATGGGGGGAGCGAGCCGGCACACATGCCTGTGGAAGATTGCGGGGTGGTAGCCGGCCTCGAGGCGTCGGGAGAGCAGAGCACAGAAGGACGGCAATCGGAAGAGGGCCACTTCCTAGGTGGCCGTGTCGAACGAAAGGTGGGCACTCAAGACATCCACCCACCGGATATGGACACGACTGCCGGTTGAGGGAGAAGTAGTTGAGTCTGGAGGCATAGGGCACATCTGCCGCACGCTTGGGCCATGGTCGATGCTCTGGCACCAGCTCGCCAAACATCTTCAGCATGCCGCAAATGCGCCTCCCCGTAGCATCATGGCCAACGGATGTTCTGGGGACTCGGGCAACGCGCGGAATGCCTAGATCGATGGCCAAGTTTGAGTCCGGGCTGAGCACCTGGGGAGATACAGGAGAGTGAGGTATCTGATGCATGCGAAGATGGCGTCGAGTTGATGACTCGTTCGATGATGGGCTCGAAGTAGGGTAGCGTCATGTGCTTCTTTCCGCCTGGCACGGATGTGGAATTGGATGCAAAGACCGGGCTGGTAAATGTGGCGCCAGGAATACCGCAAGTGCACGCCTAGCTGTAGCTAGCAACTATGGCTCTAATCAATTTTATGGCCCAGGTTTTCTCTCTTCATCTTCGGAGAGCGCTTTGGCGAGGAGTCGCTGCTCCGGGTGGCTTACGCCTTTGAGCAAGCCACGCAAGTGAGATGCAAGGGAGCCCGTATCTGGTTCCAAAAGAGGATCTAAAAGATGTGCTGCTCTCGGGACATGAAGAATCAAAGGCGAATAACTAGATAATCGTGTCAGAATACTATCAGGCGGTTTGCATTTTGGGGAAGTTGATACAATCACACTCGTTAGAATTTCGTATTACTTTTTAATGGCGAAGCGGTATAAGGTATAATTTCGGATTTCCACCAGGACGACGTCTTCAGCGGGAAGCTTGGATACATGTCGAGTTGTGTGAACTTCCGCTCATGAAAAAGGAAACCCCGAGCCGAGAAACCTCTCAATGTCCATCTTAGTCATCTACCTTCATGCAGCCCATTCCGCACGGGCATCAATGGGGCGGGCGAGGGCGTTGCATTTGCTGTGGCTGAGTGTCTGCAGCCGTCAACTCTAGACCATCTACTGGACGCCGCGGTTGCCAACCACACCCACCTGTCCCCTCCCATCCTAGACACCTCAACCCTACCGCAACAAATGGCCCCCCGAGAGCTTATGGCGTCTCTCCTATCTAGGCTATTTGTAGCCGAAATTTACCCAACCTTTTCTGAAATCCGGCGAGTAAACGGCACCGCTGGCATATACGCTCAGGCCATTACTCTAAAGCGAATATCTTGCTAAAGTTAAACAGAGACGTGATGTTCATGGACTGAAATCTGAGGGTCCGGTTAATGTGTTCTTGTGCTCGGTTGTTGTGATGTGATGCTTTTACGCGCGCGTCAGTTGATGGGCTAGTTTGCTGAGGCAGATAATTGGGTAATTACCTAGGTAGCTAGGTAGCTGCAGTATGCGATCGAGGCGGAGCTTCTGGAAGGGGGGTTTCTGATGAGGTTTTTCTGCACTTTGACAGGCAAGGCTCTCGGGCGCATGTCGTGGACTGATGATAACTATGCGTCTCACACGTGGCGGTGAAGCCCAAGGAATGGGTAATTAACTCACAGCCGACTGAAACCTGACGATGAAAATAAAACAATACCGCATCCTCATTATACATTCTACCTATCATTCTTGCTTCCCACTGAATTGATACAGGATAGCAGAATAATTCATCTTATAATCGACGCTTGGCTGGACAGAAGGTCTGGCCATCAGCAGGCTTGAGCCATGCCTACGGGCTACGCCAGACTTGCGTCGCTGATGGGAGCTCACCCAGAGACAGCAATCGTGCGGCGCTTTGGATCCCTAAATACGCTCAACCTCCTCTATCTACAAGCTGAGTTGACGGACCTGGAAAATGCCCTGCAGAAGGAGGCTAAAGCCGACGCCGAGTCTGGTCATCTTGACCGCACGCTCTACAGCCAGGGCTGGCAGAGTCTTGCCAAGTCGGCAACGAAACAGAATGGAAATTCAAGGCAATGGGAACTTGTGTTGCAAGTCAGAGAAGTTAAAGGAATACAGTTAGGTCTATTGTACTCTGAGAGGTCTGGGCTTTCCGCTGACCTCTATTACCAGACCAGGCACTGCACCTGCAGCACAAGATCGCCAAGATCGGACCGCCCAACAGGCAGGACTTTGAATTTCTCCAAAGATGGATGAGCTCGCCGTCCATGGGAAATGTCTATCTGCTCGGCGCTGACAGTGACATTTGGGAGATCTTTGATCCAGCAGAATTGGTTGCACTCTACCCCGACATGGCGAGAGTCGTGTTGCTGGACTTATTAGCGATCGGATGCTGCAACGGTACCATCACGTTGTTGGAGATCTTTTCAAGAAACCGGATGCGTCGGCGATACACGGTGATATTGCCCGCTACTCCCAGGGGGGCGTCGAAAGAATGTGCACTGTGGTGGGTACGGTTCTTGGGTCTCTCCTTCTGGTGGGATCCATCCTCGTCCTGTACTCTGTCGGCAGCATGGAGATGCGGCTCATGACGATTGGCATCTTCACTAGCGCCTTCTCGCTGAGTCTATGTCTGCTCACAAATGGACGCATGGTTGAGGTGTTTTCGGCCACCGCCGCGTAAGTTAAAAAGTCTCATGCTTGTGATATCAAGGCAATCTTACCCAGGCAATCTACATGAATCTTCCGGTCCTACTCCTGAATCTAGAAAGCTAACTAGCTACCCACTCCCATCTAAAACTGATTTGCTGCTGTTCATGTGGTCTTTGTTGGTATCAGCGGCCCAGATGTCGTCACCTCTGAACGGCACCGAGCACCGAAGTGCCCCAATGTCATCGACCTTCCCGATCACTTTCTAGCCCCTATTCCCGCTCCATCCTTCTCTTCCTGCTCCTTCTTTTTCTGCTCCGCCAGCGCAGCTTTTTCCTGCTTCTGTCTCTCCTTTGCGGCAGCGACGGCGGCGTCGTCTGCTGGAAGAAACTCCGTTAGATAATGACGGGGATGGTATACAGCGGAAAGGAATTGGAAGAAACTCTGTCAGAAAATGACTGGGATGGCATACAGCGGAAAGGAATTGAAACACACCTTTGGGCCTCTTCTTGTGTTCCAAGAGCGGTAAGATAGCAGGCTCGTTAACGAGGAGCAATTTCTCCGACACAATATAGTTCGCGCCCAACAAAATGTCAATATGGGGCGAGTCGGGGAGGACGTAAAACTCTCATTCGTGAACGTGGGTTGCCCGGGGGTCATGCCACTTCCAGGACAGAGTAATGATGCCGCAGGCCTGGATGAGACGGCCACTTGCATCGCAGACCTGGGACAGGTCGGGTCGAGCTAAGATCAAATGCGCCTTGCCCAGGCGCTTGACCAGGTGCATGGAAGTCCAGTTTCCGGCCTGGCATTGCGTGTCGAGTAGCGCCGCGCCATGGCTTGACGCCAGCTCTCGTTTTCATCCAGAACCTTGATGCCCCTGTTGAAGGCACCATCGCTTGAGGGCTGGGCGAGGGAGCTGCGAATGGAAGCCTTGACCTTACCGAGTACGATGGTCAAGGCACGAAGGGCCTGGTACCCGCTGGCGGTGGATCTCATCTTGGCCACGTCTGCGGGCGGGACGGCCTCGGGCCGGGAGTTGCTGTTTCCCATGCTAACTGTGATACTGATATCACCTCTGGCTGGGAATCCGGTGCGGGCGCTTGACGGCCGGGTTTGTTATAACCCTAGGATACGAGCGAGGCATATGCTAGGATGGCAGCTGGTATGGAAATAATAGAAGAGAAGATTTCAGAGCGGGGTGGTCCATTCGAGGCAGTTCATTTGAACAGAAAGATCCGTTTTCCTGGACAGCAGTGTACAAAAAGTGACATGAGCGCTGGGACCTGGATATAAAAAGATCCACTTCTCGCACTAAAAAACTATGGGACAAAAGCTAGCGCAACTAAGCTAGCGCAACTAACTTCAGATCAATTAGCCACATACGCAGTCGCACTATAATTACACCACAACCACGTCGCCGTCACTAACGTCAACATACTTCCAAATGCGGGTAATTTTCTCTCAGGACCGTAGAATTCTCTCAAATCGTTCATTTCCATAATAAAATACGAAGCTGCCCTTATTATTATTATTATTATTATTATTGATATAGCATGCCCAAAAATATAATTAAAAGTTGCCCTATCTATATATCGTCAAGATCGTTGCTTTGTTGGGCTTCAAATGCTATAGCCAAAGCCCTCATAGTACGACGGGTTATTCCACCGCGTGTAGACGCCTTTATAATGCCTCCTCGCGCCTTGCGCGTTATGGGCGTTAAAGCCTACGCGCCAGATGAAGCCTGAGTACGTAATGCCCCTAACGTTCGCTGTACGAAGCTTCTTAATGGCGAAGAGCGCAGAAGCCGCCCAGTTATGTAAATCGTCTATTAGGTTATCGAGGGAGCCGTATTTGTGGTTGAGAAGCTTGTGGTCTGGCGGAGGCGTTGAGAGGGGCTCGGGTGCGGGTTATGGTGCGGGTGTGGGCGCGGGTCCGCTCTTTCTCACCAGCGTTCAGTGCTGGCTCTCTTGGGGGCTAAGTCATTTTAAGTTAGGTGAGGTGTGACGGCGGGGCTCAGCACCTACTAGTTCTGTATGACAGAAGCACCCCGGGCACATTTCGCGTTGAAAGCGGGGTTTCCTTAGTCCCAGTCAGGGCGAGGGCGGCAGGAGGGCCAGAAGGAAATGGTAGGCTTCTGGGATTTGTGAGGCTCCTCACCCAACGCGGCCTACGCAGAGCCGCACCATGATGCAACGGAAAACGGGGTTTCTTAGACAGGCTTAGGTCGTGGCCAGGGGTGTTGGTCCGGCTGACTTAGTCCGTGCCGTGATCTTCCAGATGGTCCAGTTGGATGTATAGGTACCTAATGCATCCAAACAGCCAACGTTGCCATTCGCAATGTTTATCTCCATGCTATCTCCGTGCATTATTGCGCTTTTGCTTTTTGTGCCTCAAGCCCCGGTCCAGTCTTGTGGCACCTGTCTCAAAGACACACGAGCTTTGCATTGGCTATTCTATGTCGTCTTTTTTGCCGCGTCCATGTGTCAGCATTCCCATCAAAGGAAAATAATATCGTCAGACGACACTATCGGTCGGCAAGCTGCCAAGCTGCAATCACTCAACACGTATAAGTGAGGCCGATTGAATAGAGTGGTGGTGGAATAGTAGTGCACAATTTAGCACCATTCCGAAATTTTCGTGAATTTTGCCCCGTGTTCTAGCAGGAAGTCCACCATGTCCGCATCGCCCGCTGGCAACACATAGTCGGCGGGCGCAATGATGCCCCCACTAGAGCTATACTTGTCTTTGATACCCACCAGGAGCCCCGACCTCCGCAGATTCAAGCCTACATCAACTAGCTTCCTCAGCGTCTCGATCTGCCGAAGCCGCACTGCACTGGCGAAGAACCTGCCCACGAGAATCTGTGCCGTAGGCGCCTCCGACTGCACGAGCTCCTGCAGCACCGTCCCGGCTGCCCAGAGAAAGTCAAAGAACTGAAGTACCTGCCTATCTGTCTCTACCCCCGCGGTATCGATCCGCCTGCGGCATTCATCTTCATTGAGCAGCGGTGAGTCCAGGTGGTTGGAGTAGTAGAATAGGGCGAGCTCTAGCCATGTCCGGGCGGCCCATTGCGTGCCCTGCTGGCAGATGGACTCGGCGCGGACGAGATGCTCTTGGGATCCATTCTCGGGCATGAAGAGGCTGAGGCGGTTACAGATTCCGTCGGCCTTCCGGCCTGCTGTGAGGGAGTCGAGCTGTGGGCCTAGGGAGCGGAATACTGATGCTGGCACTCTGGTTGGCGATGGCGATGAGAGAGAGATTCTGGAAAGAGCGCTTTCCAGGTTCGAGATGATTGCTGGGGGGTTCATGTCAAAATAAGGTTGGAGAAAGGGGGGGTGTCGACGTCAAAGTAACCGTGCCGGCAACTCACCTGGAAACTCCTGGCTGTGGAATTAGAGCCACGGGAGATTCTGGGGCCACGATGTGCCTTCCAGGGGAGGAGTCTACACAGTCAGGAGAAGGCTGCCGAGAGAGTGAGGGCTTGGGGCTGCACGCACAGGTTAGCTTTTGTGCTCGCGTCCTATCTGAACCGGAACAAAGCTACTCACACCGATACCGCGGCAACTTCAGGGTCGACCCTGGGCAGTGGTTCTTCATGCCCTTGCGGACTTGTTCCGGGGGAAACCTCACACCCGAAAGAGCCACACACGGGCCGCCTCCATCGCTATTTGACAGCTTCCGCTTTCGGGCCTGGTGTTTCACGTAGCGCCATCCTTCCTTGGGAGGCTCTTGTAGCAGCCCCATTGCTTGAATTTGTCAATCCATTGTTACTTGCTAGGTTCGACTTAGCATTTCTTCGTGATTCTAGAGAGGCCTCTGCTGGGACAGGAAGTTTGACCTCCTTACCTAGGGGAGGATCCATGACGTTGCGCCATTTCTTGCATTACCAGCTTCAGTGACTTGCCCTCGAGCAGGTAGAGCCTCCATATTTCGTGCTGGTGGCGACCCCAGTCGCGTTCTTCTCCGGGCTCGAGGGGGGCATGGAGGTCTGGGGATCGGAAGGTGCTCAGTATTGGGGTTTATGTGAATTTCTTGGGTCTTGTGGCGACTGGAATTCGCTTGCCATTCCCGAATGCGGCCCGACTTTGGGCACCAGTGTGATTTGAGGCCACGTCGACCCGCCTCGTGATTGAGTCTTGTTCAACCCGACTCGAAATGCCCTCACAACCAACCATCTAATCACACAGCTGGAAATTGTTATCAACAACCCCAAGAGGCACCACCCTCATTTCCAACCAACACTATTTCTACAATTTGCTGCAAATGATACTAAACTCGGTGTGCAAGAGCAGGATATTACGTTTTGCAAATCGACGAAGTTGCCAATTGCAGGACTCTGCCCGCGGCAGCCGCGCAGTACGGAATCACACAGTTAACGTGTAGAACTAGTGATTGCCTCTACGGCACTATCTCTAAGAAACCCAGCAAACTGGGGGCTGGATGACTATCCTCATTTTTGGATACTAAACCTAGTGTAGATCGGCTTAGCCGCTACACAACTTTTCCCGGTTGACCAATACGATTAGAACCATGACTCGCCCAAGAATTACGACTCCGAAGGTTGTTCCATCGAAACAAGCGTGGCCAAAAGGGGCAGTTCTAACGGGATAGCCAACACTTGCCGCGATGATGGCGATGTGACCCGCCAGTCTACAAATGATGAAATCAAGCTCGTGCTCCTGGGGTGCTTTATTGAACCCGGGCTGCTATTTGTGTTTTGGAGAGTCTGGAAATACCCATAATTATGTGCAGGGTAGATGCTAGACGGAGAGCGTCTTCAAGCAGCAACCAATCAGTCCCTGTTCCTACGCCCTGTTCCAACACAAATGTTATGTTTGGGGTCCGGTATTCAAGTAAGAGTTACACCTCTTGAAAAAAATACTGGGATGCCTAGTTAGGTAATAAAGCAGCTTTTGGTCGAGGCTGGGCTGGCAAGACTGGGCTAGGACTAGTCTGGGCTGAGCAAATGCGGCGAGAGATCACGCTTTGGAGCTGGTCGATTCGGGAAGCGAGCTTCTTCGTTTTGAGCTCAGTAAACATCATTAGACCAGAAAGTGGGAAAAAGGGGGAAAGCCCCCTCGCTCTTCAAGTCTGACCTATCTCCACCCCCTCCACCCCCGCTCTCTGAGTACCAACCCTTTTCCAGGAGGGAACGGCATCTCTCGCTCACCCCAACCAACTCCTCCATCAGCATGACCTCTACCACTTCCTCATCCACGCATTTTTTCATCGGAGGTTCGTTTATGTGTAGGTCGATATTATGCAGGACCAGATTCTCCATGAAAAAGGTCGCGGCATTAAGGCTTACATAGGCGTGAAGCCTATGGTGGGAGAAGAGTTTGGCAAGTGAGAGGTGGCCCTCGCTATCTGGCTTGCCTCGAGAAGTTGCAAAACTATATGAGCATCGCCCGGCGACTCAAACTCGTTTAGCGATGCAAGTTGTTGAAATAGCCCCCGTTCGTCGAGGTTGGCAGTAAAGGTAGCCTTGGCGGACCTGCACCTATTGGCAGTTGTGGTGTGAATGAAACTTGCGGAACAGACGTCACGGTCCATCAAAGCCTCTCGGAGCTCGAATAGTCGGGGATGAGCAGCTATGGTTTCAGCTGAGGCGAGACCATTGTCGACAAAGGCCGTCAGCCCTTGTGGGCATACAGGAGTCCACAAGACGGACATTCGGCCGGGATTCGGCGTATATTGTTCATGAGAGGCGTAAGAGTCTCGACGTAGAACCGAAATGTTAATAAAGCATTAGATAAACCTGTCAAGCCTCCACCAGCGTGCCGACGTCTTGAACGCTGTCGGCATCGCTGTAAGTGTCACTCCAAAGTCGGCTCTTGCCTCAACTAGTTCTTTAGCAACAGAATGGTGTACTCTTCAACAATGCAAACAAATCAAATATGGGGTCCCTATTTGAGTTAATTTGAAGCCAACAAGTCATATTTTCATCCGAAAACCCCGTATTTGAGTTGATTTGCGTACCTGACTTGATTTGATTCAGGTCTGGAAAATATCAATCCGGCCCGGCAAAAACGGGAAACTTCATAGATTGTTGTCTGCGCGCAGTGGCTGTATATTCTGATCAAGGCCGGCATTCTTTCTACCGAATGCCTTGTGGGCTACCCCCGTCTATGTGAATTACTACTGGGTATAACGCGCTAGTCAGACATTAAAGACGACACACGGTTGATCGACATTGTTGCCGAGATTAAACTACCGGAGTCTTTTATCAAAAGCCCTGTCGACGGAAAAACTCTATTCTCTCACACAATATCCAGGCACTCGTGGGGCCCTTCTCTCGCCAAATCATTAATTCGGGCTGGATATCTCGTGAACGAGCTAGATATCACCGGAACCCTGCCAGTTATTAAGATTGTATCACAGCTAAAATCTATTGACGGCGAAGAGGGGCTAGAAGTTTTAGTGGAACTGGCTAAGCACGGCGTTGATTTTCACGCCACGGATCCACCCACTAAATTGCTTTCGGGAAGAAAAGACCGGGGCAAAATGAACTAGGTTCACTAGGCCGAGTTCAACCCCTTGGTCGCTGCCATCCGTCACAATCGAGTGGAAAAGTTCTAGCGAGCGAGAAATTGCAAGAGCTATGACACTCTCCATCTGGGGTTAATAATTAACAACTTCCCGCCTAGTCACTTGCTACTGTGGGCGCGTTATCTCCTGGAGGCATGTTTATGCAGCCACAACGGCGCAGTTGGGGCCATTGCGGAGAAAATAATTGGCAAACAATGGGATTCAGACCGTTGGGTTGACGGCAGGGGAGCAATCCTTGTCTTTATCTTGCAGGAGTATAGGGACCTCTGCTCCAAAAGCCTGTCGGACCTTGGAGGACACGAGCTGATCCGGAGACTCGTTATTTGTGTGGCTCTACTTCTTAAGTACGGCGCCGGTCTCCACAGGAAAGATGTAATCCGGGGCTGGGCGCTACATACGAGACGTCGTTACCGGTGGTGATGGGGCCTAGTGGTGCCACGAGATCCTAGATTCATTTACGAAACAAAACATGAGAACTCAGTCGGGCGTTCCTTGAATCGATCTGCACTACGAAAAATGGACCGACAGATACCCCAACTGAGTTAAGATATCAACTCCTTGTGGAAGGACACCGGAGTCTCTCGAGCTGTTGGGCTTGCCACCGAATTTTGGGACAGAAGATGGCTCGGACCCTTGGTGACGATTTGGCCTGCTAACTGTTTTATTGGTCAATATACCTCGCCCTTCTTCGCGCGATTTCCTGGATATCACGTAGGTAACTTCTAAATAGCTACAAAAGACGTCGATGTGCTCATCTGAACCGTCCATCTATGGCCAGGCCCACATCTGGACCTCAGCCGAGGCACGTGGTTCCACGTTGGCATCCCGAGTCCAGACAGACCATTGCCTTCCTCTATATATTCCGCCGTGGCCGAGATAGATAGCCTTCATTCAAGCAATACAGTCACCAGTTTCCCATCCAACGTTTTCATTAACGACATGAGACAAGTCATTGGAACGCCTTCTCAAAATTCGCGTAACCGTCATGGTTAAAAACCCACGTCTATTGTGAGATTTGGGACTGTAGAAGGGCGCATAGTCATGCAGTACTCGCCAGGTTACCTCGACCAGAGCCCCGATATAATGCTTCATGCATACTATGAAGTACGGAGTATACTCTTCTGGGGTGGACAATAATAAAGACATCAAGACTAGAACCATTTCTCGGTAGCAGTTCAGCAAACGGATCCCAAATATCACGGGTATCGAATGTCCACTATGTAAATATGCCCTGTTGTGATTCCTATTCCGTTTCCATGCCAAATGTGCGTGTCCGGCGCCTATAAACGCAGTGCCCGCTCCCCCTAAAGCCAATGCTGATATTACAATATTACATAAAATCCCACACCCTTGCGTGCGTCACCGGAATATGCGCCGTCCGCCCGTGCGTGTCGGGAACCTCTCCACGCCGTTCTGCTGGTTCTGGTGCCATAGGGCCTGCATGCCCACCCCTCCGCCCTCGAGGCTCTTCTTGTACCGTCGAATCGCCTCGCGGAGGTGGTCAGGGCGTAACGGACCCCGGCGATTGTCGGGTGCTAGGGCCTGCCCTCCTTCTCCCCCTCCTCCTCCTCCTCCTCCTTCTTCTCCTCCTCCTCCTCCTCTTCCTCCTCCTTCTCCTCCTCCTTCTCCTCCTCCTCCTTCTCCTCCTCTTCCTCCTCCTTCCACATCAGCATTGGGCGAGGTTCCAGTAGAGGGAGGCGGCGTGGGGAGGTCGGTCTGCTTCTCGCCTGTCTTCGCGATCCACTCGTCCTGAACTCGGCGCGCGATCTCGATGATGTCTCCGATGTAGACTTTAGAAACGGCCCGCATGCCAATCACAACGTTTTCTGTGACCGACTGCGAGATGGTCGCGTTGATGAGCTGAAGAGGAGATAGTTAGCAGAACAATATCGAGCAGTCTAGACACAAGCCAGGGGAGGACAGTGGTGGCGGATACTTACTCTTCGAACGCCCGCTTTACCAAGGTTTCCGGCGCGCCAGTTCTCGAAGCGGTTGAACTGATCGGGCGAAAAGGCGTTGATAAGCATGCCCCTCGCGCGATGTTCTTCCTCCTTCTGCTCCTTGGTGAGGGTATCAGCCGTCGCGGCGACCTCAGTAGGGCCGTCGTCGTCGCCTTCCCCTTCATCACCGCCGCCAGCACCGGCCGCCGCGCTCTTGCCACCCCGGCCGCCGCCGTCGCTAACCCCGGACATGGCCGTGGTGGCGCGACCGCCAACCGCCGAAGGCGTCTGCTCTCGCGCCTTGTCTGCTTTGGATTTGCGGCCGCGCTTCTTTTTAGGCGGGCCCGCGGCGCTGACCTGGCTGCCGCTGACGAGACTCATGGCGTCGAGGTCGACTGAGGGCGAGCGCGTGCCGTACGGAGTGCCGAGGTCATCGGGAGGGAATGATGTCTGTCGCAACGGGTGGGTGGAGTTCGCCGAGGCGACCGAAATGGCAGATGCCTTGCGGCGCTTGAGGGCCGGGGCCGCAGCGCCATCTGCGGTGCGTTTCTTATTCGTCATGACCAAGACATGTATTTTGAACCAACGGGCCAGAGTATGTCGTGGAACGCGCAGTCGGAGAGAAGGCCTACCGAGGCGAGGCCATGCATTCGTAGGCTGATGCGAAAGATCAAGAGCTGGGAATTATCGGGGCACGCACAACGACAGGCGCGATAGTAGGGAATGGCTCGGAACGGCCCGCAGAGGTAGATCGATCGTTGGGTTCTGTCTAGGAAAGCGCAGGTTGTGGTTGAGGTTGTGGTGGTTGAGGTTGTTCGTACGTCCAGCCTGCCTAACGGGCGAGATTCAAAATGCGCCGAAATGCCAGACTCCAAAGTTGAGGTGCTGTTTGACGCGGCTCAGGCCTAGAACCCTGCACGCCTTTGCTAGCCCCCTGGAACCCTAGACGGCAGCCACAAGCCACCGGCGGGCCCCGCCAAGCCCGATTGAGGAGATATGGGTTAGCCCACAAAGTAGAGAGTGACCTAGCTTGCCTGAACAAAAAAAAACGTAGGGATTATGCCTTAGTTTGCGCAGGCTTTACACCGACGATCGTTTGAACTGTAAGATGGAGAGAATAGATGTTAAATGTAACTGCCCTTCCATTACCTATGCTATTTAAATCGCGTCGCCGCGACCGCGTGTCTGCGTGTTCTGGAATTTCTTGACCAGCCTCACCCGACCGAATGGCCCTGCAACCCCGCGCACTGTCCCATGTCCGAACCCTTGACGTCAGGTCGATAAGATAAGCAGCCGACCGTTCTTGGCGATCCCCGATCCGGGGATTGCAAAGCGGCGTGAGAAAATTCGAATGCCGGGGAGCCGAGTTGCCTCCGAATGTCTCGCATTCATCTCACTATTGGCCCAGAAAACTCGCGACCTGTCTGTGAAACTGCTCAGCACCATAACAGCATCCCCCCAAACCCTGCTGGCGGCCATGGCACAGTCCGACACACTCCCCGACGCCGAGAGCCCCTCGGCCCCCTCGTCGGTTAATGGTGACAAGAAGAAGAGGAGCAGCAGCAAAATGGGCCGCGACAAGGACAGGAGTGCCTCCAAGAAGAGGGGCAATACCAGCGACCCCAACATGCTCGCCGTGAGCATGCCCACCGCCAATGGCGGCAATGCACACGCCGAGCGCCGGTCAAGCGTCAGCAAACCTGCGCGCGACTTCCGCGACATGCCCGAGCCGTCGCCCAAGAAGAAGAGAAAGAGGAAGACGGCCACGGCCCCCACCACCGCCGTAATCCCCGTCGTGACCGCCCCGACACCCACCACGCCCGACATTGAGTCCTCCACCCGATCGCCCAGCCCCGTCATCGACTTTGACGGCCTCAGCCGGCCCAGCCGCGGAACACGGGAGCGCCTCGAAGAGAGCGATGCGCAGAAGGAGGAGCGCCTGGCGCGCATGAAGGGCGCCGTCCGCACTCTGCTCGAGTGTGTCGGCGAGGACCCCGACCGCGAGGGCCTGCTTGCGACACCCGAGCGCTATGCCAAGGCCATGCTCTTCCTCACCAAAGGCTACCAGGAGAACGTGCGCGACATTGTCAACGGGGCGATTTTCCAAGAGGGCCACAACGAAATGGTCATTGTGAAGGACATTGAGGTCTTTAGGTAAGTGCGGAAAGTGTGCGCGCGGCATTTATATGCATACCTTGGATTTCTAGACACTGACCAAGACTTGCTATCTAGCATGTGCGAGCACCACCTGGTGCCATTCACGGGCAAGATGCACATCGGCTACATCCCGGCCAACGCGGTGATCGGCATCTCCAAGCTGCCGCGCATCGCCGAGCTGTTCGCGCGGCGCCTGCAAATCCAGGAGCGCCTGACTAAGGACGTGGCCAACGCCATCATGGACGTGCTGCAGCCGCAGGGCGTCGCCGTCGTCATGGAGTCGAGCCACCTGTGCATGGTCATGCGCGGCGTCGAGAAGACGAGCAGCAGCACCATCACCAGCTGCGTGCTTGGCTGCTTCGAGCGCAAGGAGAAGACCCGGAACGAGTTCCTGAGCCTGATTGGCGTCAACCGCCGGTGATGATTTTCACGGCGTGTTTCCCAATATCGTCCGAGCCAGCATAGTGCGCGCATAATTTCAACAACGGGAGGCAGAAAAGGGTGAAAGGCATGGAGGACAACCTTTCACCACTGCGACATCACTGACTGTGAGGCATTGTGTTTTTGTTCTGCTACAAGCCAAAAAAAAAATCTGCATGGATCTGGAGTCGGGGAGAGGCCATACACAACAAAAAAGAAGGGGGAGGGAGGCGGCACATCTGGGGCATTCAACCTATCATCACATTTTGGTCGGGATCTCAACATCGCATTTCAGGCAAAAGAGGTGTGCGGTAATATTGTCTGTATTTTGGGTTGGCTATCTGACTTTTTATTTTTGTTTTTTTACTTGGTGGCGTTTGAGTTGTTCGGAGCATTCAACACACGCATCAAACATCCACATGGGTGTGTTTCGGCGACTTGGTTTTTTGGTCTTGGTCCTGGTTTGGCACTTCATTCATCATGGATACGCGCTCACCCCCCGAGAGTTAAGTTTACAGCACTAGATACCTCTCAAATACCTAGATTTATGTTGCGGGCGTGCTCAGCTACCGCAACTAGTGCCGTGCTTTCTCTCTCGTTTTTTTGCTGCGTCAACATCATAATCTACAATACAACACCCCCTAACTAGCGCTATCTACACTAGACCCCTGAGGGCAATCTCGAAAAAGCGGTCTTGAGAACGGCAGGTATGGAAGCGACATCTAATATTTGTACACGAAAATCCTCAAACTCCGCCGTGATAGCATCATGATACCCTCCTCACGACATTGCCGACCTCCCCATTCTCGACCGCTTCTACCCTTGTCTTGACCACTCTCCACACCTCTTCCGCCACCTCCTCCACAGACGGACTCGCATCAATTACATGCAGGTCCTCTTCTTCTTGCCGGAACAGCTGCTCTGTGCCTGTCAGAGTCTCAGGGGTCGGCGGGCCCACGGCAACCGCAGCTTCCCCGGCGGCGGGCGCGCTGGGCCTGCCGCCCGCCGCCGAGCCGGCCACGGAGACGGGGACGGTGTTGATCTTGCCCATGCTGAGGCCCCAGAACAGCTCGCGCACGCGGCGCTGCATCTCGCCCTTCTCGTACACCTCGCCGCCCCAGCCGCCGCGGCCGCGCGCCTGCGCCTCGTCCAGGTCGAGGAACAGCACCAGGTCCGGCCGCGGCAGCCCAATCTCGGGCGCCCGCGCCCACGTCAGCGACAGTGCCGGGTTCTGCTTCGCCGCCGAGTACACGATCCCGCTGTGGTAGTACCGGTCGCAGAGCACCGTCACGCCCGAGTTGAGGAGCGCCACGATGGTTTTTCTGGGGGGTTGTGTAAGTTGCGATCACACCAACAGAGGTGCTCTGGGGGGGGAAGGTTGGGTTGACTTACGCGGCCTCCCACCTGTTCGCTGTGAAGAGCAGGTGTATGGCGTGGTCGTCCATTTCGACCTGGCTCTTGAGGTAGCCGTCGATCATCTGCCCGATTGGTGTTGTGCGATCTTGGTTGAGGCCCTTGCATTAGCACGCCTGTCTGTCTGTCTGTCTGTCTGTCTGTCTGCGTATGCGTCTTGTCCCCTTTCCATCTCTTCTTCGCCTGCTCCTGAACAACACCACGTTGCGAACGCCATTGGCCTGGCCCAAATATTCTGAGACATACCCGGAAACCGCATCACCTTAACCCTGCGCCCCAGCTCGACAAAGCGCTGCTCGAGGAGCTTAACCTGAGTGGTCTTGCCGCTGCGGTCGAGGCCCTCGAGCACTACCAATGCGCCGCGGACGACGGCGGCGCCCTCGCTGGGCGCTTCTCCTGCGGCAGCTGGCGACGGGCCAGACGAGGCTGTCGAGCTGGTGGTGTATGGAGGAGGCGCGAGCGCCGACACGGCTGAAGCGGCCGTGGCCAGGTCGTTGATCGACGCCATCCGATGGGCGATGCGCAGCGGCGGGCAAAAGACGGCGGGTGGGCCCAATTGACCTCGGGAGAGCTGTTTCAAAGTGGAATAGGGACGAAATACTGTAAATATGTTCCGACTGCGCCGCCGTACATGCAGGTTACTGTCATGTATGGTTCACTTTTCTTTCACTCGAGACGAGAGAGAGAGATCCGGCTTCAGCCTCGCGCGTTACCTACCGAGACACCCCACGCTACCCCAGGGAAGGTGGCATGACACTCTCCAGGTTCCAGGGGCGGCCGCGGGGTGCCAAGCCTGAGCCTTGGTGGGGCTCCAGGGGGCACTTCGACTTGATACCCCGCCAATCCCAAAGGTGGCTCGGATCGACGAACGGATCGAATCCGAGCACTCTACGCCTTTGTTTGCGAGTATTTAGATGATGTGCTATTGCTGTATTGTTTTTTCTGGAGACATTTTTCGGGATTGCAATTGCATCCCAGTTTTCTTCGGTTTTGGAGAACTAAATTTTCAACCCTCGTCAACGGGTAAGCGGCAGCCACTACCAGGTAGTCCAGTTATTCACAAGTTCTGGCTGATAAGCTTCCGGCTGGAGTCTCCTTTGCCTGCCACACCGTGACGCGATAGTTATCTTGTTGCCACCGTATTCCATGGTTATGCCTGGAGACGTGTCGAATGGAGGTGGTGTCCGGTTTCCTACATCAAGTCTTCATCAACGAGTGCCAGGAGTCGCGGAGAGATGTCCATGCATCGTCTTATCTTGGTCTTCATCTCGTATTCTGTCAGTGGAATTCAGAATCGTTAGTGCAGAGAAGAGGGTTAGGGTTGTTGACGAGCCGGGAAGACGATGCCAGCAACGATATCCTTTGGCTGGTGCAGCACGTCGCAGACCAAGGCGACTACCGAAACTGCTTTATCTGCAAGCCGAAGTCTGATGATACCTTCGTACTGATAGGAGAGCTTTTGCCATCGCCAAACCACGTTGGCAAAGCGCCCCTGGCCCTCGACCCGTCTCGAAAGCCGCAGCACCGCCTGAGACCTCGTCGAGCCAGGCGGGGTCGTCTAGGGGGTTTGGGGAGCGAGGCAGCCATATCCAATGGACTGGTCAAGTATGAGCGCAGACAGAGACGGGCGGGTTAAGGGCATTGAAACCAGTCCAAATGGCCGCATACGACACGACCGCATCTTTTCCAAGGCATTCTGTCCCAGAGATATTCGCGTGACTTTTCTGGTCTCCGCCCGAGTCGTTATTCTGGGATGCCACTCGGTATCGTCATTGAATTTGAGCTTCCGGGCGACCCCACAGAAAAAAATGAAAGCATTTCGTAGCGTGCAGAATCCTAGCGAAGGCAGGCAAGGCAAGGAAGGCACCACTCCAGCAGCAATTACTGAGCATCGAGGTTGCACTTGATTCGAATAGGCGGCTGTCAGTTGCCTTGAGGTAGAGCGACAAGGCTTTGCTCCATTTCGCTAGGAACATGCCCAGCATCGGAATGCACGAGCTTTTAGGGAAGGAGGGTCATAGCCGCATTTAATAAAACGCGACCTGAGATCATTTCGGAGCCGTTTCTCGCGTGGAAACACTAGAGTGGGGCTAGTGTTCAGGACCTCGACGCGGTGTGCTGGGCCGCAGGGAGGCACGACGTGATCATTCGTCCAAGCTCCTGAGGTCTTAGTGCCCCCGTCCGGTCAGAGCCCCACAAATCCTTCCCACACCGCGTCAGATGCGTCCACGACGCCGACTTGGTGCAGCGTTTTGTGGGCTGTGCGCCGTCGCTGATTTGCGGAGGCCCCAGCGTGCAGCTCGCGGGCAATGCAATCGACTTGCTAATCGCCTGCGTTCACCAAATCACCGCGCCTCGAGCTCGGGTTGCATGAGCGGAGGCTTCCCACAGCGTCCAGGGCCCACTGACCAGAGTCTTGGCACAGACTCGCCAGAGGCTTGCCCTTGCTTCCCCCGCTCGCGATCCCGTTCCCCCTTTTCCCATTGGAACGGGCCTTTCACGCGGACGGTTTTACCACGAAAAGGCACGTCGAGCAGCCCAATATAGACCTGCAGCTAATCCGGCGAGCTGTCTGGCGCCTGAGCGTGTGAGTGCCACTCGATCCATTCCACCGCGCCCACACTTGACTCTCCCTCGCCCATCCCATCCCCCACCTCTGTGTGGTCTGCCATCTCTGCCAGCCCAATCTCGGCCGATTTCCCGTCTGCCACTGCCCACTCCCCCATTTCCAACTGTCACTGCCGTCCTTCCACAGCATTGCCATCGACGGCGCTTCCTCAGACGCGGCCTCAGATTTCCGGCATGCGCTACACATGCTCGACGACTCTTACCTCGCAATCGACTCTCGCTGACTTTGTCTCGCCTCGCTGCTCGCTACCTAGCTCTGCCTGCAATTCGAGTGCTGTTCCCGCTACCCACCACAGTGCTACAGTACTACGCATTACGGGATCCGTACACGTCGAGCGCACCGGGCCTCGTCGGGAGCGACCGCCTCGTCAATCCGGCCCTCCAGCAGACCGCCCTGTGCAATAAGAATAGCGCACATCCTCGCACCAGCCGCTCTCTTGCCACCTCTCGTCTCTCTCCTCAATTCTCGCTACTCCTTATTCTGCAGACCGTGTCTGCAGTATCCTTTCGAAGCGAGAATCGTTCTGAGGCGTCAAGAAAATAAACAAGTCTGCTCAACTACTGGTCTGACTTCCGTGTCGTCCGTCCCTCTGGGAAGGTAGTTGGGCTCTTGGGTTCAACACACCGTACCCCACAGGGAGAAATTGGGCTGCCGAAGCCAAACAGCTGCTGGCTCTCTACACTCTTATCCTGCCTGCTGAAACTCTATCCTCTTCACTACCATGGCGACCTTGGCCCGTCAGCCGTTTGCTCCTCTTGACGGAGCTCGATTGCAAACACTCACGAGCCTTAAGAACCGCCAGAATGGTACGTTGCTGCTGGACCCTACTGCCTACCGTCTACATGCCAAATTATGTGCACACACAAATGTTATCCCAATATCTACCGCTATTCCCCCTAAGAACACAAGCTGTTTCCTTCTCCCCAGTCGGACTCCCTCAATACCAGTCCCAGCTCCCGCCGAATTGGCCGCCTTGCTAACTCGCCGCAGCTGTTTCGAGCGCTCCCGTCAAAAGGAAAGCCTCTGAGGTGTTGGACGCAGATGACTTTGAGAACGTCGACCCGAGCAACTTTTCAAAGCGGTCTAAGGGCGCTGGCGCCGCTAGCGCGTTCTCAAAGGACTTCTTCAAGCCGTCTTCGTTTGTTCTCACAAAAGCCACCTCGGCGCCAAGCCTACCTGTTGTAAAGGATGTTCACTCTAGCGCCCCCAGCAAGATCGCGCCAACCAGGCCGAGGAGCATGCTCCAGCCCAAATCTCCAGCTGCTCGGCTGAACACCAGCATTACTACTTCGTCATCTCTCACGGCTCCGGCCGGCCGTTCGCCGACTCGGGGCTCCAAGCGGATTGGCATCCTGTCTCGGCGCCGCACCCAGCGCGTGGACCCTCCGTCGTTTAGCCTTGGAGCGGTCCCGTTCTCGCTCGATGCTGCCCTCAAGGGCACCATCCCGAGCTACACGGGCAGCCACAGCAAAGCCAGCTCCGACTTGCTAGCTAAGCCAGAAATGAAGTCTTCGTGGTTCTTCGAGATCCACGAGGACACGCCTGAGCAGGAGATGACCAACTTGCTCCAGCACAGCACATGCACGCTTGACATCAGCAGCGACGAGGAGTCGGAGAAGCGGGCGCGCCGCGACAATGCCGAAGGCCGCGACAAGGAGAACATCCCTCCCAGCGACGACGTGAGCCAGACATCGGCGCGAGCCGCGCGAGCGACGGCTGCTGGGGCGGGCTTCGACGACATGATTGTCGAGAAACAGCGCGGGCCACTGGTCGAGATGAACGCTGCCGACTACTATGCTGATGGGTGCGACTACACGAGCGTTATCCTTGTCCCCGGCGACGACGAAGAAGCCGAGACCGTCGTCGATGAAACAGAGCAGGCTCCTCTCATCGAGGCCGATGCCGAAACCAAAGCCGGAGCCGAGGCCGAGGCTGAAGCTGCGGCGGAAGCTGAGCGGCTCAAGTACTTGCTCGCCGATGATACGTTTGAGTTTGCGCCCAAAGTCCAGCTCGCCGACCTGGAGGCCGTCAGCGTCGATGTCATTATGGGTAAGGACGATCCGGCGGCCAAGGCCGCTGTTCTGCAGCCAATTGATGGCACCGGTGAGAGTTTTGAGCTCTGGGAGAGCGGCAGCGCTAAGGATGAGGTGTCGCCGCCACCGTCGCCGGCTCCAATGGCGGCGGAAGATGTGCCTGAGGCGTTTTCTTGTTGAGTTGTGATGCATGTGATATGATTTTCCCCCGTACTTTTTAGGGCTGTCTGCTTTTGGGGGTTCTGGCTTCCTTGCTTTTTATACGTTTGTGCTCAGGATTTGCTTTGCGCTCGTAATACAAATACCCTGCCTACATTGGGGATCTGGGGAGGAAGAAATGACAATGGAGTTATGGGGGCAGTATCTTTGGGAATAACCTGACGATAAAATCTCTCAGTACACCCCACTGCACAATTAGTTCAGGTGCTTGTATGTTAATGAGGCCTCAAGTTTGTTCATTCTGATACGTACTTCAGCGGCATGAGAGAGTGAATGCCGAGTCTGGTGAGTTATGTACACGGTAATGGCTGGTTGATGCGCATGTGCCCTCGTGTTCCACCCATTCCACTTCCTCCTACTCATAAGTCCCCCCCGCTCTCTTCCTCTTCCTCCGCAACCGGGCTTTCCAGCGATCTGTCTTGAACCTTGGATCACTCGCAAAGGCTAAAGCTAGTGCATGAGTTGGAAACGTAGTTGAAGGTAAGCTCTCCTCTGGTGACATCGTTGCTATATACCGGTGTACTTCCGCATGAGTTGCAGCCGTGGTCGATGATCTACTGACTAAACATCTTGATCTCGGCACTAGTAAGCCAGACCGAGGGGAACAGGTTCTGCGTAAACGCGCAAAGGTTGCCAGAGACGCAGCCAATCTGCTGCTGGCTGGGGTTGTACTGCACGTTGTCGTTGAGACCTTGGAGCACACCAACAAGCTCGCGAGCTGATCTGCTGATTGGCTGCTACCTTGACAGTTGATGTCGACTCTGGCAACGCTGGCGAGAATGGTGGCCTAGAGACTTAGTTGCGAGAAGGTGACGAGCATCATGGTGGATGTGGATTTGATGTTGTGGCTGTTTGTTGTCGGGGATGAAGATGAAGATGTATGTGTGTGTTTGTGATGTGTGTTTGTGATGTGCTCAGCTTGTGATCGTCCATATCGTGCGAGCCGGTCCCCCTTTTATAGTTGAAGATACTATTACTTACCTCAACCCTTTCTCTTGTCCCTTCGCCTCCTCGTGATGCGCGTTAGACATTGCCCAAGCCCCTATTTCTCTCCCTTGACCTCTCCGTGATGCGCATTGGCGATCGTTCAAGGCTAGTCGTCTGGGTCCGGTTACCAAGCAAATTAATTACTAAGCTGCCCAGACCCGCAAGGGCTCTCACCCAGCTGGAGACGGGGTCAAGATTGTTGAGGCTTGCAACAGCGGCAGCGGCAGCGGCAGCGGCAGCGGCAGCGGCAGCGGCAGCGGCAGCGCCAACAAAGACTCGCCACTCCATTCGTGCATGAAAAGATGATTAGACTGCCTGGTTCTGTGAAACACGCAATGTGAGGCGGACATCTGTGAAGAGCCGAACACGGTAGAACTAGGCAGTAGCTGGTTGGATTGGTGGTGAACGGGGATCTCACTGGTTCTATATAAGTGGCCCACGGCCACCTTTTTCTTCAGTCTACAGATACATCAACAATCATCACTTGAACCACCTGTTTTTCGGCGTGCAGTTACGCCCTGTTGCTTCCAGTACAGGTACCTGGTGACTCCAACACTCACATTGCACACGAGAGAAGAAATGGATAATCGAGCGGCGTAGAGTTGGGTCGGTGTAGGCACCTAGGTAGACCAGTGTAGACACCTAGGTGAGGTAGGTACCTACCTACTTCTGCAAGCCTGCGAGCATCTGTCCATTTGAATCCGGCGTCTTTATGCTGTCGGCCGGCCAAATATCATGTCGTGTGTAAGCCAAGTGCAAGTTCAAGTTGAGAGGAGCTGGAGTCTAATAGACGCGCCCCCTTCTGTTGCGCTTTGCTCGGGAATATGTGGTCCTTGGCACTACTTACGGCTCTCAGGCTGTTTGCCACTACGCGAGGAAGAGGTCTGTCAGCAGTCAGCACTAGGGTAGGGCCAATGAGTACCCTTTTTTTTCTCCCACTTCAAGATTACCTATCAGTAGTTGTTTCATATAGATACCTACTCTCAAAGACTTGGAGTTTCAAACAAGAAGAAAATAAATAAGCATCTGACATGGTTGCAGTTTTGAGAACAATTATCCACCCCTCTGAGTCCCTGACTAAGGTGCCGCCTGCCTTGTCGGCTGCGGTCATGTGGGCCGGTTTTGGAGCTATTATGACGAGCAAGGCCATGTCTTTCTCTGACAGGCGGCTATGCTTCATACTAATCGTCATTGATTAAATACGAGATGCAAATAATATGATTTGCTGCGGTAGAGAGGCTCTGTGGATGTCTTCCAATGACCGGCTGGATGAATACGCGGAGTCGCGGAGCTGCTAGGCTTGAGACGATTTAATGGGATCAAGATGCAGGATGGGCGATATGTTTTGTGTTGTAATTATGGATCTATGGCTTTAATGCTGTCGATTGATGCTTGATTATGTGCAACTTGGAGCGCCAGCCGGACTTGCTTTCTCCTACCGCTTTTGTTCGGATGCTTCAAGAAGTTGAGAGAAAATTGAATATTCTAGCTTCTTGTCATAATCACGGTTGGTTGCACACGCCACGTGCTTGCAATTGGCTGGCGTGTCTAACTATTGATCAGGAGGTTGCAAGTTCAAGCCTTCCGGAGGAGCACAGCTTTAAGCTTTTTCTGGCCCGTGATCAAAGTTGACAGTGGCGTGAAGGGTCTTGAATTGTCTGTCTGAATCCAATCTCATAATACAGGAAAGAAGGCCTTTTATGCTTCCAATAAAAGGACAAAGGAAACCTGGTTCAACAGTCTGTTCAGTCGTACTACGTAAGGGACTCAGCCGTAGCAAGGGAGGAAAAAGAGGGCATTCGGAAGTCCAGGAGCTCGAAAAAAGGGATCAGGGCTGAAAGTAACGAATGAAGGGATATGCAGGGATGTGACTTGACAATGTGGCTCAAAAGTGTCTCAAAAGTGGGCGACACTTTTGTCTGTCTCAATTGACTTTTTGTTGTGTGACAGTCTCGTGGTTGTTCTATAACCCGTCGGCGATATGGCGAACAAGGACGTTTGCAATGACAATGTAATGGCATTGCTCAGCTATCGCGCCAAGACGGGCGGCGCGCACGGAGGTGCAGCGGATGGCGCCTTGAGCTCGCATTTCCGAGTCGTTCAGATGGCGACATGGCTCTATTTTGCTGGCGGCTGGTGGCAACCCGCCGGCAAGTGCAAACAACCCCCACAGGCTCTGCAGGCTCTGCAAGCTTCTAGAAGCCAGGGGAGGGGCGGATCGACGCCATCACTACCGGAGCTAGCCCGTTGCGGCAGTTGGCCGAGAAGCTGCCCATCGGGCGGTTGCATCTCAACGTCCAAGTCGAGCGACTCAGGCGGCTTCTGTGCCCGCGCCGATAAGCAAGCGCACGCAACCTCTTGGCGCGCGACAACGAGGCCACTCCGGTACCAGTACCTGCCCGATCCAGGGCCCGCCGTGCGCCTGTGCAGTGAGCCTCCTGCTGCTTTTGGAAACACGCGCCTGGGCATCGTCAGTGATTCGACTGCCTACCTGGCGGCAACTAGGGAATCAACCCTCTCAGTCTTTCTGCTTGCGAAGCGAGCAGCTGAAAGCGAGCGGAAAGATGGGTAAAAAAGCTGGGCATCATGAACACCAATACGATATTTAAGGGCCTGCCCAAGATGGCCGTGTCCTCTTGGTCTGCTCAGCTTTATTGTCCCCCTCAAGGCCCAAACAAGATAGAACAAGATGCGCATTCAAGCATTGGTTGCCTCGCTGGCCAGCTCGGCCTGTCTGGTTGCCGCCGTGCCTGCCACTGGAAAAGCGGCTGGCCTGCGGCTCATCAAGACGTCCCCGACTTCGCCGGGCAAGTGGGTTACCGACGAGGATAAAATCTCAAAGTACACGGCCAAGGGCATCAACTTTGTCGACATTACCGACATCACGGTAAGTTCAAGTCTACGCATGTTGCTAATCACTGTGATTGTGTCTCGAAGCTAAGCCCATGCCAGGACAATGAAGTGCTGTCTTCCCTCTCCACCCCTGACACGGGAGAGCCGGCCTTTTCGATCCAGGCCGTCACCTACCCGACGAGCGTGAGCCACCAGACGGTGGCCAACCCGCTGATTGCTCAGGTTTCTACCACCCAACCGAAGAGCTGGCTCACGACTCTCACCAAGTACGTGTCTCTTTTCTTTTTCACCACCGGGACACTATATAGCACCCATCCTTCTAACCAGTCTATACTCCGCCAGCTTCTACAACCGCTACTACAAGAGCACCTACGGAACGCAGGCCGGAACATGGTTGTTGAGCACAGTGACGAGCGTCGCGTCGGCGAACCCGGCCATCACTGTGTCCCAGTTCACCCACTCCGCCTTCAACCAACCGTCCATCATTGCCAAGATCCCCGGCAACACCACGAACATCGGTACGCCACCCCCTCCCCCTCCCCCTCCCCCTCCCCCTCTCCCTCTCCCTCCCTTTCTCCCTCTCCCTCTCCCTACTCCTCTCCCTCCCCCTCTCCCTCCCCCTCCCCCGTCTTCGCCAACTAACAATGTCCCAGTGGTCGTGTCAGCACACTACGACTCGACAGGCGGCTCATCGACAGCCCGCGGGCCAGGGGCCGACGACAACGGGTCGGGTGTGGTGGTGATCCTCGAGGCGCTGCGGGTTCTGGCCAACGCCAAGTTCAAGGGCAAAGACTCGCTCGAGTTCCATTTCTACGCGGGCGAGGAGGGCGGCCTGCTGGGCTCGGCGGCCGTTTGGGCCAACTACAAGGCCGCCGCCAAGTCCGTGTACGCCGTCGTCAACCAGGACATGGCCGGCTACTCGCCCAGCGGCAAGATCTCCATCTATACCGACTACGTCGACTCGGCCCTGACCGCGTACACTCGCATTGTGGCGTCCGCGTATACCGGCACCACGACCAGCGACGCCTGCGGCTACGGCTGCTCTGATCACGCCTCGGCGCGGTCGAATGGTTTCCGTGCGTTTCCTTCCCTCTCTCCCTACCTACCCCGTTCAAATCTGCTGGTTGGTATAATTGTGGTTCAAGGCACTGGAACTGACAGTTTGTGTCTGCAGCTGCGGCCTACGTCTGCGATGAAGTCATGAGCACCTCGGACCCGTACATCCACTCCTCGAGCGACGTGAGTTCTTTTTCCTCGCGCAAATCAAGACTCCGCCTGATCATTCGGCCTGGCTGACAATATTCGCAGGCATACTCAACCATCATGTGGGACGCGGTGCTCCGGCACGCCAAGTTCACCGTCGCGTTCCTTGTCGAGGCGTCGTACCTGTGAGGGGCATGGGGATGTGACGGGGTGGGAGCATATTTGGATGTTTTGGATGAGATCTCTTGGCTTGATATCAGACCGATATGGATATTGTGGCTACGTGTGGAAATGAGAAATGGATTACGATGAACATTCACAAATGTGACAGCTTTGGGTCTTGGTGCACAGTCCTCGCTCCTGTATGTTGCCAATGAACCCGAAAGCCTTGCATCACTGTGGTTGTGATGTTGCATCAATGCTGCCCGCGATCTTTTCAGTTTGGCCATTCCCCGTCCACATTGTCAATTCATCACACCACTGTCGCAAAATGACGATTCTTCTTATTGTTGATAACTACTATCTTGCCCAACCAACTGCTGAACCAAGACCAAAACTGCTCTCACACCCGGACCCAGAAACTGCCCGATAGTACCTGAACGCTGACTGCAAAGTTTGAGACATTTCCTACCCAGCCATACCGAATCCTTTCTTCCTGCTCCCTCCACAATTGGCGGCTGTCGTATCCTATCCTCTCTCCAAGTCGGTTTCAACGAGCAGCGTAATTGGAAGAAAGTGGGAGCTGAACCCCCTGAGCAGATGTGACAGGGTTAGGCGGCGGGTTGCTGGGGCGACCAAGAATCCGCGAACTGTGGCGGTGTTGCCGTTCGACGCTGGTATCTCCCCCCTCCCCCCCCCCAAAAAAATTGCTCCTATCTCTTCTCGTAATACTCACTAGAGGTGCTGCTGGAGGGGTTGCAATACTTTGCAGACTTTTCCCGCTCGAAACCGCGCTTCGCCAGGCTTCTGCAGGAGAGATAATCAGACAGTGAAGATCCTCGAGGCGGCGTCGTGTCGAGTTCGGGCACTGGGCCATTTGCGACGGCCTCGCGACTCCACACACGTCCTTCTAAACTGGCAGCAGGGTGTGCGTGGGGCAGTACTGATCCCAAAAGACATGCTTCCGGAGACTCAGCACCCTGTGGTTTGGCTGGCGGTAGTCGGCGCAGTGAATTAACATCCATTTGAATTGGCAGCCCTTTGGCATGCAGTGTCTGTAATGCCAGATGTCGTATTGGCACATGTTGCGTGGTTCTCTAAAAAAAAAAAAAAAGCGAGGTGGCTCCCGAAAATTTGCTGTCAATGTTTGGCGGCTAGTTCAGCTTGGTGGTGCGGACTCGACAAAGGCTGTCGATTGGGGAAACTGCCTTGTCAAGTACGGATAGAAGTGACGGAGCTGGGAAATGGCAAGCGCAGAACGGGAGAGACGGTCTTGCCTTAGGTAGGTACTTGCCCTGGAGGTTCCTTCCTCATTCTAGGTTGGGTTTGGTGCTCGATTATTTTGAACGTCGTGAATAGCCTCTCGCGGAGCATGAAACTATTAGTTTAGGATGATCAATTTTGAATCAAGTTTCAGGAACCACTAGAGTTATTTTATGAGGTTTTCTTCTCTAGGACAAATTGTGGTGGAGTATACTGTTTTGCCTTCCCGTAACGCTGATCACATTTTGAACTCCACCACCATATCTTCCATGGCTAGGCTAGCTGAAAGAAACATATATCACGTGCCCCTGACATGACACAGGGTTGGGGAACCTTCCATCCTAACCGATCAACTTGGGGAACAATGGTACAAGTCATGGTCAAGCTGTTTGCTGTATCAAACTTCTCTTTTACAAAGCTTGATGTGCTACAGCAATAGAAGGTTATGGCTAGACTCGATGGGGAGTCTGTGATAGGCAACGAATATGTCGGTTAGCATATCTAACATGAGACACCATTAGGAAGAACGAGAAAGGAAGCAAAAGCAGTGCCCTTGCTGACTTGTCACGAAAGGAAGCTTTGTTGATCTGCGTCTAAGGACACCAAGTGCCCCGCAATACCTCTCGGGAGAAGCAACGAAACGGTATTACAACGCCTAACGATTTGAAATCAGGAAAGCTGTAATGTGCAGTGAATAGTGAAGACCAAGAAAAAATTTACCGTCCCAGAAAAAGAAAAGGGGTGGGGGGAAGAACGGAAGGGGGGAGGGTTGCCAAAAACCAATCCCTTCCCAGACAGACCACTGACAAACGGGTTTCACAGCTTTAACCATCAACCTCCGAACTTGTAGCCGGGCATGACAAAGCTTCTCATTTTGGTGTGGTTTCGGCTGGGGTGCAAATTGAGTCATTCAGCCTCACCTTTTACCCGACGCCTTCTTCTTTCTCTCGAAGTACTCTTCCATGTAGTGATCAGTGATCCCTACATAGCTCGTTTGTCTCAACTTACCGGAGTAGTTGGACCCTGCAACCTGGTGTGTTGCAACGTATTACGTTCGGAAGAACCTCAACTTTGCATGGTCGATTTGGAACGAATGCGCGGCACCTATGATAAACAACTTCCCATTTTCGCACATCTTCCCTGCTGGTCAAATGTAAGGTAAGTGGCGGCTTTGGCGGCTCCGGCGGCTCTTGAATTGCCAACGTCTCCAGCTTCCAAGGCTTTTTGGAGCGTCTGGTGCCTTAAATTTGGCTTCCCGGCGGAGACTTGGATGTAGGTGGCAATAAAACTAGCGAAATATGACTTTATAGCAGCTTGTCAAGCACGAAAGTAATGTTGGGTTCCTAGTAAAAGAATTCAGAGACGAGAGAAACTCCTCGCAGGTATATATAGTTGACGCTCCTCCTCGGTTTATGTCACGGATCGACTAATTGTGCTCTCGTGGGCTGACCTCTTCTCCACGAGCGTGATACTGCCTGCTGGAATCTCATCTTCCAAATCGAATCTCGAGAGCAGGTATTATGACTTTCTTTCTCAAACGCGGATTCTGCGGGGAATTGTCGTTCGGTATGCTCGTGGGGATATCAGCGGCCAGGAACCAAAGCGCCGTCTCTCCTCTGCAACCAGCCCTGTTGGAGGAAGTCGTTTTAACTGCTTGCGAGACCTGACATCTGGTGGTTCACGAGAGGCTCGCTTCCCATGCCAGAGTGGCCCGGTCGAAACATGGTGGCTCGAGTCGCGGTGTAGGCATGACTTGAAATCGACCCATCTTGTTAGTTATCTACAACACACGAGCATTTGAGCGCTCCTCTAGACGCACGCCTCCACGAAATAAATGTACTCGTAAGCAGAGCGGAGCGGTCCATGGGATCAAGGCGTGGTAGATTTGTAGCAAACAAGCTCTAGCATCTGTCGGTCTGTGCAACGTTGGCCCTGTCGTCATTTCGTTTCACACGCCATCAGGAAATAGGCGCGCATGAATGTGGCTGGCCTTTGATTAGCCGAGCACCCCACGTAACGGTCTTCCGGGTCGAAATAGATTGAGCTGTCCCTGAAAGCTGGGAAGGGGGCTGCCAAGGGCTGGGGGCAAAATGCCGGTCCCAGTTGCCGGCGGTTGAGGCTACCAGCATTGCCTAGGGACGCAAGGGGCAGATGGGCGCCTATTGGTGCGATTTTGTACTTGGGTGTTGGACAACCCAGCCTCGACTGGATCCATGTTTATTAAGTCGTAAAAATGTATGAAGCCGAGAGGGAATTGGCGCCGATGAGGGGTTCGTGCGCGACGCCGCGTCATTTTGGCTTGGCCGGAGGATACCCGATCGAGTACGCTGCTTGGCTTTGGAGGTTGCTATTAATCAACTGCTCGTCTCTGCTCTCTACTCCATTGCATAGCTCTCTGCCTTGTCTTTACACAAACTTCAAAGCAGAAAATACCTGCAGTAATGCTCCAAATGAAGACTAAATCCATTATTATGGCTGTGTTTGTCGGTATTGCCAGCGCCTCTCCCACTCTCCTCCAGGAGCGCCAAGGCAGTGGCGCCGCTGTAAGTGTTCTGAGCGGCCTGGCTAGTTGACCATGGGTTCTATCACTGCAGCTAATACCGTGAGATCTAGGCCAGCGGCGATGGACCATACGGCGCGGTGGTAGGTCATTACAGATTGGTTTGAAGGGCAAAGAAAAGAAAGAAAAATAACACGCCGCCACAGGCAGTCTCAACCGACGCGGCTCTCGCCGATCACTCCATTTACATCCCCACGGCTAGTACTGGGACAACCAAGTGGCCCGTTATGGTATGGGGCAATGGCGGCTGCTCGAGCGACGGGGCCTCCAACGCTCGCTTCCTCGGTGCCGTGGCGTCGTACGGCTACCTCGTCATTGCGTCGGGCGCACCCGGCGGCCGCAGCCAGACTGCCGCAGCTATGATGACGGCCTCGATCGACTTCACCGTCAAGGTGGCGGGCACTGGCAGGTATGCCAACGTCGACGCTACCAAAATCATGGCCGCCGGGTTCTCGTGCGGCGGAGTCGAGGCCATGGCCATGAGCTGGGACCCGCGTGTCAAGACCATCGGCATCTTCTCGTCGGGCCTGCTGACCAACTACACGGCCGCCTCGACGTTCACCAAGCCCGTGGTCTTCATAATCGGCGGTTCTGGCGATGTTGCCTACCAAAATGTGAACATGATCTCATGTGTGAACTAGGCAAACACCGAGTCTTTGGCACTGATACGTTCCCAGGCTGAGCGCGACTTCAAGGCTCTCCCAGCGACCACACCGTCCTGGAAAGGCAACCTCCCGCTGGGCCACGGCGGAGACCTCTTCCAGCCCAACGGCGGCAAATTTGGCCGGGCTGGCATCGCCTGGCTGGAGTACGTGTTCAGGGGCAACGAGACTGCAAAGAGGTACTTTCTGGCCGATGGTTACAAGGTCGACGGATGGCAGGTTGAGACGCACGCGCTAGACCAGCTGAAGCCATTCATCTAGGATGAACCGTTCAGACAGGGCAACGCTTCTTCTTCTCCTGTAAAGAATTCTGTTGTGCTCTGTTGTGCACGAATTAGGTACCTAGCCAACACATTTTACAATATGAGAGAAAGGAATACAAGGCCATGCTAATTTCAGGATGTCTTTACTTTCTAGCATGTGAGCCTTGGGTCGCTGTTGATGCAGATCCACGCCAGTAAACATAAAAGCCAGCTAGACGAGGCTAGCCCAATTTAATTACATCTATGCATGTCCCGGCTGGGTCTAAGAGCCTCTTTGTCTGGTCTTCTCGATTATCTCGTGCGAACAAGAGTAGTCGAATAGACACACGCCATTTGCCCAGGCTTATTACTTGGGTTCGTGCTGCTCGCAATATTTATTTAGGTGAATGTGCCCTAGAAGCTCCATATGGTGATCTAGAGCGCGGAGATCAGAGCACTCCTCTATATCTCACCCAAACTCGCAGCCGCTTTTCCTCCACGCGCACTTGTCGAAATGCACAATGTAGTAGTCGCACATCTCTCTTGTGTGGGTAATTATCCCAAAAGAGGCGTTTCGAAAACGACGACTGAAATAAGATACTGTGGCTTTTTGACGCAGAATTCTCCCGCTATTGGGCCTTTTGGATGTCTGGTTCTTGATCTAGTCCGATACTGTGCCTATCTTTCTTCGTGACCGGTAATAGGAGAGGTATGCTGAGATAATTGTACTGTTAACTGTGTTCTCGATTGTGGAATTACCTGGGTTGGGCAGTGACAATCTACGGCGAGAAGAAGAGCATGGCTTTATATAACCATTCCGGTTTAATAGGCATATATCGTACTCATAGGCGTGATATTAACTGAGCCGCCATTCGGCCAAGTCCAAGAACGACTTTTAGTATCCGATGTGACTGACTGGTACCACGGAAACGCTATGCAACAAGCTAATTAGCTAATAAATAGGCACACTAACATGACCCAACGTTGAATGACATAGAGTTACCAAGTCAGGTATGAACACCTGCTTCTAGACCTAACCCCAGATATCCTGGGCGTGGTTTTAAGCGTGACCAAGCTAAAGCTGATGTTCACGTCTTTATGCAGCTGGGAGCTCGGATTCAATATGCCGGGCGGCACCGCCAGCCCTCAAGCGACGACCTCGTTGTGTGCGGTTAATTAATGGATGCCTGGATTAATAACCGGTGGGGCGCAGCACGGAAGTGTTTTCTCTGTAGAGACCCTTGCTTGCGGCGGGGAGTGAATGTCTCGAGTCTGGCCTGACCCCGATAGCTTCTCCCGCCTTTTGTTTGTGTCTCAAAACACGCACCATGAGACACAAAACTAGACAAAATCCGAGCGCACTGTTATAGCCATGGCGGTGGGAGTTTGCATCCTCGGCAGTGAGCATGCTGTCTATGGCGCTTGTTTTTGGAATTCTCTTTAAGGTCAACAACCAGCCCCTCGACAGCTGGCCTCTGCCCATGCAGCCCAGCTCATTGATCGCTGTCTGCATGACAGTGGCAAAGTCGGCAATGCTCATGTCTGCTGCATCCCGCATTGGCCAACTCAAGTGGCGATGTTTTGGTAAACGTTCCCGTCCTCCTCGCGACCTGCGGGACTTTGACGATGCGAGCCGAGGCCCCTGGGGTTCGCTAACTCTACTTTTACGGAAGCCTGACATGTCAATCATCACTGTTCTAGCGCTTACGTCGCTTTTGAGTCTCGGGATTGAGCCCAGTGCGCAACAGGTCATGGGGTTCGGCTCGAAAGAGGTTGAGCTTGGCAATGTAACGGCTTCAGTGGGGATATCAACAACATCCGCTTCGACCTCTTTTGGGGTAACAAATCTTACGTATCCCATTCCCATCTTGTTCCGAGTGGCTATGGGCGTGCTGGTCGGGTCTGTCTTACCTGACGACATGCGCTGCCCAGCACCAGCATCGACATGCCGCTGGCCTGATTACACTACACTGGCCATCTGCTCAGATCTCCGAGACGTTACAAAGCTGACGACATCCGAGTGCAAGACGGAGCCACACGCTACAGAAAGCGCCGGGACCATGTCGTGCACATTTCAGTCCCCCGGCATGAGGAACCTCACTTCTCCTTTGACCATGACCTTCAATAGCTCGACACCATCAATCCCGAACTCTGAAGACGTCGCTGCAACACCATCCATAATTTCAGCGACCGATACTAGAGCGGGCGGCGTCGATGCCGTGGCCATGAATCTGGCATCAGAAGAGGCCGACTTTACAACACAAATTCCGCCCCGGTTGGTGGCCGTGGTATCCGGGTCCCCCTACTAGTTTTCCCAGACCGTCCGCGGTCTTTCGGCCGCCTCTAACAAAGCATCATATACTTCCAAAGCGACCGAGCGACTATTTCAGGTCAGTCAGCCGCCCCAGAGTCAAGCGAGGTTCCTGCTGGGTCCTCAGACTTGCGCTACTACCAGGCGAACTCGACCAGTGCAACTATGTTTACCACTGACAATAACTCGGAGACGAACCTGTGGATGTTTCTGCAGTATTCCATGACAGTTAGCAGGGTTTCAGGAGAAAGAAACCCCGCCAATTTCCACTTCATCCACGACCCCATCCACGTCTTCGGCGACTGGGACGGGTTTGCCCAGAACATGGATGCCGCGCTCACCAACCTGATCAGCGGCGACAACGCCCAGGCCACGGCGCTGGCCGGAACAGCCTACGCCACTGTGCCAACCAGGGTGTTATTTTGGCAGTGGCTGTCTCTGCCGTTGGCCGAGACGCTGCTTGTCGCTGCCTTGCTGGGCGTCACCATCGCAGTCTCGCGCAACATGCCGCCGTAGAAGACCTCGATCCTGGTCCCGCTGTTCCACGGCTTGGAGGAGGGCTGGGCTGTCGAGGACGGGACTAGCAGTGGTCTGGATGGCGAAAAGGCTGCCAAACAAGATTTGGAGGGAACGCTAGAGTAAAAGGCGAGAGATCTGCATGTGAGGTTGCTAGTGAATGACCATAATGCCGAGAAGAGACTGGGTCGCCGAGGAAGGCCCTCATACTGTTTCGAACAAGGTAAATACTAATATTCTATCTACTTGACTCACCGCTTGAGTCATAGGGGCGGTTAATGTCTTCGTTTGTTTCTACTTTAGTCATTTCTTAGAAACCCGCTGTTTTCCCACCATGACCAACAGCGTACTTGTGCCTTTCCTTGTTATTTAAATGGTTGGATAAGAATAGGTACCTGCCTATTTGTTAGTCGCCTTCGTCATCAAGGCAAAAGCCACAATCCGGGATTTGTGGTATGGATGTGGGTTATGTTTGCCTAATACTAGGATGAACTCGACCACTCGAGCAATTTAAAACTATACTACGAGCCACGATGACGAACCTGGCCGTTTTCGGCAGACCCTGTAGCAACGAGACAAGATTTGGCAAGCAAAATTTCCAGTATGCTGATAGTGGCGTGAGCAAACCATCTAGGTACGTGGCAGGTGCTGTTTCAGAGAAAAGATAGTCAATACGCAATTTAACGGTATATTTGTTCAACGGTTAAATTTGTTCAGTGGTAATGTAATCGGGGAACTGATTCTTCGGCTCTGCGATGAAAAGGCCCAAACTTATAAATATAGCTGCGCTCTTATTCCTGCCCTACTATGAAGAAGCATCCTCTTAAGCATAGCATCAACTCCACCCCGGCCAAGCTAGCAAAACCTACGAAAAACCCTCCAAACTTCAACACTTAACAATAGCCCAAATCCAAGCAGCTCGTACTCCACTGATGCCCGAAAGGCCAGAGCATCTTGACAAGCAGAGAAAGAATGTGCATTGAACAGTGGGTACAATATAAGGAGTGTCTGCCCGAAGTCTGCACTGAAATCATCATCCTCAATCCATGCGACCACCAGAACCATAAGGGCCACCACAATACCATGAGTCGCATAGTTCAAATTCTTGATATCAAATGCTATAAGTATAGTCACCACTAGTGGAAAATGGGGTCACGGGTAGAGCGCGTGGTTTCTTTTCTAGTCTTGGCTACCTAAATAGAGATGTGAAGCCCGGCGTCCATACTCTGGACCCATTCTAGCAACCTGCATTGCGTTGCGTTCAACCACTCACGTTTATGTATGTACTGTACTACGCTTGGGAGGTCGCTCCTAAAGTAGAGAAAAGAAACCAAAACAGTATCGCTAGCGCTACTTCCCACAGATACTCAACGGCCAGTGAAACTAGTCCAAGTCAGCGACTAGTGTTTATCCATGCTAATCCGCTGCTGAAATCTAAAACCAAACCATTATCACGCCTTTGCTTGCTTAATTGGAAACCACCACCAAAGGAGTGCGACTAGACGGGGAATCTTGGATTCTTTCTATCGGTCACAGGATGCCAAGGGGGGATCCCTGATCGGATAGAAAGAAGGATAAAATAGAATTTAATAATTTCGCTAAATAGTAAAAATAAATAGTCAAACCAAGGCGTCGATATCGTGTAAGCAACTCAAGATCTAGATCCCCAGAAGCACAGCTAAGAGAATACATAAATCATAGTCAAATCCCTCTGCCGAGAGTCATAGTTCACGTGCCTAGACTAGCAAGTTACACCGTAAAAGGATCGCGCTACACTAGCGCTCGACGGCGTCAATCTCGCTGTCGTCCTTGCCGGTCGTGTCTAGGTCGGCCTCGAACTTGATCTGGATGTCCATGACCTGCCGGAGCTGGTGGTAGTCGAGTCGGTTGCCCTTGTAGTTGGCCAGGCTTTTGGCGGTGCGCACAATGTTCTTGATCTGGCGGCCGTTGAGGCGGGCCTCGGCCAGGCTGCGGCAGCTGGCCTCGCTGATGTCGGCGCCGCCCTCGATGCGGCCGAGGAAGTTCTTCCACACGCGGAACCGGCTCTCGGCCGGCAGTTCGTCGTACTTGAGCGGCACGTGGATGCGCGACTTGAAGGCCTCGTCAAACGTGCGCACGCGGTTCGTCGTCATGAACAGAATGCCCGAGTAGTACTCAAGCGTGCGCAGGAAGATGGACACGAGGCCGTTGCGGTCCATGTCGTGCAACGAGCGCCGCTCGAGGAAGACGTCAGCCTCGTCGATCAGTAGCACAGCGTTCCACGTCGACGCGAGGTCGAGCGTGCGGGCCAGCTGCTCGTCCAGCTCGCTCGGCGTGTTGCTCAGGTCGCCCGACGACACCATGTACAGGGGGCGGCGGCTGAACTCGGCGACGCACTCGGCCGTCAGCGTCTTGCCGACGCCGGGCGGGCCGTGCAGCACCAGAATCAGGCCCTGACCCTTGCCCTTGATGATGTCGTCAAAGTCCCTCGTGCCGGCGGCAGCTGCGGTGGCGCGCTGGATGTGCTCGGCCACGAGGGCCTGCACTAGCTCTTTCTGCTGGTTCGGCAGCACGAGCTGCTCGAAGCACTCGCTGTTCCACTCAATCTCGCGGATCTTGTCGACGGCAAACTCGAGGAACTTCTTCTCGCTGAAGGAGAAGCCGCGCACGAGGGGCGAGGCCATCAGGCATTGCTCGTCGGTTAGCGGGGCTAGAGTGGGCTTGGCTTTGGCCGCTCCGCCCTCGCTGACGAGATCCCAGTCCTCCGTTTCGAGCGCCAGGTTGCGCTTGGCCGAGTCGCTCTCTTCGTCGGAAGCGACGGGAAGCCTTGGGAATTCTTCGTCGAGATCAAAAGCCTCATCGGCCTCGATGCGATGGAAGGTATGCGTGTCGACCATGACCTGGCCGTTGATGTTGTACCTCGCGCCGGTGACGTCAAGAGCGATGCCCTTATACGCGCGGAGGTGCTGACCAGCAAGCGACTCCCACTTTCGGCCGCGCGCAGTCAAGGTCTCGGATACAGCCTCATGCCTGGGGTGCATTTGCAGCGGAATGGCAGAGAGGTTTGCAATTGACTTGACGCCGGGAAACTGGTCGACTTTGAAGGTATGTTGCCGGGTGCCAAAGTTCTCGCCGTCGAAATCGACAAATTGACCAGTCAACTCCATAGCGGGCGCGTCACCGCGGTCGTAGTTGTAACTATGAAGCTTGAAAACGCACGGCTGGCCCAGATTGCTGCTGAAGATCAAGGAACCAGGCTTGAAGATGGTCCAGAGGTTGACGTACGAGACCAAGCCCTGGCTACGCAGGTTGTTGCTGTCTCTGATGACATCCTCGAACTCTTCGTTAATGAAGTTGAGCAAGATGGGAAGGTGGGCGGCGCCGGCCGAGCCGGGCTCCTGGTCGGCAAGGGCGGCACGCAGCTCGTCGCGGTAGTGGAACAGAGAATGGCAGGGAAAGTCGACAGTGACCTGGTTGGTCCAGAAGTTCTGGCCCGGGTAGGACGAGCCAATGATTTTGGCGAGCAGGCCCTTAAGGACGAGCGAGTTGATGCGGAGCGTGGTGCGCTCGACGTGTTTGTTCTGCTGGTCGTAGTGACGGGTGACGCACAGGGCAAACTTCTCGTGCCAATTGATCTTGTTCGCAGGCAGCTCCTCGTCGTCCTTTGGCTCGGTAATGTACATGCGGCCCTTGGAGGTCCAGCGCTTCTCGAGATGCTTCAGCTCTAGCAGCATCGGGGTCTCGCTGTCCTCGAGCTGGGCGATGCGTTCCTTGTCCACGTCGGTCAGATGGGAGCTCATCTCCTTCTCCTCGGTCTCGTCTGGCGGCTGGCTGGGGTCGACGAACATCCTCGGCATGGGACGGCCAGACGGATGCATGGGTGGTGGATGCATGGGCACGACTGGGGGTCCGCCAAAGTACTGGGGAGTTATAATGCTCGCCATGACGACTGGGTGTTGTGGCGCTGCTTGGTGGGAAGGGTCGAGAGGCGCCAGGTCGGACGCTGTGGGAATTGGAACGAGGCAAGGACGGGACCAAGCAGTAATTGAAAGGCGAGAACAGAGATGGAGATGGATGTAATCCCGCAGTGTAGAATGCTCGGCGCCCTCCCTTTATAGCCGCCCCAGCGCTGCGCTCGACTGCAGAGTCCGAGCGGCCGCCGTGATCAAGCTTGAGGCGCGCTCCTTCAGCATCATCCTCCATTCATTCGCGCCCCACCGGCGGCAGCCTCGCGATGCACGCGTGCATTGGTTTGCTTGGTTGCTAGGCAAGGCAGCCGCTGTAGACCCCGCATCCGCGCATGTGCCAATGCACCATCGAGGAAGAGTCACGTTTCGTCGGATAATCGACCGCCGCAGCAGGTGCCGGAGGAAGCGGATGGCTAGGTTGTTCTTGCCCACATTTTTGAGCCTTGATGGGCTGATGAGATAGGGATTGGTTCCGCGCGGAAGGAGCTCACCGCATTTTTTGCACATTCCGCCCTGGTCGATGTTGCCTTCTGTTGTCTGCTCCTGCTGTTAAGTGAGCAAGTGCAGAAGGAGCACCCCACCCTTTTTCATCCCAAAGGAGTCCCAAGGTCTGGACTACTAGCCATTGGGCCCGGGCTTTCTGCAGGACCCCGCTCCGCTGGCAGCCATTACGAAGGCCAGCAGCGTGATTGCCATATCTGCCACTGATGGCTCGCCAAGGAAATAGGTAGTGCGGATGTTTCTGGTGATTCGCGGCTCCTGCCTGGCCGGGTACCTCAGCCAGATTGGCTGACGAACAGAGTTCCACTCTTCCACTCCCAGGTCGTCAGGAGGCAAGAGCAAGTCGCGTCAAGATAACAAAAGCAGCCAGAAGAAATGGTAAAATAATCGGGGAGGTAGAGCACATAAACTTGACAACGAACGTCACACAAGATGCAGCCGCTTTCGTGATGCGGTCCCAAATCCCGTCCCGTCTTTGGTATCGCACGTGAAGCCAGCGCCGGCAACAACTCAAATATGTTCAAATCAAACGATCAAATCTAGGCCGTATTATCAGTCAAATATACGATTTTTAAGGTCAAATCGGCTCAAATATGAAGCCCAAAATATTTAGACAGTGGTCAAATATTCCCATTGGCCAGGCCATTTTTAGGGCGGAGTTTTCGGATTTTCCTAGGTTCAGGGCGCTCTCTGCCTACGGCCAACCCTACATTTCCTTGCCCGCCCGGCATTTTCCTGGCCCGGGAAAATCTCTGCATGCCGTTGAAGCCGCAATGCAATTATTCCGACGTAAACAAACTGCCGAATTCTACCTTTCCGCCGAATCCTTCCATTCTTCAGCGATTTCCCTGCTTCCTTACGCCCGAATTACCGACAACATGCCTACCTCGACCGTTGAACCTACGACCTCTCCACAGGCCAAAAGCGAGCGTTTGACGCCACGAAGAGGCCATCGCGGCTCGCCGCGCAGTACAGCGAAGTGGTGGCGCATGACTTGAAAGACCCGAGAAGCATACAGGTCAAGGACTGGCCCACGATAAAAATAACACAGGGCATATACGTACCGGAGGCTTGGAGTGGAAAAAAGCCTTCTAGGTCGTCGTGGATCACCGAACACGGCCGTTGGCTTGCCCAGGTAGTCAACAAGGTAAACGACGAGGTTAGCGGGGTACGCAGAGACATAGCATGGTTGACGATACCTTCAACAACACCACGTGTTTGAAGAATCGGATACGAAAATGACCTTTCCCGGGCTTCAGGGCTTTTTTCCCACCTCAGGGGACCATTTTGATGACTTTTTACCTAATTTTGGTGGAGCGGAAGATGCCGTTAAACATCGTCAAATGAGACGCACTCAATCAAATCGAGCCTGGAGCCAGTCAAATATCCGGTTTTTGAGGTCAAATCCAAACAAATATAGCCTCATGTTTGAATCGTTTGATTTGTTGCCAGCGCTGCGTGAAGCGACCAGCCCCAATCCGCCCGTACGCGAACGTCAGCAAAGCTGCCAGGATAGGTTCGACGATCACGAAGGCCTTGGCGTGGTGCCCCTAGTCGTAGGTCACTTGTTCCAGGAGCAGAAAGGCAACACCCGCCGCCCGCAGCGCCGCCGCACCCTTCTCCGGGGCGTCAAACACGTACCAAGCCACGATTTGGAGCTCGGGTGTCGCCGCATCGGGATGACCGGGGTTTCTAATCTCGAGAGTGAAGTGCTGCATGGTGATGCTACGACCTGGAAGATTTTTTGACACTTCTGTATTAGTGTAGACAGGGGTGATGCGCGAGAGCCAGGACTACGAAGGGAGCGACGATAGGGTACCCGCATGAAATTTATTTTTCGACTCCAGGGCGCGGCTCGGTGATCTCCTCCAGAAGACGTCGAGTATCAGAGACCGCTGCCACATGCCTAAGATGGGTGTATCGCCAGTGGCGGCTTGATAGTGCTGCACGAGACCGGCCAGCGCGGGCAGTCGGCCACTCCAGAAGGTGAATTTGTGCCGCGAGAAGTTGGCCATCCAGTTCGACCATATCCGGGGGGGTTCTTCCAGCTGTTCCGAATCCGTGTCCTCGTGCAAGCGGGATTTGGCCTCCTGAGGCCTGTCCGTTTCTTTTGGAAGCGCACTAGGCGCGGGAGGTTGCAGATGACGGCGGGGATCCGCAGAAACTCGGCGCCGCACTCAGTTCGGTACGTCCCCGCACATTGCCAGTGCAACTCCGAGCCCATGCAGTACACGATCCGTGGCGCGAGCAGCTGCCCATGCAGTACACGATCCGTGGTGCGAGCAGCTGCCCCTGCAGCGCCCAGCCTCTCTTGCTGAGCTCTGTGCGCTGCGGTGCATGAATGGTGTTCGTCGGTATCATTCTCACGAGCGTTGTTGGCAATGATCCGCCGGAATCTGGCCCCTGCTGAGAATCGCCATAGCTGTGTTGGGGGCCAACAGTAAAGAAGCCAACATGGCTGTCACCCTCGTCGTCATCATCAAGCTCTCCCGTACCCCGCCATTCGAGCTCCGACGTGGCTGCACAAAGCACCCGTCGCTGCTCCCGGAGGTGTCCGAAGCCGCAATGGTCATGACGCTCCCGGCGTAGACGTCGTCTGAATGCTGTCTCTTTTCGAGACCAGCAATTTCAGTCCAGCGGCGACGCACCCAGTCGCAGAGGTAGCAGCCTGCCGCGCGCCCGAGGAAAGAAGGGACGGCATTGCTTTGTCACTAACTTGCCGTGGGTGGAGTTTGCTTCTTCACGGTCTTGGAGCGGAAACCATTTCGCGCAGTCTTGGCACAGCGGTAGTGAGCAAGAGCAGGGCTGAACAAGAGCAGGGCTGAATAAGAGCAGGGCTGAACAAGAGCGGGGCTGCTCATGAACTGGCCCGTGGGCATTTTCTGCGCCGCATGATGCGGGGGTTGGTGCCTTGGAGTTGGACCACGGGAGCCTGAGGCTGGCCCATTCCCGTTCGAATCTGCTTCCAATCAATCCTCCTCAGATATACATCTATATTGCATCATTAAGTCCTGGACGTGAATAGTCTTCTTTCTCTCACTCGACCCAGCGCGCCTTCATCCTGCACGACCATCAAACGTCTCTCAAGTTACTGTCCATAACTACCCCCTGTTCCTCACGTCAGCCCACAGTCGCAGTCCAAGCTACCTTATTTACAAGACATCGAGCTCCCAGTGTCGATCCAGGAGTCCCTCTGGTCTTTAGTCAGCCAGTGATTACATGCATATATCCCCAGACCCCTAAATGCGTATATCACTTTGGTCTGGCCGTATGGAATGTTTCATCGCGTGTCGAATCCGCAGCAGCCTAGGCCCGATTTAGCCGAAGCTTGTTGGAGAGTCGGCGGCCCAGGGGGCGTCGAGTCGTTGGCTTTGCGAATGCTTGGCGCCGCTCCCCACCAACTCGAGATAAAGCCCCCTCGAGTCTCCAACAAGCCTCCTCGAGTCTCCAACAAGTCCCAAAGTGTGTGCTTACTGAGCGCCACTCGCACCACAACCCAACACAGACAACGAGCTAACATGGCGCCCGTCAAAAGATCGCCAGCATCCAGTCTGCGCGGACACTCGCGGTCCGACTCGTCCTCGCCTTACCGCGGACAGCACAAAGCCGACCCCCCCACCATGGCCGACAAGAACCGGCTGCTCTCGCAGAAGCAAGTGCCGTCGTGGTACAGCGAGCCCTTCATCCACGGCGGCTACCGGCCCATCACCGAATCGGCGGCCTTCTGCCTGCGCAGCCTGACGTACCTGCACAACGAGACGGTCAACATCTTCTCGCACCTCGTGCCGGCCGCTGTGGCCCTGGCCCTGGCCAGCCTGGTGCCGTGGTACTTTGGAGCCCAGTTCCCGCGCGCCGCCGCCGCCGACCGTCTTGTTTTCCAGCTGTATCTGCTCGGCTCCGTGTGCTGCTTCGCCGCCTCGGCCCTCTTCCACACCCTCCTCTGCCACTCGGAGCGCTACCGCGACCTCTGGGTGCGCGTGGATTATGCGGCTATCCTCGCCCAGACTCTCGGGTGCTTTGTCTCGGGGATTTACTTCAGTTTCTATTGCGAGCCGCATCTGCAGCGCCTGTACTGGGCCATGGTGAGTGCCTGAGGAATTACTTGATTAATTACTTGATTGATTACTTGATGAATTACTTGATGAATTACTTGATTGATTACTTGATCAATTACTTGATTAATTACTTGATTAATTACAGTCAATTTCCCTGCCCCCCCAGCTTGAGACCGAGATGTTGACTTGACCCAGATCGGGACGTTGACGTCGATGTCGGCCTTCGTCGTCCTGAACCCTCGGTTCCAGAGCAGGGAGTGGCGCCCGCTGCGCGTCGGCAGCTTCGTGGCCACGGGCCTGTCGGCGTTCGCGCCCATCACCCACGCCGCCGTCATCTTCCCCTACGCCCAGCTCGACCAGCAGGCCGGCCTGCGCTACTACTACCTCGAGGGCGTGCTGCTGCTCATCGGCACATTCCACTACATGGTGAGTAGCTACTTACCTATTCCGGGTTTCGGTGTAGTGCTTTTCGAGACAGTAATTAGTAGCTGACTTTGCGGTCCCTGTCCCAGTCCCACCTGCCCGAGGCGTGGCGGCCGGGCGCGTTCGACATCTGGGGGTCGTCGCACCAGGTGTTCCACGTGCTGGTCGTGCTGTCGGCCCTGGCCCACCTGTGCGGCATTCTGTCGGCGTTTCGCTGGAACTATGAGAACCCGCGATGCCCGAGCCCGCATGTTGTCTGGGGGCTGGGGGGTTTTTGATTTTCTTTGCGAGAGTCGTGTTGGTTAATTATTAGAATCGAGAGTCTTACTATGCGGGACGGCGAGGTGGGATTCATATGGTGGGTAATAATTAGACGCGTAATCACATGTCTACCTACCTAGGTAGGGGGACCGGTGGGTTAAATATTGGAGGGGGCGTATTAATGGGGATTGCACTGAAGAGAGCATTCAGCGACGAGTGTCTAGCATTGATACTTCAATCGAGACAGTGTGGGGGGTAATAAGGGGCTAGTCTTGTATCTGAGTACTATAATCAATGGTCGTTGTAATAACACTCCCCCTGGCCATATTGACTCTGAGGTTTGCAGCGACTGAGTGAATGGTATCCTGCCGTTGTCGAGAACTTCAGCAACCCCTCCGTCTCGTCCGCTTGGCCGTCAGCCCCGGGGAGTTCGGCGCCTCGTCTTCGAGCAACTTCGTATCCGTGTCAGGGGCCTTCTTCCGCTTCTTGATCAAAAGAGGACTATTGGACGGACGGCTGGTGCTTGGCTTCACGGGTTCCTTGTTTTCTGGCTCGACATTTTCTGGCTCGACATTGGCTGGCTGGACATTTGCTGGCTCGACATTTGCTGGCTTGATACCTTCCGGCCCAATGGCTGCTGTGTCCAAATCTGGGGAGCGCCTGCTTGATGCAGATAACCTTCTGCCCCAGTCCACGCCGGCAACCGCCTCTCCGTCTCCCTCTAGCCCCTCGGCGGCTTGGTCGGCGGCTTGGTCGGCGTGCCTGCCCGTGGCCAGCAAGGTCTGGGAGCGGTCCAGGCGAGCCGTGGCCGGGCGCCTCCACCTGACAACGGGCAGCCCGGGTCGAGGCACACATCCGGGTGCTACACCCACTTGTCCGGGCTGCCGACGAGGCCGGCCTCGTCTAGCAGCTGTAGCAGCTGCAGCGGCCGCGGCGGCTGGTATGACGGGTCGCGCGTGATGATCTCGTGCAGCGTCAGCACGAGGCCCTTGGCGTCATTGCGCCCGGCCAGCTCGCCTCTGAAGCGCTGCCGGCCGAAACCGCGCATCTGGGCGCCCATCTTGCCGGCCACGCTGAAGTCGTAGTACAGCAGCACGTCGTTGGTCGCGGCGTCGGCCAGCAGATTGCGCGGTGCCACGTCGTGGCGGGCGATACCGTGCGTGAAGTTGAGGTCGCCGAAGGCGCGCATGAGCTGGCGCAGGTACTTGAGCTTAAAGCAGCGCGACTGGTCGTCGTCGTACACGTCCATGGCCCGCTCGCCAGGAAGCCCATAAGTTGACGGACCGTCGCAGAAGAATCTGATTTCAGGGGGGATCATGGTTTCATGCTGGCCATTACCGCGAGTAGGGTAACTAATCAGAGGCAGCTCAGTGTAAAAGTCGGGATAGACGCAAAATGAAAGAATTCTTTGACCGAGGTGGTCGCGCTGTCACATGTGCTTCCTTTGGCAGTACCTGATTAACACTGAGGCTTCGGTTATGCCAATCAGGGACTTCGTTTTCATTCTCAGCTGCTGTAGGGCCAGATACTAGATCGATATGAGATGACTGCGGTTATTGGGGTAACTGGTAACTAGAACAGCAGGAGAGAAGTCAGCGATAGTGAGCGTATCGGACGATGAGAGGGGAGGGAAGTAGGCTTTTATCTCATCCTTGGGTGCGGGCCTGCATTCTAAGCCTAAACACTAAACCTCGCTTTTCTTTATTTCCTAAGTCGCACTGTTCAAATCACTACTTTCACTTGTATGGTGCCAGTTGGTTCATCATCGTACTGGTGACGATTGCGGTTGTCCGGCCATGGGCTACGGAAGGAAGGGTGGATATGGAGTTATGGGATTTTATTTTTCCATGATGGGTGCAAGGCCGACACTTACCGCCAAGCCACTACTATGGTACCATCAGGCCCAACCCGAATCACGGGCCTATGCTGGAGATGTGGCGTGGGACAGTGGCAATTCCTGCACTTGGGGCGATAGAGTTCAACGTGAGCCGGCTATTCCGATGCTACAAAACTGCAGAGATGTGGCAGCAACCAAACTCTTCACCTTCTCATCAGTCTAGCACTCTTCTCCAGGAGCAGTCGACCTTGCGCCAACAGACAGGCAAACCGCCACAATGGCGAGCTACATTCCCACGAGGGCCTTCTCGGTGAGAATGCGTCCCGTTCTCAGCCAAAGGCCCAAGCCGTCCACGACTACCAGACTGACATGATTACCATTGCCGCGTGGTAGGAAACAGTCTACTGCCTGCAGCACGTAGTCGACAACGCGGGGTTGCTATATTCAGGCGACGGCAAGCTCCGCGACGTTGACGAAAAGCTCGTAGACTTTTACCTGCGCAAGCTCGAAGCCTTCCCCTTGGTGCACGCCGGCATGATCTGGCGGACCCACGCCATGGGCGTCCTCAAGTCTGTTCCCCCCAGCGAGCGAGAATACGCCATCAACAAGCCAGACTACCAGTCCCATGCCCGGGCCCGCCTCCTCCTAGAGACGTACCAAGAGATTCTCGACGAAAAAGCCGCCGTCGCCGCCAACGCCGTCGCCAGCAAACCCCTGGCTTCCAAAGACAGCAGAACCGCGGGCGCTGCCTCCTCGGCGGCCGAGGAGTCGACTGCTCGCGCTGCTTGGGCTACACGGGGGCCGGCCGTGGCCAGCGACAATGGCGGGTGCACGCTGCAGTACTCGTCGACGGGGTCCGGGCCAGCGGCGGACTGGGTGTGGGTGGAGAGCAAGCCGACGCACCCCACGCGCTCCATGCCGTGCCGGCCGGGCTGCGACGCCGACGCGTTCCCCCGGCTGGCCTCCTTTGCCACGCCGACCGAGGTGGGAGAGTTCTTCGAGGTCGTGGCTACGAATGGGCGCATGGATTGAGAGCCGCGTGTTCTGGAAAAGGAAATTTGGGGTTTGACTGGGCGGGAGACACTGGCGCGCTGACGAGCGTGCGTGTCGGGTGTTATTAGGTAGGGAGTGTGAGTCTTTGTGTCGGCGAAGGGAACCAGGGCCGAGTCGACAATGGCCCAGAAAGATAAGCAAACAAAAGAACACACGGTCCAATCAAGCTTCATCAAAGCCGTGAAGGCGTGAAATATTTACTAGATGAAGAGAAAAAAGTTGAAATGCAAGGTCAAAAGGGATGAGCAAGCAAACCTTGCTAGTTCCTCTGATTTGAAGTTTGTTGCAAGCGGACCAGCTGCCGACAAGAGCTCCTTGAACCCCTTTCCCCATGCAGCACCCCAAAAACCAAAGCCTAAATCATGTCGATGACATATCTGCCGCAGCCGGCCCCAGACGGGCACCGAGTCCGCGCTCACAAATGGCACGGTCCAAAGCGAGTTCCACGGGAAGTCGGCCTTCCACGGTCCGGGATCCCCGCGCCAAACTGCTCGCTGGCCATCTCCTCGCGGCACTCCCAGAACAGCTGCGATGCCGCCCCACTGGTAGGTCAGGGCTGCGTAGGGGTATGAGGTTTTGGTGTTTTGCTCGGGCGGGTGTGAATTAGATATCTACCTCGCCAATAGTAATGTAAGGAAAAGGACACTCACCTCGCCAGCCACCTGTCAACGCGCACTCCCTTACACGGGTTGACCGGCTGGCACCAACGGGCCAGATCACTGCCGGCTGGCATGAGCCACTAAGCCCATACCGGGCGCCTTGTGTCACAAGCACATTCGGGACCCAGCCCCTGAGCATGTATATAAACAATGGCCCTCGACCTCTCCTTTGCGAGGGCCAGGTTGAAGTCTTACGCCAATACCAGTCATTGCTCACCTTTCTGTTGTCTTCACTGTGACCACCTTGATCAGGCGTACCTGCCTTCTCTTACAATTAATAGCTTTCAAAACGGAGGCCCAAAAATAGTCCTAATAGCTCAGCGTATTCACCCCCCTGATGCGGTAAAACCGAAAGCGATGCAAAAAAGATGTAAAAGTGATGATTCGTTTAAGCTTGGTGGGCGCGGGGCATTTCCCAAAGGTTGGAAACCCCAGACCCCACTAATGTCACGTGCTAACATGGCCCGTGCCCTAGCGTGGGTCTAACCCGATGCGTCCGGCTAGCGCCAAACGCCATCAGTGGGGCTCCCACCAGCGCTTCTACGAAATGAAACTATTTACATTTTTTTGTGCATCACCCCCGTTTTAAAAGTTTTATAATCTCATCCTGTACTTAATGCTATTCTTCTCTAGTAACGCAATCTACCACCTAGCGAGCCACACCACCTTGGCGAGCCAAATTCCCCACTTCCCCGGCCCCCCTAACTTACAACAAAATATCCCCACCAACAACTACTTATTCTTACAAACTCGAGCGTTGTGATCCAGGGCAGCACAAATACTACACTTTGGAGGGGCTCGACGGCGTTTTTGGCCATTCTGGCCGCCTTGGGCTCGCATAGGAGCCTCTGCACCACCTTAGTCAACACTACTACCTCGGGCCGGCCTACCACCCTCTGTACTGCCCGAGCCAGCTGTACTATCTTGACCGGCCTGGCTGGCTTGGCTATCGAGGTGGCTAATCTTAGCCAGACCCTCTGCAATAGTAAGGGTACCTCCTTTGGTTATATATCGTCGGTGTTGCTTCCTCTGCTTCCTCCGTTGGTTTTCTTCTCGCAAGATTCGATTCTGAGAGGCCTAGTGGTCGGGCTTGTATATATAAAATAAGAAAATCGAGTTTATCAATATAGTTAACCCCAGCAAAGAGTTTTTGTTGTACTAAGCTGCCGTAGACTGATTTGAGTGGTGAAAACAGGCAGCGTCGAGTGGTTGGCATAGGTGAGAGGAGTGTGGTGGCATTTGCATGACAATAATCTTATTATCTCGACAATTTTGGTCAAAGGCTGGGGCGACGTGACTGCCATGACCATCAAGAATTAGAAGTCGGTATTGGCCTACAGCTCGCCGTCGAGTATTTGGATCAAAGATTTTGGTTAACCACTCAAAGCAGTGATCATCATCAGTCCAACCCTTCTTACTAACTCCAATTGACCAATCGCTCGGCGCACCGCAAGAGTACCACTCAACTTGATGAACTTTGCCGGGTAGGATAATTTTAGGTGGTAAGGCCCATCCTTTACAATTGACAGCCTCGATGACTGTTGCCCACTCCCGATTTCCTGGCTGGGCCACCATTGGCCGACCTTTGCGGTCAGCCCGGGTAAGTACTTTTGCTGTACGGGCTACGCCAAGTTGGAACCCAGTTTCATCGAAATTGTAGATATCCTCGTCTACAATGCCATACTTTTGTATAGCCTTCTTGACTCGCTCAAACCACTGCCCAAGAAGTACTGGGTCTTCACACTGGGCACGTCGGTAGTCGTAACAGCGAGAATACCGGGGCTTGATCGCATCGTAGCGTTCGATGAATCGTTGGGTCCAGGTCGGGCCTACCGGCTTTCCACCACGACTTGCCAGCAATAAATTGGCCATACGGCGTGTATAGTCGATTGCCGGGGACATACCACGCTCGTCCATTGATAGGATCCACTATACTAGAGCAGTCTCCTCGGCTACCGATAGCTTTCGGTTATTGACTTGTGTATTGTACCGAGGTCGTGTACCACGTAGCCGCGCAGACAATGTCTGGTGGGGGTACATTGTAGACCGTTGCAGCCTGTCGCATCGACTTGCACTGGCTCTGTTGGTAAGCCTTGACGGCTAATTGAACCCTTTGGGGGGTATTAAGCAATTGGTTGTCTTCGGTCATTGCTGCAGCTGTGGTGATAGGCACGCGTGCGGGTCGTGTTTTGGTGGAGAATTTTGGCTCGCCAAGGTGGTGTGGCTCGCTAGATGGTAGATTACGTTACGGGAAATAAGAGGTAGCTCGTTCGGCCCTACTATCTACCGCGCGACTATTCTCTCTTATATCCCTTATATCCCTACCTCATTATCACTAGCCAAGCCTTCTATATTTCTTATATACCTTATTACTATTATTTTACGTAGTACTTTAATTTATACCATACGTACTTGTATAATACCGAGGAGTACGGAACATGGGGGGCCAAAAGTCTTCGTCACATTCCTTACGTAAGCTCCTAGGCCCACAGTACCAAAAAACCCACATAATCACCACCAGTAAACTACCCTGTAAGGTCCGCTAGGTTGACTTACCTTCCTCAACACACGAATTTTATCGCCAATTCAAACCAACCTGCAAACTGAAAATCAAGCCGCATATGCATAAGAAACTTCGGCGCATTCGAATAAAGCTATTTACATCATTTTTTGACGACTTGCGGTATTCTAAATTGAACCGCCGTAATTCGGTCTCCGCTTTCCACTGAGCATAGTCTTCGGCTTCATGCTTTTCGTTATAGGCATCCATCATATCCTTATACTTTTGCTTCATCTTTGCTGATTCCTTTGGCCAACAGTAATAAGGACCTCTCTTCTCCCAGGTAAAGCAGGCCCAAAACATAAAGGCCATAAAGCCTTTCCAACGACGGTAGATGCAACTGTGGAAGTTCTTTTCCCACACACGGCGCCAAATCCTTCCTCCTTTTTCCACGCGTTGCACCGAGTACAACAGAGGTCTCGTCGCTCCATGCTACTTTCTTCCAGTCTTCGAGGGTCCAGTTACGAACCCGCATGGCGAATTCAGGCCTTTTTATCTTTTGGGCTTTGTTCAGGCCGGGCTTCATTGTGGGCTTGACTGAGCTGAATCCCTTGCGCTTGAGCCACCGTAGTGTCGTCCGCCGACTTGGAACCTTAGCCCTGGGGATGCCCTCTATTTTTTTGGCAATTCGGTCAGCCAATTCGTAACTTGAGCATGAACGCGAGTTGAAATCCTTCGTAATCACCTCTTCAATGGTCTGGTCTTCCAAGTCCCCTATTACGGGCGGCCGGCCACTTCGAGAACCACTCGTAACATGACGGTCTACTATTTTACCGCCCGCGATATACCCTCTTTTCTTTGCCTTCGTTAATAGGCTATTGAATGTGGTTCTTTTGAGCCCTGTGAGGGCCTCGATTGTTGGAAACTTGACGCCATTCGCATATAGGGTCAAAGCCTGTACTCTCTCTGCAATAGTAGATTCTTTGCGGTGGACCGTAACCATTGTGCCGTTGAGTTGTAGTGGATTCGTCGGGAAGTACTTTGTCTAGTTATCTGTGAGTAAATATACTTCTCGGTTAATCTGCACGGCTTCTTGGGACGCACCTAGCCGAACCTGCGCTCTGAAACATCACCACTTCGAATTCGGCTTCAATTTTGGGGTGGATGGGTGAATTCCAAGACACAAGTTTGGCATAACTAATGCAAAACGCTAGTAAAATACAGTGCAAACGACTTCCACTCGGCCTCTCACACGGATTCAGGGGACCCCGGCACCCTGGCGAGTGACGAAGACTATTGGCCCCATGTTCCGTAGATAAAGCTAGTAACGAGGCGGAGGCGGTTAATAAGCTGTAGTAACTAGAGCTACTTATATCAGGCGATACCCTACCGGAACCAATAGAAGACATAGCTACCCTGGAGTAGATATAGTAGGCGTTGAACGCGGCGGACTCGTAACTCCTGCCTCATGCCCCACCCAGCCGTGCCCCAACGCCCAGCACGATTTCGACGTCGGGCAGGGGCACGATGGGCGGCACCTTGGCCGGGTCGAGCGGCAGCCCGTCGGGCCCAAAGCGCTGCGCATTCATGTTGAGATTCCTCGAGTCACGCACCGCCTGGCCCGCTCTGCGGAGCATGACCGCATTGTATTCGGCCACGGCTTGGCGCACGGCCGCCACGTCCTCGAACCTGTCCCCGGCAGCCAGGGCGCCGAGCGCCTTGCCCAGCACGAGCGAGTCGACGAGGGTGTGGTAGCCTCCCTCGCCCCGGAAGGGCATCATGGCGTGGGCGGCGTCTCCCATCAGCACCACACGGCCCGGCGGCAGCGACTCGGCGTCGAGCTGCACGTCGCGCCAGACGTGCGTCTCGTGCTTGATCTGGCCGGGCGCCGTCAGCTCGAAGATCTCGCGCTGCTTGGCCGGCAGCCCGCGCGTCGTCTGCAGCACGTGTGCCAGCTTCTGCTCTCCCGTCGCCGCGCGCAGCCAGTGGTCCTCGCTCGCAATGTCGCCGTCGAACTGCATCAGGTTCCAGTAGAAGCGCGCCGACTCCCCGTCCGCCGCCACGTAGTGCAGCCCCGTGAACGTCACGAAGCCGAGGTCCGGCCGGATGCACATGTACCCGCTGTGTCCGAGAGCTAGCTGCCGCTTGAGCGCCTCGCCCGACAGGTCCAGCTGCCCGATGACCGTTGCCAGCGGGACCACCTGGAGCAGGTCGCTGCTGGGTCGGTTGAGGAGGTGCTGCCGCACTAATGATTGCCAGCTTTTGCTCAGCAACGGCTATGGCCTCCTTGCATTAAGCAACGGGTAATACTTGCACTTCAACCTCTGGAGAGAAAAAAAAGGGGGGGGGGCGGGGGGCGGGGGGGCGCAATCTCGCCTACCAATGCTGTTGATCCCGTCCGCCCCGATGAGAATGTCACCGTGGGCGCTACCACCATCCTCAAACTGGACAGAGACGCCGTCGTCGCTATTATCGATGCGCGTCACGCGCTTGCCCCACTGGATGGGGATGTTGGTCGACAGCCAGCGGCGCAGACGGCTGCGTTCGGCGCGGATGAGCGGCTGGTCGGGCGAATCCTTATCGACGGCGAGAATTAAATAAGTAATTATTTTGCCCCTTTTGCCCTATATCAAAACAGGGCAGTCGCCGCCCTGGCAACACACACGCGCGCACACACACACACACACACACACACACACACCTGAAACCCAACACGCTCCTCCCGCCCCGGCGGCCACAGCGTGATCTGCGCCGGGAGCTTCAGGGGCGCCAGATGGTCGACCGAGGCGCGCAGGTCGGGCAGGTCGGCCGGATACGAGTCCACCAGGGCGTCGACGATGCTGGCGCGTAATTAGCCACTTGCTCGTCAACACGCCACGCCGCCCATGAGCACCACAGCCCAGCGCCCTTTGCCAATTTCAGGAGGCAGAGAGAGAACGGCGTCGCTTACGAGTAGAGAGCAATGGCCCAGCCCTGGAACCGCGCGTCGGCGTCCGTGTCGCGTTCAAAGATCTCAAACGAGATGCCCTGCTTGCGCAGGGTCTGAGCTAGGCTAAGCCCGCCCAGCCCCGCTCCGACGATCAGAACGTGCATTTTTGGGGCAACGTCTTTCTTCTTCTTCTTCTTCTTCTTCTTCCTTTTAGGCTGTCTTGGCGATGGTTGCGATGCTGAAAGAAAATTGGGCTGGCTGGTGCCAACAAAGAGAGAAGGACATGCGACGGCCGGAGTTTCGAGCCAACAGACGTGGCCATGAAAGTCTACTCAGAGCGCCTTTTTCTCAGTACCTACAGACACTAGGTAGCTAGGTACTGAGGGTGGACTCTCTTCCCCTTGCGTGGTTAGTAATTACTGGCTACTGGCTTAGGAGGTTGCTTGTCATTCGCCGAATGCCGGGCCGGGGACCCTCGAAAGGGGCGTACTTTCCCACCGATTCGCATTTCACTATCTTCGCAGCAATAGAGCTTCCATCTTCTCCAAGTGCATACAATTGGCACCGAATCTTGAGATGACCGAACAAGAAAAGTCGCCGAATGACTGCGTAAGCGAGAACGGCAGCGCGGATAACCGCATGGGTGGGGCGGAAAGTCGCCGAGGTCTTGGAGGCCCGGATGAACCGACCGCCGGCCACCCATTATCGGCACGGCTGCTCGATTACGCCGTCAGATACGCAGACAATGCCCTTCGGTGTTTAGGGAGAGGCAGTGACACAGTGAGTTGATGTTCGGATGTGAGGTTGACGGTTGTAGGTTGACGGTTGTAGGTTGACGGTTGTAGGTTGACGGTTGTAGGTTGACGGTTGTAGGTTGACGGTTGTAGGTGACGGCTGTGGGTCGTGAAAGCGCAAGGTCTAATACGGGAAGCCAGCAATGATCTACAGCCACTGTCTGCCAGCTCCCGAGTTCCATCTGACGATAACAACTTCACATTCTAACAACCCCCAATTCTGTGCCATACCTCCCAGCCGATCGCCAACATGACCCAGACCGGCCCAGCAGCCCCGGCCCCAGCCCCGGCCCCAGCCCTCCCGCTGATCGACCTGAGCCCCTACCTCGCCCCGCAACACCCAGGGGACCGGGAGCGCGTGGTGGAGCAGGTGCGCGAGGCGGCGCGGCAGCACGGCTTCTTCCAGGTGACGGGCCACGGCATCCCGCTGGAGCTGCAGCGCGACCTGGTGCGGTGCATGGACAAGCTCTTCGGGCTGCCGCGCGAGGCCAAGCTCGCCATGTCGTTCCTCGAGAACCCGTGCCGGCGCGGCTACGAGGCGGCGGGCATGTCGCTGCGCGAGGGCGACGCGCTGCCCGACGCCAAGGAGTGCTTCTTCCTGGCGCGCGACGACCCGGCCGTCGAGCTGTCGGGCTTCTTCGGCCCCAACGTGTGGCCGCCCGACCTGCCCGACGGCGACTTCCGCCGGCCCGCGCAGGCCTACTACGAGCACAGCGTCGCGCTGGGCAAGACGGTGTGGCGCATCCTGCTCGAGGGGCTTGGCCAGCCGGGCGACCTGGTCGAGGCCTTTGCCGCGCGGCCCGTCGTGCCCATGAAGATGATCCGCTACCCGCCGCACCGCACCGTGCGGGCGGGCCAGCTGGGCATCGGCGCCCATACCGACTTTGGCGGCGTCACGGTGCTGTTCCAGCAGCCCGGCAAGGACGGGCTCGAGGTGTGGGACGACGCGCGCGCCGCCTGGATCCCCGTGCCCGCGCTCGAGGACGTCTACGTCATCAACTGCGGCGACATGGTGCAGCGCTGGTCCGCCGGCGCGTACAAGAGCGCGCGCCACAGGGTCCTCAACAAGGCCGACGGCGAGCGTCTGTCGTGCGCCACCTTCTGGCACGGCGACATCAACGCCAGCAACCCGCTGCGGCCCCACGATCCCGACCGCGAGACGGTCGGCCAGCTGCTGGTCAAACGCTTCCGCAGCCAGTATTCCATAACCAAAGAGGCAGTAGCTCAGGTTGGCTTGGTTTGAGGGAGCAAAGGCAGGAGCCCGTGTCGAGAGCTGTTGGTGTGGGGTTTGGTCTCAGACAGCCACGGGTTCGATATTTTCACACAAGATTATGATTATTCCAGTGCAGTTGCAACCGTGAGAGCTCCCGTGGCCCTGTCCAGTATAATATCATGCACCTTGCAAGCGTTGGTAAGATGCAGGTGTCATATTGTAGGTGTCATGTTGTAGGTGTCATATTGTAGGTGTCATGTTGTAGGTGTCATATTGTAGGTGTCATATTGTAGGTGTCATATGAGGAATAGTGAGCAGTGGCAAGGGCGGTTGGTACTATACGCCCCGATACCCCAAAGCCCCTTTCAAGTTTTGGTCCTGTAAAAGGAATCCGAATCACTTTTGCATTAATTACATTCTACAAGACAAGGTCGTTCAAGAACATCCACAACGCGGCCACATTTCGAAATGAAACAGCATTATTTGCTTGATTACGAGAAGGCAAGAAAAGCTCCCTCACAGTCCAAAAAAAAAAAAAAAGAAAACGAGCAGGTGACTACCTAATTACCCCACCCCAGAACGTCACGACTCGGAAGAACACAGAGTGCAAGGGTATCAAGTCGACCAAGCCGGCAGCTTTGACGTTTCACATCCCAGGCCGCTTTTGTCCCCAGCCATTCATTAGAGCCCCGCGCCCCCCCCCCCCTCTCTAAAACACAGCAGCAGCCGCCCTCACCGGTACTCGCTCGTCGGACGCAGGCCCAGGCCGCTCTTCTCGTAGGCCATGTCGACCATGCGCATCTGGGCGGTGGAGTCTTCGCCCAAGACCCAGAACTGGGTCCTGCGGCCCTTGACGCGGTTGACAAACTCCTCGAGCTGCCAGCGGTATGACATCCACCAGGGCTCGCCTGCGGGGGCGGCGTCGGCGAACTCGGGGCCGGCGTCGCGGTACGTGTAGGCCTTGTGCGACTGCGTCTCGGTCCAGGTGCGCAGCGGGCGGCCGTCGGCCTTGTTGCGCACCACGTACGTGTCCTTGACGTCGATGCGGTGCCACAGCACGGCGTGGATGAAGCCGTGCAGCGTGACGACGCGCGTGCGCGCCTTCTCCTGGCCCTCGGGCAGCGGCTCGCCGGCCTTGTCGTCGGCCGGCAGCACCACCTCGCGGTGGGTGACGCGGGCCTCGGACGGCTTCCACAGCAGCGGCCCGCGCAGCGTCGACCGGGCGTCGCCGAGCCCGCCGTTGGGGAAGCGGAACTGGGCGGCGAAGTCGGTGTCGCAGCGGTCGTGCACGCCGTCGCCGAACACGTGCGTGTCGCAGGCCACGCACTCGACGGGGTCGGCGCCGAACACCATGCGCAGGATGCCGAAGTTGTACGTGCCCAGCATCATCATGCTGCCGCCGCCCATGGCGTAGTTGAACTCGATGTTGTCCTTGGCCGTCAGCCACGACGACACCATCGAGTCCGTGTGCGCGTGCACCACGTCGGCGGGGCTGACAAAGGTCAGGAACTTGTGCACCGCCGGGTGGAAGCGGTTGTGGAACGCCTCGAGCACCACGGGCGCGTCGGCCTGCTCCTTGGCGAGCTGCGGCAGCCCGAACAGGATCGCCGCCTCAGTCGCGTTGTTGACCGACGGCTTCTCGAGCAGCACATGCTTGCCCGCGCGCACCGACCGCACTGCCCACTCGTAGTGGAGGCTGTTGGGGAGCGGGATGAAGACGGCGTCGATGTCGGGGTCGTCGAGAATCTCTACAGCAGCACCGGGAGGAGGCAGTTTTAATTAGCCACGCAATCGTGTCGACTCGTCCAGGTTTGTTGGAAATTTGGGTAACAAGTGGGGGTGAAAACAAGATCTCGACTCTGGTTAACTAAATAAAAAAAACTTGCCTTGGTATGAGTCTCTGACAACGGGGATGCCGTGTTTCTTGGCAAACTCCTCGGCGCGGGTGCGGTCTCGGGCGGCGATGGCATGCACGACGACTTCCGGATGCGATTTGGCCGGTAGGATTAATGCCATGGGCCTGTTGGGTGGTGGTTTGGGGTGTCAATACCAGATTACAATCATGAACAGCACGTGGAGGAAGGCACTTACGCGATTTTGGCAGCTCCCAAGATGCCAAATCTGATAACGCCATCTTTCCTCTTTTCGACTGTCGGCGGAGCGAAAGCCGAGTAGACGCGGCTAAGCAGTGCGAACATGTTGGGCGGTGCTTCGTTTCGGGGCTCCTCTGTTGCTGCGCGATGTGAATAGCCAAGTCGACAGGATAGAAGTAGGCCGTGGCTCAAATTGCCACCCTCTCCCTTGCCGCAAGCGAATTCAGCATTATGAAGGGTTCGTCGGAGACTTTGACGGCTGTGCTTGCTGTATTGGTAAGGCAATCGACGGAATGCGGAACATGATGTTGGGGGCCGGGCGGGTCAATTGGGCCTAGCGCAGTTCTGGTCATTGCTTGTGCAGGGGGCGTAGGGCGGCGTAATGTTAGCCCGCAGGCATGCCACGAGGCGAAGAATGTCTCCGAACAGCACCACTAATCAATCCAGGAAGGGTGAAGCCAAGCGGGCCCGCCCCCCCTGAAACGTTGCCCCGCACTCGGGCCGTCTTAGCTCCAACTCAAAATTGACCTGATGGGAAGAGCGGGCCAATCACGCAGCAGCGAAGTGGCCGAGCTTGTCATTCAGCCCTACAAGCATTTTATTACAAATCTCGTCCACCTGGAGAGACGTCAAGACCTATACGGCCATCACACCACATGATGCAATATATTAGATTAATTTCTAAGGCGGCCGTAATTGCAACCGTACGACGCATCTCCGCTAGCCTTCAGCTTGTGAGCCTTCTCATCCTGCCCGTGCCGCACATGGACTCGGCAGCGGCGCTTTTAGTTGCCCCGCTCGACCAACATGTGTTGTGAAACCACACGAATCTGCGCCTCGCATAACGCATTTCGTGCCGTCTTCTTCCGGCTTTAGGTCTTTAGGGTTTCTTGCGAAAGAATGAAGTACCTAGTACGGTACGTAGCTGGTTTGGTACGTAGCTGGTCTGGTACGTAGCTGGTCTGGTACGTAGCTGGTTTCAATCTTCCTGCATCCTGTGCGATCCTCCTGCCGCTGCACTCCTCCTGCGTCGTTTTCTCGCCCCTTCGGATAGCGAGATTCTGTCTCGCGGGCCTTGGAGTCTAGCCGACGTGGGCAGTGGGATATGAGTGCCTTGCGGGCTTGGGTCTCGACTGTGCCACTTGCGACCAAATGACCAGGTACCTAGGTAGGCAGGTACCTAGGTAGGAGCGGCGCTTAAATTCCATGTAACATCTATTATGTGAATAAGGAATGCTATAATCGCGTAACGTCGGGGTCCTCCCTTTTGGTGAATAATTCTCACTTGGTCAGCTTCTTCGCATGTAGGCCGATGATACGCCCAGGTCGAGGGAGAATGAATCGGGCATAGCAAATTACCTACGCAATTGAACTAGGTCTAGTTCGAGATATTCGTTGGTAATTGGGCCGGCCCTGGGCCGCTGTAACCAGCAACAATCATGATTGATACCTTGCTATCACACTGTCGCATGGGTATAGTTGGATGCTGTAAATTAACTGCATGCGAGGTTCCTTTTTCCCTCCTAGGCCGCTAGGTGGAAAAGTCATTCAAAAACTACTTCCTCGTGTCTCATATCATACGGGTTGGTATTTGAACGCGTGGGCCACATCCAAGGCCCGGCCGCTCTAGTCCCGGCACGGCAGTATACATGCCCACGCATAAATCGCTCTTTTCACTGCAGCGAGTCCCGTCTGCCAAGAAGGCCGTCCAAGATGATATGAAGCCCCCGAGTCGTTCGTTATATGCGTAGGGTCTGACGAAGCTGTGCCAGCCGCTGCTGCAGCTCCCCCTCGAGGTCGCTGGGCGGCAGGTCAGGCGCGGACAAGGTCGCCGGGTCAGAACCCGCCGCTGACGGTTCTCGCGGTCCCAGGTAAGAGTCAACTGCCTGCTGCTGACGCTTAATAAGATAGCAACAGAGCTGAACAATCATAACCAGCCGCATGTCAGTCAGCGCGCCGGCCGCCGGCACTGTGGGCTGTGGCGTGTTGGCCTGCGTGGCGGCTTCCAAGCCGTCCCCATGGCCGTGGAGGTAGCCGTCCCCGTGGCCGTGGAGGTAGCCGTCGCTCGATATCAGCTCTGCGTCTTGCTGCAGCACACCCAGCAGTGCGACGTAGATGGACAGGAGCATTCCGTGGCACGCCATGACCAGGTGGCGGGCGACTGTGTTGGAATAATGGCCTGTTCTGGATGATGAAGACGAAGGCATGGCCTGCTCAACCGGCGACTTTTCTGCAGAGAGACCGGCAGATCCCGCCGAGTGCCCCGAGCGCGGCTGATTGAAGCTGTTGCCTGGGCCGGCCGGTGTCAAGAGTGGCGTCAAGGGGGGGTATCTGGACATGCTCGAACGGGGTCTAGACCTCTCCTGCAGACAGTGGAGGATCTCAATGAGCTGGTGCGAGGCGGAGAATGTGTCTTGGAGCGTGTCGCTTATTGTCGGGATCTCGCGAGTATCTGGGTTCCGACCACACAGGCTTGTGTCGCTGCCGAAGCCGTGAGACAGGAGTCGGGTGAGAATCAACCGGAACGCGGCCATATCAACAACCGGGTCTTGCTGATGTTGTGCCCGGCCAAGTTCGGCGTCGGTCCTGTGTGATGAAGAAGGATGCTCTAGCGGCGCAGTGGTATCGGCCAGGACTTGACTAGAGCGGTGTAGGAGGTAAAGACGCGTACTCAGTTGCGTCAGCTGCGCTATGCCGGGGCTAAGGTCACTCTCGTCGGCTGAAATGGCGGCGCTGTTGCGACTCCTGCGGTTGCTGGTGCTGTTGCGACTCCTGTGGTTGCTGCTGCTGTTGGTGCCGCTTTGGCTACATCCTGAACTTGGGCTCTCAAAGACATGGCAGGTCAAGCCGAGACGAGGGTCCAGGGCAATGCGGCTGGGTGGTGGCGGTCCCCCGCCCCCCGTCTGGAGAGTGAGCTCTCCGTCTTTTGTCGTCGTTGCTGCAGTCCAGTCAGGGGGTTGTGCATGCTGGGCGGGAAAATAGTCTAGTGCTGTGTCATTGACGTGGACCTGGGAGACGGGCGAGTGCAGTCCAATAGCCGACCAATCTCCCAGGTCATTCAGAGGCTGGCCGCCACTGTCCAACTGCAGATCGGCCCAGTTCAACAGGCCGGGCCATGGCCAATCCGTCGCGGAGCACGGCAGCATCTGCTCCGAGGTGCAGGCCGATATCCCCGTGATGGGAGCTGGGTTGCCGCCCGCACTCGAACCCGTATTTGCCCTTGCGCCTGGCTGGGCCCGCGTCTGGGTATTTGCCTGGATTGAAGCATGGGCATGGGGAGATGCGCCCCCCCTGGGAGGGCCGGCGGTAGTGCCGGTACTTGCACCAGCCGACAAGGAATTGGCGCGCTGGCCTGAGGCTGGCCGCCGACGCAAGTCGGGTGCGACTGGTGTTTGTGCGCGTCGCTTCGCGGACGGATTTGTACTGGCGTCTGGCGCCGACGACTGGTCGCCGCCAAACAGACTTGGTCGTCCCTTGGGCAGGCTCGTGCTATACACGCACTGCGAACCTTGGCGGATGCACCTGTTGCAAGCCCCTGTGTCGCTGTTCCCAGAGCGCTCGCATCGCAGCTTCTGCCCGTGGCATCGGTCACATGATTGCCGCATCGGTGGCGGCGCCGCCATGGCATAAACAACAATGGTAATACCACGTGTGCAGACGCCGGTGAAGCCCCCTCCGCCGTATTATGGGCGAGGAAGGGGAGCGAGAAAGTGGGGGGCCGGGGATCAACAAGATTATCAGCGCACCGCTAGCTGCTCGACGGAGCTGGTAAGCGGCGAAGTACGGCGAATGCTTGAAGGATGGGTCTTTTGTAAGGGAATAATACTTTGGTGTCCAACAGGAGCAATGCGATACTCGACTGCACCAGGAAAGAGAGTCTCCATCACCCCTCAGGCCACGAAATCTACATAATTGGACCACTTGCTATACGGGGCCCCATTGCTGTGAGGTTTGGCGCACCTTAACCCCGTGGAGTAAGAAATGCCTACTAGACTAGATTCAGCTGGTGGGAGCGTTACTTTCTAACTACATATTTAATGCAGCCAAGAGGCGCCAAGAGGCGCATACAAGGATGATGCGCACGCAGGCCAGTCATTAGACAAAGTCGCTCGGGCGCCTAGCGCCCCAAGCTAGTAGACTAGACGGTAAGGCATGTATGCACGTACTTCCTAGGCGCAGCCAGACTCGCAGATAAAAATCCGAGTCATAGCCGTGCCAAGCCCTATTTTATCGGGATTCGTCTCGGTTTTAGGAGTCCCCACGAATCTCAATAAAGCGGGGTGTGGCATGGGTAGTGGGTACCTGACGCCTGACCCACGGCTAACCCAATAGTATCTCTGCTGCTAATTACGGATATTAGGCCAAATGCATCTTATTCCCTTAACAGACTGTATTTCTCTAAAGGATCGAAGAACCCGACGAGGGGAGTGTTGCCTAGGATCTAGAGTACATTGACACGGGCAAACGGGCGGGCGGGGAGTCGGGAACCGAGAATTGGAATCGGGAGCCGTGCTGACTGAGATAAGTCAGTCTACGGTAGCTGATCGTAGGTGGTACATGCATGTAAAGTACGATATTCGGAAGCCTTGCGGTAATTCGATCAAGGTGTTTTAGGTAACCCAAGCACGTCAAATGGCACCTCCCGACCGCAGTAACGCCGTGCGGCCTTAGATGTGACTTGAGCTTTCGCGGCGTCTGGTAGGACTTGGTCGCATGTTGCGATGCAAAACACGTGTGTATGTGCCATCGCACCCACGCTAGTCCGAGTCGAGGACCGTTGAAGGTCGAACGGCGCACGACTCATGTGTATTCCAAGTAGCGAGGACACTCGACCCCGAGAATTAATAATGCAAGCTGGAGCCCGGAGACTTTAGGTTCTGCTTCGCTGGAAAATATCACTGAACTGGCAGCCGTGGCCCGCCAACTTCCAGGGCTGTGGGTCCTCGGTTGCGACCTCGGTTGCGACCTCCATCAAGTTGCCTGCCGGTAAGTGAGGAAGCTGAGGCAAGAGCGGCTTGATATGTGCCTGCCCACCTTCTCTCCATCTCTAATCCTAGAATGGAACTCCCCACCCCCCTTGGAGTACTTTAAATCCGAAAGGATTTATTGTACTGATTCCTCGTGGCAGTTGTCCCTTCTGACTTTTGAGAAGCCCGGGTGGAGGGCTAGAATTGTACCCCACTTTGCCGGAGGTGTTTTTCGCACCATTTCCTTTTACCTCTCCATTTTGTTGCCCGTAACCTCAAACACCGCCATTGTCAGCTTACACCGCCTGTCTTACTGCTTTCCGGATTGAAGGTCATGTCGCAAGCGTCCACGCCGGTCGGCGGGGAACCAAGGCCTGGACAAGACGAGCCCAATGAGAAGCCGGGGTTGGTTCAGGACAAGACAAAAACCCCGCCAGACGCCAACGGCCACCGCGACTCTGACGGTAATGGCCCTGGCGATGGCGACATCGCCGAGTACCAGTACCCCAGCAGCGCGAAACTCACCATCATCACATTCGCCCTGTGTCTAAGCGTTTTCCTGATGGCGCTCGACAACTCCATCATTGCGACAGCAATTCCGCGCATCACGGACCAGTTCCACAGCCTCGAGGATGTGGGATGGTACGGCAGCGCCTATCTGCTCACGACAGCGGCGCTGCAGCTCCAGTTTGGCAATTTCTACACCATCCTTAGCATCAAGTGGACCTTCCTCTCAGCCATTGGCTTTTTCGAGCTGGGCAGTCTCCTCTGCGGCGCCGCGCAGAGCTCGACCATGCTCATCGTGGGCCGCGCTGTGGCCGGCCTCGGTGCCGCAGGAATCTACTCGGGCGCGGTTCTCATCCTGGCCAACAGCGTGCCGCTAGCCCGTCGGCCCGCATACATGTAAGACTGCTGACAGCCTGAAAGCACGCATTATCTCTCTCCCTGTGCCTCGCGCTCGCACCTGCTGATTCGCATCTCGCGCGGCCCGCCACCACCACAAACCAGCGGGTTGATAGGTGGCATGTACGGAGTTTCTTCCGTTGCGGGGCCGCTGCTCGGCGGCGCTTTCACCGACAAGGTGAGCTGGCGCTGGTGTTTCTACATCAACCTGCCCATCGGAGGCGTCACGGCCGTGCTCATCGCCTTCTTTTTCCCCGAGACCAGGCAGCGCAGGCTGCCCGCTGAGCCGTGGCGCCGCCGCGCCGCGCGCTTTGACCCGCTCGGCACCCTTTTTCTCATGCCCGGCGTCGTATGCCTACTTCTGGCGCTGCAGTGGGGCGGAACCGATTACACGTGGGCCAGCGGCCGCATCGTGGCGCTGCTGGTTCTGGGCGGCGTGCTGCTGCTTGGCTTCGCCGCGGTGCAGGCGTGGCAGCAGGAGAACGCCACGGTGCCGCCGCGCATCCTGCGCAGCCGCACCGTGTGGGCATCGGTGCTGTATGCCTTTGGGCTCGGCGCGAGCTTCTTCGTTGCCGTCTACTTCATTCCCATCTGGTTCCAGGGCGTCAAGGGCGACAGCGCCGTCGGCTCGGGCATCCGAAACCTGCCCATGATGCTGTCGGCCGTGATGTTGAGCATCGTGGCCGGCATCGCCGTGACGGCTCAAGGCCAGTATGCGCCGTTCCTCATCCTCGGCACCGTCTTGATGTCGGTGGGCGCCGGTCTCTTGAGCACGTGGATGCCGGATACGAGCCAGGCCAGTTGGATCGGCTACCAGGTCGTCTTCGGCGTCGGGGTCGGCATGTGCCTGCAGCAGCCTGTTGTGGCGGTGCAGACGGTGCTAGGCATCGACGACGTGGCCGTTGGCGCCTCGCTTATCGTCTTCACGCAGTCCATGGGCGGTGCCATGTTCGTCTCCGTCGGCCAGACCGTCTTCACCAACCACCTAGTCCAGGCGCTGGCCCAATATGTGCCGGCCATTGACCCCACGCGCGTACTCAACGCGGGCGCAACAGGTCTCGAATCTAGCTTCTCCGCGGACGAGCTACCGGGTATCATTCTGAGCTACAACGAGGCTCTGACAAAGGTGTTTTTGGTTTCTACTGCCATGGCTGCGTTTACCATATTCGGCTGCGTCTTCGTCGAGTGGCGGAGCGTCAAGGGGAAGCAGGTGGAAGTTCCTATGGCTTGAGGATCAACCAGAGGTTCCAAGGGCGCGGTGGCCAACGTGTCAAATTGTCGCGTGTGTGGTGCTCCGGGTTCTCTGCGCAAATTTAGTGGAATCGAGGTCAAAAGAGGCTGATTGACAAGGGAAGAAAGACGGAAGGACGGAAGGCCGGCATTGTGCAAGTATTAAATCTGCTTTTTAGCATGTAAGCCCTACGCCGTTGTAGGTATAATTAGATCTGCGCCGCCAATGCGTTGTTGACGCGCCTGTTCCTTGCCTAACTACTTCACAAGACGTTGTGGATGGCATCGGGACTAGCATTTGTTTGGATTCCCAGTCAATCAATCTCTAGAGCTTTAAAATGGTACCTAAACTATTCAATACCATCGGAGTAGTTGTGCATGTTTGAATCAAAATATGTATTCACCTTAACAATGGAGAGCTATGGACATATCTATTGGTGCGGTAGCGACGTGGACTAAGAAAAGTGCACTAGAAGGACTAAGAACAGTGCACTAGAAAGGCATCACCTATAAATTGAACTCGTTTCCTTCTCGCAACGATCCAGGATGATGAATATTAATTTTTCGCCAAACAAGCTTCACCGAGACCTCACAATGCCTTCCGTGATTTGAATTTATCCAAGACTCTCCAAAGCCGACTGCTGACAGCCATTGCACATTTCCCGTTAAATACGGAGTATTAGTTAGCCCGGCGGTCCCAAACTAGCATTCCAAAAAGGCAAGGTCAGTGTCTTGTGCGACACACTGACATGCACGCTTACAGATGCCACATTTCACTCGAATTTGCCTGCCATGTGGGGCCTAATCACCTTATGTACGTTATATAAAATTCTAGGGAGTGGTCGGCCAATTATGCCATCCACCTTACCGGTTGAGGATTCGGCGGATTTCGGCAGTCGGAATACCTGCCAAGGCGACCAAAAGTACCTTCCTTACCTTGATTGGGTACTTGGTCTCCGACTTTCGGGCATTTAAACAGCTGGCGGCTTTACGAAACTGCTTGCATTTGCAGGTCGTGCGTGTAGACTACGCAGGATGGATCTTGCGTCGGCGGACGGCCAAGAAAGGAAGCGAAAGGCCCCTCACTCCATCACGCCGGGTCTTGTTGGGATGAGAATCTAGATTAGTCCCACATCAACCTGGACCTGCCCGACTCTTTGCGAGTGCACCACCCTTGACGTCAATAACAATATTAGGTTTCTGTACACTGACTGTTCACCACAACCTCAACACAATGCCGTCAGCCGACCCCATCTTGTCGCTGCCCAAGGAGCAGACAGCGGTCGTGGCACAGGGGCCAGGCCGGGTGACGGTCCGGCACGACGCGCCAGTGCCGGCGCTGGCGCCCGACATGGCCATCGTCCGCACGGCCGCCGTGGCCATCAACCCGGCCGACGCTAAGATGCTCGACTACAGCGCCACGCCGGGCGCCATCCACGGTGACGACTTTGCCGGCACCGTGGTGGCGCTGGGCGAGGACGTGCTCAAGTCGGGCCGGCTGCAGGTCGGCGACCGCGTGGCCGGCATGGTCCACGGCATGAACAAGCTGCGGCCCGACGTCGGCGCATTTGCCCAGTACGTCGGCGCCACGGCCGACCTGCTGCTCAAGATCCCCGACAACATGAGCTTCGAGGACGCCGCCACCCTGGGCCTCGGCGTCACCACGGCCACCATGGCCCTCTGGCTCGATCTGCGCGTGCCCGCCACCCTGGAGCAGCTCGCCGAGGCCAGGGGGCTCGCGGGGGAGGGGGAGAAGGAGAAGGAGGAGGAGGAGAAGGAGGAGAAGGAGGAGAAGGAGGAGGAGGAGGAGGAGGAGGAGGAGAAGGAGGGGGAGGAGAAGGAGGAGCAGGGACCCGGATCGCCCGCGTCGTCGCAGCGCAGCGGCTGCTTCGTCCTCGTCGCCGGCGGGAGCACGGCCACGGGGACGCGGGCGATCCAGCTCCTAAAGCTAGCCGGGCTCCGGCCCATCGCAACGTGCTCGCCGGCCAACTTCGAGCTGGTGCGGCGGTTCGGCGCTGAGAAGGCCTTCGACTACCGCGCGGCGTCGGCGGCGGCCGTGGCGGCCGAGATCCGCGCCTACACCAATAACGAGCTGGGCCACGCGCTGGACTGCGTGGCGACGGCCGAGACGACGCAGCTCTGCTACGGCGCCATCGGGCGCGCCGGCGGCCGTTACTGCTCGCTGGAGCCGTTCCGCGCCGCGGTGGCGCAGACCCGCGCCCTGACCGTCGACGCCTCGTGGGTCATGGCCCCGACCGTCTTCGGCCGCAAGCTCGCCATCGATGGCGCCTACGGCCGCGACGCCGCCCCCGACCACCGCCGCTTCGGCGTCGCCGCCTACGCCGCCGTCCAGCCCCTCCTCGACCGCGCCCTGCTCGACCCCCACCCCGTCAGGCTCATGCCGGGCGGGTGGGACGGTGTTGTCCACGGTATCGATGTTATTCGCCAGCAGGCCGTGTCTGGGTACAAGATGGTGTACAAGGTGGCTTAAGGGGATGGGGACAAAAATATTGGTGAGGGTTTCGTCTGCAGTCGTGTTAGTTTGTTACTTTTCCTTGTGATGGCCTGTAATCAGGTTATTGGTAGAAGAAATGGAATTCAGTACAAAGCTCTCTTCCGCATATAATCGTAATGGTCCAGCTGAAATCGCTGGGAATATCCGAATATCCCCCATGGGGTAGTGACTTGAAACTAAACGCTGGTGTGTGTAGACTTGTTGTCAATCTTCTTAGTCCGTTATGAACTGAACTTGGGTGGCATTCCTCGGAGCCAGAGGCAGGCTGGCGGCTCAGACCTCTTATGCTGCGTTATGCATGAGGCTAGTACCAAAACAGGCACGTCGGGCACTCTTTTGGGGATGTGCTGTTCGCCCAGCAAGGGGGTCGGGTGTTGAAAACCTCGCACCAAGTCTCTACGTTCTGAGTCTGACATCTCACGAACCATCGCGTCAGGCCAAAATGGTATATCGGCGCCATGGACCCGGTAACTATTGTCACCGCAGTAGTAAGACTTGCGGCGTTCCCTCCCTACACTTTCCGGCTCTTTAAGCGAAGCAGGATTGCTAATAAAGAAGCCAGGCCCATGCAACTGCCTCGTGCCTGACCACCACGAAAAAGCTGTACGACTTGCAAAATAAGTACAAGAATACGCCTACGGCTATTGTGTCAATCTGTTCCGAGTCAATCGTCATCTCAGCTTCGCTTGCGCAGATCCAAACCCTCCTCCTGCAGAGGCAAGGCCTCGCAAATATGTGGCAATCTCGAACCGAGTTGCCCGCAACCCTCGACATTGCTCCAACTGGCTACCTCGTTCTATTCAGCTACCTTGATATCGAAATTTAACGTAACACTGCGGGTGCATCAGATCCCAGCAAGATACGATGGCGGTCTAGGGTTCGCATATTATAGAACGAGGTGAAGCTGAGCGAGCTACTCGTTACTCTCCGCAGCCAACAAATTGCTACCAATCTTCCGATACAGCTCTCCAGATGTGCGTATTTCGGTCTTGGTAACTTTTCTAAACAAGCGCCGACGACCACAAGGAACACCCTTACCGAGATCAAACAAATAGTAACCCAGAAGCAGGACGTGATTCGGCATCCGCCAGCACCACCCAGTCACCTCGCTCAAAAAATCCAAGTATCAGAATGAGCAACCCCATCTATGGCGGCGACAAAGGCCGCCCTTTCTGGCCCCCTTTCCGGCCCAAGCCTTCCGTCTTTCTCCCCGACTACGATGCCTTATCCATGGTTGTCCCATCCGACCTTAACTTCGACTTTAACAGCACGATAATCAACAGCCATGCCTACCGAATGACGTTCGTCAAGGCTCAATCCAAGACTGTCACAACACCTCAGCCAGACCTTGGAGATCTCATCGACTTGACCGAAAACCTTACCATCAGGCAAACTTCTGATGCAGTGGGAGGATTGTCATTGTCTTTGCGCGATCTCCAAGACCTGGTTTCCGATGCCCCCCTACCCGAAGTCCAAGAAATCCCATACGATTACTTCCCTCACCCATAGCTCAATCCAAGACTGCCACAACATCTCAGCCTGAGCCTGGAGATCTAATTGACTTAAACGACAGCCTTACCATCAGGGAGACTTTCAATACAGTTACAATCCCCCGGCCTTTTCGCAATCTCCGAGGCCCAGTTTCCCATGACCCCTTACCTGAGGTTCGAGTGAAAACTCCTTACGTTTCCTGCTGGATATACACATTTCCTGCTAGATATACACACATTAACAGGCTTGCCAGGCACCTGGTTGCAATGAGAATTCTAGATGCGAAGACAAAAAAGGAAATTGTCTCTGCAACTCTCATTACCTCGCACTCGAGGCTATGCCGTGCTTTGGTTGCCGCCTTGCAACCATGGGATATTACGCGGAAAAGTTTCTAAACGATAAGAGCGAGTCATAGCATCTCGAGTGCATAATGATAGAAGAACATTGGCACTTTACAGTGGAAACGTTGAATTTTCCGGAATTCTCGATTGAACGCACATAGAAATGCAGGGTAGACGACCTAGACTTAGGGGAAATCGATACTTACCTCATCAATTTATTTCCTAGCGAATTGGTCCGCCTGAGCGTCGCTCTCTCCGCCTTCGGGGAAGGCTTTGTGAGCTTATCGATTGAGATATGGTACCTCGAAATCAGGAAAGACAAGGAAAAGCGGATAGTTAACGCCGGCAAATTGCTCGTGGGGATGTTCTCTATTGCTGAGGATTTTTTTGAGGTCGTACCACCACATCGTAAGTCGTTCTTCTTTCGGTTCTCAGACTGCCAGCCAAAAAGGCCGTGCTCGAGGGAACTTCTCTCTGGACATGCCCGCACAGGCCACTATCGATTATGCCTAGATCAAATATCGCGGGCCCGTTTTGTTATCAACAAGGTAAAATCGGTGGGCAATATCACATGGCGGGGTATTAGAGCTAATAAGGTCAGCGCCACGGCTATGTGCGTGTTGTACGAGTTGAAAGTGTCGTAAGGGAACTGTTACAGACCCAGCTATAATCAAAGAAATTAGTTCTCATGGCGCTATTAGACTGCTCCTAAACAATACGTCCTACTGGAGTTAGTATTTTCCCCCAATGGGGTTGCCGCTTCTTTACCTATAGGGATCTCAGGCATTTGCGACATTTCTCGCGACTGCGACATTTGTGGCAAGGATGTAACGGGGGCGTTGCGGCCACTCCATGAATGAAAGCAATATGTCCGTACTGTCAAGCTGTTCGCGGGTCTAGAGAGCACGACTGAAAATGTGATGGTATTTATTTCAAATCATGTTGGTTAACGAATGATGTGGTTGGGTTCTACTTGGGGAGATAAATCCCTTTTTGAACGGCTTTTCTACATTAAGATTCATCGATCTTCAAGCCCGCCCACCACCGCCAAAACTAGGAGCTTCAACTCGAATAAATAAAAGGGTTATTTTACTGACTCTTAGATCGTTTAAAGAAAAGAGAGAACTATTGCTATCTTTCATAAGTTCCTCAGAGTGGTTAAAGGCCAACGCACTGGACACAAAGGTCCACAACGCAAGTGGTGTATTTATCCTTTGGACAAGAGACACGTGCGGAAACTTCATCGTCTAGAAATGAATGTGACAAGCCGTTAGAACGCCAGGGAAATTAAAGAAAACCCCACAGTTTGAAGTCCCAAGCCGCAGAGTTCCAGCCTGCAAGTCGGAACACTGAATTTGTCAAAAGAACGTATTGATGTATATATTTTTGAGCGATGACGCAGGAGCATCCCGCGTTCCTTCTCCGCCTCCTTTATTCCACCAGCCAGAATCCTGTCCAAACAATCAAGATTCTAATATACCTCTAAATGAGCCTCATAGTCCATAACCAGCACAGAATTGGATAGTAATGAAAAGCTCACCCCCCCTCTCGTCAGACCGATCCTTTTATGGCAACGAGACACGCCAGAGTGATGAAGTATAATTAATCTCTACTTTAATCTCAACCTCGACTCTTTGAACTCTGTCCTAGACTAATCCCTCATCCATCATCAAGATCTACTTGACCCGGATATGAACATCGACCGAGGTCATGGGAAGGGTGTCGGCGTTGGCCGCGAATAGCGTCAGGGTGCACTCGCCCTCGCCGCGGACCTCGTACCGGAACCCGCCAGTCGGGGTGGGGGCTCTCATGAGCGCCACGACTTGTTTCTGCCCATTGCTGCTGCTGCTACCCCCTCCGCCGCGGCCGCTGGACGTCGCGGCCTGCATGTGGCTGTGGACCGACCCCCTTGGAGTCGGCAATTGTGATGGTGAACTTGCCGCCCTTATTCGCCGTGAGCTCCCACTTCCCGTCGCTGGTCATTTTCAAGAAGTTTGGGATGGGTTTCAGGGCCAGCTTGGGGGTCGAGGCTTTGGGTTGCAGGATGCCTTTGGCCAGGTAGTTGTCTATGGCAATGGCGAAGGGGACGAGGAGCTGGGCGAGTGGTTTTTTTTGAAAAAAGGCCCGGGAACCGCAGTAGACGTGCTGAGCTTGTCGGTTGTGGCACACTCAAAAGCCAGCTCTGCCGAGGTTTTAAAGCCTGTAAGCGCTGGCATTCTTGCTTAAAAAATGCACCTTTAATCTGGAGAATGTGCAGAAGAGAAAGACATAAAGATTCAAGAAATCATGCACGTACAAAGGACGCACCTGTTGTAAATGCGGCCTTGATTTACTGCGAAACGAAGGGCTACGGCGGACTCACTACAGTTGGGGCCTGCCAAATATACACAGAATTCTAACCTGCTCAGCAGCGCCTGAACAAAAGGACAATGACCACGGAAAATTTGAGCCTAGTATTCCCGCCTAACCTTAAGAAGGCACCTAACATGGAGCAACTCTGACACTCGGATTTGTATATAAAATAACTAAAGGTGATTGCCAACGCCTGGTAGCCTAAGCAGTCTACTAATTCGCTGATATAGTGATGTGTTTACATGCCTGGTAGATGGTGTTGAGTTCATGAAATTGCGCGCGTCCGAGTTGAAAATGTTTACCTAAACCGAACATATGCCGGAACTCTAAGCTTCAAAAATGCCCACAATACCACCCGCCGACCCACGCCGCAAACTCCATAACGCTAAAGATGAAAGTTGACAGCCTGAACCCTACACCAACGTCACAAATGTCGACCTAAAGGAATCCCCTGCAAGAATCACTGCTTCGACCTACAAGAAAACGGAACTAAAACATGAAAAAATCACCTCCGCGACGTAAGCTCCACCCCTCCCTGGCCACTCCGAACCGTAGTCTCGAGCGAAGCCAGCACAAAAGCGAAGCCGACGGCCTTGATGCGGCCCATCCACTTGAGCATGGGCAGCTTCTCGAAACCGGAGTCCCCTCTCTTCTCCTCAAGATAGGCTTTGAGCTCGCCCACTGCGAGGGATATGGGGCTCTCGCAGTGCACGAAATGGGCAACCGCCGGCGCCGAATCCGACCCGGGAGAAGGCACAACGGCCGAGTCGAATAAGAGTCTGGCGACTTGCTCTGCAGGGAAGAGACTGACGCGGCCCTCCCAGCCTGTGTAGTCGGGCATGATGTGCGCGAGGTCGATGCACCGGACGAATTCGTCCAGAACGTCCCTGTTGGGCTGCTTTTCTCGCCCCACGTGGGCTGCCGGGAGGAGGCGGTATATAAAGGAGGGAACGCCTAGAGTCGTCGCGGAGCGCTCGAGTAGACGCTCGCTGGCCCATTTGGATGCGAGGTAACCGTCGGAGCCATCGGCCGGGGGGGCATACGCTGCAGCCGATAATGTGGCTTGTGCGGCCCCAGTAGAACACAGAACCTCCGTGGGCAAGACGCTAGAGGTGGAGACGAAGTGGATGGGGATTTGACGAGGGGTGGCAAGCCGAATAAGCTCCTTCGTCGACTGGACGTTGCTGAGGCGGAGGACATGGTAGTTGTCCCAGAATGAACGCACGGCGCCCAAATGCAGAATCACATCCACCTCGCTGGACAGCACTTGAAATTCGTCTTCGGTGAGTCCGAATTGGGGTGCCGAGAGATCTCCGCTATGATACACCATCTTGTCAGAGTGAGCGAGAGTTTGCTGCCGTCCGGAGCGAGCTTTGGGGCGGACGGCAACGCAGTGGACTTTGGAGACGCGAGGATCGGCTAGCAGGAGCGGAACAAGAGACCCAGCAAGGTTGCCCGTTGAACCTGTGACCAGCACAGTCTTGGTGCCCCCTCTGTTTGCTCGAGCTTGGGCACCCTGGTGGTGGAAGCTGGGTGTTGTTGATGGTGGACAAGTTTCCAGTTCCCAGTCAATGAGGTCAACGTTGTTGCCTTCTTCTACCTTCCGCGCCATCTGGCCCAGTGTATTGGCATTAAGGAGCTCGACTAGGCGGACGGCGACATTGAAAACTTGGCGGATTCGGGACTGGAGGCGGACGACAAGTAGGGAGTTGCCACCGACGGAGAAGAAACTGGTGGAAGGAGTTATGGCGAGTCCAAGTTCCTCGCTGTCCTTTCCGAGGACCTGTCTCCACACTTGTCTCAGTTGAGCCATCGTCTCGGTCAGTTCGGCATCGTGCTGGACGTCGATGGCAACACGCCGAGGAAGAGCCAGCTCTTGAATGGCCTTTCGGTCAATCTTGGCGTGATTGGTGAGGGGGAGTTTGTCGAGGGGAACCGCTAGAACGGGGATCATGTATTGAGGGATTGGAAGCCGGCTGAGGAGATGCTCTAGGAAAGCACCCTGATCATCAATACCGAGCTGGGGCGCAAACACGACATGGGCCACAAGAAAGTCGGGATCCCCTTTGCGGAGAGTGACGACGGCTTCCTTCAGGGCACCCCGGGCAGTAGCGACCATGTTGGTCTCGATATCGCGCAGGTCAATACGAAGGCCTCGCAGCTTGACTTGGGTGTCGCCTGCCATACGGCCCCGGAAGACTAGGGACCCGTCCGGCCGTAGATTTCCAACATCACCCGTGCGGTGCATCTCAGTCCAGCCTTGAGCCAAGTACTCGGCGCTCGCGAAAGGATTGGGCACAAAGACGCGGGCAGTCCGTTCCTTGTCGGTCAAGTAGCCTAGAGACACACCGGCACCGCCGATTACCACCTCTCCAGGCATGCCGACTGGAAGCGGCTTGAGTTTTTCGTCTAAAATGTACGTCGTGTAATTGGGGAGAGAAAACCCGCAAGGCACGGGTCCGTCTTTGTCGGATCTCTCTTTGTGGTAGTCGACTAGCCCCTTGTGCGATGCAATGGAAATCTCGGCCGGTCCGTATGAGTTGTGAAGACGTAGTTGCCCAAGACCGAGACTGGAAAACTGTCGCAGGACATGATCAGTCAGGGGTTCGCCCCCTGCAAAGGCAAAGCGCCAGCTGGATGCATGGCGAAGGTTGTCAAGGCCATATTCCATCCACATCGAGTATTCCGAGGGCGTTACTTTGGTGTACGTGATTGACTGTGTTCTGATGATCTCGGTGATAGAAACCGGATCACCGCGTTTGGACCAGGGAACGACATACACCATGCCGCCGTTGACGAGGCCTGTGAAAATTTGGTCGACGGAAAAATCAAAGGTGAAGGCACTCTGTTGCAAAACCCGCTCCGCGCCTAGCTTGTAGGTCTTCGTATACCCCTCTATCTCGTTCCGAATGCCCGAGTGTCGGATGATAATGCCCTTGGGAGCGCCTGTCGACCCACTGGTGTACAGAATGGCGGCGGGCGAGTCGGTGTCTGCGGAGTTGGCGATGCGAGTCGACGGTGCAGACGCAATACGGGACACATCAAGAACAACGGCAACATTTAGTTGCGGGGCATCGCTGATAGTTGTGCCATCAGCCAGAACGGCGCCCGGCTGGCAGTCTTGGGATAGTGCTGCAAGGCGTGACAGGGGGTTGCGAAGGTCGAGCGGCACGTAGACACCTCCAATGCGCATGATGGCAAGCATTGAGCATACCCAGTCGGTCGAAGCTTGCTGGAAAACGAGCACTCGGGAGCCGGGGCCAGTACCAGCCTGGATCAGTGCCTCGGCGATGGCCTCGATTCTGTTGAGCATCGATAAATATGTCAGACTGCTGCCGAGGCCATCCATTAGAGCTGTTTTGTCGGAATTCTCTCTCGCAACTTGGTCGATCCGATGGGGCAGAGTTTCTGGCCAATCTGAAACGAGGTCGGGACCTGCTCAAGGAGCAACCGAGGTCAGTAGATATAACCATGGCAGGAGCGGCAGCGCCGAGGATGGATACGTACCTCGACCAACTTGAACAGCCTGGGCAAGTTGCTTGTCACTGAAGAGAGGGGCGTCTTGCAAGGATTGCGAAGCGTCTCGCGAGAGGATGCTAATAAAGTGGACATATGTATCCAGTAGAAGGCTTGCTGCCGTCGAGTCATATAATGCTTTCTGCACGCGTAATGCTACATGGGCACCGGAAGCTGCATCGGCGACATCCAGGGAGATATCGTAGCCAGTTCTCCCGGGATGCAGCTCCTCCAGGTCAAACTGGCAATGGCACCAGCTCTGACCACGAGCTTGATGTCGGTAGTCGAAGAATGCCTGAAAAAATGGGCTATACGATGAAGAACGCGCCACATTGAGTTCTTTCAGCAAGACGTCAAACGGCAGCCGCGAGTGGGCCAGCGCTCCGTAGGCCGTGTTGCGTGCCTCCGAGATGGCATCCGCAAAGCTTTGGGTGGCTTGGCGACGGAATCGCAAGGTCAGGAGGTTCACGAAAAAGCCAATGCTTCCCACCACATCGCCGTCGTTGCGGTTGGCGTCAGCAATGCCGATAGTCAGATCCTGGACATCGGTGAATGCAAATAGCATGGCCTTGAACGCAGCCAGGTAGAAGTGAAAGGGTGTAGAGCGCTGCGCCTTGGACACCGTCTTGATCTGTGAGACCAGGGCCGGCTCAAGTTTGACGCTGGCCTGATGGACCGCATAGTCGGTTATGGCTACTCTGGAGCTCGATCGAGCCATGGGCAGTAGGGGCAAGATGGGAGGCTGTTCGCCGGCCGGGAACACGTTCTGCCAATACTCGAGCTCGCCGTTCAGCTCACCCCGTTCAAGTGCTTGCCGCTGCGCCACCGAGAAATCGGGGTACTGTAGCGGCGGCGGTCCGAGAGATTGGCCGTTGTACGCCTTCTCGATCTCGGAGAGGAGAACCTGGAAACTGGCCATGTCTATGATGATATGATGCGAGTTAACCAAGAGGTAGTGGGATGTGGGCGACAGTGTCAGGAGGACGAGCCGCAGCAAGGGACCCCTGGCCAGGTCAAACTCGTGCGCCTGGAGCTTCGCGTACTCAGCCGTTGCCTCTTCCGCGGATTGGATTTTCTCGTATTCCAGCTTAATTGGGGACCGAGCCAGTATCTTCTGAGATGCCTGGTCTACCTCCCGTTCATCTCCAATAAAGCACGTGCGAAGGGATTCGTGTCGGGCAGCAACGGCACGGAGAGCAGCTTCAAGGTCACCGACGCGCACATGGCCCGACATGTGGTACTTGAAGGAAACATTGAAGGTTTTTTGATCTTCGATCAGCAGCCGAAGAAACCAGAACCGCGACTGGCCAAGCGATACGGGCTGCGTCTTGACGAATGTCCCAGGCACCACACCTGCCGAGGCACTAGACGCGATAGGGCTCGACGCGTCCTTGTGCGCAAAAGAGACGGAGCTCTGCGTGGCTGTAGAAGTCGGTGTGTCAGGCGGTGGTGGGGTACGCCGACTGGGTGTTGTCGAGTCCTCCCTGGGCCGAGAAGCGGAACTAGTGCTTGCCGTGGAGGGAGGCTTGGGCGGAACATTAGACGTAGATAAATGCTGCGGTTGGGACGATGGTGCGGTTGGCGGTGGGGGAGAACTCTGACCACCTGTCTTAATCTTGCCGAGGATTTCCTCGGGCAGCTTCTTCAGCGCCAGTTCGCAGATACCAGCGAGGGATGATCCACCGACGAGCTTCAGAACCGGAATGTCGACCTTGAGCTCCTTTAGGAACCAGGAACGCGCTTCAACAGCGACAAGCGAGTCCATCCCAAGTTCGACAAGAGGCGCGTCGTGGTCGAGCGCCTCGCTGGAAATCTGCAGGACGGAACACAGCTTTCCGGCAAAGCTTTCGCGCAACATGTCCAGTGCCTGTCCTTGAGTAGCGGCGGCGGCAAGCTGCTCCCGGACTGGGAGGAGGCTCTTCTTCTTGTCAAGTTGGCTGGTGCCTTCCGCAGCAGTGCTGCCGCCGCTCGTTTCAATGATGCTATGGGAGAAGAAGGGATTCTCGAACCATGGGCCCTTTAGCTCCTCGTCCTCGCGGATGGTGCGGATCCCAGTCGTGACAACGGCTTCCGGAGACTGCACGCCGTCCTCGACATGCTCCTCCGCTTTAGGACTCGGGTAGCCGGCTTGGATAGTCTCGGCAAACAGCGCGTGGAACTCAGTCTCAGAGATAGGCATCATGCCAAAGCGCGTCAGCTGGTCCCGCACAAACTGCCCGGCCGACTCGACATAGCCCAGGCCTGCCACGCGGCCAATGTCGACAGCCGAAGCAGCAAGGCCCCGCTTGCGGCGCTGGCGGACGAGCCCGTTCAGGTAGCCGTTGGCTGCGGCGTAGTTTGCTTGGCCCGAGTTGCCGATGACGGCGGACGACGAGGAGAACAGCACGAAGAAGTCGAGGGGGTCGCTGCGGAAGATGTCGTCGAGATTGTTGCTCCCATCGATCTTAGGGGCGGTTACGTCTTGCATCATGTCCAGCGTCATGCTCGAGAACAGAGAGTCGCGCAGGACCATGGCGCCGTTGGCCACGCCAGCGATGGGAGGGCAGGTGGCACGGATGTCAGCGACAACGCGGGCCACGCTAGCCTTATCGGCGACATCCATGGCATAGAGCCTGACGGTCGAAGCCGTGCCGTCGAAGGACTGCAGCCATGTGCTATTTGCCTTGGGCATGCGGCTGGCCAGACAGACACACCCGGCGCCGTTCGCCACCATCCATTCGCAGACTGACCGCCCGATTTCGCCGGTGAGGCCGACCAGCAGATACGAATTGTCCGCCGAAAATAGACGCTTGGCGTCAAGCGGACGCGCTTCGAGCTGGACTGGCGCATCGTACGGGTCGGTCTGCCAGCGCACGGCGCTTGTTATCTGGTGATGTTTGGTCTGGTGGATCTGGTTGAGGGGCACTACCGGGCTAGTGACCGCTGGAGCGTCGGCGCTTCCAGCGCCAGACGACGACGTTGCATTGGACGCTGCATGGTCGACGGCATCTTGGAGACGCGATAGCAAAACTCCTTCCCGGTGCTGTGCAGGGCCAGAGCTGTTTGCCACTCGTGCCTCCAATCGCACCAGGTCAGCGAGGCGTATCGTCTTGGTGTTAGCCGGTAAAAGGCGTGCAGAGATGCTTCGACCGCCGCCTTCCGATGATGTGCTACTGCTCGCCAGGTCTAGGAAGTGGGTGGGTCTACCCTTGGCGGGGGACTGAAGTATCCGCTTTTGCACGTGACTGGGCGTTCGCTCTTCGAGCTTGGCCCACTTTAGCCCTAGCCCGAGCCCTAATGAGTCGGTCGCGGAAGTCACGAAAGTGACGCGCACGCCCTTCGTCTCCGCTCGCTTTTTGAGCGCGATGGCAAAAAAATAGTCTTTAGCTGGCACGGCCGAGTGGACCACAATGCAGCTCCCCGATGACAGGGTCTCGACCACGGATGCGGCCAGCAGCTCGCTCGCCACTGCCACTAGCGCCGGCAGCTGATTGGCCGCTAGGGAGACACTAGCCACGGCTTCTGTCGTGGAAGAATTGGTGGTCGACAGGAAGACAAGGTCGCCGCCTTTGTTCGTGTCGGCTCCTTTTTTACCGACCCCAACGAACAAAAAGTCGTCCCCTGCAACGTTCAGAGCCATCAAGCTCGATTCCTCGACCCGCACGCGCACCCGCGCCGAGGCGGACTTTTTAGACGATCTGATCTTGTCTTTGTGGTCATCATGGCCGCCCGTTGCGGGGTCTTGCTCAACCAGCGCCGGCGGCGCATCAGCACGCAGCGCAATGGACACGTCGGGGCTCGTGCTGAGTTTCGCGGAGCGAGCAACCACGCGCCGCAACGAATTAAGCCGGGCGTTCTGGCTAGGATTTCCCATCAAGCGAGGGACCAACAACTTGCCGCGCTTGTTCACAAACGCTTCGGGCTCCTTGGACCACATGAAGGCGTGGCGTGGAATCCGGTTGGCGATGCGCGGCGCTTCGCGTTCCCACTCTTCCAGCGCCGCCTGTCGCAGGAGGTGCTCGGCAATCGTCTTGGGCGCATCCTTGCTGTCAGGTCCCACGTCTGCCACGTCGAGGCTGTGTATGCCCACATGGGACACCTCGTGGCTCATGGCCCGCATAAAAGTCGTGCTGGCCATGTGGTATGGATTGTCCGCCGAAGAGGCCCCATTCGTGATCCAGAGAATGTGCCTGGCAAGATCGAATACTCTCCTGAGCCCTTCCATCCGGGATGCTGTCATGCCCTTGAAGATGGGACTGTCTAGGTCGACCAGGTTGACGAACGTGCTCATGGGTTCAAGGTTCTGCGCCTCTTCCTCCGTCGGGAGCCCGCTGAGGATTGTGACGCGGCCGCTGAAGCGGTGCAGATGGTCGGCCAGCTCTTCTGCGATGCGCGAGCTCTCCAGACTCCGCGTGCCCAAGATGACGACGCTTTCAAGGTAGATGATGCTAGACGACGACGTTGCAAGCAGCGGACGCCGCAGCAGATTGATGCGGTCGTCAACAGCCTGTGCCGCTATGGCGGAAAAGGGCCACGTCCCGTTGGCATCCAACTCTGGCGTCACGGAATCTACCCCCGAGAATCCGGCGTTGCGCAATACGGAATGCCACCCGTGCGGCGTGAGAGCCGGAGAATATTTGCGTCCGTCGTCAGCGCCGAGCCACCACCCCGGAAGCCCGCCCATGATCTCGCCGTACCGGACACGCCCGATGTTCGTTAGCTCCGCCAACATCAGATAACCGCCTGGCCTCAACAGCTGTCGCGTGTTCTCGAGCGTGCGCCGCAGGACTGCCGTGGCGTGCAATACATTGGACGCGATGATGATGTCGTAGGAGTGGGGATCGTATCCCTGCGAGGCCGGTGATCGTTCCACGTCCAGCACTTTGAACGTCATCTTGTCGCGGTAAGCACCGAAAATATCGGCCGCCTTGTCGAAGAAGCCTGCCGAGATGTCCGTATATGTGTACGATGAAAAGGTGTTGCCTATGGCTTTCAAGACGGCCTTGGTGGCACTGCCAGTTCCCGCGCCTGTGCGGAGTGCAGATTGTTAACGTCAAGTCAGATAAGTCCGAATGGCTGCGCGTGAAGCTAAAGAGGCTGATATATGTACTGACCTATTTCCAGAATACGGGCATGTGGATAGCGGTGCGTTATTTGCTTCACCATGCCGGCCAAGAATAGGTTGAGTTCCACAAGCCCGAGACCTTTCTCGTAAAAGTCGTCGAGCATATTGTTTGGCAACATGTGCTCCAATATGGTAGTCTCGCCGCGGACGGCCGCTGTCATGTTTTCGCCCACAGCGGAGATAAGCTTCAGGTCGATAGAGTCCGGGTGTCTGATTTCGTCCAGCAAGTGTCAGTCACTAACGACGGCGGCAGCGGTATTGTAGTAGAATTGTCTTGTACGTACCCTGCCATCAAGGGCTTGATGTCTTCAAGCGTATCGCTCGTCCATTCCTGTCTGACATATTGATGCTGCCCGCTGGCCACCATGTCGAGAGTATGGTTCACGAAGTCGCGAAGCCTCAGATGGTGTGGCTGACCGTTGGCCCACTCGTCGTCACTGAGCTCAGCCTTCCACTTTCGGACGTAGTAGAAGGCCAGCCGCTCGGAGACGATTGCTACCTCGATATCAGACTCGGGGGGCCGCACACCTCGGACGACCGCGACCCCATCGGGTGCTGCAACATCCCATTTTGTGCGAGAGAATAGGCGACGGTCGTCAGCGGCGGTGGCCGGTGCGAAGGGCTTGACGATCAGATCTTCCACTTGTATCATGCTCCTGCCGCTGTCATCATCATCGTGGCCCAGGATGTCAATGCTGGCACGGAAGGGCTCTCGAGGTCCATTTCCACCAGCCGCGAGGGACCACACGGGGACTTCAGACCCCGAAAGCGGCACTGCGGCGCACAGCTGCGGGTTGACGCGAATACGGCCGATGCCAGTAGGCACGTGCAATGACCAGAGACGCCCGTCTCCGGGAGCCGAGAATGCCAATATGGCGGCTTGGAAGGCAACATCCAGCATGGTGGGATGCACAAGATACACCGTCTGGCTCTCGTCAGCGTCGAGGTCATACGGGTAAGTCGACACCTGCACCGACGACTGGTTAAGCCGTCGCTTGATTGCTGACATGGTCCGGAATTGGCCCGTGTAACCGTAGCCAAGCTGGAGGAGGGAGGAGTAGAAACGATCGATGTCGACGTCAGCCATGTTGGAGATGTCGGGCGCGGGCGCACTGGACAAAGCCGCGGCACGGGGCGTGCCCAGCACGGCATTCACAGTCCCACTTGCCATGAGGTCCATGTCGGGCTGCTCTGATGCGCTTGCCGTACTGACGCTAGGGCAAGAATAGCACGAGAAGTCGGCAACGATGGTGTTATTAGGCCCGTCTCGCCTAACTGCAGTTAGTGTGACGAGGGTTTCAATTCCTGCGCTATCGTCGTCATCAAAGGCGATGGCTTTGGGGATGGTCAGATCATGGAGCTCAAATAGCTCCACCGTGGACTTGGTCCCCGCAACAAGATGACGGGATGCTTCGACAGCCATGGCAACGTATCCCGCGGCAGGGAAAACGGTCTGGCCCTGAAGTTGATGGTCTTCGAGCCAGGGGATCTCGGACGGTTTCAGCACGTTGTTCCAGCGTAGATCTCGGGCCGTCGAGTCGGGGGACAGAACGCCGAGCAACTCGTGGAAAGGCGACTTCCGTGCTCGCATCTTATTTGACCGGCGAGATTCGTACCAATGGCGCCTCGCGTGACTCCATTGGTAGGATGGCAAGCCCGTTACTAGCCGTGGCCGCCTCGCTGTCGCCCCGGCCGACACTGTCTCCTGGAATGCCGTAAAGTTCACGCTCTGAGCGCCTAACTGCGTCCAGATAAACCCCAAGGCTTGAGAGAAGGCTTGAACGTCGTTACTGCCCCGGCTCAGCACGCCACAGTACGGGAGAGCTGTTCCCGCACCCGCCTCGGACATGTTTTGTGTGGCTGGACCTTTGAGCGCTGGGTGGGGCCCGACCTCGACAGCGAGACTGAGCCGAGGGTCGCTCGCGACTGCCTTGTTGACAGCGTCGGCGAAGAGCACCGGCTTGGTCATATTGTCACGCCAATACGTGCCCTGGAGCTCCTCACTTGGTTCCATGGCCTGGCTGGAGGGGAAGACACTGGAGAACCAAGCACAGTCATTTCCAGCTTCCGGACGGCGGACGACAACGCCGCAAGCTCGCAATGCCGCCATATATGGGTCGCCGCACGGCAGCATGTGGTTCGAGTGGTAGGCCTTGTCGACCTTCAGCAACCTCGCGAACTTCTTCTCCTCGTCGAAGACCTTCTTAGCTAGCACGACGGCATCAGCGTCGCCAGACAAAGTTACACTAGCCGATGAGTTATGCGCCGCGACCGCAACCCGCCCCTTGAATGCCGATAGGGATACGAGATCCTCCGCATCCTCCAAGGAGGTCCCCACCGCAAGCATAGCGCCGGCACTCTTCGCGGCACTGTTGTGGTTGGTGTTCCTCTCGTCGCTGCCGGCAAGGCGGGCATACAGGCCGCGGTAGTAGGCCACGCGCATGGCATCACAGTCCGACAGAAAGCCCGCTGCGTATGCTGCGCCGATCTCGCCAGACGAGTGGCCGACCACGGCATTGAAGGTGATGCCAGCACTTTCGAGCAGGTCTACCAACACAATCTGGAGAGCGGTACATAGTGGTTGTGACAACTCAGCCTCGCCAATGCGTGACGTGTCGGCACCCGCCATCATCTCGTCTCGGAGCCGCCACTGCGGCCGGTCTACGAAAGGCAGCGTGTCCAGTGACTTCTCGAGGTCCCCTATTCGCTTCGCGACAAACCCAGGCGACGCCCTGATTAGCTGCGCACCCATGGCAGCCCACTGGGCACCCTGCCCGGTGAAGACGCCTAGGATGCGAGGGGCCGCTGTCGGGACGCCGGATTTGGAGCTACTAGAGCTGGAGCGCACACCGATGCTCCCCGAGTTCTGCTCAGCCGTGGCGAGATTGGCATCGATCTTGGACGCCAGCTCTGCCACACTGCCTGCCGAAAATGCGGCCTTGACGGCAAACTGGCTTCTCCTTGCTTGTAGCGTCCAGGCCAGGTCCACCAGGTTGGTGTCCTGGTGTGTCTTGAGGTGGTTTGAGTAGGCTTGTAGCTGGGCAGCAAGCGACGTCTCGGATGCAGCCGAGAAGATGAAGGGTGTGAACAGTGTTTCCGATGATGAGATATCGGTGGCGCTTTCGGAATTAGTGGCTTTGGGTGGTTCGACATATTCCTCGAGGATGGCATGGGCGTTGCTTCCACCGAACCCGAAGCTGTTGATGCTGACTCGTCGCGGGACGCCCTCGGGTAGCTTGGGCCATGGTGTCAGGCTGGTGGGAACCTTCAAGCACTGGTAGAAGGCCTCGATGGCTGGGTTCAGACGACTGAACAGGAGGTTCGGGGCTATGAGCCCATTCTGGATGCTGGCAACCCCCTTCAGAAGCCCTGCGAGACCTGCTGCGCCTTCTGTATGGCCAATCACCGTCTTTACTGATCCCACATACAAAGGGGGACCGGTGTTCGCACTACCCTTGGCAAAGCACTCAAATATGGCGCCGGCTTCCTTGGGGTCGCCGGCTTTAGTGCCTGTGCCGTGCGCCTCGAAGTACTGTGGGCGGTCCCGGGGGTCTTCCAGATCTAGGCCGGCCCTGGCGTAGGTTTTCCGAATCAGCGCCGCCTGTGCTACCGTGCTTGGCACCGTGAGACCATTCGAGTAGCCATCTTGGTTTGCACCCGTTCCGCGGATAATGCACTGGATGCGGTCCCCATCGGCAACGGCATCGCTCAGCCGCTTCATGACGATCGCAGCCACGCCCTCTCCGCGAGCATATCCGTCGGCATCAGCATCCCACATGCGGGAGCGGCCCGTTGGAGAGAGCATCTTCAACTTGCTCTCAATGATGAACCATTCTGCCATTATCCCAGTCAGTCAGATAGAAGGCCGTTTATCCTCAGGATCCGGACCACAAACCTGGCCCCAGGATGACCTGTGTCCCACACGCCACCGCAACCCGCGACTCTCGTGTACGTAATGCCTGGACACCTTGATGCACCGCGATGAGGCTGGATGAACAGGCCGTGTCGATTGTCATGCTTGCGCCGTGCCAGTCGAAGAAGTAGGAGACCCTGTTCGAGATGATGGCGCGATTTGTCCCAGTCCCAAAATAGGTCGGGATCGTATCAAGGTCTCTCATGATTGTTTCGTTGTAGTCCACCCCCATTGTACCCACGTACACGGCCGTGTCCGAGCCACGAAGAGCTTCTAGGCTATGGCCGCCGGCCTCCAGAGCCTCGTACACGGTCTCCAGAAGCAGACGCTGTTGCGGGTCCATGGCGTCGGCCTCGGCGGGGCTGATGAAGAAGAATTGCGCGTCGAACATGCCCAGGTCCTGTTGCAGTAGGTACATCTGCCGGACGTTGCCAGTTCCATGGTGGTTGCCGTCGGGGTGGTAGAAGCCAGCCGTGTCGAATCGCTCAGGCGGGATATTCTGGGCAACATCGCGGGGCTGCTTGAGCAGTTCCCAGAGTGCCGCCGGCGAGTTCGCCCCTCCGGGGAAGCGGCAACCGCTTCCCACAATAGCGATGGGTTCGAATTGCTCGGTCGTCATTTTCGTCAACCAACTACAGAAGTGGCAAATTGGCACTCGTCTCCCTGGGCTATTGTCTATTGGCAATTCGAAGCTGCTGTGTACGTCCTGAAAGACCCGGAGGCTAGCCTAGCCGGTTCATCTGGACCTATATGTTTCATTAAACACGAACCAGCTCCAACTCTGACCTATCGTCTACCCCATTAATGGTCAAGGCCGAGTGTGCGGAACCTGAGCCGCTCGGTCTAGCAGCTTGAGCTTGTGAGTGTGCCCGCCCTTCTCAACTCCTGCCACCTGGTAGCACCCAAGTTGCACTCACAAAGGACATCACGGTGACTTTGCACAGAGGGCCGTGTGCTGTGCGTTTCCCAAGTCATTGCCGAATCGGGGGTGGGGCATCTTGCAAGCAACCTCCAGCACGTTTCTCCGAATTTCTCCGTATCTTGCCGAACCGCGGGACTGGCGGTGCTGGGGAAAGCCAGATGTGCAGGCTGTCTCCGTTAAATCGCCGAATGCTGACGTGCATAAATCCCGTCATTCGGCGGTTTGTGGCTGTGCCTCAGACTCGGCCTCTGGGCGGCCTCAGTGTCCGCTTGTAACCATGGTCCAACGTCACTTCCGTGGCTTGTGGTTTGGGGTCTAAGAACCGGGCTGCCCGTGTCGAACGCGGGCGGGATTTCATGCGAAACTGCCAATGCTCAGCGCTGAAAGTATTGCCTTTTTTGCCTTCGCAAAATATTCCCTCTTGGAGAGGTGGTGCTATTGCTGAGCCGATGGCGCGATCCGTCCGTGCTCTGGGCTGAAAATGAGGCACAGGCATATTTCCTCGCCTCACCGGGACAGAAACGTGGTCGCACCCCCATGCCATGTCGTAAGCCTTGCCATTTCAGGGGTATCGGCTCCGTCATACGTATGGGATTGGTGGAAGCGACCCGAGGGCTGGCGCCACGCCTGTCTTTTCCACGGCACAGCAGCATTCACGTCCTTACGCTGACGCATTCTTTCGGTCTATCGAAAAGGGGGTTAGAGTATTGAGCGGCGTAGATATGGATGACCAACTTGGGCTACCGCTCTCACAGTCCTATCTTGTGAGATCAGGTTTTTTGTAGTAAAATTTGCCTTTAAAGGGCGGCAGAGAACATGAAGTTGATTGTCGTAACGTCAAGACGCTCGCGGAAGCATGCAACATCTTCTTTTTTTGATTATGTGCTAAATTTTCAGTTCGAAGTTGCTACCACGGACTAGACCAGTCATGGCTTTTTATTTCTCGCTTCTGGGCATCGCGCGACTCATTTCGGCGGTCACTGCAGCAGCGGCTTTAGCTCCAGAGCAGAGGAGCAACAAGCCTCTAGATCTCTGCCGTCTCGTCGGCGCGCATTTCCCTGGCAAGGTCTGGTTTACAAACAGCAGCGAATATGTGGACTCGCAGGAAAGCTACTACACCTTGCAGGAGCGCGAGCTTAATCCCAGCTGCGTTTTCCGGCCCGCTCGGACAGCTGATGTCTCAGCATTTGTGAAGTTGGTGGCCGCCAACGACCGGTACCCCAAGAACCTCTCCAAGCCCCTGTTCGCGGTGCGCAGCGGAGGGCACACGCTCTGGTCAGGGGCGGCCAACGTGGATGGCGGGATCACGGTCGACATGCGCGGCATGAACTCGTTCGGGCTGAGCGCCGATAAGAAGACAGCCTCGATTGGAGGCGGCTCCAACTTTATCGACGTGTATCCGCAGCTCGTGCCCCACAACTTGACCGTCCTGGGCGCCCGAATGCCGGGCGTCGCGGCTGGTGGCTTCCTCACCGGGGGTGGGAAGAACTTCCTGGCGCGCAAATACGGTTTCGCCTGCGACAATATCTTCAGCTACGAAGTCGTGCTCGCCAGCGGCGAGGTAGTCTACGCGTCGGCTAGCCAGAATCAGGACCTCTGGCTCGCGCTTAAGGGGGGGTCGAATAACTTCGGCATCATCACGCGTTTCGATGTCGCCACCCACCCGCTTCTGGGCATGTGGGGCGGCATAGTCGGGTTCGAGTACACCCCCGACACCCTCAGTGTCCACGCTCAGGCCTTCTCGGACTGGATGCGGCCGGAGAACGTGGACGAACTGTCGGACGTGGCCATCATCCTCGGCTTTGTCAACGGCAGCTTCTTCATCGAGGACTCGCTCTTCTACTCGGCTCCAGTCGTCAGCCCGCCCGTCTTTGCCGAATTCACCAAGCTCCCAGGCGTGACAGCACAGTCCCTGGAACTGAGGAGCGTTGCAGAGCTTGTGATATTCATGGGCAGCATCCTGCCCGCCACCATTCCGCGGTAAGTCTTTGCGGTATCCCTCATCTTTGCCGCCAAGCTGACTATCCGGTTGTGCCACAGCTCCTTCGAGCTCGTCTACGCCTTCTACAACCCGGACGCAGCAACATACCTAGCACTATTCCAAACGTGGCAGGCCGGCATTCAACAGGTCCAAGGCGTCCAGGGCCTCCAGATCCAGTACCTGGTCCAGCCAATGCCCGTGACCAACGGGACCAACTCGTTGGGTCTCCCGCCGCACCAGCCCGATATCACCATGGTTGTGCTTACTGCCGCCTGGGACAACACGGTCGACGACGACACCGTGACCAACGGGCTACAGGCCATTGTTACCCGGCACGAGGCCATTCTCGACGCGAAGAAGTTGAATATCGGCTACAAGTATCTCAACTACGCCGACGTCACGCAAAACCCCATCAGCACCTACGGCGCCGCCAACGTCGCCCGCCTGCGCGCCGTGAGCAGGAAGTACGACCCTACGGGCTTCTTCCAGGCTCGCGTTCCTGGGTACAAGTTGCCCAAGAAGTAGAGTCGGTGGGCGATTTATTTGGCGATTTGTTTGAGGGAAAGGGGTTGCGCTCGAGTCTTGTGTTTTCTAGTTCTAGTAGATTTTGTTCAGCTTCTTGTTCGTTTCTGTTTCATGAGTAGTCGCGAATGATTACAATCTTGCGTTGAGAATTAAATGGAAAGATTTACAGGGCTTCAAGCCGAGATTTTATCGATATAAACCTTGAAGATGGTTTTTCAATTTTGGGTCGCGCTCTAGAAACCTTTTGAATTTTAATTAACGTTAAGTCAGGTGGGTGACTTTTGGAACACCCCTGCCTATGGAACAGCCCCTGAATCGGACCCCGCACAACACCACAAACTTCAATTGCCAACAACTTTGTCAATTAATTAGCTACAACGATGAAGTCTTCAGTATCGGATTCTCCTGATTCTTCTCTTTCAGAATAACTAAGGTCCTCTCTGCCAGCCTCTCTCTGTGAGGCACGAACCTCCTCAATTCCAGCGAACTGCGTATTAGGGTCGACTTGGACCTTCCTTCTCTTTCGGCCTCTTGTGCGTTCTAGGCTTTTTTCTGCAGCCTCCAATTGATGCGCCGTATTGGCTAGTTGGAAAACCACGTAATCGAAGGCTTTTGCGGCCTTGCGTATGAAAAGTCGGTCGTTGGCAGTCCGTTTCTGGCCGGCTAGAAAAACCTGCCCCTGAATACGGAAATCCTTCGGCTTTTTAGGGGTAAACCATATAGGCCGGCCCTCCGAATTCTTTTTTAGAATGGGGTTATGGACCTCTTGAAGGTCTATAGAAACCGTAGAGGTCAGTTGACCAACGTCGCCGTTAGAATTCTTAATAACAAGGCCGTTGCTTAGGGGCTTCCTGAGGCTGACCGGCCAGAGGCCTGTAGCTTTCCAGCCGGCTTTGATATTAGATTCAGTCATTCCATAGACCCTGGCTTGCCGGTAGCATTCTAGGAAGGCCCTCTTTTCAGCAACAGTGCCTTCGTCGAAGCCGGAAACAACCTCGTTATGCTTGGCTCTGTACCGGGCTTTTAGAGGGCCGAAAACTGATAAATCCAGGGGCTAGAGAACGTGGGAGGTGTGGGCTAGTAGAAATAACAATTGTACGTTATTAGAAAAGGCTAGCCACATGAATTCTTCGGTGGTATGACTACCGTGGCCATCTAAAATAAGGAGGCGCTTCTCCGAGGGGGTAGCTGGCCGAGTCTCTGGAAGAAAGATATTGCGGAGCCATGCGACGGCAGTATCATCGTCAGACCAGCCGTTTTCAGTGGGTTTCCACTTCAAGCCCTTAAATGGCTGTAAATCGCGTGGATACCATTGTTGTTGAAGGCTTCCACCTTTGAAAATGACGACTGGGTTCAAATACCGGCCGTCAGCGGAAATACATTCGATAATCGAGGTCCAAATTCGGTCTCCTTTCTTCTTTTTCTGGAATTTCTTTCTTTCCTTAGATCCAACAACCAGGCCGTTATCTCCAATGCCAGAAGCAATGCCAGTTTCATCCATATTATACCTATGCTTGGCTGGAATAGCCTCCACGCCTGGAGACTTCAAATAGTCAAACCAAGGCCGGATAACGGCCTCACAGGCTCAATCAGCACGGTTTGCATGGATTCTCCGAGGCCTAGTTGTAGAAATAGATGGATTTCTAGCCAAAAACCGGCTAGTCCAGCGTTTTCCGAGGGTCTCGTTATCTTCGAGCATTCTTCTAGCTAGTTTCCGAATTTGGGCGTGGGTTGGAGGGTGACCGAGCGACCCTTGGAATAGAATCCATTCGGTTAAGCGTTCTTCCATAGCCGGAGAAAGCTTTTGATTAAGAATTTGGGCCTTGGAGGCTGGCTCGGAACCACGAACCCGATTAAAGAGAGTAGTAGGGGGGATGCCGTGATTTTCAGCAGAGCTACGGAGTAAGCCGGTTTCTGCATACTCTGCCAGCGCATTCTGCAAATCCAACTGAGTATATCGCTTCATCTTTCATTTCTCAATTGAATGGAGAAAAGAAGATAAGTATTGAAGCAGAATTGGTCGAGTTGCAAGCGATTGAAATAGGTGAGTTGGGTGGCGAGCGGCAAGTCCTTGATGACAAACCTTGTTCCAAATCCAGGGGTGTTCCATAAGCAGACCACCTGACTTATAGCAAGCGAGACGTTACAATTAAAGCTTTGATTACGACACGTTGATGCGTGTATAAACACATGATATATGTGTGAGTATATGATCAACTTCAAACGACGGAAGAAAAAAATCAGACAGCCCCGGCATCTAATCTCCTTTGTTCCAGTAGCATTTTTTGTCCCTTTCAGTGGGAATAATAATAGCCTGCAAAGGGTCTACGCTTTTGTCAGGGACCAACATGTGGCGTACGCTTAGGCCACCATGTAGCACGTGCCGCAAGCACGTGACTGCACTACCCTCTAAAACCAACCCTCTTCCTGTCCCCGTAGTTCGGGATCCTTTTGAGATATATCAACATAAGTGACTGTCGCAACTGACTATTGCGAATGACCTTGTCATTCCAACAATTTGTAGCTTTACTTTTCCGTCTTAATTTAGGCTGCGTGTCGCCCAGATTTGAGCCACTTTGAGCCACTCTTCAAGCCACAGTCAGCTTATTCCGTCATCTTACGTTTGACCTTTGAAGATGTGTGTCGGTTGAACCAACAAAACAGTAAGCGTCAGTGGCGGCGGTAGGGGGCACAGGGCTACAGGGTCTATATAAGGAAGCCTACGACTTCGTCCTTTGAACCTTTCTTCTAGTTAGATAGACAATTCAATGCGCTGTCAACTTTGATCAAGTGTAACACTGCGTTTGTGTTGTCCGGGAACGCCAGTATATATCCGACCTGTGGCTAGCTAGTTCTGCATTAGAAACGATTTAGCGAAGGGGGTGAAGAGAAAATCACTGTAGGTAGCGTTAGGAACGCCGGGAGATTTTGGCCGATTTTGCGAAAAGATCTAATTAGGGCTCGAAAAAGCTCCAGTAGCTTCATGTCGTCTGGAATTGACCCACTTTTCATGGAATTGGACAGGCCCTGGTTGACATGCCTCTGAGTTTCCTTCATTCTTTGTTATTTCCTTCATTCTTGACTCGGAATGTCCTCATTTCATTCGGATTGCCCTCTTTCGGGCTGATTACAACGCCTCCCTTGCCCTCTCTCCATGAGTATAAGGAAGCGTTCTTTTCTGCACTTTTAGACCTATTGAGCAGACAATTCAATGCGCTGTCAACTTCGATCGCGTGCAACACTTCACTTGGGATTGAGAACCCGGCCGGGTAGTTTACGCTGGTAACCTACCAAATGTAAAGCGAGAAGTATTTAAGAAGTGACGAAAGGTAGCATTTGGGCGACGAGAGACTTGATATCACGGGCGAGCTTAGGTGCTAGATGGGCAAGTAGTTGCACGAAGAGCTAATAACTTACAGAAGGCGCGCCAGGCCAGAAGATATAGCGTAGCGGCGTGGAGGCTGCTGACTAATCTACGCGCAGGAAGTGATCACGTACTGGGCGATAACACAGCACGTGGAACCATGGCATAGCACAGCCAAGCCTGTGACACTTACGAAGCAATTACACCGAAAGAAGGTCACGAATACTACGCCCCGTATTCGAAGTAAATTTCCCAACGTACAGTAGTTTATAGTAGGCTAGTAACCTGAAAGTTAATAGTAGCCCATGTACTTGAATTTTTTTACTTGGGTTACTCATGCTCCCAAAGAAAATCGGTATCATACCCCACCCCCCAACGGATCACCCTAGCAGTGGATCACCCTTTTACACCAAAACATTCCCTTTTTGAACAATAATAACGTACTAAATTGTGAAGCTATTCGCAAGTACATAATTGAACTAGTTATGTAATTGCATGTAGTTTAATCTTAGTATAGATCTGTCGACCCAGAAGTCCTAATTTTTTCGCTACATTATCGCAAAGTAACTCCAAATTAACTCCAAATTAGCTTCTTGATATTCTTCTCCCCCTACCTTTGAGTATGAATTGCGTCTTGTACTACCACAATGTCTGAACAAAGTGACGATAATATGGTCAATGCGTACCTAGACGTCACAGATAATAAGCTTTCTATTCGTCAATCGGCTCAAAAGCATGGAGTTCCTTATACAACGTTGAACCGAAGACTCAACGGAGTCCCCCCCAAAGAAGAGGTCCTCCAAACACAACGCAGGCTCACAGAGCCTCAAGAAAAGCGGCTCATTAAGTGGATCGTCAAGCAAAAAAGACTCGGCTTTGCTCCGAGTTACTCAACAGTATTTAGCATTGCTTCAAGACTCTGTAAAGAAGCGGGGCAGAAAGACCCTGTAGGGAAAAACTGGATTCCTAACTTCAAAGCTAAAAACCCTGACATTCGAGCCAAAGTAGGCAAGAGAAAGGAAACCGCCCGTTTTAACGGGTTTGCTCCCAAAGCCGTCAACCGGTACTTTAATATAAGGGAGAAAGAATATCGCAGCACCTATTGACAAGATCAACTTCATTCGCTACTACAATGTAGCCAGGAAGGAAGCATTGACAGGAAGAACCATCAAATCATCATTCCGGACGAACCGAAATTAACCTGTTAATAGGTAAAAAGCCCTAAACCACCCAGAGATTCAGCAAGATAGGGCAAAGACCCCTAAACCCCCTGTCCTCTCTGGAGTCCCTAGCATACCAACTACAGGGCGTCAGACTAAGGATTTTAGCAAAGGAAGTAGTCCCCGGACTAGATGGAAGTTCCAGAAAGCCGCAGCAGCCGCTGAGAAGCTTCAGACCGAATTAGTACTCAAGCAGCACCGTATTGAAGCCCTGGAGGCTCAACTGGAACGTATTAGGCCCCGAAAACGAAGGAAAATTCCCAATCCTAACAAGCGGTTCATAGACCTAGGGACTATACTACTAGGCGGCGGGATTCCCGCAGAGCCTCAAGCAGAGCCTCAAATTAAAGAGGTGGATGATGACGATGAGGCTGAAGAAGAGGCTGAAGAAGAGGCTAAAGAAGAAGAGTTGCCTACAAGACTAACAAGTTCTGGCAGTGCACTTCGTGTGCCAGCACAATATATGGATTAAACAGTCAGCTAGCTACATTTTGCCATATTTGGCTTATAAATAGCTTCACAATTGAGTGCGCTGTTGTTGTTCAAAGATGTAGTGTTTTCGGTGTAAAAGGGTGATCCACTGCTAGGGTGATCCGGTGGGGGGTGGGGCATGGTATCGAGCGGCTTAAACCTGAGAATCATGTCACTGTTACTTGCGTTCCCGGCCAAAAGAAACGCACCTAGCATATCATAGCGAATGTCTAATATTGCCTAGAAAACTTTGGGTTTGATGTTCTTGATTCGGTACTATTTTCAATTCTAGAGCTTAATTCAATTGCGTTTCAGCTTACAGCTGCCGCGGTGAGAAATAATCCCCCTATCTTATTGAAGGTATAAGATCTTACGCTTTTGTATTCATCTTTACTATCCCATTGCTGTCTTTATCACCAAGGTCATAATATTAGCCAAGTTCCAGAGTCAAAAAGCGCCCACCTAACTATCACATAACTATCACAAGGTCCAAATAGCAAACCACGGGTCACCGGGACAGTTCGGTCATTACATGTTTCAGAGGGACTTAAAATGGGAAATTACAATGCAGCCATCAAAGGACAGAACTGCTCCCAGATAACAAACAGCCCAATGCATGTCTGCTGTCTCGCGAACGGCCTGCGCCCTTTCTCAACTATTCTTCAACCTGGCCTCGATGGTGCTCTGGACGGGATTGTCAGGCAGCCTCCAAATCTTCTCGATGCGGAGCCCGACCTCGTCCAGCAGCCTGCGCCACTGCTCCTCGGTCCGCTCGACGCCGCCCTCCATGAACATGTTCACGTCCATGAAGAAAGGGAGCGGGTCGCACCCCGCAACGGCCGTCGCCGGCAGAATCATCTCGCCGATCAGCACGCGCGACGTCGGGCCCATGGCGTCGACGATGTGGCCCAGGATCACCCGGCTGCGGTCGTCGTAGTGGTTGTGCAGCACGTTGCGGAGGTAGTAGATGTGCGCATCTACACGGTGGTTAATTATTAGTGGCTTGATGAAGGTATCTAAGCCCAAGGCCCAAGGCCCAAGGACTCGGTATTGGGGGGGGAGGGGAGGGGGAGGCAAACTCACTCTTGACGGGCTGCTCGTTGTAAAAGTCGTGCGGCATGTTCTCGACGCCGTCGATCCTAACAGGGTCTTGACCCTCGAGCACCTCAGCCATGTCCTGCAGGACCATGCGGGGGGTGCTGCTGCCTTTGGCGGCGCACTCCTTCAGAATGGCCACGAGCGCGTTTCCGCGGCCGCCGCCGACGTCGACGACGAAGGCGCGGTGCGGCTCGGCCTCGGCGGCAGCCTCGGCAGCGGCGCCGAATAGGAACATGCCCGTCACGGGCTGCGTCGCCTGCACCAGCTCCATGCCCCGGTGCCACGCCGCCGCCACGGCCGGCTCCGCCTCGAGCGCCTCGTAGTACGTCATGCGGCCGTCGTGGCCCGCCGCCCACACGTACGGCACCCGCCGCGCGTCCTGCGCCTGCGCCGCCGTGTGCGTCTGCAGGTACTCGGACACTTTCCACCACCGCGGGAACTGCATCGTGCTGCATGTGCCGTGTTAGTGATTGCTACTGTGTCTCTGGATTTGGGGTTTCTTATCCCGGGGATTCTGGTGCGGCGAGATTCGTGCTTCTTCTTTCTTTTTTTTCTTTCGGCTTACCCCACGCGGAACAAGCTAGCTGCTTGGTCGGTGCGAAAGATGGCTGACGCCGCCGTATGCTCGTACATATCTCGGGCCGTCTCCCTGAGAATGCCCTGGGTGAGCACGATATGGAGGAAGCGGGCTGGGCAGTGGACACGTTTGAAGTTTCAGCTTTCGAAATATGATAGGATGATCACTGCAACCAGCATTCGGTAGCCTAGACGGCCTAGGTAAGGCACCCGACCAATCAGCACGCACCTAGAATAGAGGCATCGAGCTTGACGGCCGCGGAGAGGTCCTCGAGCGAGACACTCCCGCCAACCGGAACCGCGTCGAACACCCCAAAGTCGAGCAGCATGTTGAGCGCGGGGAGGATTTGGAACTGCCGCCCTGGCCCGTTAGCCATATTCTCGCCGGCCCGTTGCGGGTCTGCGCCGCCGACGTAATTACCGGGCGGGCTTGGAACAGCAGCGCGTCCAGGCCCCCGTGCACCAGGCACCGCAGCGTGTCAAGCCGCCGGACTACCGTGGCCCGGGCCGCTGCCGAGCCGGTGTGTCTCTTGAGGTCCAGGACCAGCTGCTCGGCCTCGGCGATGGCGGATTCGTCTGCCATGGCGGGCTGTGGCATTCTGGATGAACCGAGCGTTCTCCGTTCTCTGCGATGATGAATGGAATCAGCTTGAGTCAAAGTGGGCTCCTGAACGGACTGCAAGCATCAGGCACAATTTAAGAACCTTCCCTCCACTATTGGATGCAGCATTGGCTATGCTCACTTGTACTTCAATATTGCCTCAGCAGCTGCTTACTCTATTCTAATGGTAGGGGCCTGCAGAAACATTTCGGTGGGAAAACCTATTCCAATGGTAGGGGCTTGCAGAATCATTTCAGTGGGGAAACACATGCATTGTGCAGGGCGCAGTTCCCAGCACGATTCGGATTGTTCCGAACGAGCCCGCAAACGTTTGTTCCTCCACCCCCTCCATCGCGGGACCGCCATTGTCCGCGCCGTTCAATCACATGGAGAGGAAATCGCCGAAACCCCCGGACCGGCGCTCAGCCCCATTATGCCGACCGCTGTGGCTGTGCAATATTTAACAGCAATCCAATGGGGTAACTAGGCAATAATTGCAATTGCCCAACTTTCGGTGCATTATCATTGCCACAGAGATACATTATTCGGCATGTGGCGCACGACCAGACAATGGGGTTGTGGACCGTGGCGAATTAGATACTGCTGCCCGGCGGCACTGGGAAATATACCTACCTGCCGTGGTTCGAGGTTTGAATCACCTTTGAGCTCAGCCCGTTCACGTACCCAGTATTCTTGTCTTGCTGAGGCTGGCATCGGGACAAGAAAAATGTCTCTTTCGTTCTGGGCTATCCTCTGCTTCCTCGTCGTTGGCGTATACTTGGCGACTCGGCGTTTTGGGCTATGGATTCTCGAGGTAATTAACAATACTGGTTGCCTCTTCGCGGGAGAAACTGGCACTCGGAATTGCGGGAGAAACTGGCACTCGGATCTGCGGGAGGCTGGCTTGCTGATGCTGCGATGACAGACGACAACCTCGTGGCTTCTTTCAACGTTCAACCCTGGCGTGCTGCCCGGCGGCAAGCCCTTGTCGGGCCCCAAGTGGCAGTTCCCCAACGGCGCGATCCTCCAGCGATTCATCGACGGCCGAGCCAGCTCCGAGAGTTGGCGCAAGTATGGCGCCGTGTACCGGATCTGGTCGGGGCCGCACCCGGAAATGTGAAGCCCCCAATCCCCTTCTTTCTCGCCCTTGCCGTCGAAGCTGGGTTCTAAACTGGCCCCTAACGAGCTCTGCTTCCTTTGCAGCGTCATCACGACTCCGGAAGACCTCAAACACTTTAGCACCGACGCCAGCGACCACGGCAAGCCACACAACATGAACCTAGGCTGGTTTCTCGGCGAGGTGCTGGGCAAGTGCCTCGGGCTACTCGGGGGCCAGGACTGGCGGCGGCTGCGGAGGATCTTCGACCCGGCCTTTACGCACAGCGCCGCCGTGGCTCGCATCGACGTCGTCGACGGCGCCGCGCGCAAGTACGTCGCGGAGCTCCCGCGAATGGCGGCGGGGACGAGCACCGGCACGAGCCACGCGGGCGGCGACAAGGACACGTCGCCGCCGTCGTCGCCGTTCAACCTGCTGGCGGTGGAGGCCTTCACCAAGTTCCCGTACTTCCTAACCGCAAGCGCCATCTACGGGCCCATGACCGACGCCGAGGAGCGCGACCTCTGGCGCGTGACCGAGAAGCGCATCGCTCTCGCCCCGTGCTTTCTCATCGGCGGCCCGTACCGCTTCGCCCTGGCCTCTCGCGTCTTCGACCGCGCCGCCGTGCGCCGCATGCGCGAGTACGAGCGCGAGTGGCGCCAGTATAATTCCCGCATGGTCCAGGCCAGGCGTGCACGCGGCGACGGAAAGGCGCCGGTTGTCACGTACTGGGAGGAATACGAACGAGGAAACATGTCGTTGACAGAGGTAATTTTTCTTGCTTCTTTTTTTTCCCTTTCTCTTTTTCCTTTTTTCCTTTCTCTTTTTTTTCTCTTTTTTTCTTTTTTCTTTTTTCTTTTTTCTTTTTTCTTTTTTCTTTTTTCTTTTTTCTTTTTTCTTTTTTCTTTTTTCTTTTTTCTTTTTTCTTTTTTCTTTTTTCTTTTTTCTTTTTTCTTTTTTCTTTTTTCTTTTTTCTTTTTTCTTTTTTCTTTTTTCTTTTTTCTTTTTTCTTTTTTCTTTTTTCTTTTTTCTTTTTTCTTTTTTCTTTTATCTTTTATCTTTTTTTCTTTTCTCTTTTCTCTTTTCTCTTTTCTCTTTTCTCTTTTCTCTTTTCTCTTTTCTCTTTTTTTCTTTTTTCCTTTCTTCTTTCTTCTTTTTTCTTTTTCCCTTTCTCTTTATTTCCTGTTGCTGGTGTTTGTTGTCTTTCTGTTGTCTTGTTCATTTCTGCCTCTTGTGTCGCCCATCTCGGTCAGACCGCACTTGGCCGAGACATGATGCTGACTCGCCCTCTGGCTGATTAGCTCCTGCACACCCTGGACGAGCTGCTCATGCTCAATCTTGACGTCATCACCCACGTCCTAACGTGGTTCATCACGCTTGTCGCCGACCACGAGCACGTCAAGCGCGAGCTCCGCGACGAGATTGCCGAGAACCAGGCTAGTGTGCTCGAGTACCTTGCAAAAACCGACACGCATCTGCACCGGTGCTTTACCGAGTCCATGCGGGTCCGTCCGTTTGCTAGTATGTGAATGTCGTATCTGTCGTTCTTGTTCATGGCCTGTGCCGATCTCGAGCAAGACACTCTTTTCCTGTGCTGATTTGCCGCCGGCTTTCAGTTTTTACTCCTGGAGAATTCTCGTACTCGGTCAAGAACTTCCACGGCGTTCTTGTAAAGCCAGGGGTGAGTAGACCGACTCCCTTCCGGCGCCACGTGGGTGGAATGCTAACGACGGCAAGACGCAAATCCTGGTCGACGTCCTGGCCATCAACGTGCGGAACCCGTTCTGGGGCGCCAACAGCGAGTCCTTCGAGCCTTCGAGACTGAAGAACATCAAGCCGTCCGAGGTAGGCCATTCGCTTCCACCCCCGCCGCACACAAGCCGTGCTCCGATTTTCCCCTGAATCTGACCTGACCGTCCGACCAGCTCCGGCACAATCTTCACTCGTTCGGTATCGGTAGCCGTAAGTGCATGGGGCAGTATGTGGCCGGCCACATTGTAAAGGCGCTCGTGGTTCACCTGTTCGGCGAGTTTGAGGTCCAGGTCCTGGACGGCCGCCGGCAAGGGGGCGACGGCTACGACGTTGACAAGTCCAGCTGGACGCCAAAGGCGGGCGCCTCGCTGCGGCTTACAAAGCGAGAGAGTTTACTGTCGTAATTCGAGACTCGATTTGGCTTTTGGACTAGGTAATTACTGTTGAACAGTCAAGCCACACGTATGACGATAGTATCATCACCTGACGGACGGAAGAGTAGTGGCATAGTGGAGGGGTATAGGGTTAGGTCTGGTACTATCTAAAGAGACTTCTTAGCAGCTCCTCAGCTCCTTTAACGGTCCCTATTTTTCTCTACATATTTTTAGGCCGCCTACTATCCCTAGTCTAATAAAAATCTAGACTACCAGTTATAAACGCTCTAATTATTTCTTCGTATTCCTTAAATTATAAGGATTAAAGCTTGTTAGATATGTGTATTTCTTAAATTATAATAATTAAAGCTTGTTAGATATTTTACAAAATAATATTCGTAGATTTCCGCCTCTCCTAAAAGAAGAGTACGGATAAGTTAGTTGTTGAACTGCGTGTGGTAGGCAGGCGAAGTGGAAGCGTTTTAGCGTATTGCAGAGGCGAAAGCTACGGACGCAGTCAGGACTGCCAGGTTGCCTCCCGAAAGGTGGGGGGCATCTCAGAGACCCGAACAGGGCGGGGCATAAGATGCGACGCTGCTTTCACAGCCGCAGCTCAAGTCCAATCAATGATCCCCTGTTAATTCCAGACAATTTAAGGCAATTATATCATCATGATCAAAGGCGGTGGAACCTAGTCCCCTATAACTTGCCAGACAACTACCTAGAGATGGCCACCAACCTAGAGATGGCCACTAACCTAGAGATGGCTACCCCTGCCAAGTTGCCAGGCTCCGGCAAGTGGGGGCTCGTCTGGAAAAAGCCAACAGGCAGCTGAAACCCCGGATCCACCTCCCGGACCAGCTCGACCGTGCGGCGAACGAGGTTGTGGCCCCAGTTGAACCGCGCGAACTCCAGCGGCGTCTCTGTAGACGGCAGTTCCAGCCAATCAGCCACTCTTCAGTCTTCACAAGTTCACAAAGGCGGCCTGGACAGACACTACTCACTCGGCACGTCGTCGACGTACTTGGCCACCTCGCCGTGGATCAGGCCGACCTGCTCGCCGCCCGCGCTGCTCATGACCTGGATGGCACTGGCGCGGTGCAGCCTGGCCGCTTCGAAGACGCCGAGCCGCTGCTGCAGGCCGCCGGGCGTGGCGCCGCCCAGCGCGATGCCGTCCTCGATGCCCTGCGCGCCGCCCTGGCCTTGGTCTGTGGTCATGCCCTGTCAGCTTCTCTTATTGTCATGGAGATGAAATGTGGAAGGACAACTTCTCTTATTGTCATGGAGATGAAATATGTGGGAACAACACACGGGGCAGCTTTGGGTGCGCCACATCTCTAATCATCATGACCATCTTCCCCCGCGTCCAGCTGGCTACGGGGGCGCGGTATAGCAGCGGCCACCGTTTTACGTCGGTTACTTTACTGCAAGAGGTTAGTAACATAGCACACGAATAGAAATCCGCTGTCATGGCGGTTTTACTTTAACACGGCGGGGAGAGACGGGTGGAAGTCGGGGAAAGCGGCGAGCAGGTGGGACTTGTCAACGGGGGCGTGCCAGTCTGGCGGTGTGTCAGTTGGCGTGTTCCCTGTTCGGGCGCGTCAGTTGGCATGTTCCCTGTTCGTGCGCTCAAGCGGTGGTGTAGGAGAGACCACCTGTCGCCGACGCGAGCTCGTCGTCGTGGAAGATGCCGACAAAGTTCCACACCTCGTGGCTGTTGCCAACATAGCAACAACACACATAGCAACAACACACATAGAGACGGGAGGAGGAAAGGAAGCCCACTGAGCCCACTCACTCCCGACACGGATACGACACAAGCCGGTTGCCCTTGGCGCCGTTCGTGTAGATGCTCATGCGGCCGTTCCTGCAGCCGCCATCATTCCACCACCGCGTGTCGGCGTCGGCGCCGAGCGCGGCCGAAGCGATCAGAAATCGGAAGCAGCCGCTGTACAGCGCCGGGGGCTGGGCCGGGTTCGGCCGGCCCAGCACGACCTCGGCGCCGATCGAGTGGATCCCGTCGGCGGCCACTACCACGTCGCCCGCGACCGCCGTGCCGCTGGCGAGCGTGATAGAGGGTGCTTCCGGGTTCTGTCGTCGCGTTTGCTGTCAGTCTCATGGGAAAGCAAGGCAAGGGGGACTGTCTCTGATGCTGTGCAGCTTCTTCCATGCAGGGGCAGGCTCACATAGGCGACGACGTGGCTCTCGAGATGCGCAACAGCAGGCTCGCCCGGCCCGTCACGGCCCGTAGCAAGCGCCTTGAGCGCCTCGTGGAGGTCAACGCGGTGGGCAAAGAACAGGGGGGCGTCGTATACGGCGGCGACCCAGCCGCCGAGCGGCGTCAGGTCGAGCTGGGCGAGGGTCGCGCCGGCGGCGGCCAGAATGCCCTGGGCCTGGACGAAGCGGGCGGCCACGGGGTCGAGGCCCCAGGCGAGCAGCACGCGCGCGGTGTTCGGCGGCACGTTGATGGCCGCGCCCACCTCGTTGTCCAGCCCCGACCGCTCGTAGACGTGCACCCGGTGGCCGGCGCGGCGCAGCGAGACTGCTGCTGAGAGCCCCGCGATGCCGGCGCCGACGATGATCACGGTGAGTGCCATCTGTGCGTCTTCTTGTTGCAGGCAGTCTCGGAGTTGGAGCGGTGAGATGGCTTGGGGTTGGAGGGTGAGATGGCTTGGGGTTGGAGGGTGAGATGGCTTGGGGTTGGAGCGGTGAGATGGCTTGGGGTTGGAGCGGTGAGATGGCTTGGGGTTGGAGTGGTGAGATGGCTTGAAGTGGTGAGATGGCTTGGGGTTGGAGTGGTGAGATAGCTTGAAGTGGTAAGATGGCTTGGGGTTGGATAATGGGGTGGTATCACAGGAAATGCACGAGACCGCTGTGCATGTGCTTGATAGGACCGCCGTCGGTCACTCGGGAAAATCACCGATGCAGGTCGAATACTCGCACACTTCCTAATTAGTACGAGGTTTGCAGAGGATCATCTAATTACTTCATTCTGGACGGCCGGGAGAATTTCTAGCGCCCAACGGTGAAGGATTAACATCTGGAGATACCGCGGGCGTATCGGAAAAGCAGGACCCGAGACCTGGGAAGTCGTATGTCGTTACTTGTATATCACGGTGGCACTGGCGAAGGCAATCCGTTGCTCTCGAAAATAGAGAGGAACACATGGTGAGATGCCACTAGACGGCGGCGCGCTGGACTGGGACGAAGCTGGCAATGCGTCTTCCATACGGGCGGCGCACTTAACGGCTTCCAAATTGTTTGTCTTGTCCTTCGCCGGAACTGAACGAGGTCTCGCCGGAACTGAACGAGGTTGACTCTACGAGTCTACCACGGACGCTTCACGTTCCGGGCGACGTTGCAGCTAAGGCGAAGCTTGATCCTTGGCGCGCTACGACGGGCTGTTTCGGTCGACCAAGAGATCTATCCCGTCTCTCCACACTGCTCCCGGTCTCCACACTGCTCCCGGTCTCCGCACTGCCCCCGGTCTCCACACTGCTCCCGGTCGACTTTGCTCTCCCTTGCTTCCGCCCCTCTTTTAATCCCGTTTCTGGCGTGTCAAGGCTCTGCATGTGTTTGTGCACGATCTGTAGGTGTATCCTGAGCCCAGGGGAAACGAGGATCCCGCTTCCTTCTCCCCACCCAGACAACGCACAACGCCCCCAGTGTGCCAGATGCAATATCGGCGCCAACGTCGACCAAAACTCGATTGCGGCTGGAGTGGTGGAGCCTGCCAGTGCTGTTGGGTTGGACCGGCGAAACTTGGACCAGCGAAACTTGAACGCCACGTTTCCATGCTACGCCGCCATGTGGGTCTGAGGATCCGGGCTCGGTACTTGGAAGTTTGTGCCCGAGTGCCTCACGGTCTCTTTTGTATCTTTGCGTGCCTTGGCCTGTTTTTCAGTATCATTCTAGTTTTGACTCTCAATAGACCTAGTGGATGGCTTCCCTCGTTAGTAACATCAACCAGTCTTGTTCTGCACTGCGTCTTGCATGCATCAGCTACGCCAGTCTTCCTCTTTCTTTCGTTGCTGCGTTGCTACTACCCTCTCCATTGTCGTTGCCTTTGATGCCCACGCAGATATTCTTTGCTCCACAACATGCGAGACAAGACAGGAGACCCAGCAGCTCACCCAGAAAGAGCAGACAGCCCGACAATGTCGGCCCACCCACCAGAGAAGCCACAGTTCTACACCACCCCTAACTACAATCACGGCCATGACGAGCCGAAGCCGCACCTGCACGCGAAGACGTTTCTGGCCGTCTTTGCCACGTGGGCCATCACTTTGTGCAGATCTACAACGTCGTAGGGGCTGGCGCGGTACGTTGTAAACAAACATTGCCTCTCATCGGGGCCTTGGTCAGTCACCAGGACGCAGCGGTACCCTTTCGCCTTCTGGGTGTCACGCCGCAGATTGCCCGTGCCGGCGCCGAGGCGCCGCTCGGGACCTTTTCGACAGGATTCAGGCATGTTTGGATTGCTGCAAGCGTCGTTGTGGCGTTTGCCGCTGTGCGTAAGTTGTTCTTGGTATTCTCCTTTCTGTCAGTTGGACTGCTACTGATGGCCATGCAGTGGCCGTTTTCCTCAAGGACCCCAGCGACGAGTTCAACATGCGTATTGACGCGCCCGTGGAAAAGGCCGAGGAGCTGTACTCGTCGTGAATAGCACATGCTTTAGAATGAACTAGACTTGGACTAGACTAGACTTGGTACTAAACAAGGAATACTAGAGTTGATCACGAGTTTGTGTTCCTTTACCAACTTGCTTTGCAAAGCTTTAGCCTTGGCACCATGAGTCTGGATCAGCAGAACAAGCCCCCTAAAGGATTATATATCTTACCGGCTGTTCCAGTATGGGCATTGCCCAACGGACCGTAAAATCTCCTAGCGGCCTTGAGACCGTTCGCACTGAAAATGGTTCTCCCAAGAATCCCAGCTTTTAGCCGCATCTTTTCTCTCACCAGTGCCCACCCAAAATAGCATCGCGGCACTGCCGATTGTGCACTGCCGATTGTTAGTCTCTCAGCCGTTGGTCCCTTGCAGCATCAGCGCCGGCACCGTAAGCAGCTCTTTCGGTCGAGCCCAGGCTCGCGGGGCGTCATGCTCCAGTCGCTACACCACCTCTATAAACAAACCACACTAAAACTGAGCCAAGTAGCTGGTCAAGCTGCACCGAGCCAAGTAGCTAGTCAAGCTGCGATGTTCATGCCTCGTTTGCCCGTCTTCCGAAATCCCTTCCACTGGATTGCCACCCCGCCATTGCAAGCGGATCCCGGCCTATGGCACTAGTGGCAGGTAGACAGCCCATCAAGTCTCAGCTCGGGCAGTGGAGCAGGGCGGCAGGGCGTAGCGTGATTCCTCTTTCGACGCAACAAGCAGTGGTTGAAGCCAAAAATTAGAGCTGGAACTCCTGTGTTCTATCTAGCCTGGAAGGTCCGAGGGCAAAATACTTGCGGGTTGTGGAAAGGGCAGGTTCCATATTTGCCATGTTTGCTAATTAGTTGCTCCGCCCCTATTCCCATGCCCCCCCCCCCCAAATAATTTTTACGGCTCGTCTACAATTGCATACGCTTTCGAGACGACCTGCGCGGCCAGAGGGGCAGGTGCTGGGATGCTCCTTGATCAAGGGCGATTCGACTTTCGGCTTGACTTTCGGCTTGACTAGCGTGCTACCCGATATCCCTTGGACAAGAGGGCTAGTACCGCAATACTACGTCGCTAGCAAAACTCTCTCTCCACTTGCCGCGGACTAGTGGCCGTTGGAGATGAGAACCGCGAGAGCAAACTCGGAGAATAGTATGCGCAGGACACCTCTGGAAGCCAAGGCCGAGACCCAAAACGACGTGAACGCGTTTGGTTTGAGCTGTGGACCGCCCTCTTGTATTCCCAGTGTTTACCTCGGTCGCCCAGCTCTCCCGGGTTCTCCCTGTCACCCAGGCCCCTGCATGATGCGCGACTTGTTCCAATGCAGGCAGGCAGGTGATGAAGGGCCGTCGTGTTTTCTTCCAAGGTGCCATTCTCTTTTGCTCCTGATACCGTGTGTGTAACCAGGGAGCAATGATGGAAACTTGGTCAGTGGCGTCACCCTCTGCGGCCAACTGCGACATCTCAAAATCTCGCCCCGACCCCCGCTCAAAGGCAAGGGAAGAAGAAGCTTCGTATGGGAAAAACAGGAGCTAAAAAAAAAAGGGACGACGAATATCTGGGACACGGTGCAGGTTGTGCTATCAGCACGGGATAGCACTAGATGACAGCAATCCATCATGGGCTGGAGCATGCCTTTTCCACTCCAGCTATCCCAGCCACCCCCATCATCCATATTCACGCTCCTGGTGGCCCGACCGAACTGTTTCACCTACTCTCACTAGACCTCCAGACGCCCCCGAGCTCGCTGGACGTTGTATAAGACACGCAAGATACGATGGCGGCGCCGCCCGACTCCAGGGCTGGCAAGTGATACCCTCTCTCGCAAAGTCGCAACATTCCATGACTTTGGATGCCAGCGTCTCGAGGCCGCAGCCATGATCATCCCGCCGGCGGCCATGCCGGCCGTCATCACCAACTGCCTGTTCACCAGCCTCGCCTTCGTCGTCGTGTGCTTCCGGCTCGGCACAAGAGTCTTTGTCGTTAAGAACGTCGGCGCCGATGACTTGCTCATCGTCCTTGCCATTGTGAGTCGCGTGGGCTGTATTGCGGCTACATAGCGTTTTCGTCCACAGAGCAACATGTATCAGAGTCGCTAACGCAGGCCAACAGCTCGCGTCGATAGGGTTCTTGGTGGTGTTCATGCTGCGTAAGTGCATCCCACAGAGCCATAGCACCCCAGTGATTCCACAGAGCCATGGCATCTTTCCCCAAGCTGACCGAGAAATCGTGTCGTGTTCCAGAGGTCAAGGCAGGCCTCGGCCGCGCAATAACGGTCCCCGAACTCCCGGGGTTCCTGCAGGTGCGTCCTGGCCGCCCCCGGCCGAGCTTCACAGACAGACAGACAGACAGACAGACAGTCAGACAGTCAGACAGTCAGACAGACAACTAACCCGCCACCCCAGGCGCTGTGGGCAACCATCCCCATCTACAACCTCGCGCTGATGCTCTGCAAGCTGTCCATCACGGTGCAGTGCTACCGGGTGCTGCGCACGCCGCGCACGGCACGGTTCCTGCGCGTGTACATGGGCGTGCTGGCCGCGTACGGCGCGTGGAGCGTGCTGGGCAACGTGTTTGTGTGCTGGCCCGTCGGTTTCTACTGGCTCGAGCCCACGGGGACGCTCCGCGGCGCGTGCATGGACAAGGGCGCCGTCACGTTTTCGAATGCTGCGCTCAATATCGCGTCGGACCTCGTCCTCATCGCCGTGCCCGTCTCCCTGCTGTGGCGCCTGCAGCTCCCCCGCAGGCAGAAGATGGTCCTGGTGTGCCTGTTTAGCGGTAGCGCGTTTGCCTGTGTCACGAGCATCGTGCGCCTGCACGCCCTGTACACCATTGCCGTGGCGCCACCAGCCGAGCAGTCGGGTACGTCTCACTCCTCCGTCTGTCCGCTCATGGTCGTTGCGTGCTAACCGTTTGGTGCTTCAGTCGAGGGCGTCGATATCGCCATCTGGTCGTCCATCGAGATCAACGTCGGCATCATCTGCGCGTCGCTGCCGGCGCTAAAGCCGCTCGCCGCCAAGCTGTTTCCACGCCTGTTACTGTCGGGGCTCTACGCGCGCACCAAGGAGGCCGCGCCGTCGGGCGGGCGAGAGGCTGTGGGTGGGTCCAGCGGGAGTGGCAGCCACGGCGGCCGCCGGAGCGATCACACGGCGAGCGAGGACGCACACTCGGGCCACCGCGCAGAGATCCGCGTCAGCCAGTCATTTGAGATGACGAGCGCGCCCGCCACGGCCGTGCCCGACACTACTGACCTCGAAACGGGAACGGTGGCCGCTATAGGCACTGACGATGGGCAGACGAGCCGCGACGGCAGTGAAAGGAACCTAGTTTCGTCGAGCTGGCACGGCGACGGCTGCAAGATGGCCACCGTCATGAGCGATCCGCACGACATGGTTTGAGGGTGCGGTGCTGGACGCTGTCATTTATTTCACGCTTACCTCTATTTACTTCACGCTTACCCCTATTTCACGCTTACCCCTATTTACTTCACGCTTACCCCTATTCATTTCACGCTTACCCCTATTATTATTCTAATTCATATTCTTGTTCCCATTTTAGTCAATTGCACGTGTAATGTGGTAGGTTCGCACGTGTAATGTGGTAGGTTCGCATGTGTAATGTTGGTAGGTTCGCACGTATAAGGTTGGTAGGTATGTATGTACATGTACATGGTAGCAGTCGTATGTTGCTGGCATTCTCTGCTGATTACAGCGTCTTAAACACGTTCCTATGCACATCAAGCGCCGTCTACTTAGGCGACAGAATGTAAATCTCGCCCTCGGCGCTGTTGTCGCTGCCGACAAACAGGCCGCGGCCGGCGGGGTCCCACGAGGCGGCGGTCAGGCGGAAGCAGTTACTCTGGGTCAGGCCGTTGGCGGTGCAGCTCGCCGGGTTGGTGGCGGAGAAGATGTCCTTGTAGCCCGTCATGCTGTCGGCGGGGGCGACGGGGTCGTAGCTGCCGTCGGCGAGGCGCGTGAAGGGGATCTGCACCACCTTGAAGCCCGTGGCCGGCTGCCGGTCCCACGACCCGTGGAACGTCACGTACATGTTCTTGGCGTCGTCGTCGAACGTGTTCCAGATGGGTGCCGAGTGCGCCTGGAACGTCAGCCGCGGCGCGATGGCCTTGCCGTTGCACGTCGCGTCGTTGTACGAGCTGTTGGGCGCCAGCACAAAGTGGCTGCCCGTCTTGAGCCCCGAGAAGCTCGACGGGTCCCACACTGAGAAGCACGTCGGGTATCCGTACCACGCATCGCGCACCGTCATCGGGTCGCCCACTGCATCCACGTGTTAGCCAAGCCGGGAAGGGGGCCAGAGAGAAGAACATACGGTTGTTCAGCTTCTCGGCCGGGTTGTCCTTGTGGATGTCTCTGCGGTTGCCGTTTTCGGTGCGAGTAAAGTCCTGCGCAGAAAGGGGCGTCAGTCTGTTGTCCATTTCCTTATCCGCTCTCCTTATCCGCTCTCCTTCTCCGTTCTCTTTCTTCTCGCGTGTTTGCCTTTGGAAAACTCACGTCGCCGCTGTTCTCGACTCCCCAGAAGACGCCGTTGGGGTCGGCCACGAAGCCAATCTCGTTTCTCAGGCCATAGCCAAAGACCTCGCCGTCCGAGTTGTAGTTGTAGCCAGCCGAGGGCGCCTTGCTCATGTCGAAGATCTTGATGATGGCGCGGCCGGTGGCCTTGTTGGCCGCGGCCATGTCCAGGTTGGCGTTGCTGCCGACCTGGAGCAGGATCAGGTTGGGGTTCTTGGCCACGACCTGGATGGCGCGGGTCGAGTGGACACCCGTGGACATGCCCTTAACCACCGTCTTCTGGTTGCTGACCTTCATGGCCACGGGGTCGTAGGACCAGCTGAAGGCAGTCGTTTCGCTGCTAGCGTACAGCGTCTTGCTGTCGGGCGTCAGCGCCAGTCCGTGGTTGAGCTGGGCGCCAGAGATGAGCAGGCTGGTGCTGTTGATGCACCCGTCGGCGCCGAACGTGTGCACCGAGATGCCGCGCGTAGCCTGCGACACCAGCATGTGGCCCTCGCTGTCCCAGATGACGTGCCGAACCTGCTTCAGCCCGCCGGCGATCTTTACGGCCGACCAGCCCGACGCCACAGTGTTGGCATTGCGGAACGCCGACACGCCTGTGCAGCTCTTGGGGAGCGGCAGCTTGGGGATGGCCGCCTCGACGCCTGCAGTTTTGTCCTCGTCAGATTAATACCCGGCAGGAACAGCAGAGACGCCCCAACTCACCGACGCCCAACAGGGCCGCCGCCGCCACGAGAGTTTCCAACAGATGCATTGTCTATGTCGCTGTCGCGGGTCGCGTATGCAAATCAGGGGATGGGGGACAGAAACCGTCCCTTCCGGCAGCCCAGGGACGACGCGTACTTGCACATATATATTACAGCCGCAGCCACGTCGACAATCTAATTAGCGGACATGATCGTGACAGACGCAAGGGGGGGGGTCCGTTGAACACATTGACTATTGATGGCCAAGACGGGATCGGTCGGCGTTCCATCACTTGTTCCATGCTCGAATGCTACCCGTTTATTCGCTTGGCGGCGGCTCCGCTAGAGGGTGGCCATGGATTTTGGTGGCCAAGCACTATGCTGGGATGAAAGGGCCAATATCGTGGTTGATAGCCTGTTCGGCAATATCGCTCCGGGCTTCTTCGAACGGGACGACGGCACTCGCCCCCCCACGGATATAACACTGGTCCCAGATATAGCCTCCGAGGCGCCGTGAGGGGTCCCGCCGCCATTGGCCGCCGCCAGACGCGATATTAAACATTAAACCATGCGCGTGTTTCTAAAGCTGGCCCGTCTGCTGTGCACAGCGTGGCGCCACCGAAGACGTCAGACCAGGCCATTGATATTGGCGGTCGGTAAGTCGCCTGTCCTGGCCCAGGTAAGGTGGCAATCTGCACCAGAATCAAGCTCTCCCAGTGATTAATTAGCGTGGTCAGCTGGCTGCTTCTGTCGAAGACAAATCCGACACCGATTGGTATGGTGCTGTCATTCTCTGGGAATTCCAGCCAACAGTGTAATACCGAATAATGATCAATTCAAATACAACGTGGCTCCTGTGGCTCCTGTTAAATTACAACATCCTCAAGCCAAAATCAAATTTCAAGGCATGTCCCCAGTCGTCTCTGAGCCGGTGAAGAGGCATGCGGTAATCTTGAACTCATAAACAGACTCGACCAATCAGACTCTGCAATAGTAAGCTGTGATGGAAAGAAGCGGCAACGACTTCACACACATGCACTGCACTGCACTGCTAGAAACAGATCTCGCCAGTCGGTTGAACATGGAGCACACAAGCAGAAGGTTCGTCATGCAAGCTGCAGCCAATCGGTCGAGGCCATTTTCTAGTCCTAAGACAAAACCAAACAGCTAATTACGAATACATCACCAACATCCAACATCCCACTCGCTGAAAGCCTCGGCATGAAAGCTTGATCAACACCAAAACAACATCGTGGTTCCGGACAAGGTGCAAGCTCTCAAACCCTAGGAAATGCTTTGCCGAGACAGGCAGTCTTACCAATCCGCTACACCTCGGCCCAGAAATGCACTGAGATTACCCCACCTCACCTCACCCCGCTCACAGCAGCTCACAGCAGCTTACTGGCGCTGACATATAATTCCCCGGGGGGGCTCCGGTCGGCGGCCGCCAGCTCCGCTTCTTGCCTTACACAAGGTCATCGTGAGCTGTATTTATAACCCTGCGTGTCTTCTTCCTCTCCTCGCCTGTTCATCTCAGTATCCTCGACGTCCCTTGTTTACCGCCTCAGTGCGACCCAGACCTTGCCTTCGACTCACCACCAGGCCACCAACAAGATGACGCTCCCGTTCCTAGTCTTTCTGTACCCCAAGCCGGAGAAGCTCGCCCGGGTACGTTTTTCCCGACTACGCTACGTATCCGTGCTAAGACGCAGCTTGCCCGCAGGCTGAGGAACTGGCCCAGATAATCTCCGACTACGTCAAGGCGAATGAACCGGGCGTCTTGCAGTATCAGTGGTTTCGTGTCGCTGACGACCCCGACGGGCCGGCCATCGCCGTGAAGGAGACGTGAGTCTCGTCGAGGCCGTGCACCCCCTATGCCGAGCCGAAACTGACCATCCCGCCGCCATCAGATACGCGGACCAGGCATCCCTGGACGCGCATAAGGAGACCCCAAAGTTTGCCTGGCTTGTGAAGATCTCCCAGGAGGAGGATATTTTCAGGGCGCCCCTCAAGGTCCTACCCATCGACTTTATCACTGGCTTTGACAGGCGATGATTGGTCATAGACAGGGGAACACCATGTCCATAAAACAAACAGCACGAGCTTGAGCTGTTAGGAGTTGCTTCTGAGAGTCAGAGTTAGGAAATAGAGTCCCTGCCCCCGAAAGAACCATGTAACAAAACAGTTGAGGTGTCTCGGTGAAAGTAGGCCTGTCATATCAGAAAGTAGGCCTGTCATATCAGTCTTGGAAATACCGGAAGTAGCACCTAGGTACCGTAGCTATGAATAGTTCAGACGAGCGATTGCCTGCTCGACAGCAGCAGTACATTGTCTGCAGCTGCTGCCACGTTACCTCGTCGCATCCAGGTCACGGTGCCAACTGCCGACCTGAACCCAAAACAAAATAGGTTGGTTGGCCGGGTCTGCCTTGCCACCTCCCATGAGGCCATCCAGGCCCCAGGAGAGCGACCGGGACACTGCCCCACAAAACCCCGGGTTCATGTCCCCCACATGCCCTGAGCAGCCGCCTCGGTTCTTCGCCCGATTGTGGGGAGCGTCGGGATATAGCACGACATTGCTATATCGCACACCTCAACCTGCCCAGCAGCAATATCCCGGCAGCGAATAGGGCCCCTGGCGACGCTTCTTAGTCTGCTGCACGTATACGCCGACACGCGGCCAGGGCAGAGTCTGCAGAATGCAAGTCGTCGCGAACTGCTCGCGCCAAGACGCCCGCGCCCAATGGCGGCCAAGGGGAAAGCAAGCAGACCGAGCCTTGGCGCTTGGCCCCCGCCTGGCAGGGGAAGGGACCATCTATGGTAACATCAAGCTGGAATATTGGGTGGAGAAAGATGGCCCAGGAACTGTCGACACCTCCAGGCTATTTTGCAGTGCTGCGCTGTTGGAAGATCGGTTGATGGGAGTGAGGATCCTGTTAAGGAAACGGCCCCAGCGTGTTGGTGTAGCCTAAGTGCACATCAAATCATCAGGAGGACAGGAAATGAAGCCGCAGTGAGAGGTGCCGTGAGTGGCGAGCCAGCGTGGGAGAACATGTGTCAGCCGAGATCGAAGGATATAAGCTGTGCACATCCCAGCTGTGAACCCCTGATCAAAGTGTGTGTGTTGCCTGTGCGTATTGACCAGTAACGCCCGCCTCGCTCCCCGACTCGACACTGTTGGCTTCGGTCCAGCTCGCTAGACACAATGGGGTTTCTCGAAACCATCGTCGCTACGCTCGCGGCCGGGTCGGCCTTGCTCGGGACCACGCTCGCCCACCCCGGCGAAGAGCACTCGGCCGAGCACGTCAGGAAGAGCCTTGCCGCTCGAGAAGTGGCTGTTGCCCATGCCACCCAAGTGTCCAAGTGTGCCGCGTCGCCCAGGCACGCTGCGCTGCAGCAGAGAGCCGTGGCTCGCCGGGCTTTAACTGCACAGCTGCTGCGTGAAAAGCGCAACATTGTCGACAGTGAGAACCCCCCTCTTCTTCCGCATCTTCCACCCCCGATGATCCCGACCACGCTGACATATCGCTTCCTTGGCGGTAACCAGAGCCCATGGTGCACAGGCGAGACCAAGCGTCAGTCGACAAGTGGATCAACACGTGCCACGACATGACGAGCGCGTACAGCACGGACCTGGCGACGGCCGAGGCGAGCATCTTCGGGTCCAAGAACGCGACATCGGCGCTCACGCCCGAGACCATCGTCGGGCCGTACTTTGTGGCGGGCGAGGTGATGCGGCGCAACGTCACCGAAAACCAGGCGGGGATCCCCATGCACGTCGACCTGCAGTTCGTCGACGTGGCGACGTGCGAGCCCGTGCCCAACATGCTGGTCGACATCTGGCACGCCAACGCCACGGGCGTGTACTCGGGGGTGGCGGCCGCCGGCCAGGGCGGGCTCAACTCGACGTTCCTGCGCGGCGTGCAGGCGACCGACGCCGAGGGCGTGGCGCGGTACGACTCGGTGTTCCCGGGGCACTACGTCGGGCGCACCAACCACGTCCACGTGGCGAGCCGGCGCGGCGGCAGCGTGCTGGCCAACGGCACGTACCGCGGCGGCACCGTCAACCACGTCGGCCAGCTGTACTTTGACCAGGAGCTGATCAGCGCCGTCGAGGTCATGGACCCGTACGCGCGCAACACGGTGCCGCTGAGCCACAACCGGGCGGATTTCTTAGTCGGGGATGAGGCCACCGACGTGTACGACCCGTTTGTCGAGTACATGCTGCTCAGCGACGACGCCAACGACGGGCTGCTGGTGTGGATCACCATCGGCGTCAACACGACGGCCGACTACGACGCCCTGGCCGTGCCCGCCGCCACGTACCAGGAGGGCGGCGGCAAGGAGAACGAGGGATTCGGGGCGGGCGGCCCGCCGCCGGGGTTTCCCCCCTTCCCGCCCAACGGCACCTTTCCCGGCTTCCCCATGCCGACGCCGACGGCCGGCGGGCCCAAGCCGTGGGGCCCGTGCCTCACCAGGGGCAAGGCGAAGAGCGGAGGCAAGAGTAATTGATGTGCCTAGGCATGTGATTAGATGTGGTTAGATCGAATGCAGTGTGGAAACTTGGCATTCGGTAGGAGTCTATGGGAGAAAGCCGAGCAGAAAGACCGGGGTAACAAAAGAAGGTTTGAGGAAGAGAAAAGGAAAGCGGGCAGCTTTGGAACAGTCGACAGGAGCTGGAATTGGATTGATCCTGGAGCGACAAATAATGATCCTGGAGGCGACAAATAAAAATAGGTTACCTGACGAGTCAAGAAGGGGTCAAGCCTCTTTTTTTCTTGTTTTTTACCTCCGGCGGCGCCTGCGGCGAGCTGTACTCGCTTCGCTCGAGGGAATGGGTGGCTGGCCGAGGGGTGCTAGTTATGTTTGACCAAGTTATAACCACGGCATCTCTTATATTCGGGAGGAATCTGGTCGTTCGGGGTCTGTTTAGTTATAGGGAGGATCGGGCGGTCGGGAGGCTGGCCACCGTGTCTGGATTTGGCGCATCGGGCGGTGGGGGCTGCGGTTGAGGGACCCCGACCGTAGACGCGTTCCTAGCGATGTATTAGTAGAGATTAACAGGGTAATAATCGTCAAGTATTCGGCGTACCTGTTCATAGCTGGAAGGTGACAAATCGTGCGTGCGATTGGCTGAGGTTGAATTGCGAGACTGAAGTTGAATTGCGAGATTGAGGAAGAAAGTGGTTTATTTTGGGGGGAGCTGGAAAGTTGAAGTACCGCACGGACCATGCACAACGGATTGACAGCCATTCGACACAGACGAAAACTGCCTAATCCCCGGGCGAGAAACTTTCGGCACCTTCACGGTAAAGTAGAAGAGACAGCCTCTCTACGCTACCTCCGGCTCGCAAGCTCGCCTACGGTGGCTCCGTTCAGCTGAATTAACATCGAAATGAAGAAAATGGGAAATGAAGAAAACGAGAAAAAGAAACTTTAACTTGAATCAGACGGCTCAGCAGGATGGAAATGAATTAGTTAACTTTCTCTTGTTGAAAACAGCTTGCAGACGTTGCCTGAGTCTTTTTGTCGTGTATTCGGAAAGGCACAACGTTCATCTCATCACGCCGTGGTGTTTTTTCATGACAGAGCTCAAATCTGGCGCTGGCCAACTGCTGCGAGAAGTCATAGCGCGCCTGGCTTGCCAGACCTGACAGCCGACGGCAGCTGTCGTCAAGACTCCGAATTTGCCACCCAGCGCCTTGGCCCCTCACCCCGCACAAGCCCCAGCTGCGGCGCCCCACCATTTCGCATGCCAGATTGTGGGAGCTGGAATTCGTCGGCCTTCTGGAAGCACGGCCACCCTAGATTAGACCGCGACACGGCGCGAACATCGACCACCTACACACCAGCCATGGTTCTCCAAGACCTCGGCCGCCGCATCAATGCGGCCGTCACCGATCTGACGCGGGCGCCAAATCTCGACGAGAAGGTCTGTTATCTCTGTCTGTGCTACTGCTGCTGCTGCTGCTGCTGCTGCGCGAGGCCTGGCCACGTCGCGGCTTCCTCAATGTGGCCGCCGACTGTCGCTGGTCACTCCATGCCCCACTGACATGGTTAACCCCCCAGGCGTTCGACTCCATGCTCAAAGAGATCTGCTCTGCCCTCCTCGAAGCCGACGTCAACGTGCGCCTCGTCGGCCAGCTGCGCAAGTCGATCCGCTCGACAGTCAACTTCAAAGAGCTCCCTCCGGCCGTCAACAAGAAGCGCCTCATCCAGAAAGCCGTCTTTGACGAGCTCGTCCGCCTCGTCGACCCCCATGCCGAGCCCTTCAAGCCCAAGAAGGGCAAGAGCAACGTCATCATGTTCGTCGGCCTGCAGGGCGCCGGAAAGACGACGACGTGCACAAAACTCGCCCGCCACTACCAGTCTCGCGGCTTCCGCGCCTGCCTCGTGTGCGCCGACACCTTCCGCGCCGGCGCCTTCGACCAGCTCAAGCAGAACGCCACCAAGGCCAAGATCCCATACTACGGCAGCCTGACGGAGACGGACCCCGCCGTCGTCGCCCGCGAAGGCGTCGACAAGTTCAAGAAGGAGCGCTTCGAGATTATTATCGTAGATACGTCAGGCCGCCATAGGCAGGAGAGCGCCCTGTTCCAAGAGATGGTAGACATCCAGGCGGCCATCCACCCCGACGAGACCGTCATGGTGCTCGACTCGTCCATCGGCCAGCAGGCCGAGGCCCAGGCCAAGGCGTTCAAGGAGGCGGCCGACTTCGGCGCCATCATCATCACCAAGACGGACGGCCACGCTGCCGGCGGCGGTGCCATCTCTGCCGTTGCCGCCACCCACACGCCCATCGTCTTCATCGGCACGGGTGAGCACATGCTCGACCTCGAGCGCTTTGTGCCCAACAACTTCATCAGCAAGCTGCTCGGCATGGGCGACATGGCCGGCCTGGTCGAACACGTCCAGAGCCTCAAGCTCGACCAGCAGGGCACCATCAAGCACATGACCGAGGGCATCTTCACCATCCGCGACCTGCGCGACCAGCTGCAGAACATCATGAAGATGGGCCCGCTGAGCAAGATGGCCGGCATGATCCCCGGCATGAGCAACATGATGCAGGGCATGGACGACGACGAGGGCTCGCTCAAGCTCAAGCGCATGATCTACATCTGCGACAGTATGACGGAGAAGGAACTGGACTGCGACGGCAAGCTGTTCATCGAGCAGCCGACGCGCATGACGCGCGTGGCCCGCGGGTCCGGCACCACGGTGCGCGAGGTCGAGGACCTGCTCACCCAGCAGCGCATGATGGCCGGCATGGCCAAGAAGATGGGCGGCAACATGAAAAACATGCAGCGCGCCCAGAACGCCATGGGCGGTGGCAACAAGGCCCAGCAGCTCGCCGCCATGCAGAAACGCCTGCAGAGCATGGGCGGCGCCGGCGGGCCGGGCGGCCCCGGAGCCGGCGGCATGCCCGACATGGGCAGCCTCATGAAGATGTTTGGCGGCGGCGGTGGGGCCGGCGGCATGGGCGGCATGGACATGAACGCCATGATGAAGCAGATGAGCGGCATGCTGGGCGGCCAAGGGGGAGGCGGCGGGGGCCGGGGGGGGGGAGGAGGTAGACACTTTTTTTCGCTCTTCTTTTTTTCTCTCTTCTTTTTCACTCTCTTCTTTTTTCCCCTTTTTCTTTGCATGACTATTATTGCTGGGCCTGCCTGTGCCGTATTTTGTTCTTTTTCTCGGCCCAACGAAAAGATTGTGGGGGTTTTTGCATTGCCCGGCGTCAGGGGGTACGTATCTGTGGGTTGTTGTTGGTTGCGCGCTGAGCCGAGCTGAGCTGAGCTGAGCTTGAGCTGACGCAATTGCATGTTCATCTAGGCCGACGAGATAGATTGGCAAGCTCTTTGATGACAGCGATGATAATACATGCCCGAGGCTGTGCCAGCTTGATAAGCGGTGGGGGTCAGCTGCCGTGCTCCTTGCCAAAGTGGCTGCCTTGTCAAAGGCGAGTTTAGCCCTAGGCTCTTGCTTTGCAGTCTTTTTGTCATGTTAGTTGGGGTATGTTGCACACCGCCGACCGGAATGTGTTATGCCTGTCATGTCAGGACTTTTGGTCCCCACGGCTGGGTCAGGCCCGAGTAGATGCGGTCGAGGTACCCGAGTCACATCCGCGTACGGTGCTCGGGCCAATCACTACCCACGGCCATGACGGCCGCAGCCAGCAAGGCCAACAAGGCCGGCAAGCGGCGGCGGCTACCCGCATATTGTCGAGCCCAGCAAATCGATCAAGACCAAATCCGGCACGCGGGGGGCATCTTGAAACACGAGATACAAAGTGCAGGGCCCCAGCTAGCCCGGGTATGCGGCGGCCAGCAAGGAGGGCGAACGTGGTGATAGCACATTCGCGGTCTGCTAGCCTTCTCGAGCATAATCTACACGCCGAAAAGCAAACAAACTGCCGAACCAAAAAGGCGGCTTGTCCACCCCGACACTGCGCTCCACTCTGTCGGTGCTAACGCTTCAACTTGTCGGGGCACAGTGAACCGTCACTGTCTGCTAGATATCATCCAATTCAGTCCGCGCCTGTCCAGTCGCTACCTCTTACCTTCGCAGCTCTACCCGCCCGTGGCACCTCCGCCTCCGCCAACTTGCATCGTATCCGTCCGCCGTCCACCGTGCAGCCTGCCTGCCTGCCCGCCTGTCTGCCTATATATGTATATCCCGGCCATGTGCAAGCCCAGCGGCTCCGACCAGACGTGATGGTGACGGCCGAACCACCGCCAGAGCGGAGGCCGCGGCGGCACCACTCGCACTCGACCAAGGAGGTCGTGCCCCAGCCCGACTCGGCCGGCCTGCAGGCGCTATGGCCCGCCGCCCACTACTACTATCCCGCAACGCCGCCGCAGCAGCTCAGCGGAGCCGCCACTAGCATCGACACGCCCCCGTCGTCTCGCCGCCCGCTCCTGCTGCGCTCTCGTGGCCGCACGCAACCGCAAGGCCGCAGGGTCTGCTGCTGTGTCCTGCGCACCTCGCGCCTCTGGCTGCTCGTCACCCTGGCTGCCGCGCTGGTCATTCTCGTGGCCCTCAGCGTCGGCCTCGCCGTCGGTATGGGCAGGACCAGCACTGACACTGGTACCCATGCCCCTGCCGCGGGCAATATCTGTCCCTCGGCCAACGGCACCATCATGCAGAGCACCAGCATCAGCACCGGCAACCCGGGCGCCAACAACACGACGACGGCGACGACGGCGACGACGACGACGACGACGACGACGACGACGAGCTACAGGATATTCTGCGACGCCGGCTTCGGCGGTGATGGGCAGGGAAAGCTGGCCAGCGTCGCCCTCGCCGCCTTTGCCGAGTGCGCGGCCCTGTGCGGCTCCATGAACGCCCTGCAGAACCGAGACGACATCGGCTGCGCGTGGGATGCAGCAGCCACGGGGAACGGGAACGGCACGTGTTCGTGTCTTGCCGGCGCGGACAAGGCTACCGTCGTGCCTGGGCTGGAGGGGAGCATTGCTGCCGTGCCGTTGCTGTTTGGTGCTGCTTAGCGTCTCTAGTCCTTTTTTGTTCGGATTTTGGATGGGGATGGGGCCGTGATTGATCACTGATGTGCTTCTTAGTTTGGCTGAGATAATTAGTGATTCCTTCCGGGCTACCGTTGTCGGTCAAGGGGCGAGTTACCTAACTGTCACGATTACTAGGTGGAAATTGGAATAGGAGGTGAATACGGCTCTCGGTTGATAATTAGGTTTTGAATACAAATGATATAATGATGCCCCTACATCCGTTTTGTGTTAGTTCCCTAATGAATCTCGGCTCAACCGTTCCTCATCCATTTTTTCTCCTTTTGGATGACATTGCAAATTTAGCTTTACACTGTTCCTTGTCTCCATTCCATCCAGAAGTGCACTGCGAATTTAGCGTCGACAGAGCGATTTGTGGTCACACGCGTGCTAGGTGGACTTCAGCCTTGCACTGCAAGGTCTGTGGTCGACACATGCCAGGTAGACTTCAACCTCGCACTGCAATTTTAACGTCGGCGAGGAGGGCATGACTGTGATGCTTCCAATGGGAAGCTTATGTACGGATTACATATTCCCAGCCACTCATCAATACTTCCTTTCCCAAATCGAGCCCGGTAATAATTAACTAACCCAGTCAGTTCAAAGTAATTAGTTCTACTTATTAAAGGCAGATAACTCCAAGTTGATTCCAACTCAGTTATGTCACTGAATAAACACATGCCGAGTGCCCCCTACCAATGCTCACACGGGTGGCTTCCAAAATGTACTGGGTTCCAAAATGTACTGGCTTTCAAAATGTACAGAAACGTCTCCAAGAAGCTGCAAAGAAAGCAAAATCGATAAATAGAGTGGCTTTGTATGTACTATGCCCGCCCGCCCGCCTGCTTCCAGCCCATGATCCATAAATTCAAAGCTAAACCAACCGCTCCCAGGGACTCGCCAAAAACAACCCCAACGCCGCCGCCATTTACATGTATATTTAATTAGTCACAATGCCGTTTTCTAGCCAAGAGCAACAACGCCAGTCTCGATTACTTCAAGCCCGCAAAAACGGGTGCGCCTCTGTGTTGAGCACGTACTTGTCCAGGCTGATGAGGTCGGGCGGCGAGAAGACGAGGTAAAAGTACTTGAGCGTCTCGGCAAGCCAGAAGCTCTACGTCACAGAAGGCCAGTCAGTGTTGCTGTTTCGTGCCTAACAGAGATTCAGCAGCAACTCACCTCCATGTAGTCCTCCTGCGGCAGCTCATCCAGGTCCACGGTGACGTCGCGCACGGCGGCGCTCGCTATGGGGCCCCTCGTGCCGGCGGCCACGGCCTGGAACATGTCCCAGGCGGCGTCCTGCCACTCGGCGTCGCCCGTGACGCGCCACAGGTAGAAGACGCTCTCGATGGCCTCGGGGCGCAGGATGTAGCGCGGGTCTTTGGCCGTGACGAAGCCCTTGGGCAAGTGCGGCTTGGACTCGACGTTGCCGTCGCGCGCCGCCACCCACTTGTCCTCGTCCCAGCGGCACGGCTCGGCAGCGCCGCAGGCCATCATGTCGAAGCGCTCGGGCATGATGCCCGTCGGGAACGCGCGGTACGCGTAGGCGCACCCGCGCGCCAGGCGCGCCCCCACCTGCACGTCTTCCTCGCTGCCAAGCAGCCGGCCCGCCAGGGCAAAGGTGCCGCCGACGAAGCACGTCAGGTGCTCGCTCTGGGGGTCCAGGGTGAGGGTGCCGTCGACGCCCACGTTGACGGTGCCGCTGATCAGGATGTCGTCGAGATCTGGGACCATGGGCCGGAAAAAGAGGTGCTTCTTAGCCGCCTCCATGAAGCCCCTCGTGAGGGTCTCGAACTTTGGCTCGGCGCCCCGGAGCAGCGCGTACATCTTCGGGAAGTACTCGTACAGGGAGTCGGCACAGCCGCCCAGGGTAAAGGTGAAGCCTGACGTCACGTCCATGCGAGACATGCTCACGTACATGGGGAACAGGCCGGGAATCGACGTCTGCTTCCGGCCCTGGTAGAAAAGCTCGACGATGCCCGTGATTGCGTCATAGTACTTGTGGTCGCCAGTCACCTGCGACAGCCGCGTCAACTCGAGGGTTAGGGTGCCAGGAGAGGCTGAGACGACCTGGGAGTCGTTGTCGAGCCCCTTTCCCTTCTTGGCCATGGCTACGTTGATGTTGTCGACGGGCATCCGGTTCTCCGTGTTGAAGCCGGCATAGATCAAATCGCCGAGCTCGATGGCCTTGTGCAGCAAGACCTCGCGGCCGCTGAGGTCAAAGGCTGCCAGCAGGCCACCCAGGTAGCGGATGTTGGTCTCGAAGATGTTGACCGTGTCCGAGGTCGATTTGCCAAAGTCGATCTCGGCAACGGCCGCGACGGCGTCGTCAAACTCGTCCCTGAAGCCCATGATCCACAGGGTATCGAGCGAATCGACGAGGGTGGCAGCCCAGCCCGAGAACTGGTCGCGGCCGGCGGCGGACAAGGGCATCAGGGCATCCTGCCTCCAGGCATACTTGCGATAGCTGGTCCAGTCCCTCAGGGCCAGGTTGCGCACCACCGTCCTCCTCGACTCGCGCAGCCGTGCGGCATCGGACGACTCGGCAGCAAAGGTGTGCTGCACGCGTGGCAGCGGCCTGGCGAGGTGCGGATTGGGGACGCGGGCCAGGGGCAGCTGCGGGGGGTGCTCCTGGGTGATGTTGCCCCAATTGATGCTGCTGGCGACGTACTTGTAACGGCGCGAGCGGGCGCTGGAGCCTGAGGGGGCACCGTTCATGTACTGGTCGAGGATCTCAGACTCGAGCAACACACGGTCACGGTGGGTCAGACGCCGGACCAGGAAGGCGAAGACGAGGCAGAATGCGACGAGGGTGGTGAGGTTCCTGCCGCGGCCGCGCTGGAAGTTGAGGCACTTGGGCGGGCGCAGGGTGCGCCTCATGATTGCGCCGGCCGGCCTGCGTGTGCCTCTCTGCCTGGCGCTACCGGTACCAAATTCGCAGACGGGCAGCGGCGTGTGGCGAATGGAGCATGGAAGCCGGGCGCCGGAATCGGTGGCAGGGCGGGCAGGGCAATTGAGTTTCAAGGGGCGCGACAAGCCAGCAGCAATTGGCGATGGCGGGCGATGGCTGCACAGGCTGCACAGCTGGGCTCGTCGAGTGCACCGATGGACTCGGGCCGGCGCGGAGATGAGCGAAAGCTTGAAATGGGATCGCGTCTGACGCGGGCGGCGCTATCAGCAATGGACGCCTCGTCCCGGATAGGAATGGATTGGCGGGTCTGCCGTGCGGCTTGCCTTGGTGCAGGCTCCGTTTGGGGAATGGGGGAGTTGAGCTGCCAATGGTGCGTGGCCGCCCAGTGGAATGAATCTGGGATGGCAGCTTGAAGCAGGGAAAAGGGAGTGCAGGGTGGGCGCCCCCGCCCTAAAACTGCAAGCCCATGGCAAGGCCCGCGATAAGGCACTGGGCCTTGGCTAGCGCGCAAACGCCTGCATGGCTGGCGCGGGTTATTATCCGGCGGATTACACGCTGAGATTCTGCTGACTGAGCCGACGCGAAACTGAAAGCGAGAAAAGAGCGAGGGAAAAATTGGAACTCTGAAGCAAGGGCCCCGTTGGCCCAGTTGTGAAACAAAACATGGATGCAAAACGCACTACCGCTGCTTACTCCCGTGGTCCGATCCGTCGGGACAGGCGCCACGACCCACGGCCAGGGCTTGACATCAGGTCCGACTGCAGCGTGGGCGCACCGTGTTTCGGCGCGCCTTCCTTCCATATCAATTCCAGGTGACTAATTCACTCCCGTCAGGCCCAATCCTTTCGGTACCCTAACATCAGGTGACCTCGGGATTTAACCTTAAAATCCGCCATCCAGCTTCGGCGACAGCGTCGGGTGGCATGTCGAAAGTGGTACGTACCCCTGTCGCTTCAACGCGGGTTTTTGTCTTCTCTTTTCCCGCTTGAACTCTCCTTTCCAGCCTGAACTCTCCTTTCCAGCTTGAACTCTCCTTCCAGCTTGAACTCTCCTCTGTATCGTCTTTCTCATTTGTGAATTATCCCAACAAAAAATGAACGAAGAGAGCACCCTCCCACTCGTGTCGGCACATCTTTCTCAACAACGGCATCGGCATCATGGAAAAGTTAACTCGTCCAGATCCGAGATGGGGCAGCCGCTTCGTGCAAATATTCGGCGCCACACTCAAGACACCGGCAAGATGTGAACCCAAACCAGGAGGGTCGAAACCTTGCTTTTGAAGGAAAAATTAAATTTCCTTGGTGAAATCCAGACCGTTCGAATTTTCCCGCAGTCCTCAAGAAACCGCACGGCACAAACCGATGAAGACACTGTTGGTCGGCTGCCGCCGAATATGAAACACAGCCTTTGGACGTGCTCGGCCGCCGCGGCCCTTGTGGTTGTCGCTGGCCAGCTCCTTGGCATCTCGCCAGATATTCTTCTCCAGCTGAAACGGCTCGGCGGACCACAGCTCGGCGACGACAGCGAATACACGCCGCCGGAGGTCCCCCAGTACAATGTGTCGATGCCCCTCGACCACTTCAACGCGAGCGACAGGCGCACTTTCATCAATCGGTTCTGGGTCAACGACACGTATTACAAGCCCGGAGGGCCCGTCATTCTCGCCGACTTTGGCGAGGGAACCGTCACGGACGATATGGTGGCGACCATTCTGGCCGAATTGGGCGGCCATGTAGCCACGGCACCCATGGAGCTTGCCAGGGAGCTCGGCGGCGTGGCCATGGTCCTCGAGCACCGCTACTACGGTTACAGCCAGCCGTTTAGACTGACCAGCACTACCAGCTACTCCACTAACGAGCTCCCCGTCGGCGGGCCCAGAGACTACCAATATCTGAGTGTCGAGCAGGCGCTGGAGGACGTTGTCTACTTTGCCTCCCGTCACGTCAGCCGGGCCGACCTCGGTCTCAACACGGTTCTCGCGGCACCCAACGCGACGTGGCAACTCCATCCGTCCCGGACACCGTGGATCTGGGCCAGCGGCAGCTACGGCGGCAGCCGCGGCGTGTGGCTGCGCATACGGAACCCCGAAGTCATCTATGCCGTCTGGGCCTCGTCGGCGCCTGTCGAGTGCCGCCCCGACGGCTCGGCCTACTTCAACAGCATCTACCGCTCCATGGCGTCCAACTGCTCCGCCGACGTGCAAGCCGTGGTGCGCCACGTCGACAGAGTCTTGTCAGACGACGAGGACAGCCGCGGCGCCGCCCTCGACCTCAAGGCTTCCGTCTACATGGCCAGCAACTATGCGGGCATACTACAAGGGGGGGACCAGGGCCAGGACGGCTGGCACGACCTGCGGGACATGCTGCTCGCCGAGAACCTCGCCCGGGACGTCGCGGCCAATGCCACCAGGCTCAGCCCAGCCCACGTGGCCAGGCTCCTGATCGAGCCCCTGTCCCTGCTCTTCCAGAGTTTTGGGCCGTCGGCGACCGTCCACCGGTTCTGCGACTACATGCAGCGCTTCGACACGGCTGCGTACCGTGCGAACACAGGCGTCGACGACGGCCAAGACGATGGACACGTCAACATGGCAGCAGCCGGCGCAAAAACCAACACCAGCCGCGACGACGCCCTGGCCCGCCGCCTCTTCCGCACAACGGCGTTCATGAACGCGCGGTACACAGACAGCGGGGGCGCGGCGCCGTCAGCCCAGGGCATCGTGGCGTCGCACTCGTCCTCGCCCTCGTTCACGCCCGGCACCAGTGCCGTCGAGCTGGCGCTGGCGGCATATCTGCACGCCGTGTGGCGGAGCAAAGCCGACGTGGCTGACGCTGTGGGCGGCGACTTCAGGTTCTTGCCGCTCGACCGCGACGCGCACGCCTGGGCCTGGCAGACGTGGACCGAGACGGGCATGGTGCCGCACGTCGACGTGGCGTCGCCGCTCGCCCTCGGCAGCAAGTTCCTCGGCTACGCTGCGGCGCGCGCCAGCTTTGTCGACAATACCGTGTTCCCTCAGACCACAGCACCAGAGACGACTGAGGACGGAAGAGGAGGACAGGGAGGCTTCCCGCCCGCGGCGCCGCCGGACCCGCGGTTCATGGCCGCGTTGGGTGGCTGGCACATGCGGCCGTCCAACGTCATGTTCACGCACGGCGAGTTCGACCCGTGGCGCGCCTTCGGCGTGTCCAGCCTCGACCAGCACCTCGGTGCGCCGCGCCGCCGCCTCGTCGCCGCCGCCGCCATCCCAAAGTGCAACCGCCCGCCGCCCGGCACCGACGTGTTTGGCCTGCTGCACGCCGGCGCCGCCCACAGCCAGGACATGGTTGGCCTGCGCGGCGAGGGGGCCGGCGACGAGGGGCGATACTTTGACCACGCGTCGCAGCTGTTTCTCAGGGCCCTGCGGGAGGAGTGGCTGCCGTGTTTCAATGCCACTGCCGTATAATTAGTCCTAATTACATTCAGCTCTAATAAGTACTTATAAGGAGGTAACCCTTCTTTTTACTTTTTCTCTTTCTTTCCTTAGCCTAGGTATTAAGGAAATCAACCCGGAATTAGCGAGAGAGAGAAACAATAGATCAGTTCTAATTGATTACCTAGACTTGTAACTAAAAGATGATAGACTCGAGGGCCGAGGCTTGAGGGCCGAGGGAGCTAAGTGGTTGAGTTCGGCTACCCTCGATCATTACTACATGAGTAACTGTGTAGATGTAAACGAAGGGAATCGTTTACTGGATATGAGCCCCGTCTGGGAAAGCAGCCTCGTGTTTTATCCCGGTCCTGTGTCCGGGTCTGAAGGGATAATGATATGCGTACCTAAGTAACTCGCAGTCTTCTCCCTTGTGAGCTGGCGACAACGTCATTTCCGGGCGGGAATACCCACGGACTATGCCTCTCACGTAAGTGCACGCCCACGAAACGCTACCCGCGCCGCATTAGTTCATGACTCTGAAGCAGTAGTAAGCTCTGCATGAGATGATTTGTGGTGTTTGACTGTTTTCCCATTTGAGTGCACATATTTCCGTTGCAAGGGAGGGTTGGGTTTGAGTTGGGAGCGAGCAGTCGAAGAAACGAAAGTTGAGACTGATGTTGCGGGTTGAATTGCTCAAAGATTGATATTGGGGCAAAGCGGCAGGCGCATATGGTCTTCTGCCGCCAGTGGGTCCCGTCTGCTTGGAGTCGAGACAGTCAGACGTCGCAGATTGACTTGTTGGAGCGCGGCGCCCGTGCCCCACTGAGATTGCGTCATTTCAGAGCGACCACTCGGCCAGATTCGATCCCAATCCAATCGCATGCACCAGGCCAACCAATTGGCAATAGGTAAATTAGCTAAACAGGCCTTGAAAGTCTAAACGTCGTCGCAGCGACTGCGAGCGAGCAGCGCATGTTTTCGCCCGTCTGTTTCCTGAGCGAGCACGACATTCTCAGCGACATCGGCATCGACACTGTCGACGACGACGCCGACGCCGACACCATGACAACCAAGCCCCTGCGCATCGGCTACGTGCCCGAGCACTTCTCTACGCCCATCTTCTTTGCCAAGAAACACTACGGGCTCGACGCCGAGCTGATCCCGTTCCCCTCGGGCACCGGCGCCATGATCACGGCCCTGCGCGCCCACGACATTGACGTCGGCATCGGCCTCACCGAGGGCTGGATTGCCGGCCTCGGAAAGAGCGACGTCGCCGACGGAGGCTACAAACTCGTCGGCACCTATGTCGAGACGCCACTGTGTAGGTCACCTCTGCTTCTGCTTCTGCTTCTGCTTCTGCTCCTGCTTCTGCTCCTGCTTCTGCTCCTGCTTCTGCTTCTGCTCCTGCGTCTGCTCCTGCCCCTGCTTCTGCTTCTGCTTCCCACCGTCCCCACCCTGGTCGCTGACCCCCTGCCATGACCAGGCTGGGCAATCTCGACGGGCGCGGACCGGCCCGAGATCACCACCGTGGACTCGCTCAAAGGCGGCAAGATCGGCGTGTCGCGCATCGGGTCTGGCAGCTACGTCATGGGCTACGTGCTGGCCGACGAGCGCGGCTGGCTGGTGCCGACGATGGCCGTCGGCACGGCGCACGAGTCGGCGTCGCCCTTTGAGGACTTTGTCGTGCTCAACACGTTTGAGAAGCTGCGCGCCGCCGTCAACTCGCGCGCCGCCGACTTCTTCATGTGGGAGCATTTCACCTCTAAGCGCTACTACGACTCGGGCGAGATCCGCCGCGTCGGCGAGATCTACACCCCCTGGAGCAGTTGGAAGATTGTCGCCTCGACCACCCTCGTCGACGGCGCCGGCAGCCTCGACCAGCGTGTTGAGGATCTGCTCGACAAGCTCAACCTCGGCATCGTGCACTTCAACGAGAACAAGGACAAAGCCGTCGAGTACATCAGCACGCAGCTCGACTACTCCGTCGAGGACGCGCGCGAGTGGCTGAAGACGGTCAGGTTCCCCGACCGCACCCAAGGCGTCGACCCCGAGGTCGTCAAGCACACGGTGGACGTCCTGAGGAAGGCCGGTGTCTTGTTTGAGAAGAAGGGGATACAGCCCGACGCCATGATTGCCAAGAGTCGCTGACACATGGCTGTGTGCCTTGAATACGTTCAAGCCGTCAACCTCACGATGCATAATTGCTTTGGAAACCCTGAATGGTTGGACACTGAAGCGTTTCCAGAGTAGAAACAGAATAGGCAAATAGTAAAAGCGGGAAAATGCCCCTATGCTGCTGAGAAGCCCTATAAAGCGCATAAAGTAATTATTCAAGTGGAGAGAGTGAGGAATTCGTTCCACGTATGAATGCACCGCGCGTAGTTAACCCACGCCTACTGAATGATGCAGTATGAAATTCCGACTCATAACCAATATTGTTGAGAGTGAAATAGTATTTCCGATGTCTGCGCTATTTTGTTCAAGAATAAAAAGAAACCCCGCGTAGCCCATTTGCTGCTTGAATCTCAATGGCAGCAGAGAGTTGTGTCGGCAACGGACCAAAATCCACCCCCCTCTGTGAGGGAGTTTTGAGGGAGTTTAGAGCTCTACTATCCACCAATCCCCATTTAGGGTGCATGGTCTAGTGGTATGATTTCTGTTTTGCAATGCCTCGGCACCCAGCTCTACAGACGGTCCCGCGTTCGATCCGCGGTGCATCCAATTTTTGTCGTCTTCGAAGACGGCGACCAGTTCTTTTTAGGCTTCCCAGCGAACTGAACTCTCTTTGCTTGCGAAACAGCCAGCACTCATTCATTCACAAATATCCGCCCCTGCTCGCCTTTTTCCTATTGGTGGCTTTCCCAAATGATCTACCCAGTTCCAATTGAACAGGAGCTCTTTTTATTTTTATTTTTGCCAACCGCCTAATTAACTACCTCGGGGGTTTGCTTGCGAAACAGCCAGCACTCATTCATTCACAAACATCCGCCCCTACTCGCCTTTTCCTATTAGCGGCTTTCCCAAGTCATCTACCCAGTTCCAATTGAACAGCAGCTCTTTTATTTTTATTTTTGCCGACTACCTAATTAACCACCTCGGGGGTTTTCACGATAATCATGTCTCGCCGGCCTCGCCCTCTATCCGCCGCAGCATATCTATCACGGCCGGGAACAGCTTCCGCACCCAGATGACATACCCCCCCAGACTCAAGTGCACATGGTCAACAAGATGAGCATCGACTAGGACGTCCTCCGCCGGCGGCAAGAACACGACGCGCTCGTTCCCCAGTTCCGCATTCAGGCCGCGGACCACGTCGACGAGCTTGTCGTTCGCCGCGTCCGTCAGCGCCCGCGAGAAGTCCTTCCGCGGGAACAGGCCCGTCAGGAGGACTCTGGACGGCACCACCCTCGGTGACGGCGACGGCACGAGCAGCAGGCTACGCACCATCGTCCGCAGCGCGTCGAGGTCGCCGTCTCGCAGCCCCTTCTTGGGCGCCAGGTTGTTGGTGCCCGCCTGCACGACCCACAGCTTGACGCCACCGCGCGCCGCGAGCAGTGACGCCAGCGCCGGCAGGTCCTCAGTCCCGCTCGTGCCCGCGCTCCCCACGAGCCGGTACGACATGTTCTGCACCTTGTCGCCGCCCACGCCGGCATTGAAGACGCCGTCCAGTCTGGCCATTGGTCGCCGCGCTCGTTTTGCTGCTGCTAGCGGCTCGCTGGCGTCCGGCTCGGCCGAGTCTGCCGACGCCAGCGCGGCCAGTGCGGCGTCGCTCAGCATGGCCAGCGACGGCCACGGCGCGATCAGGCTTGGCGACTCGCCCGTCGTCGTCATGCGCTCCAGCATCGAGTCGCCGAGCAGCACCACGGTTGGCTTGATGGAACCCTGGCGCTGCAGCAGCGGGATGTGCTCATCCTGCGACGTGTCGTGCGACCGCGCTTTGTATTTGGCCTGCGGCCGCAGCAGCGCCTCGACATCTGCAAGGACGGGGACGGGGACGGGGACGGGGACGGGGACGGGGACGGCGTCGTCGGGCGGCGCGGCTAATGCTTCCATTGTGTGTGAGATTGCGGTTGGGGCTGTGGTTTGACGTCGTAGTCTGGCTGGTGTAAATAGGAACAGATGGAGAGTGGACCGTGTGGATTGCAGTTTGTACCTTGTCGCCCAGATTTGAGCCACTTTGAGCCACTCTTTAACACAGTCGGCTTACTCCGTCGTCTTACGTTTGACCTTTGTTTGAAGATGTGTTGGTTGAACCAACAGAACAATAAGCGGCGGAGGCGGCGGCAGGAGGCGCAGGGCTACCGGGTCTATATAAGGAACCCTTCGGCTTCGTCCTTTGAACCTTTTTCTAGCCTAGATAGACAATTCAATGCGCTGTCAACTCCGATCATGAGCAACACACCTCCTGTCAAGACCGGGGTGTTTATTGTCCACACGAGGTGATGGATTAATTTTTCGAGGAAAAGAAATATATGCTAGGTAGATACTTGAACTTCGCGGAGCAACGGCGTGAGTCACTTGCCGCTAAGCTGACCGTGGGCCGCGCGGCTGGCGTTTTTCGGGCTAGTGGGCGAGGTGAAGCACCAAATATCGGCCCAACGGTTGGTGTTGCGCACAATGCAGCTCAATTAAAGTGTATCCAAATCTTCTCTATTGCAAAAAAAAAGGAAAAGAAGACCTTATTTATCCCTCGAACAAAAGACCGTTATTAGGCAACAATGTAGGCATCAAGGCCTATATAGAGGCCGATCATCGTTGGTGGTCTAGTTGGTGGCAAAGTTCCGTCAGGAGGGCGTTATTACGTAACAGTTGGCTCTCCGCCTTCCGAAGTGATGTGTCTCAGACATGTGTCTCAATTTCACCACCGCCATGGATGATTTCCGGGCCGAGGGCCTTGCTTCGTTGATGCCGGCCTCACTCACCCATGATAAAACTGGCCACAACTCGACACCTAAAACCGAGTTTCTCACCAGCCACTGTTATTGTTATCGCAATTTCAGTGTCAAAATAGCAAATATTAAAGTATACATTTCGTACTGGTTTGACGACGTTTTCTGTCCTCTTGCTTTACCGGCGCATTAATTATCTGCCATGCATATTCGTCGGACGGTAGGTCAACTGAGCAGCGAACGAGCGAAATCGTCTGTATTCCATGTATTCCATGATCGCGTCAGATGCACGGGTTCGTATATCCACCAGATTGTGGACGGCCTCCTGAACCGGGAATACCGAAGCAAAGGTAAGCAGGTCCGTGAATTTGGTCGCAGGTTCTGCATGCCCGTTCTGTCGTTTGTGCGTTGACACAGGGGGCCTTCCCTGTGGCAGAGGGAAGGAAGGGTGTGATGTGATGCTTGTGTGCAGCAGCTACTGGTCAAAGCCTACTGAATTCTAAACCGGCAAATGCTATCCATAATGCTCAAACACGTGGGCTGAGCTGAGTGTCATGATTTGACTTTAATTAGTTGGTCAGGATAAGGGGCGGGGTGAAAGTACGGTAACAAGTTTCCCAAGACTGCCAGGAACAAGAATCCCAGCCAGTGTAAACCGGCCAATATGACAATCTTTTAGTGCCGGCCGAGAAACCGAGACGGGATAGAGGGTGGTCGCGTTTGTGACGAGCACGGTGCTGGTGGTCACGTTTGTGACGAGCACGGTGCTGGTGGTCACGTTTGTGATGAGCACCATGCTGCTGCTGCGGCACAAGCGCCCTAGACTCCAAGTCAAACTATTGTCTCACCTGCATTGCGTCTCTTCTGCCCTACCGTCCTGGCCAAGCTAGTGGCTGCGCTGCGGAAAGGCTAGGACGAAAGAGACGACGTGACGGCAGCTGGCCTGTTCTGGTTGGCTGCCATTTCGAGCTATCAAGACCCAACAGGCGCTACCGCCTCGGACTCACCCGAGTTGCCAACGGAACTCGTCCTTGCTGCAACAACCGCGTGCGGGGGAACATGGCCTTATGCAGCTCGCAGTTGTTATTGTCGACTGCAATGCTGTTCTTGTGTCGGCGTAGTGTCCCATGTCCTTGACACGGCTATTATTGCGCTTTTGAGGCTTGCTCTTGCCAGCGTCCGCCTTGCCCTTTTCGGTATTCAGCTTTCAGCTTCCATCCCCGGCGCACCTCTGGGAGTCCTCCCTCAATATGCCTCTCGCGTCGCGACGACGGACCTGGAGATCAGTGTCTGGAGACTCGCAGGCTTTAAGTATAAAGATGGCGTAATATGACTGTCGAAAGAACTCGTATCGGGAGTAACTCTTCATTTGATTTCAATCGGGACAATCACAGTCTCACATCCCCGACCCCGAAAAAGCCCGAACTCCTTCTCTAAATTCTCACCAATTGCCAAACACCATGGCAGGCCCCCCGCTGATGATCGGACATCTCGAAACCTGGCTGCACACGCAGAACAGAATCTGGGACGTCGCGCCGAGCAATGGCGGGTGGTAAGTTCTCCGCCTTCAAAAATGCTTGGTCGGGACTCGGCAGCTTCTAGGAGCTAATCAACGGCACACTTGCAGGGAGCGTTGGGCACAGCTCGACTACTGCGCGTACCTCATCAGCCTTGGCCGCCGAACCATTGTGGAGAACCGGACGTACGTGAACCAGAATCTGCGGAACGACATTACCGTGTTTGGCGGAACCGAGTGGTGCATCGAGCTCAAGGTGTACAACCACACGAGCGAGACGTTCCCCGAGTACCGCAACAAGCTCCAGGGCGACCAGCTCAAGCTCGAGGGCTAGCCTCTGGCCCTAGACTTCGCCCACCACGTCAAACTCTCCATCGGCATTGCCGCCATCAACCCCATCCTCGACGTGATCCAAGACACGCACCCCCTCATTGACCACACCAACATCATTGACCAATATGCTGACGACCTCTTCGGGGCCTACTCCCACCGCGTCGTCCAAGACCCCACCGGGCACTACTGGCTGATATCCTATCTCGTGGTGCAGGATCCCGTGGTCCCTGTCGGCGGTGGCGGTGGCGGTCTCGGCGGTGGCGGTCTCGGCGGAGGAGGTGGAAGTGGAGGCGGCGGTGGTGGTGGAGGCGGCGGTGGTGGTGGAGGCGGCGGCGGCAGCGGCGGCAGCGGCGGCACCACGACGTCTACTACGGGCCCCATCGGTGGCGGCACCCTTGGAGGGTCTAGCAGCAGCAGCAGCGGATCCAAGCCCGCCCCTAGCGGCGGCGGCGGCTGGCCGACCGGGACCATGGGCAAGACCACCACCACTACCACGGTCCCTATCTCGACACCGACTACGAATCCTGCTCCGGTGTCAGTCAAGTCGCCCTTGCCCACCGGCCCGTCGACCCCTGTTGTCGGCGGCAGCACGTCGTCCATCAGCGGCCCCAAGGCAGGTGGCACGTCAACGTCGGTCCCTATCACCCCCTCGGTACCCCCCACCACCAGCAAGAAAGTAGTCTGAGAAACGGTCGTGTGACGAGGTTGGGCGAGTGGCCCAAGCACTGTGTGGTTGATGTGTTGCCACTGTGTGGTTGATGTGTTGCTTTACTGTTTGTTTTTATTTATTTGCAACAAGTAAGCTAGTAGTGAATACGAAGGTGTAAATGAGATAACAATCATAAAGGAACTCGGCAACTAACTCCGTAACCTAGGGATAAGGGGGGCTCATTAATCTCGATTAATACGAGTAAAAACGAAGAAGCATGAAATATTGTTGTACGACTGTTAAATTAAAACAAAGCACTTTGCAAAAGATGATTAATCTAAGTATTGAGTGTGATCTCTGCCCGATGCCGGCTGGTTAATTAACGAATTAACTAAATTGTAAAAAATTTGGTGTTAGAGGAACCCCCGGTTAATGGCGGCCTTAGCGTGAGGGTCCTAAGGCAGCAAAACGCCTTGGCCGTTAAATTTGTGCATTTCCAAAGTCTTGATGGCTGTTATTGTCGATATAGCAGTTGCATTTACTTACTTACCCGATTGAATCCGCTCTCCTGCTTTGTATACTCTGGCCCAGTCGATAACCACAATGGTGATTGGAAGCCTTTTTGGTTCATTTTCATTTTCATGTTGTTTTCTTGGTACCCAGGGGGCCGGGCATTTGCTATCTCTGCCCAGTTACACACAAGACAGTCCACGACTCAAATCAAGACTGAAGAGCAATGCGAGAACTCCCATGTGTTTTAATTGAAGACCCCCAAAGTGCAAAAATGCCTGCGAAAAATCAACCACAATAATATTAAAGATTGTCAGTATTGAAATATTCTTTGTTTGAATGGTTTCTGGTTGGATGGTTTTCTGGTTGGATGGTTTTCTGGTTGGATGGTTTTCTGGTTGGATGGTTTTCTGGTCGAATGGTTTTCTGGTCGGATGGCTTTCTGGTCGGATAGGTTCGTCTGGTTACAGCAGCCACAGGCACCGGTAGCGGCCGGAGCTAAGCTTCCAGGTTCCCGCTTGCCCTCGAGCATGCCAAGTTTTCAGGGGCTTGGCATTGAGAAACGCGGGGCATGATGTCACCGGCTGGCCAATCGACGGCTCATTTGGCTCGACGCCCCCTTCCTCTTTCATCATTTGCAACACCAACGCATCTTTCTGCCTGTGCCTTCCTTCTCCATTGCAGCGCAACGTGCAATTGGGTTAAAGGCGTTTCATGCATTAATGGTCCACCATAGAGAGGAGTCGGAGAGCACAGACCAGCCATGCCGTGCGCTTTGCACGCGGGCAAGCCTGCTCCTTTCCGCCAATCTGGTTGTTTGATGACGTCAAGTCACAAACAGCCCGATCGCGATGCAGCTGCGTGTAACGAGAGCAGCCCGACCTGGGATGGCGGCCGGCCACACTAGCTGCTTGGACTGGCGTGCGTTCCCGTGCCTTGGCTGGAAAGCTTGATTGTGCCAAGAACCTCCGTCCACAATACAAAACCGCCCGAACGTCTTGCCAGTTTTGTCGGGTTCTCTTTGCTCTTCTGCACTCGATTCTAGCTTTGCACCGCCGTCCCCAGACTCGGGTATTTCTGCCAGCATCCACCCGGTCGTCGCCGACCACACTTCGAGTCTTTGCGAGATCCCCCCCCCCCCCCCCCCCCCCCCCCGGGCGCCCCCCCCCAGGCCCCCCAGGCCGACCCTCACGATGGGCCTCTTCAACCGCCAACCCCGCAATGGCCCCGTCATTGCTCCCAACGCCGCCGCCGCCAATGGCCACGGTAATCGCGCCCATCGCGAGCCCTACACCATGATGACCAGGCCGAGCTTTGGCCAGTGGGTCAGGGCTACCTGGCTCGACATTGTCACAATGGCTGTCATGGGCGCCATCGGTCTGGGCGTATGTTCTCTCGAAACCCTTCTCGTTCTGCCGCCGCACAAGTTGACACTCTGCGTGTGAAAAAAAAAATAGGTCTACTGGGCAAAGCCGGCCCCGACGCGCTCCTTCGCCGTCACCTTCGCCGACGGCGAGGTCGTGTATCCCGAGTTCGCCTATCCCATGCGCAAGGAGATCATCCCCATCTGGCTCGCCGCCTTGCTCGCCTCCATCATCCCCATCTTCCTCATCCTCGTCATGCAGGTCCGCATCCGCTCCTTCTGGGACGCCAACAACGCCATCATCGGCCTGCTCTACAGCCTCGTCACAGCCGCCGTCTTCCAGGTCTTTGTCAAGTGGCTCATCGGCGGCCTGCGCCCCCACTTCCTGACCGTGTGCCAGCCCGACGTGTCGCTGGCCTCCAACGCGCCCGGAATCGCGGGCGAGGGATACAACGCCAAGGGTTTCACCGAGATCTACTACACGCGCGAGATCTGCACGGGCGACCAGAAGCAGATCAACGACTCGCTCGAGAGCATGCCCAGCGGCCACACCACGGCCGCCTTTGCCGGCTTCGTCTACCTGTCGCTGTACCTCAACGCCAAGCTCAAGGTCTTCTCCAACTACCACCCGGCCATGTGGAAGCTCGTCGCCATCTGGGCCCCCATCCTCGGCGCCTGCCTGATCGGCGGCGCCCTGACCATCGACGAGTTCCACAACTGGTACGACGTCCTCGCCGGCGCCACCATCGGCACCGTCATGGCCTTCAGCGCCTACCGCATGACGTACGCCTCGGTGTGGGACTGGCGCTGGAACCACATCCCCCTCAGCAGAGTGACTCCCCTGCCCTACGGCGGCGCCCCCGAGCTGGCCGGCGCCACCTTCACGCGCCGCGTCGGCTGGGGCGTCAGCGGCGCCGGCTTCCCCTTCACCGGCGAGCACGGCTTTGCCGGCGACCACCTGCACAACGGCCATCACAACGGCCACCACGACGCGGTGCCCGTCGGCAGCGGCGCTAACGGGGGAGGCGTCTTCACTAGGAAACCCGTTGGCCCCAGCGGCGTTAGGGGTGCCGGCGACAATATGGTTAGAGGCGGAGAAATATATGGTTTAGGGGCGGAGAAATATGTGGTTTAGGGGCGGAGAAATTCCACGGTTCCATGGCCATGATTGCAATGAACGAAATTGGTGCTTGGATGGGCTGCTCTGTTTTCATGCGAGTGAATGTGGGGTGAGGCGGCTGTGGCGGAAACAGATGGAACCACCGCCAGCGCGGGATCCAAAGGTTTTACGAGGGGTTGTTGTTTCTTTTCTACAGACTCGGCATGTTTCTCGGCACAAGTGGCAGGCGTAGGAAATACCCTTTCTAGTAATGTAATGGTAACGATTATTTCAATATAGATTCCGGCCGGGTGTGATAAGGGAATCAAAGGTGCTTTGGCAGCCCAACATCTCACTCGCCTAAGTACACAATAATGCTGGATAATACCTGGTCGCCACCCGACGTGCCTTGGATTCCCAGAACTTCATTAACAGACGACAGGAGAGAGACACAGCGGAGGTTCTATATCTCTAGGTAGGTAGCCAACTATAGTTAAAATACCTACATCGTTAAATTGTCCGTGGCTTCGTTCCAACCTCCCGCATACTATTCGTCAAAGTTCGGCCTGGATCCGCCGGCCGCTCCCGCCCATCTCCACCCTTAGCTCCTGTTCAGAGCCCGGAACATGGGGGGAATTGCGGCTCACAATAGCTGTCATTGAACGGAATATCAAACAAGAAGTAGTGGTCTGTCAGTAGCTACTGGACAAGCCACGCTCGACAAGCAAAGCAAACTGTCCCGCATGGCAATGCGCCCCAAAGAGGCCGAGAGGGAGAGATCCACACAAGACACACCGCAAATACCCGCATGTCTTGTGTGGAAATGGAGCTAGAACCTCGCTCCTTGCTAAGTTTTTTGCTGCGGTGGCGCCAACGTTTGGCCTGGGGATTTGCTGGCTGAAAACAGTCCCTTCGCGCTTCAACTTTTGGCCGAGGAGAGCCGAGCCTGTCCGCTCTGGCATGCTCTACCTGCCATATTGACGATTGGTGTACGGCTAGCTTCCTGTCGTGATTTGAGTACAGCGTCGACTGTAGGCCTGGTGGTGAAGAGCCGGCTGGGCGTGGTTGACAACCAGCTGTGCTATAATTAATCAACGGCGACGCTCAGTCTGGCCAGAAGCTGGCAATGAGTCTTTGGATGAGAGTAGCGGTGAACTAACAGTTGACCGACCGACCACAATCTGCCGCCGCCATCCAGAACGCGGTAGGCCATGTTCTTGTTCTGGTGCAGAACCACCAAGCGTATCTGGCACCAGTAGGACATCCACGATCTCGCCCACCCTCTCATAGACTCGATAGGCCGCCAGGGAGATGCGGCCGGCAGAGAGATGCGGCCGGCAGAGAGATGCGGCCGGCAGAGAGATGCGGCCGGCACTAGGGAGATGCGGCCGGCACTCTGGGGTTGGGGTTTTCGTATCTGCGGCCGCATCTCGGTCACACAAAGCAAACAGCACAGGGCCCCACAGATATCGCGGCTCAGCACACATGTCAGAGTTGAAAAACGCCCATCACATGCTCTTGGCGGGACGGCCTAGGCTATGCTGGGCCAGTTAGCTTTCCCGGTACCCGAATCCACAGATGCCTCCCGTCCATCGCGTGGGCTTGTGGCTAGGCCTGGGCTTGTGGCTAGGTCTGGGCTTGTGGCCTGGAATGGTATCATTGGATCGGGGAACGAGAAGAAAGACTAAAAAGACGCAAAGGTGGTGGAGCTGAATCTGGTTCCATTGCTTGACCTGCTCTGCCTGTTTTGTCCCTGGCAGTGGTTCTCCAGGCACCTATGTACTGTAGGTAGGTACAAATGTTTGCTCTCTGTTTTCTGTTGTCTCTCTCGTTACGGTTGGTTGGCATGCTTGCAGCCGCTTCTAGCCAGCTACGAGAGAGGCAATGATGACCAGTGCATCCTCACTGGTCTAGCCTGGTCCCCCCCACACCCTAAATACCCCCGTAGATCATGATAGAAAAGAACAGGTTGATCAAAGCCTCGACACTGCGGACCCACCCTCAACTGTGCGTGGCGGGCTGGCTGCTGGCTGCTGGCTGCTGGCTGGCTGACCTTGCACAGCCTACGGCTTAGGTACCTAGCTAGGCCAGGTCTAGAGGTGCGGGCAGGAGGCCTTGTGGTGTCGGCAACTACCGGTGCGGGGGCTAATGATGAGCTGCTCCACGTCCTCGATCGAGGTGGCGTCGTCGGCCTCCTTCGACAGCCAGGCGATGACGCCGGCGCAACGGCGGAGCGTCTGTTGCTGGATCCGCACTTGGGCGTGCAGCTCGTCGATGAACTTGGTCTGCTCACCAAGGAACCGTCGCAAGGTGGCGATCTCCTTCTCCTGCGCCGCGATGGTCAACGATAGCTGCTGCACCCCTGGGGGAGGGGCCGTCATGTTCATCTTGCTGTCTAAGGAGAAGCAGCGCGTTAGCAGGAGACTGGGGTGTTCTGGGTCTGGAAGTGCTGGGGCTTACTCTTGGGCACGACGGTCATGGGAAGTGTTGCGGGTCTCGCGAGGGCTGGCTGAAGCTTTGTCTCGAGTGCTGGAGAGGTCAGGATGACTTGGAGCGAGATCAGAAGAGGATATAGAGGATGGCAAATCTCGCTTCTTATGTTGTTTTCTGCTCCTGTCCGTTGCATAATGTATGCGTTATGTCTTTCCATATTCTGTCTTTCCACATGCTGCACGGAAACGTTCAGGGAGACAATAGTTGACCTGCATACACGCGGTTCGCCTTGTCCTTGCGCCCAAGTGCTGCACCCACCTGCGCTCGCCTGGCATGCGCTAGACTGGACTACGTGCGTTGACAAACACTAGCCCCCGCGGTTAGTATCAACGGCTGTATCCACAGAGACGTCGAGTGAACTTGGCTACTCCACCTGCCGCCCCGACGGCCGTAATACTTTCGCCGCGTGCCCTGTTCCGAGGACACGAGCAACTAGCAAGCCGCTCGCAGGCGTATCGACGTCTCATAGTTCCCAGGCAGAGTTTGACTCTGCATCTGGTCACATAGCCTCGTGTTCACCTGCGATGTAACGTCCGCTTCTGGCCAGGCAGCCAGCCTCTCGAGATGGGACCGGGACCGGGACCGGGACCGGACTGGGGCTGGGACCGGGACTAGCATCCCCACAGAGTAAACCTCCTGTCGTCGTAGTAAGCACGACTCGGTGAGACATGATTTCTCCCAGAACATCTCACCTGCAGTTAGCCGCCTCGTCGTCAAACTTTCCATCCATCCCTTTCCTCTCACCGCAGGCCAGCTTTACTCACCATCAAACTTTCTCTCCGGGGTTTGTTGCCACAGGATCGAGCATCAGACAATGGGCCCGGAGACGACGGAGCACTCGGCCGGCGACTCGGCCGGCGACTTGGATGCGACCATCTTCAGCCTCCGAGGCGAGTCCATGGTCAGCACGTACACGCGAGCCAAGATTGCGTTTTACAGGCGGCATATCATAGCCGAGACCTAGAAGGCCAACCTGCTGGCCAGGCTAGAGGTGGCATCGGCGGCGTTCGAAGGGGACGGCCTCTCCAACTGCCGGAGGGCAAACATCCTGGCCTTCAAGAAGTTCACGGCAGCCGAGGCCCAGCGGAGCGGGGGCGAGAAGCTGATGGTCCAGCTCGCGGCCCTCAGCTCAGTCGAGCTGCAGCTGTTCGCCATCGCCAAGACGGCCATACAGCTGGCCGACCTCAGCCTACTCAGGGCGTTGTACGTTAAGACGTACGTCACCCACAACCCACCCTCTAAGCAGTAACACGGGATCATTATCGGCCACCTCATCTACCGAGACAGGCGGGCCGACCTGCCAGCAGTCCTCAGATGCAAGATCGTGCCCCATCTCTATGCAGAGGCGGTAACCCTCGTGCCTAGCCAGGGCCTTCTCGTGCAACATCCGCCACCGCCGCAAGCCGACAGGATCGATCTCGATCTGCGCGTCCCAGTCCCGGTGCCCCCCATGCCGCGCAGATGCAAACACCGAGTGGCGCATCCGTATTTACACTCCCATACACATCCAAGTCTACCTCTACATCTACGCCCGCATCTACACTCCGACACCCACTGCCGAGCTCAGGCCCCCAAAACGCCAGCATTAATACCAGCACCAGCACCAGCACCAGCAACAACACTCACACCAACACCCGCACCAGCACCAGCAACAAAACTCACGCCAACACCCGCAATGACAACACTAGCACTGGCATGAGCAATGTACTAGCCACTGTGAGACTGAGGCTCCCAAAGGCGGATTTCCTATCTGCTCTGCTGTCCCAAGCATATGTGGCCATGTACTCGGCCCGGGAACTCGTGGGCATGGTGCAGCTCCGCACCGACAACATCGAGTTCACGCTGCAGGCGCGGGGGCGCTACCACTCCAGCGTCATCTGTGTGCCGGGGGTGCCGACCAACTTCCGGGTGATCCTGGACAGGCAGGCGCTAGGGTGTCAGCGGGGGGTTGACGGTGAGTTTCTTCTCGCTCCATTTTCTTTTCTGTCCGTTTCTTTCTCGCCACTAGAGTCTATATCAGACAGAGCTAACGCACCAACCCTGCAGCCAACAGCACCCGTGTCCTGATGTCGCTGGGCGACCTGGCGGCGCTGCTGCCGCAGGGCCCCGCGACCGCCTTCATCCACATCCAGTACGGAGTCATCGTGTACGCGGGCAACAACTGCGAGATTGTTTGGGATAGTCGCGAGGTGCCGGCCTTCACGAGCCGGCTCGCCGCCATGGGCTGCTGGATCCAGACCGTTCGCCACGTCCTCGACGGGCTGCCGCCCATGCTGCTCAGGGCGGCTGCTCATACTGCAACTGCTGGTGTTGCCGGTGTTGCCGATTTTGCCGGTGTTGCTGGTGTTGCTGGTGTTGCTGGTGTTGCTGGTGTTGCTGGTGTTGCTGGTGTTGCTGGTGTTGCTACTCTACCTGCTGGTGGTTAGTTGGTACTGCTTTCGGTCGAATTGGATTGTTAACGGAAAATGTGGAAAATGTAGAAAGCGGTTACAATACAATACTTGGTTGGCTTGGACTTGCTCTGGTCCTGCAACCACTCTGCTGTGTATAGTCCCACACAAGTTACCACTTACCACTTACACTTACAGGCACTGATCGAAAGACGTTACAAACCAGCAATTGCGTGCTCTCTGCTTTTGCCAACCCGAAGATGGACTGGCCGCGAGGGCTGCCGATAGCCGCGCCGCTCCGTGTGTCGGCCTGCATGAGCCATGACGCGATTCACCCCGCGCATAGCAGCATCACGAGCCGCCAATCTCGGTTGACGGTGCGGCACCCTTGCCTGCGGGTGCTGCCCAGTCGACTTAGATCCGGCTGCTATGTCCGAGCATGTGCCGTGGGGGGCCGTGGCCGCATGTGCCGTGGGGGCCGTGGCCGCGGCTTCTCCTGCCGATGCCGCCGTGCTGGGGCTGCCGCGTCTGATTGGCACCTCGTTGTCCTGTCAAGGGGGTAGAGCGTGTTGCGTGTTCTTGCACAGACAAGCACGCCATCCATGGCTGCGAATGGGTGCCGTATAAAGCCTGTCGTGATATCTACGAAGGGCGTGGTCAGTCAGGTGAAAAGCCCAAGACGACAAGGGACAGCATTGAATCGTCTTTGCAGCAAAGACTCACCAGACATTGCCACCCCAGTTCTGTACCGACCCTGCCGAGCAACCAGACTACCACAATGGCTCCCCACGCAGAAGAGACCGTCTCGGCCGAAACCCTGGCCCCCGTCCTAGTGCCCGTCTCGGCCGCGAAGCTCCAAGCAACCGTCGCGCCGGGCGAGAAAGATGGCTACGGTACTCTCTTCGCCCTCAAGGTCGACAGGGACGCCGAAGACGGGAAGAAGGGGCATCCGGCAGCCCGGGTAAGCTTCTCCCGATATACCCATTCCCGCCGCCAACCAAGAGAGCTGACACAGTCTTCCGCCCAGTACCCGCACTACCTGCCTACCTGGGACGCCTACGAAAAGGACCCTCCGCTCGAGCCGCGGGCGCACCACGACCCCGGGCTCGACGCCGACACGGCGTACCCGGAGCTGCTCGGCGCGGGCACGCAGCTCACCAACCTCACGCCGACGATCGGCAGCGAGGTGCGCGGGATCCAGCTCAGCAGCCTCGGCGCGGCCGGCCGGGCGCAGCTGGCGCACCTCGTGGCGTCGCGCAAGGTGGTGGCGTTCCGCGACCAGGACTTTGCCGACCTGCCCATAGCCGACGCGCTCGACTTTGGCCGCTCCTTCGGCCCGCTGCACGTGCACCCGACGGCCGGGGTCGCCGCGGGATACCCCGAGACTCTGATCGTGCACCGCGGCGCCGGCGACGACTCGGTCGACCGCTACTTCGCCGGGCGCACGTCGACAGTGGCGTGGCACAGCGACGTGTCGTACGAGGCGCAGCCGCCGGCGGTGACGCTGCTGTACGCGCTCGAGAAGCCCGTCGTCGGCGGCGACACGCTGTTCGCCGACGCCGTCGAGGCCTACAACCGCCTGTCGCCAGCCTTCCAGCAGCGCCTCCACGGCCTGCGCGCCGTGCACTCGGCCGTCGAGCAGGCCAACGGCAGCCTCGCCCGCGGCGGGCTGCTGCGCAGAGACCCCGTCAAGAACGAGCACCCCATTGTGCGCACGCACCCCGTCACGGGCGAAAAGGGGCTGTTCGTCAACAGGGGCTGTGAGTCTACCCACCACTCTTTATTTAACAGCGCTGTCACAAGCCAAGATGCACCTCTGTTGAAATCATTGGACCGACCTCTATTAAAATCATTGGACCGACCTCTATCGAAATCATTGGACCGACCTGCTAACAACCCTTGCCCTGCCAGTTACGCGCGAGATTGTGGGGCTCAAGAAGGAGGAGTCGGACGCGCTGCTGAACTTCCTGTACGACCACCTCGCGTACGGCGCCGACTTCCACGCGCGCGTGCGGTGGGAGGACAAGACGGTCGTGCTGTGGGACAACCGCGTCACACAGCACTCGGCCCTGGTCGACTGGCGCAACGGCGAGCGCCGGCACCTGGCCCGCATCACGCCCACGGGCGAGCGGCCGGTCGAGACGCCGTTTGTTGGCGCCGGGCGGCGTAATTAGGGGTGCGGTCGAGGATGGGCGGATGGCCTTAGTCTGCCTAGGTATGTGTATTGTGCAAATCTCTGGTTATTGTGCAAATTTCTGGTTATTGTGCAAATCTTTGGTTGTTTACCTATTCGTCACGGTAAATACATTCTGATCATTATTCGGTTAACATCCCGAAGTGGTGGCTCGGGTAATCAGCAGAAAGATTTCTTATCCATTTCCCAATGGCTCCCGTCGTGACTACCTCCTTTTCGGGTGTCTGGTCTGTTTTCATTAGATCTAGGTGCTTGTATGGTTAAATGCAAGGTACCTTCGGCTCCGCTACCCCTTCTTCTATATCGAAAATATTTTTCTTTTAGCCGCTTCTACACCCCTCAACGCGGGTGGTTGGGATCCTCCCATACGAAGACGGCCGGCGCTCCTCCAACGGCGGATCCTCGAGCCACTGTAGTGCTGTGTGAGTAAGGTAAACGGGGCTCCGGGATGGGGATGGAAAGCGGAGGTAGGTAATTACCGTCTTGACGTGGTCGAAGGGCTCGGCACTGAGTCCAAAGTTTCTGAGACCGTATTCAAGCACATGTACATAATTTCGTTGGGGATCAAGAGGCGACCACTCGTTAGCCTAGACGGGCACGGTTGTGTCAGGATGGAAGCCAGGCGCAGCGTCTCGTGCAGGTGCTTGCTGTCGTGCTGAGATGTGTTGCCGCGCGACAAGATCTGCAGCCGCGTGGCCATGACATCGCGCGCCTCGGCCCACCTGTTTCACCACCCCAAAATCGACAACCACCCATACTTATAGTCACGTAATCATTCGTTACCTTTAATCAGTCCGGATCAGCCCCGGATCAGCAGCACTGTTTTGCGAGAAGGGGCTCAGAACTGGGACATTTGAACCTCCATAATAGTCACCTCCCAAAACTTCACGTCTTGCCAAGGCCAATGATCCCACTTTTGACACTGACCGCGATTTTAGGCCACTAAACCAACCTCTGGGCTACTGATTCTCCTTTTGGAATATACTAGTACATGTTATAAGAGAAACAAGAAACAAGCTCAAAACTCAGCTGTTGCGTAGCTCGCTTGTCACCCAAAGTGAGAAACACAAGGAGCTGAGAATGCATAGGCTGGTACAAGCGTCATGCCATCTCCGTATGGGCTTCGATGAGCGGCGTCGCAGTTTCAATAACGCACTGACCATGGTCAAAGACTGCTGGCCCGTCCCGCTCAGAACCGCCATATATGATCCGGCATTATGAGATGCACAACAAGCTCTTCTTCCGCACGTGCAATCACTTTGTGCACATTATGTTGCCTCATGCAAAGAAGGGAACCCGCTGATTCCACACGAAACCGTGAACTGGGACTTCCCCATGATTTTGTACGAAGCTGGATGGCAAGAACCATCTGATTGACTAAAAACTTTCAGAAGTGGAATGTGCTAAATTTACTTAAAGGTACTGCTACGAAAGGGCTTTGCCGGCGTTGATCAATGACCTCCTCTTGCTAGCTGAGGAGTACTATCTCCAACACCTCGATAAAGGCGGGGGCTATCGCATTCTAGCTGACATCTATGGCGGCATCGGGTCTCTCCACACCGAGTCGAACATGTCTCAGGAAGCATACGAGAGCTTTCGCAAGGAGCGGGATTACATCTAACCGGCTTTCAGCTCTGGTGAGCTCTAACGCCCAAATGTCTGGGAAGTCTTTGGCCTCGCCCGCCTCGGCAATGGGGTTCACGGACTCAATCGATATCAAGAGCGGAAGAATACTGCTACAAGGCGCTGAAGGTATGGGACGGCCTACCAGGAGATCGCACCGTGTACACGACCAACCTCGCGACTTGTTTATGGCTACCAGGACGGCTGGGGGAGGCCGAGAAGAGACTTCAACCGCTCGTGAAGGACATAGAGGATGCAACCAACTTCAGGTAGGTGCAGAGCAAGCAAGCAAGCAACATGGACACATCGGCTGCCCGGCGGCAAGCCGACTTTCTATTGGACTGAATATGTGCTTTTGGCTCTGGGTAATGTCCAAATCAGCCAAGCTCTCACCCTGACGGAAGAGGGCAAGAAGAAGGAAGCAGAGGCCAAGTACAAGGATGCTATGGAGACTCACCTGCAGTCCCTCAAGCTGTACATGCTCACGATTGGGCCCCGACATCACCGAACAGGAGACACGTACTACAAAATTGGCTAGCATTTCCACCACCGGGGTAACTATGCCGCGGCATTGTGAGTATAGCGCCTGGATAAAACCACGTTGGTTGATCGCTCCACGACAGCCTGGAAAGAACAATGCTCGACAAAGCGCTAGAAAGTTATTCGATGAATCCCGTACACCTAAAAAATGAGATTACTCGGACTCGATACAAGAGGGGCTGCATCTACCAGGACATGGGAGAACGACAGAAAGGCAGAACGAACTTACGAGATGATCTAGATATTCGATCTGTTCGTACCCGGGCAATGCCTTGTGCAATACTTTCTCTATCTCGGGGAAACGGACTTTTTTGACGTAGTGGTCGTCGTTTGCAGAGTCGGGGCCGATAGTGGTTTTGGCTTTGAGAAAACAGAAACCGTGCTTTTCCAGCTCAAAGTCATCACGACAGTCCTGTGCATCCGTGATAGTAAGACTCTGGTAGTCGAGACGATTGTTAGTTGCGTCTGCGCCAGGAATGTGGTCGACTGAAAAATCCGTGGTGAAAGGTTTCTCACGGAGATAGAGAGAATCCTTCTTCAAATAGGGAAGGTTCACAGGAATGCCGGCAATTTCAGTCATTTCTGCTAGTAATGGAGGCTTGCGCTGTTTGGCACCGAGCCGTGGTCATTGAGGACCATCCACTCCATACGCAATGGATGTTAGGGCAATTAAGAAGGACAAGGGCCCCGCAATGGACAAATCTGGGGACGCAGGCTGGCACATTAGGGGGTGGCCAAACTAGAACTATTAGTTGGATCCAATGGATACACGGCGATAACGAGCGAGGTAATAGATGCCAGCTAATTCGAAACGGGTGAGCGCATCCTGAAGGCCTTTCTAAGGTGCCGACATGACCTCGCATGACAGAGGAGGGTGCGGCTCATTGCAAGCCTTGCATCCGAGGCCACAAGTCAGCCAATTTCGCTGCAGCTACTTTCCAAGAACGGGGCACAAAAGACACCGGCCAATGCTGTCCAGAAGATGTCACTCCAACCCCAACCCCCACCCAACCTCCTTTCATCCCGGTACACAACCTCACACATTGTGCCGCAATATGCGTTTTTGCGCTATCCCGCATCATCTATCTGCCCTACGTCTCTCGGTAGTTTCGTTACTAGTTGAAAGTGGAGGATCCAGGGTCCCGTTTACGAAACAAAGAGAAGCGGCATGCTTCTTATCTTCCTGATCGTGGTGTTGAAATAATTGGTCAAAACTGATCCATTGATGTGTCTGGCCAACTCCGCATTCTGCCTTTGGCTGGCGGAGTTGGAGTGAGCCAGATCTGAGGGGGTGGTTGTTGGCGTCTAGGCTGCGATCTCTTTATCATTACGCCTATCAGCCTCATCATGCGCCGATTGGCCCATCTACCACGACAAGTATGCCGCTCTACCATAGTAGCCGGAGCTAATATCAACTAAATTGAGCCCTGTTCATCCACACGATGACTGCTATAGAAACCGTGATGGAGCCGGCAGAGGTAGTGATGGAGGAAAAGTTCCTAGAAAAGTGCACCTTCATCTACCACACTGCAGGCCCTGAATGGCTTCACAAATTCCGCAGGGGCCAGATTTGTACTTTCACTGAGAGCCGTGGTAATGCTGGAGGGTTTCCGCAAGGCACGCCCACGGCCCGCTGCTGACGATGCGATCAGCATCGATTCCGGCGACATCAAACGATGCATGGTCTTTGACATGCGCCCAGAGTGTCGTTCGTTCTTCTCATTCCTCACCCTCCCCAGGTTCTCGCCTGACCGCTAACCCACGATGCCAACAAGGGACCTGCTTCTTCGCCCTCCTCAACCTGCCGCGACTCGCAGTCGTCAGACGTCCACTCTGCCCGCATCGAAGCCGAGGCAGTCGTGCACGCCACAACCGGCATCTCGAGCGTGCTGCTATGCTGACCTTGTTGAACTACGGGCTTGATCCGAACACGGTGAATTTCAGGCGGCCCAACTCAGCGGGACCGAAGAACGCTCTAGCGTTGCACCACGCAGTGCGGCGCGGGGATAGTGAAATAGTTGGGGTCCTGCTCCAGCGCGGGGTGAAAATGGTACTGAATGTGGATGGGGTGACGCCGTTGCAGATGGCCGAGAGGAGGATCCAGCTTACGGGCATGCCCATAGCAATGGCGCTCAGGGCATGGCTTGACGAGAGGGAGCTTCGTTGGGATCATGTACACGAGCCGACAGCCGTCAAGGAAGAAAGGACCAGGCTTCAATACACCGGTTCAAGTATCCATTTTTCTGCGTCTTGTTGTTCAGGGCCTCCTTCCCAACCCACGGCGTCTACACGGCGTTCTAATATTCAAGAATTCAGGGTACTGAACAGCGGCAGAAGGGTCGTTTGCAGATCTAAGCGCGAGCCTAGAGAGCAAAGACTGACTTAATTCTCTAGTAGTCGGGAATAGCAAGACATAAAATGCAAGAGGTAAAGTGGAACTGCTTATTTTCGTGGAGTGGGCTCATTTTAACCAAAGGGCCCAAAAATGGTCCCGTGCAAGCAAAGGGCCTAGAATTGGGACACTCGCACACGCAATAGCTACCACCTAGAACTCTATGGACAATTCGTCTCGCCTTCGGCTTGGGAATGCTTATATCTGTCAAATAGAAGCAGGGTTCGACCCCTGGGTCGAACCCAGGGACCTAGTCAGCTTGTGTGAGGATGCCTGGCACAGCCAGCAATCCAACCACTAAGCCACAAAGGCTTCGTCAGATGCATGGCAGTTGGTTCATGCAAAAAGGTCTATAAAGGCGTCGTGCACGCCGGTAGAGAGCAGAGAGCCTAGGGTGTCTAGGGCACCTGAGACCTCGAGAAAATCCTGGGACTCCCGTTTCCCTCTATAAAGGGTAGCTCTATACATTCTAGTATTGGTCCCCGCCCAGGCGAATCTATCTAGTACTACGTACGCTTTCCCTACAACCTAACTTATCCCAGCTTCCCCGTTCCCCGACCCTATTCCTCCCTGGGCTCATTCGCGCCACCACCCTCTGCCACAGCTTGGCCGCTATCCCGCTTGAAAAAATCCACAAGGTTTTACGTCGACTTTTTGGCAAGGAGGACAGGTTTCGATCTACCAAGTATCGTCCCCATCTTGCTGACGTTAAGCCTCCACGATCTAGAGGCTTCACGTCGTTCCGCGGTGCTATTGGACTCGCCCGCGAGGCTGGCATCTCTGAGAATAGCGCCCTCAGCGCCGGATTGCCCAAGTCCAAACACGGACAACCTTCTCCACTTCGAGCCCTTTCCGGATTTGGATGTCGGTGCGCTTACTATGACGGTGCCTGCCTGCGATACAACTGGTAGAAGGGGAGATAACTCTTTTGTTTTGGGGTCTCCACCCAAGCCGCTCTTTCCCGAGTCATCCCCACTGGATTTACCGTCTCTCCGTCTCTCTGTACCAGTGGAAAGTAGTCCGTGGGGGTATGCCACGGTGACGGGGCCGGGGGTGGCACCGTGACAGGGTTTATGATAGAAAATGGATTGAAACTCGAGGATAAGACTCCCAGAATAGAAGTACTCGCAGAGTTATGGGACACAATGAATATGAATTGATGGTAGCTACCATAATGCTTACTTATGTTAACCGTGATACTAGGAAACACGAAGTAACTTGTATCTTACTTACCGCGTTCAGTTGCTTAGTTGTATAGCTAGATCGCGACAGGTCCTGCCCAGTTCCAAGTCTTTGAGCAGCTCCCAAGTGACGCCCTCCTCGGGTGGGAAGTTTGGTAGTCTCTCTCGTAGCTAACTCAAACTCAGCTGTCTGAAAAGTCGAGCCATCTGTCTTGCGAGGTGGTTTCGAGAAGGCGAGTGTTTTTTTTCCAGGATGCGCTGGTGACTGTCTGGGTCTGAGATGGGGGATTTGAAATATTTCAGCAAGGTTTTCTCCCGAGGCGGGCGCCTGCGTCAGGAAAGGTGGTAGTGGTCATGGTGTGTTAGCTTGTGATTTTGAGATATGCTCTCGCTGCTCGAGGGGTTCCAAGGTGGCTCTCCGGCTATAGTTGCGGGAAATACTTGCCGTGTACTCCATTTCTTTCCCTCTTCCCTACGCTATGCTCACGATATCAAGAGATTGTCTTCAAGCATGCGGAATATGACCCCAGGCAAGGGGCTTATTTACGATATGAAGAGAAGAAGAGCCTGAGAAACAACGCATCTTAGAGTAGACCCACTACAGTGGGTCCCACTGGGAACAAGACTATTTTTCGACCGCTGCCTCGCCGTCCGCTGCAAAGTTCACTTTCGCAACAAGACCAGATACGCGACTAAATGGCGAAAGCACATTCGCAACAAAACCACATACGCGACTAAATAGCGAAGGCACATTCGCAACAAAACCACGTACACGACCAAACAGTTTTACACAAGAAAAAGGAACCTCTCTGCCAAACAATGGAGGCCTTTCTTAGCCCCATCACCTTGATCTTCCTCCCGCAGCCAGCCACCATAGAGGAGCAGATGATTCAAGGTCTTACCGAATATAATTTGCTTCCCTCTATCCTTGTCTTGATGGGGAAATAGCCAAGTTGCCGGGGCTAATTAACTATTGGAATTTATCAAGCAGAAGGGCCTCGAAGGTTCTAGATAGAGACTTCGCCACCAACTTCGCCACCACAATAGTAGTATAAGAACGGGCTTTCTGGCACTGCCAGAAAGCTAGAGAGAAGAACAGACATCTACAATCCATCACTTGAACCACCAGTTTTCGGCGTGCAGCCACGCCCTGTTGAGTCCAGTACCGGTACCCTGGTGAATCCAACATTAACATCGAGTTCCTGGCTGCCATTAATTCAAGCCGTGTAGGTTAGCTGCTGGTGAATGAGAAATGGGAAAGCAGGGCACATACTCCATGGCTAAGTGCTCTTGTTCTTTGAATTCTCCGTAGAGACGGTTATGGGGCCCGCTGCAATGCATTCCTGGATCACCTATTCCAGCGCTATCGCTCTGTGCGCATTTCTCCTCATGGTCTGCGCTGCTGATCCGGGCGTCTTTTCCGAACTTCCGGCCCTGGTGCACGTCGAGCAACATGCGAGCACCCGAGACGGGACTGCGAACCCGGGCGAGAACCCGTCATTCCAGAGGCCTGTGCACGAGCTCCAAGGCTTTGAGGACGGCAAGCAGTACCCGTTTACATCGCCGGGGCAGCCAACTTTACCCTCGTGGACCGCGCAAACAACTACTCGATAAAATGTGGTGACCGAGATGTCACGGGCGACATCGACTTTATCACGGCGGACGATTACGACTTTCACCACTGCGACTATGGCCCGATTCTCTCTTCTCCCAACGAGGGACATCTGGTTCTTTTATACCGGTACCTGCAGGGCTTCGATGTGCTACAGTTGCTCCACCAGTGGATCTGCACACAACAAGATAATTCGTATCCGTGAGTGCCTTATGAACCTGAAAGAAGCTTTCTCGAACTAACACCAAGCCCGGCGGACCTACATTGGGACCGCCGAATGGAACGAATGGAACTTCACCGCCCCTTTGGACTGTCCCAATGATCCAAAAGAGCACCCTCCTTAGGGGCAGAGGGGCCGGTTGTCAACTGCACCTTGTCCAAGGACGAACAGACTCCAGTCACCCGAACCGTGGCTTGGATCTCCCCGACACCGGCCGTGACAGAAATCCCAATCCAGCCCAATAATGCGTCTGTCCCATCGATGGAAGCTCCTCCCCGGAATAGCAACGAGAGGCGGTGCATTGGGGGATCTTTCACCTACCCGGGATGGCATGTCGAGCGATTCGCAAGCGACACGGCAGGAGGCAGCGGCATTAACCTCAACCTGCGCCACGCGGCAGCCAACCACTCTGTGAGCTGCAGTACTAAGACGTGGCAATAACGGAGACCTCGTGTGCGCGCAGGCCGACGGTGAACGGAACAAGTACAGATTGCTCACAGCACCGGACATCGAAATTCACTTTGACCGCTCAACTCGCGAGCTTAGTGTCAGTGAGGCCTGGGTATGCGCCGGCGACCTTGTTGAAGTGCCAAAGTAAAACAAGTGCCAAAGTAAAACAAATGCCCATTCGCTTGGCCCTGCCCCGACTGACCCGGCAGCAGACAGACAATAAAAGCCGCTAGCTATACAAAGATACCCCCCGAATGCACCGGGGATTCCTGCCTCAGCCGCTCCTTCGACATCAAAGGGGCTCTCACGGAGCCCGTCTCGCTGAGCCCGCCCGGGCCGCCTCCACCCGCCGGGGACATCACCCCGATCTGGAACATTGTCACGCGCAGCGGAGTCGTGGACTTTGACCTCCTCAACTACGCCAACGACATCACGACGCACTGCCACGTCGAAGCGGAGCCGTTCACCAACTACACCAACCTCACGGGCGACCTGTCGACGTTTGGATACGGACGGCGCAGAAAGGCACTCCTTTTGGTTGAGTCCCTGCAGCGCTTCTATCTTTTTTTGGGCAAGAACTGAAGGTCGAGTGCCCCGTGGGCTCGGGCGACTTCATGCATCTTGGCCATGTTTCGGAAGAAATCCAGCACCGGCTGCAGCATCTTTTTGCCCGGGGTGATGACGGCCGTCGAAGCATCAATGCCGGAAATAACACACTTGATTTCGACCCCAGCTGGAGGGATTACCTCTGGTTTTACGAGTTCTTCGACGGCGATACTGGGCATGGGCTCGGCGATACTGGGCGTGGGCTCGGCGCAACTCATCAGTGCGGCTAGACGAGGCTTATCGCTCGCATGATTCATGACACTAGGTAGGTAGCGCGTTTTTCTCACGGGGCTCAACCATGTGCTTCTTTATGTTATACTTGGGCGTCTACTAACCTTTCCCGACTATAGTGTCAACTGCCGCCTGCCCCGACTCCCCGGACGCCTTCGGTAGGCATGTCAAATTATTTCGATGACATCTTCCACAGACACTTGGACGGTACTCAGACACCCAAGTCACCCGTGTCCCCGGGGCGCCTTCGTCGGAGCTCAACTAGCCGGTCCATCGCTACCCGTAGCGACTTTGATGTTCGTGATCTGAGATCTCGGTTTAGAGGACGAGACCGACGGCGACTTTGCGACGCGACGGGGCTCAGTGGTGAAATTGAGATCGCCTGAGCGCCTTCGCGAGCGGACGGAGGCGAACGCTCACCTGCACACCTACATCAGCCAGTGCACGAATGGAGCCCGTGTAGATGTACAGAAACTTCAGTGTTCCAATCCATTCGGCCGTCGCAGAGTTTGCCGCGGACGGCAGTGCGATCTCCGAGCACGTCCACGACTAGCACGACAACCACAGGCACCTCAATGAGCAGTACCACAACAACTGGACCAAATCCTGCAGCCCGAGGCAGCCGACCGGCTGGGGCGCATCCGGCTCGTCAAGGAGCAGCGGGCGACCGAGGTGGAGAGCCGGCTGATCATGCTGGCGCAGTCGGTTATGATTGACGCGAGTGTGCATACCCGATGTTGGGGTGCATACCCGATGTTAGGGACTGAAGTCTCGACCGACTGCACCCTAGGAATGCTTCGACAACGGCAATGTCTATATCGAGGTGGCCGGCACGGTAGTCAAGGTCCCAGTGGTGAAAGTAGGATTCTCGACAGCCTCTTCATAAGTGCACAGATATATGATTATGCCATGCTAACTAACCCAAATCTATTATTCCCATCATTGCTGTAACCTTCCGTGGTTTCTCACGCTCCTGACCAATTCTAAAAGGTAATAACCCTATTGCCCACGAGTCCAGAACACTCGATGCGGAGGCAAGCGACAAAACGAAGCTGCATAAAAGTCGACGCTGGTCGGCGATAGCGGCGGCGTAGGTTGGTCAGACGCCTGGGATGCTATGGACGGCCGGTTGGCTCGATGTTTGGGGAGAGTCGGAAAGTTGTCGAGGGGTTTATCGGCGGATCCGAGCCAGTTGGAGAGCTCTCTTTCTCGCCTGCCTGCTTTCGATCATGGCCACCACTACCACACCACCAACTACACCGGTACTCCCCATAAGCCCCACTTTCTCATCATACCGTGGCGTGATTGTGTAGCTCGTATTCTTCCACGTCGACCAAAGGATCACGAACTACGGGGGCACTGGACAGGAAGCACTACTGCCGAACGGCGGACTAGAGTCACGAAAATATGCAACACATTCCATGAAATTTAACGTCTAACCATCACCTCTACGTCTCCATTGTAGGGCAACCTTTGACCTTAGGCCTGCTACTTGAATGCCTGTCGCAAGGTGCGCAGATGTCGTCACATGGACTGGGGCGTTTCCATTTTTCTTCACTTCACTTCTTGACTTCTTTTTCTCTTGTTTTTCTCTTGGGCGTGTGATACAGAACACCATGCCCAAGTCTTTGCCAGCCAGATAAAAGGGAGCTTCGCTGCTGCACTTGACGGGCAGGGCCTCGAAGAAGCCCTGCAGCAGACGCAGGTCGCTGCCGAGCGTTCTCGACTACTTTGTTAGACTGAGTTGAACTCTGGCGAGCTCGTGACAGGCAGGACGAGCGGGTGCCGCCGAGATCTGAGGTGGCGGTACTGGTGAATTCCTTCAGCTTCGCTGCCAAGCGCGCGTTGGTGTAGAGTACGATCAAATCGCGATCAAGTCAAACAGGAGATCAGGGGCAGCATCAGCACCGCTATTGAGGGCTCTCTTCTATCGACCAACCAGTCCCATGCGCGATAGACCAAAATCGGTCAGCCTCGAGTGCAGGGTAACTCGAGTGCAGGGTAACTCGTGCGCGCGGACCGTTCTTGCCGGAGCGCTTAAAGTCACCAAGATACGGTCAGGCCGATGTCTTTCTAACTTTTTCCCTTTCTCTCTCTCTGTAGTGCTTGTCGTTGCTGGGAGTGAGACAAGATATGTTGTCGCGGTGTTAGGTAGGTTTCCTTTGCGTTTGTTTTGGGCGTGTGTTTGGATCGTCTGGGTCGTCTTATCCCAGTCACTCATGATCCAGAATGCGAGCGAGATGGCGGCGGCTGCAAGCGAAAGTCTCGTGTTGGGGAAAATGAAGGTTGTAAGTTTGGATTAGATAAGGCATGGAAATGAAAGTAGCGCCTCGTCTTTTGACAAACCCTCTGGGCCCTTCTGGTGGACGATCCATGATGACCTCAACCGGCGGGTCGTACAACTCGTCAGGGCAGTTGTACATGTACGGATGCGGCTCCGAGTCGAGGTCGTCGGGCGTGGTTGCGCGGCTCGTGGTTGATCCGGCGTAGCGTCGGGCACTCTGCGGCCCGCCTCCTTGTCGAGGTAGCGCCTCATCTGCTCGCTCCAGAACTCCTCCCAGGTCGCCTTCCAGCCGTTTTCCTGCTCCATGTCACCGAAGCGCGTGTTTATGGGGAACCCGACACCACCAAGTGGTATTCGTGCGACGTCGTCGACCCGCACCTCTTCCCCAAGTACAAAATCTCCACAGCAACGCAGTTCGACAAGCTCAGCGACTTTCTGGCCTTCAACCAGACGTGGTACTGCAGCGACGAGGGAGACGACCACCCGTGCGTTGACCACCGTGCGTTGACCACCCCTCTCGAGACACAGACTAAAACCAGTGGCTAACCACCGCATTGACAACGACATACAGGGCAAGCTTCACGGCACAAGCCAACACCACGCTGCTGGTCCTCAACACGGCCGACCAGCCCCGCCGTACGTGCCCGGCAGCGACCCGGCAATGTGGTATCCGTGCAACCGCTTCCCATACGATCCCGACCCCGAACCGCTAGGCGCTGTGTATTGCTTCTACCGCCTCGACCTAGCAACGGAGTATTTTGCTGTCAACCAGTTGTGATACTGCGACGACAAGGACGCCGATCACCCGTGAGCCATCCATCCCTGCTTGTTCTGCAAATCTATCTATACTGACACGGCTCTCGTGTGGCTAGGGTCCTGTTCGAGGCAAGCGGGAGTAAGCACCTCGAGCTGGAGTGCGGGTTCCGGCCCAGGGACACCACTTCCCCCCGGGGCGCGGGGCGGTGGAACAACCGCATCAGCTGCAGGTTGAGAGAATAATTAGGCAGGCGCAAGTTGGTGAATCGAGGCATGGTTGTCAACAAACAAACAAACAAACAGTCAAGCACTCGTTGTAATTGGCTGGACTGTAATTACGCTCCGTTGAAGGCTTGGAATCTGTTTGTTTACTTGAGTCTCGAATTTAAATTCGTTGTTTACTTGAGTCTCAAATTTGAATTCGGCTCTAAAACAGACGGGTATCGATATTTCCTAATTATTACACGAGGCAGTTAAACGCCAGTTCCAACTTTTCTTCTGTAGCAATTTCATCATAACAAAAGTCCAAACTCCCTCTCTCCCGGCTCGCCCCCTAACCCGGCCCCTGACTCCAACCTTGCGCCTTAAACAACAAAACCACTGCTCCACCACAGACACTGCTCCACCACAGACACTCTCCACCACAGACACTCTCCACCAGACACTCTCCACCAGACACTCTCCACCACAGACGTCCATCAATTCCCTCCCCTAACCTCACCACCCCTCGCCTCCGACCGAATAAGATCCCGCAAGATATCCAACCCCTCGGCGCGGTCTTCGGGCCGCTGAATGTCCAGCCCCCAGGCGGAAAGAAACGGGGCCTCGCCGCGGTAGTTCTCGTGCAGCCACATGCGCTCGGAGCGCGTGTGTCGAAGCAGCTTCTGTGCTGGCACCGCCGGCTTCTGCGCGCGGGGGTCGCGCGGCGGCGGGGTACGTTCCTTTCTGCGTTCGGCTGGCCGTGACGACGACAGCGACGACGGCGACGACGACGACGGCTGCGCAGCGGCGCGGCCGCCGGCGTCGCTGTCGGGCGTCAGCGGCGGCGTGCTGCTGCTGCCCAGCGTGGTCGAGATGACTATTATCTGGTCCCTTTCTCTCCGGACTAAAGGGGCGAGACTATCTTGCAGCGCCTTGGTAGGTAGCAGCGGCCGGTCGAGTTGGCTGCTGCTGCTGTGCGGCGGTATTACCGGCCGGCGGGGCTGCGGCTGTGCAGTGAACGGCGCCAGCTGCTGCTGCTGCTGGCCGGGAACGCCGGGGAGCGGCTTCCACTTCGAGTTCTTGCGGGCCAGCGCGGCGGCGCTCGGCTGGCTACCGCTGCCGGGTTCCTTCAGTTCGGTCGAGGGCACCCTGAGCGGGGCGGGGCGCAGATCCTCAGACTTGGACGGGCGGTGCTGCAGCCGCCTGCTGGCCACGGGCGCGCCGGGTATTCGAGGGTGGATCTCGGCCTGGGCCTGGGCCTGGGCCTGGGCCTGGGACTGCGGCTGTAGCTGCAGCTGCATCGGCGCAAAGGGGACGACCGAGTCCTGGTACAGGTCGAACCACTGCGTGACGCGGCTGTCGGCCGAGCTGGAGCGGCTCCGCTGCAGCCGTCTCTCTGCCGGCGCCGACGCCGTGCTGGCCGACCGCGCGAGCTCGTAGTCTGCCTCGCCGACCCGGCGGCCGCCGAGATGGACGATTTGCAGCGCTTCGAGTCGTGATGCTGGTGGAGCCCCGGGTGTCTTGCCGGACGTCCCTTGGCTTGGAGCATGTTAGCTACCGGGCACTGACAGAGGGAGGCAGACGGCGACATACCGACTCGAGCTCGACCCCTTGACCCAATCCCGCACGCGGGAGCTAGGGTTCCTCGTGAGGTTGGATTTCGGCTTTGGCGTGTGGGTGTCCCGGTCTGGCGCCGGCGTGTGGGTGTCCCGGTCTGGCACCGGAGGGGAGGTTGGCGAGGGCAAGAAGGCGGCCGGCATGGCTTCTGCTGTCGTCTGCTGGGGGGTGCGTGGTTTGCCTGGGGTTGGATACAGATGCATCATGTTGATGGGTGATTCCGGGTTCAACTCGTGGATGGTTTCCATCGGCGTGGAAGTTGCTACCGTCGCATGCATTTCGGGTTGGTCTGGTTAAGCAGAGGGGAGAGATGAAAGCGATGGCCACGCCATGGGAGGCATCACGGATATGCAGGCAATTTATCTCAGAGGGTCTCTGGAAGGGCGTTTCACACCGTTTGGCTATTTCCCTGTCGGCGCAAAATCCAAGACTGCCATTGCCCTTTGGTTTCTGTTTCTGGTTTCAGGCTCGAAATTTCAGTTCTAATTTCGAACCTGGCCAGGAGACCCAGTGGCGGTTACGCTGGTGCAGCCAATCACGGCCGCGCTCTCTCCAGTCGCTAGCGGCCTGTTTCAGCGCGCCCTCTGCCCTCGGCCAATCGAAATGCGCGGCCTGTCTTGGACTGGGACGCGCGGTGGAGTCGACCCCAGAGTGCCACAAATTCTCACTCGCCCGGGGCAGGGCAAGTCAGTGTCGGACAATCCAGCCGTTCTTCTTTCTTCTTTTTGTTCATAATTGGAACAATTCTCACCCAACCCAAAACTTCGACTTCATCCGCGACACGTGTCAATACCGGGACACCCCAGGGTCAACCTCTGGCCTTGTTTCTGCTTTAGGCTTCATTGTCCTTTGGCAGCTGACGCCAGTACTAATGCCGTGTCCAAGTACTAATGCCGCGTCCAAGTACTAATGCCGTGTCTAAGTACTAATGTAATTAGTTCCGAGTCCTTCGTAAGCTGGTGGCTGGTTGAGACTCCAAGATCGGCCATTTGCTGCGCAATGGAGGGAACTTATCGTGGATAACCCTTTACACTTGCCCTGGCATCCCTTACTCCAAGTTTTGCCTCAATCAACATGCAGGTGCACGTCATGATAAACACAATGCCGGCAACGAGAAGTGACACTGTGGCAGGGGTCGGGCAGCTAACCCTAACCCGCCACACTTCCGCAACCCCAGGGCGGGAAGGAGGTGCCGTCGATTCCTTGGACAGGCACTCTCCGTTCCAGGCCCGATACCAAGAAAATGTGGAAAGAAGTACACGTGTTGTTAAGCAACAATTTGCATGGCCAAATCTGCCTTGTTTGAAGACGCTTCGTCTGCAGTTCAGAGATGGCCTCCTCGTTGTGGCTGGCTGGAGCATCGGATGATCACCAACTCGCCGCAACAAGCCAAAGCGGGGGCACAACAACACAATAGCAGAGAAGGGAAAGGAAGGCATTTACGATTTGAACGGTCGGAGCGGTTTCCCGGCCTCCAAATGTACTTTGGTGTGGGATGGACTGTGCATAATAGGGCTGAGCCGGCCCCGATCGCGAACCTAAGGGTTTGATGCCCCTTTCGACTTTCGGGCTTGGCGGTTGGGGCTGGGTCGCCGGAACGGGTGTGGGAGACCTCAGGCTCGGCTTGGTGGGGGACGGGGGGACAGGGGGGCGGGGGATGGGATTGGATGGATGGGATGGATGGGATGGGATGGGATAGGATGGGATGGGATAGGATAGGATGGGGGTCGACGACACCACCATGAAATAAGCAGCGAGCATCATCGACACCTCAATTACTCAGGCATATTTATTAAAAAGGGGACGGGTCGTGTGGGAGGGTGCGGCTGCGGGCCGCGGGGTAGGTCTGTTTGCCCATCAGTCGCGACCTCGCGGCACAGCCGTCCAAGCGGAGCTCAGTTGGTGAGTGGTGATGCGCTGCAGCTGCCCGACAATGCCCTCAGTTTCGTTGCAAACACAGCGATCCTTATTGCTGCGCAGCCAATTGCAAATCTAAACTATCACTACAAATAATTACGCACTACAAATAATTGCACCCGCACGGCATGAACCCTCCAACCCAGGTTCAATCAGAACTTGCCCGTAAACGTAAATAGGGATCCTCCTCGAGGTGGATGCAGTGAGTGATTAAATATTGATTCCCCATCAACAGAATGGCAAATCAGGAGTCCCAGCCGGCCGGATCGCCCATTTGTGCCTGTGACTGCCGTGACGGACCCCGCATATCGAGCTTTGCTGGGGACTCGATGGCGGATTATTAGGTGAGGGCGCACTGGCCGCAGCTGGTCTGGGCACTGGCCGTAGCTGGTCTGGGCTCTCCGGGGCAGCCCAGGCGCCGGCCAATGGCCCGAAGCTCGGCTGCGCTGCGCACCTGGGCAAAAGAGCCTGGAGTGGCTGTGAGGGCGCCGCTGGCGCCGCTGGCGCTGTGCTGCCCCACGTCGCCGGCAGCCAATGGGCCCCGAGGGAGCCCGTTCTGGCCTCTGGATGGTCGAATCCCGTCCGACGCCATCGTCTTGACTGGCTGCCTTTTTCAATAGTCCAGCTTCCAAATGTGCCCGCCGCGCTCGTTCCGCATAGAAACAGCAGACAAAAAAACACGCCCCCCTTATGCTTTTGCGCTGCCGAGTCCCGAAGTCGTCCCCCATGACGGCGGCCCTTTACCCTGTAGTTGCCCATGCGGGCCTCTCCCTCTGCCTCCTCCGCCCAGGCACCAGGGTCGAACATGTGCCCTTTTTATGTTTCTTTGCTTTTTCTTCCCTTTTTTTCCTTTTTCTTCCTTTTTCTTGCCCGATTTCCCCTTGTCTGCACTAGGCCGGTTCCCCGCCACATGTGCACCATGTGAGAGCCAGGATGGGGGTAGTAGATATCTGAGACATCCTCCCACTTCGCACACACTTACCCAGCGCTTTTTTTGTCAAGGCATCCCGGTCCCCAGGCGCCACCAGCACAGCACAGGACGCAATGGCGATGGCGTTCGACATCAACAGCATACCGGCGATGCAGCCGCCGCCGGGCCAGACGTCCAACTTTGTCGACCCCGAGACGCTGCACCCCATCGTGCTCGGCGTGGCCATCGCCACCATGATCGTCATGACGGCCGCCGTCACCATCCGCGTCTACACCAAGGCCTTTGTCATGAGGGACATGCGTTTTGAAGAGTGTTAGTCTGTCCCGACACTGGCTTTTTCCCGCGCGTTGGCTAACACGCTCGACAGACTTTGCCATTGTGGCGGCGGTACGGCTGCCATGAACCCGAAAATCACCACCAGAACAACCCGCTGACTGTCTCCGCAGGCCGGCATCATCCTCTGGGACGCCATCTTCATCCACGTGTCGTTCCACGGCTTCACGCGCCACCTGTGGGACGTGCGGTACGTCGACGTGCACCACCTGTCCTATGTAAGTCGACATACACGCACGCACATGCGCAGCAGCCGAACTGACACCAGCCCCTCAACGAACAAACAGATGAACTACCTCGCCGAGATCTCCAACTCGCTGACCATGTTCGCGGCCAAGTGTTCGATCCTGCTGCAGCTCAAGCGGCTGTTCTGCACGGGGCAGTCGCGCGACGCCATCTACTGGGCCATCCACGCCCTCATGCTCCTCGACGCGGCCTACTACACATCGGCGGTCTTCACGTTCGTGTTCCAGTGCAACCCGCGCGAGAAGACGTGGAACCCGCTCATGGAGGGCACGTGCATCAACGTGGCCGCGGCCACCATCGTCGCCGGCGCCGTCAACCTGTTCCTCGACCTCGGCATCCTGCTCGTGCCCTTCTGGGCCATCTGCCACCTGCAGCTGCCGCTGAAGCGCAAGCTGGGCATCTCGGCCGTCTTTGGCGTCGGCATCCTGTGCGTGCCTTGTCCCCCTCCACCTCTCTTACCTTTAGGGCTCAGACGTTAGGACTCAGACTGACACCGCTTGCAGCACCTGCGCCATCGCCGCCGTGGGCGTGTCGCTGCGCGTGCCGCTGCTGACGGACCCGGACCTGACGTGGCTGATCTCCAAGGTCGGCATCTGGACGTATGTGCCTCCCCTGTATTACCCACCGAACCCCCACCGATCCCCCACCGACCCCGGCCAGCATTGCTAACGCTTTTCAGGATGCTCGAGTACTGCGGCACCATCCTCGTCGGGTGCATGCCGTCGTTCCCGCGCTTCTTCATGCACCTGCGCGGCCGCGACCCGCTGACATCAGGGTCGCGGTCCAACAACAACAACAACAATAACAACTACTACAACCACAACCACAACAACCGGTCCGGCGGCGGCCATGATAACAGCAACAACAACAACAACAACAACGGCACCATCGGCTCCGCAGGCGGCGGTGGTGGCTACCGGCCCGGCATGGGCTTGGGGACGCCGTCGCGCAACAAGAGCGCCGTAGCCGTCGGGCTGGCGCTGACCACGTCTGAGGTGTCGCTGTCGGATGCGGCGTCGTGCGGCGCCGAGTGCGTCGAGCTCGAGCACGGCGTCGGCGGTGTCGGCGGTGTCGGCGGTGTCGGCGGGCGGGAGCCGTACGGGCGGCGCGGCTCGGATGATTCCGGGTTCGGCAGCAGGCGCGACTCGGAGTGGTCGCGGTCGACGAGCCCGGTGTGATGATGATTGTCTGACTTGCAGCTACCAGGTTGAGTGTAAGATGTTCGCTTCTTCTGTGATTTATTCTGTGATTTATTCTGTAATTAGTCTTGTTGGCGGCTATCGGTTGCGGGCTCGACCGAGTTTGTTCTGGCTTAATTGTATGGTGATGGATAAGATATATGCGAGGGGGGTTTTGGTGTCGTGCTCCGGCCGTCAGGGGAGAATCAGGCGCAAGCCACTTTGGAGTTCATGTTTAGATACCTACCGTTCAATCAAGTTACTATTATTCATCTTGCATGTTTATACCACGAGGGTCAAGGCAGCGTTGAAAGTCGAGTAAAGTGCAGGCGGATAAATGTGCATGCACATTGTGTTGTTCAAGTCGGTAGGTAACCCCGACTCGCCATATCGCCCCGAGACCCAACAAGTCAGAAAAGATTTACTACGGTGTTATGGGTAAGAAAAATAAGCCTGGTCAGGTTGATGTAAGCCTAGCACGGACCAACCCACCAATGCAAGAAAGTCACCCTGAGATGCAGAGCTGTCCTAAAATACAGACCTCGCATTGTAAAACTAAAACAGGCTGTAAATACTATACAAAATCAATAATTTGTATGTATTCCATTCGCATCAATAACGGCCTGGCATCTTTCCGGCATCGAGGCGAGTAATTCGACCAGGTACGACTCCGGCGGTGCATCCCAGGCCTCCTTAACGTACCTCCCAAGTTTATCGTAAGAAGGATTCTCTTCCAGGCCCCAGTTATCCTTAATATAATCCTTCATCCAGTTCCAACATATCTTAATAGGGTTCAGGTCAGGCGAATATACTGGCCAGGATACGATTCTTATTCCCCGGGCCTCTAATTCAGCTTTTATATCCGCAGCAGCATGCCTAGGAGCCCCATCCTGCATTAGAATAAGCTCCTCGCCGTAATGTTGCCTCTGAAAGCGAATCCAGCCGTCAAAAATAGGTAAGATTTGCTCGCAATAGCTCTCCTTATTAATTTTGCCCCATTCTTTCTCCCAGAATAAACTAGGGCTTTTAACTAAGCCGTGGAAACAACCCCAAAACATCCAGCCTCGCTTCCGCTGGTGCCTTTCTACTACACTGGTCGGATCCTATTCCTCTCCTAGCCAGCGTATGACGTATTACCTTCGGTAATGGCCTCCTTTCACCCACGTTTTATCCGTCTAAAGAATTTTCTTCCATTACTCTAGAGTCTAGGAGACATATTCTCTGGCCCACTCTACGCGCGTTTGATGGTTCTTTTCAGATAGTGGAGGCTTCTGACGAGCGATACGACGACGAAAACCGAGGCGGTAAAGGGCTTTTTAATTACTCAGACTCCGAAGATTGCTGAAAAACGAATAGTTGAGAACTCGAGGAAGGTCACCTTCGATTTTCCTTACTTACGTAAACAAATTCGACTAATTCTTCCTCTTGCTCTGGCGAAAGAACTCTGGGGCGGCTAGGTCTCTTTTTCGGCTCTTTTTGTCGAATCGCTTGTTAGATTTGCGCTTTTGTAAAAGAGGGGAGCCGGCTTTGGATTTCGGCCTTAGAGAGGCCTTCATTGAAATATAGCGTACGGATGCGAGTATGGTCGGTGAGGGTTAGTTGCTTAATTCTAGAGGTTCCTTTTGGGTGTTGGGCGAGCCATTGCGAAGATGAAGATATGGAATGCAGAATGGTGGAATTTAGGTGTGAAACGTCGGATTTAGCATTCTGGTAAATAGAAGGTCGTAGAAAGAACCTGACGGGTGGAAGTGGGGCACCCCACAGGTACATGACGGGGGGTGTTTTATTTTGGCTCGCAACCACAGTACCCTGAGAATAAAGCTGGCGGCTCACTTTCCTTTCCTTATTTATGAGGGAAGATAGGGTTCAGTCAAACAGGAGTTGCCTTGGGCACGTTCACGCATAATCAAACTGCACATTCTCAAAGAACTATTTGAAAGCAAAATACCCCCATTCGTATTTGGATTACAGACGATCTACCAATATAATAAATATGCTCATCCCAATGATATAACCCTTTCCTTCCCCAAATCACACAGTATCCCAGACACGGTTTGACAAACTCCCCTGCCCTCCCTAATCTAATAATCCTAGCCCGCTCATCCTATCCTCCCAGCCGGCCGATGCGGTGAATCTTTCCAAACTTGATGGTGCCGGGCTTGTAGTTGGCAATGGGCCTATTCCACAGCCGCAGCCAGCCCCAGTCCCAGCCGCGAATCCGCCAGCCCCAGGACCAGTTCCAGTAGCTGCGCAGCCAGCTCCTCCAGCTCAGCCAATTTCTAACAGTGCCGACAGCAGTAGCATCTCTAGCAGTATTCCCAGCGACGGCGGCCGCCGCCGGCTCGATCAGGCGCGCGCGCACAAATCCGCCGACCTCGTGGCGCGCGACGGTCCAGAAGAAGACCATCTGGAACGCCAGCGAACCCAGCAGGATCCAGTCGAGCCCGATGCCGTCGCAACACGCGTCCGAGCACGACGACGTGTACAGCGCAAAGGCGAAGCCCAGCCCGACCACACCCGGCGGGACGACAGTGACGGTGGTGGTGGGGGTCGAAATAGAAGTAGACGGTTCGTGAGTCGTGACAACAAAGGGAAATTTACAAGGTTCTTGCATTTGAATGGGTGGTGTTGGAGATGGGGTTGATGTCGATGATGACGACGGTGTTGTCTCACTCCTGACAACCTGGAGCGCGCCACTGCCGTCGCCGCTTACCTCCTCTCTGGGTGGGACCAAGGGCGCGGTTCCTGCCGTTGGCGGCGGGAGCAGCATTAGATGCTGCGGTAGGCCGCTTGGTCTGGGTGGCAGCGGCGGCGGCGGCGGCGGAGCGAGTCACATGCCCCGGCCAAAGAGGACGGGGTATCTCATGAGGCGCTTGCGCCAGCTTTTCTGCCGGATCTGGGGCCCGCAGGTCTGGACCACGTCTTGCTGCTCGGCTCTGGGCTCCGCAGGCTTCGGCGCTGGCTCGGCATCAGAATTCGCGACGGCAAGGGCGGGCTCGGCGGCGGCGTCATCGTCAGACCCGGCCCCAGTCCCCGCAGTTTGGGGCTCCCGAGCGGGCTCCTGTCGCGGCTCGACGCTGGGCTCAGTCTTCGCGGGCTGAGCGGGCTCAGCGGGCTCAAGATTGTCATGAAGTGCCGCGTCGGACTGCGCCGGTATCTCCGCCGCGGGCTGGGGCTCGCCGTCCGCCGTTTCGGGCTCGACGGGCGCCTGCGGTGCCTGCTCAACAGTTAGTCCCGAGTCTGATGTTATCGCGCCCTGAACCGGCTCTACCTTCTCTGTCTCCGGCTTAGCCTCGGCCTCATCCGTCTCGTCTCGGACTTTTTCGGGGGTCCTCTCTAGCGCCTCCTCGGCTAGGTCGTCGGTCTTTGCCTCTGGGATCCGCAGCGGCTCGGGCAGTAGTTCGTGAATCACCTCGGGCAGTAGTTCGTGAATCGCCTCGGGGACAACTTCGTCGTTGGCCGCCTCGGGAGCTGGAACGATTTCTGGCTCCTTGGAGGCCTCCGTCTCTGTTTGGACGCCCTTGCCCTTGTCATGGATGTCACCAGGCTCGACCGCGGCAAAATCGCGCTCGTCAATGCCCTCGCCCTCTCTAGGCTCGGGGATAGGCTCCAAATTGTGGAAGGCCTCGGCGGGAAGCTCGATCGACTCTAGCACGGCAGCCACCTCGGGCTCCAGCTCAATTATTGAGGGAGCATGTTCCTTGACACTCTCGGCCTCGGGAGGTGAAAAGTCCCAGAAGCCAGAATCAACTTCTCGCAAGAGGTTCCGCTCGTATCGCGGCTTAGCATCGAACTCGGGCTCGTCGATCGGCTCGAGCTCCTCGGGAACGGGTGTTGCCTCGAGAGCGTGCTCCAAGTCGATCACCTTGGCCGAATCTTTTCTCTCTCTCCTCGACCTCGCTCTCTTGGAGCCCAACATGGCCGCCACATCGTGGTGTGCTTCGGGGACGATGGCGATGCTAAGGGCGGGCTCGGGCTCGGGCTCAGGCTCGGGCTCGGGGGCCAGAACGGGCTCGTGGATAATCTCAAACGCGTGTTCTGGCTCCGGCTTGATCTCGGGCTCCGACTTGAGATCCAACTCCCGCATCACCAAGTCATGCAGGATCGGCTCTGGCGAGGCTTCCTTGGACCACGAGGCGAGAGATGTCTCCTCGGGCGACGGCCACGGTGTGGCCTTCTTGCGCATTGGCGGGAACTCCTCTCGCAGGATCGTTCTCGACCTCATTTGCAGCACCGACACAGGTGAGGCAGCATGGGGTGGAGGCGAGTTGGGTCTGGAGCTGCCCGGGCTCATCAGGGAGCTAGCAAGATCGGGCCGAATGAAAAGCCTCTCGCAGAACATCTCGAGGACGGTCCTGAGAAGGACTCTGTTTGGCGACAGGATGCTGCTGATGCGGTCGAGCAGATCAGATCCCAGCAGCGCCTTGGGGTCCTCGAGGTGGGGCCGGATGCGGGACTTTAGGTAGTCGAGGAACCAGTCGTCAGCTTCTGACAGGGTCGGGTGCGCGTCCCGGGTGATTTCCAGCAGAGCCGGCAGGGTCAGGCCGTCGCCGAAATTTTCGATCCTGATTTGGGCGAGCCGCATCAGATCAGGGAGGTCGTAGGTTCGGGCCGTGGCATAGGCGCGTATGCTCGTGCTGAACTCGTAGATCTCCTTGGCAGGCGACTCGGTCTCCTTGGGCTTGAGAGACTCGTAGGTGCCCGTGTGCAGGTAGTGCACGAGCACATGGCCGATGTCCTCGGGGATATCGGGCAGCTCGGGTAACCGGTTCTCATAGGCTGCCTGAAGTCTGGGGCTCTTCTGGAGGAAGTCGAGCGGAACGGTAAGGGGGCTCGCAAAGGGAATGGTGCAAGGGGGGCTCGCATAGGGACTGTTCGGTCGGCATGTCATGTCAGAGCCGTTTGATTACGTGCATGTGTGATGGGGGAAGGGGGGAAGGGGGGAAGGACAACTTACGATGTCTCTGGGCGAGTATCGATTTCCTCCATCACGGGCAGAGGAGCTACGGCGGGAGCGGCCGGCTCTTCTTGGATTGTCACAGGCCCTGGGGCATCGGCCACCTTGTGCTCGACGGCTGCCTTCGGAGCCGCAGGCAGAGGCGGCGGCTTGGCAGCGACACCGCTCTTCTTCTTCTTGTGCGCCATGTTGAGTCTGAGGAGGAGCGAAGTTACGGCAACCAAGGTGAGTCCGATGAGGGTTACTGCTTCGACCGTGATGTAGACGTGGAGGTTGCAGGGAAGGCTCATTGCGTTGTTGGTGGCCTCGTTTCTTTGGCCGGCTGGAGAGGAGGCAGGAGAGGAGCTTTTATTCTCCTCGACCTGTCACGTAGACGGCGAATATGGCAGCCGCCGCGTGAGAGCTGGCGTTGCGATTTGTCAAAGTTGGGCCTCAACGCTGTCTGCCTGTGTGCCTGTCTGTCTTGGTGGCTGCCCCGAGTCCTGAGCTGTCATGGCGGTCGGCCAGTTCCTGGCACGGCTGCGGCCAGCAAAGCCCAACGCAAGCCCATCCATTTCCGTTCTGGCCATGTCGATGCATGTCCATGTCCATGTCCATGCCGATGGATGTCCATGTCCATGTCCATGTCATGTTCATGTCCATGTCATGTCCATGTCCATGTCCATCTGGCCATTCAGCTGCGCATCGCCACTCGGCCATGTCGAGTTGCGCGTCCAAGTGCAAGCTGGGTGGTGCCCTGTTCTGGGGAGTGATTGTGTGCTTGGCTGCGCCTGTGGTTGGTGCGGCTTCTGTGGCCGGTGCTGATGTGTCCAAGTCCAAGGGCAGGCGATGGGCCGAAACGCAAAGCCGACAGCCCCGAATTGGGCCAATGACGCGGATGTGCTTTTCCAATCGGATCAAATGGCCGCCACGGGTTCGCGCTGGCGGCCAGTCGCTATGGCAGGGCTGCCGCGAATTGGCGAGCCATGTGAGCACCTCGCCCGCACCACTTGCGCCGCTCAAACACACGTGGCCAAGGTGCCGTCCCTTGGAGCGCGAAACCGATGTCGCGCCAGCCTCAAGTGCAAATGCCCAATGTTTCAGCGGACACGGAAACCGAAGGAACAGAAATTGCCCGATGAACAGGCTGCACCGCGTTTCGCAGCCCGTGACTTTCAGTTTGCCGCCACGTCGCCTGGGGTCTCAACTGCCATCAGGGGGTTTTAATCGCGTCACCTATGTGAGGCATGCGGAGTCGAGTCGAGACGTGGTGCCTTTTCGAGTCCAACAGTTGGGCCGGCAGGGCGAACCTGTAGTGTCTCAGCCCAGCCCGGTTGGGGATGGGATGGGATTGACCTCTGAGGTCCCAGGCGGTGAGCACTAAAAAAGTCGCCTGGCACCGCTGCAGTTGGAGTTGGGCACTCTTCCAGCGTCCGGCCATACAAGTCACAAATTGGCCCAGCGCGCCAACCGCGCTCGATAATATCTCTTGGCGCTCTCTGCTGGTCGACTTCATCCAATGGCAATGGGGGGGCCAAAAAGGCGATGGAGGAGATTTTTTTGGTTGTGCAGGGAAAAGAGCGGATTGAGTGCCCCTCCCATTTGTCTTTTGCTCCTGCCCAATCTGCCCAAAGATGGAATGATGCTGGAATGATGCACAAACCCTAACCCTTGGCTCCAGAACTAGGCTTTGGGTTGGGCCAATGGAACCAGCGACGCTCTTTGGCTTGGAACATCTCATGATTGACGAGCGACAGGACCCGGAAGTGGCCGCCAGGAAACAAAAATGTCAGCAGTGTACCTGAATATGCCTTGTCGACCACCAAAATAGAGCTCCATAGTCCATTAAAAGAGAGCAGGTCTTCAGGCACCGTGAAATCCGTTCCTTGCACCGTAGGTACATAGGCTGCCAAGCTTTACAGCTCACCGCCCACGAAAATACCACATTTTACAGCCAAAATTACCGCATTCGCTGGCTGCCCCGCTCCAAGCACTGGCGTAGTTATACCGCAATTACGCCTCGCCGCCATCGCCAACGTCAATATACTTCCAAATATGGTAATTGAAGCTCAGGACCGTAGATTCGCTCAAATCGTTCAAATCTGCAATAAAAAGCGAAGCTGACTCGTTGATTCTGATTACGTAACAAGGCCAAAAATGCAACAAAAACGACAGGCCTGCTCATAACTGCTCATAACTGCATGCAACTGATAGCCTTACTGATCTATGCCTTCCAATGCCCGGGTAGTAGTTGCGGGACCCTTCCACTTCGTGTAGGCTTGACAACACGGCCCTTAGCCACTGTAGAGGCTGCAGGGCCACGTGAAGCCCGTGATGTTGTGCCTCCCCGGCTAACAGCCTGCGTGCCTTGGTGTTGAGCACTACTTGTTGCCCTGCCACCCCGGCTCCCTGAGCCCCGGTTATCACGGCGAGCCGGGTCCAAGTTGTTGATAGTACGGCGGGCAGGCTCCGCAGGCGCCTAGCTACGCTCATCGACGTCGTCGTCCACATCGTCGTCACCATCGTCAAGAGAGGCGGCCTCCCACTGTGAGCGATTCCGTCTAATGGAAGGCATAAGTCCGGACTGCCTGCCTGGTTATCGGGTGCCCGGCTGAGCAGTGCCCTACGGTGCGGTCCCGGATTGAGTGGTCGCCACACGCGGTGCGTTTGGCTCGGCGGCAAAGGCAGTAGTACGGCGCGGCCTGCCCCGAAGGTGTTCAACCCTATTGGGTTCTTGGTACTAAAGGTACTCATCTTCGCCAAGTAGCGACCTTTCCAGGTACTAACGTATTTTATAAGCGAGCAGCGAATTTCTAACCAACCTACTACAATATTACAAACCACTCGACTGTTAGGCTCGTCTGTCTGTAAGGGAGCACGGGCTCCACAGGATGCTAGGGTTGGTAATTATGAAGATAGAACAAAGGGCAAGCTCCTATCGCACAGGTAATACAGTCAAATTGGAATGCCACTCAAAGTGTATGAGTGCAGTGAATGTGTATTGCTTGCTTAAGAGATCAAGCAAGAGCTATCTAGAACCGTGGGCACGGTTGTTGTATATATCTATCTACTGGACCAATAACAATGGTCCCACTGTCCCGTGGTCCCGCGTCCGGGACGCTGGTCCTCCGGGGCTGTCCCGTGTCCCCGGGCCCAAGTGCTCGGGACCCTGGGACACCTCTAATTAGTCCACACCAAACAGGGAGTGCCCCACCTTCACGCATTTCCGCAGGGATTCGTAACACGAATGCGGTGTTTTTGCTTGCGTATTTCGTCTTCAACGCCTTCCTTCATACCGTCTACCATATTGAAGGTTTGGCGTATAGTTTGGTGAATACTGCTGCTTCCGGTAATGATGAACGACTTCAGTAGCTTATTTACCGACTCAACTAGTGATGTTATACGTTGACCGAAGTTGAGGATATTATTGGTATAGCAAGTTGCCTACTCCTCAGCGAGAGTATATAGGTTTCGTCAAGATACTTGAGGATTGTCACCGCACAGTCAACTAAGATGAGACAAGGCTGCATTAATGTCGCTGTATTCGTAGAATCTAAAGCTAAAGAAAGAAAAAGGAAAGAAGATTCCAAATCCTGTGCGGGGCTCAGGGAAGTAGGGTTGGTCCTCGAGTCACGTGGTGGGTTGCGGCACGGGTCACTCAGCCCCACCTTTGGTACAGCCCGGTTAGGGTTCCTTACACGTGCCCCTCAACTGATTGTCTTGGCGCTTGCCGTGACAAGGATGGCTTTTTAGGCGGAAAAAACGGTCTTCATCATCTCCCAAGCTTATTTGAAGCCATCATGGCCAGGCACATACATCATATACTCCCAAAGTATGTACATTCCCGCCTTCGTATATAGAAACTCAGCGCGCAGGGGCCTAATACGGATTTCTTGGCCATCATGAAGTCTTATACGGAAGACAACCTGGTTTTCTTCCGGGTTGTTTTCTTCATCGCCATCTTCCTCCTCGTCGTCATTATTATCGCCGTCTTCCTCATTATTTTCCCCCTCTTGCTATCCTGCCTATCGTTAAGCACGGGCAACCTCCTTTACAACGGCTACGTTCTATTTCTTCTTAAAATAAAGAGCCATATTCTTATTAAGATGGAAGATACAGAGTTAAGGGTGAGCGTCAGGGTAAACACTCGCAATTGTAGGCCTTATAGCCTTCTCAAAGTTAGTAATTGTAACTTAAGGACGTTATGCGCCGATTCTTTCGCGATGTACGTTGACCCGCTCCATAAGCCAATTGAAGCCTTCCTCGCGTTCATTATTAATCAGTCCGAAGGCACAACTAACTACCTTACCTAGGTTCGTCTTGGCAACTACCTGGAATAGAGCGAGGTTCTTCTTATTCGTTTTGTATGTGTTATCATACAACTGGACCCAGGGGTAAAGCTTCCGCTGGTCCTCACACCACTTGGGAGCCCAAAAAAGTCCCTCCGGTTTAGTACGCTCCTCATCCGCCCATTTGACTTCGTAATTGACGCCGTCGTTATCAAACACCTTCGTGGCTTAGAATAGTGTATATCATTTGAGGGCAAGCTTCCGAATAATATAACGGCATTTCCGTAGCTGACTTGCCGTAAAATAAAGGTCAGGGAATTGCCTACGAAGATCCTTGGTAATATCGCGATTCGGGACGGATAGTCGGTCAATGTAGGTAGCAATGACTGCTTTGTGCTCAGGGCCAAAGACCTTCTTCCGCTTTAACCTTTCGAAGTCATTATCGAGAGGAGGATGGTTTTTATGAACAGAATATTCAGGGCGAAGCTCAAAGGTCCATTTACGGCCGTTGGCAACAAGGGCTTTAGCTACGCCCTGCCAGGGGCAGTCTCTGTGATTAGTGGTGGATTTGTTCGTTGTGCCCCGGGCCGCCCGGACTTTGCCCCGGTCGCAACAGAAATCCACCCTTGTTGGACCAAAGTCTTTGACGTAGTTGTTGCATCGTGCCTTTGAAGTCCTGAAGAGCGCAGAAGCGGCCCATTCATTCAGATCTTCAATTAGATCATCGAGAGTGTCATATTTGGTGAAAAGCTTGTGGCCGGGCGGCGGGTTTGACAGTGGTGGTGGCGGCGACACATTTTCATCGGGCGCATCGCCGAGTTCGCCAAAGCCGCTCAGATCGCTCAGATCTTCAAGGGCAGGCATTTCTATCGCTAGTTAGCTTGCGCGACGTTGTGGAACGATAGAAAATGAAGCATACCGATGCATCGATTGAGTGCGGTGCCGACGATGTGTTGGTGGTTGTGTAAGGTAGGTTGCAGAAGGTCGGTTACGGTGGAAGGGGTAGGGCCGGTACGGTGGAAAGGGTAGGGCCGGGCTGCGTTACGGTAAAAAGTGGTAAATTACGGATTACTGCCTGGCAGAATCGCGGATGTACTGGTGGGCGGGGATTACGGTGCAAGGAACGGATTTAACGGTGCCTGAAGACCTGCTCCTAAAAGAAGACAACACCCAGAAGCGGCAAGATACAAGCAAAAAGAAACAAAAATGAAGAGTTGGATGTAGGACTCCTCTGTTGGATACACCCGGGATTGAACCGGGGACCTTTCACAGGGCAGTTGTGTGAACACTATGCGAAGCGAAAATCATACCACTAGACCATGTACCCGGCGGATCAGACTAAATTCTGATTTGTTGTGGAGATGTGGTAGTCACGAACGTATATGTGGATAGCCGTGTCTAGGATTTTTTGATCTTGTGGAGCACCAGAGGTTAATTCTATGGAGTCTGAACTCTAAGCCGAGCCGTTGTCGGCCATCCCTTTGCGGTGGAGACTAGGAAGAGATCTCATTGGACCCGACCTCCTTCGGCATTGTCTCCAATGGCAACAGAATAAACTCAGATGACTGTTCTTCCAATGACGCGGGTTCAGTCAGGAGAATTATACGATATGCAGTGCCGATCTTGGCTTTGAGACCGTCAAATAGGTAATCAATTTCAGGCAATGGCTTCGGTTGAAGTGCACGTTCCTATCCCGGTATTGTTCTGTGGTAGCTCAAAATGCCGTCCAGTTTTGTGTCTTTGACAAAGCCGGGCATGCGTTGGAAATTGAAAGAGGCGAGGTCGCGCTTTGACGTTGAGTCTTTTCTTCGGGGGCGTGTATTTTTTATGACAGAATGCATGACATGAAACTGCAACCACTACTGTTTACCAGGGTTGATATTGCGAGCAAGGTCTGGGGCAAGGGAATGCTGCACTTTTGCGCGCCAGAAAGACGTCAATTTGCAGACCGGCCTGCACGGTCCTTTGGAGTCCAATCAGGCCTTTTGCCATACTATCGCACCTCATTCATTAAGAAGCACCCTAGGCCGCCCGCCGCCCACCAATGTCACACAAGAGCCGGTATATTGGTACGGGCGAGGACACCCATGGCGGCGTTGCATTTGGGTGGAAAAGATGGAAGCTATGGAAGACGATCTTCGCGGGCATCCCCGGGAACGATGGTGACTTGCCATTGGCGAGCTGGACTGCTAGTCCGCGGCGTGTGCGGCAGAGAATTGGCTTTGGCTGCTGCGCCCCCGTTTAAAGTCAGGGGTGCGGCTCGAACCAAACAACTGCTTCAATGCGGCCATACTGCGGGCGTGTGTTTTAATAAACTTTCATGCCGCCCCTGGCCGTCGGGACCGCAACGGACGAGACGGGCGCAGCTGTCATGGGCAGGCGGACAGTCTAGCTTAAAACAACTAGAGATATCGCTGGCATTCCACATGTGGGTATTAATGTGTTTACTGTTGGCTCAACATCTCAATGAAACCCAGCGAGCTTCAATCTTGGTCTTGCAGCAAGCTTCATTCTCGGTCTTGTTCTCGGCGGTGGCCATGACTGAGACTTGACACGTGAGGGTTGACGAGGAGCTAATGTCACACGAACGGCCATGCTGTCCAACCTCGGAAACAAGGAGCAGGGCCAGGGCCCCAACTACAAGCCGGCTGTGCTGAAATGGCCATTCCTGCTGGTCCTGTTTCTTAGCATTTGCAGTCTCGCGGGGTTGCTCGAATGTGCTCGTAGGGTCTTGCCCAGTGCCGAGGAGCACGCCGACGTCGACCGGCTTCTTGGCACACCACTGCTGTCCCCGATCCCCGGTCCCCGCCCTTCAAGAAGCGCGGCCCCGGCTCGGAATGCCTCGCCATCTCCTCAACCTGCCAGAGCCAGGCGCCAAGCAGCCGGCCCAGTACCGTCACTGCGGTGGCCGCGTGGAAACACGACGGCCTTTAACCAGACGGCAGCCAACACCACAGCCACCACAGCCAACACCACAGCCAACAACACACTGCACAACAGCCCGGGGCCGGTCCAAGTTCTCGACAACAGCCTGGCCACGGCCAATAGCTGGAACGGGTGGCCGAGCGGGCCAGGCCCCAGAGCCCTCTTCCTCCAGCCGAACTACTACGCGGACGAGTCGCTGCCGATTAGTTACTACTACCCCATTGTCCCCGAGAGCGTGTCGTGGGATGCCGTGAAATATTACGAGTGCGGCGGGCCCAAGACGGCGCCCGACATGTGCGAGTGCGACTTTATCCTATTTGGGCTGGTACCAGCCGACACACCGCAGGACCAGCGGCCCCCCGGAACGTGCGCGGCACGCCAGGAGATGACAAGCTCGTCCTTCCCGTGCGCGCCGGATCCGGCCGAGTCGAAACGCATGTATACCGCCATGGCCAACGCCTACTACGACTGCGTGGGTGATTTCGGAGACGCCGCCCTAGCGCAAATCCAGGGCCAGGGCAAAACCTCACACCGCGGCTACGGGCCGGGACAGGCCGCCTTTTCCGTCAGCCTGTGGATGCCGGCCCTGGTCACACGGATGGACAGCCCGCCGCCGGCCACGACGGCCATCGTGCGAGTCACGCGCTCTTTCGAGGCCGTCTCGCAGCTCCCCGACGGCCGCGAGGTCACCTACACCAACACGGCCACCGTCTTCATCGCCGAGCCCGCCGTGTGGCAGACGGCCGTCGTCACCACCCTGACCGGCTCCCACGGCCACCCCACGGCCACGTCCACGAGCTTCCCCCGCGGCATGCTCGTCGGCACCCAGGACGTCGTGGTCACGCTGCGAGACGCCAACGGCTCCCCAACCGCCACCGTGGCAACGCCCGCCCCGCTGTCGACGCACGTCGTCACCCTGACCGACTCGGCTGGCGTGTCAACGGCCACGGTGACCGAGTACGCGTCGTTTCCCGACGTCGGCGCCGACACGGCCGTGGCGCGCGTGCCGGCGCGCGGCGACTACTTCGTCGGGTCGTTCGTGCCGGTGCTGCTGGCGACGCTGCTGTCCATCATGATCGAGACGGTCGACTCGCAGCTCAAGAGCCTGCTTCCCTTCCACGCGCTCACGCGGCCCGGCGGCGCCCTGGCCCGGCACTCGCTGTCGCTGAGCACGGCCGGGCCCGCCAGCCGCGTCAACAGCCTGCGCCAGCTGTACCGCTTCCGCGAGCCGCTGTCGTTCCTGGGCGACCTGCTCGTGCTCGCGGCCAGCGTGCTGACGGCGCTGTCCAGCGAGGTGGTCACCGTCGAGTGGTTTGGGCCGTGCAACAACAACAGCTACGACGGCTGCTTCATCATGCTGTCCGTGTACCAGACGCGCGTCGGCGTGGCCCTGGCGCTGCTGGTGTTCATGGCTACCGTGGCGGCCGTGCTAGCCGTGGTGCTGTTGCGCTGGCGCACCGGCGTGGCCGCGCCGCCGTGGAGCATGGCCTCGCTGGCGGCGCTGGTCGCCGGATGCCGCCACACGCGCGAGCTGCTGCAGTCGGTCGAGCTGCGCGACGGCGAGCGCCACATCCCGCCCGAGCGGTTCCGCGAGCAGCTGCAGGGCTGGCGGTTCGCGCTGGGCGCGTCCAAAGACGGCCTCGACTACGGTATCACGGTGGTGGCCGCTGACGGCCAGGCCCAGGCCCAGGACTGGCTTTCCGAGTCTGCCTCCGCCGCCGCATTCTCGGGCGAGAAGATGTCGTCGTTTGACGACTCCAGCTCCACGACGACAGGCCCGCCGCCACGAAACAAGCCCTCGACAGCAAGCCAGAAGAACCTGCTGGAGAAGAGCCTGCTGGAGAAGAACCTGGTGGAGAAGAACCTGGTGGAGAAGAACCTGCTGAAGAACCTGCTGGGTTGGGTCGGACGCCACCCGAAAGTCTACGACTACACGATCCAGACCGTGTTCCTCCTCATCCTGGCCGCGCTGCTCGGCGTCATCCTCCGCTACGACACGGTCGTGGCGACGGTCGAAGACAGCGCGTTCGAGGCTTTTATGGACAGCCAGAACTTTGGCGTGCGCTTCGTTTTTACCGGCGTCGGAGTTATTATCACCTTTTTCTGGGACTACTTGTTTGCCCGTGAGTTGGCTCCTGTCCAAATCATTTCTGCGAACTGTTCGTCAGACTTAATCCCCCCACTGACACCGTCCCCCACTGACACCGTCTCCTAAATAGGCACATCGGCGATGAACCTGTACCAGAAGATGTCGCGCCGGCCGCAGCGGGCCGCGTCGTCCATCCTCGCGTCACCCACGACGACCGTGTTTGGCAGCCTCGGGCGGGCAGTGGCCGACGGCGACGTGCTGGCGGGCGCGGTGGCGGCGGCCACGGTGCTGTCCAGGTTCACGCCGATCCTGCTGTCCAACATCCCGTTCAAGCCGACGCAGACGTGGCAGACGCACTACGTGTGCGCGTGGGCCACGGTTGCTGTGCTGGCTTTCATGCTGGCGGTGCTGCTGGCCGCGCTAGCCGCGCGCGTCTGCCGCCCCGGCCCGCCACTGCCCGCCGAGCCCGGCTGCTCGGTGGCTGAAGCCCTGTACTACGTGTGCGACTCGCGCCTGCTGCGCGACTGCGAGGGCCTGGCGCGCCTGGGCGTCGCCGACCGCAACCGCCGGGTGGTGCAGATGGGCCGCCGCTATCGCTTCGGCACCATGGTGGGCGTGTCGGGGCGGACGAGGATAGGCGTCGACTATGCCGATGCCAGGAGTAGTAGATATGCCGATGCCAGGAGTAGTAGACTTGTGCTGTAATTATGCACCCTTGAATAATCCCAAGACTAGAAGATGAAATGCTTGGTCTCCACTTCTGTGCCACGGCTCCGTGAGTGACATGGCATGGCTTGACAGTGACATGGTATGGCTTGACATGGCCTACTTCATGAAGTTCTTCACAGCCTGACCCAGCTCAATATCCACCAACTTGTGGATCGCAACTCATCAAAGCCACAAGATGTCACATACAACACTGCATTGATTTAAGGCAAAAGAGTGCTTCCATTCGGAAGAAGTGAATCAAGGAAGAAAGGCAGGTGCCTTCTATATAAGGAAAAGGAAGTCTTTGTTCGTTGAGTGGCCGGAAATGGTCAGCCGGATTGCGTGATGTGGCTTCTTCCGACACAAGATTCGTGAATCGGGTATGGTGTAGCGGTAACATCGCTGACTCTCACTCAGCAGCCCGGGGTTCGACTCCCCGTATCCGAAGATGACACTGGAAGATAATCCTGTCCGGAGGACAATATTACTGCGAAACTCTGAAAAAATTACTATGTGAAATTGATAAGACGCCTTATCGCCTTTCCGGATTTTCTAACCTATATAGAAAGGTGGACCCGATTTCTCAGTCATATTCAATATGGGCAGCCCCTATTACGTGCCTATCTGCTATTCGGTCAGCATACTTTCCAAAATTGATGCAACCGGTATTATTGTGTGTATAACTCTACGGAAATTTTGAATCTGAAGCCCGATTCGTATTATAATAGAAATTAGCTAAGATATAAGCGTTTAAATGCTTTCTAGCGTGGTAGGGCGTACGCAAGTAGTGCCAATGCCAGGGTGGGCTTGCGTACGTAACTACGCGAATTGCCCTTCAACCCCGCCTCGAAATTCCTCGCCCACCCCATAAGTGCTTTTGTTTTTCCAATAATTAGTCGCACCGTAATACCTTCGACGAACCTTATAATCTACCCGCTCTTCGTAGCTAACCTCCCTTCCTCCGTAGTACCGTTTTGCCTATTATGGCCAGGTTATTTGGTATCTATGGCGGACGCGGCGGAGGCGGCTGTCCGCAAAGTTTGCCACACCTGCGGCGTTGAGAAGGATATCGACTAATTCCGGTCGTTCCGAGGCCCTTGACGGATCGTCCTTGACTACGCGGACTACCGCAATCGCGGCAGGCAGCAGCTAAGTCTATTAGACCTATCTTCCTTGGTTTCCTTGCTAACTTCATACCCAGAGAGCCGCGTCGAACGTAAGAGTTTCTGTAACTGTTGCCGTAACCTGCGGACAAAGTCCCGCCCTTACGCCTCGCCAGGATCTCACCTTTCGTTTGATAAGTCGGTATTCTTTACCACAGTCTAACGGCAATAGGGTAAAGACCAGGCTCTATTCCGGCAAGCCCTAAAAGAATTACGGCAAGCCAAAGTATCTGTTTCGTTATAGGAGCTTCTTATGTCGAGATATGCGATCAAACTACCTCTGGCTCAGGTTAAGGCTTTTAATAATACCCTCCGCATCTTCCCCATAAAGGCGTAGGTTAACGAATATAACCATCAGCACCTCCTAGGCCTGCGAAAGGCGGCTGTGTAGGTGGACATGAAGTACGAAGGCGTAAGCGTAGAGAGAGTCGAGTCCTCCAACGCTAGTAATCTAATCAAACGATTACCTCTTTATATTGGTTGCCGGGTCATACTAACGAGGAACCTCTGGGCCAACGTTAGGCTTATAAACGGTGCCCAGGGTACTATATACGACATTTCGTGGGCTAAAGGCGCTAACGTGCTGGAAGGCCAACCGCAGGTTATTATGGTTATGTTTGATAACTATACTGGGCCGCCGTTCCTGTTACCTAGCGGAGAAGAGCTTCGTGATAGGGCTAAGCTGGTGGTTCCTATCCTTAGGGTTTGGCAGGAGTTTGTTCTTGGGGCTGGCACTGGCTACCGGGAGCAGTTTCCACCGCTTGTTTGCTACGCAATTACAGTATACAAGTCATAGGGCGTCACTCTCGACAAGGCAGTTTATGATATCTCCGCGCCAGAGTTCGCGTCCGGCCTATCGTACGTGGGAGTTTCCAGGGTCAAGATCTTAGATGGCCTAATATTTGAGTCGCCGTTTGATCGGAGTAGGATATACCGCAAAGTATCGGTATAGAGCATACAATTGAAGATAGCAGATTACGAGGCAAGGAAGTTACAGCTATTAGATCCACAGGAAGAGGATGTTAACTCGAGCGATATCAACGGGTATATAACTAATAGCTCTGTTATATAGATGTAAGATTAGTTATATAGGTTTAGCCATCGTTATAAGAAAAGATCTCTTAAGTATCGGAGTTATTGGCCTCCAGATAGGATATTGTCGCTTCGCTTGCTCTCCACGTTATCCAAGTATGCCAACTGTCGCACCCTAAATTGCCAGGAGCGAGAGAGAAGAAGGAAGCGTCCCGTAGCGTAGCGAAGGGCCACGCGACTGAAGAACGAAGCGACGCCAGCAATTTTAGTTTAGTTAATTCATATCTGGCTTTCTTTTTCTTTCTTTTTCTTTTTCCTTCTTTCTTATTTTTTCTTATTTTTTCTTCTTTTTCTTTCTTTTTTTCTTTTTTCCTTCTTTCTTATTTTTTCTTATTTTTTCTTCTTTTTCTTTCTTTTTTTCTTTTTTCCTTCTTTCTTATTTTTTCTTATTTTTTCTTCTTTTTCTTTCTTCTTTTCTTCTTTTCTTCTTTTCTTCTTTTCTTCTTTTCTTCTTTTCTTCTTTTCTTCTTTTCTTCTTTTCTTCTTTTCTTCTTTTCTTCTTTTCTTCTTCTTTCTTGGACTTTTGAGAGGTCTTCTTGTTTCAAACTCGTAGCATCCCCAGGATCTGTGAATATCTCAGGAATTTGCAATGAATTTACTACATACGGCACGCATGCTGCTTCTAAATCAAAGACCGCTCCGCTCTTCGTTCAGCTTTCCCACTTTCGAGACACGCTCAATCAAGTATAGGCACATGTCTGTGCCGCCTCAATCAACTCTTATGGTCAGAGCCGCACAAAGAAACAGGGATTGCCTATCAAACGCAACCACTCATGTCGGAGTCGTCATCTAATGGAATTGGCACTATTTAGCATCGGCTGTGGACTGCAACGGGCCAGAAGAAACACATGCTCACCTGCCACGCCTGGATTTGCAGGCTGCCGGCCGGCAGGGGGCGGATGATGCCAATAGCCACGATCGAATTGATCCAGTAGTACTTTTGGCTGCCCGTCTCGTAGGTCAGACGCACGTGCGCGGTGCCATCGGTCTGCGTTGCGCCCGACTCGAAGACCTGGATCAGGGCGCCGTCGTCCGTCTTGAACGTCTGCCGCACGTCAATCGTCACGGTGCCGTTGCCGGGGTGGTTGGCGTCCACCAGCTCCCAGTCGCCGCCCAGGGGCAGCACAGTCCCTGCACATCAACTCGCGTGTTAACACGGCAGTGTTTCATTGTGACGGGCAGGTCATTGTGACGGGCAGACAGCTAGCCGCGCACCTTTGAACTTGGGGCCCGAGAAGCTGCCGCTCAGGATGGGCACCACGATGCGAGTGCCGCGTGGGCCGGCACCGACCTCGTACAGGTCGCCGCCCGTGATGTTGACAGTGTACAGGTAGGTCAGGCCTGGCGCCTTGGGGGGTTTCGGGCTGATAGCCGTGGCGCTGGCCAGGCCCGCGAGCACCAACACGGCCCAGAAAATAGCAGATAATTCCGTCTTCATCTTAATGCTGTCTCGGTGTGTGCTAGACGCGAACATTTCGAGGGCGGCTCGGGGAGACAGAGCCTGACCAGGAGGACTGCCGTCTTTATACCCCCCAGACCCCGCGCAACTGACGAACGGATGTGACGACGGGAGGCTGGGAGACTCAGTCGGGCCCGTCGTCCGAAACCGCCAGAAGCCATCCCAGAAGCGCTCCTAGCTGCATTCTGAATCTGCACAGAACAATTGCGTCCTGCACAGAACAGCTAGATCGGCTTCTAGGCTTTTTCGAGCAGCGACTGCAACCAGCTCGTCCGCATACGCGTTCCACGAGAGCCGGGTGCCGCCGTCGCAGCGACCAACGAGAGCCGTCCCAGCGCGCTCTGATGCAGCGCCTTGCAGGCGAGCCATGGCCGAGCCATGCAGTCGAAGGAATATTGCAACCTGAACCAGCCGACCACCCCCGGACCCCCGGCCCCATGTTGCCTGTGGCTTGCATCCTCCGCGCTGCCTGCCACCACCACCACCACCACCACCACCCAGACCAAGACGAGGTCGAGTCTGGTCCGGCTTCGCACGGAATCCGCCTCGACGGGTTTGGTATTCCCGCTGGTGCTGGGTTTGAGCAAAATCACGTCGGGTGCTGAGTTTGAGCAAAATCACGTCGGGTGCTGAGTTTGAGCAAAATCACGTCGGGTGCTGAGTTTGAGCAAAGTCACGTCGGGTGCTGGGTTTGAGCAAAATCACGTCGGATTCGGGGCGGGAAGTCTGAGCCAGACGAAACGCGATTGAAAATTGCACCATTCTTGTCTTTATGGCGGCAACTCAAGCCTGCCTGGCACTCTTTTGCTTGTGCGGGTCGAACAGGACTAAAACTAAAACAAATCGATGACCCACGTTCTTTCCAGGAACTCTTGGGTAAATCCGGCCTTCGTGGACGCTCAATTGACTCATCACGAAGATTGAAAACCAGATGATCTGGTCTTGGCAGATAAAGGAGCGAATTTGTAGGAAAGGAGGTGAAGCAAAAAGCACCCACCTCGCGTCCTATTAGATCTGATTAAATGTGATTCCAGTGCACGTGAACCACATTGCGCACCTGAACGTACTATAAGGGCTTAGACTAAAACTACACGCACGATAAGGAACATTCTCAGAACAGACGGCAATCCCAGAATGGCCTAATGGCCTTGGAGGAGGGATCCCGCAACGACTTCGTGAGTGAGGGGTTGGGCGGCACGGCTCCTGCACCGGGAAGGACCTGCAAAGGAGAGACGCGCTCGGTGCCACCTGGTCTACAAGGGCACAAGGCCTGGTCTACACGGGCACGAGGCCTGGTCTGCACGGGCACGAGGCCTGGTCTACACGGGCACGAGGCCTGGTCTACACGGGCACAAGGCCTGAGTAAGTACACGAGAGGGTCGGCTACTACGAGGCCGGGCATATGGCTCGACAAATATCTCGAAAGGCTCGGCGCCGAGAAGGCTGTAAACAAGCTCGGAAATTACCCAGATGCCGACCACGTCGCCGACGGCTATGCTTCTGCAGACTCGTAGACCCTTAGCACCATAGCAGCACGCCCTGGCTGGTCATCTGATGCCTGTATCAGAGCAGGAGAATCTGTCCCGTCGCTCCCGTCGCTCCCATCAGTCTCGACACCTCGACAGGCCAATGTGAATATTTTTCCAATCTCGAGTTCCGAGACCGGGGGCTGCTCTATGCCCTCACCTGAGAAGCCACTTGGCTGGCATCTCAAAAAAAATACAAGCCCGCTCTTCATCCGACATTCCAGCCAAGCTGCCACGACGTTAGCCCAGAGCCGCGACATCCGAGGTGGCCCGCCTCTACAGCCAGCTCCGCCGTGCCTTATCGTGCAGGCCGCGCTCTGAAATTGGCTGGACAATCAATTGGCCCGGAAAGTGCATGTGCCGGCCGACGTCTCTACGTCATTTTCCTCGGCCGAGGATTTAACAAGCTTGGCGATCCAGGGGAAACAGGGCGCCAAGGCAATATACTACTGCCGGCGTTGCCGGCGTTGCCGAGTTTCAGCTCCAGCTCAGGGCGGCGCACACAGCGACGAGCACCGGGAAGTGCATCGGAGAAGTGCAATCGCGTGTCCTCGTCTATCGAGATCCGAGGTGGGATTTTACCCGCGCCCCCAACACAGTCCACCAACCAGTAGCCGCGGAGCATATCGGCCTGATCTCCTGGACCGTGCTGGGACCTGCAGCTTTGCGGAGGCTCCAATAAGGGTCTAATAGCTGCCTGCCGCCTTGGCCGAAAGCCTCCCTGGCACGGGCAGATAGGCAATGAAGACAAGGGCAGATAAGCAGTGAAGACAAGGGCAGATAAGCGATGAAGACAAGAGCAGAGCCGGGACGGGAAAGAGGGGGAATAATACAGAAGAAAGAGTCAGAGAGCGGCGGCCAAGTACAAATAGCAGGGCAGGGCAGGGCGGGGCAGGACAGGGCAGGGCAGGGCAAGGCAGGGCAGGGCGAGAAGCACAGGAAAAACCTGGGGGTATAAAACTAGAGCTGGCCGTCGATTAGACACGCGCACAGAGCAACAACTCGTGCTACCGGGTTCGCAGCGCAGAGGATCGACACAGGACCGACCCGCAAGGAGCAAGCAAACATGAAGATCTTCTCGGTTGGTTGCGTCTCGCTGCTCGCGGGACGGGCTTCCGCCTCGCTCAGCTGCACCGTCGTGCCGCCCACCTTGTCCAAGCGGCTGTGCGAGTTCGACGCCTGCCCGGCCTACGACACGGCCACGGCTGGCCAGGTCCTCCGCGCCGCCTGCGTCGCCGACTGCAGCACAGCCGACGAGTGAGTGGCATTTTCCGCTACAGTCACAACCCAGAACCAAACTGACACGCGCCGCAGTCTCTGGCTCAAGCTCTACGACGGCACCTTTATCCGCGCCGACGACGCCACGCTGCAGGGTTGCCGCTCGTTCTGCGAGCCGCGCTCGGTGGCGGGTGAGTTCAGCAGCAGCCTGGCCACCCGAAAGAGGAGTGCTAACGAGTTGACGTGCAGATATCATGGCGGACCTGCCGCGGTGCCACGTGGCGGCCCGAGTGTCCAAGCCGGCGAGCTGCGCGGGCCCGTCCGTGTCCCAGCTCACAGCCAAACCGACGCCGGTGGACGAGGCGCCGCCGCCTCTCGTGGCCGTTGCAGCCAGGTGCAACTCTCCGCTGTCGGCGCGGGCCCTGCGCGCCGTGGAGAACGCCAACGTTACTGTCCTAGCACGCAACAGCACCGGGGGCGTCCTCGCGCGGGCCGTCGACGGCGTCAACGCCACCGCCTCGGCCTGGAACGCCACCGGCATCCTCCCGCGGCTGTGGTACAGGGCGCGGGGCCTGTTAGCACCCAGGGCGGCCCTTCCTAAAAACGACACGGGCACTGTCAGCAACACCACGCAGCCCAAGGTCCTGTACGTGCGGGCCCTGCCCAACGCCACGTTTGTCAACGGCACCTTTTTCAACGCCACTCTCGCCGCTAGGCGCCCGCCCGCCGTCACCAAGGCGCCTGTTGCCATGCCGGTCCCGTTCCATGCCTAGCCAGGCAGTCTGTCTCCAGAGTACGTTGATTACTCTGCCCAGATTGCCTCGCATGGGTTGCATCGCGGTGACGTTTCTTCCCAGCTCACCTCTCTTGCAGCCAGGACAGAGAGGAGAATGCTGTAAGGGCCAGACGAGGCGAGTTTCGGGGCCCAGTCATGTTAAAAATGGCAGTCGATATCTTCCCTGTACTTGATCCGCTTTGTTGGGGTTGGGGTTGAGATTGATCGGTGCGCTTGGATTCAAGCCAAAGCGGCGTATTACGAGTGTTTGGATTTGGCGGTACTGTCTTTACAGAAAGGAGTTGCAGGTGCCACATGTGCCTCGTGTGCCTCGTGTGCCTCATGTCCCTCATGTGCCTCGTGTGCCTCATGTCCCTCATGTGGCTCATGTCCCTCGTGTGCCTCGTGTCCCTCATGTGCCTCATGTCTAGGTTTACTTCAGTCCAGTCTTTACCTCTGAATTCAGTCTTTACAAGTCTAGGGGCCTCATATTCTGATTCGACAGCAACATCCCCCACGCCACCGTCCCCATCACGCTACCGTCCCCATCACGCCCGCCTTTTGACGCGGATGGTGGCCTCCATGGGTGGCAGGATGCGATGCCGACTCACTTGTTGTGCGGGCGGGCTGCATCTCGAGGCCGTAGTAGAGCAAGACGTGTGCGAGCATGATCTTGAGCTCGCTAGCAGCAAAAAAGCGCCCAGAGCAGGCGTTGCGGTCGTAGCCAAAGGCCAGGTAGTCAGTGCCGGTGGTGGCAAAGGCCTTGGCGGCGCGCTCGAGGTAGGCCACGCTCTCGTCGCCGCGCTGCTCGGCGGAGCGGAACGGCCGAAACGAACCGGCGTCGGCGTACACGGCGTCGTCCTGCAGCAGGATGCGCCCGTGCCGCCGCGCGTGGATGCGGTTTGGCAGCGTCAGCACCAGCGCCGCCAGCGGGCGCAGCGGCTCCCAGACGAAGCGCAGCAGATGAGACGACAGCGCCAGGGCGTGGGTAAAGGCCATGCTCTCGTTGACCAGCTCGGGGTCGCGGCAGAGCGGGGCGCCGACAAAGACGCGGCTGGTGACGTTGCCGATGATGTCGCGCATCGTGTCGTAGACGCACGCTTCGCGGAAGGCGGCCGTGTCGGTGCCCCAGTGCCGCGCAAAGGCGCGCTCGTCTCGTCGGCCACGTCGGGCACCAGGTTACCCGTCTGGTTGGTCAGCGTGATGACGATGAGCTTGTGGTGGATGGGGTTGTGCACGAGCGACGGCGCGGGGCACGTGTAGTCGATCTGCAGCGTCTCCGTGGCCTTGACGTGCATGTTTAGCACCGTGTCGGGCTGGTCCGTGGCGAATTGTATCTCAGCTCGCGGCAGTAACACTATGTCGGGCGCCCCGGCCATGGATAGGATCGCGGCATGGTCCCTGTACTCCTGGTCCGCCTCCAGGAGCGCCTCCTTGAAGTTGAGCGCGTTCCTTCGGCCCGAAATTTGGGGAACCATTCGCCCTTCCGGGCCGCCTAGGATGGGGAGGTCGGGAGAGTTGCCTTCTCGACCCCTGAGAGGCGGTAAACAAGGATGCGACGAGCAGCGCGACCGGCCCCAGCACGGTGCGCGATGAAATCGGGCTTCCTGCCATGGACGTCGTGTGCAGTGCTGCTTTTTTCAGCAGCAAAGGGTGCGAGGAGTGTTAATCTGAGCAAGGGGGTGGTCTCACAGATGCTGAAAGAAACGCTCCACATTCCCGCCGATCTGAATCTGGGATCTGCGTGCGTGCGTGGAAGAGGATTGTTGCAACTAGGCATCCCGAGCAATTACCCCGGCCTGGCTCGTGGAGGCCAAGGTAGATACCTAGCTCGAGATTCTGAAGAGACCTCGATTTAGAGAGAGGCGCTGTGTGACTAGGTAGGACAACGAAAGCAGCACCAGAGGAAAGATAGCACCAGAGGAAAAACAGCACCAGAGAAAAACAGCACCAGAGACGGCCCGGCTCTACGACTCCAGCTAACGGGATCGTCGAACCCGCCTAGATCGAATCTCCATTTGCTTGGTTATCAAGCCACAGCGCGACAACTTCGGACTTGGCACCCATTTTGTGGTGCGGTTTTGGATATGCCGGCATTGTGAAATGCGAAGAACACCCCAGAGCAGATGCTCTCATTGGCGCGTGGCTCGCCAGCATGCAGTGTCGTTGGGAATGCCACCCTACCGCTCAAAGACGGCACAAAGACGTGCAGAATGCGCCAACAGCTCGAGAGATGGATGCAAGCCCGCGGCCTGATTATCGTGGTTGCATCGGCCAAAGTTCCCTACAGCGCCAGGCAGAGGACTGTGTCGATTCCCGCTGCTGTCCATCTGGCTGTGGCGCTCATGAGTCTGCTATGAAGATGGCGAGTGACGAGACCTGTCGCTGTCGTTGGGATGTTCCCACCCCCTCTAAGTGTGCCCATCCGGCCAGCCCGGCAGTTGCAACGACATGACAGAAGCGTGCATCAGCTGACTCTGACTGGTTGATGACCGATGCGCGTCATGGCAGACAGACCAGAAGCGTGCATCAGCTGACTTGGTTGATGATCGATGCGCGTCATGGCAGACAGACCAAGAACAGCAGTGATTTCCCAGGCTTCTGGATGCATGAACAGAATACATGAACAGAATGCAACAGTGCATGAACAGAACAGAATGCATGAACAGAATGCAGCAGTGCATGAACAGGGGCTTATTGCCGGGCGGGTGTTTGCGCCATGTCCACGGCCGGCTATAAGCATCGAGCACCGGCAAAACACGCCGTAGAGTCTGGGCCTGGCAGATGCGCACCGCTGTCCTCTCTGGTTTGCGGAGCCACACATCCGGCAGACCGCAGCCATGGGAAAACGGTGGCATCATTGTACGGGGCGCGTAGACGTGTCGAGCAGTCAACTCGAGCGACAGGATTCTTCGCCAGGCCGCAGATCGCCGCCACTTCACCAGGCCGCAGATCGCCGCCACTGACCGACCCCTCCTCCGAGTATCGACGCGCAGCCCGAATCGGGCCATCATGGCGGCTAGGCCATCGACGGTAGGGTTGCAGCCGCAACACCTCGGGTCCGCGGTGGTGCGCCGACGAGCTGCGGCGCGGCATCTCGTGCCGGGTGCGGCCCTGGTCCTGCAGCTGCTCCTGCTCGCGCCGCCGCTGCCTTCGGCATCTGCACTCGCGCTCCAGACCCAGTGTCCCAGGAATGTCGTGCACCCGACGTCCCTGTCTGGCAGCTGCCCGGTGGCCGTCGACGACGAGACGGACGACGCAGTGCGGGCCAATGCGAACACCCCTTGGACGCACCCCCCTTACTGCGTCGTCCCGAAGGCCTCGGGATCCGATGGCAAGTTCTGCGTCTTCAGCGCGTCCGGCTTCAACCTCGGCAGCGGTATCAGCATCATCGCGACCCCTGACACGGCCGCTTCGCTGGTTGCGGCCGTGCAGAACCCGCAGCCGGCATGGCATGCGCGGCACCACCTCGCACAGCGCGACCGCCTGCCCGAGCCCGAGCAAGACCATCCCGGCAGCGGCAGCACCGACAAGCAGAGACGGCCGTATGCCATAGTGAGCATCCCAGGGCGCGGCAGGGGCGCGGTGGCGACGCGGCGCATCGCACAGTTCGAGACCATCATGACGAGCTTCCCGGCCGTGGTGGCCGACAACGTCTTCTTCCCGGAAGAGGACGGCGGCGGGCCGGCCGAGGGCCGCTGGCTGTTCCAGCGCGCGCTCGACCAGCTGGCGGACCGGCAGCGGTTCTTGGGGCTGGCGCGCAGCAAGGGCCCCCACGTGCACGCCGTCGAGGACGTCCTGCGCACGAACGCGTTTGGCATCACGGTCAACGGCCGCGATGCCAAGGGGCTGTACCCCGAGATTGCGGTGCGTGTGTTTCCTCGCGTGTGTTTCCTCCCGTGTGTTTCCTATGCTGACTGACAGTGCTTAGAGGCTGAACCACGCGTGTGATCCCAAGTGAGTCGTTAATCTCGGGGCGATAGGCTTCAACTGTTCGGCATACACGTGGTTGCATGTTCTGATGGTCCATCTCAGCGCATACGGCCGCTTCACGAAGACCGATCTCGCCCTGTCGGCCGTGGCCACAAGAGACATCGTGCCGGGCGAGGAAATCACCATCAGCTGTGAGACCCGTCCGTCTTTCAGGTCTCCCGAGTCTCCATGGCTGACACTACACACGCAGACCTGCCGCTGGGCATGCCCACGGCGTACCGGGCGCGGGGACTCGCCAACTGGAACTTCAACTGCACGTGCACGCTGTGCTCGTCCCCGGCGGCGGCGCGCGCGGCATCGGACCGGCGGCGCGAGCGGCTGGTGGACATCCTGCAGGCCATGTATGACGAGGCGACCGAGTATGGGGCGCTGGTGGAGCTGACGCGCGAGTTCGTCGACGTGGTGCGCACGGAGCGGCTGGACGCAAAGGTCGGCGAGTACTTCCACGCCTTTATGCGCATCTATCACAGCTTCGGCGACGTCGAGAGCGCGTTCCGCTACGGCCAGACGGCCCTCTGGTACGCCGAGACGTTTGCCGACCCCGAGGGCGGCTTCTGCGCCGGGCTACGGCAGGACGTGCGTCTGCTGGGGCAGGTCCTAAAGGAGAGGGGCAGTGCAGAGGCCTAATTGGACCGGAATTATTTTCACGTTTGCGATAAAGCACATGTTTGCAGTACACATGTTTGCAGTAAAGTATGTTTGCAGTAAAGAACATGTTTGCAGTAAAGTACATGTTTACTTTGGTTTCGTTGCTCAGGGGCAAAGAGATGTCTCAATGCGATACGAGTCCCTGGATTCCAAGACTCGACAGTTGCTATCCCAAACCCGAAGCGAACTGGTGGGTGACAGGATGGGCTATGGGAAACGGGCACGGGGAGACGGGTTCTCGGTTCTGTAGGGCAGCAGCAGGGTGGGTAGTAGGATAGAGCAGCGGGCCGCATTGTCTTGGCAATAATACGCATATTACCCGGCCATTGGCCTCGGTACTGTAATTATGTAACTTGATGACCCGGCCAAGTCGCAAATTAATCCGTACATTCTCTAGCTCGACACGTTCTGGCTCGGTACTGTAATTATGTAACTTGATGACGGGCCGAGACGCAAACTAATCCGTACCTTCTCTGGCTCGACACGTTCTGGCTCGACACGGTCTGGCTCGACACGTCACCGCCTTCCAGCTGCATCTTCCATGGATGTTGGTCGTTGGAAACAATAACTTGCAGTATATGGATAATTATGGATAATTATGGATAATTATGGCTACGAATTAGACCTAGATACCTATTATAAGCAGCTTTAAATAGCATGGCGTCTTCAATATTGTGTCAGCAGGCAGGGTTGGGGGAGCTACCGATTTAACTTACAGATTTTACTGCACACTAGCGTGAGCGAGGAGGCAGGGTGGGTATTGTGGGTATTGTGTGGGTTGTGTGGGTTGTGTGGGTTTGTGTGGGTTCGTGGTGGGTGTGCCGGGGACAGCTCCAGAGGCTCGCGAGGGGGAAAAGGGGCCACAACGGCCTAATAAGTGCTTGGCGGCGCACGCTCGCCAAGTTATAATATCGCTTGGAGACGGCCATTCGCACGCTCGCCAATTTATAATATCGCTGGGAGACGGCCATTGGCACGCTCGCCAATTTATAATATCGCTTGGAGGCGGCCATTCGCTGCTGCCTGGGCTCTGGGCGTGGCCGGGCGGCTAGAGGCTACTATCTTTACTACTTTGTGATGCGCTGCTGGCGACACCACCTGAAGAGATGGATCATCTGTGCGGCATTGGCAATGCAGGTGCAAGCAGGCTGCGAGCTCTGCTTCTTTCCTGTCTGTCTGTGTGTGTGTGTCTGTGTGTGTGTGTGTGTCTGTCAGTGTGTCTGTCTGTATGTCTGTCTGTCTGTCTGTCGTCTGTCGCTGTAGTCTTGCAGATCTGATGAGCTCGCAGCAAGCAAGCGAGAGGGCACTGGGCCAATGGCGGGGGCCGGGGCCTGCTCGGCGCCGCCTTAGTGCCTTCTGGCTATACCCGTCTTCGTGGTCAGGCAAATCAGCGGCCGGCCCAGGGCTCCACGGCCTGTTAATTCCAGGCGCTTCGGCCTATTTTAGGGTTGTCTCCTGGTCCCTGTCCGGCAAGGTTACCCTGGAGCTGCTAGGCCGGGAGCGTCGTGGATGCGACGTCAAGTTTCGGCAGGCAATGCGACCAAGTGCCAGACTGGTGCCAGACCGGTGCCAGACCGGTGCCAGGCCGGGGCCATGCCGTGTAGAGTCTGCCTCGCCAGGACTTGACAGCCGGCAGGATCACGACATACAGCCTTGGCGTGTGTTACACAGCACGCACACCGCGCGCGTGTTGTGTGTGGGGGGGTGGCTTTCCTGCCATGCCATATGGATCCTGCTCTGACCCCGACAAGCTGCAGCAGTCGTCTGCCTCTGGCGTCGCCACCGCGCGCCAGTGCCCTGTGCTTCTCTCGTTGCGAGTCGGTGTCGGTGAGTCCAAGGGAGCTTCAGTGTCAGGTCCGAGTCTGGAGATATAAGGCCATTGCCAGTTGCAAAAGCCCCCAATCCTGCCCCCAACGCTCTTGAACAAGTCGACTCGATCTGCCTCGTCGCTCAACCCGTCACAGCAGTCACGGCGCCTCAGCACAGCAGTCACGGCGCCTCGGCACACAAGTTCGTCGCAGGTCGGGGAAATACCACCTGTGCCCTCCCTCCCCTGAAGCTCCGTCTTTCCACTCGTCGCCGCCGCTGACAGCCAGCGCCGCCAACGCCACCCCCGACTAATCCACGACATTTGTGTCCCCATTGATCGCGTCCCAGGCTGACGGGACCAGCTCGTCGGAACACACAAGTTCCGCGCATTTCCACTCCACAGCTCCGTCTCCGAGGGTACGACTCTCCGGGGCTGCCGCCGGCTTTCGTGCGCTGCCCGAGGGAGCAGAGGCCCCAGGCGGGAAAAGAAGCGGAAAAGCGGGCTGAGAACCCCCCAATCCAATCAGCCCAGCCAGGGGTGCAGTGCGTGCAGTGCGTGCAGCATTGGCGTGCATCTCCTATCGCATCCATCTTACGAGAGACGGGGCCTTCCCAAGGCGCCGTTCCCTGGACCGCGCGTATCCGACACTCCCGCGCTCGCTGCCCGCACACATTTGTCGAGTCGACCACGACTGTTGGCAAGTTTGCAACTCTCACGACTCGACACAACCCTCACGACTCGACACAACCCTCACGGCTCAACAGAACCCTCACGACTCGACACAAATCTCACGACTCGACACAACCTCACGGCTCGACAGAACCCTCACGGCTCGACAGAACCCTCACGGCTCGACACAACCCTCACGACCCGACACAACCCTCACGACCCGACACATCTTCCCCCGACACCGACCATCCGGGCTACAATCTGCCCATCAATCCAAGCCGATGCCGGCCACCGTCTTTGGCCAGCACTACACAATGGCTGCCCCTGCGCCTGGCGGCCAGCACCTCCAGCCATGGGACTACGGCGACACGAACTCGTTCGCCGACGTGCCCGACATTGACTTCAGCGAGCTGATGGATTTCGACGCCGACGCCGTCGCAGCCGCCGCCGCCATGACGCTGCCTCTGCTACCCAACTTCACCGACGCCCTGTCCACATCCGTCTCGGCCATGTCCATGGCCACCGTCCCCGCCCCAGCCAACGCCGACACCTGGACACCGCCGTCTGCAACTACGGCTACCCTGACTGCCGGTGCAGGCAGCCTGCGAGGGCCCTCCAATTCAGCATCACCGCGTGCGTCAGCGTCGGCCTCGAGCTCGGGCTCGGGCTCGGGCCCCGGCTCGGCGCATGCTCCCGCCGAAGCAGTTGCGGTCGTCGCAACACCAGCCGTGCCCGCCACAGATGCAAGCTCGGGAGCTGCGCGGGCGCCGCCCAAGCCTGCGGCTGCGGCGGCGGCGGCGGCTGCGGCGGCGGCGGGCGCCGGAGGCAAGAAGTGGGCGTCGGACGATGACTGGGACCTGCACCGGCCAACCATCACACAACTATACGTCAACGAGAACAAGAAGCTGTGGCAGCTCGTCGATCACATGTCGCGCGAGCACGGCTTCTTCGCGACGTAAGCCGCTCCCCTCCCCCAGCAGAACCCCCCCCCCAAGCGAAAACCCCCAGCGAACCCCCCAGCGAACCCCCTGGCGAACCCCCCCCAGCAAACCCCCTGACACCCTGGAGCAGACCAGACGCAGCCAGCTAACAGCCTTTGCCACCCTATGAATAGACCCAAAATGTACAAGACGCGCTTCAAGCGCTGGGGACTGTGGAAGAACACCAAGGCCGCCGACGTGGCCGAGGTGCTCCGCCAAGCCGCCGCGCAACCAGCCGAGGCCTCGACAACGACGACGACAATGACAACCACCACCACAACCACAACCGTGACGACAGTAAACACGCGGCAGGAGCAACACAACAAACAACAGCAGCTGGTGAGAGCACAGCACCACCAGCAGCCGCCAGCGCAGCAGGTGTTCCTCGTCAACGGCAAGCACGTCGACGCGCAGCGCGTCGAGCGCTACATCCGCAACCGCTGCCGGCAGTACCGCATGCGGCCCGGCGACCTGTCGGCGTCGCTGCTGCAGGGGACGGCCACCAACGCCGCCGCCGCCGCCGCACGGCCGACCGGCCTCGGGCTCAGCAACCGGCGCTGGAAGGCGGGCGGCGAGCTCGGGGCGCGCGGGACCAGCGCCGCCCTCCTCTCGGAAGAGTCGACGTACCGCACCATCCACGACTACTTTGAGGGCTCGATCCAGTCGCGGCGCTGGGTGTTCGCGTCCGACACAGACTGCGAGCTGTCGACGCCCGGCGGCGTCGAGATGGGCAAGCTGATCGCGCAGTTCCACGAGCGGTGGAAGGTGGCGGCGCCGCTGCTGGCCAAGCCCGGCACGCGCGACGGCGCCGAGGGCGTCAAGCTGGCGCGCATCTGCTTCGCCGAGCTGCCGCGCATGATCGACGGGCGGTCGCTGGGGGCCGAGGACCCCAACCTCATCACCTTCATCCTGGTCGTGCTGTTCCACATCCGCAAGGCCGGCCCGCAGCTGCGCTGGGTCGAGACCCAGCTGGCCCGCCACCTGGCCGACCTGGCCACGGTGCTGCCCGGCGCCCGCCCCCACGCCGCCGTGTGGGCCATGCTGCGCGAGGCCGTGATCGCCGGCACCATGACGGACCACCTCAGCCTGCAGATCACGCGCGTGCTGGTCGACGCGAGCAGCCGCCTGCTGGGCCGTCTGCACGTCAAGACCATCGAGCTGCTGATCTGCGGCGTGTGCAACTTCGAGACGGGGCCGGCGGCCGTCGCGGCCCAGGAGGTCATGTTCGCCGAGATGCTGGCCGACCTCGACGCCCTGGGCAGCTTCGACGAGCGCCACGCCGGCGTGCGCATGAACCTGGCCATGTTCTACAACTACCACGGCATGCCCGAGCGCGCCGGCCAGGTGGCGCGCGCGCTGCTCGACGACCCGTGGATGCTCAACGAGGCCAAGCGGTACCGCGGCATGGCCTTCCAGTTCTACCGCGAGTGGGCCGAGAGCTGCCACGCCCAGGGCCGCCTCGAGGAGGCCGAGCAGGGCTACCGTGACGCCCACGCCGCCACCATCGAGGAGATCGAGAAGGGCCTCGGCGGCCGCGGCCACACCATCGACGCTCTGGTCCGTCTCGAGGCCGTCCTGCGCGAGATGCACAAGGACGCCGAGGCCGACCAGGTCGCCGCCGAGCGCGAGGACTGGATCCGGGACGACCTTAAGGGCGTCGGCGAGATTGAGGATGCTATCCTGCCTGAATAGTTCTCTATTTCTCTTGTTTTGTAGTCTGCTGTTGCAGCACACACAAGCTGTTCTATGACTAATGTGTTTCTTTATAGCTACCTCTTTCTTGTTTTGACAGCGTTGGCGCTGTCGTTTCTTCTCTCCGCTTTTCTTCGTGTATTATTCTTTATAATCCTTTGGGGCGCTCTCTTTTGATATATATATATTTACGTTTCTGGAATTGGTTATGAACGAGCATGACGGCAGGGTTTCGCAAGCGTCGGGTATCTGGCTGGGTTATAGGAGTGGCGGCTTTTCGTGTACACCGGGGTTCGATAACAAAAAACCTCATTATCTCTCATATTTAACTAGTTATTAAACTATATTACTTATCAACTCCCTTTCTCTTTGGATCTCGTGAATACGACACAACTAGAAGCTTAGTATGCCGGGCCTGCTGCTGTCCTATTTTACTGAAAGGCGCAGTACGGTGCTTACAGGTCCTAGTTAAGGAAAATGTCCCAAGCCTATCATAGTCTTGACGCGTCTTGACACGTAAATGAATCCCGAAATATATATATCTACTATGGTTTGAGAATGAGGAAGTTGGCCCATCAAAATAAGAGAAAGCATAGTCTTGACGCGTCTTGATACGTAAACGAATCCCGAAACATATATATCTACTATAGTTTGATAATGAGGAAGTTAGCCTATCCAAATCATAGTCTTGACCGTCTTAACACGTAAACGAATCCCGAAATATATATATCTACAATGGTTTGACAATAAGGAAGTTGGCCTATCAAAATGAGAGACAGCATAGTCTTGACGCGTCTCGACACGTAAACGAATCCCGAAATATATATATTTACTATGGTTTAATAATGAGGAAGTTGGCCTATTAAAATAAGAGAAAGCATAGTCTTGACGTGTCTCAATACGTAAACGAATCCCGAAATATACATATATATCTACCATGGTTTGACAATGAGGATGTTGGCCTATCAAAATGAGAGAAAGATAGTCATGACGCGTCTTAACACGTAAACGAATCCCGAAATATATATATCTACTATGGTTTGACAATGAGGAAGTTGGCCTATCGAACTGAGAGAAAGATAGCTAAACAAATCATATCTCATACTTCATAGAGCTCTTCAACGCTTTGGTTAAAACTAACCCGTGCTCCTTCATCTACAACGTTGGCCTCCACAGCGCCCGAGTTCCGGGTGTATGCAACCACGTAGAAATATAGATAATTAATTACCAGGCCATTAGTAGTCTCTTTGGGGAACTAATAAAGACTTAGACCAGCGTATAGAAGAGCACATTACACCACACCTACCTATCATTAACCCATCCGGCTCCCTTCTTCCTCCACGAAGCCGAAGCAACACCGTATTGTAAAACTTGTCAAAGCTTTGGTGATCTCATGCTTGCCTTTTTTGATAGATGCCTTCTTCTTGTCTCCTTATCGTAACTCCGTTATACGGTTCCAAAATGCAGTTTTTTAGTTAGTTCTAGTGGAAAAGGTGGAGGGCAAACGTAATTAACTCGGCAAGAGGGACAGAAATAAATCGGTATATCTATTTCAGGAAGGAATAATCAACTCAATTTTTTTCTTAAAAGCGTTCTAAGTAGTCTAGACGTTTATTTCATCATCGCGACTTGTACAAATTGTGGGAGGAACTAAATCAGGGAAGGGCTCCCATACCACAATATTCAAAGCAGCGTTAATCTCAATGGAATCAGTGAATCTCAATGGAATCAGTTAATCTCAATGGAACCAGTTAATCTCAATGGAACCAGTTAATCTCAATGGAACCAGTTAATCTCAATGGAACCAGTTAATCTCAATGGAACCAGTTAATCTCAATGGAACCAGTTAATCTCAATGGAACCACGATAGATACAACTCATCGACCTTTTACTTCTTTATATCCATGTTTTGACAACGCCACAGACGGCGTCGATCTTTGCATATCTCTACGTTGAACGCACAAGAATGTAGGCTCCAATACGGCAAAAGACATCTAGGAAAGCCCTACTTGATAATCCATTTTATTACTTTCTCTTTGCGATTTTAACTTCTCACAGGAAACAGTGCTATCACTTGCAGCTCGTTAATGGCGAAACGTGAACTTAGCTACAGGCATGAATAGGACCGACGAGTAGCCAAAAACGTTTTATCTAGGACCTATGGAATCAACCTATATGCATATGACAATCTTTACATAGCTAGCGAATCGGCGCGTGAGACGGAAGTCTCGTTTAATTACGCGCCAAGAGGTACAAAGCTTGCTTTACAACACACCGGACGCCCAGTAGACCTTGGACCCAGGTTACTCAGTAAGTGCACGGCCGGGATAATCAAGCTTCTTGCCCTAATATACTTGACATGGAAGTCGAATCGATGTGAGCAGCCTACCGAGTTCGTGCGTGGCTCGAGGAATTAACCGCAAAAGCTTCGCGGAGCAGCTAATTAGCGGCTTCCCGAGCCTAGAAGTTGTGCAGTGGTATGGATGAAGTAATTCAAACGAAGATAAATCAGGCCAACACCAGCCGAGATTAAGAGAAGTACTAGCACGGCGTTGGTAGTTTAACGGCTGCACCCAGCCAATGCCACGACGATCGTCTACCGTCAATCAACTACCGTACGCGTCCCCAGCGGACCGTATTCTTATCAGTCGTAACAATGAAACTCCCAGCGAATCCTCCCGCGATATTGCTTGCTGGCCGCCAAGAGCAATCGTCGAGCCGCCCGGTTCATCACGCTCGTGGTGCTCACTGACGGCACCCAGTCACCGGCGGGAGAACTATACACATAATACGACAGACACTCTACCATTGGGTCCCGAGACGCCCCCTCGAGATTGCCATGCCAATATGGGAAAAGAGCCTATTAGGGCAGCGTGGGCCAGCCCATCGTTAAGAGCGCGCCCAGAGGAAAGGGTCGGCCGAAGAGCTGGTGGGGGGAAATGCCTGGGAAGGGTCGCACAGGTTCCGTGTCTCTTTGCTGAGAACCGGTGCTATGAGGTCTTGGCAGCCTCTGCAACACCTTTTAACCGGCGGGGGTCGAGCCGACGAGATAAAGTGGAAGTGGTCGCATTCGCTTCTTTTTGGGCTCGTTTGTTTCTGGCAATCAATGCAACGCTCGTTTATCCACTGCCCTGGGGAAATCCGACACCCAGGTTTCATGGCAGGCATACGAGGCTCGTCTATATCCTGCGGCCTTTGCAAAGACGCAGGCGGGTCGCTTGTGTTCCCAGGAGCCTTATTTTGGGTCAAGCCGTGCTGAATTGACTGCTGCCTTGAAAGACAAGTCTTTGGTGCTCAAGGGTGAAGGCATGAAGTCGGGCCGTTGTCCAGCATGAGCAGAGAGGGGAAATGGGTGCCAAGACAATATCTACAGGAGAGAAGCAGTGTAAAAGCGTCGGAGCATTGTCAGCTCAGGTGCATATGCCACGCTGTTCGGGTGTATAATCGTGGGGGCCTTCTAGCCGGTGTAGGTAATTGGACGCCACAAGCCGAGTGAAAAAACAAAGGGAACACAGCATGGCTTACCTTGAACTCACACGGGTGGTTACGGCGACCTAATGGCACGAGATAAGGGGCATTGACGCCATCGCCCCCCACTCGGCAGGTGAATTTGGGCATTCCAAAAGCTGCGAGATAATGAAGCGTCCCGATGTCGAAGCCGGTTGCTGATCAATCTCACTCGCAACCACACTCGTATTCGCAAAATACATTTTGAACCTGCAGTATCGCAAGACAACAGCCTGCGGTATCCCAAGACAACAGCCTGCAGTATCCCAAGACAACAACCTGTAGTATCCCAAGACAATAACCTGCAGTATCCCAAGACAACCGGGCTGGTCAGATCGGATGCCATGTGGTTTGACGGAAGGATTGCTGCAGCAGGACCAAGACATCGGCACTAGAGCGCTCGACGCGCCACAGAACCAGACCAAGACCTTGGCAACACCACCGTCAAGACTTCTGCCCAGGAACCAGCAAGCACAGCACGCTCGGCGGACGTCACTAGTGAGGGGAAGGGGGGAGGAGCACAACCTCGGATATCAGGGAGCTCTGATCCTTGGCCTCTTCCTTGGGCTCTTCCTTGGCCTCAAAGTGGCTGCAGGTGGAATCCGAGATTTTTGAAAAGATAAAAGTGACCGCTGCTGCTATGCCACACGGGTGCTGGAATGTGACACCGCTCCCGAGAACTTCGCCGCAGCCCGTCAGCGGGGACCCGACTAGTCAGCAGAGTAGCTCGGAAGCAACCAACACGCGGGGATGCCCAGACCTGCCAGCCGTACAAGGCCACGGCCATGCCAAGCTGGCAAGCTGGCAAGCTGGGGATCGACACGTCGAGCAAAAAGATCCATTAGCATCCTGACTCTTTGAATGGTGCCTGGTGTAGGTGGAGTCGGCACACTGCGGTTCAGTAGTAACGCGGCAAGCCGACAGTCTGGAAAGCGTGGGCGGATAAGAGACAGGCCTTACTCATCGATTACTTACAAACGTCTGTTGCCAGAACGGTGCAAGTGCGGCTGCTGGTCGCTAAATTTTCTTGCGCTGGTGTACTGCAGGATGAGCTAATATTAACGCCCAGGCCCAGGCAGCTCTTCCTGTTTATGTCTGCTTCTCCCATTTTTGCAGACGGTGGTGGTCAGCAGCACGGCAGTCGATGCTGAGTTGCTGACTTGGTGTGCACACACGCGCACCAAGCGCCGGGAAGGGCAAGTGTGCCCCCAAAGCAACTGCAGAACCTGGCACTCCGAACTCGAGGCAATCCGCAGGAAACAAACCCTTGGTAAGTTGGCAGTCGGTACAAACTTCCCTGAAAGCGTCCCTTATTGGGTTGGCACCAGAACGGGCCAGTGGACGCTAGCCTTATCACACATCCCGTGCCTCCGACTCTGCTGTGCTGGGTGCGCTGCTGCGACTCTGCCAATGGAATGGAGCCTCTGAGTGAGGTGGCTCGGGGCAGTGGGCACAGTTCCGCAAAGCCGCTGAGGCACGGGGACGGGAGACGTGGGCGCTGTAACCCGGCCGTTTCTCGATTCATCTGCCAGCGCCGTGCATGCGTTGGCCACCGGTGAGCGCCAATTGGGTCGGGGAATGAAGCGCGACTTGGCGCAGGAAACGCGATCCAAAGGAAATGGAAGAGGAAGGAGGAAACAGAGAATTGGATGCGTCGTCATGGATGCCCTGGGTTTGGATCTTGAACGCACGACATGGCAGCGACGAAAGCGGACAAGCTTCCAGGAGCTGAGAGTGGAGGCCAGTGGACCCTGCCCCCCCGGTGGAGGTTTGGGGAGGGGAAATAGAGAATTGAGCCCGCTACCAGAGCCGGCCGGAATCTGGGGAAGTGGCACAGTGGCTCGATCCTTCCTGGCTCTCCCGCAATCACCTAATCACCTAATCACCTAATCACCGCCCAGGCAGTTTGGAGTTCCATGGAGCATGGAGCGGGAGGACGCTGTCGCATGCGACAGTCTCTTGAGGGCCCAGACCTTTTTGCTTCAAATAATATTGCAACGAGAACCAACGAGCCATGGAGTTCGCGGACCGACTTTTGCAGTGTTTTGGCACAACGCACTCCTGCGGCGCTGCTGATAAGTAACGCACCTGTATCTAGATGTCGGTGAGGAAGGAAAGATGCACACAGAGGAAAAACCAGGTTCGTTCTTGGTGGAAGGAACGAAGGAAACCCCTCCCTCCCCTACGCAGCTCGCGGGTTTTGTTCTTTCCTTTTCAGCCCACCTACCGTCTGTGCCACCGCACAAACCCCCGACGGGTATCGACGATTGGCCTTCCAGAAGCCCTCTACCTCTTTCCCTCGCTAGCTCGCTTGGGCAAGCAGAGTTTTCCCTCGTCGCTGGTTGGCATGCTCGACCTCGCACGCATTTCCATTGACCCGTTCGTGGACTGGGCGTCATTTCCGAACCCGAGCAGTCGAGCACTCGGCGTGTCGAAACTACCTCAGGTCTCGTCTCAGCGCGCTGTCCAGGTCGCATCGCTAGCGGCTTCAAGTCCTCGTGTTCACTAGATTTTTCGACAGAGACGGCCGAGCTGCGGACAAACGGCAGCTAGCATCGCGGGGAATGCTGTTGATCGTCATGGCTCGGACGGTTTTTTTCTTTTTATTGGAGAAAAGGGTGTTGGCCTGGCTCAGGCCAGCGCGCGGCGGTCGGTCGGCAGGCGCCATCGCAAGCCGCATCAGCATCAACACCAACATCAGCAACCAGCGCCTACCCCCTTCGGATCTAACGCGTCGCACTTCCTCCAGAGCAGCCACAATTCATGCCCCTTGATGAGCTCGAATTTATCCTTCTGTCCGAAACTTCACCCGCCGCTAAGTTTGGTAGCAGCCACGTGCGGAGCGGCATCAGGGCGCTGGATTCCTTCGCGCGTGCTGGGCATTGCTGGGCATTTCTGGGCATGGCAGTGCAGACACTGGGGCAGCGTGCTCGGAGGGTGGTGTTGGCTGGGCGAGCCTGGGGCCGGTGGTGTTGGCTGGGCGAGCCTGGGGCCGGTGGTCGTCCCCCGAGATCTCACAGTGGGTCGCGAGCTGGCCAATGGTGGGGGCCCAAGCCCGCCAAGCCGGACCACTTGCACAGATCCGGGCTCCTGGTGGCGTTCGGTCCAGACTCCGTGTCCAATCAATATCGCAACGCCGACGGCCTGCCTCGAGCTCCTAAAAAGGGGCCCCTGCCGCCAAGACGTCTTGGCTTGCGCCGGTGAATTGACGGGACATGCCCCTCTTCCTCTCCGGCCACCAACTCAGGTCTCCTCGACGAACAAGGCACCAGCCGCCTAGCGAGGTACCTCGGTACCTCCTTGTCTGCACCGCTGCAGAACTCCGTCCTGCAGCCCACACTCTGCACTCTGCTCTTGGTCTGCCGCATAGTCAGCCAAACATGGCTGCAGATCCATATCAGACCGTGCCGGCCGATTGCTTGGCGGCGTCGCCCATAGCAGCAGCGAGCAGCAAACCAAGCTGGCCCATCGTCAGCGTCTCTCCCCCGCTGACACCGGCCGCGTTTGAAAGTCAACTGGCAGCTCGCGGGGGCCACCAAGACTCGAGAACCGCATGTACACGTACTACGTACGTGCTCGCTGCTGAGGTCCTAGTGTTCGGTCAGTGCGTCCCAGGGTAGATCTTGTGTTCCCCGACAAGATAACCGCATTTCCTTTTCAGCAATGTCGAATGCAGATTATGGGCCCTGATGGCTGAAACCCTGTTTCTTCCTTCCCACCCCTCCACCCTTGTCTAACATCCTCTGGATACAGTAAGATGGGACGGTTGCAGCCTGATCCACTCGGTCCGCGCTATCTTTGGGCACTGCCAGCCATTGAGCCGGGGGTGGGAGGCACCTTGGGAATGAGACCGAGCATCCCCTCCCTGGCCAGTCCCCATCGCATACCGTGTACTGTATGTACTTTAGACGAATTGCCAGAATGATGCGGCCCCGACTGCTAGCGGTAGCGCTGCTCACTGCATGTCGACCGCGTGGGCGTCTGCCATCTGGCTGGCACTCCGTCCGCCTGTCCGTCCCCGCGTCGAGGGTGCGAGATCGACAGACCGTGTATAAGATGAGCCAGCGACGGCACCCTGCCTACCCAGCCACGCTCCGTCCCTCCTTCCAACCGACGAGTTGCCCACTTCTTGGAGCACTGCAGAGATTCCGCGCCTCAAGTGTCTCACCTCCGGAAGCCCGCATCTCAGTCCCCTGCCTTCTCAGTCTCCCCGGCACTCCCCGGCTTCTCTCACCATGGGCTCCGCCGAGGTGCCCGCTCAGGATGTCCCGACTACCGAGTCGGACAGCGTCAACAACGAGAAGGAGGCTTCACGCGATATCACGACCAGCAGCGTCGAGAGCGCCGGCTGGGACGGGGCCGCGTCCAAGAGGCTGATGCGCAAGATCGACATCCATCTGATCCCGTTCCTGGCCCTCTTGTATCTCCTGTCCTTCTTGGACCGCACAAACATTGGCAATGCCCGCCTCTACGAGCTCGAGAAGGATATCGGCCTCAGCTCCGTGAAGCTCCAGTACAATGACGCTCTCGCCATCTTCTTCCCCTTCTATGTTGCTGCCGAGATCCCTTCCAACATGGCCATGAAGCGGTTTCGCCCTTCCGTCTGGATCCCGAGCATCATGGTGGCCTGGGCCATCTGCTGTACTCTCATGGGCATCGTCCACAACTACTCTGGCCTGATGGCTACCCGTGTTTTCTTGGGCATTGCCGAGGGCGGTCTCTTCCCCGGCATCACCTACTAGTACGTTCCGCCTGGGGGCCCTGCTTAGCATCACTACAAGGGCTGGTTTCTGGAAATAGGGCTTTACTGACTGGCAGTCACACAGCATCACCATGTGGTACAAGCGCCATGAGTGTGGTCTCCGTATGGCCATCTTCTTCTCGGCCGCTACAGCGGCTGGGGCTTTCGGAGGTCTGCTTGCCCGCGGCATTGTCGAGATGGAAGGCGTCGCTGGCTTGAACGGGTGGCAGTGGATCTTCATCCTAGAAGGCATTCTCACCTTTGTCGTCGGTATGTCAAGAGGCTTTTTTTTCCCCCAGCAACACTTGCTAATCAGCTACACAGCCATCATTGCCTACTTTGTCATGAATGATTACCCGGCCACGGCCAAGTTCCTATCTTCCGAGGAGCGTGTCGAGGTCGAGGCTCGCCTAAAGCGCGACCGGTCGTCGCTCGCGGACGAGTTCGCCACCAAGTACTTCTGGGATGCCATCAAGGACTGGAAGATTTGGGTGCACATGTTCATCACCATCGGCGTCTACACTGGGCTCTACTCTTACTCGCTCTTCCTCCCGACCATTATCCGCGATCTTGGCTACACCAACAACACGGCCCAGCTGATGACGGTCCCGCCATATGTGGTCGCCTGCGTCTTCTGCGTCGGTGCTGGCTACCTGGCCGACAAGCTTGGCCAGCGTGGTCTCTTCATGATCTTCTTCATGGGCATGTCGTAAGTCTTGACCTACTTTCTTCACATGTTCAGTAACCCTTTGGCCATCCACAGCTGACCTAGTTAACTACAGCATCGTCGGCCTGATTATGCTCTTGGCCAGCCAGACTGCTGGAGTCAAGTACGCCGGGTCCTTCTTCCTTGCGTCGGGCATCTACCCGAACGTGCCGCAGGGTGTGGCATGGAACGGCAATAACATTGGCGGCTCTCTGAAGCGAGGCGTCGGTATCGCCATGCACGTCGGCTTCGGCAACTTGGGCGGCACCATCTCGGCTTATCTGTTCCTCCCCAGGCAGGGCCCCAAGTATTACGAAGGCTTTTCTACCCTCCTAGCCTGCCAAGCCATGGCCATGGCCCTGTCTATCTTCATGACTATCTACCTTAGACGCGAGAATGCCCGCCGTGACCGCGAGTACAAGCCTCCGAGCGAGTACACCGAGGAGGAGCGGGTGGCTGAGCGAGAGAAGGGAGACAATGCTACCTTTTTCCGGTACACTATCTAAAAGGTCTTTGTCGTGGGCGCAGATGGAATTGAGCGCGTTGCCGCCAAATTTACGGCACCGGTCTCCGCTGCTAAGAAATTGGAGATTGGCAAACAGACTTCTTTAAACTATAGATCTTTTTCAATATTAATTTGATGTTGCCTCTCCAACCAGTTACGAAAAAACTTCTGATGAGCTCGTCCTTTCAACTTTTATTTCGATCGTAGCCATTCAAACCTACCCCATGGCGCGATTGGGTTTACAATCCAATCCCTGCATATTTGTTAGCGGGGACTTTCCAAGATTTGAAAGGCCTCAGTTCCTTATGGCTCGCCCAGTAGGGGTTTCGCCGAGGGAGCTAATAACTATTAGAACCCCTACTCTAAAATTCTAGAGGCCTATCTCTTCACAAGTATCTCTTAAAGGCCTTTTCTGCCAGTGTATGTACGCTAATCTTCTCCTTGTTCCCAGGTGCGGCCAACAAACATTCAGAGATTAGATTGTATATCTCACAAACTTTCACCTTCAATTTGAATGCTCGTAAATAACATTTGGAAATTGAAGAGACATGAAGATACCACATCTTCAGATTCCACTCCAAGATAAAAGTAACCAAGGGCTGACTGCAAAAACGGCTCGGAATAACTTGTGCCCGAAATGGCCGCACCGTGTGGCGCATACCAATGGTGTGTGCAAATCCCCCAAATCTCAGCTAATTATTCAGCCGCACGTCCAGCCAACACCAGATCTTCCTCCACACACCAGGTTAAGTTGGCTGGGCTCAGTATCTTGTGGCAGTGAATACGTTGCCAAAATGGACCCTTATCCTGACGTAGTCTCTTGTCTGAGCTCCGACCCTCACGACGACGACATCTCAGACCCTGTCCTGCATTGTCTGGGATGTCTCCGCTTCGACGAGCGAAAAAGTTTCTTCGACATGTCCCATCCGTTTTGGCAAGACGAAATCAGCGACGAGTCTACAAACCTGCACCTCCGCGACCCGAGCAATGCTGTGCGTGAAACGGTTCAAGAACGGCTGCAAAACTGGAAACGCGCTGTCGACTCCAAACTGGAGCGACTGGGGCGCCTCCGCAAAGCCATAGAGGGAGACGAAGAATACCGGCACTTGGTAAAGGATCTTTCCGTTAGCAAGGCGGCTTGGCAGAATTACTGTGCTATCAATGTAGGAAAGAAAAGAATACAGGTGCGACAGCAGCGACAGCAGGAAAGAACCGCAGGAGCTGCCCCCTCTGGAGGCATGACAGACACTACAAAAGCCAAGCAAAATCCGCAGCCGGACAGCCACATGTACGACCCGGACGACGACTCGACCGCATATGTAATTGAGTTTGATTCGCACGGAGGTGGTCAATCCGCCACTGCCTCGCACCAGGCCTTGCACCAGCGGCGGGTGAGAGAACACTCGATATCCGTGCAGGCCCTCTTATATCCCGAGGCTGGGAATCCCGGCTCCCCTGTGCACGTCAAGGGCAAACTGTCGGGAAATATCCGGTGGATTCACCTTCCATCGAATAACATGGCGGTACGTACACACGCATTTGAAGACAAGTCTCATCACAACCTCTTCCCATTTGCTCGACTAACAGACTGTCGTGGCAACGAAAACAGTGGGCCGAGGTATGTTACTGAAAGCGTTGCCCTGGAAAAGGGGTCCAGAACACTCACGCAGACGCATAGGAGGCAGTCAAGATGTGCTTTGGTCAAAACCAGGAGTCAAGGGACTCTGCTCCGATACGGAGACACACTCGCAATGCAAACAAATCCGTACCAAGTCAGGCCCTGGTGCCAGAGGTATGGCAGGCAAAGCCTCCGGAGAGGTCTGACCTCCGTGGGTCTCGCTCGCTGCGCCAGACGTGTAAACTTGTCACCTCGGGTCAGTGCATTCCGCTTCAATTACCCGTGTTCATGTCCTCCAGCTTACCAAATCGCTGGAATGCGGCAGGCGACTCTTCCGGACGGCCAATATCATCCTCGATAACTCTTTACGTAGGTTATTCTGTCGTGGCGACAGGAGGTCATTAGTTGACACTTCCCCAAAGGCGCCCTTTCTTTCCTGGGAAATCTACAGGCGCCAATCAGTCATCTCGCAAATGATTGAAGTCAACCTGTTCGACCACAAGATCCGAGCAAAAAGACAGGAACGGGACAGACGCATGGACCGCATAGCGCGGCGAACGACCGATTTAGCTCGCCCCCGAAGCCGACAGTCGCGCCTTGGTGAGTGCATGGCGGACAAGAACAATGCCCAGCCCTAATATCACGGTTTGCTGATGCTTAGTCTCCGAATCGGCAGAATCAAAGAGGCCTCTCGCAGGACTCGAGGAGGGGAGGCCGCGAAGGGCCCGCTCAGAATTGCACACCGTAGTCGACGTGGTTGGACAGGTGCTGGGCGGCGCGTGGCGCAGCTGGTATGCCATGGTGGACAATAACGGGGTCCTGCGCGTCCACAGCAGGCTCGGCCAGTACCTAGTCGACTGTGCGAGAATGTACGAGGCCATGATGGCGTACCGCGACCGGAAGCTCATCGAGAGGTACATGACAGCCGACAAGCCGCTGCACCCCAGGCGGACCCTGCACCGCGCCTTGACGCCGTCTGGCATGGGAAACTGGAACTCACGCAAGAGAGAGCAGGTTGTTTATCGCTGGACTTCGCCCAAGCCATCTGACCTACACCACTTCGACCCCTGGCACGAAGCGTGGCCCACACATGAGGAGATGGGATCCGAGCCTTGTGAAACATGCACCCAGAACATCCGCATGCTGCCCAAGATCCTCGTGGTTGACCAGCTCTGGATGTGGATCCTGAACGAAGACACAATCATCACCTGCTTCCCGAACCGGTACGGAGCCGAAGACGACAACGGAGGTCTTTACAAGGCCATCAGATCGAGGTTGCAGGAAACAAACGACACCGAATCTGTATTTTCTGCCGCCTTGACTATCGTTGACGAATGCTCCAACCACTTATTTGAGCCCAGAGTCGAGGCAAAAGCCCGAGACCAGAACCCTCCTGTGCTGGAGGCCTTCGATGTAGCCATTAAAGTCTTGGTAAGATGATTATCGCATAGAGCAGCTGACTAGGCGAAGTTGGCTATTAACATTTTCGGCAGCGCCAGAAACAGGCCCTATCGCGGGAGAAGCTGCTGCAGTGGGCAAACTATATACGGATGCTCCAGACGCGAAGCAGCATCATCCGCGCCTCGACCCAGCTCGGTCCCTGGACTATGCTCGATATCAACCCAGAAGGCCATATTCAGGTCGAGATCGAAGACATAAAGGAAGAACTGAAAGCGATACTAAACATCACCGACAGCCACGAGCGTATGCTTCTGCAGCTCACGAGCAATGTTGACAAGGTCCTGGGACTCTCAACCCGCCCTGCTCACAGCCCCTCCGAGCAAGAAAACGCCCAGATCCAATCCAAAACTACACAAGCCAACGGGAAAGGCAAAGAAGCGCCCCCGAGGCCTGTCACTGACGAAGAAAAGCGGCAAAGCTTCAAGCTTGGGGCCGCCGAAGCGCTGGCTCGCATCCGTGACCGCAAGCGCCAGCTCGAGGACAAGATCAAAAACGCAGACGAGCTTTCGGCAAGCGTAAGTGGTTCTTAACGCCAAGTAGCAGACAACAACGGCGACGACGACGAATAAGCTGACAACCGCCTGCGGGGTATGCAGGCTGCCGAAGTCCTGGCGCTCAAGCAGCACACAATGGCCACGGCCGAGTCGTGGCGGTCGTCCGTGCAGGCCGCGTCGAGCAACAGACAAAACACGGCCATTGTCATGTTTACGGTGGTGACCGTTATTTTTGTAGAGCCTCCTTTCCTCTATCTAGGCGGTAAACTAGGACCTAGAAGAGAGGAGCTAACGAGACATGTCACAGGCCCCCCTATCCTTCATGTCCAGCGTGTTTGGGATGAACGCAGCCGAGTTCGCCAACAACTCGTGGTCCCTGGGAGAGCAGTTCAGCTTGCTCTGTACGTACACTGCAGCAGCAACGCATCCGTCTAATAACCAGAACCCATCTACCTCCTCCACGAACGCGGCTGACAGTGCCCACTCTCTTATCCAGTCCCCCTGTCCTTCGCCGTCACGGCCCTGACCATCGTGGTGGCCTTCAGCGCGCGCGTGCAGACCGTCTGCCTGCTCGTGTACCGGCTGCTGAGCACTGTGCTGCTGTACCGCACGGGGCTGTACAGAGTATGGGTACTGACGGGGGTGTCAACGGCTCGCATCGCCGCGTGGGCCTACACCGCCGTCGGGTCCACGCGCGACCGCGAAAACGAGAAGATCCTGCTCAAGCGCCAGCGCCAGCGCGCCGCCCGCAGGCTTGCGCTGCGCGACGATTTCCTCGCCCAGCGCGACGCCGCTGCTGTCGGGGATGGGGAGGAAAGTGCCCAAAGGACGGTGGCTGACAGGAACAGTGACGGCGTGACTGAAAAGGCGCCCGTGAAGGGAGGTGAACAGACTGCTGCTGCTGCAACAGTTACTGCTGCGCCGGCGGTGCCAGGGGCTACTGGCTCTGCAGATCAAGTGGTAACAGGTCGGGCCGATAACAACGTTTGATGGTTTGGGGAGTATGTTGGTTCAGTTTTGGCGGGTGGCTTTGTGAGAATACACGAAATCCGAAAGGGTAGACTGTGTGCCAGTGTCTTCTCACTTCAGGAACCAGAAGCAGGCGAGACTGTGCCAGTGTCTTCTCACTTCAGAAACCAGAAGCAGGCGAGAGGTACATCGATGCCTTATCAGATTCTGGTTTGGCCATGTTGGAATAAAGGATAATTAGTTAAGAAAGCTACTCCTCCTGAAGAATAGGAAAACTCCTCACAAGCTCCGGCTTTTCCGCGTCCCAGGGGTTTCGACCCTTTTGCCCCATAATAGCCTGTCCCAGTGCCTTTTCGCTCTCCCCCCTTTTTTCATCTTTCTCGCACATAATCATGTCCGCATAGCAGTGCCGCCAACAACCGGGTAGCTAAACACAGATGCCGCCACAGTCGGCGCCGCCATGCTTGGGGTCGCAGTCGTCGCGCGGGTCGTCGATGCATCTCTTGCCGTCGAGGCACGCCCTGCCGATGAAGCCGCCGCAGAAGACGGGTGTCACGCAGATGCCCGGCGCGTCGCAGGCCATACCGCAGCCCTGGCTTCTGGGGTCGTCGATGCAGATCTGGTCCTTGCAGGGGCATTCTTGCGTGATGCGAAACCCGCCGCACGGAGCATATGTCGAGGCGCGTGGCCTGGCCGTCGATGTCGACGTCACCGTCTGCAGCGTCGTGGCCGTGGCCGTGGTGGTGACCGGCGGCACTGGCAGCTTCAGGTCGGGCACGCAGTACCCGAGGCAGTTTACGCCGAGCGTGCATGTCGGGTCCAGTGCCTGGCACCGTTGAGCGCTTGGGCATGGAGCAATCTTGAGACCGCATGGTCTGTGGCCATCCAAGGCCATCGCGACGGCAGCGGAGAGGGACAGGATGAGGGCTGTGTACATGGTGGGCTTTGATTCGTCTGGGCTTGATACCCAATATTGTTTAGTGATATTAGGATGGACTGTCAGTTCAAGTTGTCGGACGGTAGGAGGTGTCACTACATATTTGTAGTCGAAAGAAGGTTCGCGCCCGACTTTCAGATGGGCGACGGGAGCACAGTCAGGTCAGTGGGTAAACACCACTGCAGTCTGCAAACACTTCGGAATGACCGTCTAACTCGGCAAGCTTGGCTCGGCTGAACTCGTTGCCCGTTCCACCCGGACACATTGCCATATGCCCAATACCACCTTTCCCCAAGCCCAGCGCAGCAATAATCGGCGTGGAACAAGACAGGTATCTATCGGAAAAGGAGAGAATGGCAGGAGGCCAAGCCGGAAGCCCATGCCGCCCCCCTTTGCGGAATGTCAGCCTCAGTCCGACGGTGCATTCAATTCCCCAATACTCTATTCTTGGACGTCCCGATATTGTGCCAAGAGACGCCACGCGAAGTGTCCTGGAAATCCGGGGAAGCCATGGTATTGCGACTCGCGGCCCTTTTCGCTATGCTGGCCTATCTTCTTGCGCGGTTTGGTCGCACCGACCTTCCCCGGCTCAATGACAGCTGCCATCGTCATTCCGCAAAATTTCACCGCCCGGTTCTTGGCGAGGAATTTTGTGCGAGCGCGTGTCCGATCACATTCCTGGCATGCATGTGCCCACCCGGAACGTGATAGCTTACGGCTCTTGCTTGGTTCCCGGGCCAATGTCCGCCCATGCTGATGATAATCGGCGTCCAGCTTTTTACCACGGTAAAGCAATCAGCAATGCACTTCCGATTGAGACCGCCATTTGCTAAGTCGGATCAGAGCCGGTGGCGAGGAAGGATGGTGGCTTCACGTCCCCCAGATCCACCCCAACTCATTACGGGATGGGTAGTACGGACTGGTGAGTCCCCTGAGCTTACAGGCAGGCCCAGTGTGAAGTCTTGGGTGACTGCCAAAAACGCCCACTTGATGGGGGTCGAGTGTCTTCGCTACCTCTAATTAGCACTAACGTTAATACTCTCCAAGAGGTATTGCATCTAATTAGAGGTGAAGAAACATACTGCGGAGGAGAGACGAAATAAAGGCCACAGAATGACGTGGCAGATGTCTACGAATCTCTTTCAGAGCACAGGGAGTACTTTGGGCCCCGCGACAGAGTAGGTATGTTGGTGCATTATGAATTGAGATAACTTTGCAGAGAACTGGACAATGGACAGTGGATCGTTCATTAGCTGCTACTTAAATGATTGTCCAAATCCAAAGTAGAGAGCCGTACTACGATCCACCTGCGTGCAAACGTGAAGTGCAAAATACGTTCGCTAATTAAGCCCCAAAGATTGCTAAACATGGCTGGTTATTGAATCGAAGAAGAATATACCTGTTTCCGTCCCACACACGTCCATCTCTTTCTTAGGATCTGAGCGCCACTTCTCCCCTCCGCACTATCAAGCCATTCCGGAAACTAGCCGCCAGGCTAGTGTTTCCCGTGCTGTCGGCTGGGGCGGACGACCTTCAAGCTAGAAAATGCCAGGCCAAACTATCTTCGAGCTGGCAATCGATCCCGTATTGCACGATCCTGGGGGGTTGCCGATTTGCGTTCCTGTGCAGCCGAGGTTCGAGAAGAGCCGCAACTGGCTGTTGAGGCCGTTGGGCGAGTAGTTGAACCTGGCGTTAACCATCAAGAGGCGCTGGCCGTTCTGCACAAACTCAAAATAGGTTGCATCCTGGCCGGGTGTCCTACTTTCAACAATGTTTACAGTCAGGTCAGATGCAAAGAAGGAAAAAGTTAGGCTATGGTCATGGGTTCCCACATACCAGGGGAAGTGATTGTTACTGTTGCCGCCTGAGCAGCCGAAATTGGTCGCCCAGGCATTGAGGCTAGAATGCAGGTGAAAAGCTCGGGCGCTGAGCCTAGTTACGCCAGAAGACGAACGGTCAGATTTTTCAACCTAGACACAGGAAATATGGTTGTTTGCGAGTCAAACGGATACTTACTCCTTTTCCGTCGCGATCTCAGCGGCGTTGACGAGTTCAACATCGTTGCTGGCCGGGCTCGGGTTGGGCGCAGACAAGCCAGTTGCTGTAAAGAGCAGGATGGACTGGAGGATCGAGATCTTCATGGTGGTCGGATGGGTGGGTGGCTTGAGTTGATGTGGTTGATTTGCTTCGAAGTTGGCGAGCTCAAAAATGAAGCGTTTTAGGTTTATATAGTTCTCGCAAGCGGCTTCAGGGAGCGACGTCATGGCCTTCCACTCTACATCAAGAGCTTCGTATCTCGGTCCAAACCTCATCATCACATCACTGGTATCACAAACAAAAGAAGTTTGAGTAGGCGGGTAAGTCGTTTGACTAATTCGGAGAGCCGTGTATGAAGGTTTTTTATTAATTGAGCCTAGCAACTTGAACGCTCCCTAGTCATTAGTCATGCGTGGCGGGTGTGGTAGTGCTCATGACCAATAACAGTAAACACCAAGGTAACATTTACTATCTCTCTAGACTGGTAACATCTGACGTTGGCTGGTCTTGGCGGCTGAGTTGAGAAACCCAATTTTCAGTGAATGCATAGCTCGGCCATCTTCAACGAAATAAGGTTTTAAGAGATGCTGGTTTGGTAATGCTAGCCACACGCGAGCTGTGAAGGGAGAAAAAAAAGAAAGGAAGAGTATGGTGTAGGTAAGGCCCCACTCTTTATCCTGGTCCTCGTTGAGCTAAGAGGGTTGAGGAGGAAGCCTAATACCGCCGGAATGTTAATATAAGAGTAAAAGATTTTACAAAGAGTCGAAGAAAAAACCATATTTAACACACAACAATTAAGAAATAGTGAAATCGGATTCGAATATGCAAGCTAAGAACTCTAGGCCTTATCACGAGCCATCTCGTCGCTCCGGCTTGCTCAAGTCCCGAAAGTCAACGACAATACAGTGTGTGGCAGTTGCTGCTGTGGTAGCGACGCCATTTGGTAATGCCAAGTTTCTCCTGCTCGCGGCATTTTTGTTGGTTGGTGTCTGCGTCCTCGAAGCTGCCGAAGATAATCATCTCGATCGAGGCTAGAGGGACCTTGGCGAAAGTCTCTTGGAACAACTTATGCACCAAACCGCCCATATGTGACTTGTCACTGTCCGTCTCCCTCCTGTTATTAACGATTCTCTCGATTAGGATTATCTTGTCGTCCACCGATCGAAAGACATTGGCTTCGAGCTTCTGGCCGGCACTGGCCGCGTGAAACCCAGACAGAACTGGAGGCTATAGCACGCCTAGGGCTACCTAATCAAAGCGAGTAGCTGAATCCGAAGGCCGGATAGGCTGATGTTGAATGCGAAATTGGGACATGGCTCTATATATTAAGGGAACGATGTGTGAGGCTGCGGCAAATCTCGAACGAGCTGCAGTTACTTCGGCCTCTAATTACTACCGACAATCGAGCCAGGAGATCACTGGCCTTGAATCCTCTGCTATTTTTGCGTTCTTCAAGGACATGAACTTGGACCCGACCTTGCTTTCTTCTACACCCAAAAGCCTCCTCTATAATTGGAAATGTTTCGTAGGGAGTTCCGTCTGGAGTATCGGCGAATGAATATATGGATAGAAACATATATAACAGGCCCTGCAACTTTGGCGAGTTGGCCACGGCCTAGGGGTGGCGTTCTCGTATCAAAGTTAAATATCCGACACGTCTCCACCGAAACTAACGACACGACCAGGGGCAGAGACCCGGTTTGAGTGGTGTTGGCTCCGATCCACGCTGCTTCCCATCTTATCCACAGTCAATAGGCCTAATGTATGGCTGCGGTGCACCTGACTCAATCTCGACAAAACCGTCGTATTTTCGTATCGTGAAAACGAGGTGGCTTGTCCACCGGCAAATTCGTGCCGCTGTGCTTACACTGTTACTGAAGTTACACATCTAGTCAGCTTCCTTCCTTCAATGGAGCGGGGGTATCAGGGTACGACGGTGCCAGGAATGTGCATAATTTTTCAGGAGACGTGGGTGCGGTGTAACACGGCGCAGGTGGTCAAGAGGCGGGTTGCGTCTTCAAAGTCTTAATCCGAGCCAGATTGGCTAGTCTCACTTGGAACGGGGGCAAGTTGTTCAACCCGACATTTTGACATGTCGGAGACTGGAAGGGTTTAGACCGCTGACTTGTTAAAGTGTCTTCTTGATTACAATACGGGATTCAGCTCGGGACTTGACGGGATGAAATTATATTACAGATCAATTACCTCCACCTAGGCTAGGGTTGACACAAAAGAATGAAACAGAGATTGAATTAAGAGAAAATAAATATAAGTCTACGCCGTTAATTACCGTCTTAAACTACTGACCATGCCCGAGGCCTGGTCTTTGATGTTCTCCCAAGAGTATGAGCTCTGGCCCTGGCCCTCAAGGGCAGTAATCTCCCGTTTCAGCACGTCGACCTGGAACTTGCGGAATGCGCTCTCGATCCTTTTTTGGCTCTCGGCGTCCTTGGAGATGAGGCGCGTGGCCGACGCAGTGCCTGTCAGAAATCCCGTCTCGCCGCCGAGCAGCATGCCACCCAGAGAAAAGGCGCCAAACGTCGCCGCGTCGCCCCACCCCGTCGGCCTGATGAATGGGTCGAGGTTTGGAACGGCTTCTTCATCGACCATCCCGCGTCAGCTGTGTTCAACACACAGGGCAGGGGTCGCGCACTTGACATGACTCTTGCCACAAGTTTTGGCAGCATTCTTTTGATCTCCTTGGGGGGAGGGTTGTAGAAGGAAACGAGAAGCGGGAAGGAGAGGTAGAAGGAAAAGAGAAGCGGGAAGGAGAGGTAGAAGGAAAAGAGAAGCGGGAAGGAGAGGTAGAAGGAACACTACGAGACCCATAGATGGAAAGTAAAGAAACGGACAAAAGGAAAAGGGGATGGGGGCTGGGGGCTGGGGGCTGAAGGTGGAAAATGGCTTACCACGCTGCCCGCTAGCAAAGACGACCTCGGTAGGCCGCATCGACGTCCGGAGCACGTCGTACAGGGCCATTCTGTTCGCGCGGATGCGCCACGCCATAGCCAAGCCGACCCCGAGCCCGAGGATAGAGCCTAGGGATGCGTGCACCGACACCTTACGGGCCGCTGTGCGTAGCCGCGACCTGTCCTCGGACGCCAGGTCGTGTTGCATGTGCGCCTCGCCGATCTTGGCGAGATCGCCTGTCGGATGGGAGCGGAAGACGGCGAACATTGTGTGACGAGTGGTAGCTGTTGCCTATTTGCGATGCGATATTGGCGGCCATGAAGACGAAGAGGTCGGGTAATTAGTCACAAATAGTTGCAATGAGAAACAGCTGGGTTCTTTTAATTGCTGTTTGAGCGTCCAGGTGAGATCAACAAGTCGTCATCCCAGTTTAACTTTCTAGCAAATTCCCCTTCACTGGGAAAGGAGGTCAGGTCCGCGAGCCGTGTCGGCAATGGCAGCACGCGCCACCCATTCAACATGACCGATGATGATGTCAGGCAAATCGTTAGCAGCAGGTTTACATGCGAGTTTTGCTGGTGGAGCATGACATGGCAGATCAAGCCCCACTCACCCTTCGAGGGACAGTAGTACTCCGAGAGTTATGTTGGAGTAATTTAATAACTCGATCTCTTTCACCATCTTCTCCCTCAAATCCTACAACTGCGGCTTTCTCGGGGAATCTTGCCGGCTGAGAAATCTTGTCGGCTGAGAAATCTTACACAACAGCAGAGCAGCTCTATAAGCAAACAACACGCCACTCTCCTCTATCTCTCTCATTGCTCGGGCGCACTTCCTGTCCGACCTCATTGCTCAGATGCACTTCCTGTCGCCGCAGCCGAATCCATCCACTCCCGTGCGATGGCGTCCCAGTATTGCTGGGCGTGTTTCCGCATGTGCCCGACATGGGGCGTGCCTTCGAATAGCTCGGCCTCGACGCCGAAGCCCTTCTCGCGGGCCTGGGCAGCGTGCACCTCGATGTCCTCCCAGTGGATGATGTCATCGGCCTTGGAGTACAGATAGAGGCGACGGGCGCCGACGTCGGACAGGGTGGTGTCGTTGACGGCGCTGGTGCTGTACGCGGCGGTGCTCGAGATGCCCAGGGCCCAGCCGTAGAAGTGCAGGCCTGCGAGGAAGGTAGCCGCCAGCGCCTGGGTCACGACAAAGGGCCATGGGAGCCAGCCCGCGGCGCCCAGGGCCATGGCGCGTGACCAGCGGCCGATGTTGGCAAAGAAGCTGGAGCTGCCGGGGGTCGAGTCGAGCACCAGCAGCTGGTGGGGGAAGACGCCGCCCGTGCGCTGGTGGTATGCGTAGAGCGTAGCCGCAAGGTTAATTCCGCCCGTGTTGGACATGGCGTGCACCAGCACCCGCTCGGTCGTTTTCTCGTCCCTGTCTGGGTAGATGGCGTCGATGACGGGCTCCATGTTCCGGGCGCGCGTTTCGAGGCCTTGGGTGAGGGCTTTCAGGATGGGCGAGAAGACGAGCACCATGCGGGCGTGCGGGTACAGGTGGCGGTAGCCATGGGCATATTTCGCGACGTGCTTGGGGAGGGCATCGCCCCAGCTGTAGAGGATAACGGTAGTGGGATCCGACGGGCTCGGTTCGTCGAGGCCCGTGGTTGGGCTGGTGGCCTTGTCGCTTTCCTGCACGTACACCTGTTTGCTCAACTTCTTGAAGTCGGCAAGCAGCGACGCCTGGCTGTGAGTCTCTCCCGACATTGCAACGGCGGTTGTGCTGTCAAGCCGAACTATCTGCCTGTAGTCGGTAGTATTTGTGGGTATAAGCCAACAAGGTGCCTAGTTCCTTTGCTGTGGTGTTTCGGGTCGAGTAGCGCCACCAGCAGACTTGGGAAGCGCACGTGGGATAATAATGACGGTTGCAGTTCCTGTCCCTGACATATTACATCTGCACATTCAGACCCGCTGACTCGGAACCCCTATACTTGGGGGTGGTATACTTGGGGGTGGTCTAACTCTAGCGAGGGTTTGCACGTTTTGCGAGCCGTTCCAAGTCCCTCAACGCGGCGGTTTGTTGGGGCGGCGCAGGCTACGGAACGGGGTTGCCGCTGTCTGTGCCGCCCGGAGCATGCCTGTTTTGGCACATCGACAGGGGCGAGTGTGCTGGAGTTGACGGGTAGGCTAGGGTCCCCTGGCACTGGCGACAGATGCCGGGCCGCTCTAGGAGCTGGGAATTGCATGTGAAAGACATAACAGCTAGAGGCAGGCTGGAACCTACTGGGCGAACCGGGCGAACCGGGCGCTCTCGTGGGTGGTGGGGGCACACATGCCATACTATGTAAGCTGAGAAGATACGGAATACTTCTTCCATTCGGCTTTACGCTTGGCGAAAGTCTAGTGCCAAATTGCCCAGCATTTGAGAAAGCCAGGAGCGATTGAGAGGGAGATTATTAATTCAGGGCACAGATATGCCGAGGTAAGTGGGGCTGCAGCATATAGCAACTAGGGGGGAATCCGAAATACACAACCTTGTCAGCTAGAGTTTTGAGACAGCAATCTTGCAGCGCTGGCCCAGCGTGTTGAGGGGTGGTATGAAGCCCAGACCGTATTAAAAACACCAAGGGTGTATGGTCTAGTGGTATGATTTTCGCTTCGCATTACGTCCTCCCTCTGTATGCCCTGTGAAAGGTCCCCGGTTCAATCCCGGGTGCATCCAAACGTTTTGTCTCTCCCGGTAATGTGAGGGCACATTGCTTTTTGCCTTTTCCACGTGAGCAGCCTCAAAGCTCCCGTCTCCACGGAGCACGAAATGCCCCAAATCCAAATCGGCTTGGTGGCCGAGTCCAACCCCGCCACACCACTGCGCAACCGCTCACTTCCGGCATCTCCACTCAGGAGCCGAGGCCCCGCAGACCAGCCAGTCGACCGGATACAGCGGCTTATTTACTCGCTCCCCCGAATGACGGCGTCGAGCTGAGTTTAGGTCACTACCAGAGTACGTGGCTTCAAGAGAGAAAGACACAAGAATGGCCCAACCAACCTCCTTGACACCCTTCTCATTGGCCAGCCGGGTCGAGAGGCTCGACTCGCACACGTACAAGGCGAACCTGGTTGACGGCTACTGCATTGGTACCGTGCCGAATGGAGGCTATGTGGCATCGTGTCTGGTGCGGGCGGCCAGCATCCACCTCGCAGCCCGCGGCCAGACCGACACCCTGACGGCTCACTTCGAGTTCCTCAACCGCACCGAGGTTGGGCCCGCCATTATCGTCGTCGACGACGTCAAGCCCGGCCGCCAGCTGTCGACGGTCCATGTCACCCTGTACCAGCATGCGCTCCTACCCCAGTACCCCTGGATCACGCCAGGAACCACGCGCAAGGAAATCGCCGCGTACATGACCATGGCCGACCTGCAAAAGGAGCAAGGCATCTCCTTGCCCACCGGCTGGACTTTGAGCCAGCCGTCTGCCCCGCCGCCCACGCCCGACTTTGCAGCCCTGCGCAGGGGCCACGACGCCCACTGGGAGCCTCTCGTCTTCCTGCCCGGCAATGTCCTCGCATACACGCGCTGCCTGCAAAACTGCGCCTACTACGCTCCGCGCGGCGGCCAGCCGTCCAAGAGCACCATAGACCTCTGGGTGCGCTTGGCCTCGGGCGAGCCCTTCACCAACGCATCCCTGGCCTACGTGGCCGACTGCTGGCCCTACGTCGTCGAGGCTTACCGGCCCTCCAAGGAAGACGCCGCCGCCGCCGCCGCCGCCGCCAACAGCCCTCTGCCCTTTCCGCAAGACTCGGTGTTCTGGTACCCCACAGTCGTGCTAAACCTCGACCAGAAGAAGACACTGCCCGCCAAGGGCCTAGATTGGCTTCGGCTTCGGGTCCAGACAAAGCAGATTAGGAACGGCAGGCTGGATCTCGAGGTCGTGGTGATGGATGCAGACGGAGAGCTGGTCGCTCTGAGCCAGCACGTCGCTCTGATTCTGGACAGCGCGAGGAACACCGGTGAGAGGAAGACAAAGACGGGCAAGGCCTCGGGGAGCCACATGTAAGGAGCGCACGAAATCAGAGCAGATATACGCAACACTGAAACCATGCACCAAGTGAGGTACTTTGAAGGAGATGCCCAGCTAACTACACCTACCTAGTGGAACCAATTTAATACAGGATGTCAAAGCTCTTTATCGCCCCCATTCTCCTCGGGCAGAGCAGGTTCTGGGTTGCCCTCCCCGTCAAGCTTCCTGGCCGGGTCGAGGCACAGGTAGTAGCGCGCGTAGTTGCCCTCGCCCCCGTACACGGTATCGTCCTGGATAATCTGGTCGACGAGCTGGAAGCCCAGTCGCGTGTACACGTTCAGCCCGCAGTTGAATGCCAGCATGAAGATGCCGATGCCCAGCTCCTCAGCCACCTGCATGCCCTTGCGCACCAGCACCGTCGCGATGCCCTTCCGCGCATTGTCGGGGTGTACGGCGAGAAAGTCGAGTTCTGGGCACCCGGGCTGTGTTAGTGAACGCTGCCTGATTACCTAGAAATCCAAAACGAGAATAAGGACTGGCGGACTTGCGCATGTAACCCTTGCACTCGTCCTTGAACTTTTCGAGCCGCTTGTCGACTGGGTCGTCGATCGGGTTCATATCCTTGCGCCAGTTCCACGTTGTGCTGGCGTGCAGCTCTCTGAGCCGGTCCCGCTCCTCGACCGACGCATCGGGGACCTGGGCGTCGAGCCACGCATTGGTGTGGGCTTCGGGCATCACCCAACGCGCGAACCCAACTAGCTTGCCGTTCTCGTCGACGGCTTTGGTCTCCCGGACCTCGGTGCGGTTTTTGAGCAGATTCCACGGGTACCGCCGCTTGCCCCGGGCGACAAGCTCCTCGAGTGGCACCCCGGGGTGCTCGATGCCCTCGGAGTCCTTCCAGGGCATCCATGTCAGCCGCCAGGTTATATCGTCCCAGAAGGCCGTCATGTTGTTGACAGCGATGGCCTCGGCGTCTCCGAGACGGCAGGGAACAACTCTATACGCCATGGCCGACTTCTACTAGAGTTGCAAAGGTGAGATCCGCTACGTACGGAGTCGAGGCTGTCTTAACGTTTTGTATCTTGTTGCTCGCCACAAGGTGTTGTTTGTGTCTAGTGGTCATTAGAGGCTGGTGGTCATTAAAGGCTGGTTGGCGTTCTCTACCAGGTGGTCTCGAGAAGATCGATTGTGCGGCACTGCCATGCGGGGATGCATATCTGTCCAGTCGGTTCAACAAGCACGTTCCGCACATAGCTATCGGCTAATAGAGGAGGATTATGGGGTTGCAGTGGCCACCCATGTCCAGCGGCAAAGGCTACCGATCCATCTATCGTGATTTTGGGGGCGGTCCGAATTTGAGAACATACGATATCTTGCAATGAAACCTATCCAAGCTAGAAAAGGGCTTGCATATTTTTTTTCGTATATTAATTACCGTGATGGTCGTTTTTAGGTTTTATTGGCATGATGACCTATGTGTTCCAGAGAAGCACATGCCGCCATCCTCCTAGAAAACACGAAGTAAGGTTCAGTCAAGATACAATTGGGTCGGCTTTGGTGATATATCTGCTAGTGGAAGTCCCTCCTTGAGCAGACGAAATAAAAAGAGCGAGTCTCCTGCAACTGTTAAAACGTCCCCAGTCACTGTGTGTACATAGGCCGCCAAGCGTTACAGCTCACCGCCCATGAAAATACCACATTTTACAGCTAAAATTACCACATTCGCTGGCAACCCCGCTCCAAACGCTAGCAACGCAGTTGCACCGCAATTGCACCTCGCCGCCGTCGCCAACGTCAACACACTTCCAAATACGGTAATTCTAGCTCAGGACCGTAGATTCGCTCAAATCGCTCAAATCTACAGTAAAAAGCGAAGCTGACTTCGTTAAATTCGCTTACATAACAGGGCCAAAAATAGATGATATATATACTCTATATACTCAAGAAGAAGCTCGAAGATCCATTTTCTATCGTTATAAATGAGGGCTTTGGCTACGGCCTGCCAACTACAGCCTCTGTATTCGGTGGTGGTGTTGTCCACTGTTGCCCTGGACTTCACGACTCTTCCACGTTGGCAGCCAAAATCAACCCTCGTTGCGCCGAAGTCCTTGACATAGTTAGAGCTTCGTAATTTAGCGGTATTGAAGAGCGCAGAAGCGGCGAATTCGCTCAAATCATCCATAAGATCATCGAGGGAGTCATATTTTGTACTAAAAAGTCGATGCCCGGGGGGGGGGTTCGTAAGTGGTGGTGGCGGGGGCGCATTTTCATCGGGCGCATTTTCATCGGGCGCATTTTCATCGGGCGGCGCATCGCTAAGATCGCCAAAGTCGCCAAGATCGCTTAGATCTTCAAGGGCGGCCATTTCTATCGCTAGTTAGTACTGCACGACGAAGTAAATAAGGAAGAAATGAAGCCATACCGATGCATCGATTGAATGCGGCGATGACGATGTCTTGGTGGTTGTTGGAGGTGGGTTGCAGTGGAAGGTGTAAGGTTCGGCGGCGTTGTGGTAAAAAGAGGTAAATTACTGCGCGGCAGAATCTTGGATGTACTGGTGGGGGGGGATGCCGGCAGGGTTAGGGTTATGTGTGGTGGAATACAGTGACTGGGGACGTTTTAACAGTTGCAGGAGACTCGCTCAATAAAAAACGGTTAGATTAATTACAACTAATAGGTAATTAGGTAAATCATTAATCATGTGTTACGTTCAGCTCATGCCTACAAGGTTTTCATTCTTACAATTATATGTTGAAAAGGGTACAGGGACATATAGGCACCCTGTCAGATGATAGGAGCCGTCTTTTCGAATCTCACAAATTGAAATCGAGGCTCTGCTACAGTTATGCCCACGCAGATGCTAGTTTGTGGCGTCCGGGACATTCCGCACCTGGGGTTTGATGCCGGCACAATTCCACCCCGCACCAAGTACGAGCTACTATGAAGGGAATAGTCCTGCTCTACCCTGTATGCTTACCTGCCTTAGCCTCGACGCTCAGCCCTTGAGCTGGCGCGCCCATTTTAGTATTCGTCCGCTTTTCGTCCCATTTTCGCTGCTTACTTGGACTTGTGAACCCCCAAGGAAGAAACCTCGTCGACTCTAAGCTGCGGGATTTATCGTTGGATTTTCGCCCCTCTTTGCTCCAAAGTCCAACCCACACTGCGTCGATTCTTCTGGTCCCAATGGACGTCGCCCTGCGCCTTGTTGGCGCTGCCACTTTGGCGACCCTGGGCTACAAGGCGCTCGACGCCGCGTCGCTTTGGCTGCTCCCGGCCGTCTCTCTGTCGCGGTACCAACATCGTGACGCTAATGGCAGGCCTTGTTCGTGGGCGCTCGTTACCGGTGCGTCTGCTGGCATTGGCCTCGGCTGCGCCCTCGAGCTCGCTTGTCGCGGCTTTAACGTCATCATCCTCGGCCACAAGCCGTCCGAGCTTGCTGAGGCCGAGGCCGCAATCCTAGCCGAAGCGCCCTCTGTCGAGGTCAGGGTCGTCGTGCTCGATGCCGTGCGCGCCACGGCCGCCGACATCGACGCGGCACTCGACTCGGTGGCCGACCTCGGGCTGGCCGTGCTCGTGAACAACATCGGTGGCATCGTCGTTCAGGACACCAGGCGCACGCTGCGGACGCTGGACGAGTTCACGGCGCAGGACGTCGACAACACCATCTCCCTCAGCGCCCGGTTCATGGCGCAGGTGACACGGCGTCTCATCCCTACCCTCAGACAGCACAGCGTCGGTGCGCGGTCGCTCATCATCAACCTCTCGTCCGCCGCACACCTCGGCTTGCCGCAGCTGGGGCCCTATTCCAGCTGCAAGGGCTTTGTTAACGCCATGACCGCGTCCTTGGCTAGAGACTTCCGCACCGCAGGCGTCGGTGTCGACGCCATCGCCATCATCCCGGGCGATGTTCGGTCGCAGAGCAATGATATAGCGCCCCCCAGCGCCCCCGACAGCCGCCAGTATGCCAAGGCCATCATGGAACGCGTCGGACGGGCCGTCGACAAGGACTGGCTCACTCTGTCGCCCTGGTGGCCGCATGCGGCCCAGATCTGGATGCTAAGGGTCGCCCTGCCCGAGTGGCTAGCCCGAAAGGCTCTCAGCGACGAATTTGCGAAAAAGAAACAGCAGGAGGCCTTGAAACATGCCAATAAGGACGACTGATTGCCGAGGGTGAAGGTGAAGGTGAAGGTGTCTTGGAGAGTAGATTATAGTCACTCGGCCGCCACCCACCTCGATTACAATAGTTATTCTCAATGGTAATATTGCTTTAAATTTATACTACCTTTTAAATATCTAGGTACTAACAACTACTCTACCATAGTTAAATAGCAACTTGAAGCCATAATATACGTGAGTATATTCTTCTCTAAGGACGCGTGATTTGTGAAATGTGGTTTATTTATCATTCCACCAACTAAGAACGGCCATGCACCAGCACCCACGTTTGGGCTACAACCCGGTGGCGTCATATTGTTTTGATTTTCTTCTCCATTTCACAACCGTACTATCCATGGTTGTGCCGAACCTTGACGGCTCCGGGCAGTTCAAAGTTCGGGTGTGTGGAAGGGAGCGGCCGGCATATGATGCGCCAGTTGTAGCCAACCGGATCCGAGAACCTTTCGTGTTGGACTTGTGCTTCCTGGGTATCGGCTTTATTTTTGGGGGCGTCTCCGGCTACTGTAAAATCGTCCCCATTCACTGTAGGTACATAGGCCCCCAAGTATTACAACTCACCGCCCAGGAAAATACCACATTTTACAGCCAAAATTACCACATTCGCTGGCTGCCCCGCCCTAAGCGCTGGTATCGCAACTATACCGCTATTGCACCTCACCGCCGTCGCCAACGTTCAACATACTTTCAAATACAGTAATTGAACCTCTCGACCGTGGATTCGCTCAAATCGTTCAAATCTGCAATGAAAAGCGAAGCTGACTTGGTTGAGTTCGCTTACATAACAGGGCCAAAAATGCAATAAAAAACTGCATACCTGCTTACAACTACTTTCAACTGCCCACAACTAACTGCCCTACTAATCCATGCCTTCCAATGCCCGGGCAGTAGGTCGCGGGACCCTTCCACTACGTGTAGGCTTTGCAACACGACTTTCGGCCACTGCAGAGGCTGCAGGGCCACGTGAAGCTCGTGATGTTGTGCCGCCCCAGCCACCGCGTTATGTGCCTTGGTATTGTGAAGCTCGTGATGCTGTGCCGCCCCAGCCACCGCGTTATGTGCCTTGGTATTGTGAAGCTCGTGATGCTGTGCCGCCCCGGCTACCGCGCTGTGTGCCCCGGGTTCCTGTGCCCCGGCTACCCCGAGCTACATTAAGGTTGTTGATAGTACGGCGAGGAGGTTCCACAAGTTAGCTGAGCTCATTAATATCGTCGTCGTCGTCGATAACGTCGTCGTCGATAACGTCGTCGTCGTTGATATCGTCCTCGTCGTCAAGAGTAACCCCCTCCCACTTTGAGGCATGCCGGCGAATAGAAGGCATAAGCCCGGACAGCCTACCCGGCCGCCCGGCCGGCTGTGTGGCTCTCAGCTGTGTAGTCGGGACCCTCGGTACGTTCGCTATCGATTAGGCCGAACGCATAACTGACTGATTTACCTAGGTGGTTCTTGTAGACGATTTAGAAGAGAGCCACGCCCTTATTGTTAGTACTATAAGTATTATCGTATAACTAGACCCAGGGGTAACGCTTCTACTGCTCCTCATACTAGGGAGGAGACTAAAAAAGGCCCCTCGGCTTGTTTGGGTCATCAACCGACCAAAGGACTTTATAATGGATATGTTTATCGTCAAGTAACTTCTTCGTGGCCTGGAATGGCGAGTATCCCTTGAGGGCAAGTCTGCAAATACGAGCGCGGTATTTTCGTAGGTGATTATGATCGAAATCCAGGTCCGGAAAAGCTCTTCGCAAGTCTTTGGAAATCTCCCTATTAGGGATAGCTGGCCGGTCGATATATACAGCAATAAATGCCTTGTGCTTAGGGCCAAATATGACTCTGTGCTTCAACTTGTTGAAGTCACTCTCAGGCGGATGATTTGCATGATTGGTATGCTCAGGAAGAAGCTCAAAGGTCCATTTCCGGTCGTTGGAAATAAGCGCTTTGGCTACGCCCTGCCAAGGGCAGTCCCTGTGATCGGTAGTGGTGATGTTCTTCGTTGCCTTGGACTTCACGACTTTCCCTCGGTAACAGCCAAAATCCACTCTTATTGGCCCGAAGTCTTTGGCATAATTGGCGCCGCGTAGCTTGCATACGCCAAAGCGTATAGAAGTAGCCCATTCGTGCAAATCGATGACTAGATCGTCGAGGGTGTCGTATTTGAAGGTAAAAAGCTTGTGGTTGGCCGGCGGGTTGGAAAGTGGTGATGGTGGCGGCGCGGGCGGCCCGGCGATGATTTTGGTGGTGGTTTGGTTGAAAAGAAAGGTTGCAGTGGAAAAGGAAGGCTATAGTGGAATACGAAGGTTGCAGTGGAAAAGGATGGTTATAGTGGAATACGAAGGTTGCAGCGTAATTAGGTTAGGTTGTGGTAAAAGTGGTAAATTACGTGGCGGCAGAATTTTAGATGCACCGATTTTATTGGGTTAGGGTTTGGTATGGAGGCATACAGCGGATGGGGACGATTTTACAGTAGCCGGAGACGCCCCCTGATTTTTCGTGACCAACTTTGATCTATGCATAAGTGCGCAAATAAAAAAGACTTTAAATTTAAGATTAAGGTCGCTAATTAGGCGTACAAAAATCGTATAAGAAGTCAAAGCCGCCGTCAGAGTCAAAGTCGCCGTCAAGGTCAAAGGTTGGGTCCATGTTCATTCAGGCAAGAAAGTCCTTTGCACTAAACCAACCGTATTCAGGACAGAATCATTCAGACGAGGTAATTAAATGAAGTTACTAAAATAAAGGTATTTTGAGGAGGGAGTCATCTGCAATATTAGTAGTTACAGGCAGGGGTATCTATGGATTGATTATCATTACCCAGTATACGATAGGGGTCTTTAAAAGGGGGCTTGGTATGGAAACATGACGAGGAAATCAGTGAGTGATGGTCGCAACCCTCTGCACCCACGTGCGAGCCTGGTCCTCCTGGACTATCTTCTCAAAGATCCACCTCCCAACGTCCTCACGCGAGATGGTATAGCCGATGGCCTTGGTCTCGACCTTTTTCTCCTGTGGGATCTCCATGCCCGCGCGCACCTTGCTGTCGCCGGCGGTCACTCGCCCGTTGGTCAGCCCGCTCGCGCGGATAACGGTCCAGTCCTCGCCGCTGGCGATCATCAGGTCCTCCATGGCCTTCTTGTCGCGGTGGGGGATGGCCAGCACGACCTTGTACAGCGGCACCATGAGCAGCGGCAGGTCGCGGGCGAAGGAGCTCAGGCCGGTGGAGCTGATGCCGACGATGCGCGGGCGCCCGGCGACGCCGTCGGCGCGCAGGGCCTGGATTGCCTGCAGCAGCACGTCCATGCCCTTCCGGCAGACGTCCGAGTCGGCGTTGCGCAGCCCCTGCAGCGACGGCTCGTTGCCAATGGACGAGATGACGTAGTCGACCATGGCGCCGGGGCGCGACGGGTGGGCAAGACACCGCCGCACGGCGTCGCCGCCGTGGGCGTTGCCCTCGTCGATGCGCACCGCTTCGCGCTCTTTCGGCGAGAGCTTGTCGGTCAGCTTGTAGGGCACTCGGCACAGGGCGACGCATGCGTATCCGGCTTCGATGCAGCGGCGCAACGCCGCGAAGCCACATCCGCCTGTTGCGCCGAGGAAAAAGACGGCCTTCGGCGCAGAGGACTCTGGGGCAGACATGGCGAGTTGGGGACGAGACGTTGGATGAGAATAATTATGTTGAATTGGGTGCAGATGCTTGGGGGTTTTGGCAATTAATTGAGAATGTTATGAGATTGATTAGCGACTTTGGTTTGAGGAGCTGGCAAATGTGATGGCTTTTGTCTCAAATATCGCTCAGCTGCATCCGGGTGTTGTCTTTATCAATAGAGGTGGCATTTGGCGACGCCATGGCTTCGACCCAGCGACGTGTTCGCTCAAATGCCGCTATTCAGGTACTTGAGTCTTGCGCGCACGCAAAGCGCGGGAGAGCTTCGCCGTCCAAATCTGTGGTGGCTTGGCTCCATCTCATGCGTGTCTGACGCGTCACAAGTCCGCAACTCGCGGTGCATCGCGGGGGAATTTTGGATCCGTCGTGTGGTGGAGGTGTCTTGTTGCTGCCAACTGCCCAACATCAGTTCAGGTAGAAATTGCTCCGAGCTTCCACCAGCACGTGCAATTGTCCCCAAAGAGGCTAGGTAGCGAGGCCTGGGAAGGGGGCGCTGCAAGCCCCAAGACACGGCGTGGAGGGAATTTTGGCCGAGTTACCCCGCCTCTACCAACACTCCGATAGCTTACAGCATGTGTGGTGCCCAACCTTAAATGATCCCGTGGCCTACGTGGCTTGCTTCACATTAATTACGTCTGCAATTGCGTTTTGAAATTGGTCGTTTTCACGGGAAATACGGCGAAGCCAGAGCCTGCCACAAACGATGGCACGATGCAATCTGTGTGTGCTTAGTGCAAAAATTCCAATTTCCGCCTGGAGTCGGGAGATATTGACTGCCCACCTGCCCAGGCAATGCAACCGAGGTACCTAGGTAGGTAGGTAGGTAGCTAATTACACTCAAATCCCGTCCGTCCGTCTAAACAGTTCCATCTAACAACAAAGAAATGCCAGGTTGTCGCAGCGACGAGACAGGGCGCAGAGGAGGAAAAGCATGCAAAGGAGGAAAAGTATGCAAAGGTCTTGAAACGTCAAGTGTCGCCCTTCATTATCGGCACAGTCCCTTAGCAGGACTCCGTGAATGGCAGACTCCTAGCATCTCAGCTCCCTCGCTCCCTCGCTCCCTCACTCCCTCGCTCCCTCTTTACCGTGTCTGTCTTTGGCTGGCGACGGCCGCCTAGTTGCGGCTGTGGGAGGAGCGGCTGCCGACGGAGCTGATACTCATGCTCGGCGTGATGCTGCAGGCGTCGCTGTCGCGCGCGCGGTCGCGGACCTGGTTGCGCACAAAGTCGCTGAACCAGCTGGCCTGCTCGACGATGCGAAACCCGCTGGCCGTCGTGTTGGCGCTGCTGCCCGCCACGCTCGGCGCCGCCGCCCGGGGGGGAGGTGCGTCGCGTGCCGAGGCGTAGCTGCCACCGCCCTGGCTGCCCGAGTACGAGCTGCCGGCGGGGCTGGGCCGGTGCGTACTGGCCGACCCCTGGCTGGCTTGGCTGCCGGCGCCCAGCACGGAACGCGGCGCGGCGACGCTACGATAGCCCGAGTCGGCGTACGAGCGCGCATAGGTCGAGACTGGGGTCGGCGGCGGCGGGCGGGCTCCCGGGCCGCTGCTGCTGCCGGTCGTGCTTGGGGGGGCGCGGCTGGCGACGAAGCCCGAGTAGGCCGAGCGGGACGAGGCGGCGTCGGCGACGGGGGCCAGGCCGGGCGTGGTGCACTTGACGCAGCCCCCGTTGACCACGACTTGCACGCCCGGCGGCAGCGCCATGTAGCCGCTGCCCTGTGCCATCAGCAGCACGTCCGTCTCGCGGCCCGTCGGGTTCCCCTTGATGAAGGTGATGGCCTCGCAGTCCTGGAAGTCGACGTCGCGCTCGAAGTCCTCGGCCGCGATCCGGTGCTGGTAGCCGCACTCGTCCCTCGACGAGAAGATGGCGTCGGTCCGGTCGGACCAGCGCCGTCTCTGGGTGGGGGGGCTGCGCGTTAGCCGTGTTGGTCACAGCCCCAATGGGGTTTGGGGTTTGGGATTCAATTAAGTCTGCTTACCAGCTCCTGCGTCATGGACATGTTCGCCTCAAACTGCTGCGACGAGAAAGACATGGTGGCTGATTGTGTGTGAATCTGGCCGAATGTGTCGTGTGTTGCAAGTGGTTTTGGTTTGGGGTTGGAAAGATGATTCGAAGCTGAGCTGAAGCACAGGTCGACTGTAAAACACGGATGGCAAAAGCCGTCTTGGTTGTCAATGCTGGATCGTTGGCTTTTGCCTTGGTTGTCAAGGCTGGATCGTTGGCAGTGGGATGTTCGCTTGCTTTCATGCTTTCCACTCTGCCGGGACAGTTGCTCTTATTTATCTGCCTGCAATCGAGACAGGCTCATGTTCGTGCCCGACGGGAGCGGCGTCAGAATGCAAGATCATCACATCGTGGCGCCTATCCGGATGTCCGGTTCTGGTGCCGGCCAGGAGAGACGACCCCGTGGCCAATCGGCTGGTCCAACAGGCCGACTTGGAGTTTGTCGTCGAGGTCGCGTGGACCCCGGCAGCAGTTGGGAGCCAGATGGGCCCAGTGCCCAAGGTGTGCCCAAATGTGGCAACCGAGGTCTGGTTTGGCGAGCGGTGACGTGTCTGGACCCGAGGCCGCCCGACGCTTGCTGGCACGCCTGCTAGTGCCCTGGACACTGGGGCTGCTGGCACGTCTGCTAGTGACCTGGACACTGGGGCTGCTGGCACGTCTGCTAGCGACCTGGACACTGGGGCTGGGGATGAGGCGGTCAGCCCATAGGCCGGGCAGGGGTGACTCGTTCTTGGAAGCGTTGAGCGGTCTGCGCGCGGCAGGACGCTATTGGCCGCCTAGGCCGGAGACTTGGTGGACTTGGTTTCCAACCAGATCTGTGACAAAAGTGGGCCAACCGACATGAATACCGCGCTTGCCTCAGCTCACAGTCGCAAAATCATCACAGCTACCTGCTAAGGAAGATTGTGAGTGCACCTAATCAGTTGCCAACCTCTAATCAGTTGCCAACCTCTAATCAGTTGCCAGCCTCTAATCAGTTGCCAACCTCTAATCAGCTGCCAACCTCTAATCAGTTGCCAACCTCCATGTCACAGTGACGACGACGGAACAAGCGGGACACATCAAGCGTGTAGTCTGATGGCCTCGGTCCAAGAAAGGGACAGGTTCTTACGTAAAAGAATAGAAACACGCTGAGCACAGGAGGGGAGCCATAGGATAGAAAAATCAGACAACTCATCCAGCCCAACGAAACCGAGTTCAACTCTGACACAATCCAGCCAACCAACTCGCTGCATAATCGACTCGCTGCACCAGGCCGTCAACGCATTTCCGTTTTCCCATTACTCAATACTCATAACCCTACCTGATCAAACGCGTGATAACAGATCAACGAATGAGTTAATCGCCCAGTCGCCAGAGACAAGCATGAACAAAGAGAGTCGGACACAAAACGAAACGGACATGGAGACGCAACTAAATACAGCAGCCTAGAAAGCCCTTCCGCCGCCGGCCAGAGCCGTCAAGTTCTTGTTGCCAGGCACAATGATGGGTTTCTCCTTGGGCAGGGCGTCGATGACCGAGTCGGGCAGGTGCAGGTGGTCCTTGATGACCTGCTTCGGGGTGAGGGCCAACCACTGAGCGACGCTAATGTCGCTAAACTTGGGAGCCTGTAGCACTTCGAGGACGATGAGGTCCTCGTCGCCCGTGTTCTCAATGTAGTGGCTGGAGCCTGCGGGTACGTAGCCGACGCCTCCGGCCGTGTAGTCGAAAGTGCGCGAGGCGGCGGGCGCGACGTAGACGGTGATGCGGCCGGATCCCTGCAGGAAGAAGGACCACTCGTCCGAGGTGGTGTGCCAGTGCATCTCGCGCATGGCGCCGGGCTGGATGGTGATCAGGGCCGTCGAGAACATCTTGGCCACGGGGAAGGTCTGGGGGTCGAGAATCTTGACGGACCCGCCGGGGGTGGTGAAGGGCTGCTGCAGCGACCAGTGGTAGGTGAAGGAGTTGTTACCCGTGAGGGCGCCGGCTGACGACGTCGTGTTCTGCTGCTGCACGTCCTCGGGGGCGGGGGTGCCGTTGAAGATGTAGAGCTGGCCCTTGGGCAGGTCGTCAAAGGCCGACACGTCGGCGCGCAGGTCCTTGCTCAGCACCTCGAGCGGGTTGCGCTGGAACATTTCGGAGACGAGGAAGGTGCCGTCTTCGGAGAAGCCGCCGTCGTCGAAGACGAGCAGGAACTCGGCACCCTCCCCAAAGGCCTGGATGCTGTGCGGCACCCCGGCGGGGAAGAACCAAACATCGCCGGCGCAGACGTCGTCGATGAAGCTGCGCCCCTCGTCGTCGACGGCGGCCACGCGCGTGCAGCCCTTGAGCATGAGTGCCCACTCCGACGCCGTGTGCCAATGGAGCTCACGGTATGAGTTCGGGGCGAGCCGCATGTCAACTCCAGCCATGGCTTTGGCCGCTGGCAGCACGTCCGTGTTCTGCTGCCGTGCCCACCCCGAGTTGGTGCCCGTGCCGGGCCTGTTGTGGGAGAGACCCATGGGCCACATGAGGCTAGGCACGCTGCCACCGTCCGTCCCGGGCGGCGTGAACAGGTCCGGATTCAGCTTCTCGTAGTCAAAGGTGCCTATTCAGGGTAAGTGCTTGACTTTCCGGGTCGGGGTAAGAACACAAGGTTTTGACTCACGAGGTCCCGGGTCCGTGGATCCCTCGGTCCCACGGATAGGCTGGGGCGGGTTGGCACTGTCAAAGTCAAGGTACAGGCCCAGATTGGCGCCGGCCTCCTGCCCGTTGACAAGCTCCGGGTTCGGCACCACAGCCGGATCCGACTTGCCCGGGTCTGGAAGCGGTGCATTGCCACCCAGGAGGCTAGAGTCGCCGCGGAGCGATCCACTGGCAGCCGTCACCGTCGGCATGGGTGGCTTCACGCCACCAACTGGCCCCGAGTTCTCTCCATAGTCGCCGATCCTAGCAATGAGACGGAGCGGGTCAGTGACACGGACACGAATGACGGCATTGCATGGCACTGTGCTTTGGGGATCAAACTCACTGCGGAGTCGGCAGTGCCAGGACAACCGAGTGCCGATGGACAATCGCCAACGAGACGATGACGTGTACGAGATGATGCATTGTCAAGCCTGGTACGTACTCGTCTTCACCTTGTTACCCGGTACTGGTCTGTCTGGCTGGCCTGGCCTGGTCTGGCTGGCCTGGTCTGGGGTAGTAGATGAGTGTGATGCAACGTGGTCTGTCTTCTCAAGACGCCCTGTGGCCGCCTCTTATATACCAAACTCTGACCGTCCACGCTCCACACTGCACAGCAAGTCCGTAAACGATGACGGGGACTTTGGCAGTGCGGCACGACTGCCCCATCGAGTGTGGCTAGCGAGGAGAGCATTGGGCCGAGACGGATGGAGAATAAAGGCGCACATGGTGTCCTGGCCTGGCGTATTGTGCGGCTTGGAAGCCACGGCTTGGAAGCCACAAGGCATGATCTACGCGCACTCACCTCGGTCAGTTGTTGAGTGGTTGCCTGGGGTGGTACTGGCTAGACTGTGTTGCTCTGCTCCAACACGGTCCACTCTGGCAGTCGCTAAGGTGGTGCGTGACACCATGTGCATGTCATTGAGGTTGCAGCACTCTAACTCTCTGACCCAGTCTCAATGTCGACAGAGTGCAGCGTGTGACGGCATATGTACGTCTCTATTGGCTCGTCAGATTCGCACCCGAATACACGTCCAGAGAGCCCGTCTTGGGCAGGCAGTGAGTGTGGTCCATGTCAGCAAATCGGCAGTGCCAGAAATCGACAGTACCAGAAATCGGCAGTGCCAAAAATCGAAAGTGCCCAAAACCCACGGTCCATGCTACCCACCCACCCACCGGGTCACAAAGCAACAATATCGCCAAAGCATGTGCAGAATTGCTAAGATATCTACAGATATTCCGCTGCGCCGTTGGACGCAGACCTTGGACATCGTCACGCAAGGCGGCCAAGCAGCATCTTCTCCGTCTTGGCCGCCATGGGCCGGTCTAGAACGAGAACTTGAAGCTGACTGCCCGCTAGCCAGCCGTAGAGTAATATCATGTTAGTAGTAGGATGTATGTGCCTCGTAGCTTCCTTGTTTTGCTGAGCATGATAACACACTCTCGTGTCTCTCCGCTCCACGAGCTCATCCAGCCGCAAAACATTGCGATTGGATTATCGATCCGGAAGTGCTTTCTGCCGGAACCACGCAATCATACCGTGGTTCCCCATAGCCGCCGGCCCAGTTGGCAATTGCGACCCCATCTGTGAGCAAAATCCCGGGGTAAGCTCGCAACTAACTCGGAGATACCAATGCGGGCAAGACGGCGACTCGGGTGAATGCGACGTTGCCCGGCAGGGATCGGGGCCCCTTCCGAACACGGTAACTAAGGTACCTGCCTAAGTAGGTTCCTGGTAGGTGATCGACATACCGGCAGGTCAACATTATCTAAATAAGTGGTTGATTCGGAAGAAAAAGGGAAAGTCGATGCCTGACGCTAGTCACAATCCACATTCCATATCGGGATTCCGGGATGCGGCTCGCTGCCGGTGGCCGGCGCATCACATGCCGGTCCTCCGTCTCCACACCCGAAGATGCAGGTTAATAATAGTAGCAGATGGGAATCAGCGGTGCCTATTGTCCTTTGTCCAAATATCTCAGCTCCCCAATTTGGCTACAATCTCGGCCGTATTGCCTTTCCTTGTAGCCGCCCCCGATTTGTCACGTCTCTTGTGAAATTCTCTCAAACACCTCATGCGTGGTGTTGCTATGTGTATTGTTTTGCTTGCCTGCTAGTAGGTTATCTACCTGGGATGTTACCTTAGGTGTTGGGGTTTTTATTATTGTCGACATCTTTTTTTTGAGCTGACTGCCTTATATCCAACCAAAAGGATCCAAGTCCCAAGGTAGACGAGATACCTCGTCATGATTTGAATTGTACCGAAGATGGCTAATATACTTACCTAATACCCACTAGGTAAAGTTGTTTCGCTCTCGAGCAAAGTTCTAGAGAAGAAAGATTCGGACTGGTGCATGTTCCCCCGGAGCTCCTCGGGATCGTGACTGTAATTACCTTAGGTAATAGGATGGCGTGTAATGACTTCCATGCTGGGCTAGAAAGATTAGATCACGAACACGAGAATATGCATCAATCCTTACTCGCAGTTTTAATTAACAGCAAAATGCCACGCATCGAGGACTTCTGCTCTCTGGTACGAGTCTAGAAGTAACTTTGACTCGCTGGGAGTAGTTCCCTCATTTCCCCCTCCTAATTCGTAGTCCATTGAGACGAGATTAAGGGCCCGATTGGGTATAGAAACTCTCACAAGCTGGGGGCCTCACCGTCCGCATCATGATTATAGGCAGGTGATTGTTTCCGGTCAGCAAGGTGAGCAGTGAGGTGAGATAGGGTGAGATAAAGTGAGTACCGGTAGAGTCATGGAACTCATCAAATGATCAAGCTTTCCCGCCAAGAGCGGGAAGGATGCCGAACCCCACTGTGCGTCCCACTCAGGCCATGCGACGCAGTGGCAGCGGAGCCCCCAGCCGCTGGCCCGCTGCAGCTGGACCCTACCGAGCTCCCAGGGGGCAGCCCACCTGAAAATGTGCGGTGGTACATACATTAGGTAGGAGCGGAGTAGGCATAGTGCGGGGCAATCTGGAAATTTTCCCAACAGCCCAGGGCGCCCGAAGGGACCACTCGAGCACTCCCGTCGCACCAATTTTGATGCTTACCTTGGACCCAAGTTTGAGGCTAGCTGCCATCATCAGTATATTCACCGGTAATTCGCACGCCAAACTCGCCATGATGGACATTGACAGCGGTGCCGATGTCGACTTTGCCCGTGGCACCCACAACTTCCTGCAGTGGTTCCAGGCCCTGCCTGGCGCCACCTTTCACAAGGACATCAAAATCGTCGACATGAGGCACCAGGATGCAGGCCGCGGTATCGGTGCGTTATTCGTCTCCTCTCGTCGCGTCTTTCTTTATCCTTTTTATCATCTTTTTATATCTTTTTATTTTTATTTTTATCTTGCTTCCCTTGTCCCCGAGCCAGTTTCCCCGTCCCGGGTCGTGCGTGACTAGACAACCACCTGTTCGTCCAATATTGCTACTCGCCCTCACGCCTCCATCAGCCACGCATGAATCCATGACCCATCCTCAACACTGCAGCCCCACCTACCTATGCGCTTGCGCATGTCGACTTGGTTGAATGCTGAAACGTTCCAGTTGCTGCCGCCGACATCGAGCCGGACACGGTTCTGTTTACTATACCCCGCGCGAGCATCGTCTGCGCTGCCACCTCAGAACTGGCGGCCAAGATCCCTCACATCTTCAACGCCGCCCCCGACAATGGAGCCGGCTCTGCCCACATGGACGACTCTGACGAGGAGGACGCCGGCCCCGAGCCGCACGACCCGTGGACCCTGCTGATCCTCGTTCTCGTATACGAGCACTTGCAGGGCCACGCGTCTCGCTGGAAGCCCTATCTCGACATACTGCCTTTGGAGTTCGACACGCCCATGTTCTGGCAGCCCGCCGAGCTCGCCGAGCTGCAGGCCAGCGCCGTCGTCGCCAAGGTCGGCAGGGGCGAGGCGGACCGCATGATTCGGGAAAAGATCCTCCCCGTCGTACGCGCCCATGAGCACGTCTTCTTCCCCGCCAATGGCGTCACGCTCGCCGATGAGCAGCTGCTTCACCTCGCCCACCGCATGGGCAGCGCCATCATGGCCTACGCCTTTGACCTCGAGAAAGAAGACGACCAAGACGACCAAGAGGGCGAGGACGGCGACGAGTGGATCGAGGACCGTGACGGCAAGACCATGATGGGCATGGTGCCCATGGCCGACCTGCTCAACGCCGACGCCGAGTTCAACACGCACATCAACCACGGCGAGGACTCCCTGACCGCCACGTCTCTGCGACCCATCCGCGCTGGCGACGAGATCCTGAACTACTACGGCCCCTTGTCCAGCGGCGAGCTTCTGCGCCGCTACGGCTATGTGACCCCCAAGCACACCCGCTACGACGTGGTCGAGCTACCCTGGCCGCTCGTCGAGAGCCGTCTCGAGGAGCGCCTCCTCACGCGCCAGCAGCAGCCCGACTGGGAGGAGAAGATGGCGGAACAACTCACCGAAGCCGGTGAGGACTTTGAGGACAGCTTTGTGCTCGAGCGCGCCACCGGCGAGCCTGATACAACAGGCCAGCTCCACGACGACGCCGTATTCGACGGCCTTCCCGACGAGCTAGGCGAGCAGGTCAAGGCTTTCCTCAAGGCGGCCAAGAAGGTCAGCAGCAACAGCCTGGTAGTCGAAGCCCTCGCCGACAAGGACACGCGCAACGAAATCTACCTCGACAGCGTCCTCAAGGCACTCGGCGACAGAGAGGGCCAGTATCTAACGAGGCTGGAGGACGATGCTCGGCTGATCCGCGCGGCGGATAGGCCCCACGGACGAGAGCAGATGGCCATCTGGGTTCGGAGGGGCGAGAAACAACTCCTTCGGGAAGCCCAGGTATGGGTTGCGGGGAAGCTGGACGGGCTCCGGAATAAGGCCTCGGACCGGAGACCAGGGGCTAATGAGGGCGCGCCGTCTACCAAGCGGCGGCGGCCTTGAGGTTGTATACATATGCCATAGACATGATCGTAGACATCTCGACTCGGGTTGTGTTGTGTAGACTGGTGGGAACCGCTGCGAACTTGCGTCTTGGCTGCCTGCTCTGCGCGGGGACATTCGCACGAGGCTGCATGTGTCTTTGCATGCAGCGGAGCTCTCCAGACTGGTTGTCCTAGCGTGGTCTCTTCAGACTGGTTGTCCTAGCGTGGTCCTGCCATCCGGAAATGCCTCGAGAAAGATACTGTTTCACCTCAGGCCTGCTCGTGCCGAGATCACCGCGGGGTTTGTCAGTCGTCGGATCGCTGTACCCAGGTATGACGGCGCTCACTCCATCGCCGGCATGGTGGGATGTTGGTAATTGCAAACCTGCTGTCGGCGTCCAAATTTAGGCCCAGTTATTTAGGTCCTGTACGGATACATACAAATCCAATAACACGCTTGCCTCAACGCCACTTATCAAAACATTTATCTCCGATTCCCGAACGCCAAAAAAAAAAAAAAAAGTTCCATCGCAATATCTCTCAGGCAATGTGTTTAAACCGACAGGCCGTGAGGAGGTTAGCCGACTTTGATCTCAAGATGTCCACGCGCAGCAGGTCAGAGACCGCCGACTTCGAAGGCACTCTTTTTGCCACCGTCTTCTAAGGCAGTTTCATCCGCAAAATCAGGTTCACTGTACCTCTGAACTTGCAAGGTTACGTTGCGGACGGAGGTGGAGGTTCTTGGTCCACCGCCTCCTTTTTCTTCTTCCGCACCAGGCCAGCGCCTAGGACATTCACTGCTCCCGAGTTGACGGGGCGCGCACTGAGTGGTGTTGCCGATGCCAATGCGCCATTGTTTGTGCCCATCTTTCTCCTTACAAGCCCAGTCAAATTCGTGACTTGGTTATCGTTGCGGTCCCCGGCAAGGCTCTGTGACAGAATACGCTTGCCAGTCACTTGGTATCCCCATCTGGCGCCCATAGACGCCTCGCTAATCCATCGCTGCGTAGCGCGAGTACCTTTATCAAGTGTTGAAAAGTCAAGGTTCAGTAGTAGCTCGGTTATACGCTTGAAGTCAGACTCGTCCACTATTTTATCGCCACGGCCCTCAACCGGCCAGTGGTAGTAGGCGGTTGTCGTGGGACGATTATTGAGGTAACTACGCTGCTGGGTTTTAACTCTGGGTGTGCGGGGAATGATTCGCCCACTGAGAACTTTCTTGTTCCTCTTCCTTTCTGGGGGGTTGATGGGCTTTGGGGGTGTTGAAGTTCCGGATTTGAGCGGGCTCGACTGCGGCGTGCGGGCCAAGATGTCGACCCGCCGGCGAGGTGGAGTGGATGGTGGCAGGGAAGGGGCGGAGGTATCGAACGAAGAGTTGGGAGTAACGATCTGAGGTGCAGGCGCAGATGCAGACGCAGATATCGATACTGGTACGTCCTGCGCTGTCCCACCGCTCCCCTTGGGATCAAACACAACCCAGATGAACCCGGTCAGTCGGCCGCTGGAACACTCCTGTCGGAAAGCCATCATTTCCCAAAACTGGTCCAGAGTTTTGACGCTTTTCCATGACCCCATATCCTCTTTCCACTTGGACGACTCGCCATCGAGCTCGTCACGGAATCGCGATTTCGGGTCATCGGGATAGCGAGGAATCAGACACCGCAGCGGTACCCAGTCGAACTCGGAAGAGTAGTGCGATATCCTCTCCATTGGGTGGCCTATGGCCCAATTGGCCGCCGCCGTCGCCGTTCGCGGGATGAAGGCGCGCATCTCGGTCTCTTCTAGCCCGGGAACAATGAGATACCCCTTTGCGCCCCCCCAGCGCTCCCTCCCCGGGCCCTCCAGCAAAGGGTTCAACACCCTACACCACCACCGGACAAGGCCCCAGTCGTCAAGGACGTGCTTCCCCTTGTTTTCAACGCTGCCAGGGAACAGGTATTGCGCCTGGGCGCGGGCGAAGAGATTGACGACCAACTGCGCCGTCTTACGCCGCCGATGTTCGATGAGGTATGTTAGGAAGGCCGAGCTGATCTCACGGACGGGAGAGGGGGTGCCTTTTGCAAGGTTGAGCGACTGGAGGTAGCCAGTCGAGTCGGCTTTGGATACGAAGAAGGTGGTCTGGTAGGCAGTAGTGAAGATAAAGATCTCGATGGCGAAGACCAGTACGGACTCTTTTGTGCCCGACTCCTTGAGCTCGTCGCCGCCGGGGGATGACCGCTTCGACTTGGACTGGGACGAGGGCTGGTTTTGGACGTCGATGGAGACAGCGAGGAAGTGGCTCTCGCTGTACGTCTTATCGGGTCGCTCGCCAGGCGGGGCAGAGCATAGCGGGTCGGTCTTTGTCGGTGGCGTCGAGAGGTGGTGTACGCCAAACTTGTAGCCGTGGGGGAGGACGGCGGCGAGGCGGTCGAGGAGTGCACTGCTGCCACCGCTATTGGCGCTGTGGCTGCCCTTGACGTCCCGTTTCACGGCTGAAGAGGTGAGAAACAACATTGCGGCGGCCCAACCTTGTAGCTGGTGCCGAAATTGGCATTGCAAGTGTAATGACCACCCACCGCACTGCGCAATCAATGTCGAGCCGGTACCCCGTACTCGTAGTGCTCGACAGTGTCGCGTTGGGGCGGCTGTCGACGTCGTGTAATGGACGAGTGGTAATCTCGGAGATGCCAAGACGCAGGCACAGCAGCTCTCTCCCTGTTCTGTCCTGTCCTATCTGTCCTGTCTGTCCTGTCCTGTCCTGTCTGTCCTGTCCTGTCTGTCCTGTCCTGTCCTGTGTTGTACAGTGCTGGGGGAGAAAGGATGGAGCGGAGCAGCGATTGGCCGTCCAAGGTTAGGTTTCCGAGTCCTTCGTAGCTTCCCACAAATCTCTGCTGGCAGCGGCTGGGTGCTGAGTAAAGTGGAGCCCTTCCATCCAGTTGGTCATTCAATTCCGTCCAGTCTCCACTTGGGACCCCTGTGGCTGCAGCCCACAGCGTCTGAGTAGCTGGCAGCGCCGGAGATTCTCCGGTTATTTTGGGGGCTTGAATCTGGGGCAGGCCAGTGCGGACGCGAAAAATTCCCAGCGCAGCGATTTAGAGCTGGACCTGCTGAAGGGCTCGCGCTGATCGAACACGGTCAATCTCGGTGCCGGGCAACACAACATGGCGCTCAACTCGTCACGGTCTGCCTTGTCATCGACGTGCAAGGTGTTGCGGCAATTTCGGCGCGCGCCGCACCCTCTCCCGCGGCCTGTCGCTATCGTCGCGGCCGTGGCTGCTTCTGCCCGCTCCTTCTCGTCATCGCCCGCCTGCCGTTCAGACCCGTTTGAAGCCCTCGAGACGCCCAATGCCACGCCGTCCGAGCTACACGGGAAACCGGCCCAGCCCGGGCAAGTCGAAGAAAAGCCGCGATGGTCTTTCACCCCCCCAAAGATGTCCATTTTCCCCTTCCCCTTGTCCCGAGCCAAAGACCCTCGGCGAAAGATATGGAGCAGCAATGAGGACCCGGAAAAGCTCGACGCCATGTACAACCGCTTTCTCGGGCCCAGTGGCGAGCTGATGCTGCCCGACGAGATCAAATGGCTGGCAGTCACCCACAAGAGCTTCGACTTTGGCCGGAGAGGCTTCAACACGAAGTTGGCATATTACGGTACGTCCGCATTTCACGGCATCTACGCGCCATTTGGCGGAAGAGAAACCCGGCAGGTATCAGACGCCGAGGGGAACCCGAGCAAAGATGGGGTCCCAAGTCCAGAGGCAGATGCTGAGCGAGGCTTGGCGTGTGATAAGAGAAATGGTCAAGACATCAGTCGCTAACTAGGTTCCTTCCCTTGCTCTAGGCCGTCAAATTCTCGCCCTCGAGACTACCCGCCTCATCCTTCTTGCTCCATCCCCATACGCCCGAACCGGGAACGAGGACTCTCACGGTCGCGAACCCTTCCAACACCCAGCACTACAAAATATCGATAAGCTCATAGACACACCGCCCCAAAGCGTCATATACAAGCAAAAGATGGCCAACCTGGCCAAGGATATTGGCCTGTTAGAAGTCATCCGGTGGAAGCCGAGAATGGTACGTGCTCGAGTCCCAGACAGCTGTGCAGGAGCTAGGTTGTAGCGCAGTCTTGCTAACCAAGCCTTTCTTGTTCGGATCGCAGCCCGAGAATCTCCCCGCCTCCGGGCAGACCGTCGTCGCGAACACGGCTCTATTCGCCATTGTCGGCGCCATCTCGTTACACAACGGTGCAGATGTTGCGCAAAGGGTGGTCAGAGACAAGATCCTGCGGAGGCTAGGAGTGTAAAGAAAGGTGTAACAATAATTAGACCCGCTGCAATGCCTGTATAAACGTGTACCATATTGGTGGCTATAGAGGCTGGCACAATGCGACCAACATATCATTCCACCCCTAGTCAATCCAACCCGTCTTCGGCCTGTCGTCTCTACTAATAGTCGACTCCTTCGCTTACGAATTGGCGGCAGCACAGACAGCAAACACAGACACGAGCTAGACGCCGTCCGGTGTGACCGCACAATCGCTAACTGGGAACACTCAGACTTTCGCGACACGGCCCAGGCCACGCGGCTGTTGTGATGGAGGCGTTCGAGCTCGTCACCAGCCATCGGCAAACCAAATATCCACCACCTTCATGGATCGCTTGCCCACGACCATCCAGCCGTCACCCTCACGAAACTGCTTGCCCCTGCCCATGACGAACCGGCGGTAGTGGTCGGCATCGGCAGAGGCGCCAACGAGCATGCAACGGCCACCCGCCCAGTCAGCGGGCGGCATCCGCTCATTGTACATGAAAAGGACAAACTCCTCAATGTCGGCGAAGGCGGTGCGGGCATAGACCTTGAGCGTCGCCGCGCCAACCAGGTGCCCCCACGGCGCAACGCTCATGGCCAGGTGTCTCAGCCCTTTGCCACGCCCGCCGCCGCCGCCGCCACCGCCGCACCGCGGCGCCCTGTTGCCGTGGTTTCTCCCGTCTTCGTCGCGGAACCAGGCTAGCAGCCTCACGAGGCGCGCGTAGTGCAGGTCACCCAGCAGGACGACCGTGTCCTGCGCCAGGTTCAGATACAGCACGCGGTCGCTGTCCTGAAGCTGGTCTCCGGGGAGCTCGAACGTCTGGTTGCGAGCCAGCGGAGCAGCCAAGGGCAGGGCGACGGTGTAGAATTCGAGGGCAGCGGCGCGGGCCTCGGCGCTGACGGCCAGAGCGGCGGGGTTACGCGATTGCGACTGCCACTTGGGGGTGCCGCCGTGGCGATCGTCGTCGGCGTAATGCGTGCGCCGCGTGTGCAGCTCGATGGCGCGCGGTAGGAAGGAGAGGTGCCAGATGGCCAGGCGCAGCTCGGCCGGCAGCAGCGGAAAGAACGGAAACGTGCCGGGGGTGGCAGTTTGGGGTGGGCTCGGCCGCGGCCGGCCAGTCCCGTCAAAGGCGGCAGTCTCGGTCGCTGGCGACAAGGGCGGGGTCACGGTCTGGAGTTCGGTGACGGTGATGGTCACGGACGCGGGGGTTGCCCCCACTGCGACTGGGGCGCGAGGGGCGGGCTTTCGATCCTCTGTGTCGATATCGATTCTTAGCCGGCCCAGCCCGGCCGATACGTCGTTCGCTTTACCGTCCATGGCCGCCTCGGATCATGCATGTGGCTCGACTAAGACACAGACCGGGGTGGTTGCACCTGTATCCGCCAGCAGTAGGACCTTACGTACTGCCGTAGGTCTCCTATGTATTGCATGTACTGTGCGGCACATACATGTTATACAGAACGGCACCGGTTCCGTTTGGTGGAGTTTCTCGACGGCCTGGTTCCGTTTAGAGTTTCTCGACGGCCTGGTTTCCCGGTAGCTTTCTTGTCTGCAAATCTTCAAGACAGAGAGACTTGCCTTCCACAGTTCACCAGGACGGTCCTTCCGTGTTAAAATATTCGAGAGACGAGACGTGGGGAAGGCGAGGAGGCAGCGGGGTTTTTGTTCCCTTGTAAGCCGATGAGCCCAGTTCGCATGCCAAGTTTGTGCCAGCGTGCCACGCTTTCAGCCGCCCCGTCCGGGCTCCCACTTGTTCGGGCAGCGAATTGAAGGGCGCGCCTGATGTCATCGTGCGCGCCCCATGCCTTCCGAAATACACTGCACGGGTTGGAGATGGCCCTAAGAGAATGGAAGAAAGGGACTTGTAGTCTTTTGTAGTTTTTTGTTGTTTTTCCGTATCTGTACATTCATTACATTCCACACCTGCGCCGCCGGCCCTTGGGCTTGCCTCCGCCGTTGACGAACGGTTCCAGCGCCATGGAGCTGGGCCGCAGGAAAAGGTCTCACAATCGCCACCTTTCCAGCAACGCGCCCATTTTGAAGACGCGCATTCTTGAACCAACCCACTTTTGTCGGCGCGGCATACTGCCGACATGCAAAATACTATACGAGGTACCCCCCATCACCACACAATATACAAGTGCTCTACGGATCACAGCGGCTTGACAAGGGCCCTGGGTGCAAGCTGCACTCTCATTCTGGTCCCATCAATCGACTTTGATGTTATTTGTCGCGTCTGCACATCGGTCAGCACTCCCATGTCCACAATATCGCCAAGAAGCAACGCGTCCACCATGCTTGTAGGACGGACGACTTACACTGTATAGCTCCGATTCGACCTCGAACTGTCCTTTTCGTTCAGCGTCGGCTTCCCGTTGCCGTCAAGCCGTTGCCGTCAAGCCGGATCTCGCCCCGCCCGACCTTGACAAAGTCATAGCGCCTCGCAACGACGGCAATGATGACGCGCCTCGATGTTGGCAAGCTCTTGTCCGATGCAGTTACGAGGCCCCCGCTCAAACGGCCGCCAGGCACTGGCCGGGATCGCCGCCCGCCGCCCGCCGCCCACCCTCGCCCTCGCCCTCGCCCTCGCCCTCGCCCTCGCCCTCGCCGTTCGGCTTCATGGGCGTGTCCGCATCGCCCAGCCAGCTTTCGGGCACAAAATCATCGGCCGTGTCCCCAAACACGGCCGGTCCCTCTGGATTATGTTGGCGCAGTTGTAGACGACCAGTAGTCCGTCCAGACACAGGCCCTCGCCCTGGGTGGTGCGCACCATGAAGCCCGAGCCAGGCAGCGCTCGCCGTGCCGTGCCCGCAGGCGGGTGCAGGCACAGGGCTTCCTTGATCACGGCCGACGTGAACGTCATACGCCGGATCGCGTCTTCGCCCTCTCTCGACACCAGCTTCTCGCGCACAACAACTGCATCCCGCCCAAAGATGTCGTCCAGCTCGTCGCGCACAGCCTTCAGGGCCGCCGGGGTCCGCGAGAGCTCGTAGAAGATCCACCCCAGTAGGATAGCCGTCGTGTCGTCGCCCGCGAACAGGAAGCTTCGAATCTGGTCGCCAGTGTCCTTGATGAGAGCATCGCTGAGGTGGTCGACGCCTTGCAGGCTGAGGCCGAGAACACTGCGTAGGTTTTGGGAAACGCCCTGCTGCTTCTGCTCAGCATATTTTTGCCGGATCATGTCCCAGAGGGTCTGATTGAGGCGAGAATCGATCTGATGGCGGTGCCACTCGACCCGAGGACGCAGCCACCAGAGCCCGTTACGACTGGCGTACGTATGGACCTGCTAACTGAGCAGTCGAATGAACTCTCCCTGGCGGGTCGTGCCGGGGTGTTGCGCATCAAAGTCAACATCCATTACTACGTTGCTAATGATGTCGAACGTGAGGTTGACGGTGAGGTCATCGAGAAGAAACTCATCTCCCGTCTTAGCGTAGCCGTCGAGGTGTTCTAGAAACGGCCGAGTCTTGTCCAGGATGCAGGGGAGGAGAGTCATGAGATGATGAGGAGCGAAGCCAGGGTTGAAGCGCTTGCGGAGATGCTTCCACTCTTCTCCCTATGATAAGGAGTCCCCGTCAGCTATTTGCCCAAGCTGCATGCACTGGTTCGGCTGCCTTACTTGTCTACCTATTATGGAGCGGCTTCCTATGAGGCGGTCGAATGCGTTGACAGTGGGTGACTTGGAGGTGCTCCAGGGGAACAGCTTAGAGGCCCTCGAGATCTGCTCAGCAATTTCATGGCTGGCTATGACGGCGATGGGGTAGGCGGCGGGGCGAAGATCAACCAGCATGAGGCCAGGATTCCCAAGCTTCTTGTTCATCTCCTGGAAGACAGAATTTGCCGAGGAGAGTGAGCAGTCCAGACTCTGAGGGTTGGGGTCCCCCCTGGCCCCAATAACGACTCGCGAAGGGGGGGGCTCACCAGAATGAAGGTCTTTCTTGGCAGCCGTGCATCGCTGCGTGAACTCGTGCACTACTTTCAAGTGCCCCAGAGAAATGAAGGCTTGTGCTGAGGAATCTCGGAAAATTGCTTGAAGCGAAGGTAGCGCAGCTTGGTGACAAGATAGGCGACTAAAAGGGGCAGTGCCGCCAGCAACAGGTTCCAGACCATCTTCCGCAGGTAGATACGTCAAAATCCACCTCGGCGTCTTTCAACTCTCCTTTTCCAGGACGCTCGAGATGGGGCGGATGCGCGAGTTGACGAACCGCAACCACATTCTACTCTGAGGTGTGTGTCTGGCACGGGGCCGCAGTGGGTTACGCGATCGAGGAGGAGGGGTGCCTTTGTACCGGAACTCAGTTACCTCATTACCTTAGCTGGATGGCTAGTAGCCCTCGGCGGCTATTTAGTGCTACACACAACCCGGGTAGCATGGAATTGCGGATACCGGAAAAGCGGAAAGAGTGACAAACACACGCTCGCCTTTACCCTGGCGCGCGGGTTGCCGTGGCTGATACGTAGTTGGCGAGGATACAGAAGATAAATGCATGTACGCTGAGAGTACGCGGTATACGCCGCACCGCACCGGTTTTGGGGCTCGCTCGCCACCCGAAGCTAAATTGAGCTTCGCTGCCGCTACCTAGGTACCTTGTAGGAATTACGAGTAAACGAGTTGAAGTTAGACGAACCGGGCTGGCTTGTGTTCTTGTCGATCAAGATAACAGCAGATTCGCGTCACACTGTGCATGCAGGATCAGCCATGGCCGGATCGGAATCACGAATATCTTGTTAATCTGGGCTAAGGCGTTACCCGACGAGTCGGCAATTCGTAAATGCCATCATGATGATTCGATAAGCTATCATTGACTCGAGCGCCGGGGGGTTTCAGCCGCGTTAACCCCGACTACCCCCACCCCCTTCTAATCAGTTGAGAATGAGGTTACCTTAGTCTACCTTGATACTGCCGTCGCGGCCATGATTGTCCTGCATAGCATCGTTGCAACCCAAATGCCCCCGCAAGCAACCCCTTGGGACTTGGTTCCATAAGATGTGCGGCCCGTCCCCACGCCGAACCAATGTCCTCTTCACAAACTAGTCTCTAAGGTGTCTACCACTTTTGTTTCCCTAGACAAGATCCAGAAACAAATAGACAGCATTGCCAAGGGCCTAATATATGAACGGATAAAAAAAGGATTGCACAATCACTCGGTTACACGGTCATTCGGTCTCTCCATTTTTCATGCAGGACTAACAGAATATTATGGGGTAAAGATAAGCATTAGCCTCAGATTAATCAGTGAAGAATTGATATTAGACTGGCAAGGGAGATAAAACGTATGACGGCGAACCCGCTGTGACGGCTGGTAATCTAGCAATGTCTTCCCAGAGACTCATGCAAGAAATAGTGGGCAACACACATTTTTCGCCGCCCCATCGTGATCCTCAACTCTGAGGCTATTCCCGGCCGGGCCTCAGATGAAGCTAGCTTCTGATGTGATGTCTACTTTATGGCTCCCAAAGAGGGAATAGAACACGAAGACCAATAGGTATGTCAGCTATGAACGGACCCAGACGAAGACGAAACCAGATATACTGTAGCTTTGTGGGTAACTTGTACGAACAAGTCCATAACTAGGTACCTTCAGATTATTGATATGGATGAGATAAAACACCTGGTTTGGTTGCTGGTTGAAAAGAACGGGGTTGGCGACGTTCAAATACACCTCGGACCAAGCGAAGGCAGTTTAGTTTAGTAAATCTCATGTGCAAGCCCAAAGTGAGCAAATTGAAATGGGGTCTTTATCCGAATAGAATAGCTTCGTCAAAACGCTGTTTTGGGTACATGCTATCTTCCAGAGAGGTCCCGGACAGGGATTATGTGAGATTGGTCCGGGTCTTGTAGGACTGATGCTTTCTGAGTAAGGTCCTGTTTCTTTGTCAAAACTAGGTAGCAAAATAACAGATTTAAAGTTTGTTTCCTGGGTAGTCGGTTTTCGCCTCGAAAGAACCAGAAACTCTTAGTTGAAGTTCTAGCATTTGGAATAGCAGAAATCCAGAAATTTGGAATGGCGACAACTCGAACGCTTGCGAGGAGCCGCAGCCTCATGTCCCATGCAATCATTCAAATGTCTAGTCTTGAGCCCAGGTCAAACGAACAAATTAAATATCCTTATGGAACTCGTGGAAGAAACCGGGATCAGGTTGTTGCTGGGCAAATCGAAATGAGAAGCCTGCCTCTCCAGTCACTGGACCTTCGGCATTCATTGACACCCAAGTCGTTCGTCACACAGCCGCCTGAAGAGATTCCCGAGGTTGGAGACCATGGACGCGGTGCTCTGCTGCCTCGGTTTAGATAGAGAGACAGGTGGATGCATTGTTTATGCTAGCCTGCCAGCTATTAAATTATATTTGTTTCGCCACTAATATGCCATTGCTCACGCTAGGTGACGAGAAAGAGAGCAGTACTCCTTTGAGGATGCTTCACCTTATCATGGCCATTGTTGGAAAGAACCCCAGAATGGTCCATGGATGATCCGGGCCCTATTTAGGCACTTCAATTAATCTGACGCAACCTTGGAATTGGAATTAACATCTAGCGTCGCACGGGGCTGAGTCGACAATAATGCACACCCGGGCGGTGGGTTCACTACCCTCCCTTGCGACTCAATTTCAGATCAAGGCTACAATACGGAGTAGTCCGAGGGAATAGTCCGATATATCTTTCAAGAGGCGACGGAGGCTGGGAGAAAGAAAGTAACCTCCTGAGACCAGTGGCAGATGGGTCATAAGCCGATCGACCTCTCGGCGACCCGACTCACAAGTAGCCAGAGTAGGTAGATCTTTATCTGAGGTTAATTAAACTGAAAGTGAATAGCACTTGGTGGTCGCTGTCTTGGCCTCCAGCCAACTCAAGATGCAGATGCAAGAAATTGACGATGATCAATTAGAACGATTAGTTACCAAGTCATGCATGTTTGGGTTCTCGATCGCTGCCCGGTTTCTGGCTTGCTCCCAAAATTTGGCAGGTGCTATCGTGGTGTATATGTAAGGTGCCTAGTCCGTCGACCCGGCATTGTGGCGAGAGACACCAGGCATTGCGGCGAGAGACACCAGGCATTGCGGCGAGAGACACCAGGCATTGTGGCGAGAGACACCTGGTATTATCAAGAGATGAGAAAACTCGGGTGCGATGGTGGCACAGGCACCAAGCTTGTTATTGATTGGCTTGTACCAAGCACGAAACGAGCCTGGAATGGCAGATCCTCCCACGGCCAAAAAAGGATCTCGGAGTCGGGAGTCGAGAGTTGTGAAACGCTTGTCGCCAACGTAAGACATGTCAGCAGTCAGCACCCATCCAACTGACCGCCCACACGTGTGCAATTGGGCGGCCGAAAGCTCGGAACAATATACAAGATAGCTCCCATGGCATTCATCAGGCGTGCAAGTTGGCTAACTCTTGATACTGGAGTTGCGGGGGAGTTGCGGGCCAACAACGTTTCGCTAGAGTTGCCAAAGCGTAAATCCTCTACTAGAAGCCACGCAGGAAGCGTGGACCATTGGAAGGCGTGCCGCTTTTAGCTTCTTCGTGTCTTGCCTTCTGACGCGCCCGGGCCCCGACCGAAGCTTTACGAGCGAATCACGTGATGATCAGCCGCCCGTCGTCTGGCAGGCAGAAATCGTCTCGTATCCACTGACGGGAGACCATCGTCCCAAATTCCCCACAGTTGAAGGCGGCTGGGGGGCATACGGACCAAGCAAATGAGCACAGTGCCAATCCCGCGAAAGCCCCGCTCGAGCTTTCCTTCACCCTGCTCGCTTGGAACTGGGCTGATCTGCACCTGCCCATATTTCGCTCAAGCAGCACGTCTGCAATTGGCCAGTGCATTGAGCGGGGTTAGGTTTCGATTTTCGACGGTTCTAGCCCGGGCCACATTTTCGCTCCCCTCATGCGGCCTGCCGCTGGTCCTTCCTCCCTTGGTTGGGCTGGGCTTGCCGGCTTGCTGCCTGCATGCAGTCTCCAGTGCGCTTTGTTCGCCTCTTTCCGCCGGCGTGGCAAGCTAGCTGGACGGGCCGTACGCTAGGCTCGTGGTGCAATTTGAGATTGCGCAGCGAACAAAGTGATGTCGCTGGGCTGATTGCTGGACAAACTTGCAACAAGAAACAAGAAACCTGGAAGCGCATTCCATTGTCGGTTACCTAGAATTTGTGTAGCGTCGGGTGGCTGTGCGCTGTCGTGCATCAGATTTATAGTTCTGTGCACACAGTATGGGATGGGCCTGAAGCATGGGCAATTTGCATTTTGCAACGGCCCGCGCAAGGCGTTGCGCGACGTGACCGTGCGAAACCGCGGCGCGGCGGGTCCTCGGTACCTAAATGAGGTGGTCGTGCCCGGGCGGCGGCGGCGGCCTGTTCCATGGATGCTGACCAAGGTTGGCAGTACCTTTTGAAGTCCAGAACAGAACACGTCTTCGGTAGCGTGCCCTCGCGCCTGGGAAGGGCTTCTGGTCTGGCAGAGCCCGTAAGGTAGGCAGGGTAGGGTCATCAAACCCGACCTCCTTTAGCTGATTTTGAGAACAGGGATATTTTTCAGCCTCACAGCAAACAGGCGAGCGAGCCAATCACCTTGGCACGACCTCGCTGGTGAACCCCTGCCACCCCCCCCCACCTCAAGGCAACCCCCCCTTTTCTCTCCTGACGCCTTTTTTTTGGACGAGAAATGCGGGCCATTACGAGTGGGCTGGCAGGGTGGTTGGCTGCAGCAGTGAAGTTCTTGTCCACCTCGAGTTTGGTGCAATCTCATCCACTGGCCATCCCCCGGCTCGTTTTTGCGCGCGCGCTGGCGCCCAGTTAAAATGGGCTTACCAGCAGCTTGCGCTGCTGGGGCGCAGCAGTTTTTCAGATGCAGCACTCTGCATTCCCCCTCTCAGCAGCGTGTTTCCAGGGTGTTGGGCGGCGGGCTTACCTTGCTGTGAAGAATTCTGTCGTCCGCAATTCCGCATGACATTACTAGGTAGTCGACTGGTGCCCGCCTGCCCTGCTGCTTCTTCCGCGGGTTTTGACCGTTTTGTTCGGCACGACTGCCTCATCCAGTACCCGCGTATTAATTCCTGTCCGCGCGATCGCTGCCGGCGCCGCAGAGAGGAAGGAAGAATAACAAATAAGAAGCCTTAGCGCCCGATCCGAAACCGAGAATATGTCGAGAGAGCAGGTGTCGACGTCGGGCCCGGCGGCCGCGCTGACGTCGCTCTTCTCGCAGTGGCGGTCCTATCGCCAGATCCACCGCGTCTTCCTGGTCCTGTTCGTCGTGAGCACAATCTTCGTCCTCGACCGCTACCGCGTCGCCCTGGCCGGCACCCTCGGCGTTCCCTACCGACCGCCTATCATGGTCCAGGCCGACGACGGGCCGTCGTCCGGACATTCCGAGGACACGGCCATCGAGAGAGCTGGCAACGGTACCCTCGGCTTCCACGCCATCTACTACGTCAATATGAAGGCCCGCTACGATCGCGAAGACGCCATGGCCCTGCAGGCCTACATATCGGGACTCGACATCCAAGACTACCCTGCCGTCGAGTCCGACATGATTGACCCGGTCGGCATGCCGCCAACTCACCGCCCCGGCGTTCTCAAGGTCGGCGAGAGGGGCTGCTGGCGGGCGCACGCGAACGTATGACTCCTTCTCACCCCACCCCCAGCTCTCGGTTCGGCTTCAATGGCCCCGTGGTGTCTGCTTTGCTGACTGTTTTTTTGCCTCTAGATCTGGTCCGAGATGGTGAGGAAGAAGTTGCCGCCAGTCTTGATCATGGAGTCGGACGCGACCTGGGACATCAACGTGCGGCCCATCATGAGCAACCTCAACAAGCATTTCGTCGAGTTCCTGCGCAACATCAATTCGACGGCCGTCCACGACCCGAGCTGGCGTGCCAAGAACAACCGGCACCCCCTCGCCGACGACCCGCACCGCGCCGAAACATATGTCCCCCCCAACGATGCCACAAACGGTACCGCCACAGCGGCGCCGACGCCCGCGCCGACGCCCATCGAGTTTAATGTCGACGACCCGTGGCTGAGCGAGCACTGGGATCTTTTCTCCATCGGCCAGTGTTTTGAGACAAACCAAGACAAGGACGTCAACCTCGTCTACACGGATCAACACGTACCCGCCGGCAAGAACTATTGGGGCGTCAAGCTGGGCAACCAGCGCGTCATCCGCAAGTCGGGCGGCATCACGTGTACCACCTCGTACGCCATCAGCCACACCGGCGCCGCCAAGCTTCTTCTGCGCTCTTCCATCGACCTCGACAACCCGGTCGACTTGCTCATCCGGAGAATGACTCTGTCGCGGGACCTCGTCGCCTACAGCGTGCAGCCGCCCATCGTCGCACAGTGGGAATACCGCGGCGACGTCGGCATGAACGAGCGCGGCGCGCAGAGCGACATCAACGGCGGCAAGCACAAAGACACCCCGAGCGATGCCGAGATGAAGGGCTGGGACGATGTCAAGAAGACGGGCTCGGTTTGGACCACCAAGAGCCTCCACCACGACGTCGGTTTCGACAGGATGGCGCTGGAGGTCGCTTGGGACCAGATATTAACCAACGTCGTCCTCACCGACAGCTGGTACAACCCAGTAGATAAGGACTGAGTGACTGACGGGAATATCTGGTTCCCTTGCACAGTTCTTTTTTTTCTTTCTTTTTTTTTCTTCCTTTTTTGGCGTAAAGAAAACGGCGGGATCATAAATGATGTACTGATGTACTGGAGGCATTTTGGCTTTGGGACAAAGGGCTGCTTTTTGCCGGCTGTAGACTACATAATACTGCATGGAAGCGGCGTTTGAGGAAGGCTTGTTGTAGCCGCTAACTAGCCATGGGGCTGTTGGGCTTGAGGCAGTAGAGGTTGTTCCTCTCTCGCCTTTGCATTTGCATTTGCACATATCACGGGGGCCGCACCATTTTTTTCGTTGCTTTTATTTCTTGTAATTTTTCCCTTTTTGTTGCTCTAGTAATCAATCACATCGATCATGCGATCAAACCGCTCGACTGTTTCCGTTGCCCTTGGCTTCATGGCTGAAGTATTCTGTCATGTTCATACAGTCCTACACCAACCGGAAGCAACCCATCCCACCAAAAGCGTGGCACAATATCGACGCAATGCATTGAAACAGTTGGGCGCCTCTGACGCCAATTACCCACCTGAGCGTGTTGATGCGCAGATTATGCATTATCGGCGGGCAGTGGCGTTCTCATGGCAGTATGATTACTCGATCTTTGACGGACAAGTTTGGAAACTTGCGCCGGCAATTTCCTTCATTATTCATCGTCAGGTATCTGCTGGAACCCTCTTTACAACCCCAAACAGGGTAACGCGACGTAGAAAGCAACTTGAGGGACACTACTGTTCCTCTCTCTCCCAGCTCCTTCAGCGGCCCACACTTCCTTGCAGCCAATTTCTCTCTCACATGGCCGACTGTAAGCTGGAAGGAGTCGATACGCCTGATTAGTCGTAAAAGACTAACGCTCGCACCTCGATGCTCTCGCGAGGATACTTGTCCTCCTCGGCGGGGTCAGTGAAGGCCGAGTGCGGGATACGGCGGGCGACGCCCGGCTGGTCAAGGGTGTCGAAGCACTTGATCAACGTCACCTCGTCGGGCCGCTGGGCGTACTTGAAATACCAGCGATGGGCCGGGTTTGGCTTGACAACGAACGTTTCTCCGTTGCGGTTGGGATAGATGAGGGCAGCGCCGAGGAGATCCGACTCGGGCACCGAGTGTGCATCGGCGACTCCGAGCGGGTCTTTGAGGATTGTCTTGATCGGACGCCACACCTGCGTCGTGGTACAGCCATTTCAGCATTAGCCTGGTGATGGCAGTTCCATGGGTAGCTCTGGGAATAGAGCGCCATCACTTACGTTGATGATCTGGAAGCGCTTCTGCAGCAGCTCCTCGGCCTCGTCGGGCAGGTGATGGGCCACGCGGCTGATGGACGCCGTGTATGATTGGTCGATATGGACGCGACGAACAGGTCCCCGGAGGATGTTGCGGGCCGAGGGTTCGGCAGGTCTCGAGTCCTTGGGTTGGCGCCGGATGGTGTGATCAAAGATGAAGATCCTTGAGGCGCCCGTTCTGTGCGGCCCTCTTTGTCAGTGGAAACCCACACCGAGCTCTCCGCCAATATATTTGAATGCAAGCGACTCAGGTCTCTTGAAACTCGGCGTTTGAGTCTCGGACTTACGCGTTCTTCAAAAGCTGCTCCGTCTCGGCGTAATACTCGGCTTTGATCTTGTCGTCGTCGACAAACTCCTTTTCCTTGCTCTCGTGGCGGTAGATTTGGAAGCCATGGCTGTCAAGCGCATACTTGTCTTCGCTGCCTGTTATATCCGTCACCACCACGTTCACTGGGACTACCGGCCGGTCGATGGCAGTCTCGGGGCGGCTGGGCCATTGTTAGTAATTGGTGTCTATCCATGATTCACTCCTGCTTACCCAACATATGCCGGAGCAGGGGGGTTGCCGCCTTCTTCTTCGTTGTAGTAGTACAAAGTCGTGTTCACATTGTGCTGCTGGACCTTCTTGCTGTCCTGGAACGGCTCCACCCGTTCGCCAATGGTGGGGGCTACCGGGTTTGCCACGTCGGGAGTAGCCATGGTATCGATGGTGAGTGTCGTCGCAGATATTGCCCGTGCCGGTTTTCAGGGGTCTAGCAACAATGATTTCTCAACGTGTGACTGTGGGTCGAACGAGTCGGTGGCGCGTGGAAAGGCGACAGCGCAAGCAGATCCGAGTCTCCTGATTACCGCAAGAACTTGGGCTCTAGCAACAAGCAAAAAACAGTTGCCCAACAGAACATTGACGGCGATCTTTATAGTCCAAACCACCCTAAGAGACAATGCGGGGTCGGATGCTGCATTTGTCAGTAACGGTGTTCAGGTGCCGGGGCAGACGGGATCACGCAATCAAGCTCACAAGTGGTGATAGGTTCCTTCGTGAGACATTATTAATTGGATGGGGGTTTATTAATCCAAGATATTATCTCCCAGGGGTTTTAATTGTTCTTGAAACCGTTATATAGCGCAACCATACATATACTTGATAATGCCTGTGTATTTGTTGCTTTGAAGTCGTGGATGGCCATCGAGAAGAGGGACTATATTAAATTTTTGGCACATTTAATAGATGCCGTTTGATATAGCGTGTCTTTTAGCAGGTGGTCGTCAGCTCCTATACACTGACGCTCCATCACACAGCTCTCACGCAAAGTCCAACAGCTTTCACGCAAAGTCCCATCTTAGGAAGCCAGGCGCGGATTACAATGGAATCTTGTTTCCGCACTGGCATGCCCGAGATCATGCTATGCGCCTCACGTGCCGCTGTTCGGCGGTGCGAGGCCTAGTTGTCTAGGGTTGACCATCTACCGGCCTGCACAAAGTCTGGGCGTGGTATGAAGAGAGCCGCAATGTCACAGGTGCGTCCCAGCTTCTTCTTTCACACATCAAAGTTGCCGGCCGGCAAGCTGGGTAGCTGCAAGTTGCAACACCATGTGTGGCTTGCTCTTACGTGTTGGTAGATAAGACACAAAATGCCTTTGCAACACCATGTGTGGCTTGCTCTTACGCGTTGGTAGATAAGACACAAAATGCCTAGTCAAACTAACCAAGGTAGGTACCGGCCTGTTCGTTTTGGCCTGGATTTAGCTCAGCCGCCGCCGTGGACCTGTCCTAAAGAGCGCGCCTCCATCTTAAGTCACGGCGGTAGATCTTTGGATTATGCATGTGATTGATGTGATCACTTCTCGTATACCTGTGCCAAGCTTGCTTGAGTTCTCAACAAGGATAGCCGGCCTCGACAAGTGGACAGCTGAACGCTTCCTCTTTAGTATGCAGCTGCATTTAGCCTGTTAAGTGGCGCAGCTGAATAGATATTGTGGCATTTATGAAATCATGGGGATTCCACGGTCCTCGCCAAAGGCCAATGCTCCCGTTTCACTGTGCTGACGAGCTGAAAGACTCTTTTGGGAATCTCGCTCCAGGCTTGGCCCTGGGCAGCGAATCATGGGCCAGGAGGGTGGGGATGATGCATACGCTACAACGCCCCGCTGACACTCCAGCCTGGCTTGATAACGCCCCAATCTCTTAGCTCGATGGCCCGGCGGAGACATTTCCCCTAAAACATCTGGTCTGGAGAGAAACAGGTTGTGTATAAAAAGCGCCGCATTGGTGTTGCAGACAACCCAAGATGATCCAGCTTGAATTGTTTGACAGACTCAAACTTGAAACCTGGCACAATTCTCACCCACCCAACACATTCTCATCCACCAACACATACTCACCCACTAACACATACTCACCCACCAAGACACACAAATCTCCCTGACCATACTACAATACATCGACACAATGGGTGCCGCCGTCAGTGCCATCGCAAATGCGCTCGACAACAGCAAGGAGAAGGAGGCCCAGGCCAAGGAGCAGCTCGAGCTCATGATGAAACTGGCGGACGCCCGGCTCGACACTTTTGAGTCGGAGCTGAAGACCATGTTCCTGGACCGCGAGTCGGCCCAAAAGACGAGCGTTCCGGGCAGGAGGGCGCTGAGGTTCGAGCGCCATGTCCAAGTCGACACGGAAACCACGGTAAGGGGCAAGCCATGTCCGTCAACGCGAAGCCTAGCTGCTAACGCTGTTCGTCGCCAATAGCCCGGAAAAGGCGTCGAGGATGCAGTTGATGCCTTCTTTGGCGCATCCGAGACCGGGTCCAAAGGAGTGCTGGAGGGCTTCAAGAGCGTGGTGAAGACGGGGCTCTCGGCCATCCTCGGCGATTCCGGAGCAGGCGAGAGCTACGACAAGAAGTTCTTTGTGTGCATCAAGCAGTGAGTGCCCGGCTTGCGTCTGTGTCACGGTCTGGTCTTCCCACGCCAATTCGGGGCTAATAGAGGACATCGCAACAGCAATGCTATTATCCGCGTCGACATGTACACGTACAAGTACAACTTCCGGAACGAGGGCGTCATCTCCAACCACAAGAACATCCTCGCCTACATTCTGTGCATTTCCGTTGTTGACCACAGGGACGTCACGGTCGACGAGCTCATCTACCTCGCTTCCGAGTTTGCTGGCGATGGCAACGTCGGACCCAACAGCGGCTATGAGCTCTACCTCGAGTCTCTGATGAAGACGTGGAATGCCCTCATCAATGTCGAGGTTCCCGGGCTGAACCCTGGGAGGAGGCCGATCGAGTACCCATCCCTTACGTCTCGTCCTCAGGTGGCGGCTGCGTAAGGTGATTGTTGGTGGTGGAATGGTTGAATTGGGCGGTGAAAGCAATGATACACTTGGGGGCTTGGTATGCCGGGGAGTTTGAACACATGTTTTTGTTTCGTGCGCGGCTACACGTGGAGCTTATACTTTCCTTTGTGCCCAGGCAGATAAGGGAGAGTAGCGACAGTCAGGGGATTAGTGACAGTCAGGGGATTAGCGACAGTCAGAGGATTAGTGACAGTCAGGGGATTAGTGATAGGGGATTAGTGCTTTTGCGTAATTTGATTTTGATTGGGCTCTTTGCTCTTGAACCAGCTTTTCCTGTCCTGGACTCCAAGATATTCGTTTAATGGGGCCTGAGGGCTCCATAGACAAACAACCTCGGTATTCCGTCCACAAAGCGTTCTGCTGTCCAATCAAGTCTTGACAATCCTGCACTGTAACGGCGGGTGGTTGGGGGCAACCGAGGGCATCTGACTATCGAATGTGCCAATCAAAGAGCGAATCCCAGGCCTGGAGCACGCCATTGTCACGCTGTGCGAATGAGAATAACTGCCAAGGTTCCCCGAGGCGATATTGCACGATATGAGTGCCAGTTAGCTTGCTTAGCTTCTCAATGGCGATTCTCATGTAGGCCACGGGAGGCGACTATTGAAGCCTCAAGTCTTGGACTTTTCGCGCTGGCCCCGAGCTGGAGATGGCCACCGGCTGGCCACCGGCAACAGCTTGCCCAGACCCCGACGGCGTACTTTTGGCCGCATACAAGGCACGACGGCGTACTCTTGGCCGCATACAAGGCACATGCAGCAGCACACGCAGCAGCACACGCAGCAGCACACGGGGGCGGGCTGGTAGCATACATACCCCATGTTTCCCAATGTTTTGCCGTGCGCCAGTGCCGAATTGCAATGAGCGTGCGAGATGGCGCCATTGATAACGCGCCGTCGTGGCCCATGGCGCAAGCCTTGGTATGGCTTGCAACATTCGACCCCCACTGCGACGCTGATTGAGGCCGGGCGGTGGGCGGCCAGTGTCCAGCATGTCCAAAGTATATTAATCCGGATCTTCGGCATGGCACCACCGTGGACGGTGAAGGTGTGGCAGCGGACCCTAGACTTTCCAGTCCGCGACCTCAGTCTTATTCGCTACCGTCCCGTGGGGACCTGCAATGTCTGACGTGCTCAAGCCCAAGGAGTCGACGGCCTACGAGTATGCCGCCGACACCAAGGAGGCATCGCCGGGAGCGTCGAGCCCCGCCGCCGCGTCTCGCGAGAGCCTTGCCGATGGAGGCTATGGCTCGTCTGACGAGCACATCTTCAAGAACCCCGTCATAGCGGACCGCTGGCGCGGCATCTACGAAGAGGCCAGCTACGAGAACCGGCACCGCTTCGACCCTAGCTTCACCTGGACGGCCGAGGAAGAGCGGAGGCTGGTCCGCAAGATCGACCTGAGAATCATGCTCTGGGCTTGGATCATGTTTTGTGCCCTCGACCTGCACCGCCGCAACATCAACAGGGCCATATCCGACAACATGCTCCCCGAGATTGGTAAGTCTTGACCCCCCATGTCGTCACTCTACTACCCGTCGATATTACCCGTCGACCTGTAACCTGGGGTGCGTGTCCGGCCACACACGTGGCGCGGTGGCTTCATATATATATACCTAGCACCGAGGCTGGCTGCACTTGCATGCCGTAATCACCCCCCTACCCACGGGCTGCATGCCGCAATCACCCCCCTACCCACGGGCTGCATGCCGTAATCACCCCCCTACCCACGGGCCATGGTGGCCCAACTGCCAACCGCAGCTGACTTTGATGGCCCCGGCACCAGGCATGAACACCAACGACTTCAACTACGGCCAGACCATCTTCCTCGCTTCCTTCTTGTCGGCAGAACTCCCCAGCGGCCTCATCAGCAAAAAGATCGGCGCCGACCGCTGGATCCCGACCATTATGGTGGCCTGGTCCATCGTGGCCGGCTCGCAGGCGTTCCTCTCTAACAAGGCCGGCTTCTACGCCATCAAGGCCCTGCTGGGCCTCCTCATGGGAGGATTCATCCCCGACATTGTGCTGTGGCTGACCTACTTTTACAAGTCCAGAGAGCTGCCCACGCGCCTCGCGTGGTTCTGGACCGCGCTCAGCACCGTCAACATTGTGGGATCGCTGCTCGCCGCCGGCATCCTCCAGATGAGAGGCGTCCGCGGCTGGGGCGGGTGGCGGTGGCTGTTCCTCATCGAGGGCATCGTCACGCTCCTCGTTGGCATCTTCTCGTGGGGCCTCATGCCTCCCGGGCCGTGCCAGACCAGGAACTGGTTCCGCGGCAAGGACGGCTGGTTCAGCGACCGCGAGGAGTCCATCATGGTCAACCGCCTCCTCCGCGACGACCCCAGCAAGGGTGACATGAACAACAGGCAGGCTGTGGGGCCCGTCAGGCTGTGGAAGGCGCTGAACGACTGGGAGATGTGGCCGCTCTATCTGATCGGCCTGACCGCCTACATCCCCCCCGTGCCTCCGGGCACCTACCTGTCCTACATTCTCCGGAACCTCGGCTTCAGCGTTTTCCACGCCAACCTGCTGGCTATTCCGTCGCAGTTCCTGTTCGCTGTCAACCTCATCATCCTCACGTGGGTCTCCAAGAAGCTGGGCGAGCGGTCGATTGTGTCGTCCTTGTCCAACATCTGGATCCTGCCTTGGGTGGCCGCTCTGGTCGCCCTGCCAGCCGCGGCTTCGCCTTGGGTCCGCTATGCCATGCTGACGGGCCTGCTGTCGTACCCGTACTGCCACGCCATCCTGGTCGCCTGGAACGCCCGGAACAGCAACACGGTGCGCACCCGTGCCGTTTCTGCAGCCCTCTACAACATGACGGTGCAGAGCGGCAACATCATCGGTGCCAACATCTACCGCGACGACGACCAGCCGCTCTACATTCGGGGTAACAAGATCTTGTTGGGGATTACGTGCTTCAACATTGTCCTGTTCTACATTGTGAAGGCTTTCTACATCTGGCGCAACAAGCTGCGCGACCAGAAGTGGAGCGCAATGACACAGCAGGAGCGAGAAGACTATGTGCTCAACACGACCGACGAGGGTCCGAAGCGGTTGGATTTCCGCTTCGCTCACTGAGAGCCGCGTCCTGGGCCATGTCCTGCAGACGAGGGTTGGCCGTAATTATCTCGATTCACTTGGTAAACAACCTGAACAAGAGAGGGAAAGTTAAAGATGAGTGCAGATATCTACGTGCAGTACTTATCTACGTGCAGTACTTATCTACGTGCACGTACTTATCTACGTGCACGTACTTATCTACGTGCACGTACTTATCTACGTGCACGTAGTTAATTACCATATATAGCTAGTTCAAATATTGAATTGAGATGAAAGAGGCAATTAGATGACTCTTTTCCTTTGTACCTAGGTAGGTAGTTGATATCTTGATTGTCGTTTGGCTGCCTTCAGAAAACCCTGGCGCAGGGAGCTAATTATCCGAGTGGGCTGAATTCGTAATAATTATATTGTTAGTTATCATGAATTAAGAAAAGAAGGGAGAAAAGAAAACATGTGGAATTTTCATTCATTGTCTCACTTGAGCATCAAAACATCAACAAATATGATAATGGCATCTAATGGCACAGTTCACGTGTTTGTGGTCCCACCCTGCCAGCTGGCATCGAGACCTTGTCTCAGCCCTTGCGTCGTCCGTTCCCGATCCAGCGTTGGGCGGTATCTAGCGTTGGGCGGTGTGGATACCTACAGCAGTGTCAACAACCCCTCCGCCGCGCTGGGCCGCTACCCACTACCCACTACCCACTACCCGCTGTCCGCTACCCACGCACACACCGCCACTCCCGCATCCCGCCCCGCGCCATCTGAGCACTTCGTGCTTCAGTCGCTATTCTCGTCCAGTTCGATCTCTTTGCCCTTCCGTTTCTCTTCTCTCACATTCCTTGGCTTGGCTCTCCTATCCGGTGACCCTGCAAACAACCAATTCAAACGCAACCCCCACCTCCCGTGACGTGACGGATAATACGTGCGGGATTTACCCCGATTCTCTCCCTGCCTTGCCTGATAGGATGGATCTGTTTCGGCTTCTACGCTCTGGCCACCGCGGCAACCCCTTGGGCAACCCCGTCTCTGCCGTGGCGCGGCTGAACCTGCAGCCGAAGCCGCTCCAAAACCCCGACAAAGACGTCCTCGTCGGTGCTGTGCTGGCCCTGGGGCCCAGTCTCCAGCTCGCCCTCCACATCCTCCTCGACCTGTTACCCCTGGAAGAATCCCGGGAACGCCTGGCCGAAGTCTTGTGCCCTACGCTTGGGCAACTGCAACACTCCCTCGAGGATACCTTGGCATCCTTGAGGGCTATCAAGGATGATGTGACACAGCTGCATCCCAAGCGGCCCGACGAGACCGCCACCCCGAAGCATCCAAGCTTACTCGTGCTCATGCCCGAGCCTGATTTCACTGGCAAGTTGGATGCACGAAATGGTGACGTTGTTACCATAGACGATGTGGAACTTCAGACACTAGATGGTGTATATGTCACGGAGGTACCTCAGATGGTGCACAGCCCAGAAGAGGACCCGGAGCACAGCCTAGACGAGGACCCCGAGCACAGCTCAGACGAGGACCCCGAGCACAGCCCAGACGAGGACCCGGAGCGACCAGAGCAGCTAGACCAGGCCATGGAGAGGTTCCCACCTCTCGACCAGACGGTCACTCGATCGCCCAATGCAGACTGCATTTGCCAACAAGGGAGATCCGACACTACAACCAACTCACACCTGGCCAAAGAGCTCCATGCGGAGAGGCGAGTTAACGCCGCGATTCAAGTGGCCGTAGACTCGCTGGAGCTTGCAGAAGGACAACTGAAAATCGTCAAGGAAGTCAACCGAATCCACGGGGGCAGTAAGTGATTTTGAAACTCTGGCGCCTTTGCTTTCGTCGAGGAGGCCTTGGTTTGACAAAGAAAAATCGAATTACTGACACCAAACCGCCTCCCCTCGCGCACAGGTTTTGAGCTTCTTCAACAGCACTTTTACGACGGCTATAACAGAATCATTTTCCGGGCGCTCCAGCTTGAGAGCCCAGGGTTTGGCTTGCCTTCCCAGCCCGCAATCCTAGATGCCGTCGTCCCCAAAGACACGGCTCCCCGAGTACACACGGGTCCCCGAGTACACCCGGCTCCCCGAGTACCCAGCCAAGAAGAGGTACGTGCTGCGGAGCCTGGGCTGCAGCGTACTGTCTCTTTTGGGCGCAGCGTAACTATTCCGGCAACCCTCTTAGATTCAGCATCAAGGAACTCCGTGTCCAGTTCACCAGCCTTGGTGAGGCGCAACACGGTGCAGGGAATTGTAGAGGAGCGTGAGTTGACATCTTCCACACGTCAGTCGACATTCTGCCCAGAGCTGACCGACAACTTGACACAGACGCAAGAGAGCGTCCGACGAGGCTGGCGCCGAAGCGTAGATTGTCTCTGGCCGAGGAGCTGGCACTGGCAGCGGATGAAAGCAGCGACGAGGAGGACGATTGGGAGGGAGAAGGCCTGGCTGAAAGCGGCGGAAGCGAACGGGAGTCTCGAGACAGCTCAGCAGACGAGACCGACGAGAGTGACCGTGGCAGCACAGGACAGGGAGAAGAAAGCGACGATAGCGAGGACAACAGTGAAGAAGATGACGAGACGGAAGACGACGAGGATGGCGAGGATGGTACAGGGCTGGATCCGAAAAATCACCTCAAGGGAGCACCGACAGTCACTGCTCGGCCGAAAAGACCCTCAACAAGCGCCACTAGAAACGGCTGATACCTCAATATATGAAATAGAGTAAAGGCGTTCAGAGGTCCAGCCGTCAAACGGACCTGCCACGGGAGTCTAAAGTCGATCCTAGCATCTGAAATACTTCACTATAACAAGTGATTGCGCCTTTTCTTTTTGTACCAGTATGCTTAACTGCAATATCCACATACATATTGTTACCCTGAAGTAATATTGCTTAGGCTATATTCCAAAATGAAAGATTGGGTGACTAAGTAGCTAAGGAGGTACGCGAATAAAATATTTGGCCAAAGACACCCAATATCCAGGATTCCAGAGACTCTGCCTCGAGGATCATATGTTCCTTGCATAATGGTATGCCTCCCCCAAATCGCTCGCGTGGGCTCCAAGATTATAAATTCGCTCGTTGCGACCCCAACGGCCCTCAAATATCTCTCTGTCCCATCATCTTAGGTCTAGTAGTCTTCTGGTTAGCCAAAGCTCATTACATGGTATACATCCTCAGCGTCTAGTCAGCTCCCTTGAGAGCAGGATGTTCGAACCTTACCTCGAGAGAGGCCTCAGCGTAGAGAAAACACCTGGTCCACTTTGTGCCTTAGACCTTTTTAAGCCTAGGCGTTGCCTTTTTATTTTTATTCTTGTCTTTGGCCCTCTTCTTATCCTCTTCTTTGCATTGAAACAACTTGCCAGTGACAGACGGATTGCCGAACGTTTCGGTAGCATTGTTACGCGCGTCGCACATTCCCATTTCCTCATCATCCTGAGGGGGGTGGGCTTTTAAAGGGCATGGATACTGGTCGAAGTCTGGCGCTCGATGCCACCTAGCGTGTCCGCACCCTTGATAGTTGACCAACATGCACCTGCACATTGTGATATTGTTGATAGTATCTCACCGCTGGAAGCACGGACCGGATATTGTCGAGCGATCCTTTCGTCAAGCCAACGCCTGAGAGGAACCTAATATAAAGTGACTATGATGATTCGAAATAGGCATGTGTTAGCAATAGTATACTCAGTGTTCTGGCTCTAGGAAAGTGAATTAGAAGGTGGGCGTGCAGATACCTGGTTAGTCAATAAGGAGGAAGATGTAGACTTTGTGGAGCAGTGTCGAGAATGGCCAAGTTGAGGAGAGTTTTGGCTCTGGTCTAGCTGCGAGAAGGGCGGTGGTCGACAAAAGAAAATAGAGATATCCTCCTGGGAAAGCCCCTTACTTATAGATATTCCTCGCGTAGGAAAACAAGCCACGTGCCGTTCTTCTATGAGCGGACTGACTGGTGGGCAGGCGGAGCTTCTCTGACAAAATTGCCAGTTCGACGAGGTCACATTTCCGAGACTGGGAACCGGTGTCAACTCACGGGGCCTAAGTATGTCATTTGACACTGAGACCGAGTTCCGAAACAAGAAGAAACATTTCATGTCTGGGCTGGGGTAGGTGTCTGATCAAGAGAGTGGGAAATGAAATAATGAAGCCGCGGCATGTTGCTAACTGATATATAGTTAGGTCAGGCGACGACCGCCAGCTCGGATGAAGTGCCCAAGAGAACACTCTTGACCAATACCCGATAGTTTAGCGGGCAAGAATGATAATGAATATCTGGAAGGAGAGATTGAAGTATCGTCCAATTGCACCTTTGCAGTGGAGTTGACAACTCCGCTCTCCGGAGTCCCCGTGGAGTCTGGTGGCAGGGCAGCTGATGAGGCATCCATCGCCCTGGCCCTCGTCAGCGTGACGATCGGCACGGCCGCTGTGGCCCAGAGCGTCCGCGACTCTCGCCTATCGAGCATCGTCGCTGCTACGCGCACCCCCTACCTTGGCGACCTCCTGTGGAAATCGTCCTAGTGGGGGGAGGTGGCCGCGTGAGATTTCCAGGGTGCGTGCAGACTACGGTCTTATTGCGGACGGCTTGAACACGCTCGGCTAACAAGCCGTGGTCCGTAACAGCGTAGGGGCTAAGCTCAACACGCCAGCTACCTCTGTAGTAAGTAGGTACATATAACCTTGGCTATATTTCATAGTGCAAGAATATAAAGGGCTTCAGGGCTTTTCCAGGGAGTTGGACAGGCTTCTAGGCCAGGGGTAGTGCTATGGAGGGCGACCCTTTCTTTTGTCCGGAGTCTTCGTATAATTATACATACTCAGTTAATTACTTGCTAAGAATATGTATAATGCGGCCTTGGTCTACCTAGCAAGTGCCTCGGTACAGAGCTCTCTCCCGATGCCGGAATTACCACCAAATGCATTCCTTCGACCCAAATTGTCACCGCATTTCCCCATTCGGAACTGTGTGACGAGGCTCGCATCATCACCACTGAGAACGCTAACTAGCGGCTACCTGGAGCCTTGACAGCTTCACGAGTTCATAGCCAATCTATTCATATTTTCTTGCAAAGCATTATTGCATTCTGAAATTCTCCCCGCGACCCTTTTTGGGGTTTCTGGTCATTTTAGCAAATACCACTTGGTTGTGCTGTGGTAAGGCAATTTGAACCCAGGTGACAATAGAGCCGGCTTTGGGTTGTGCCACCTAATTGTTCTCAGGGGCATGATTGGCTCAGAAGGCCGGGAATTAAAAGATGGAGGGTGGTATCGGTCCTCAGCTCCAGCGACTCGCAATCATTTCTGCAAGCCAAATATGGTCCAGACCGGCCCGACCCATCCATCATACGCGTCCCACGGCATTATAGGTAATTAGAGCTCTTACCCCCCCGATCCTTTTCTATCTTTCGGTCACCCTCTTGCATGTCCCTCTTGCATGTCTCTCTTGCATGTCTACCGGCTCTACCTCCCGACTCTATCCATCTTCATCGATTGACATTCCCATTTACATCACCGAAGATGGTGTCTGGTGATCTGCCAGATGATGCAATAGAGAAGCCCTCCGCACCACCCGAATCACCAGTGACGCCCTCTGAGCCTCTACTCGATCTGTTCCGTGTGGAAACCACATTCAGCGGACGGACACTCACCAATCGCAATGAGTCTCTGTCTAGGGAAGCCCCTCCACTCGACAGCCTTACCAAAACTGTCTCGAAGGAGATAGACGACACGGGCTGCTGGGCACGGTCTTCTCGGGCAACTATTTCCCCCGAATTCAGCGCAGCTGGTTTGCAGTCGCAGCTATTCCAGACACTCCACGACCAGCGAAATGTTTTCCTCCAGAGAAACAACTTTGCCAAAGAGACCGATATTGACATTCTTCGAGTCTCTTGCGGCGAGGGAGGTGGGCCATCCAAAACTTCACCACCGTGCTTATATAGCCAGTCCCACTGATTCAGGGCTGGCTGCGGAGACAGTGTTTCTTCCAAGCCAAAACACTAGGCAGGTTGACGCAGCTATCAATGTGAATAGCAACCTTTCGGTAACAAGCAATGATGCCTGGCACTGACCGCACAATAAAGGCACTCTCGACAGAAACCTGCGGTTGTCCTAGGCTTCTGGTATTGTAAGTCATGGTTTACATCGACTACCAAATTACAAAGGACCCCAATTGCGAAGACTTGGACCTGACAGGGAGCGCCAGGTTTATCAAGCTTGAAAAGTCAAAAGAATCGGCATTCAACCAGAAAGTATCGATTTCTCTAGAGCAAGCCGAAACAATATTTAGCCAGTTCGACATCCATGGCGGATTCATGGGGGACCTCATTGGCCGACCTGACTACTGGTCGGCTATCAACAGATGCAAAAGCGAGGGCGACAAGGTGGATGACGTGTTTGGTATGTGTATTTTCTCCGTGACCACCACCCCCAGAGTTGATACGAACTGACGCCACCGGGAAAATAGAGTTCTTCTGCCAGCATCCGCGGTGGGCGCAATCCTCGCGTTACGAGAAAGGCCTACCGCACGCTTTGCAAGGTCACCGGGCCCCGTGCTCCGTCTATATGCATCACTCAAAGGCTCGGAATCTGACCTTGTACATGATTGCTGCCTCTGAAGCCGAAGACTGGTTTCCTTCGCTACGACAAAGAATCGGTATCAACACTGACAGTCCAGATCGGATTCCTCAGCAAGTCTCGACGGCGTTGGCCCTCAGTCCCTTCATGATCCATGCTATCATGTCCGTCATCGCCTTTGAGCAGTCAATCGATTACGTTGCGAGTGTGCGAGATAAGTTGATGACGCAGGTGAGTTGCACATTCAACATCACTCCTAGCCAATTGGCACCTCTATTGTTACTAATAACCTTGGGTCGGAGGTGGAATCAGATCAAACACGTGAACGATTACTCGACCGACAAAGGGCCTCATAATACCAAGCTCCGAAGAAGTGAGATGGAGGGCCGAATTCGACTTGAAAACATCACCAAGGAGCTACATCTTGTGTCTCAGACCGCCGACTCTGGCATCGCGGGCAGTCACATGTCCATCAAAATCGCCGAAAAGATGCTAGAAGCTCACTCGATGCACATTATGCCGACAACGACCAAGGAACCACGACAACAAGAGAGTCCGGCAGCTGCGGCCGCCTTCATCCGTGATACACATGGTATGCTCCAGTACGTGCGGGACTCGTTCTACAGCCAAAAGGACTGGCTCACGAGCTACAAAGCCCGGAAGGACACTGCGATGAACTTTGTAAGTTTCACCCAGCTAGGTACAGGGATTGGCAACTTTGTCGGGCTGAGTCGCATACAATAACAGGTCTTCAACATGGTCACGCAGCAAGACAGCGCCACAAACGTAGACATCTCGTATAAGATGTCAAACGACAGCTCTTCCATGAATGCAGTCACGATCCTCACCTTGATCTTTCTCCCTGGGACTTTTCTCTCGGTAAGCAACAACCATCCAAGTTAAGACAATAAGAAAGCGCGAAAAAGAAAAGGCATGTTGCATTCTTAATTTTTTTTTTAACTGCCAGGCAGACTGTCTTCTCAAGCGTAGCATTTTCGACATCTGATTCGGGCGCGGCGCAGACCACCGAGTGGTTGCTTCCCTTTGTTATCGCCGGTGCCATCCTGACCCTCTTCTGTCTGTCAGTGTGGTACTTTCGAAATCGCCTTGCGGTCTGGCGGCAATACATTTCCTCGAAAGCGAACAAGGCATTTTTGAAGGCGAAGGCCGGCGGCGTTGTTGGGGAAATGGTTTAGGCGCGGCTACGGTATCTATTAAGTTTTGGAAGCTGAATTGGTGGAACATCCACGGCGAGCTGATTCCGCCTTTTGACGCTTGGCGTTTTTACTTGCCCACACATATTCGTACATGGGTGTCCCACACGTCATCCCGTCAGATGGGGCTTTCATGCAGGCCGTCGGCCCCGATAGCGGGCCTGAAACTGAGGCGGGGTTTTTGCGCCGTCTCACCTCGTGTTCTTTGCGTCCGACAGAGCGTAGATTTATATTTAAACCAACATAGCTCACGCCAGGTCCTTAATTTCACTTGTTTTGCCTGTCGCTCGGAAACAGAGATCACGAATTTTCGCAATGGAGCTGGACGAAGAGCGGATATGCGCTGATTTCGATCGACAGGTCGAACAAGGCATTGTCATCTTCAATAAAGATTACCAGAGCTTCGTCAATTCGGACAATGGGTTTCAGGCAAGCCTCTTGGAGCGAATGGTAACCGACCGGTGGAAATAGCGAAACTAACATATCTCAAGTTCGAATTCCGACTCCTCTCAGGTCTCGACCGTAAACCAAAGGCCGGATCAGTCGAGCAGCCGGCAACGTCTCTGCCAGGACGGCAAAGAAGCTCCGGACCCCGGCCAGGCAGCGACATCGACGTCAGCGGGTACGAGATGGCAGAGATTGGGCCGACTCACCTCCTCGCCCTCAACAAGTTTTCTGCCGCAAGACCGCACCTCCTTCTCCTCACACAAGACGGCTTCAGGAGGCAGCATGAAGCGCTGGATATCCAGGATTTCACCGCCTTGTGGCAGGTCCTGTCTTCGCTAGGCGGCGGCCGGAAGCGGTACCTGGCCATCTTCAACTGCGGCATCGACGGCGGGTGCAGTCGACTGCACAAGCACATGCAGCTCTTTCCTGCTCCCGACGCCGACAAGTTCGCGCTGTGGCCAGACTCTAGTGATGGCCCGTCAGTGCAGCAGCAGGTAGCAGCAGGCCTGCCGTTCAAATGCTTCATCCATCGATTTGAGAATGGGCTCCCGTTGGCCGACGCCCTTTTGGGAATTTACCAGACACTTCTCGCCCAGGCCGAGGACGTTCTCGATCGCATTCATGAGAAGAAGTCGGAAGAAACAGGGGCGGACGAGGCGATACCGCATAACGTGGTGCTGGACAGGAATTGGATCTTGGTTGTTCCGCGACGAGCTGCCGGGGTGAACGGGGCCGATGCAAACGCGGCCGCTATGCTGGGAATGGTGTGGGTGGCCAACGACCAGAAGCTGAGGCCGTGGATGGAACATGGGCCAGCTAATGTGCTGGCTCGCGTTGGTGTGCCGGCTGATATTAACTAGAAAGGAAGGCGACATTCACACCCACCCCTTGGGCGGCCACACAGACTATTTCGGTAGATATCACACGCACAAGACACTTCTCTATAATATTTGGATTATGGCAATACAAGAACCGGAAGGTTTATACCAGCTGTTCAACAGCCCGAGTGACAGTAGCTGGCTGTCATGAATGGCCTGCAACACGATTAGTTGGGTGGCAAATCGGGTGGCAAATCGGGTCGCAAATCGGTTCGCTCGTATAATTATATGTGGCAAGGTCGTGGAGCGGCCGCGGCGCGGTCGCTCCGACCAGATTGCGGCCGCGTGGCGACCCGGCATTGAAACCGGTCACTAGCTAGCCGGGCCACGGCTGACCGTGTGGATGGGCTCAAAGAGTGTGTTTGTGCTCAAGTCACGCATGGCGTTCCCAAGTCGCACGATTGCAATCCAAACTCAAGACGAAGTAAAACAATTCTCGAAGAGTAATATTAATATGGGGATACCCGCAAAATGGTCAAGAAACGATGCAGACTCACCCTCCCAGGCATGGACGCCCATACCTACCGCATGTAATTATGAGTGCCTTCGGTTCCTTCGGTCTATCGCATACGACCATAGGCACTGGAAATTTCAGGATCCCGTCCGTTCTCCCTTAGACAAGCCAACGACCGCAACTGTTGTCGGACATTTAGGTTTGGAAGACGATGCAAATAAATCCAGGCTTGGCATAGTGCTTGGCATAGTCATGAGACCACCGGCCCAGACCTCATCAGACGCTCAGGGCGGTAATGGTGAAGACTAAAAGCGCACCAATGGTGTTAGTATGTAGCCATGGTCCGGCAGCTTGGAACTCGAATTACCATTTGATGCCGGCGTATCCAAGGCCGTGTCCCGATAGCCTTGCACATCTGATACCCCATCGAAAAGAGTGGCCAAGTTGGTAACCGGGTTGAGATTGCCGTGGCAGATGTCGACGACGCGTTGCTGGCCGGCGGTGTTTGTGAAGACGGTGTAGCAATGTGAAAGGAAAGGTTGACGCCGCGCGTCGTCCTTTGCCACGTTCCAGGGATCGTCCGCACCACCGACGCCCGCGTTTTGCCAAAACGGGTTGTTGCAGTTGATATGGGCTGGTGAGTTCTGCCACCCGAATAGCGGCCCGGGGGTAATGTAACCAAACGGCCTGTCGTAGGTCACGGCAACTCCCGCAACAAACTAAAACCGCCAATAACAGTTAGCCGAGGCCGTGGGTATAGGGAGGGATGGAGGACGTCAGAAGGACAGCAGGGAGTCGGCAACGTACAGCGCCACCTCCCGGTCTCTGGCCGAGGGAATCGACAGTCAACTTGACCAGACATGCAAGATCGTAGCAGTTGCAGGTACACCTGTTCGGGGGCTTCGTTATAATGGTCTCCAAGTTAAACTCGGTGCCGTTGAGTATGTGCTGCGATGCTCCGCCATAGCCTCGGCGACAGTCGTAGTACAGCGGCGCTCCATTCACTCCCGTGTTCCACAGCCGGGCTGCGATGTCACGAATGATTCTTGCTTCCAGAGCACCGGCTGCTAAGCCCGCAAGAGTGACGTAGTCAGGAGCAGACAGACGGAGGAGCTCCAAGAAGAAGGTGGTGGCAAAGATGCCGGGATGGCTATGTGGCCCCAGCAGAAAGTACATCTCAAGGCGAGTGGTGGGGGCGATGGCAAGAGTGCTGTTGTCGGCAGCCCGCAACATGGTCCATTGCCAGTTGCCGGCAACTTTGAAGGGGGAAAGGGGGTTCAAGGCGCCGTTTGAGAAGACAGTGGCGGTAAAGGCCACGTTTGCACCCCCCGGCCCAGAGTTGAACGACTGACTCGTGATCTGAAAGTTTCCGGGACCGGTGCCTCTTAGGCGGTAGTTGGCTGCGGCCAGGGGGAAATCGCAAGTGCCTCTCACCGTCAGTGGAATGTGGTTGGCGTCGAAACGAAAGGCGACGGGATGCTGTCCTTGGTCGACTGGGCCGGGCACCGGTTCTGTCCTGTCAAAGATGGCGTCGTTCACAACAGTGCTCGCATGTGCCGCCCCGAATCCCTGTCTGATGTTGTAGTTATTTACATCTCCGTTGACCCTGGAAATGTCGGTGACGGTGAAGGTAGCCATTGGGAATCACTGGGTTGGCCTTGGAGGTGTGAGTGTTGAGAGTTGAAAAGTATGCGTAGGGTCTAGGAACAGACCTTGAAGAGAGTCCAGACACTGATGATGGTATCTATGCAGGGATGATGGCATTCATTCAGGAATCCAAATAGCTAGACCCTAGGTACGGGTATCTTGGTAGGTAGATAGTTAGCGGAGAAGGGGTAACAAGGCAGATGACGGGTCGACATTTGTACTCAATTCTAGCTTGACTGCGACCTTTTAACATCCAGGTCCATCCAAGTAGGCAAGCACTAAATCCCTAGGTATCTCGTATCACATCCTTTGCCATGGGCTGTTTGGTGACGCTGCCATCTGCGGTCACTCATCTGCGGTCACTACTTCCAGGTTTGTGCGTCATCTCCTCTGAGCGGTCGATACCTTAGCTCCGTACGCGGAGACGTTCCAGAGTCAGCTGGAGGATCAAATTTGCGCGAGGGGCACTCCGCGCTTGGGATCCAATAGTTGGGGGAATGCTTGGCGGGAGCCGGGCGAGTTGGTCCTATCAAAGCATCAGAGTCCCAGACCAAGCAGACAAGCACGCAGACTAATACTGCAGGGTGCCGTAGGGCTGAAAGCCTAGACCCAATAGTGCCACTGCGGTGTCCAGTCTGTCCCGCGGTATTCCACGAAAGGACAAGCCGGGGATTACTAGCCAGCCACTAGCTGACCGGGCATCATCTTCAGCTGGCACTAAACACGCCTGCATGCAGCCCTAAACCTCGTTAACTTGCCTAATGATAGTGGGCAGCACCCGGTAGCCTGTCTTTGTTCTTGATGAATCAAGACCGGGGACAGGAGAAAGACTCGGTGGGCGAAGGTACTCGCCCATCCTCTTCACGCAAGGTGTAACACGGGGTGGAATAATTGCATAAATCTGGCCGCAGAGGATTCGCTCATCACCATTCCTCACGAACACCATTCCTCACGAACACACCAATTCAACACGCATCATCAGTCAATCCGCACGCATCATTAGTAAGTCCGCACGCATCATCAGTCAATCCCCACGCATCATCAGTCAATCCCCACGCATCATCAGTCAATCCCCATGCATCATCAGTCAATCCCCACGCATCATCAGTCAATCCCCACGCATCATCAGTCAATCCCCACGCATCATCAGTCAATCACCACGCATTTAAGCGTGCATTTCTCCTAGGATGCATCTCTATTATATCTCTATTGATCTGATATATCTCTATTGATTCTGCTGAATAGGCGTCCTTGACTATCTGCTCGACCTGCAAGCTCCATGGCGGCAGCAACGTCAATATCACCTTTGCCCGCCGCAGCTCCGGCTTCGCCTGAACCCGCGATTTCATCAACTCTTTCAACCCAGCCGCCAACACTGTCCAGGTCGGCAGCCGACGTGTTTGCGTCGGCCGTGACGGGCGACCTCAAGAGCACCACCAAGAGCAATGCGCCCCTAGACGCCCCGTCTCTGGCTCTCTTGGTCACGGGTACGGGAATTTTCGGACAGAAACCGTCGGTACAGACGGTCAGCGCCGCCATTCGACCTACCTACGCCCACGCCCAATATGGCATTGACGATAGCGCTGGGACTACGTCGAGCCGGGTTGTGGTTGAGATTGCTCACTACACGGATGCCCCCTTGGCCCAGAACGCCATGCGGCAGCACCTCAATACATTTGACGCCGACGTGAGCCTGATTGCGACAAAGACGGATAAACCTCTCGGCCAGGTCTCTCTGCAGACTGCTGGCAGCGTCTTGTGGGTCCGAGATGCACTCTGGGTCAGGGTGGAAGCAGTGTCGCCCTTTGCTCCTCCAGGTGAGTAGCGAAACATCATCGGCGTCGTCAGCGTGCACCCAGCCATTCTAGACATAGAGGCATGTAGCATTCAGCTGAGACAGTTCTTTGCCGACAAAGTGCCACCCAAAGTTCCTGGTCTCGCAGTCCTACCTGCGTCGCCAGGTACTCCCGGAACCAGCGCTACGGGCGGCACGCGCACGCCTTTTCCGTCGCCGTCGGGCGCGAAAGAAGGCCCAGCTGTGCCCATCATCGACAAGCTTCTTGGCCTCGCCGGGGCTCTTGATAGCCACTTGGCCAAATTCGCTGTGCCACCAGCGACGCAGCTGAAGCCCAACACGGCCGTCAAAGCGGCATCGTGGAAGGGAAAACGCGGAGCCGAGTTCAGTTTTCAGCTTGTCGACGCCAAGGGCACGCATGTCATCAAGTCAGCCGAGCCGGTGCCGGGGGGCGGCGCACAGGAGCTGGTATCGCCCATGCGCAACGGGACGGCTGCGGGCGAGTACCCCTTTATCGCGTGTAGAGAGGGCAAAGGTAAGGTGTATTTGGTTGTGGCTAAGGCAGATACCCTGGCAGTGGGTGTGGCCGAGGTGACGGTCGAGGTTGTGGCTCAATAAGTCAGTCTCGCGATCTTTGGGTAATTAATTAGATGCCTACCTTTGGTACCTTGGGTATTTCTGGTTTAGTCATTCGTCTTTTTGGACGATTCTTGCATTTCAAGTTCAAAAATCCCATTTAACCAGAGCCTTTGCATCACGGGAAAATTTGGGGTTGAGCGGCGGGCTGAATATGGCACGGGCTGAATATGGCACGGGCTGAATATGGCCTGGGCATTATTATCTGAGCAAGGCACGCACGAGGCCCGGCGCTGACGAGCACGCCATCGTGTGCCTGGCACGCGCAAGATGATGCGACACGCGAGGCGTCGCATCATCGTGCGCGTGCGACCACCCGACCATCCACAACTGACAAATCCGCCAGCTGCGCCGTTCCATGGGTACCTCCCTACCCAAGGTAGCCACTTGATCAAATGACGACCTGTTCCTTCCTCGACATGGCCGAGACGGACAACCTCAGCTTGCAACGGCCAAAGTTCCACACCAATGCTATTCAAGCTCCCGTTTAACACATAAAGGCCTCCGTTTAGCAAACAAAGGCCTCCACGGCCGGCGCTCTCATCTTTGCACCCCTGCGACCTTCAGGCCACAGACACAGACAAAGGCCGCCCATAATGTCTGGGACCGCAGCCGAAGACCCTGGCACGCAGCCGCTCCTGCGCCCCTTTAGTCCGGGCGGTCCGGGGGCAGACTACAGCAGCATCCGCAAGTCGACCGATTCCGACGCCTCGGTCGAGTCCCGAGCCGAAGGCGCCGACGTGGGCAGGTCAGTCGAGGACGGCGTGGGCAGGTCAGTCGAGGACGACGTGTTGCCCGAGACAGCCGTGCTCGGGCGGAACCTCGGATGGAGCAGCGCCTACATCCTCATCATCTCGCGCGTCATCGGCAGCGGCATCTTTGCCACCCCCGGCACGATCGTCTCATCCGTCGGCAGCATCGGCTTGAGTCTGCTGCTTTGGATTGCCGGCGCCCTGGTCAGCTGGTGTGGGCTAGCAGTCGCTCTTGAGTACGGAACCATGCTCCCCCGGTCTGGCGGTCCGTCCCCCCTCTCGCGCTCCCCAACCCCCTTTTCCATCTCGCGCTGCTGTTTGTTTGTCATGGGAGACTGATGACGCGGGGGAAAAAGGCACCAAGGTCTACCTCGAGTTCACCTACCGATGGCCGCGATTCCTCGCTTCGACCCTCGTCGCCGTGCACGCCGTCGTCCTGGGCTTCACCGCCAGCAACTGCATTGTTTTCGGGGAATACATTCTTTTTGCGTCCAGCAAGGAGCCCGACCCGGCCGCGGTCAGACTGCTTGCCGTCGCACTCATGACGAGCGTGACCGTCATGCACGGCTGTTTTCTGCGGACGGGCATCTTCGTGCAGAACATGCTGGGATGGGTCAAGATCGGGCTGGTGGCGTTCATGGTCGCTGCCTCGGCCGCCGTGGTCGTTTTGGGATACAGTCGGGACTTTGACGACCACGGCACCGCCTCTAGACAGGCCGAATTCCCGACGACTTGGGACGGTCTGTGGGAAGGCTCTGTGTGGAACTGGGGCATTGTTAGCACTGCCCTTTTCAAGGTCTTCTACTCCTACGCCGGCCTCGAGAACGTCAACAACGTCATGAACGAGGTGCGGGACCCCGTGCGTACTCTCCGCTCGGCGGCCACGACGGCGCTCATTACGGCGTGCTCGCTGTACTTTCTCGTCAACGTGGCCTATTTCCTTGTTGTGCCACTCGACGACATCAAAGAGAGCGGCGAGCTGATTGCCGCCCTATTCTTCGAGCGCGTCTTTGGCCCGACGTTTGGCCGCATCTTTCTGCCCCTGGCCGTTGCCGTGTCGGCAGCAGGAAATGTGATGGTCGTCACTTTTGCTCTGGTAACTAATTCCATGCCCATCCGTGACGAGTCCCCCTGCATCATCGACATGGTCTAACCCTTTGGAACGAAATCTCTTGCCTCGCCTTGTTTGGATTGCCCAGTCGCTAACTGCCTGCCGTGCTGCAGTCGCGTCTCAACCAAGAGATTGCACGGCAGGGCTTCTTGCCATTTGGCAGCGGGTTCTTGTCGTCGTCGCTCCCCTTCGGCGCTCCTCTCGGCGGCCTTCTGGTGCACTATGTCCCGTCTGTCGTGGTTATTTGCATCCCCGCCAAGAACATTTACTCCTTCATCCTCGATGTTGAGGGCTACCCAGGCCAATTTTTCTCTCTGGCAACATCCTTGGGTCTCATCTGGCTGAGGACAAAACGGCCCGACCTCCAAAGACCCTACACGGCGTTTCTGCCAGCCGTATGGTTCAGGATTCTTCTGTCTCTGGCTCTCATCACCGCGCCCTTTGTGCCGCGCGCTGGGGAGGAGGGCAGTGCCCATCTGTTCAGAGTCAGCTACGCTCTTGTCGGGATATCGGTGTGAGTTTCCCTGCACGCGGCCAAAAGCTGCCCGTTGTGAATTTCGATATGTTGCTAACCAGACCATCTACTCTCTGAAGAATCCTGTTCGGCGTGCTGTACTGGCTTTTCTTGGCAGTGTTGTTACCATCTTGGGGCCAATACCGACTCGAAGAGGCTGCAGATGTGCTTTCCGATGGAACCACCGTTACAAGACTGGTCAGAGTGCCACGAGAAGACAACACATAAAGCACATGATTATCCCAAACCAGAAATTACTTACCAACTTAACTTAATGACCATGTAGTAATTAGGGACAGGTACTGAACCTCCCTGGTTACCCTTCGCTTGTCTGACGACTTTTGCCCCTCGTGCTCACGCCAAGGACTCCATGCATGATGACGCGGGCTAGAAATACCACCTGGTGCTCGGCCACACACCATAATGACGATTACCACGTCCCCAAACCCCATTGGGTACCCCGCGCGTAAGCTTGCATTTGACCTGCTCTCCATGGTCAGGGTAAAGACGAATTAGGAAGGCGACGGGAGAAAAGGGCCCCAGCCGAGACAGAAAGCCGTTGATTAATTGATTAATTCACGCTAGAAGCCCCATTCACGCAGGTATTGCCGTCGGCAAAAGCCCAGGGTTCCCTCTCTGTCGTGTTTCAACTGTCCGCAATCATAGTACCCTCCCGGCCATCCCAGCCCTCCAAGCCCTCCCAGCCCTCCCAGCCCTCCCAGCACATCGAGATCATCTAAAGACGCTTGCAGTAATTAGGCCCCAAACCAGGTCAACAATGACGAGAGTCACAGCGGGTCAACTGGACCAAGCGCCGCCATCCGCCGAAATGGTCTCCCAAAACAACAATGGCTTCAGGCCTAGCCCGCCGGCCCCTCGGGTCCGGCCCAACATATCGACAGCCTTTGGTATCGCCATCCGCGGCAGTGGCCCCCAGAACGCGACTGTAGACGACGGCTTCTCTGCCAACGGCGACGTGGTTTCCCACAAGGAGCACTCTTATACCGTCATCAAGGCCGATCTCCTTATACCTGGAGACGGCGAACCCATCCCCCATGGGGCTCTGGTGATCAAAGACAAGATCATTGCCTGGGTCGGCAAGCAGTCTGAGGTGCCCGACAAATACGCATCGGCGCCGCACCGCTCAGTCTCGGTACCGTACCTCATGCCTGGGCTCTGGGAAGTCCATAGCCATTTCGGCGGCGAGTCGCCCGACGACTACGATCTAGGCCTTGCCGTCTTCATTACCGAGCACCCGGCGAGCTCGGGCGCGAGGCTCGCCAAAGGCTGCTGGGAGTCGCTGCAGAGGGGATACACATCGCTCAGGGACGTGGGCGGGCTCGGCTGCGAGGTCGCGAGGGCCATCAGGGACGGCACCATCATCGGCCCAAACATCTACTCGTCGGGAGCCGTGTTGAGCCAGACGGCCGGGCATGGTGACGTCTTCTCCTTACCTGCCGGCGACGTTCTCCTGAATTTGGGTGTCTCGAATATCACGCCCGGCCATTTCGGAACCAACATGTGCGCGATAGTGGACGGCGTCGAAGAGTGCCGCCGCGCCGTCCGACTGCAGATTCGACGCGGCGCCAAGGTCATCAAGGTGTGCGCATCGGGCGGCGTCATGTCTCGCGACGACAACCCGCTCTACGCCCAGTTCTCGCCCGAGGAGCTTGACTGTATTGTCCGGGAGGCGGGGCGTCAGGGCATCGTCGTTGCCGCTCACGTTCACGGCAAGCCGGGCATCCTGGAAGCGGTCAAAGCGGGTGTCAAGACGGTCGAGCACGTGTCGTTCGCCGACCGAGAGTGCATCGACTTGATCAAAGAGAAAGACGTCGTCTACGTGGCGACGAGGACCGTCATCGTGACGCTCCTGGCAAGTGGAGGCAAGGGACTGTCCAAACAAAGCTGGGAAAAGTTGAAGCTCGTGGCGACGAACCACGAGAAGGCATACAAGCTCGCCATCAGCCAGGGCGTCACCACTGCGCTAGGAACCGACACACCTCCTGGCTTCAACTCGGCTGTTGAGCTCGAACACGCCGTTGCGTGCGGCATGACCAGCCTCGAGGCGATCAAGGCGGCAACAGCCAACGGGCCCCTGACTGTCGGCCCGCAAGCGCCGCACACCGGCCAGTTGAAGGCGGGATATGAAGCGGACGTGATCGCGGTGGCCGAAAACCCCGTTGAGGATGTCAGGGTTCTGCAAAAGCACAAGAACATTACCTGGGTGTGGAAGGGCGGGAGCGTGTTCAAGGGACCCGGTATTGGTCCATGGGGCGAAGATTACACGTTGGATGATAGTGTCGAGATGGGTCTAGACTAGGAGTCTAGGACAAGCAACCTAGACAGTGTGGGCAACCCAGACAGTGTGGCTCGACCTAACATGCAAGATGTTTATTGAAGGCTATTTTCAGACATTCTGCGCCACAAAGAGTGCTTCTGCACGTGGGTGCTCCTAATGGGCCGGCATGTAAGTGCCTGGCAGAGTTCTAATTAGACACCCTCCGAAGCATCACGTCAAACGCTCTTGGATTGATGCTGGCCGCCACGCCGTCCAGGCTAAGGTTGAAGACAAACTCTTCCAAGCCAACAAAGTCGTAGTTGAAACGATCCATTGTCCCCCAATTCACACAGCTTCCGTCTTGCATCACCACTTCGGCATCGAACTTCTGCCCCTCGGACTCAGATACTTGATCAAAAACCATGCGCCAGCCCGTCTGGTTGGCAGCCTGCAGGCCAGACGGATATAGTCGAGCGAGACCTGGTATAGCCTTTGACGAAGGCGTGACGCTGTACTTGGGAAAATTAGCCAGCACGTCGAAGCCTCGGATAGTCCAGTTCGCCAGAACTAGACCCGGGCCTCCGTCCATGTCGAGGACCACAGTCGAATTCGTGCTGGAGTCCGAGTAAGTGCCGACAAAGTTTGCCTTTGCCACATTCCTGCTGGCCTGGTCGACAGCGGGCACGATGGCCTTCAGGACCTGCGATACAATGTTGGCGCTGAAGAAGAAAGCGGCCGATGCTTCGGGCCCGGCTGTCATGACACTTATGACTAGATCATAGTCGGGCACTAGGGCGAACATGGAGTGGTATAGGCCTAAATCGCCAGCCTTGGTGTAGATTTCGACGAGCCGTCCGTCTGACGTCAATCGGTCCGATCGTTCTATCTCCCACGGCGCGCCGAGGAATTGACCCGCCGAGGAGGTGAACACGTGGGGCTTTAGCCACTTCCTCGTCTTGGCTTCACCCAACAAGTCGTACTTCAAAAGGGCAGTGCCAAATTTCAACATGTCCGCGGTGTTGGAGTACATGCCGCCAGCCCTACAAGGTGTTTGGCCGTGTCAGCCGGGGGGCTCGCGAGTGGCTGCTTTTCGGCAGAGACGAGTAATTATTTGGGGGAAACTTACGAATCAGAAACACCCAAGCTCAGGCCCCAAGTCGACTCGTTGACAGGAATAAAGGCCCATTGGTCGGATGAGGGTCCCTGGATTAGCGTAGTATTGGACATGCCCAGGGGGCCCAGAATGTTTTCGTGCATCAGTTGATCCAGTGTCTTGTTACTGGCAGCCTCGACCACCAGTCCAAGGAGAGAGGTGCCGACATTTGAGTAGAACGGAGCGCTGAATGGCGCGTATTGAGGATGGCGCTTGGTAAATTGACTCAGCAGATCTGTGGCGCGTTAACACATGCCCAGAACGTTTTGTGCTGTGGAGACGGGATTGGTGGGAGGCGCTGACCTCCTGCGTTGCAGGTTTTTGTTCCTCCAAGACCCGAGCACCTTGGACCCGAGTTAGACTTGACGGGGGGGAGACCCATGTCATCCCAGGGCCCTGGAAATATGGCAATATCAAAGGCCACTCGGACAAGACAGTCAGCACCAGTAATAGCATCCGCGAGGGTCAAAGTCTTCTCACTGTCTCTTCCTATCCCGGCAACATGAGAGGCGAGAGCCCCCACCGTGACCTCGTTCCATTTCACCGCTTCGATATCGCTTCCCCTGGGCTGATTTGCGAGCAGAGATGGGAGATATTTGGTGACAGGGTCTTCCAGGTTTATATTTTCCTGCTGGAGGACGGCGAGTACGGTGAATAACTTGGTTGCGCTGCCAATGCGATACACCGAGTTGGCGGTGACAGTCTGTGACCCTCTTTGGAGTTTCTTGTCCGGTGTGAAGTGCAAGTCAACCAGCGGGTTATTCTCGTGAATAGATTGTACACCGATCGAGACCGCCGAGCCTTCGAAGCCGGCGGTGATCAACGCGAACCGATCCTTCAAGGCTTTTACTGCATCTGCCACTGTCGCGTCTCTGCTTGGCTGCTGTGTAGTCGGTAGAACGGGACCCAAAGGCGGACAAGGCTTCCCATTCACTAGAAAGAACGCAAATGCTGCCCATGTGGCCAGAGCCGGGGTGAAAGGGGGTAGCATTGTGTTGGTGAAGTAATGGATTGCTGGTTTGATCAAGAGGCCGCTTTCCTTGGAGTCGTCTGCTCCGTAGTTTCAGAGAACTCCGTAGATTTGGAGACAGGCAGGTGAGAATATATATCGGCTCAGTAATTAATCAATTACCATTGAGTAAGCAGGGCGAGGCGAATGGCCCGTGGAGAACCAGGCTGTAGTAGATTAGGCGACGCGTGTCGCTTGGTCCATCGTAGCCCCTCGCAACCCAGCCGGTGGGCCAGATCAACATCATTGCCTGAAAGGCCCAAAAATTATTATGAAGTGTTTATGAGAGCCGTGCGACGCGCCGTAGCCTGAAGATCAGGGGTCTCATTCCTGCACTAGAATAGACAGTGGGATCTATCCGCTGCGGCTTGGCGACGACGGACGAAGGCAACGTAATCCCTCAGCCACGCAGCCCACGCGATAATTAAGCGGGGTGTCAAAGTGAAAAAAAAGCCTTGCAAGACGGACCGCGACGTTAGACCGAGGCTTCGCTCGCCGCGGCTTGCTAGCCTCGGAACTCAAAGCGGACTTTTCATTCGTTCGGATTTCCTGGGCAGCCTGCCTACTAGCCAGGAGCAATGATGCCGGCAACCATCCCCTCGAGTCCGCGACCCAATCTAGCCAAACCAAGAGATCCACTCCGGCTGGTAAGTTCCTTCTTCTTCATAGCCCGCCAAAAATGCACTAAATACGACTGTCGTAACGACAAGATCCAGGACTTGAACGACCAAGACAAAAACGGACTCATCGCGGTCTCGAGGCGGCATGCGTGCAACTAATAAGCCGCCGCAAGCAAAAAGGAGGGCCGGGACAATGATGACGACATAGAAATAATACCCAACGGTGATAACGAACTCGGGGGGGGAATTCGAAGCAACAATGGGGCTCTCGGGATTCGGGATAAAACGAATCATCCAGTAACAGGAAAAGAAAAGAAGGCTGCAAAAGAAAAGAACAATACGAACCGTAGCGTCGAGGACAGATAGAAGCGCTATGTGGAATCCCGGTGCTTTCGTCCACGACGGGGCATCCTCGAATCTCTGATAAGCTGTGGAAAGGAAAACAAGCGGCGCTAAGACCAAGACGACGCCCGTGGGGGCATCCAGAACAACATCTACAAAATTCCAATTCTGGTCGCGGTTTGTTCGGCCGACGGCCACAAGGATGGAGAGGTAGAGAAGGGGCGGGACCGTGAGAAAGAGAGGCAAAAGAGCCCGAAACGATCTTCTCCGGCTCCAGGCACGAGCGTCGAGCAAATCTCTGGTGGAGCGGACAATACGGGCCATCTGGTCGTCGCCGATGTGGGTTGCATGGAAGACGACCAGCAGCGCCTGCAGAGAAAGCCACGACGTAAGCATGAGGATGCCGGCAACCCTGGCGGCTAAGGGTATGGTGTTGACGCAGAGTTTGACGGCGGCGCCGGCCGCTGAGAGGAAGGTGACTATGTGGACTGGGAGTTCGCGGTGGGTGAAAGCATTGGAGCCCAGGGCTGTGCGAAAGGCATCAAGTCTAGCCCCGCTTGTCTGCTGCGACTGGCTCTCACTCGGGGCAGGCGGCTCTGGACCTTGCTCTAGCTGGGCCGTACTTCGCCGCGTCACGCTGGGCCCGTGATCGGAAGAGGTTCCCGTGGAAACGGCGACAGGGTGGTCTTGCCTCGGGGGAACGACGGCGCTGATGATATTCGTCGTCGCGCCGCTGATATTCGTCGTCGCGCCGCTGTCGGTGGACGGCGGCGAGCCTGGCGGTGGCGGTGGCGTCGGCGGCTCATGGTGGACGGCAGATCGTGTTGTGGATAGGCCGGTCGACTGGTCATGGGCCGTGGCTTCTAGAAGAAGTGCTAGTGGGCTTTCGTCACGATGGCCGTCGGCGTTGGCGCGCACCAAAAGCAAGGCGGCCGATGTTGCGTGCAAGTCGGCCCACAATTCCTTGGCAACCTGTCGCTTGGGTACATGAAAGGGCGCGGATGCCAGGCTAGAGCCAGGCCGTCGTTGCTTCCGCAGGGAGCTGGCCGCGGCGACCAAGAGGTCAACAACGATTGTGGCAGCCTCGAGAGAGCAAGACAGTGGGTTGAGGCGCCAAAAGACGCCAAACCGGCTCCGGAACACCAAGCTGCCATAGGGCTGCGAGACGAGACAGAAGCCAAGCGTCAGAAACAGGCCGAAAATGGCCCCGCGCGAAACCGTGTCACTGTCGCTGCTGTCAGGACAGGGATTGCTAGCGCTGCCGCCATCGATGCTGGTGCCGCCATCGATGCTGGTGACGCCATCGGTGCTGCTCATGCTGGCGTGGACGAGAAGACGTCGCAAACGATGACGGCTGTACTTTGTGAGATGCTATTACCAAGGAAGGTAGGTAAGGTTAGGCGAGGAAACAGACACGTGTCAGGCGGTGCGAGACGAATTTGGAGCCGCGGGGTGCACTTGGAGTCGCGAGGGCATTTGGAGTCGCGGGGGCATTTGGAGTCGCGGGGGCATTTGGAGTCGCGGGGGCATTTGGAGTCGCGGGGGCATTTGGAGTCGCGGGGGCATTTGGAGTCGCGGGGTGCACTATCTGTCGCACAGCCTCAGAAAGTGGCTCAGCGTGCTTGATGTCGTTTCGGCAAGATGCAGTTTTGGGTTAGAGTGCTATTATTCTCCATCCCGGCTAAGCCGAAGTAGGCAGTCAAGATTTACGGACTCCATCTCAATTGATGTTACCATCCCAATTGATGTTACCATCCCAATTGATGTTACCACCAAGATGCAAATTGGCAAGGCTGATATGTTGGCAGCTGCAACTCTCGGATGCATGTTAGTTACACTGGCGTACTGAAGCAAAAACGAAAAGAAAAAGACAAAGAATTGGCATTGCTATGTATGGAGACTGGAGCCAAGAGATACCGCGCCTTTCCATGTAATAAATGCAGCAAACGCCGTGGACCCAAGAACAAGACATGGAAGTCTCCCAATATATAATATATAAAAGGCACCCAAGACCAACAGCATCCCAACTCCACATCACACAGCATACTCCCCTTCAGAACGCTGACTGTCTGACCCCGACCCCGATGCCGACTCTTTGATCGTGGGCGTGACGCTGATCGTGCTCAGATCTCTCGCTGGGATCTGGAACCCAGGCATGCCCAGCCGCACTAGAAGCCGCTCAATGGGAACACGGAGAAGAGGAGCGCAGGCGGCTATGATGATGACCGACTCCTCCATACGAGACCAGAAGAACTCGTCTACCATGAGATAAAAGCCGTCGGGTGAGGAAAAGTCGAAGGTTATCATGAAGTAGAGCTTGGCGATGGCGATACCGCTGGCCAGGAGGCACGACGCCAGGAGGATCGACGTGAGAACCTTTTCGATGAGCGAGCGAGTAAGGCTGCGGATAAGGAAGATGGGAATCACGGCGCACACGATGTCGCTGAACATGGAAAGACCTGTCGACGCAGAATTAGAACCAGTGGCGCTGGTGATACTGAGTAGGTACCTATATAGGTAGGTAGCTAGGTAGGTAGGTAGGCAGCTGGGCAGCTAAGCAGCTGGGCAGCGAGGCAGCGAGGCAGCGAGGCAGCGAGGCAGCGAGGCAGCGAGGCAGCGAGGCAGCGAGGCAGCGAGGCAGCGAGGCAGCGAGGCAGCGAGGCAGCGAGGCAGCGAGGCAGCGAGGCAGCGAGGCAGCGAGGCAGCGAGGCAGCGAGGCAGCGAGGCAGCGAGGCAGCGAGGCAGCTGGGCAGCTAGGCAGCTGGGCAGCTAGACAGGTAACCTCTACCGAGGCAATCTTGCAGGCGCGGACATGCCGGGAGACTCACTGATGTACGCATAGCTAAACGACCAGACATGGGACGGCATGAGGCACTGCGACTGCTTGATGTTGATCTTGTTGGAGATGACGGACTGACACTGGGCCAGCTGGACAACGCAGTACAGGATCATTATGATGGCCTGCAGCACGATGGTCGCCCAAATGGCAACTCTCCACCAACGCTTGGCCGTCACCTGCAGAAGTAGGGAGGCGATGGAGATCCTCGCAAATCCCGACGAAATGATGCTGACGATGAAGGTGGCAAACGTGAGTTTCCCGATCATGGACTGGTCGGCGCGGGGAATGTAAATGGCGTGTCGGCCAAAGCCATGCTGAACCGCAGCCGTCGTGAGGCCGATGGACGCGCACTTGGCAAGCTGCGAAGACACGAGGGCCGTCAGTAAATAAAGATTAAAGAAGCAGTCCCCGGATAACGACGGCTAGTCTAAGTCCACGTATGGAGTGATGGAGGCAAGCATACTAGCGACACGGTTATCGCGTAGTCCGCGGCAGTAAGCGCAAACTTGGGCGACAAGCGGGACCACACGCGTACAACGTAGACGATGAGGGCAATCGCGTAGAGTGCGAACACGGACGCTAGGAGCGTGGGGCCCTTGTTGTCGCTTGCCGGGGGCTTGTTAGCGTCCATAATGGGCCGTGACCGAACATGGATCCAGGTCGGAGCCGTGCTGCGGAGGCTCTTTGGACTGTCGATTCGGCTGCGCTTTTGGTGTCGAGGCCGAGGGAAAACCGTCGATGTTGTTGGACTTGCCGCCTTTCGACGACAGGTCAAAGTGAACATCGGCCATGCTGGACCGAGGGAGAGTTGGTCAGGGAACGTGGAATGATGTGGCTTTTGCTGCAGATCCGCATTCTCCTACTTCGAGCTGAAGACGATTTCCGCGAGCCAATAATCCAGGATGCTGGCTGATGAACAACAAGGGGGGCACGGTTCACTGACCGGAGAGACAGGGACCAGTACCGCGGTCACCTATCGGCCAACCGACCCCTGTATGGCCTAGGGGCAGAACGCACTAAAGTAAGCACCTGTACAGATTTGGCACCCGCCGAGGGGGGAGGTTACACTCTGTATACTTCGGACATACCGATTTTTGGGAGACTTCATCAAAACTGTCGTTAGATTATGAAGGAAGCCCGTACTGGGCACGACAAACGGGAATGGATTGTGCTCTGGCCGTTGGGCGGCCTACGCCCTGGCATCCACAAAGCATCGGCGCATTCTTAACTCTATCGCATTAGCGCGACGCCGTTCGGGTTTGGAGCCCTGGAGGCCACGGCGGGGAAAAGGCCTGGGGGTGGGGAAAGCGGCGACTCTGACAGTCACCCGCCAGGCTGAGAGGGCCCCGAGCGAAAAGGGGTTAGCCAAAGGCACGGTTCCCTGACCCCGGTCCGTCCCGTCAGATTACCAGCAAGAAGCCACAAAGTGACATGTCCATTTCAAGCATGGTGTTCCCCGTATTCCATCACAAGCATTCCGCCATTTTAGTGGTAACCATCCCCCGGCAGAAATGGAACCGACTCCCAAATCGGAAGGTCACAGAGTTACCCAACCCCGCTGGGGCGCAGCGTTCAAATCGCTGATTCATTCCCCTAGGTTGCATGATTTAGCATTTCTCGCCATGCACCCTATTCCCGCGTGACTTACAGCGGGATTTGTGTGAAGCAATTTTTGTGAAGCAATTTTTGGGAAACAATTTTTGTGAAACAAAACGATCACCAGCTTGTTGAGACGAGTGTAATTGTTCCTTTCAAGAGGAGCATAAACTTCCAACGCAAAGGAGCATAAACTACCAACACAGTTGCGAAGAATCAAAACCTATCTAATTAGCCAAGCCAACCTATCATCGACCTGACTGATACACCCATAGCTAATATATCAAGATGGAACAGGGGTAATCAGGTATGGTAATTAATTATTAGTTATTTATCGTGAGAACTTTCAATCCGAACCCAGCAACTTGGGTCACAGAAAAGCAATGAAAGACACCATCACCACTACTAATGTTCATCGGGTGCAGGCTGTGATTGCAGTTAAGGCACATGCACTCCACACTTTGAGTACCAGTGCTTGATGATAATGTCTGCAGCCTGGTTTGTTTGTCAGCGGAGAAAGCGGAGTAGAAGCATTCTCAAAGATTGCCTGCTCACCCTCTCTCCAACAGCGTATGCTGTCGAGCTCAGGTGCGAACTGGGGAGGAACGGGAGGATGCTCATGTCCACAACTCTCAGACCGGCTGCACCATGGACCCTGAGGTCTGCACCAACGACACCGCCCTTCTGCCTGGGCAGCATGGCTGAGGTGCAACACGGATGCATGTACGAGAGCGTCATCTGATCCTTGATGAAGTTGATGAGCGCCGCATCGGTTTGAACGTCGGGCCCAGGTCCCACTTCAAAGGCCCCGTACTTCCGCATGGCCTCGGTGTCAATCATTCGGCGGATGTACTTTGTGTGGGCGAGGTAGACGTCAAAGTCGACTGGGTTGGATCCAGTGCCGTAGTGGACAACGGGTGTTTGAAGAGGACTGCTGATGTTGAGACGCACGGTCCCGCGGCTGAGTGGATGGAGGTTGATGGCCCGGAACGAGTTTCCTGTGGCAAAGGGCGTCTCAATGCTGGGGGCATGGGGATTGGCGAATATCTGGTTGGCAATGACCTCGAGCTGCTTCTTGTAGCCTGCGACCATGGTTGGCTCGTCCCGGTAGTCGGCCGGAAGATACGAAGCAGCTGACCCGTCGGCAACCATGGCATTAATGCGGCTGACAATTGTCTGGTAGTCAGCCGTGATGTTGGAAAGCGGGACGAAGACGGCGCTGTTGGATCCTGCTAGCGTGTAAGGGCCACGCGCTGGCGTCTCATCGAACCCGGCCGTGGCATCGGCGAGGAAGGCCAGGTTCGACAAGTCCGATGGAAGCGGAGAGAGATTGCCGAGATTTGTGTCTACGGAAGCACCATCGCAGACGTTAGCGTGACCATAGTCAGGTTGAGTTCGACCCCGGAACCAGGGGCAATAATTCTACAGACAATTCCAAAAGACACCTGGGCCGGAATGATCGTGGAAATTGGAGCCGACACCTGGTAGATCGATAACCACATTGATGCCGGCCTTTCGGAGGAAGGACGCCGGCCCAATTCCGCTCCGCTGCAGGATTGTTGGCGTGTGAAAGGAGCCCGCCGAAATGATGACCTCCGCTCTGGCCGAAATGTTTGCGAGGGTCTTGTCGTCCAGGGACAAGACTTCAACCAGCGGAGGACCGGATGCAGGGCCGTTGGGATACACGACGCGGGTAACCTGGTGTTTGACCAGCAGATCGTAGTTGGGCCGCGTGGCGTTGACGGCGGCATAGTGGCCGAGCCCGGAGTGGGATCGACGAGCCGTAACTGGATGCTGCGAGATGGGTATCCAGCAGAGTCCGGCCTTGTCGCCGCCAGCACACTCTTGGAGCTTGGGTACTCCCAAATCCTCCCAGGAGCCGCGGGCGATGGGCACCAGGTCGGCCCATAGGAAAGGGGGAAAGCTGGAATAAATTGGAGTAGACCCGCCATAGACGGACGTGTCCCACGTATATCCGTACTTCTGGACGGCTGCAGCTGGCGGGGGAGTAAAGGTAACACTCTTTGTCATGTGTGCACTTGATCAGTCTTGCAGTTGGTGGTGAATGGGAAAGTGAAACTTGGCCTCACCTTTTTGTAAAAGGGGTAGACGTCACCCCAGCTCCACTTGTCCTGGCTTGAATCGAACTCCGGGCTGGCGACAGCGACCCACGCGTCCCAGTCGTGACGTGACGGGCGGTCGAAGAACATGCCGTTGACGGCGCTGCTCCCTCCCACAACCTTGCCGGCGAGAACAAAGGCAGTCTTGTTTTGTATGTCGGGCACGGGGAGCGACTGCACGACAAAGTAGCTGGCCGAGGCACCAATGCCACCCCAGACTGCCAGCGGCGGGTCGAAAATGCCAGGGGCATATTCGATGACACCGTACTCGACAACCAACACTGTTTCTGAAGAGAAAAGGAAACCAGCGCGTTAGCTCTCGCAGTGCGAAAAGCATGGTTCACTTTGAGTTTGACACGTACTCTTTGGAAAGGCTCTTGTCAGGCGGTCAGCCACCGTCAAACCGGAGGTGCCTCCACCAGCAATAATAAAGTCATATCGATCGCGAAGCTGGGATATCTGCCTCTTGACGGCAGCCTCTGGAATGGCAGTCGCAAGTGCAGCGAGCGACAAAACGAGGGTGCTCGGGAGGAACATGGCCGCTGCAGAGTAGGGTTGCTACCTGAAGCTAGGTCGGAAATTGTCCGTGTTGGATCTCAGATCTGCCAGCCGGATATTGCGTCTTGGAGGTGGTGGCCGGCTGGATGGTAGTCTTTATCAGCTTCCCTCTCTCCCTTCCTCGTCACGGCTCCTGCCTTGCCGGACCAGCATGCGTGCAGCCATCCGAGCATGAGCCAGGCAAGCTTGACAATAGCCGACCCAGACGACCGGGACCCTTGATACGCGTGCAAGCGGTGAAGACCTAGTCCTGGCTCCCACGGTGGCCAGACGGCCGGGGCAGCTTTCTGGAAAATACCAAGACAGTGCATCTTGGCCCAGGCTAGCGCCTAACATCCTTGTTAGCCGACTGCCTGAAGCTGACACGTGGAGAGCTCGAGGTTCCAAGCTCGCCCCCTAAACGGCCACCCACATGCGGGTTATTGAATCCCGCATGCGCGGGGCGCTGAACTTGGAAAAGGTGACGTGAGCTATGTCAGATCAGTGAGTGACGGACAGGAAAGGAATTCCGGGGGAAATGCAGTGGGCACATTGTCGCGGAACGGGTCGCGATAAGAGCATCCTCTTCTGAACAGTCGGTACCGAGTGACATCGGTGTCGAATCCCCAGCGTATCCGTGTTCCGAAGCGCTCCACCGCCTGGGGTCCGAGCAGCTACGCCACTGGCTGGAACATGTATCTTTATCTTTACCAGGCACCGAACATTTTCTACGGGGCGCCAAGAAAAGGGGAATCCGAGCATGCAAACCAGCAAAGAATGCGCCACTAGGGTTATTTTACGCGGATAAATCCTTCCAATGCGCGTTCCTTGAGCGACATAAAGGCCATCGTTTTCCTCTCGATTTCAGCGCACTCGGATGCTCCTCGCACTCCCATACAACTTTTGTGCCGCTTCTTGCGAGCAGTTTGCAATTCTGCCGCCGCTGGCCCGAACCCCCTTCTCACAGAACATTGCACCATCCAAGCAAAAGCTTTCATTGTGACGGAATATAGCGATGACCACGCTTACAATGGTTCAGCAGCCTGTTTCGGCTGATGAGTCGACATGGAGTCTCCTGTCTGTCGTGGGAGACGAGTTGGTTTCGTCGACAAATAGCTGCATCGTCGCGACAGCCGTCATTCTCTTCTTTCTGCTCAGCTATATGTCAACGCCACGTCTTGATCCCAGAGAGCCGCCCTTGTTGAAACCCGCATTGCCTCTAATTGGACACATCATTGGGCTTATTCGACACCAGGCTAGATACCATTTCATTCTCTAGTAAGTCACTGAGAGCCCGTGGGGTTGAGAGGTCATGATGAAAGGCCATTTGGCGTCACCTTTGCCTTTCTAACATTACCCAGCCGACGTAGTCGCCAGTCCGCCGTCACGCTCCCGATGCTCACGGGCAAGATGTACGCCGTTTGGGACCCGACCATGATCACTACCGGATTGCGAAACAAGAACCTATCAACCACACCACTACTCGTGTCGAGCACCCCGCCACTAACAGGCGTCGGGAAAGAGACAATGGATATTATCCGAGGACCAAATGGAGACTGCGCATTGGTCGACGATGTGTTGCTCAAGACCGGACCTGCTATGGCCGGGGCTTACCTACAACAAATGAATGCTGCTGCTCTATCCGACATTGGAGACTATCTATCTCAAATCGATGAAGCCAGTGTCCCGGATCTGTGGATGTGGATTAGGCGCCTTATGGCATTGCCAACGTCAAGGGCAACGTTTGGGCATGGGGACCCCTTTTCCAAGGATCCAGCACTGGAGCAGCTGTTGTTGTAAGCTTTCTACGACCCTGACCCTTTCCTCCCCATATCCTGCATTCCGCGGCGAGGAATTTGACTAACACGTCGGAACCTTTCCCAACGAATTATCAGCGACTTTGCCAACGACATTCCGAAGCTAGTGCTTGGTTTCATTCCAGCTACTATCGCCGCAAAGGGCTATCACGCCCGTGCGGTTCTTCAAGAGGCCTTCATCAAGTATTACTCGTCGCGGCAAGACGAGGATTCGTCAACGTCGGGTTTCGTCAAAGTTCGCGCGCGTGAGTTTCGAGGATATGGCGTTCGCGATGACGATATTGGGCGCGCCGAGATCATGCTTCCATTCGCTGTCATGCTCAACACGTTCCCAGCACTCTTTTGGTTCTTCTGCCACGTCATGTCACGCCCGAACCTGGTCGAGCGAATCAGGAAGGAGGTAGAGGGTGTCACAAGCCGGACCGCCGAGGAAGCCACGCTGGACTTGACGGCTGTTGACAGGACATGCCCACTCCTAGTGAGCTGTTACCGTGAGACGCTTCGGCTAGCAAACCACCAAGTGAGCACGCGGACGGTGCTCAAAGATACGGTCTTGACAGATAGTAAGGGCAAGTCGTATCTGCTTAAGGAGGGTGTTATGGTTCACTTTTCCATTGGTGCTTCCCTCCGAAACATGGAGTTTTGGGGGGAGGATGTCGAAACGTTCAAACCCGAACGCTTCCTCCGCTTTGGAGATAAGAAAGACGACGTGGATCCCGACCGCCCAGGCGGACCGAGGGCAATGAGGACAGCGTTCATTCCATTCGGGGGTGGACAGCACCTCTGTCCAGGGAGAAACTTTGCCTTTGCCGAGATGATTGCCGTGATCGCGACATTGACACTAGGGTACGACGTTGAACCGGAGAACGAGACGTGGGAATTGCCCACTTTAGCGACCGCTTCGATTGTCGACGCTATTACGAAACCGACTACGGGAAAGAAGCTCTCGTTCAAGATTAAGAGAAGGAGGGAGTGGGAAACGATACGATGGAGGTATCGTATTTAGAAAAGCATGTTCTAATTCAGAGTATAATAGACAGTAAGCTAAATACACGTACACACACACACACACAATTTATTCCGCCCGGCGGGCTCAACCCGAAAGGGCAACTAATAAACATCTATATATATATTTCCTAAAGTGGATCCTAGTTTCCCGAAGCCCGTACGTCCTCCTTTTCTAGCTAATGTGCTTACTCTTTAGTAAACTATAGCTAGGAGCGAAATTGGCTTGTCGCTTATATTCTTCTTATATAAGATAGATGTCACAATATTGGGATTAGTGAGCAAGAAAGATCTAGAAGCTGCTATGTGATTCTTCGCCACCAGCTTTTGCCACTATTCATAACTATAAAAAAGAGACTTTTGGCCCTGCCAAAGGAAACAAGAGATTAGACCTTTTCAGACAATTCAAGCCTTACCTCCTTGTATCAAATGCTTCATTTCCGTTGCCCTGTGAATGCGCGTGACAATAGACGCACGGACGCGCTGACGGCAGTATAGATTCTCTTTTACTCACATGTTATATTTATGAGTCATAGACGGGTACTTTTTCCGAAAAGCAGATTTAGGGCACCCCAGCCGCCAGACTTGGATGGTCCGGGGCATCCCGCCCGGTTTGATTGTGTTGGAATCACCAGGTACCGGTACTGGAAACAACAGGGCGTGCTGCACGCCGAAAACTGGTGGTTCAAGTGATGGTCATTGTTGTCTATCTCTGTCTAGAAGAAAGAGGTGGCCGTAGGCCACTTATATGGAATCTGGGACCCCTACGCCTCCACCACCGCCTGTCTAGCTGATGAATGCGTTGCTACAGCCACCTCTATGTGGCTGGAATGCGCGTTGTTCCAACAGATTAAGAGCGAGTCTCCTGCAACTGTTAAAACGTCCCCATTCACTGTAGTCCACCACATATAACCCTAACCCTGCCCGCATACCTCGCCCACCAGTACATCCAAGATTCTGCCGCGCAGTAATTTACGATTTACCACAACGCAGCCGAACCTTACACCTTCCACTGCAACCCACCTTCAACAACCACCAAAACATCGTCGTCGCCGCATTCAATCGATGCATCGGTATAGCTTCATTTCTTCATTGTTTACTTCGTCGCGCAGTACTAACTAGCGATAGAAATGGCCGCCCTTGAAGATCTGAGCGATCTTAGCGACTTTGGCGAGAATGTGGTCCTTCAGTTCAAGAAGAAATGGAATGCAGCGGCTGCAAAGGAGGTTGCCCGGGCTCAGGCACAGGCACAGGGACATCAACAGAGAGAGGGAAACAACGAAGACGACGGTAACGATGAAGATGAGGAAGAAAACCAGGTTGTTTACCGTACAAGAAAAGTACAGGATGGCCAACAGCTAAGGCTAGGCGCCCTACCAGCCGAGGTCCCCTACACAAAGGCGGGAATGTACCTCCTCTGGGAGTACATCATGTACTCGTCTAGCCTCGATGGCTTCAACCGGGCTTGGGAGATGATGAAAGCCGTATTTTCCGCCCAAACGGCTATACTGAAGTATCTTGAGGATACATACATGCCACTCAAAGAGCAGTGGGCAACTTACTACACCAACAAGGTACTGAACTTTGGCCAGCGGTCTACATCGCCAGTTGAGTCTGTCAACAGGCTCTTCAAGTCACACGTTATTACCGGCAACAGTTCAGTCGATCAGACTGTACAACAGAGCTTCAATATGGTAGAGGGCATGAAGGAAGCGCATGATGAGGAGACTCGCAACCAACAGAACCGCATTCGCTTCGATTACCTAGGAAAGCAGTGGCTAGGCGAGGCTCCTTACAACGTGTGTTATGAAGCCCTCAACCGTGTTGTTCAACAGTACAAAAAGATGCAACCGGCACTAGAAGACCGCCCGAGACCCCTCGAGCCTTACACCGGTAGTTTCCGGGCGCAGTATGGCATTCCTTGCTCTCATGAGCTTCTTGAACGTCATCATGCAGGTACTCTACAGCTTCAGAAGGTTGATTTCCATCCATATTAGTACCTGGAAAGGTCACTACTTGATGAAGACGGGTATCTACGGTACCAAGACTTCGACAGGGTTGAACACCTTCGGGGTAGGCCCCGCAACACGACGGCCTTCGCAGCCGAACCGAACGCTCCGCGGGTCTCGACTTAGCCGGGCAGGCAGTCCGAGCTTATGCCCTCCATTCGGCGGAACCCCTCACAGTGGGAGGGCGCCACCCTTGACGATGACGACGACGATGTTGACGATGACAACGTTGACGACGACGATGACGTCTACGAGCTTAGCCAGCCGGCTCCCCGCCGTACTGTCAACAACCTTGACTCGGCTCGCCGTGGCACCCGGGGTTCAGGGAGACGGGGAGGCCGGGCAACAAGCACCCGGGGCTCAGGGAGCCGGGGAGGCAGGGCAAGCTCCCGGGGTTCAGGGAGCAGGGGAGGCAGGGCAAGCTCCCAGGGTTCAGGGAGCAGGGGAGGCCGGGCCGGCACAACAACATCACGAGCCTCACGTGGACCTGCAGCCTCTGCAGTGGCCGAAGGCCGTATTGTACGGCCTACACGAAGTGGAGGGGTGCCGCAGCCGACCGCCCGGGCCTTGGAAGGCATGGATCAGTAAGGCTGTCATGCAGTTGTGAGTAGTGTAAGCAGGCCTGTAGTTTTTTATTGCATTTTTGGCCGTGTTACGTACGCGAATTCAACGAAGTCAGCTTCGCTTTTTACTGCAGATTTAAACGATTTGAGCGAATCTACGGTCCTGAGCTGGAATTACCGCATTTGGAAGTGTGTTGACGTTGGCGACGACGGCAAGGTGCAATTGCGATGCAACTGCGTTGCCAGCGCTTGGAGCGGGGCAGCCAGCGAATGTGGTAATTTTGGCTGTAAAATGTGGTATTTTCATGGGCGGTGAGCTGTAATGCTTGGCGGACTATGTACTCACAGTGACTGGGGACGTTTTAACAGTTGCAGGAGACTCGCTCTTGATTGATGGGGGGGGCGGCGCGTTTGCGACCCGATATCGCGCCCAAAGGTCGGGTGGACGTATCGTCGGTACTGACGGTGATAGACGACGGCTGGGATAGTTGTGTAGGCAATTGGGGCGGCGGGTCGTCGATATCTTTATCGTTGACTGTCACCAGGGGCAGAGGAGCCGTCAGGGGCGGTGGGTTGTTGGTATCTTGCCAGCCGTCGCGGGTGAGGTTAATGGCTGTATCGACAGCCAGGTCGTCGAACGCATGCTCAACCAACGTAAGAACAATAAGCCCAGCAATAATGATATCGTCAACTTCGTGGAGGGACATCTTGCGGGTAACAAGGCGGCAACTTGGTGGTATCACGAAATCCGACGCGTGGCTGGTGGAGCCCCTGAAAACGCGGGAAAACAGGGGCTTCGGTACGTAGCGACGTACTCTATCGCCAAACAGGGGGGCAGGCGATACATCTTGGCAAACCCACTTAATCAAGCCACCAAAAGTCACGACCTCGCTGGTAGCCCGCCGGTGCCGGTAGCGAGCCGATCAGGCTCCAAGTGTTCCACGCGCAGGCGGGCTTTGGACTGAGGGATAGGTCGACGAGCGACGAGGACGCCTGCCACGGGCGGGAGAGGCGTCTGCGTAATGAGAAGGGAGTCGCGAAATGGTTGGTCCAGGTGCTTCGAGGCGGAGTACGAATATTGAAACTGGTGGCGGAATGCAAGTGGATTTATTAGAGGGAATGTCGGCTTAGCGCGCGCCCCAACCCAAAGACGAAAAAGGCAGCTAGCGGGGCTGGCGTCTACAAGACAGGGGCTGTAATTGGCCACCCGTTCGAGTCTTCGTCCCTCCCGCAGTTCCCGTCAACCCGTCCCGCTGAGCAACTTTAATTGTGCCGCGGCCCGGGGATTTCTTGTCTTTGATCAAGATGTTCTCTCCAGGTCCAGCCTGCCCAGGAGAATCATCATCGGTACCAAATCATTATTTTCCATATATTTGCGGCGAAGTCAGCCCGAGGCAGCATTGAGCCAGGTCGAGAGGCCAAGTCAAGCCGCAAATGTCGTGGTACCCCGCCAGCCCTGCCCCCACGCTAGGGCCGGCTCGACCCGTCGTAAGCGCGACGGCCGTCGCCCAGCTCAAAAAAGATCTCGGTCTCCTCAATGGCAAGTGCGGCAGCAGCTCGACCAAACCTTGGCCATGTAAGCGGGATTCGCCAGCCGCCGCTCCAGGTCCCAACAAGACTAAGGTCGATGGCGAGCTGCTGCCGGCCCTTGTCGGCCTTACGCGGGCTTCCCCGAATCTGCGACAGAAGCTGAAGGAGCTCGCCGAGACCTGGCATTGCGATCTCCACTACGACAAGAACATCCGGGTCGGTCCCCGGGTCGAACTCTGGTTAGCCAGCTTCCCTTCTGGCAACACAATAATGGCAGCAGTAGCACCGCCTGCTTCTGCTGGCGGCAACAGCAAGGCACCGAGTTATGAGCCGGTGCTGGTCCCGGCGCAGGGCGGGGCTTTGCTTTCCCCGCCGACCACCCCTCCCAAGAAGAACGTTCATGTCCCCGGCGGGAGCGTCACCGCCACCGAGGCCACCAACCCTTATTCGACCTCAAGCTCCCCGACCCCCGCGAAGTATCCGACGGCCGGTCCTGCTCCCGCCCTTCCCGCCCTCCCTAGTCCCCCCGCAACACCTGATCATCAGGCCCAAGCGACCACCTCGGGAGCGCTTGCCTCGGCGGCGCAAAGAGAGGCCACGGCCATGCGGCAACTGCGGGCAAGCCTGGGACTCGACAGCCGCTACTGTGGCAGCGGCAAAAAGGATAATCCCGATGAATCGTGTAGCTGTCCTTCAGCGGGTAAAGACGGCGACGGCGAAATAGACAAGCTGCTGGTGCCCCTGGCGACACTGAAGCTAGCGGGCCCGGATCTTGCGGATCTGCTGGACCAGGTCGCCGGCAAGTGGCACTGCCATTTTCACGCCTGGGGACACTACAAAGCGGATCGGGTGGCGCGCTGGATGACGTTCTTCCCAATCTACGACGTTCCTGTCACTGCCACAGATGTCTACAAGTCCGCCAGCGGGCTCAGAAAGCTTCTCGGCCTCCGAGCCTGGACGTGCGGCAGCTACCTGAAGAAGTGCGAGACGAACCCCGACCCGCTGACGGGGCCTCGCTGTGGGGCGCAGTCGATGCCCTATCGCAAGGGTGACAGGCACAAGGCCGCAGTCGACGAGATCCTCGAGTCGCTGGTCGGTCTCACGCGTGCATCGCCCGGCTTGTGGGCCGAGTTGGTCAAGCTCGCGCGGAAATGGCATTGCAAGTCCCACCCGGGGGTCGTCTACGCAGAGGACCGGGCCCGCGAGTGGTTGGCGCTGTTTCCGGGCGGGCCTCCGGCCGTAGTAATCACCACTATCAATCCCTTTGATAAGGCTCAAATGAAAATAAAGGAGCTTCTCCGCCCTTTGTCGTCTCAATGTCGCGTCATTGCGGAGAGCACCGGCAAGCGGTGCCAAAAGTCCATCGCCGGGAGGAATATGCGCCATTGCGACAACTTGGCCGACGAGATTGCGAGGCTCGCCGTTAGCCTGGATGACGAGAGGCTCAAGGTCTCGCTCGAGCTCCTCGACCTGGTTGGGCGCTGCTGGGTGCACGACAAACTCGACGCTGCGTGGGTGGCAAATTGGCTGTCGCAAATCCGCGACATCACGAGGAGCCTACCGCGGGCCGCCGCTCCGGTGGGACTGTCGTCCACGCCCGCGCTGCAGTCGCTCACGGAGTTTAAGCAAGACATTTGTAGCAGGTCCACGCCGTCCGGCCACGACGAGTCCCCGCTACGCATTGTCGACCGGTCTGTCGAGCCCAGAGACCGCGAGTCCATTCACCAGCGCGTCACCAGCAAGTACCGAAAGCCACTAACGAAAGAAGAACAGGCAGTCGAGTGGGGCTTCCTGTACGCGTACACGGTCAAGGGTAATCCCAAGTACGTCAAAATTGGATACACGTCTCGTGACGTGACTACACGGCACATCGAGTGGCAGACGGCTTGCGACCGGCAGGTGGCGGCCGCGTATCCGGTGGACTCCAAAGATGCAGTGTTGGTCCCCTATCCGCGGCGGGCCGAGGCGCTGTGCCACACGGAGCTAGAGGATTGCCGGGTCCGGGTCGCGTGCGGGCCTTGCCGCGTCCAGCACGAGGAGTGGTTCGAGGTGTCTAGGGAAGTAGCCGTGGAAGTCATTCAGAAATGGACCGCGAAGATGGTGGAGAATCCGTACAGAACGGTTTAATATTTTGTGACTTGACGAACGTGAAGATTTACGGATGAGACTTACGAAGGGGGATTGAACATATGGAATCTTCTCTAGATGGAAGCCGTCGAGGACTTGGTAGACTTGGAAAAGAGGGACAACGGTACGGCATCTATTAATTCAGGTTGAAAGCGTTTAGGGATCACTACGACGGGTGTATGAGGCTGAACCGCAAGTGGTTCGCGGTATCGGACGAGAAGGCGATCGAATTTATTAAACGGCAATACGACCGGATAGTCGCGAATACGGTCCGGGAGAAATTAGTGGAGGAGGAAACGAGCTGAGAACCGGGGGATTTTCATTGCATTTCTCGGGATGGATCGCCTCTCGCGACAAGATTGCTCGCCATATCCAAATTCCAACGTCAGGCTTCACTTGCCCAACCGGCGTTCCTTTCGCATATACTAAGGGAACACGGAGTAGTGGCCGGTAAACTAGCGAAAGTAACGTTGTGAGCCTGTTAAGGCCAAGAGAGGACCGTAGTACGGCGGTCTAGTGGGCTCCATCAGCAGGCGGTGTTAGCCGCTTATAGACACTCCGATGTCTTACATCATCCTGTCGTAGAGCTTCGGCAGGCTGGCCGGTGTCTCTTTAATACGGCGGGATAATGTACCACAGACGCCTGTGACACCAGTGTCAGCAGAGAGCGTTGCGTCGCTATACAACCTAATAAAACAGGATGTTAATATATCTTACCTATCCCCAGTCCCCTAGCGTATTTGGTGTTTGAAATAACCTATATACTCCATCAATCCACAGCCGTGAGTCGGATGGCGCGATAGTAGCGCGTTACTTTCCAGTGACGTAACATGACTCGTGAGAGTCTCCATTCTCAGCTGGTGAGTCCCAGCTCGATCGAACAATATTTTGCTTCTTGTTCACTTATTATACTCTTCTCCTTTGTTTTCGGACAGACCTAGTGTAAGTAGTGGTCGCTGCTAAGAGGGCCCTTGCTTGTTTTTACCACTGTCGATCTGATTGTCAAACAATTTGTCAAGGTGAACTATTTCAGAAATACAGTGTAGCAATCAGCTTAGCTCCGAATGAAAAGACTAGACTGGTTTCAGGCCGTGTGCCGCGTTATTGTAGTCTTTCCGGCTGTATTCAGATGCGCTGCATTCAGCATGTTACTTAGATTCTCGACGAGACTGTCCGCGATCCAGGAAAACACAAAGCCTCACGGCAGTGGACTAGAAATTATAATTAGCCAGATTGGAGTACAATATGCACGATTAAGCATATATTAACCTAGAAATTTCTACAGCTTCGAGTCTCAATCATCCCGCAAATGAACTACAGCGCCCTCGGCGCTTGCTCCGAGCTCAACTCGACGGCTTGCAGCGGGTAGTACGTGTCGGCGCCGGGCGCCAGAGTAGTGGCGTCTGAGACAGGCGACACGGTCACGGGCGGCTAGTGCTACAGCTCGGCCGCGTTCGCCGGCGTCCCTATCTCGGCCGTGGGCTTGCCACCCAGCTCGGCTAGAGTGCTGTCTTTGCCGCCTTCCCCGAGCTCCGCCGCGGTCTTGGCGCCACCCAGCTCGGCCAGCGTGTTATCTTTAACACCTTCGCCGAGCTCAGCAGCGGTCTTGCCGCCGCCCAGCTCAGCTAGGGTGCTGCCTTTACCGCCCTCGCTGAGCTCCGCCGCGCCTGCTGTTCCGTCGGCGCCCCCCTTGGCGCCGGCCGCCTTGCCCTGCCGGTAGAACACGTAGGCGATTGCGGCGACGACGGCAATCCCGCCCAGAGCGGCGCCGATGCCGATGCCTGCCTTGGCGCCCGTGCTGAGACCGCCGCTTGAGCTGTCTCCTTCTGCACTACCTCCACTGACCCCTCCAATAACCCCTCCGGCGGTTGAAGACGGCTGACTGGTCACAGGACTCGACGAGGTGCCCGACGTCGAGTGGCTAGTATCTGTCTGGCTGCTCGATGACACGGTATGCGTGCCACTAGCGGTGGATCCCTAGGAGGAGGTTGGAGTGGGCGACGAGACGCGGGTTGTCGGGGTCGTCGGGACCGTCGAAGGCGACTGCGGCGTGGTCGACGAAACCGGCGGCGATGTCGACGGGGTGGTCGTTGGCGGAGAGTCTGACCCGCTCCCGGCTATGATGGAGATGGAGGAGTAGTCAGGGTAGTCGTCTGGCGAGTCTGAGTTGTAGATCTTCAACACTAGGATGCCGTCCGACGGGAGACTCTGCGGCGGCGTCCAAGTGAACGACGTCCCCAACGCGTTGCCTGCGCAGTTGGCCGAGCGTGATCAGGATATTCGAGCGGACACAGAGACAGATAGACAGCGCCACTCACTAGCTATGGTCAGTAGGGCCTGGAGGGTGGTCGTCGAAGCACCGTGCAACAGCAAAATGTCGATAGGCCCCGACGCGCCTGACCAGGTGATAACAAATGGCTGGCCCCGCTGGACGTTGAAATACGAGCTTGTGACGTTGAGGTGCCCGAGGCAGCACTGGACGAGCAGAGCAATAGCCAGGAATTGGCGCCATATTGAAGGAGGCTTCATCGCGTGTAGTTAGTGAGAACTTGGTGAACCCACCATGTCGCGATTGCCTATTTTCTTGGGAAGAGAGGGGGTAGAAAACAACTTATTCTCGTCCTCTAATAGACTCGGCGCCCTCGTACCCCGAATAGTTTAACCGTCGGAAACTTCGGGTCGGTAATTAGACATTGCGTATGGAGAACATGCAAAAAACCAGGTTTCAAGCTCTGAAGACTCTGGCAACCGTGTTTGTTATCGAGGGCCTCTTTGGTTTCTCTACGTCTATAAGACACGTTGCGGTTTCCAACATGGCCTTGATCAGCCCCAGCCCGCAATTTCACATCATTTCCGCGGGCTGCAGTCCGCAGGCTCTCGAACCACGGGCCTGAACGAGCCCATTCGTTGATTTTTTAATCACATAAGACCGAATCCCGCGCACGTTCGGCATTCCGTTGCACACTTGTTCTGATTCATTAGCCCTCCATCCAAGCCCTGCCCAAAATGCCCCTCGTTCCGATTCCCGGCAGCACCTTCATCACGAAGCATGGGGCAGACGCGCTCCCAACGCCAACGCAAGTCAGGATGAAAGCCGGAGCTGACGCCCAGTCCCGCCGACCCAAACCTGTTATATTCAGGGACCTGGGACTGGTGGTCAAATTCGGACGGGACGTGGCCGAAACCGAGGCCAAGACGCAGCAGTTTGTCCACAAGAAGCTCCAGGGCACGGTCCCCGTCCCCGAAGTCTATGGCTGGGAAGTTGATAGCAATAGGGGCGAGACGTACATCTACATGGCGCTCGTCGCCGGCAAAACCCTGGCGGCCGAATGGGGTCAAATGTCCCGCACAAATAAACTGGCCTTGTGCAAACAATTCCGGACGATGTGGTGGGCATGGAGGCAGCTGCAACATCCAGAGGCGGCTGACCATTACATTGGTCCGTCACCCCAACTATTCGCGCGCGCCTGGGCCAGGAAGAGACACATACTGACGACGTCTTTTTTGCTGCAGGCACCCTGACACGGCACCCGGTGCGGGACGTGCATCTTGTCGAGAATGGCGAGAAGGTCGGGCCTTTATACGGGGATGCCGCTGTAGGGACCTTCGACAACAGGTGCGGAATCGACCTGCCAGCGGCGTCGGCCCAGGCCATCTTCGCCCACGACGACATCAACGTCCTCAACATTATAGTGGCCCAAGAGGGGGCGGACCTCAAAGTCGTCGCCGTGCTCGACTGGGCCCAGTCCGGCTGGTATCCCGAGTACTGGGAGTCCTGCAAGGTGTTCAGCACGCGCGTACACTCGACCCTGTTCTTTACCAGACTGATGGAGGACTGGATGTTGTGGCTGCCGCAAGTTCTTACCCCGCCCAGCGACGCTCAGAGGGACAAGTTTTCGGTCTTTGTTTCGAGCCGCATTTGAATCGGAAACTTTTTCCAGCTCCAGAAAGCGTCCGTCCGTACTCCTGGATTTCGCGAGTCGTTATTGTGCAAGCTTGCTTCTTGCTGCGTGTCTTTTTGGCCTTTTTACTTGAACAGCTCGAGGGAAGGGATGAGGGCTCGGGTCATGAGCTGGGTTTGGAGAACAAACTGGCAGCTGGCTGCCACTCAGGGACTAGAGCCCATGAAAATAATTAGACTAGCCCTAAATGCGGTCATCGGTTTTTCATTCCTGTATTTTTATCTGCCTCTAGGCCTCCTTTCATTTTATATTAAACATCGAAGTGGTCTTGATATTAACCCTCCGTTTTCTCCCAACTGCAAACAAGGTCGTGAGCGGCGGGTGCCTCCTGCCTAGTGATGCGTCGACTGCACCCGACGTTGGGATGAATGACTGCATCACTGCGAGACTTGACCCCCTTGTCATATAATTAACCGATGACGTACGCGCGGCATCTCTTTCCATGAGACTCAGAGACTCGAGCCCCTAGCACTTCGGAGTCGCTATCGGAGGCGGACGCAGCAGTCGCGGTGTTGTTGCATTGCAGTGTGAACAGTAGAGCTATATACCACGTAGAATGAAGACCGAGAATGGATCTATTATGATCTAAATGTCATTATCCCAAACGAGCAACAGCAGGTCACTGCCCGGCACCGACAATATCCGCGGTACCTGGCACGATGGACTGCTGTGGCATGAGCGTTGGCAAGCTGGACTGCAAGAGCCGGCGGTGCAACGGCGACGCCAACCTTTGCTACCCCTCTTCGCACTTTTATCGTTTTCTGTTCGTGTCGAATGGGGTGGGCTTGAATCGGTCAGAAAGTGGCTGCCTGCTGAGCTTGTTCCTGTTCCCTTTTGTGCAATCAGTCCCAGCTTTACGCGTCCTTTAATACATAGCTAAAACGCGCTGACTGCGCCTTCCGTACATCTCTTCCCCCCCAGCCTTTACCTGCCTTTTTCTATAGAAAGGAAAAGGTCGCGCAGACGAACTCTCGGATATGGAGACACTCGATGCTTGCCGCGCCGAGCTGTCGGCCTCCGTGCAGCAGCTCTCTAACGAGGCAATGGCAAGAGTATCAAGAGCGTGGAACTGGGTGCTCGGGCACTCGGGATAGCAATCAGCGCGGCGGAGCTTAACCACCACCCAACGCCAGTATATTGGCCGAGTCTCGGTCCGACAGCAGTGCTGGTCGACTATTGGCCGACCTCGTGTGGCTAGAGGGGAATAGATGGATGAGGATCAACGCGTCGACCGAGGATGTTCAAAACCACATTTCCAACGTTATAACTCAACCTCAAAGTATGTTGCTGGTGGGTTGTGACAATTTGCGGGCTAGTGTGCGAGTGTCGCCGTTTACATGCAATTGAGCGGTTGCCGCAGCCATTCCTGGGAACAAAGACATGAACACACGAGGGCGACCAACAGTGGTGGAGAAATGTTAATGAACAGGTCCAAGTGAACGTGAACGAGGAAATAATGAATTAGGTGAAAATCATGCCTTTGAAAACGAGCTGTGATATGGGCACCCTACTAATTAATCCGTTCTACGCACACTATGTGGTTTTGTACACCTGATTGTAGTTGGCAATGCAAGAACCGCTTTTTGTATGGTATAATCGTGTATTTTATTTGCCGCCACCTATACGACACCCATGCCACTAACCCACTCGTCCAAATATTATGTATGAATCCTAATGAAGACTGTCGCAACCGTTAAAAAGCCCTGGACATGCGTTGGTGTGGTGGTGTTTCGACTTTGACGATGTGTTTGTTGCTGCTACCCTCAAAAAATCCGGCCTTTGCTCTAGGTAGAGATAGTGGAACTACAGGGAGCAACTCTAGTACCCGAGGCTGTTATTACCTAGGTTGGTAGTCGTAGGTATGGCCTGGCAAAGTTGGCAATTTGGTGATATAATTTCGCGGTGCGGAGCGCGGTGTTGAGCTGCTCAAGCCTGGTAGCTACCTAGCCAGAGTCTGAATAGTAGTATTTTGACTTTATGTGGCTTGGAACGGTCGATCAAGGTAGTTTCGTGAGCGGCGGTAATGAAATTCACAATCTTACCGTACAAAAATCTTCATTGTTGCACGCGATCGAAGTTGACAGCGCATTGAATTGTCTGCTCAATAGGTCTAAAAGTACAGAAAAGAACGCTTCCTTATACTCATGGAGAGAAGGCAAGGGAGGCGTTGTAATCAGCCCGAAAGAGGGCATTCCGAATGAAATGAGGACATTCTGAAGGAAATAACAAAGAATGAAGGAAGCTCAGAGGCATGTCAACCAGGGCCTGTCCAATTCCATGAAATGGGTCAATTCCAGACGACATTCATTGTATTGCTAGCTTCCCGGACACATACTGGGTGCGCATAACGAACCGCTAGGGTGCCACGTGGGTGCCCAGATCACAGCTCGTCAGAGACATTGGTCACTCAAGACAGCCTTCATTCATAGGTATTCGCTCAAGACTTGGGACAGCGGCGTGAGTCTAAATAGGTAGGTAGGTAAGTGACTTGTGTGTCATCGAACTCGTGACTATAAGGGCATGTATTTGTGCTTGAAAAGTTGACATGAAACTCGAAAACAAAGGAGATGAAAGGATTTGAAAAAAGGGGACAGCAATTAAAAGGAGAAAGCAATCAAACGAAGAGAGCAACAAAAAGGAGAAAGCAAGGAAAAAAAAAAGCAACAAAGAGGAGAAAACAGCAAAATATGAGAAAGCAACAAAAAGGAGAAAAAAAGAAAGCCCGGAACTCCCAACGCTAAATCAGTCAGATGACGGCGTCACAGCGTCCTTTTCACAAAGAATACTCTCGCCCGTGTATGCCAGTATGCCAGGCCGTAAATCCCACCAAACGTGTTTCCGGTCATCAATCTCACTCCGCTTTGATTTGTCATTCCTTCTCTCCCGCCTCAACACGCCCCCTCGCGCACACGCGGCGGCAGTCTTCCTCTTCCCGACTGCAAACTGCTTGGCTAGCCGCACTACCTCGCCCAGCGACGAATCAGCCCTGCTCATCTTGACAGCCGACCTTTCATCTTGCTTCTCCCCCTTCACGACTGGCTCCTCCACCACAGCAGGCGGCGGTGCCCCCGCAGCGAGGAGCGCCATGTGCCCGCGCACCGTGGGGAAATCAATCAAGTCCTCGAGACGCGGGGCCGGCGCGTCGCCGCCCGGGCCGCCGCCGCCGAGCAACAACTACTCTGTTAAGTCTTACGGCTGTCAGCCCGCTCTACGCTCGTCGACCTCGCTGAGGCTATACGGAGGCATATGTAGAAGAATCATGATGCGTGGAAAGAGGCTAACTCGTCATCCTTCAGTGCGGTTCGAAAGAAATACGTTAAGATGAAGTGGCTGAGTGACTGCCCTATGGAGATCACTCGCTAGGCCCTCGACCTGCTCGTTCAATAACACGAAAGGATTTCCCTTCCAACAGCGGAAAACCCCTTTCAAACACTACTTCCCTACTGCTCAGGGCGGTTCAACAAGTAGTACGGTCTGCTCTGCACGCACGAGATGCTCTAGAAGTATTACGAGGAAGGAAACAATGGGGTTGTCGTGGAGGTTGAGGCTGTGAGCCAGTCTGGTACCTTCGTAAGCAGCGGGTATGTCTCTTTCTTTTCGTTTGGAACTCCCTTCCGCGTTTTCCCCTACTAATTTTACTGGTAGGATGCGGGAAGGCGTTGGGCACAGATGCAGGAGCCGGATAAGACCGTCCCCAAGGGTCGACCTCTCAACTAGGGTGATCCATTTGGTAACGAGCCGACCTAGTATTACAAACCACTCGACTGTTAGGGTCGTCTGTCCGTAAGGGAGCACGGGCTCCACAGGATGCTGGGGTTGGTAATTATGAAGATAGAACAAAGGGCAAGCTCCTATCGCACGGGTAATACAGTCAAATCGAAATGCCACTCAAAGTATATGAGTGCAGTGAATGTGTATTGCTTGCTTGAAGAACCAAGCAAGAACTATCTAAGACCGTGGCTACGGCCGTCGTATATATCTATCTAAGGTGGGCTAATTAGGTCGTTACTCTGTTGCTCCCTGGCAGAGCTACAGAGCAACCCCGTAGAGCCAACCAAACCGTTGCTCCGTACCCCACCGCACAGAGCAAATGCGGGTCCCTGCCCCGCATGCCTGTCTCGTCAACCCTATTGGCCGGCCCCACTTTCAGAGCTATGACTAGCCCAGAATAGGCGCGGTTCATCACAGGAGAATATCGCTTCTTTCTCGCTTTGCCAAATAAATATCAGAAGCCTCTAGAACCAGAGATTGTGACGCAAGAACGGGCGGTATAGATTGGGGTTTTTTCATAAGCGGTTTTCTTGCTAGTTCATTTGGCAGCGGTACTATAGAGAGACGTGCTTGCTCGCTTTTTGCTACTCGTGCGTTTGCGAAAATCGAATCCATTTCGGCTTAGAGATGGAGCCTAGTAATCAGTCTAAGGCTTATGAACACTTGACAGGTGACTTCTAAGAATAAGAGTTGTAAGAGTTTAAGAATTTTCATCTTCGGCTATATATACCTAGGCTCACTTAGGGTCCTATTTTTCGTCCCAGTGACTCACCGCCGGTAGCTAATTACGCCCTAATTCCGTCTCACTGCTCATAGCTTAATCAGGTTCTAATTTGGTCCTGCCTTACCGCCTACCCCCTACTTTTAGCCTAAATAGTGAGGCGCTTGTGCACAGCCGTAATGGATTTGTACTAAGGATCTCGTATTCCGTAAGGGAGGTGACCTTGCTAGTAGATTGCCACCACCTTAACTATGCCTGCCGCACATGCTCGCACATGCTCTGGGCCTACTCGCACATGCTCTGAACATGCCTGAGGCCGTTGTTAAATCCGGACCCGATCTCATGTCCGTTCCGGGTGGCGATTGTGGTGCCACTGAGTGAATGAGCAGATTTCTAGATGACGGTATGTCTATGTCGGCGCCGTTTTGTGAGGGTTGTGCAATCATGGATTCTAGCGGGCAGCACAAGAAAACCGACGGTACTGCTCTAACGAAGTCTGTCGAGAAGGAAAAGCCGAGGTCTGGAGGGGGAATAGACCCGGACATACATGGGCAATGGGGGAGAGGTGACCGCTATGAACGACAGCAGGCCGAGAACTGGGCCGCCGCAAAGGCAGGCGAACTACAATTGAAGAGTAGCGGAAACCAAGCAAAACGAGGTGATGCTGAATTATGACAAACATCTCCGATGCCGCTGCGCACCCTAAGACCTTGCAACGGCCCACAGGTTTCTCTCCATTCCATAAACTTTGGTCGGATATGTGCCGCCCTTTCAATCTTGGGTGCGTTGTTGCGGAACACCATGCCGCAAATGGTTCGATGAGTCCGGTCCATCGAGCAGGTCCCGGACTCGGAGGGACCCGCGGTATTTTCGAGATGTACCGTCCACAGTCCATATTCCGTCGCCATTTTGGCATGGGCCCGACGCCAGGGTCTCCGGAGCCGGTAGTCTCGGAGCAAATTAATGCTGTTGACATTGGGCTCTTCGCGCACAGAACAGGGGAAGTCGCAGGAGACAGAAATCGGAGCAAGCGAACGGAAGGAAACCCTCCCTAAAAACGCACTTCTGGAGCATGGTACCTCGGTATCGGCGCACACAGCGAGTCTGTAAGCTTTCCTTGATGAGATCGATGGGACAAGTGATCGCGTCAAGGGGAGGCGCCGAGGAGTGTGTGGGGTGGGGCATTCGATGGGCTGCAGAGACGGGCTCCACAGCGAGGAGAAAGGAGCAGAAAGATGGAGAATGTAAGGAGAAGTTAGTCGGAGACCTGGAAAGTCCCGGCTTCAGCTAAGACCCGTAAACTAGGCTTCTGATGCAGCACCCTATTTTAGTCCCATTAATTACATCCGAATCAACGAAGGAAAGGCCTGCGCCCGCAGGTTCTGTGGAAAAGGCGGTCTAATGACGGTGCCCCGTGCGCCTGCCCGGGCTAAGAACCCCACCATCTGGTTGTAAGTAGGGTTAGGGTTGGTCACACAATTGGGAGGACTCTTCTGGCGGCTGGGCTTTGGTCTTTTACAGTAAAATCGGAAAAAACAACCCGTCTCTACGGCTATTTTTAGCTCCCTGAATCATACTAAAAGCAGCATGTCCTTTTTGACACGCGTGTCTCGTTCCTCAAACTTTTCTTTTCCAAAAAGTCACGTATGCACGTGCAAAATCACTGGTAGTTACGCGACACACGTTCCTCTCGACGACGACGTAGGAGCGCGCGACGGAGCGCACCCTAAGTTCCTCGTTCCCAACTGTTTTGGGTTTGGGATTCCATAGTTGTATTAGAGACGAACACGTTCTTGCGAGGCCCTATCGTGCGTACGTATATTTTATTAAGTTAGGTAATTATGTTGGCCAACCAGTTATTTGACAAAAATAGTAATACTGATGCGGCCCAAGGGACGGGGTTGGAAGCGGAAGCCTCTTAATACACCCTCCCCCGGGCCCGGAGCTGAAAGGATTTGGTGCCTAATTATATCCGCGGAGTTAATATTCACGTGTCGATGTCCGCGGCAACTGCAAGGGACAGGCGATGCGACTGGTGTCGGAGTTAACGAACGCCGATCATTTTGGTAACGACAAACAAGTCTCAGAGCACGGCCACAAAATTGTTTTCTTCACGGACGAATAGTTGCGCATCTCGGGCCGACTTTCGCCCTTTCGTAAGAAATACCGAACATCAAGCAATAAAGCGGTGAAAAAGCACCACAACACAACAACCACAAAAACAACACTAAGGAGATCCTTACACAGTACAGGCACAGGAATACATAGCCGGCTAGCCAATGAAACAGAGAAAAAGGCACTATTGCGTGCACTGGTCTGGGGATCCGGCCCCTGAGCCCCTGATCAGCAAGACACAATGATACAAGGAATCCAAGCTTAATGGTGTAACAGTTTTGGAAAATAAGAAGTAACTAATAGAAGCTAGAGTCATTAACAGCATTATTACAATCTGAACCCCCCCTTTCGATCCAACAAACAATTCAACAATACCGACCAGGGAACTCAATATCCTCACCACGGGAAACATGTCAACCATGGTGCGCAAAACTTCAATTCTCTCATCATCATGGCTAATTAACATCAGGGAAGGACAAAACGAAACCGTTGCTTCATTGTTAGAACTTAGTGCAATTTCAATGACGTGGGCTCTGCAGGAATCTCGAGTTGTTCTGTGGATTCGGACTCTGATGGTGCGGATTGGGACTCTGATGGTGCGGATTGGGAGTCTGGTGGTGCGGAGTGCCGACCGGAGGACTGTGATTTCCATTGATGAAAAAATGGTTGGACGGCTGCTGTTGCTGTAGATTAGGGCTCTGATGGGGGTGTGGGCTCTGCTGTGGATTGGGGCTCTGATGGTGATGCGACTGCGGAGTGCCGACTTGAGGGCTGTGGTTTACATTCATGAAGGAGTGGGTTGACGATTGTTGTTGCGGATTGGGACTCTGCTGGGGGCGCGGGCTCTGCTGGGGGCGCGGGCCCGGCCGGATCGGCGGAGTGCTGCCGCCCTGATGGTTGTGGTTTCCATTATTCATGAAATAATGGCTTGACGGTTGCTGCTGCTGCTGCTGCGGCAGCGGCCATCCCCCAAACCTGGGCGTTCCGGGCGTGGCCGATCCCTCCGCCACGTGCATGCCTTCCTTCCCGGGCGTCGGTGTCGGGAGCATGAGCTTGCTGGTGCTGGGGTCGTAGATGACCGTGCCATCTTCCGCGTACACCTTTTCGCTGTATCTCTTGTTCATTTCTGTTCACAGCCCGAATGAAGTCAGCGACCAAAAGGAGGTACACATAAGAAAGGGATAGGGTGCGTAGCTCACCGGTGATGGTCTGCGCGATGCTGAAGACAATCAAAAGACACAGGAAGATTGGAACCAGCTGGCCGAACGACGTGGCATCGTCCTCGGCGCTCTGCCCGCCCTCGCTCACCTCCAGCCAGCCCGTATTCTTGGCCCACGCGCGCAGGCCGTTAATGTACAGGCCCGAGAGGATGACGGCGGCGGCGCTGACGCCGATGCCGCCAAGGAGATACAGGCAGAAGAAGATCTTGACTACCAGCTTCAGAGCCCTTCCCGGCGCGGCGCAGAAGCGGAGGCGCTTGGCGGCGAAGTCGCCGCGCCGCCCGCGCGGCTCCTTGCCGATGCCGCGGCGGAAGAAGCGCACGACGTCGACAAGGAAGGCGGCGCAGTAGCAGAACAGGATGATGAGAAACAGGTTCCAGCCCTGGATGCGGTTGCCGGGCTGGCTGTAGATGAGCGTCTTCTTGGACTGCTCGGGCGTCTTGGTCGAGTCGCCTAACGTGGAGATGAGGAGCGAATTGTTGCTCTGGAAGCACGCCGCCGGCAGGAACATGAGGTTCTCGATCTGGTTGTCCGGGGGGATCGCGGTGGGGAAGGGCAGCTTGATGAATGTGTCTGTCTGCGCGTTCTGGTTCGACAGGATGATGCCAGTGACGATGAATAGACCCGTGACGATCAGGATGCGCAGGAGGCCGAGCCAGGGGTAGCGCCAGTAGTTGCGCACGATGGTCACGGACATGAGGTGCGTCGCGCAGGTGAGAATCATCATGTTGGAGATGATGTTGTAGTGGTAGGCGGTGATCTCGCATCCTTTCCACTGTTGTCATTGTTGTGAGCCACCAAGTGGAGAAAAGGGGGAGGGAAGGGGAGACGTACATATCTCAGCGTGATGGCATAGGCGCCCCCTGTGAACACTTGCTGGTCGCTACAGGCCATGACGAGCTTCTCGCAGATGACGGAAACACTGAGGCCGCCGGCACGCTGGCTCTTTCGATACTCGGATTCGCTGGTGCGAGGTATACACTGTTAAATCCACGGTATGGCAAGAGAGGTAGGTGTCGGTCGGCAATCTTACTTTCGAGGATATCGCGACTTCAACGGAGTCATTTTGGAGATCATCCAGAACACATGCAAGATGCTCAGGAAAAGTGCGAACGATGTCACGCCAATGAAGGCGTATACGATCTGCGAGCACGTAAACGTGACGGTTAATTAGGTGCCTAGGTAAACAATAGAACTAGAATGACTTGGACGACGAGGGGGTGCGTACGCCAACTCCGGCAACATCTGGGTCGGTAGGGACTTCGTGCCTCCCAAAGCCGCCAACCATATGCTTGTCCCGGTCCGGGGAAGTGAAGTTGTATGTGCAGTTAACTGCCTTGTTGTAGTGGGACTTGCACTCGCCGAGGGACACGTACGCGCCCATGATGGCGGTGGTTTGGTTCGAGTGGTTCAGACTGCCCGTCTCTTGCTGGTGTTAGAGTGCAAACCTAAATGCCATTGTCCAATATTTATGTGCAGGAAACCCGTCCAGATAAGAAGTGTACTAGAACTACATTTTGTTGTCTCCGACAAGGCTCTGGAAGGAACACAGGGCTTTCAGCCTCTCGCCAATGAACGCTACCATCTTGCAGCCCCTAACGGCACAGCTTCACCAGCCGGCCACTCTTGGGGTCTATTCTTGGTTTGTGTCATCACGCAGCCAAACCCCTTCCTCGTAAAGCACGTAGGAAGGCAGCTTCCCACATGAATGCATATCAGCCCAATGGCCAACGCCCCCAACCTGGGAACATTGCCGGTGCGCCAGTCATGTTGGATGACCCCAGGTGGTGGCAGTGCGGCATGAGGCTTTTGAAATCGACGAGTAGGATCCGCGTGTTGTTCCGGTGGCTTGGCTTGGCAGTCGCCATGATAACGGCGCGGGGGACGGCGCGGGGGATAGAGACCAACAGCCTCGTCTGGAGCGCCATTGTCTGACCACCCACCAAATGCACTTGCCACACAGACCCAGCGGCACAGTATCGCGCCAAGTTTCAGGCTGGAAGCCACCGGAGTTGCCCATAGCACACGGGGTTGAAACTTGAACTACCTTCGCAGCGTTGTTCTATTTAGAGAGTTCATGATGAAATGCTGGGGTGGATGGGTGGGCGCGTTCTTCGACAGAGGCCAGTCATCTGCTGGGACGCGGGGAGAGGCTGCATGCGGGGACTGGGGCACAATCCACACTCGTGAACTGTGTGTGGCAGGTACCAGGAAGGGGGATGAAATTCAGGCCGACTCAGATTAGTACGCTCTGAATGGCAGACATAATGAGACTGTCAATTGCAAAGAGCAGAGAACTCATTGTACACAATGACTTGCTTTGCAGAGCCTCAGGTATGTCCACCTCCCTCACGCTCTTGAGAAGATGGAGCTTGAGATTAGAATCAGCGTTTCACTCAGATCAAACAGAGCAGATATGGGCCCATATCTGATTTGACCGATGAATACGGGACCATTATCTGTTTGATTTGATAGATTTGACAGATATCTGATCAAAAAAGGTAAGTGAGAGCATTCCCGGCCGGGCTCAACCCGTGCTGAGCCCTCCGAGCTGGATAACGTTGTTCTTCAGCCAGTTCTTCAACATCTGTAGAGCCTCAATGCGTCCTTCACCGAGCCTGTGCCGTTGGGATGTCACCGTTAACTTCCCTTGGCTGAAAGTCCGTTTAGGGTCATCTGCCATGGCCGGGACGACTAGAAGGTCCAATGCAAATCGGCTCAACCGGGGAAAGCTGCTTTGGTGATCCAGCCACCATTGGATGGGATCGGGGCATTCTTGAGGGGCCAGTTGGTAATATTTCTCCAGCTCGCCCTGGGTATCTGAAGGTCGTACTATTCGGGTATTGATCCACTGCTTGAGCCTGCCTGTTTCCCGTTTGGGATGTTGTGATGTTGTTGATGAAGCCGAAGATAGTTGTGAAGGCATTGGTGACGGTGATGCTGACAGGGATTCGGGGGGCAATTGAGGGTCTGGATACCAATTCTCGAAGTTAAGCCTTGACGGCCAGCTTCGTTGGCCCGAGCCACCGCGAGTGTTCTTGGGAGCTCCAGGCCCCTTCGAGGAAGGGTAACCCAAGCTCGGGATGGAGGATGACGGCGGCTGCAAATAAGGGTGAATCGCCGAGTAGGTTGTAGTATTCGTCGAGCTTAACCCAGGCGTTGTTGATCGATGCCCGGATGAATGCCCTCTCGTCGGGCTGCATATTCACGATGCCGCTGACCCTGATATACTCGGCTGCAGCATGCCGAGGTAAGGCATCTTCTTGATACCTCGATGCCCGGCCTTCATGCCGTGATGCCGGCCGGGATGTACGTTGGCGACGGGTACGACGGTACGTAGGCCGGGGCGGCGGGGGCGGTGAATCGAATGGATCGGGCTCGGCCAAGCTAGCCTGCAAACTGATCGATTCTGCAGCTAGATCTTCGGAATCCGGAAGGTAAAGTGCCTTCCAGTCTTCGAGCTGTTCCAGGATGTACTCCATTCCGATCAGGACCTCCCACAACTGCCCGTATCCGTTGCCCTCGGTGTGGCCTTGAGCCCTCATCGTCAATAGATAGATCGGCTCGAGGATCAACCGGATCTCTGCAAGCAAACGCCAATCGTCGGCATTAAGGATATCTTTAGGATCGATCCTTGATGTAACGGCAGGGTCGAGCTGTAGCTGGTTGATGAAGGCATTCAGGTCCCGTTGTTTCTTCCAGGCACGGTCGATCATAAGGAAGGTCGAGTTCCATCTTGTGGCGTTGTTTTGCCTTAGCTCCAGTTCGGCTGTTGATTCGGCATGCAGCGTGAAAGAATCGTGAAGGTCATCATGATCCTCAGCTTCCGCTGCTTCACGAAAGGCTTCGGAGCGTTGAGGTGAGGCCCGGATGAACTTGACGATATTATGAAGCTTGCCGATCGGCCCCTTGCGGCGCCAATGGCCGAGGGCCTGTGTGTGTTCTTCCAAGATCTCCAACGAATCTGACTCGAGCTCGAAAGTATCGGCATCATCGCCAAAGAGGAATGCCTTCGCAACCAGGTTCAAGATATGGCCGAAACATCGCATCCGACGATGTAGGACATCCATCTCGTCTATCCTAGGGATGAGCCGAGGGTATAGGGCCCGGAGGATGTATCGTTATTCGAGGCGTTATCGCAAACGATCAATCCAAGCTTTCGCGGGATATCCCAGTCTTGGAGGATGTTATAGAGGGTATTGGAGATGTTCTCGCCGCTGTGTACGCCGGGGTGCTGTCGGAACGCAATGAGCCGGCTCGTATACTGTTGCTTGCTGTTGAGGAAGTGGGCGAATACAGCAACGAATGCCAGGCGGCTTGGGGAGGTCCAGAGGTCGAAGCTGATGTGGATGGAGGAAAGGGAATCCTGAAGTTCACGTTGAATAACCGTCTTCTGCTCCCTGAATATCTCCATCATTATCGACGTCAAGGTATTCCTCCCCAAGGCAACAGTAGCGGCGAGCTCTCGGTTGAACAGCTTCAGGAAGCTCTTGAGGTAGGGATCTTCGAAGGTAGTGAAGGGATTGTCGGAATTGACGATGAATGCAACGGCAAGGTGCTTTGCGGCTAGATCTTTGGCCGTGGGGATCCGTGAAGCTATTTGCTGCATCGCGAACACATCAGGACGATCAGCATGCTTCTCCCCTTGCCGGAAAACAGAATGTTCCTTAGCCAGATGTGTAGATGGCGATGATGTAGAGGAAGCATCGAAGGTAGTGTGTTTCTTCCGACGGTCGCAATACATGCAGCACCAGACCTCTCCGCCGGGCTGGAGGGCACCGTTGGCCGTGATGGCGGCTAGGAACCATCCGTGATCCTTGACCCAGCTTGTAATTACGGCCGCGAGATGACTTCTTGTAGATCTGAGAGGCCAGTACGTAATGCTTGTTGCCCCAGCTGATACGATAGAGGTCTTCGATGTAGCCCTCGATGACGGGCGCGGCACTGAGGGCGGTGGCAACCTGCTCTTCGATGGGTTGAGGCCGTGACTGTATCTGGGAGAATAGCGACTGCTGACGGCTCGGGCCGGGAGATCGCGAGCGTCTGGCAGCAACGCTTGTTGCAGGGCTCCGTGACCGGGATCGATGCATCGCGATAGCTTCAATCGGGAGGGCTTGGCTGAGGGCTCGGGTGGGGGCCGGGGCTTGGCTGAGGGCACGCGTGAGGGTGCGGCTGAGGGCGCGGCAGGAGTAAAGTTGGGGGGGAATTCGGGGGCGGCGGTCGGAAACGACCCCTTCCGGGTCCGGATCAACAATTATCCGGGTCACAAATCTGGCTGGAGCTGGAATTACTAGTTAATCCGGGCTCCGAATGCCCTCATTTATCTGTCAGATAGTCAAACAAATATGACCTTGATATCTGATCTGTTTGATGACCGGAAGGGCCTTATCTGTTTGATCGATTTGATCGATCTGATAGATATATCTGATCTGAGTGAAACGCTGGTGCCGTCGACGCCGGCTTCTACTGGATCCCGGTCGTACCGAGCTTCACGCTCCAGTTCGGTCGCGCCATCAGATTGTACCGATGGTACCGCCAGTTCGAGTCGATCGTTTTCGAGTCGCCTCGTCGGAGATCCTGATTACCGAGATCTCAACTTGGCCGCCAATAACATCTTCATTCGATCTTCCCGCCAGCAATTCCCTAAATAGATCGCCGACCTAGTCAATTATATACGCAGGGACCGTGAGTCCCCCGGCCCGTCGGTAGATCAGGTGCGGCACGACGCTACATTATAAGAACTTACTATAGGCGCTAGAGAACCTCAAGTGGAGAAGTACTTCCAATCCACATTATTTTATGATCTATAGCCTGGCGAGTCAGTCTCCTGTGTTAATATCGCCAAGCGCCTCAACCGCGAGCTGAGGCGCTATAAGAGCGATGATGTCCAGCAAATCAATAGCGCCGCATTCTCCATCGCTATGAGCGGCACAGAGGCACGACTCTATATCTCATGGAAGCACGAGGAGCGGACTACTACATGGCAAATATCAAGAGCTTCTTACTTCAAGAGCCCGAGCACTATATCGAATTCCGCAAGTACGTCCGGAACATCATCGACTGGGGGAAGGACAAGCGGCTAAAAGAGATCCGGGATTCCCTGGACGGCCTTTTGGAGGAGAGCAGGAAGAGAGCCTCCGAGGCGGCGAAGTCTCGCCAACCACCATCTGATGGATCCGCGACCAGCAGCGGCAAGAGGCGCAAAAGCAACAGAACCGACAGCGTGCAAGGACGAAGTGAGGAAACAGACGGGCCTTATTGGGATGAGCATGATATGCCCGGACACGGCGCCAGCGAGGAACCGTCTTTCCCACCTGACACCGACGACAACACTGTATCCCAAGACGAAGAACTTGCTCTTGCCGACTATCTCCCACGGGATGGCCAGCAAGGGAGAGACGAGGGACTCGGCCCCGCCGAGTACGTCCATGAAGGCCAGCAAGATCAAGACGAGTCCGACTTTTCATCGGAGTTTCTCCCACCCACGAACGACTGCGCTCCTAGTAGTAAGCATAAACGAAAGGCCTTGTCACCGTCTCACGCATCATCCAGACGGAGGAGCCGAGCGAAAGACTACTGGACATTGGACAACGGAAGTGGCGAATACTTTCACAAACACTCTGATGGTACCATCACCTGGCTTGAGGGTTCTGATGACACAAATTGATGGAGTCTATTCGGGCTTGCTCTCTGTAAGCACTCGGAGCGGGAGTACAAGATGTCAACCGGGCGAGTCCCGAATGCGCCCATCCCCTTCGCGCCCAACCTGCGCAGCATACACTTAGACTTCGCCCGTACCCCGACCCCGGTCGACTTCAGCCGTCCTGGCCCTGCCTGTTCGCCATGGAAGTGGCGTGCGTGGTCAAAAGCGCGGAGATGCGCGCGGCGCGCCATTCAGGTTTCGGCGCTCTGCCAGGCGCATGCCATCGGCAAGGCGGCGTAGGTTAAGGACCTGCTGGCGCAGGGTGCTAACGTTAACGGCGTGGACGAGGAAGGACGCACGCTGATGAGCGCAGTGCGGGCGGACTAGGTGGAGGTGGCAGGGCTGCTGATCAAGAGCAGCGCAGCCGTGTCGTACGGCGGGCGCAAGTTTAGCAGCTAGCGGCCGGCGCTTTACCACACGGCCGAGGCGGGCACGCTGGGGTCGATGCGCGTACTGCCGGAGAACGGCGCGGACCTGAACGCGCGCGGCGGGTGGCCGGGGCAGGCCTTTTTGGTGGAGGTGGTGATGTCGGGCCGGCTCGAGGTAGCGCGGCCGCTGCTAGACCGCGACGGGCCCACGCTTGGGGCGACGAGGAGCAAGAGTGCTGCTCGCTACCCAAGGTTAGCGCTCTTGAGAGCCAATGAGGGCAATACACGTTCCTTGGGCTTTTATTCGCCCATTGTATTGATGACGATGATGATGACGAATGAGCCAATTGGGAACGGAGAGGGTAGGATCTGGACAGACTGCCAATTGCTCTTTTTAGCTGCAGCTCTATTGGCGAATCTGATTGTTGTTTCAGTGAACCCCTTTGTTCGACGCCATTTTCCCCTTTCAACACTTATCAGCAGCCCGGCTTCTTCCGTCTCCCAATGTGTCCGCGTCGGGCACGTGGCCTATCTCCTGGCCTGGCCTCCTCCACCTGAAAGCTTGGCTCTGGTAAAAGTCCTGGATATATCTCTTTCGACCCTGAAGTGCCCCTGAAGTCGTAGACGTACTTGAAACAGATCTATCGGCCCTAACTAATAAGCTAGTAGTATGCCGAACGCTGAGATGAAAGCGACAACGAGAAAAATGTCGGCAGTAAACCCCATAGTCCCATTAGCCCCGGCCGGCGATGAGCCCGTACCCATAGTCTGCGTGCCGTTTGGGGATGACGAGCCGTTCGGCGCAGCAGGTCCGAGGCCTGGACAGCCGATGTCGTACATGTTCCCCGTAGCAAGGTTAGGGCCAGTCTGACTGTTGTAGGCTATTCGGATCAGCGAAGACGTGTCTGGTGAGTACTGCGGCCAGCCGTATTTGATGACAGGGTCCTTCGCAAAAGTAGCCCAGGCTCCGCGGAAGTACTTGCCGATTTGAACCTCTGCAGGCGTGTCCGCCACCACACCACTCGAAACTAGGGTTGTATTGAAAAGCAAAGGCAGCTCCCCAGCGTGCCAAGCACCGCTCGGTGGTGTGTTTGTCAGAACAAGGTTGGGAAAGTCGCCAAAGTATCTGTACCGCCACGTCGGATTCCCAAAGGCTAAGGATAGCGCCGATCTGATGGCAGACGGGCACACGAATGTATTCTGGTTGGCGATCGCCCAGATCTCGTCTGGGAAGCTCGGAGCGAGAAGTCGGAAGAGACCTGCCTCAAAATCCGCGTGGCCAATGAGAAATGGCCGCGCGGCGGGCTTTCGTGTGAAGTAGTCCGAAAAGATGACCGTCTCGTCGATAGCTGGTCCATATGCGAGACTGCTGTCGCTGTCGGTGATAAGATTGACTGGCACAGCGTTTGCGATCTCCTGTGCCGGTTTCTCAAGCATGCAATTGAAAACGGTGTCGCGGTTGTCCGATGCCCCTCCACATCCAAGGCGAGTCGTGAGGTTGAACCAAGTCGCTGTTGCGTTTTCGGATGTCTGTTGGCCGAAGGAGATCGCCGTACCAGACATTGGGATGAAGGCGTGAACTACGGGGTCGTCGGCCCAGGCATAGGAGTAATAGTCGACGGACGAAGCACCCGCTGACTGACCGAAAAGGGTGATTCGAGTTGGGTCGCCGCCGAAATTCCTAATGTTGTCCCGGACCCATTCGACGGCCAAGCGTTGATCTAATATACCGACATTATTCGGAGTAGAGGGATTTCCCGGAAACCCGAAAATGGAGACGCGATAGCTGAGACGGTATTAGTCTAACAGGCGACAGCGGGGTGGTAGCGAGCGGTCTTACTTGAAGGTCACGACGACAACATCATCCTCGCCCGCCAGAGATGCTCCGTCGTATCACGGAACAGCGGTGCTACCTGCAAGCCGTGAGCATTGGGTTCATGTCGGTTCACTAGATGGCTCGTGTCTTACCGGTCACGTAACCTCCGCCATAGATAAACAGCAGCACAGCCTTCTCGGCTTCCCCGGTCTGTGGTTTGGTCCAGATGTTGAGCGTCAAGCAGTCCTCGCTGGCATTACCCGGAGGTGTTGTCAGTGCGAAGATCACGTCACGCCCGGCCGGCGTAAGTCCAAGCTTCTCGTAGTCGCTCGCGTTGGTGGCGAGGCCCGACGTCGTGCTGGCCATGCAAGATGGCCCCTATTGCATGTTAGTGATTAGGTGTCGATGGAACGAATTTGAACCGATATACTCACATTTTTGGAGCCGTCGATTGCTTTCGTCCCATTGAACCTCAGTGGAGGCCGGAAGCGGAGGTTTCCCACTGGGCATAGGGGATGTGGCGGGGTAGCACTACACATGACTGGGCACGTGGGATCTAGCCCCGCCCTGGAGCTCTCGCCCACACATTTAGTAGGGAGATTTTCCCTCCACGAGTTAGTTAGCCAATGCACACATTGTCTACTTCTACAGGGGATGCCAAGGTATTCAGAGACTTCAGAGATGTTGTGGGATGCATGGCCCTCCACCGGGCCACTCGAAGTCTGGACGACTTGTCCAACATTCCACTCAGAGTTCTGACGTTCAAGGATGCTCCGCGGTGGGAGTGACGCGACGGTGCTCCCTAGGAAGCCAAAGACGGCAAACGCGGCGAGGGACAACATGCTCGGAGAGAATGAAGGAGGCGGGGAGATAGGAACAAGACTGGCAAGTATGGAAAGAGGCTAAAAGTAGACGAGATTACCGTCCTGTCCTCCATATGCCCTCGGCGGGGATCTGTTCTCTTTTTAAGTCCCGAGTAGCTCTCCCATTTGCTTCCTAAAGACGCAAGGAGGTTGACCACAGAGCCGGGGAATTTTGCCCTTGCGGCCTCGAGCCTCGTCATGCAAGTTCTGAAAACATACGAAAGACGAGAACATGAACCAGAATTCGGAAAACCAGTGGACGTCCAACTCTGGCCATGCTTGCCGGCGTCACTCCAGGCCGAGCCCCTCTATCGATCATAGGCGAGCTGACGTCAGTAAAAGAAGAGAAACCAGGCAGATGATAGCTTCTTCCTGATCCAAGAAGCGTCTGCCGTCACGGCAACTGCTAATTGTCCCGGCTGTCCAGGAGCCTTTCATTGATCAAAGTCGGAGTGGAGACCGGGGCTGAGCACAGAACCACTTTTCGGCGGCTAGCGGATGACGCGGTTTTCCCGGGAAACACGAGATACGACAACGCAGCCTTCATTGAGCGGAGACGAGGGCTGAGCACAGACCATTTTGCTGCGCCACCCGGTTTTCCGCGATACGAAACCCGTGACTTCCATCCTGGTCGTCCTCCAGCCAGCAAACTTCAGCGAGGCTGAGGACCTTGTTCAAGCTATTCACGTTGCCCTCACAGGCTTCGCACCACGCACATACGGCAGATCTACCGGAGCTCGGTGGTGGACTGACGGTTGTAGAGAGGCCGCTAATGCCTATTGCTAGGCTCGCCGCGCTGGACCTGCAGACGGGGAAAACGGTGCCCTAGGCCGCCACGCCTAAGGCCACAAAGGCATACTGGCGCCCAGCTGTTGAAGGTGCGGACCACCTTGTCAGCCGGTACAAGATCAACAAACTGGCACCGCCACTCCCCGCACTACCTCTCGCCCCCGCTACTCAGTTCGATGATGCTGTACTGTAGATATCATGGACCTAGCGTTGGAGGGATGGAGGCGGCTGAGCCAAGCGAAAATCAATGAGTACGTGGATTCCATGGTAAGGCGAATGCAAGATGTGTTAGAGGCCAAGGATCGTATGACTAGGTGGTAAAATGGTAGTACATAGAGGTACTTGCATTTGTATATAATCTTGGCCTGCAAGAAAGTACTAGTAAGTAATGAGTCCGTATTTTTTTGTCAACCGCTTGACAAGGCATATCGCAAGTTCCCCGAGTCAACGTATTCGTGGCGCGATACCCCCCAACGAAGCGGGTTGTGGCCTGCCCGAAAAACGCTCCCCTTTGTACCGTATAAGGACTGGGTTCCAGGCCAGTCATATAAAGAACACCCGCCTATTTGCATGCATTATATCACAGAATGGAAGTTGACGCTGAATAAGAGAACAGCAGCGAAGCAAACCGAAGATAACCTCGTGGTGGCTCCAAGTGCCTTCTGGAATGAGGAGCTGGCATCCAAGATCGCCGATATCGTACAATCGACCGGCAAGTCATATAAAGCCGATGCAACCACGATTGCCATTTCCGTAAACGACCGTTCCGAGAGGGATATAACAAAGCACTTCAAAGAGTTGCAGATTGACTGGCCGGTGGTGGAAAGACAACTTCAGGGGCGGAGCCACCTTCTCCGTATCTCCGTATTGGTAAAACCTTGAGGGTTAACGTCTCCTTCAACTATATGGAAAGTGGGAAAACGGCCCGCACCGCTGGACGGGGGGCCACTGCAATATAGCTCGCAGAGAGAGACACTCGGCTTGATGCGGAGTAGGTGGTCTCCGGTGTACCGGATGCTTGGAGGCAAGTGTACACCATTTTGAGGTGCCTAGAACCCCAGTACAATCGTGGACCTTACTGCTGGCAAGATCCTGATTCGAAGAAACACTACAAACTTATGGGCCACCACTTAAGAGGCCTTGTCAAATCCGTACAGCAAGGCTGCAAACTGGAGAGACATGATGACGTTCCCTAAGATATTCGGATGCAGCTATATGCTGAGGAGCAGCAGTACCAGTTAGCTCGCGACCTGACGTTAGAAAGGGGGGTTAAGCCTCGAGCTAGTTCACGAGGACAATGATGCGCAGTTCTACATCGAGCGAGGAATGCTGGAGGGCGTAGCACGGCGTTTTGTCCGGGACGTAAACGCATTTCTTAATTAGTATAGTGCATCTTAGATAGTCTACCTGCCAGATTACCAAAACCAAATCAGTGTTGCATTTCTGAACGTACTCATCTAAACGTTTAGCTGTGCTGAGCCGCTTATGGAAGTAAACCGATATTTAAAACCCTCTAAAGACAATGTGCACATGCTTTTCGCGTTCTGTGCTCACTAAGGCTATCTCTCTTAAAGTTGGCGACGAACACAGCAGTATCTGCCTTCTCACGGGGCTAGAATTACAGTGGTCCAGGTGGCTGCAGCAACCGGGCAAGCAACCGCCGACGATAGTTTCAATCCGTGCAGGCAGGCATAGCATGCCAACCGGAATCTTCCGATGGCTCATCAATCGAGATCCCAGCTCAACGGAAGTGGCACCTAGCGCTTGCCTTTCGGCTACATACAGTAATTCGAACATTAGCTCGGATATACTGCTTTACAGCCCTCCAACAATTCTCAATTGGCGATAGATCTGGAGAGCCAGGGCAATTGAAGTAATGCTTCAATCCGTAAGTCTCCTTCCAGTTTGTTGGGGCTTCGTAGAAATGGAGTTCTGACTTAAAATTCCATCCAACCGCGGCCCAGACGTGATATCTCCGGATTTCCGTCCCTTTTGCTAGCTCTTCAGGATAGCGAATGCAATCAGGGCAGTACCTTTCTCCAGGTTTCCTAATAATCTAAATCTTTCCTTCAGAAAAGAGTCCAAAATGGCATTCATCCGACCATCGAATATCTCGCCAATCTTCTGGGCGAGGGCGGAATTGAAGGGCAATTTTGGCTTCTTGAAGTCGCCTTTTTGCGTTTGACGGCGATACGAATCCTTTTTCACAGGCGATGCATTTTCGGTATTTTAAAGTCCCCATTACTCGCTCGACCGTCCTTGCGGATGCGTGAATACCAGCCATTAGGCCTAGACCTTGCCAGGTTAAGCTGCGGGCCTGGAAGCCATACTGCCAGATGATATCTTCCATTCTATGTAAATCTTCGGCTGTGATGATGGATTTCCGCCCTCGTGTTTCGTATTCTAGGTGCCGCCGGTCGACGCCATGATGAAGGATTTCCCAGCCCTGGTTTTTACTCTGGATACCGAACTGACGGAAAAGGTCGGCTTTGAAGTGTGGAATATTGTGGGCTTCAAGATAAGTAGCTGCTCCAAGTAGGTGTGCCTTTAATAGCGTAAAGTAGTGCAGTGGCATACTGGTGATGGCGATGATGATGGGTTGGCGGTGTGGATGCCAGTGGCGGATTGCCAATGGTGTGAGTCGAATGCCATCGAATGTTGGAAAATTGGTAGTGGCTGTTAGTGGGCAGCCACCTGCACAGACCACAGGCTTTTTGTAGTCCGCATTTTTTTGTCAACCGCTTGCTTGTTCACGTTGCGGCTCGTCGCCACTGGACCAATCATTTGCGGAGTCGGAATCCATTGCCTAAAAGATGTAGAGTGAAGACAGATCGTGCGCGAGTAGCGATGTCTATTCTCCGCGAAGGATGAGTCACAGAAGATACGTGTCCTCTTCGGCACTAGTCACGTGCAGTCCCACCTGACTGTCAAAACGGCATCATGCTGTCGCCACCAAGGATATTCGCCTCGTTCTGTTACACGTGTAAGTCACTTGAAATTAATAGAAAATGCTAGAATTTCGAAAATATCTATAAAATAGCCGATCCTCCCCGGCCCTTGTGGTGTCAAGCTAGAAAAAAGAAATATATAAGATGAAGAGAAAGAGACTTAATTATATTAGACATGCCGTGAAAAGTTAATGGTGATAACTGGTCCTGATGAACAGCCGATAGATATCATCAGCTCTTGGATGGCGGAACAGCTTGGGCGGTATTCTGGTGGTAACCAGAGTACATTCTTGCCATTGCAAGTAATCCACAACTTGTCCTGTCCTAAGCCGTACCCTTGCTTCACTAGATTATCTAGCCAAAGCGCACTTCCCGTAGTTGCTGTAGCTACTTCAATACACTCGGCATCGGTAAGAAGGTAGCGGCTATCCGGTGAGAAGGCCACAGACTGAACCGAGTCGCCATGGCCTTGTAATGTCTGTAGGCACTGCCCTGACGCAGGATCCCAGATCTTGATGGTTCTATCGTTGGAGCCTGATGCGAGGCGCTGGCCATCCGGTGAGAAGGCCACAGACAGAACCGAGCCGCCATGGCCTTGTAATGTCTGTAGGCACTGCCCTGACGCATGATCCCAGATCTTGATGGTTCTATCGCAGGAGCCTGATGCGAGGCGCTGGCCATCCGGTGAGAAGGCCACAGACCGAACCGAGTCGCCATGGCCTTGTAATGTCTGTAGGCACTGCCCTGACGCAGGATCCCAGATCTTGATGGTTCTATCGAAGGAGCCTGATGCGAGGCGCTGGCCATCCGGTGAGAAGGCCACAGACAGAACCCAGCCGCCATGGCCTTGTAATGTCTGTAGGCACTGCCCTGACGCATGATCCCAGATCTTGATGGTTCTATCGTAGGAGCCTGATGCGAGGCGCTGGCCATCCGGTGAGAAGGCCACAGACTGAACCGAGCTGCTATGGCCTTCTAATGTCTGTAAGCAGGCATTCCATTCCACTTCTACAACTGGTTCCGTGCTAATCCAGTTAGGCTTATCCGTCTTGAAGTTTTGCTTTACCAAGCTGCCAGTTGGTGCGAATACAAGGGCCGACGTATACGCTTGAAGAGGGGCCTGCTTTATTATAAACCCGTAGGATAGAGCAAACCGGTGTGCATCTTGTACAAGGGTTGGTGGCTGCCCTTGGTCAGCGTGGCCCTATGTCTCTATTAGTCTGCTTTTCTAGCATTTAGTAGTTCAGACTCACTAGTATGCCCTCAAGCTTTCGTATGGCAATGACACCCTCTGCCATAGCTTGAAGTAGACTGAGAGCTTCGAGCCAGTAAAGATACTTCTGATTAAGGAAGGTATGGACCGCATAGTGTATGTTGCGCTGTGCCGTGTTTTTATCGGAAATCGAATCGCTGAGATGGTCGACCCAGAAGACGCATGAGTATCGTATTGTGGCCAGTGGGTCTAAAGTTGGCGTTTGAACTTCGTCTATTGGGAATCCCGGTGCCTTTAAACCGTACATATCGCGTCGCAAGACCGTAGACATCGTACTGAGCGACCTTGAGAATATGAAGTGGTTTACATCTTCCAACCCTAAAGGGAAGACCCAACTGAAAGCCTCTTGAGAAGCTTGGTGTGCGGCTTTTCCCAGTAGAAAGTCTTTGGCTGACTGGTGGACGAAATAGACAATCTGCTCTCGAAGGGTCAAGAACGAACCACAAACCTTAACAATCTCTTCTAAAGACTCCAGATCATCTGTAATGTCGTCTGACATCTCGGCAAGAGTAGTTAGTTCCCGAAGGCTGATAGGTCGGCGAACAACTGTGGTAATGGTGAGAATCTGCTTGCAGAGATCTGCATCTCGGGAGTGACGAATCTGTTCCATCATCCGTGCATATAGGGAATCTAACCCGGGGGGAAATGCGCGTAACTCTGACAAAGTGTGCCGCTTCCGAACCTCAGGGTGAGCAAGTGCTTGGCAGACTAAGGCCACCCAGAGAAAGGTCCCATTCGCATTAGAAGAAAGATAAGCCCGCACAGCCGTCTCCATTTCACAGTTGTACTGTTTCTGGTGCGATAACTTAAGGACTTTGTGGTGGATATATGCACTAACGGCAGCAGTGACTGATTCGGCGTTCAGTTCGAGGCTGAGCCTGGAATGTTGCGCAATAGCTGCTAATTGTTCCTCAATATGCGGCAAATTGCGACTAGAGACGACCCATTTGACGTGAGGAGATATTGATGATGCTTGGGCGACTAGTTCGAGAAGTCGTGGCAAATCTGTCACACATTCGTCGAGGGCATCAATCACCAAATAGGTGGCCTTCAAGTTCGGATCACCTAACATCTCCAAAAAAGCCTTCGACAGAACGACCCACGCCATTACGTCATCGGAGGCATATGTGTTCTCCGGCAGATGTGAGAGGAGGCGTGGCTGTCGGCGGGCAAGTAGGTAAACTAACCCCCGCAGTACAGCGGTTGCGTTGTTGATGCGCGAGTCGGTGGCTTGGCAGAAGAAGTACGCCAAATTACCACCCTCGGCAGTAATCGGCCCCTCCAGCTCTTTGATGATGCCGCATAGCAACATAGTCTTGCCTTTACCGGGGTCCCCTTTCACCCAGAGCAGGCGGCTCTCAGGGAGATGGCGCCATTGGTTGAAGTCGGGGTTGTCGAAAACCCAGCGGTAAGCGTCAGCCAGCAAACCGCCTTTTGCCAACTCGATACGCTCCTTCTCATGGTGCGGGTCTCGCGGGTCGGTGGGCCACAGTTTTGCTAGACGATGAGAATTCTTGTCGATCTTCTCTTGTAGCCGATCAAATGCCTTTTCTTTTCCTTCGCCGTATACAACCGGTATGTGCACGTCGAAGATTCCGAATAGCGAGTACACCTTATCTTCCTCGTATTTTGTCTCACGCTTCTCGATCCATGCCTTTCGTTCGTCAACGCTGAAATCAGACAGAGGGTTACCCTGGAGGGCTCTGAGGGGAATCCCAGTTCTATCGTGAATTTCTTTTTCCAAAGACTTCTTGTCTCCCAGGCGCTCGCGCTCTCTAGAGAAGAATTCAACGATCGAAGGAGCAATGAGCTCTTGGAGGGTCCATCCACGGGTAAACCATTTGCATTTTCGAAAATCCAGTCCCCACTTTGAGTTACCATCGGCATCCCGCTTACAGGTTGAAACGTCTGCGAGATAGACATAGCATTTTGCCGCATCGCGATACCACCGAAACATGGAGTTGAGGGCGTGCTGAAGCTCAGCACTATCGGACTTGTCGATACAGCATGTATCAACCCAGAAGAATCTCAACCCATCGCGCCAGGCTTGATCTCTGCAAAATTGAATCTTAGCGTAGCCTGCTTTGTTCTTGCCTGTACCGTCCATCAGGTCCCTGAAGAGGACCTCCCCGTCACCCCATGTGTGTGAAAGTATCGCATACGGCGGAATTTTGTTGTTGCTGGGGAGGTCCTCCGTTAAACGGACCCCGCCGGTATCGTCACGTTCCAGCAGTCGCATTGCAAAAGACCGCCAGGCTCAGCTCTCTCGGCAGCTATCCATGCGAATGTTCGGCGGTGGGAAAGGCGAGCAGGCGCCTGACTGGACGGCTAATGTTCGTGGGACTGTCGGTACAGCTAATCAGTAGTTGAAACTGGGGTAGCTACTAGATAAACGAGAAGTACCGCAAGTGGCTGTTAAAATTCGTAGTGTGAATCTTGGTCGGTCTGGTTAAGGGTGTTGAAGATGGCTGTTGTTTTCGTTGTCAATGTGTTGCCTTTGCTTGGGTCGCCAACCCCGCGCGTTGGGCATTTTTGTCTGCGTTGGCGGCTGGAGGGCAGGCGCCAATCGCGCATAATTCGAAGCACGTCATTGGTGGTGTTTCTGCTGGTGTGCACAGAATCATGTCCCTCTGCAGCGTAGTCGCGCAACACGCAGAAGCTGCCGTGAGTAAGGTAAGGTAGAAATTCAGGGCGAGCGCGCCGGAATGCATGATTCTATCCTTTGGGATGGTGAGTGGTAATCGGGAAGGAGAATGCCAAGCCTGCCCTTAAAAGAGCCGTGTACTTAAGCATGGGCTGGTCAGTACCTTCCTTACGCCATTACACTGTGAGAAATCACATAAGCGCCAGGTCACCCTATTTACCCAGTGCTACTTCATAGTATCTGCGAGCCTGCTAACAAGACGTCAGAATGTGGAAAGCGGGTAAATGTCAGCTGATTCTAGCGTCGCATTGTACCTTAATGTTTCTCAAGTATAGGTGGTCCGTGCCCAAACCCTTCAAAAGAGTGCAGACCGGACGCCGATTTTGCTCCTAGCTGTATCAACCGGCCATTGTATTTACAACGACCGAGCATGGTCCTGATAACTACGGAGGTTACAGGCAAAAGTTTTCACAGTGGGTCGGGTACTGGCAAGGGTCACGGTCAGGGACCCACTGTCCCCTCCGATGTACCAACGCGTCGCGCACAGCTGTCAATCCAGAAAACCATCACCACCTTTGCAATGGCTTCGGATCCCCCCTCAACGCCACCCTGCCAGAATTTCAAGAATCCTGATATTTCCCGCGATGAGCGGCTTCAAGTTCAAACTCTCCGCAATATTGGCTTGACGTACGAGCAAATAGTTACGCAGCTTGGGTTGACCTACAACTAAGTTAGATATGCTTCCAGCGCTCCAAATGTTACACCAAAGAAACGCTCTGGTCGACCTGGCCTTCTCAATTCCGATCAGATTGAAGATCTGATCATCTTTATTACCTCCTCGAAAGCCTCTCGCCGAATGCCTTACTCGAAGATTCCTCTTGCCCTTGGCTGGAGCTGTTCAGAGTACGCCATCCGCTACGCCCTTCGTAACGCTGGCTTCAAACGCTATGTTGCATACCGAAAGCCCCCGATTACCGAGAAGAACCGAAAAATCCGCCTCGACAACGCTCTCGATCTTGTACACTGGCCTCTCGAGCGATACTACGAAATCCTCTGGACCGACGAGACCTGGGTAACTGCTGGTACCCATCGAAAGGTCTGGGTTACACGCCGTCAAAACGAGGCATACGACCCGACTTGCATCGTTGAGCGTGAACAACGGCCAAAGGGATGGATTTTCTGGGGTTCATATTCAGCAAAACATGGAAAAGGGCCTGCTCTTTTCTGGGAGAAGGACTAGGGATCGATCACTAGAGAGAAGTATTCGGAGAGAGTTATCCCTCTTGTTGATGCGTGGTTTCGGCTTCATCCCGGCCAGGTATTTATGCAAGATAATGCCTCTCCTCATACTGCTCAGGTCACTCGCGAAGAGCTTACAGCTCGAGGGATTCCTGTTTACACCCATTCTCCCTATAGTCCTGATCTTAATCCGATCGAGAACGCATGGAACTGGATGAAGGATTACATTGCAGTCAACTACCCGGCAAAGATGTCATACGACCAACTGCGCGAAGCAGTAAATACTGCATGGGAAGTGGTCCCTGAGGAATTCCTTAGAGAGCGTGTAGATACAATGCCCGTACGGCAACAGGCTGTCATTGATGCCAATGGAATGTATATTCCTTTCTGAATTGACAGCTGCGCGCGACGCGTTGGTACATCGTAGGGGACAGTGGGTCCCTGAACGTGACCCTTGCCAGTACCCGACCCACTGTGAAAACTTTTGCCTGTAACCTCCGTTTCTGCACCTGTTACACGCGTTCGGCCGTGCGTTGTGGCTGACTAAGAATCCGAAGTTTTCCCGGCTCGGCAAGGTGGCGGGTTGAAATCCTGCACGGGCCAAACATGCCACGAAAGTGACCCTCAGTTCTTTCCGCCTCTCCCAACTCGAAGGCATCGCATCTGTCATGGCAGATCAACAACTAAATATCATCAAGGACAACCCCATCGGGAACGGTCTTGATGCCTTCCGCGCTTCGTTTAGTTCGGTCTGCGAAGGCGCGGGCGTTCTCTACACTCCGGATGCGCTTGAGCAGCTTGGCCAAGAAGGTAAGAAAGGCAGCACAGTTTTTGTCCTAGTATGGTGCTCTGACCATTGTGTAGACCTACAGAATCTCGCCCTAGACCTTCTCATAGCATTACAAAGCCTTCGGGTCTCCCGTCAACTTCGTTCTAGCGGCCGTGACAGAAATCTCCTCAGCGACCTTTCGAGACTTAATTCTGCAGTCAACTCCGACGACTTTGACCTCGACTACATCAAGCCTCTCCTGAAGTGTGCTATCGCTGACAATATAGACGATGCCCTCATCTGGGATCGAGTCTACCGCGCCGTTACCGAATCTACACCGCCTCCCCGACCGATAGCTTCTTCCCTCTAACAAACTCTATGGCTTCACAACACGAGCAGCTTCGCGAACTCCTCCGAGTACCGCAAGGATGTGGACAGAGTCCTCAGGAATGAACTCGGCGCTATGTACGTTGGGCTTCCACGATTCTACGAGGCATTTTTCGGACGAGTGGTAGGTCTTGAGATGGCGTCCGAGGCCGTGTTCAATAGGTGCACCGAAGGCAGCGAACCACTCTTTAGTAATGGGTGGAGGGGATGGCCGACAGACGCAAATCAGGACGACGTCTTGAGCTGGTTTGCGGAGTTAACCGAGACACTGGCAACATTCGCAGAAGAGTACAAGTCGATCTCGACACATCGACGAAGGCCTCTGGCACAACCCAACAAGCCAATCCAGGGCTCCACGGCAGAACGCAAGTTGGATGTCGGCTTCGTCGACGACCCCAAGGCTGGAAAAGACTCTCGATGTCACTGGTCGCATATTCTCATACCGGGTGAGCTGAAGAGCAATCCATCGGCCGACAAAGCAGCAAAGGCATGGCTTGATCTGGGGACGTACGCGAGAGAAGTGCTCGCTGTTCAAGACACCCGTCGCTTCGTCTTAGGCTTTACCATCTGTGGATCTCTCATGAGGATATGGGAGTTTGACCGGCTAGGGGGGATCGCATCCGAACAGTTCGACATCAACGAAGATGGGCTGCAGCTTGTGTCCATAGTCCTCGGGTTTCTCTGGATGGGCGATGAGGAGCTTGGCTTCGACACGACGATCATGACGGCGAACGACAAGCGGTTCATTAAGATCGAGCGGAATGGTTCAACAGAGCGACTCATCATCGACAAGGTGATGCAACGCGGACGTTGCATAGCTGGCCGGGCCACGACTTGTTAAAAAGCCCATCGCGATGGTCACCCACACACACCGCTCGTCATCAAAGACTCGTGGCAATACCCCGAACGCGATGAGGAGGGCGAGTTACTAAGGCAGGCAACTAGCCAAGGCGTTGTCAACGTGGCCCGATACTATCATCACGAGACTGTTCAGATACGCGGTACAGAGGACGACATTCGAAACAATGTTCGAAGGCGACTGGATGTCACAAGGGCCACGAACTACCGGCCAGAACGCTCGATGCCACCGCCGAGTACGATCGCGGCCAGTGCTTCGCGGAAAGGCCGTAGCAGCAGCGCCACTAGCAAGAAGCGATCTTCGAGCCAAACTGGCGCCGCCCTGCCCCCCAGCAAGCGAACCTGTTCGGTGTCTCCAACGAAGGCCAGCGTCGATGCACTGCCGAATCGGGTACATCGGCGCGTCATTCTTCGCGACTATGGAAAGCCTATCTACATGGCGAGCTCCCGATCGGCTCTCCTTGCTGCGCTAGAGGGCTGCATCGAAGGACATGAATCCCTGCGTAATGCCGGCTTTCTGCACACAGACATCTCAACCAACAATCTCATGATCAACGAGGACAATAACCTTTCCTGGCCTTCGTTCTTGATTGACCTGGACCTCGCCGTCAGAGAGCAACGAGAAGGCGCATCCGGAGCAAAGGGCAAGACTGGCACGAGGGCGTTCATGGCAATCGGGGCGCTTCTGGGCGAGCAGCATTCCTTCATGCACGATCTCGAGTCATTCTTCTGGGTGCTCTTCTGGATATGCATCCACTACGACGCGCAGGGCAAAGACATTAGGCCAACTGGGTTTGACGATTGGAACTACGAGAATGATGACAAATTGGTTCGGTCGAAAATGGGCGAGATTAGTGACGAGGAAGTTTTTCTTGCAGGCGCCGAAAAAAATTTCACTTCATACTACCGGCCATTGATCCCATGGGTCAATAGACTGCGGAGGAAGGTATTTCCAAATGGAGGGAGGTGGAAGAGGCTGGAGCAGGAGCTCTATTCTTCGATGAAGGAAATTCTTCGTAAGGCCCGGAACGACCCGGAGGTGTTGGAGGATAGATAACGATGTATGATATAATTTACCTTTTACACTGTTGCACAAGAATCACGCGAATGCTACCACCCGGACCCGGATGTCGAGCTTTGGAAAGGAGGAGCCGATCCCACCTAGGTCCTGTGTGTGCAGCGAGTTGCCGCCAGAATGGCCCAAAATACACAGATCAAGTGCCCTGCCGAATTCAGTGCATGCCAGGCTGCTTCGAATTGCATTCGCTGGGCGCCGGCGGGAGGAGACGGACGAGTCGCTGCCGGCGCTGCAACTGCGGCGGACCATGTCGTTGCCGGCCCCGGCGGCCTTGGCGGCCTTGGCGGCGTGTCCGGATCCCTCGCCCTTCAACTCCGCTAACCCGCTTGCACCGCCCTCGTCCAAGGGTCAACCGCCAGCCGCTGCTGCACCGAACGAGCACATTGCTTTTGCCGAGGAGTCACCCGTCCCCGGGCGGCGTGGATTGGCGGCGCCGTCGCCACCGCAAACCCCTTTGCATCTTCCGCGGGCGACAGCCGGGTCTTGGGCTCCGCTGCCGCCGTGGGCCCATCTCCACTAGAAGCGAAGGCCATGGCCGCGCCGACCATGTCGCACCACTTCTTGTCCACGCGCCGCAACGTCGGCCGCAACGCGCAGTTCCACTCGCTCAGCTCCGACGAGCGCGAGCGCATCGGTGGCTGCGAGTACCGCGCCCTCGCCAATTGGGAACGGAGAGGGTGGGATCTGAACAGACTGCCAATTGCTCTTTTTAGCTGCAGCTCTATTTGGTGAATCTGATTGTTGTTTTAGTGAACCCGTTTGTTCGACACTATCTCTCGGCTCCGTCCTGCAGGCCGCGTCGGGCGAAGCAGCTTTCACATATGTCGTTCTGATGCAAAGAGCATCCCACGAAGATTCACGTCATCGACACAGAAGCACAAGGCAACACTGTACGAAAGGCACCTCGTAGGATGAAACGATAAAGTTTGGCGGGACGACCAGTTCGTAGATTTCTTGGGGATCTTTGAACTCGTTAATAAATGCCCCATCGGCAAATGCCAGACCCATGATGGGGATAAGCGGGTCATATATCAACATGTCGTCTTCGCGGAAGGCGAATTCCTTCGGGTCCGATTCGCCGCCTGACCGTTTAATATGTTCCAAGTTGACTTTCAGAACGAGACGCGGCCGCTTATCTCCCGGTAGCGGCGGAAATAGCTGGAATTCCAAGTGCTCGTAAAGCAGTTCGCCGATAAGGACGCCTGGCCGTGTGGCGGTAGCACCGGCAAGAATAAGGTTAGCCGCTAACTGCACGCGCAAGCGTTCGTGGTCAAACACCTCTTCATCGCGTATCCAATGATGGTTCAGAAGCACAGCCAAGTCTTCGACGAACAGGCCAGCTTTCTCCTTCGTCGAAGTGTCCAGACCGAATGTTGGAGTAAGCCAGGTGTGGATCCACTGTCCGGAATTAGCACGAGACAGTTGATGGAGAAGTCGTATGTACTTACATTGCGAATATCGTATAAAACGTCCTCCTTCATCCAACTTGCTGTTTTCTGCGAGTAGATCATACTGAGAATTTTCCAGTACGTCATTATTGTCGACTCCTTCTTGATCCTCGAGTTCTTGACTCTCCATACCAAATAGACCTTGAAGAGAGGGGCGTCACACTGGCTGAGCGCTTCGACTGGGTCGAGTTTCCGCCGTCTGCAGAACCTAGTTGCCAACCGTATTAACTTGGCCACTCGTATCTATGTTGTACCATATCAAACATGCTTACTTGTTCCATATTTTCTCCTGTTCCTTTTCCATCTTCTTCGTGTTTTTTCCATGATTAGCGAGGGTAGGACCCTCTGCTCGGAACCTTTCCAACAGGTCGTCGTAGTATTCAGCCCTCTCGTCAACATCCTCCTCAAGAGAACAATAGCCGGAATCGGAATCGGAATCGGAATCGGACTCGGAGCCCGAAGGCGTGTCCAAAACATCGACAGAACTGTGCCGCCGGCGGGGCTGTGCTGCCAGAGTCGTCCGTGGGGCCGCAGGAGGGCGTCGCCTTTGCCCATATTCTTCCTCAGGCTCTGAGTCGGATACGGAGCCGACGCTAGAGTCCGTTTCGTTGCCCCTCTCTTGACCGGACCTTCGCTGCCTGTTCCGCGCCGGCGCTGCCCCAGCATATGAAGCGGATTGCCCTTCCGATTCGAATGTGGACGAGTTGCCATCCGCAGCTCTATTACGCCGGAGGTTACGTCGCTGCCATGCCCTCCGAGGCATATTTGACGGTCGGTCCATGGTCGACTGCTCGGAAACACATATGAACATACGGACGGAAAAGGAAGTGATGGAGGGCGAAGGGAGCTGTGTAAAGTGTGGGAGTAAAGGAGCGGGCGGATAAGGCGAAGGGGGAAGCAGGAGGGGGATGCGGGTTTGAGACCGCGCCGGGACGCGAGACTTAAATATATGAGAGGCAACATCTTAGGAGCGGCAGATTGGGAAGGGGGAGGGCTGCCAGACGGCTGTGTTAGATGAGCTGCGTGGAGCTGGAGGCGATGCCTGGTTGCGTGGGCGCGAAGCTGGAGTGAGAGCGTAAGGAGCTTGGCAGTGGAAACAGACGAATTGGGCAGGCGGTGAGAGAGCCATTCCGGATTGGGTAGGCGGTGAGGGCGATTGAAGGTTGCTGCCTGAGGTGTAAATTTTTGGGTGCGCGAACCCCGCCAAATGCGGCGGTGCACGCCTTATCAAGTATGCCTCTCAAGTGTTCTTCGGGGTACGGAATATCGGGCTGCAGCAGTTGCAAGGCGAAGATTCTTCTTCTTTTTTTTCTTCTTTTAGCTTAGTTTTACACTAAATCAATACGGTATATTGTTGGCAACAGTCCTTCGAAACCTACGGTTATGATGTATGTAACTATAAAAGGTGAACTAACTGCTGTTATGCCTCACTCCGTTCGAGTCGAACTGCTTGATGCGCCCCCGCTGATTGGTTGCCCGAAACCCGTACACGGACGAATTTGAGTCGAACTGGTTCAAGATTTGCTGTCAACCAGTTCGACTTTTTCACCGGGAAAACGACGGGCAAAATCTGCTGAGCGTGCGTAGATTGACTAAACAAAGCATGCCAATTTCGAATCCGCCGTCTATTTTCCCCGTAGATGTACGGTTGGCCGTGCATTGACGATTTAGGTCAGAAGGTGTGTTTTTGGCGACGGTGACGCACGGGCCAAGCGGCCGACAAGAAGTCGATCCGAGTCGAACTCGGTGCCCCAAGCAGTTCGAGTCGAACTGCTTGATGGGCCGCCGCTGATTGGTCGGTTGATTCGAGGTGCACGGACCAAGTCAAGCCCAACTGCTCGAGCATCCGGCTGTCAATTAGTTTGACTTGTCAGGAAGGGAGATAATGGTTAAAACCCGCTGCGCGTAGGTAGACCGGTCGAACCCAAGGCCGCGATGTTAATCACATGGTTCATTAGCCCCGTAGACATATGGTTGGTTATGCACGAGGAGATTCAGCGACAGTAGTGCACGGGCCGAGTGGTTGATCATTCGAAAAAATACAGGGAAGCGGGAAAAAAAAAGCAAAGAAATGGGAAATGAAGGGGGAAAAAAAAAACCAACCACCCCGGCGAAATAAAAGGTAAGATTTAAAGAAAGGGAGGTAAAAGGGAAATAGAAAATCAATTCAATACCAACCAACCGACCACGTACCCACCAATTCAGGTTATTCGGCATTTAAACGGAATTATGGAGTTGTTTAATAACTTGTTCATACATTCCCCCGATTACCGTTTGGCGATTTGCCGGGAACACCGTAGTGCGGTAACGGCAGGATCGATCGCGTATCACGTCCATTCGCAACACCGCCATATAGCCAAGAAAGTGCGCCAACGCATCGTCGAGGAGGCGGGCGAGTTAGAGAAGGGTGGCACGTTGGCGGCCGGCGTCCATGGGATCCAGTTCCCGGCCGGAATTGTGCCAGCGATTCGGTCGTTGCCCGTTTGGAGCGATGGCAAGATGTGCACGCGGTGCGGACACATCCGGCGGACCAAGCAAGATATTCAGAAGCATTGCCGAGACGAGCATGGATGGGTCAACCCGCGGGGGCAGGGCGGGAAAGCCAGGGCGAGAGCAGCAGGCGGCATGGGCGAGGTATGGGTAGACGGCGTGTATTGCCAGCGGTTCGGGCAAACAAGGGCATTGCAGCGGTTATTTAAGGTTGTGCCGGCGGCCGATACGGAGGGCGGGGTCGGCAGGGGAAGCAGCCGAGTTGGCACCACGGAGTATAAGGTAATTATGACGCAGTTTGAAGAGTTAGCCAAGGCAATAGAGGAAGGGGACAAGAAAGCGGCGGCATTAACCCACGACCAGCCCAGGTTGTCAGCCAATATGTGGATCCGGCGGACGGGTTGGCCCCGGCATTTACGATGGTTTGATCGCGAGTGGTTAACGGGAACGACGCGGCGGCCAGACGCAGACGGTGGACAAAACGCAGGTGATGATAAAAGGAGGGGTGTAGAGGGGGGCGGGGACGAAGCAGGCGGCGAAGCAGGCGGGGACGAGGAAACCCAGGAAGAACCAGGTAGGGACGAAGCAACCCGAGAAAAAGCGTTGGCCAGGGTATTATTGGCCATCGAGAGGGTAATTTAGCAGGCCCAAAAAGCATCGCGGGCCGAGGTGGTCGGGTCGGCCACGGTGAATTACATCGAGAGGCGAGAAGCCGGAGGGCAGTCGAACGAGAAACCGTTCAATTCAGGCCAGAAAGGCCAAACGATAGAGGGGTATAGCGAGTCATAGAAATCGATAATGGCGTACGTGTGGCGGACGCAGCATTTAGCAGTGGCCGAGGAAAGAGAGGCCGAGGTAGAGGCCGAGGGAGAGAAGGAAGAGGAGGGAGAGGAGGGCGAAGCGATAGACGCGCGGGGACAAAATGGTAATACAGGTTCCACAGACGCCAGCCAGGAAGGGGGGATCCGCAACAAACGACCGGCATACCATTTAACGCAACGCCAAGCAGACAAGTTCACGCAATTGCAAGAAGTCGCGTATATAGCGACAATAGCGCATATACAGTTAGAGGAAGATAGCAACGGCAACGGCGACAAAGAAGAAGAAGACGAAGACGATACGTAACAGTTAGAGCGTTGCGTATTAGCATTTTTTTATTTCATTATTAGACCATGATGTGGGCAACGAGTATTAGAACGCATTATATAGCGGGTTGGCCGTGTTGGGGATCCACGTCGGGCACGGTTGGAAGAGCGCGTCGATATATACGCCCACGTTATCGGCAATCGTGACGGTGGCCCGTATGTTGGTATTATATACGGCCAAGCGGGGGCGTGAGGAGGAAATCCAGAACAGGATCCGGGCGAGTGGTGAGAGCGAGCAAGAGGCGAGGCGTAAGGCGCGGAGCCGTTTGACCGCGTCCAGGGGATGGTGCAGCGTTTCATGACCATCATAGTATATAATGGTCGGCCGTCGCCAATGGATTCGATATTGCGGTTGCGGATATACGGCAAAGCGATCCGGGCAAACACAAACGCAGACGGCGTGGTGGATTGGCACGGGGACGAGTTGTTGTACGGGCATGTGCAGATCAGCATGTCGTCGTTGCGGATGATGATACACGGGTTGTTGCACACGGCAAGGGGGCAGTTACGGCGGGGAATGTTATTGTTGGAGACGGACGACGAGGGCGAGGTAGTAAAAGGGTCGACGGCGAGCGAGGCGATGAAGTCGTTCCGGGCATAGTTGTTGGTATTAATGCACGTGAGCGGCGGGCAGCCGGCGCGGGGGACCGAGTTAATTACGGTCCAGTATAAGAACGGGGCGGACGGAAACACGCGTGGGTTGTTTGTCGAGGACGGGTTGATGGTATTCGTGACAATGTACAACAAGACAATGGGGATGAGCGCAAAGGCGAAGGTGATCCACCGGTATTTACCACTGGAGGTGGGCGAGTTGGTGGCATATTATGTGTGGTTAGCGGTTCCGTTTTGGAGGGGAGTGGTCAGGGGCGCAAGCCGAGGGTCGTCGGATTGGAGCAGCCCGTACATATGGGAGCCGCAGAAAGAAAGCACATGGGCGTTCCCCATAGGGGTGAAGAAGAAGCCAACAGATGCAGGGCGACCGCAAGGCACGGTTGGGGTGAGGAGAATAGGGGAGCGGTTACCCCTATCAGGTCTAAGCAGTGGACGGGTTTCCGCCGTAATCCCAAAAATGGGGCCTCGCCATTGGCTGGGGCATCGCCAAGCATTACGGAAATTTGGGATTACGGCGTAAACCAAAATCCGCCCAGAGACCGGGGTGTTCTCTAGGGGTGAAAAGGTGACAGGGGCAAGGGTACACGAGTCGCGCGCGTAACTTGTCGCGTTTGCCGAGATGGGGGCATCGCGATCCCGTACACTCGTCGTAATAAAACGGGAAAAGGTCCCCCATTATACCTAGGCATTCAGTTCGTCCCAACGAGGCGGGCAGACGAGAGAAAACAGGTGGTCTAAGGCAGCTATGGCGATAGAACCGGTACCGGCGGCGGAGTCGGTAGCGGCAGCGGCAGCGGCAGTATGCAGGTTTCCGTACTTGGAAGAGTGGCGGGTGGTGCTCTGCACGGAGTGTGGGTTCTGCCTGCGGCCCGGGAAGGGGGCCCGAATGAGGCACCTTAGGGCCGGTTCTCAGGACGCTGGTGGAGATGCTAGAGAGCTACGACGTCTCGGGACCCGGGGAAGAGCGGGCGCGGTGGCCCACGAGGCCGGTGCCGGGGCTGCGGGTCCACGACGGGTTCCAATGCCTTGGCGGCTGCGACGGCGGCTTCCTAACCCGGAGCCTAGAGAAATTAGGGAAGCACGGGTCGAAGGCGCACGGCCAGAAGGCGAAGGCGCACGTGAAGAACGAGGACGTGGTACCGCTATGGGAGGCCTGCAAGCTGCAAACCTTCTACGCCGAGACGAGGCTGGTACGGTACTTTGTTGTCGTGCCCGAGGCCTCGGCCGGAACTTTCTTTCCTTTTTCTTTCCTTAGCTTTAGATTCTACGAATACAGCGACCATATTTAGAAGGCCACGGGGTGCCATATTCCCTCGTTCTCTTGTGAGAGTACCCCTGCTAGTACACCGTCTGATGCATCGGTTTCCACCCCAGTTGGCCGGTCATGGTGGAAGTGCGCTAGTGTTGGGGCGTTCGTGAGGGTATGTTTCAACCTATCGAACGCTTCCTGACAATCCTGAGTCCACTTGTACGGTCGATCCTTCTTCGTTAGGTTCGTCAGTGGTTGTGCGAACACACAATACACAGTAATATTGGAAATCTCAAGCTCATTCTCCACGAACTTCATTGTTTTTGAGGTAGTTAAATTCCTAATGCCTTTCGGCATATTTGTTGGTACGGAGAATACTCTCCATGTTACTGGATTTCCCCCGGATCAATCCCGTCACCCGGAGACAAAAACACCCTAAGCTTGTCTACTGTTTCTCCGCATACACCATCCCGAACTCTACCCTTCAGATGATACAATCCATTGCGCGCAAACACTTCATAACATACTCTCCGTCCAGTTGGTCGAGAAGCATGTTCCCACGGGCCGGGTCTTAACTACTATTGCTCAGTGCAAACGAAATGAGTTGTATGCTGACTCTACCGAGATGGTAGCTTATGCCGAAGGGGGGAAGTTAGCGATCGTTGCTCTTTATGTTGTCTCCCCTGGTCATCGAGCCAAATTCTTGGATCGAATAAATGGTCTCTCTAGGGACGAGAAGAGACAGTTATTCTCGGTCCTATCCACCACCCAACCAGACAAATCTTTTGTTACATTCATTAACACCTACATTACTAATGATCGAGTAGATAACTACAGTAGGGCCTAACTTACTAATTGTGACGGCGGTCAATAGCAACTAGGAAAACTGATCGCTAATATAGCTATACCATTGTCTACTGTAAGGATTCTAAGGTGAAGAAGAAAGAGAGGAAATCTACAAAGGAGCTGTTCAGTGTGCAGGTCTTAAGCGGGAGCGGGTTTGCGCACGGGCCAACATCGCTGTTGTGAGTGCCAAGCCCTGCATCCAAATTGGGGCTAGTGCGGGGTCTGCTGCACAGAGGGGTCAACAGTGCTGGCCGTGACACTAATATCCTGTTAGGAATCCGATCTAACTGTCATTGTCACGGCGCGCAACGGCCGTAGCACACTATAACCCACTACAGGTTGCAAGTCGACGACTTGCAATTCTGGCATCCTTTTAGGGGTTCTAGCGCAGCGGTAGTGGGTGCTGTGAGCTGGCGCCGTCACAGTCATATCCTCTCTGCCAAAGGGAAGTCCCCTTCTCGCAATAATAACGGCGTTAGTCTGGTCAGGAGGGTGAAGAGAGGAGAGCGGGCTACTGGGAGCCCGGGATCTGATGGTGGTGAGTCTTGTGCTTTGTTGGAAGCTGGGATAATATGCTAATAGGTTATTTCCCACCCTAGATTCACGCGTCCATTCTAGTTCCACACAATTAGACCCCTCTGATATTTTCAACTTTTCCCCCGGTAACACTATACCCATGTTATAGTCGCAGGCAGAACCAAGCATGTCGACACATGCGTTTGGTACCAACAACACCGACCCGCGAGCATCAGACGCCGATAATGACGCCAGAGGGACGGACTTGCGAGAAACAAGCAGGGAGTTCCAAGCTATCAACGCCAGCCGCCGTGGAGGCCCTCACCGCGGCAACTCCAGCGAGGTTTTGGTTCAAGATACGTCGCCTCTCTACTGGCTTGCTGCTGCGGCTCAACAGGCGCAGGATAGGATCGAACAATCAAATCTGTACGACACAAACGACCACGGAGAATCGGGTGCCCGGGTGGACGAGACGGTTGCCCATGACATCAATTCACGCAGACTTTCCCGTGTTATCTGGCCCGGGGAACCAGCCCCCTCAAATTCCATGGTAGCTTCCAGTTCATTGGCAGGACTTAGTCCAAGGATCCCAGGACCTGATGGACTACCTATAAATTCAGGTCGGCTCGTTGCACATCTTTCGTTGATTGGCCCTACCTCGCCCAACACGGGGTACATTGATCCAACTTTCTTAGACATCTCACGCACCAAATCTCCGTCGCATCCCCATAGGCTTGTTGCTGCTGCTGCTGCTTCGCCACAGCCCGCAGACCGGCCTTCACTTTCGGTCATGTGGTCGTCTATGGGCACGGAGCAATCTCCTCTGTCTCCTAGCCCCAATAAGGTGTGAAGGCAGGCAAATACAAGAGGCACGGCTACAAGTAGATGATGGCTGAATTCGTAAGTAACTAAACTAAAGAAGAGAAAGGAAAAAGAAGAAGCCTGCGAGTTGTGCAGGCGTTGGTTTTGTGGTGTTAGGTGTCACGGCCACCGCCGTAGACCCCTCGATGCAGCTGACGCCGCACTAGCCCCAATCAGGATTCAGGAATAGGGCTACAAGTGGGGCTTGCAGCCTCATTGCATGGTTGCGGCACCACGGACCATAGTTCGGCCGTGCCGTAACAAAGGGCGACTCTCCGCCAGTTCGCGGCACTGAAGGGTTGTTTGGATTATATGGTGCTGAGTTCTTTATGCCTAGTATAATAGACACCATGAAGGAACTAAGCGATGAATAGTACATTATAAACATCTTGTCAGGGCATAAGCGGCAATTGTATTCTCGATGTTGTGTAATAGCACCAAGAGAGTAACAACACAGCTTTACTCTTCTGTCCTCCTGCTGCTCTGTGTTCCTTGTGAAGTTGTTGCTACATCGCCATCCACCATGATATTCCAAGCAGAATGACGGAGTAGTTGGCAGTCAAAAGTACTGAGTTAAATTTACTATAAGTACTTCGCGTAAGAACACAAGTAGCTTCATTGTTATTACGTTCCGCCATCTTCCACCATAATATCGGCCATAAAAATGTCATAACGAGTGCTGTTAGCATCATCTACACTTATAGGCTCTGTTGCAGGGTCGTTCTCCCCATTCCTGCCGTTAGCTTGGGCAGCAGGAGGAGGAGGAGTAGGAGAAGGGTCATGATTCAGATTTCCATTGTTTCCATTAGGAGAGGTGTTGGGTTCCAAATTGCCGTTCCTCTCATTGGACATAATGGATCAACGTGCTTTCGAGCTGGTTGTATATTTATTAGTCTAAATCCCGATCTCGTAGCAAGAGGCTCTATTTATTAAATAAACTGGAACCTCTTACATGAATTGTAGTGAGTGGAATGTTTGGATAGGTTATAAGGATAGTGTGACGAACCTGGTTCGTACTGGACCAGCTGCAGAAGGCAGGCGCCTCAGGCAAGACTGGGGGCCCCGCTCGTCGAGAGCCAATCAGACGGTGCCCGGTGCCAAGATGGCTCTTGGCACCAGGCAAACGGAAGGACGGCCAATCAAAGGTGGCCCGGTGCCAAGAAGGGTCTTGGCACCAGGCAAATGGCCCGGCACACTAGCAGTGCCCGGCGCCAGGTGTTACGATCCTGGTTCAGGCTCGCAGGAGGCTGCACGGAGCCTCCTGCTATTGGCTGGCGCAAGGAAGCGGGGTAGTTCCCCGCTTCACGGGAGTGCAGCCAATAGCGTGGCGGTCAGCGCGATCAGTATGATCAGGGCGATCAGTGGGAACTGATCGCACTGAGCACACTGACCGCACTGATCACCTAGGACCAACGCTCTGATTGGTCCGCCTTAGATAGATATATACGACGACCGTAGCCACGGTCCTAGGTAGTTCTTGCTTGGTTCTTCAAGCAAGCAATACACATTCACTGCACTCATACACTTTGAGTGGCATTCCGATTTGACTGTATTAAGTCAGGTGGGGGACTTTTGGAACACCCCTGCCTATGGAACAGCCCCTGAATCGGACCCCGCACAACACCACAAACTTCAATTGCCAACAACTTTGTCAATTAATTAGCTACAATGGTGAAGTCTTCAGTATCGGATTCTCCTAATTCTTCTCTTTCAGAATAACCAAGGTCCTCTCTGCCAGCCTCTCTCTGTGAGGCACGAACCTCCTCAATTCCAGCGAACTGCGTATTAGGGTCGACTTGGACCTTCCTTCTCTTTCGGCCTCTTGTGCGTTCTAGGCTTTTTTCTGCAGCCTCCAATTGATGCGCCGTATTGGCTAGTTGGAAAACCACGTAATCGAAGGCTTTTGCGGCCTTGCGTATGAAAAGTCGGTCGTTGGCAGTCCGTTTCTGGCCGGCTAGAAAAACCTGCCCCTGAATACGGAAATCCTTCGGCTTTTTAGGGGTAAACCATATAGGCCGGCCCTCCGAATTCTTATTTAGAATGGGGTTATGGACCTCTTGAAGGTCTATAAAAACCGTAGAGGTCAGTTGACCAACGTCGCCGTTAAAATTCTTAATAACAAGGCCGTTGCTTAGGGGCTTCCTGAGGCTGACCGGCCAGAGGCCTATAGCTTTCCAGCCGGCTTTGATATTAGATTCAGTCATTCCATAGACCCTGGCTTGCCGGTAGCATTCTAGGAAGGCCCTCTTTTCAGCAACAGTGCCTTCGTCGAAGCCGGAAACAACCTCGTTATGCTTGGCTCTGTACCGGGCTTTTAGAGGGCCGAAAACCGATAAATCCAGGGGCTGGAGAACGTGGGAGGTGTGGGCTGGTAGAAATAACAATTGTACGTTATTAGAAAAGGCTAGCCACATGAATTCTTCGGTGGTATGACTACCGTGGCCAACCTAAATAAGGAGGCGCTTCTCCGAGGGGGTAGCTGGCCGAGTCTCTGGAAGAAAGATATTGCGGAGCCATGCGACGGCAGTATCATCATCAGACCAGCCGTTTTCAGTGGGTTTCCACTTCAAGCCCTTAAATGGCTGTAAATCGCGTGGATACCATTGTTGTTGAAGGCTTCCACCTTTGAAAATGACGACTGGGTTCAAATACCGGCCGTCAGCGGAAATACATTCGATAATCGAGGTCCAAATTCGGTCTCCTTTCTTCTTTTTCTGGAATTTCTTTCTTTCTTTAGATCCAACAACCAGGCCGTTATCTCCAATGCCAGAAGCAATGCCAGTTTCATCCATATTATACCTATGCTTGGCTGGAATAGCCTCCACGCCTGGAGGCTTCAAATAGTCAAACCAAGGCCGGATAACGGCCTCACAGGCTCGATCAGCACGGTTTGCATGGATTCTCCGAGGCCTAATTGTAGAAATAGATGGATTTCTAGCCAAAAACCGGCTAGTCCAGCGTTTTCCGAGGGTCTCGTTATCTTCGAGCATTCTTCTAGCTAGTTTCCGAATTTGGGCGTGGGTTGGAGGGTGACCGAGCGACCCTTGGAATAGAATCCATTCGGTTAAGCGTTCTTCCATAGCCGGAGAAAGCTTTTGATGAAGAATTTGGGCCTTGGAGGCTGGCTCGGAACCACGAACCCGATTAAAGAGAGTAGTAGGGGGGATGCCGTGATTTTCAGCAGAGCTACGGAGTAAGCCGGTTTCTGCATACTCTGCCAGCGCATTCTGCAAATCCAACTTGGTATATCGCTTTATCTTTCATTTCTCAATTGAATGGAGAAAAGAAGATAAGTATTGAAGTAGAATTGGTCGAGTTGCAAGCGATTGAAATAGGCGAGTTGGGTGGCGAGCGGCAAGTCCTTGATGACAAACCTTGTTCCAAATCCAGGGGTGTTCCATAAGCAGACCACCTGACTTACCCGTGCGATAGGAGCTTGCCCTTTGTTCTATCTTTATAATTACCAACCCCAGCATCCTGTGGAGCCCGTGCTCCCTTACAGACAGACGACCCTAACAGTCGAGTGGTTTGTAATACGTTGCTTGCTTCCCTCTTTGGTACTGATTGAACAAAGTGCTCATCGCACACCGACAACCTGGCTACGCCTGGAGAGGATACGGTCCTGCCAGACACCCAGCCAGAAGGAGAACCCGGTTCGTCAAGTAGTGACGAGTCTGACGGTAGCAGCATCGCTGGATCCATCCAGCCTGAAGACACGCACCTCAGAGACGCAGACGAGGAACCGGAAACTCTCAGTGAAGGATCAGTCACCCGGCTCGCTCAACAACTGGAACCCCTTGCGTTAGAAGACGACAACATGGCGACCAACGCGCAGCTGGCGGCGGAAGTCACCCAGTTGAGAACGGATCTGGCGGAGGCCGGAAACAGGATTCGTGGCCTAGAAGCGGCCAATGCACCTCCCCAGAAGAAGCTGAAGATCCCCCACCCTGAGCTCTACGATGGAGACAAAGACAAGTTCGAAACATGGAAAGATTCGGTGCTCTCCTACACGGCGGACAACACCGATGAGTTGCCGTACCACAAAGATGAGGTAACGTACCTCGGTACTAGACTTGTGGGAAAAGCGGCCACTTGGTTCGAACCCTACCAGAAGGCGCTAGCGGTACAGCCAGCGGACAGAAACCCGGAAGTCCACGCCGTCATCCAGAAAGGAGTTAAGGAGGTTCTTGCACGAATGGGAGAGTTCTTCGCGGACCGTCACATCCAACGGAAGACGGAGGAACAAGTCAAGAAGTTGAGGCAGACTCGTTCAGTGGCTGAATATGCAGTGGACTTCCAGACCTGCATGTTGCACCTCGACTGGTCAGTTCAGGGGCAACTGCTTGCGTTTTACGATGGCCTCAAGGACCACGTCAAGGATGAGCTTTGCAAAACGCCTCGTCCAGAGACACTGAGGGAGTACATCGACGCGGCAATCAACATTGACGACCGGTGGTTCCAGCGCGAGAATGAAAAGCGCAGAGAGAAAAAGGAGGGACGCTCGACAAGAGGCTACTACGGCAGTCAAGGCAACAAAGCCAATGACAAGAAGAAGAGACACACCCCAAGCACCGCGTACGGCACTCACCCAGGACCGATGGATGAGAGCGTTGGCGCAATCTCTCAGGCACAGCACAGGAACCAGGACCAGGGACAGCGGCCACCACGCGACAAGAAGAACGACACTTGCAACAACTGTGGCAAAACGGGCCACTGGGCTAGAGATTGCCGACAGCCCAAGAAGCAGGGACAAGGAAGACCTCCGAACGACAGGAGGGCACGCTTCAACGATTTCCAGGCCATTGGAATGGTGCTGGAAGACATCGACGATTCTCAGACCATTGGAATGGTGCTGGAAGATATCGACGAGGAAAAGAGTCTGCCGGACTACGGAACAGCGGCACTTGCCCACGAACTCGCGGAAGCCTGGGGACAGGAAGTCCCGCAGGACCCGGAGTCGACTGACGAAAGGAGCGACCGCGGAACCGGATCGGAAGACGAACCAGAGACCGAATCAGAAAACGAGGAGGGTCCAGGTCAACGGACCTTCAGCTCACGAAAGGAGGAAAGACTGGCCGGACAAGCGGCCACTCGGCAAGAGATCAAGGGCATCAGGCACTTCCTCGGGAAACTGAAGGAGAGACAAGACCAGATGGTCACGCTAATCGACAGCGGCAGGCAGTCGTCGCAGGGGCGACAGCTCGCCTTTGACGAACTGACCAGAGTCACCCTTCAGAAAACTGAGCTCTTGGAGCAGCTCAATATCGAGACTGAAGAATTTGAGGACGAGCCAGCACCACCTGAGAGCTGGATCAACCCAGAGAAACGGGAAGAAGTCTGGTGTAACCAGAGGGCCCTCGAGGATACCCGAATCGGAGAAGCATTCCTGGACCTCGCCGATATCGAGGAAGCCGAAGAAGACGAAGAACCCGGAGACGCACACCAGCTACACCCCACGCATCCTGAACACCAGGAAGTGGACTGGGCGA